AATTAAGATTAGATTAAGATATAACTATTATTATAACTATTTATACCTGCTGATCAAAAAAATTAGATATAATAAATAAATTAATAACTACAGATTAATTTATAATATATATATACTTTTTATATAGATAATATATAAAATATAATATATATTTAATTATAGTATAGATATAATAATATTCTTATTTCTTTAAATATAATCTATTATTTAATCTGCTTAATTAATTATCTCAGGCCCTTAAGAAATATACTATACTCTAAAAAAGATTTTTATAGAATTTAATATAAAAGAAATAAAAAAAGATATAAAATATTTATTCTTTATATTATTTAGAATAATAATTATAATAATATAAAAATTATAAAGACTGGGTCTCTATCTCTATCTAAATATATATAATAATTAAAAACTTAGATAAGATTAGTTCTTTTAATTTTAATAATAATCTATTTTTTAAATTATCTTTAAGATTATCTATATTTTTATTTTTATTAATATAAAAAATAATAATTATCTTATTCTTCTTTTATTTCTTAAATATAAAAATAATTAAATCTAGATTAAGATTATTAAGTATTTTCTAATACTTCTTATTTATAATAAAATAATTAATATATATTTAAAGTATAACTGCTTTAATTATATTAGAATTAAGATAATTTTAGTAATAATAATAAATATCTTAAGAACTATTAAAAAAATATTTAATACTAATATTATTAATTATAATTAAAAGAAAATCTCTAGTTATTTAATAAAAAATAGAAAACTAATTACAGCAGAACTTTTAATAAATAAAAATATTAATATATTTTATAATATCTGGAATTATATTAATTTAATTAAAGATATCTTAAGAAGCTATATATCTTTAATATCTAAATATATTTTAAATTCTTTATATATCTTAACTATAAATAAAAATCTCTAATATTTAGAGATATTATAAAAAATCTTATCTAAATCTAATAATAATTCAGAGACTATTAATAATATATTAATTATTAGATTTTAATTAAAATAAAAAAAGAATATCTTCTTAAAAATAATTTAATATTTATAATATTAGTTAATATTCTTATTTAGTTATATATCTTTCTTAAATTTCTTAAGCTTTAATATCAGGTTCAGAATAATTATAATTATATAGATATAGTCTTCTATTTAATAAATATAATAATAATATTTTTAAAGCTTTTAATATATATTATATAAATTCTTAAAAATTTTTTTCTTTCAGAGTATCTGTTTTCTTTTTAGTCTATTAATTAAATAATTCAGATAATTAAAGAGATTATTATAGATATTATAAATTTTATAAATAATAGATTTATTATTTTTAGAAAGATAAAAAATAAAAAAAAAAAAAATATAGAAGCTTAAGAAAATATTTTATTTATTTTTATTTTATTATAATAAAATAAAGATAATTAATATTATTATATTTATAATACTAAATAAAACTTTTAATTACTTAATAGAGTTTAAGTATTTAATAAATTATAAAATAAATTAAGTTCCAGTAGATTTTATAATTAAAAAAAAGATAATAAATTAAGCTAGATTTAAGTTATTAAATAAGTAAAAACTTTTTATAATATTAAGAACTTATATTTATAAATTATATAATCTTTTAAATTTATAATTAAGAATTAATATAATAAACTAATTAATAAAAGACTTTTAGAAACTCTTTATAAAAAAAGATTTTATATTAGTCTTTTATAGACAGCTTTTAGAATATATTTTTTTAAAAATTCTTCAAATATTAAAAGAGACTTTAAGACTTTTATTATTATTTTTTTATATATATTTAATAATATTATTTAAAATCTTAATCTAAAATTTCCGCAGAAGAGTATTAATTATAAACTAAATTATATAAATAAGACAGAAAATATAATACTGATTTTAAATAATCTTTAAAAAATCAGAATTAATTAAAATATTATAAAACTAAATACTCTAATTAAGTTAAGTTTAAAATTTAGCTAAGATTATATTAAATATTATATTATTATTACTAATATTATTAATTATTATATCTAATAATTAATAAATAAGATTATATTTATATAAGACTAATAAAATAATTATAACTAGATTTTTATTAATATAAGATCTAGATATTAATTAAAAATCTAGTAAAATCTTATAATAATCTATATCTTCTATTAAAAAATATTTAATTAAATTAAAAAATATTTTTTAATTAAGACTAATCCAGCAGTCTACTATAATTAATATTTATTTAATATCTAGAAATTTTAATAATAGCTATATATATATCTCTTTAAATAGTTCTATAAAATATTCTTTAATCTATATTTAATTAAAAGAACTTAATTTTTAACAGAAAGATAAAATAATAAAATTAATTATTTATTTAAATTAAATATACTCAACAGTTCAGAACAGTAGATAATAAATAATTATAAAATATAAGATTTAATTCTAAAAATTCTGTTTATTATAAACTATAGAGATCTAAAGAAAGATAATAATTAAAAAAGATTTATTTTAAAAAAATAAATAAATATCTATAATAACTTTTTATTTAGTATCTGACTAATTATTTACTTAGATATAACTAATAATAATTTCTTTTTATAATTCTTATAAAGATAATAACTTATAGAACTAGTTTCTAAGTTTTTAATTTCTAAATATTATAAGATATAAGTATATATAATATAATAAATATAAAAGATTTTATTAGAAAATAATATATCTTTCTAAAAGCTGTTTTATATTATTAATAACTTTTCTTAATTAAAATAAAATAGTAATTTTTAAGTTTATATATAATCTTTAGAAAAAATTATCTTCTATTATTAATTCTAAAAAATAAAAAGCTTTTTTTAAAAAGCTGAATATAAATTATAAAATAATCTTCTAATTTTTTATAATATATATAATCTTAAGATTTAAAAAAAAAGAAAAAATCTAACTTAAGAAGCTTATCTTAATTTAAATATTATTATAATTTATAAAGATCTGAGAAATAAAAGAAAAAGATTTAATAATATTTTTTAAAAATAAATTAAATAATTAGAATTAACTTATAATTCTGAAGCTATTTTATAAATAATAAATATAAAAAAATAAAAGCAGAAAACTCTGTTTAATAGATATTAGATTAGAATAAGAGCTTAGTATAATAATAAAATAGAATTTAGTCTCTGATTATAGATTTAATAATAAATCTAATAAGTAAAAATTTATATCTAAAGCTCAGAGTTATAAAATAATCTCTTTTTTTAAATAAAACTACTTAAGATATAATAAATTAGAATAAAAAATAGATATTTATAAAAAAAATCTATAAAAAATTTTTATAAAATCTTTTATAAAAACTATAATATTATAATACAGATCTAGTATATTTTATTTAAATATCTTATTTATTTATTTTATTTATTTAATCTGTTTAATCTATTTAATCTGTTTAATTTATTTAATCTATTTTATTTTAATAATCTAATTATTTATAATCTTCTTAATTATTTATTTATTTTTAATTCTGTTAATAGCTCTTTGAGCTATATTTTATTTATAAATCTAAGAATAGTCTAATTCAGAAGAAATAATAAAATAAAAATAATATATTTATTTTTAGTATTTTAATTAATAATTAATATATAGTTTTTCTAATATTTTATAATATAATTAAAATATACAGCTAAAATAGAATAATAATTATATATCTTTATATATATTTCTTATTATAAGAATAATAATTTTTATAAAAAGCTAAATTTTATTAATATAACTAGAATTTTCTTATTATTTTTAATAGATAATAATAAAAAAGATACTAATTTCTTTCTTAATTATATTTTTTTAATCTAAAAAGCTTCTTTTTATATATTTTTAGACGATAATAAAGATAGCCAGATTAATAATTATTTAATCTAGATATATCTTAATTATACTAGAGCTTAAAAAAATATAGCAGATAAATCTTAATATTAAGAATAATTAAGATAATTAATTACCCGGTTTTTAGCTATATTATAATTAGATATAAAAATTTTCTTAATCTGATTATAACCTGGTGGTTAGGTATAAAAATTCTAATTAACCTGACCTGACCTGGCCGTTAGCCACTCTAATAAGATAGATATATTCAGTATTTAAATATTATTAAAAATAAGAGAATATTTTCTGAAAAAAATAAAAAAAAAATATAATTAAAATTACTAGTAATATAATTTATATAAATCTTAAAAATCAGTAATTCTTAAAAGACTATATATATTATTTATATAAAAAATCTATTAATTAATAAGTAAGTAAATAAAAAACAGTAATTATATTAATAATAAAAGTCAAATCATTTATAATATTAAAAGCTGCGAAGAATATATTCTGATAGAGATATCTTTTTAATATTATTAGATTTAATTCTAATTATATTATAATAATTAATTATAATAATCAGTAAATACTGCGAATACTGATTAATAAAAAATTTTATATAATAATTTATTTTTATTATATTAATATTTACTAATATTAGCTTTGCCAGAAGATTCAGAATAGCCAAATTAATATATATTAATAGTTTATAAATAAAATAGCAGTCAATAATTTTATTAAATTATTAATATCTTAAAATTATATAAAATTTATTAGATTACTAGAATTAATTAATCAAGCCAACTAGCTATCCTGATACTAAAATTATTATATTTAAAAATTAATTTAATATTATATTAATATTTACTACTAGAAATTACAGCCTTTATAGGCTGAAGAAAATATATTAAATAAAATAAGAACTTAATATAATAATAGAACAAGATTTAGCTCTTTAATCTCTAATTAATCTAAATCAGTCTATATATAGCCCTATACATAACTTTATATATATCTGATTATTATCTAATTCTATGTCTATATAGCCCAACTGCCTGCGCAGCAGTATCATAGAATCAGACCTTTATTATATTGTCATTCTAGACCTAACAATACGATACTATATCTGGCCTTTTGTACGCCAATAACGAAATAGCTGTGGCAGTCATGTCATGAAATAACAAATCAATCCAGTACAAAATGCAGAGCACCACAGACAATAAACCTGAAGATTAAAATGAACAAGGTAGGGGCTTCTCCTCGACTGATAAGAAAAGGATACGCAGAACTGCCGTCTGAAGCATCACTAGCTGAGAGGCTGGTGTAGTAACAATGCTAAAAACTGCATCGCGACAAATGATGGGTGTAATGGATAACAATCGTATGTATATACATGCAACGATCACCCATAGAGCTCGACCCGGTCGCGATACGTCATGCCTGCTGGGGCCGCCATTTCGCAACGGTTCGGAGCATCCATCTCAGGTGGGCGATGCGCCGAATGCAGCTCGACGACCCCCGGCTGACGGTATTGTCGTAAATAAGATATGTCTTCTTTGCCATGGGCTGCCTTCGCTTTTCGGTAGCGCCGGTACCAAAACAATGCGGTGAAGTTGAGAAGCAGCAGAACCGCCACGGCAATACCGATGCCAATACCAATCTTGGCACCTGTGGATAGACCCGTATTTTTCGATTCGTCTTGAAGCGGTGTTGTTGTGGAAGTGGAAGTGGACTGAGCGATGGTGGAATATGCTGCGGCTGCGGCTGCTGGTGATTGAGTGGACAGACTAGAGGCACTAGTTGAGCTTGGGGAGGCTGTAATGGAGTTGTATGCGCTGGCTTGTTCTTTATTGAAGGCGACGGTAATAGGCTGAGCCCACATGGTAATCGGGCCTGAGACGACGGTGTTGCATGTTTTGGCAGTATCGTTGCGGCAGGGGACGCTTGTTGAACCGTCCGATGCGGGATACATACTGAGGCAGCCGGCGAACACCACATTGGTGGATATAAGGTCTCCAACAGTCGTGGGTGTTGTGTAATAGGTGAAGTCTCTGTGTTGCAGAACGGATAAGCCGCGGCTCAAGGCTAATAATTTCTCCAGCTCTGGAACATTGAATGTGGAACGTACGATATACAACAAACGGCCGTTGTCGCGGTGCCCACAATGTCCACCTGCGGAGAGGTGTACCCATATGGACACCAGTCGGGGCTGTAGGCCGAGCCATAAGCCACTCTGCCGGTGTTGGAAAAGCCACCAGGAAAGCAGGTCCAATCCACGGCTACTGCATTCTGAAGCAGCAGGCCATTTGAGATTTGGTTGTAGGCGGAGCCCTCATATGTCCATCTCGTGGTGCATTCTGCAGGCGGGGTGAATATGGTGCTTAGGGAGGTTATGCTGGCCGGTATTGATGACGACATGGTCGATTGATAATGAGTGAGAAGGGAGGGAAATCATTAGAGAGTACACTCACTCAGATAGGACAAGAGGAGCATGATCAACAGCAGGTGGCTGCATGATTTAAGTCAGTTGTCCGGCTGAGAGCCGCTCCACGCTGAGCGCCGTGATAAGTACCAGCGGGATTTAATAGGCTCTTGGCCACTAGGCAGCACCCAATTCGTGATAACAAATTAGGCCCGGAGAGTAGATTGAGTAAGTGCCCAGCTTCCAGACTTGTTGGATTGAAGCACTTTAGTCTCCTGCATGGCCCTAAGTGATCCTCACTTGCGGCTATTAGCGGGAGTCGGGACAACCATCTTATTCAGATTCAGTCCAAGGTAAAACAACAAAGACGGCCACATTGCTGTCAAGAAACCGGAAGGGAAAGATGGGAAAGACAGAGGAGAATTAAATGGCCCCCACACTAGTAGCTGGGGCATAATGCTGTCAATAAATTGGGTGGGAGGGGTACAAAACACCGGTGCCAAGACCCTTGTCAACTCTGCAGTAATTTGCGACATCAGCTCGATGGTCGAAAACTAACCGAACATATGGCCTCGTTGGCCACATATGATAGGTTGGAGCCCTAACATAGTTAACGCATCTGACATAATACACAGCAAGAAAATACCATTTTATGATATTGTGCCACCATTGTACCATGGTGATATCGCAACTCACCACACGCTTGCCCACCCACTCTCCGGGCTGAGGGCCAATTAGGGCACTGAGAGGCTACTAGCGCACGCGAAACCCTTGAGGCGGGAGTCGGGTTCATCCGTAGCGGCGATGCATGCGGAGTTATGTTCAGCCCTTTGTGGTCTTTACCCTACCATAACAAACACCATAGGCGAACTTTTTAGGCCAGATACATCACCTCAGCCCTGGATCCTTTCAAAGAAGAAGGAATAAAAACAAAAGAGAAAAGACAAACAACAAAAAGCACACAACCCTCTCTCTCTCCCCACCTGATCGATTGATTGGTTGTCTTGTCGGTCTGGTGGTGGTAAGCGTGACGGACGGGTAAAAAAAGGCAAGAAAAAAGAAACGTCCAGGGAGAGGATCGAACTCTCAACCTCACGATTAACAGTCGTACGCGCTAACCAATTGCGCCACCCAGACGAGTTGTAAGTATGACGCAACGTCTTGAATTATGTACTGCGCTTGCAGGGTTTTGGGAGGGGCGTAAGCATGATGTGGGTTGTGCTTGGGGTAGGGTTTTCAGGGTTTGGGGGGTGTTCATATTGCAAAGGTTGGTTTTTGGCGATGGTGGAAATAGCTTCTAAAGGGATAAATGCTGGGTTAAGGTGTCTGGGGGGGTTGTTTGCTGGTCGACGATTTGGCTGCCTCGGGAATATTTAATGGGGATAATAAATATGCAGGAGAACAAACACACCGAGCTCATGGTGGAGAGGAAGGCTACTAACAAACAATTGGAACACGCCTTACATTCAGATCAAGGGTATATACAATTCTGACAGAGAGATGGGACTATTTACACACATCCCGCCTACCGCTCCCTAAACTCCACGTAGACTTTTCCCACCGATAATGTCACGAAATCAGCGACTCCTGCATAACGTCAACAGGAAACACCCAATTCATCGGGTCCGAATCATCAGAATTGAACATCGTATCCGCCATCTATCGCTAATTAGATCATTAATCCACTCCCGCAAAGAGGTCCGACTCACCATGAGATCAAAATCCCAGTCCTCAATCAGATCCGAAGCCACGTTCGAAGGAGACGTATCCATGGATACATCCCCATCCTGGGACACTTTCTCCGTAAGAACAGCCAAAGCTTCCTCTTCAGCTTCCTCCGCAGCCCCAACCAATACATTCGGAAGCTCCGCCTTGCTGATACCCTGCATCATGCCGCGGATTTGCGCGACAAGTAAACTCTGAACCAGGTATCCCTTGATATTAGTCTCTCCGGCTTCGATACACTGCAAGCACCAGGCTTTCGCTTCGTCGATCACGCAGAGGAGGTCCGGTCGGAGGGGCGCGGGACTGAGACCTTGGTCTTCCTGGAGTTGGGCTTTCAGCTCGACGGCGATGGCTATGCTTGCTTGCATGGCCACGGTGCGGAAGAGCCCGGATCCGCAGGCCACGAATCGAGCGAACTTGTCCGATGACGGAAGAGACGGGGGCTGGTAGGCTGAGCGCCACATCTTGAGACATATGTCTACTGTCACTTTGCGGGAATAGGCATAGGATGTTTCGTGCATGGCGGGGAAGAAGAAGGGGAGGTGGAGGGACGACAGGTAGCGATGCATGAGAAAATCAACGGCACGGATGGCAAATTGAGAGGGAGAGGGTCCGGTATTAGAGCGGAATGCTTGCAGAGTTTGGCATAGATCCTTGTATGAGGCTCTTAGCTGGGCGTCAAGTCGAAGTGTTTCCTCGTACGTTCCGTGGGAGTTCATGTCGTTGAGAAATTTGACGATCGCGGCGCGGAGCGGGAACGTCTTTCGAAGTGTTCTTGCAATGGTCACGCGCGTGAATTTGCTGTCTGGGTTTGGAGCGGGATCCTCGGAGGAGTTTCCCTCAATGAGCTGTTCATCATCGAAATTGCTGGGAGGCTCCGTATCAAAGTCATCCGAAGTCATCAACAGTGGTCCACCGCAGGTCATGCTTGTTTGCAGACTGATTTCCAGGATTGTGTTCCATAGCCTGCGGCGCATCTCTGCGGCAAGGAATGGCCCCTTTGGTAGACCGGTAGGGTCTCTGTGCAACCCCATATGTATTGCTGTTCTCAGGAGCTCGCCAAAGGAGATCCATATCAGTGTGGGGCCTATACCAGCCGCCTCCCGAGCAAGTAAAAGCAAGAGATGGATCTGCACAGCCTGAATGCTGAATCGGGACTTGTACTCGGGCTCTGCAAGCCAGGTCTGTGCCTCATATACCCACTTAACGGCGAGAGAGCGTAGGGAAAAGTGTTCATCGTAAGTTGTGGCTCCAATAGCAAGCACAAGCTTGACCTGAACAAGAAACGCCGTTTTATGCTCACTAGTCGGCGACCATAACGCTTCGTAGTCTCTCCTGAAGCTCGGAACATGCAGAATCGGATAGATGGTCTCGGTAGTCTGAAGGTAACAGTCCACGAGCTTGTCAGCAAGGTCTTTTGGTGGTAGATCGGTGCTTAGTGGCGAGGGCCACTTGGGCGCGCGCCGTGACTTTATTATCCTTGCCAGGGCTTTGCACTTCTGTACGCCCGGGAAAAGCGCCGATTCTTCTCGGACAAGTGGATCAATTGCATCAAAGATGTCCCGAAGCTAGAGACTGTCAGCAACCTGTCTCGCGATATTAAAATTATGCGTTAGAGCTAACCGATGCAACAAGTCCAATGATCCAGTAACTCTGGCCTAGCATGCGAGACTTGTGAATCGCACGACGAGTGACAGCCAAAGGATGGTCATGCTGTACGTGGATTACCCCAGTTATTTGAGTCGAAACAATTTCTATATTAGAATCAGGACTCGGCACTGAGGGTTGAGTTGAACCTCGTGTTGCTTTATCTAGCTGTTCTTCAAGTTCTTGGATCCTGCTCTTCATGGCCTGGACTTCCTGAATGGATATATGGGTGGCAACGGTCGGAGCACTCGGGCTATCTGCGAACGAGCTCGACTGATGGCTCAGAATTGTCGACGGCCTACTACTTTCAAAAGACATAGCATGATCTAACCCCTTGGGTTGCCGCCCCAAGATAATCTGGCCTGCTTGGTTATGGCCAAGACGTTGCGGCGGAGCCGGTGAATCATGGTTCTCGTACACGCATGTCTCGTTCCTCGTCCGTACACAGTTGCTGCATGGGGTTTCCCGATTACATTTAATCTTGCGTCTCCTACAGAGCAAGCAAGACCTGTTTGTTTATTTGTTAGCGCAGAACACAGAAAGGAGAGGATGGCCTACACAGCTGGCCTTCGGCGCCGGCGCTCGCCCTCGGTCATGGTGCCTTACAGCCGATGTGATATGTCCCGGGATCCGAGTCACGCAAGAATGTCAAGGATCAATTGGCCGGCAACAGATAAGATCTTTCGTATCACCGATTAATTTTCCGACCGAAAGGGAGAGTGGGAAGCTTGCAGAAAGATTACAGGAAGCTGGGCAATAGAGGTGATTAAACTGCCGTCGGCAGTTGCGTCTTTGGTCCGACTCGCCCCCCATTTCCCGACCGAACCCTAGTTATCTCCGCCAGTATGGCCGACTGAGTGGTTTCTCGAAAGGCCATCATATATAAGAGGTGGGGATGGAATAGAGCGATATTAAGTGATCGCAGACTGTGGGGCATAGTTGAGTCGAAACTGTTTCCTAACCAAATCACCAACTGCACCTCATACCAGACAAAATGGCAACAACGGAAACAACACATTGTGATCCAGAAAAAGGTGAAGGAAACGAGTCCATTTCTGCAGAATCCCGACAAGGTCAAACATGCTCTGATTCCTTAAAATTTGAGAAAGCACCCGATGGCGGCCTTCAAGCATGGCTTGTTGCCGCTGGAAGTGCTTGTATCTTCTTCTCATGCCTTGGTTTTTCGAACTCATTCGGCGTCTTCGAGGTGTACTACAAGGAGAACCAACTCCGTGATGAGCCATCTGGAAAGATATCTTGGATTGGATCACTGTCGACTTTCATCCAATTTGGAGCGGGCGCTATCGGAGGGCCATTGTTCGATCGCTATGGCGAATGGGCAAGTCATCTTCCCTCATCAGCGTTATGATAATCTCGCTAACATATGACAGGTGATACGACCCGCCATGGTAGTCTACATCTTCGCCCTGATGATGACAAGCCTGTGCTCGAAGTACTGGCAGTTTATGCTGGCACAAGGCGTGCTCATGGGCATCGCCATGGCGTTTCTGCAAATGCCAGCCCTTGGAGCAGTATTGCAATACTTTGACAAAAGGAAAGCAGCTGCACTAGGCCTCGCCGTCTCCGGTTCATCCATTGGAGGTGTCATCTTCCCGATCGCGCTCTCCAAGATGCTCAACAGCTCCTCGTTGGGATTCGGATGGTCGGTGAGAATCATGGGGTTTGTCATCATGCCCCTCATGGCATTCTCTTGGGTGGTTATGAAGGCTCGTCTACCCCCGCGTACAACCAACTTCTTTGTGGGATCGGCCTTCAAGGACGCGACATTCGTCATGGTGCTTGTCGCGTTTTTTCTCATGTTCATTGGTATGTTCACGCCTCTGTACTACCTTCCAACCTATGCGGTCATGGAAGGCGTGGACGCAACGCTAGCTTCATATCTGCTAGCAATCATCAACGCAGCCTCGACCTTTGGACGTATAATCCCGGGTGTGATAGCAGACAAGTACGGACGATTGAATGTCTTCGCGATCGGAGGTCTCGCCACTGCGGTGGTCATGCTCTGTATGACAACGGTGGGTTCCACGGCAGGGTTTGTCGTGTACTCCATTGCTTTCGGGTTCTGTTCCGGGACGATTGTCTCGGGGGCTTCCGCGGCGTTTGCTATGTGCATCAAGGACGCGCGGGACAGCGGCACGTTTATGGGGATGGGGATGGGGCTTAGCTCATTTGCAGCTCTCATCGGGCCCCCGGTCAATGGAGCACTGTTCGACAAGTATGGGGGATTTCTCCAAGCCTCCATATTGAGTGGGGTGGTGTGCTTGGTGGGTGGATGTGTCGCGCTCGCGACCAAGGCCACCACTTCACGTGGCATTTTGGGCAGGACATGAGACGCGATGGGTGTTGATGTTGATGGAAGTCCCAGACAGGGGTAATTGCTTTGTGGAGTATGAGTTTTGGGGTGGCGAGGAGGAGGGATCACTGCTGAGTGGTCGGATGTGTACAATAGCAGCAAGGTTGGACGAGGTGAAAGACGGCCGAGCCAACATCCCATGGGGTCGGCAAACGAGGAGGGGGCGTGTCAGGTGGCCTGTCACGCAAACCGGGGATCCATCTCCTCTCCACTCGCTACTGCTTTCACTTCCCCTGGATTGTGCTTCCACGTTTTCTCCCCTCATTAATCGCAATGTGTTTTACCGGCATTAGGGGTCGGACTGTTACAAATTTAGCTATTTACATATGAACTTGTCTAACTGAGACCACCATACTTAGATGAGATTGAGGTCTCTCAGCCTTATGGAGCCGGGCTTACCCACCTATCCGATCCTGAACGCGAGTCCAACCCATGGGTCACTTCATCCGACCATACGATGGGGACCACACGATGGAAACGAGCGTGGTGTCAAGTGGTGTCATTCTGGCGCGAACAACCTCGTGATCAATCCGCGGTCAACCAAGAGCTGGATTCACCCTCCATGTTTGACGACGTATCATACCTGGGAACAAGAAGTACGGAGCCATCGGCAGCGGGGGTCTGGGGATAAACCCGACTATGACGCCCAGGCCAATAGAGTGTGGGGAAGGGGGAGGAGCATGCTCGCGGCTACCGAGGAACTACTAGTCAGGAGTATCCTGGCAGCTTGGGAATCTTTCCTGGGGATAACTGCCTGGGACAAGGTCTGGCATGTTACGTATGACCTCGGATTTACGACGTCTGTCATCAGTGTTCCACGACATTGCGTGGTTTTACGTGATCGATAGTACTGCATGGCAATTTCCAACCCAGCCATCACGACATGGCACCCTCCATGGCGTAAAGCCCTGGGAATTTGCGTCGGCCTCCACGACTGCAAGGGGCAGCCAAGACCGGCCCAGGCCAAGGATGAACAGGGGTGTTCCATCCCATTTTGTGTCCCCGGCCAAGTCGGATGCATGGGAAGTGGGAACAAGCTCCCCGTTAGCGACCTGTCGTCACTGCGTTTATTGATGTTTCGACTAGATGAGGTTGGGGTTGGTTGGAGACAAGCATGAGTGAGGCTGTTGGCCGCATACCAGCCGCCCCTCCTTTCCTGACCCCGTGCCCGCAGCCGTATTGTATTGCACTGCTGCCTGCCACGCATTCCTTTGCGATCACTCATCCACGGTGAGGGCGGCGATCATAGTTGGAAGCTCGGGTCGTGGCGCCGATTGGAACGTTTCGATCATGCTTCGACAGAGTCAATTCAGAACTTGAAGTTCCAACGGCGTGCAGGTTAGGTAGTTTCTCGGAGCTTGTCTGGCTCTATGGCTCCTTCCCTTTCTGAACTTGACTCCTGGGCGGTGTTCTGGGATAGACTTCCGGGGAGGATTGTCCCATCATCCATGCATTCGCCTAGCAGTTAGTACTGGGAGGATGAGGGAAGATGGAGAACGAGGAGTGACAACTGTGACAGCCACTAGCGCTCTCCGCATGATCACGGGACCCCTCCCGGAGCAAATGGCGGAGGGGGTGGGTAGTAACTGTTAGGTAAGGGTTACTTCATCAGGGGAGCGTGCATCTCCGGGGGAAACCAGCGAGAAATCAGCGCGAGAGCTTGGAAGACGAGCGATGCAGGGGCCGAGGAGAGTACGTAGTAATCTTCACCTGGAGCGCCGTGCGAAGGACACCCGGGACAACATCAGTTCCCCGGGGGTCCATCTTTAGCAGGCATTCCACGTATAAGCCGGTATAACGCGCATAACACCGGGAGCCCCTCGGCTTTGTCAGCAGACCCGCCCCGTTGGGACGGGTCACGGGGCCGCGGGCGGCGACTTTCCATTATGTCATAGAATGCAGGCGGTGATCCCGATCGAGCGAAGGTCGGCGATGGCGCCAGAACCACCGCATCGAATCATCGCTTTCTTCGACTAATGGAAATGCCGGTTGTACTCCGTCCACAGTTAGGGAATAGATACATCGGAGGTCAGTGTCGACTCCAGCGACTCCAAGAGAGAGAGAGTTGGGAGGAATCATCTCGTCCATCTCCCTAATAGGGAGCATTCCGTCCTGAGATGTCCGACTCCGCCATCTCCGACTGCCTGGCTGATTGATAACCGTAGCGCCTCCGAGGCGATTAAAATAGTACGGCGATAGTCGCATCAGCCAATCCTCGACCGGCCGAGATCGATCAACGGTCAAAGGATTCGAGGACGACGAACTGGTGTCGGGGGAGCTCGGAAGCTGCAACTCGAATAATGGAGAATCCCTGTGACCTTTAGTACTTATTACTCGCTCTATTCTTCAAGCTCAATATTAATATGATTTTCTCCGAATGGGACGAGATTTCTTTCCCAGTCGCCGCTGCGGGCTGTGATTGCCCCATGTGGCCGGTGGGTCGGAGGCGGGAGCCGTGGAAGGCAATTCGCGTCGGGGGGTGTCAGTAGTGTTCCAGTCTTGAGGGTGTTCACCTTACTTAATGGAAACTTGACGTCGGCCTGCAGCATCTTTTCCTTTCCGTGCCCATTCCGTGCCCTCGATTTTTCCTCCCACCCACTCCCGTGCATGAATCAATAACAACAATCAATTCCCCCCCCCCCTTTCTTCTACAGTATCAAGTATCGATCTGCACCCTCAGCCCTGTCCACCACCACTACTGCTACTACTGCTACTACTACTGCTGCATAGTCCAGGACGTGCTCCACCCCAGCGAATCGTGCGCGCGTGCTCCTGCTCGGATCTCCTGGTTACAAGAGCGCTCGCTGCCCGCCTCGGGGCGCGCGGTCTTGTTCCCTTTCCGTGACTAACAAGTTCTCAACCTCCTCACCCGACTGACCCGACTGCTTGTCGTGTCTCCAACGCCCCTCTTTGACTCTCCAATTCCGGTGTAGTCTGCAGCCAGGGGTGCGCTGGTGGAATCCGGGGAAAGAAAAAAAGCTTTTTCCCTCCCCCCTCTGCCTGCGTCTCCCCTTCCAACCTTCTCGGAGCCCTCCTCGTCTGATCCTGTTCTGTCCTGCCCTGACCACCCGCCACCCACCAATCCATCACCTTGTCTCGGGACTGGCTCTACTTCTCCTATAAGTATATAGAGCCTTTCCCTAGCCTCACGGTCTCCCCGTCACCATGTCCGCCGCTACCACCGTCCCGATCCCTACCCACAAACCCCCTCACGCGAGATACGCCACCGCGGCCTCGGGGGACGTCTCGCCCATCAGCACCAACACCTCGCGCAACGCCTCCCCGTCTCCTCATTCGCCCGCCTGCTCATCTCAGAACTCGCGGTCTAGCAGCCGTCGCGAGTCGTTCGGCTCCATCAAGGAAGACGTCGACGGTATGTCTCTGTCCGCAACGCCGCGCACCATGGACCGGCAATCGCTAACAGGTCACTCACACGTCACAGGCATTGCGCAATCATTTCTCGACACCCATATTGATCAAACCCCTCAGGAGCCGCCCAAGCGGTCTCCCGTCGACATGCAGCCCGACTTCTGCTGCCCGTGCGGAGGGTTCCTGGGGTGGAAGCAGATCCGGCTAGGTGGAAAGAGTCTGAGTAAGAGTTACAGTGACCTGCGGGGCCTTGGAAGCATGCAGGCGCGTGGATGGGCCTGGGATAACACTCCACAGGCTGCTAGTCCGCCGAGCAAGGCGCTGCCGGTTGAGGTCGAAGAGGAAGTCGTCGTCGAGCTGAAGGAGGAGGAAGTCGAGCAGAAACCCGCCGCAGGGACGTCCCCGTTGGAGAGGCTGCCCCCGGAGGTTCTCGGTAAGCAAACAGATCTTCCCTCGCGTGCATACCTAGCTAACGTTGCCTAGATTACCTGATTTCCATGCTGGCCATCGATGTGCCCCCCAACGGATACGCACCGCGCAACGTGGACCTGATCGCCTGCCTTCTTGCCTCCAAGACGTTGCACGCCGCAACCCTCGGTGTGTTGTACCGAAACATGACCTTTCCCCACTCTATCATCTTCTCCAAAGCCCTCCAGCACATGTCTCGCTACCCGGCGTTGGGCACTTTGGTTCGTCGTCTCGACTTCTCTCACTTTACTTCGGTTGGCCTGGGACGGACCAAGCAGATGAACTCCGAGATCCAGAATCTCACCTCCAAGACCCTGCTTCAATGTCTGAACTTGCTACCCAACCTCAAGGAATGCCTGCTTCAGGAGCACGTGGAGGGGGATATCAGCATGGAAGTGATCCAGAAGCTCTTCACCGGTCTCCCCAATCTGTTTGCGGTCGACTTCTGCGGCTGCTCCTCCCAGTCATTCTCCGGCTTGTTCCTAGAGGCCCTGATCACCAGTCCTGGTCTCCCTGCGACTCTTCCAAACTTGAGACGGGTATCGCTCCACGAGTGCAGCAGTCTTCCCGCTTCGGTCTTTGAGATCCTTCTCCCGCGTCTCGTCAACCTCACCCATCTAGACGTCACCCACACGCAGATCAGTGAGGATGCTCTGTTCTCCATCCCCGAGTCTGCCAAGATCACTCACCTGAGCTTGTCCCGGTGCAGTCGTCTTCGGGGTTCTCGGGTGGTGGAGTTCCTCTCGACCCATCCGGCCGTAACCGGCTCGCTGGTTTTCCTGAACCTCTTGACTGATCCCACCCGGTCCCGCCTCCTCGAGGAAGAGAACGTGCACGCACTCCTTCCCAACTTGCCGACCACCCTGCGCTCTCTTAATTTGGGGGGCGCAAAGGTCACTTCTGCTCATACCCACGCCTTGGTGCCCTTGACCAAGCACCTGGAAGAGCTGGGTCTGAGCTCTTGTGAGCTCACTGGACAAGATATCAACTCATTCTTCGTCCCGTCCCGCCCCGTTACTGAAGAACTGACTAGTTCGCACCCCCCTGAGCCGTGGGTTCCGTCCACGCTGTGCTATTTGGACTTGAACAAAGCCAACCAGTTGACGATCGGCACCATTTTCAACCCCAACGCGTGTGTTATCCTCACCCAACAGAGCTACCCGTTGCAGGTCATTGAGTTCAGCGACAAGCTCATTGCCCCTCTGCGTGAGCGATCCCGGACCGCTAGAGTTTCGCCTGGCTGGACCGTGCGGGAACTTGGCCGTCGCGGGTGGTACGTTCGCGATCCCGCATCGATGCCCGAGGTCATGCTCGACGACGGTGCGCGCAGCTGGAAGATGGGCGCCCGTTGGTGGGGCATGCGCAAGATCCCCGTCGCGGTGGGAGACGTGGGCGGCTTGTACGGCCATTACATGTTCAAAAAGTGATCATTTCGCGTTGCATTTGCTGAATGATCAGTCTTATACCCTGCCATCTATTCTTTCTTTTTAGTCGTCTTTTTATCTTCCATTGCTATTTCCGGCGAATTTGGCATGGCGTTTGATTTGCTTGATTGACCACTGCAGACGGAGCGCGCCAAAAGTGTGGTTCTGATGACATGATTCTTGTTTGCGGCTGTCTGCATAGCGAGAGCGAGGTTTCAGCGTTGGGGATGCTTGACGATCTGATTACGGCTTGCGCTTATGATTGATACCATTGCATTGCTTGTTGCTGTTTGTTGGTCTGGGGTTTGCGGGCTATTTTTTTGTATTTTAGGGTGGCGATTTGCTTGAAATTGCTGCGGAGTTGGTTAGGAATTTAGTTGTCCACTCTTATCTTTTTTTTTTGTAGTCGGATAGAAGCGTAGACGCGTAGACGCGCAGAAGTTTTGTCGAGGTACCTGTGCTGGGCTCCAAACTCACCTCCAACCGGCCTCATCCTGGCTTAGTAACAAAAAAGGCAAGACTGGTCGGTCGTTTGCCAACTCATGATGGGACATCTGAAATGACATGGTGAAACCAGCCTCCTCACTGTGATTAAACGATAACATAGATCTCAGTTGTTCGCCATCAAGACAAAGAAAGGGTGAACAAAACACGGAACACTACAAACACCAGAAAAACGAGTCACCACTGAAGTAGGACAAAACACGCAACCCAACAGCAACAAACACCGAAAATGTGAGAACCGCGCCCTGATTACTGAAGAGTAATTGTTCATGTTACACGGCCCTACAGCTAGCTGGCTGGGATGCAATTACTTATGAGAGAAGCTACTTAGGTGGTGTTGTTTATTTTATATAAGAGAGATGGGTGTTTGTGGTGTGAGATGTGTTGGTGTTGTTTAGATCTATACTTATATTAAAGGGTGGAAATGAGAGGGAGGGGATGATGAAAGGTGATTGACTCTATTTCTATTTCTATTTCTGGTGGTTGGATGATTCGAGCAGCCTGAGAGTACCAGAACGATGAATAGATCAATCTAGCGTGCACAGAAAAAAAGAATCAGGTGCATCAGCGAAGAGAAAAAAAAAAAGAACCCCCCCCCACTTCCCAGAAACAGTCCCAAAATGAAAGCCCACTCAAGATAGAACAACATTACAAAAAGGAAGCTCCGATATAGAGACAAATATAAAAGAGATGTCAAAAGCAAATACCGCGAGAGCCCAACAGATAAATAACCCAGACAGAAAAAAAGAAAAAAAAAAAAAAAAAAAAAAAAAGAAACCAAAACAGAATACCCCCAAACATCAGAAAGAGAAAAAACTAAACACTCGAACTAATACTCACTTACCAACCCACCCTCAAACATCCCTCAACTGCATAACTAACATCTTACAACACGTCTTCAACTCCATCCACCCAACACCCCTCCCCACACACTCCCACGCATAAACAGCCCGAATCTCCAACAAAAGGCCTAGGAAGGTTACCTTTTGCACCAGTACCTCTTCATCCTCGGATTATACGCGGAGGTCCTGTAATAGCCGCATTTCTGTGCTGCGGTTCCGGTGCTGGCACTGGTACTCCGTATACTACAGACGAGACGATCTTATCTGATCCGACAATCCGAGACTATCGCCCACCGCTTGGAGAAATGATCTGCATGTGATGCCCCACTTGCACAGGTACCATTCCAGTAGCAGCCAAACAGTCGCAAGATATATGTGAAATCTCGTTCTGACGAGTCATTAGACAAGCACAATAGCTAAGTGATACACGGGAGGCGATTAACAGCGCGTTGATGGAAAGTGGGCTGAAGCCAGACAACAAAGTAACCGTGGGGTGAGGAAACGGGCGGGCACTGTCATCTCATATCCCTGCATACTATACAGGGCGCGCGGCTGGGGAGTATGATGTACTTGGCTAAAGACTACTTCGCCTTTGGTAGTAAAATATAAAGTCGCGCGTTCGAGGCTGTCGGTGTAGGTGAATTGACTGGAGAAGGTAGAAAGATCCCTCTTAGCCTCGGGCGCCAGGGGAAATCGGCTGTATTAATGATACATTCTTTTACACAGACAAGCAGCAGGAACTTCATCCGTTTCAGGGGGAAAGATCTCCAGTCTGACCACTCATCGGAATCCGCCATCTCGGACGCCGGGTAGGCACCAAGACAGGAGGATAGGAACTGCTTATGCAGGCTTGATCAAGGTGCGCATTCCGGTATGAAATCTTAGCGAACGGTGAGAGTGCGAATAACTGATGCCCTGTGTACATTTCGTGCTTTTGCTCGATTCCTTAGAATCGACTGGCCGGCTTTCTGCTCGCCGCGGGCCCATCAGCCTGTCGTCCTTCCAGGCTTCCACCGAATGGGCCATTGGCTAATAATAGCTGTGGTCTGCTAAAGCGGATACATGTGCCTTTGCCATGCAACAGAGCCAGGAAAGACAGCCCTAATGAGGGAAATGCACTTCTGTAGATAGGCAGTAAGGGTAGTGAGATGCTCCTTGAGCTCATAGAATGGAAACATCTCCAAATGAAGTCCGCGTCTACAGGAGGCCTTAAACTGGCTGCATAAACACAGTCCAAGGGTGGTTTTTGGTTCAGCATCAATTTGCTTGATAGTGTTTAAGCACTTCGAAACCCTCACCTCATGCCTTGATATGCAAAAGCCAGCCATCCTTTCCTACAATGCCACGTTTGCCAAGGTTATTCTGCATATGAAGTTAGATATCCGTTGTAGAGGCGTGTTATCATGGAGCGATTAGAACACGATTCGAAGGCGAGATATTTGAAATTTAGTGCTTGTAAAGGCGAAAATATCGCAACGTCCAGCGGAACATTCAGAGGTTGAACCATCTCTCTTTCCAGCAGAATATTGTTTTCCATATGACTGCATTATATGTGCACCAAGGTTTAGACCAGACTCACGAGGACTTGGTATGTCATGGTGGATAGCATTATCTCCATCGCCTATGTTTATTCACCATTGGATTTCTTGTCCCCAACTCAACACACGTATCTCTCTCTTCCATGGATAACCCCCCACCTGTCATATCACCGTAGTCTTGAAATGAATGAACATGGAAGACTTCCTGTAACCGTTTCACTTGTGGCTTTGGTCTCAAAGTTTGCCGTGCAAAGATGCTGGCCACTTCTGCCAAAGAGCTATATATCCATCCGCATTCTCGCAAACAGGACATCCTTGCCGCTGATGATGGGGTACAGGCACCCGGTCTGAAGGAGCGTAGCAAGACCAGAAGACGACATGAAATTATAACATCTACCACCGGCCGCGGTCGCTGGTGCTTCATGCGTAGACCCTGTATTCAAAACAAGTGCACAGGTATCCGATATCGACCATGTAGACCGGGTCCAACTATGTCGCCCATTTAACTGGATTTCTGCTTCGATATACATAGAAGTTTCCCATGAAGGATGTTGTTGCTCATTCGATACTAGGGCGACTGATATATGGAACCGCATATTGCTTTGATGAGATCTATAGCTGTATGAAAGGTCACTGTACGCCGACGAAGCGACGTCATCACACCGGTAAAAGCTGATGAGAGATCGTAGAAATAGAGTCAAGTGGATATTATGGCTTTCTGAATGAGCCCTCGGGTTATGTTTTGGAAAAGGCCCGACTTTTGCTTGCCCTTTCCGTGCTATTGATAGGGAGAACTCGGAAGGCTTTCGACGCATGAAAGGGCCATTCTCATCATGCTGGATTGGTGGCGGGGAAAAGAGGAAGATGGAGATGAATGTGGAATAGGGGGTTTATATAGTGGTTTGTCGGCCTTTCCTATGAATGGGCAAAGTGAAGGACAGCTGGTTCGCTGTTTTGGCATGCCGCCTGTTTGCTTTGAATTCTTCACTATATGAATCGTTTATTCAATGTACAGCGTTATCCACTCCTCCAGTGAATGTCCCATCCCTTTGAAGACGACAGAGAACGGTTTTTTTCTTTTCTTTTTTTTTTTTTCCCCCTTCAGCCACTGCAACCTCGCTTCTGATACTCACAGTCTACGACCCAAGACCAGCAACCAACTGATCCCCCAGACTCTTGATACTATCTTCAAAAGTCTGCGTATCCGTGGCAGTCCAGTCCGCACTACTCCCAGGGACGGCATTCTGGCCCTCAAACCCGATATACAGAACATCATCCGCCGTATGCCCATTGTCGCCCGTGATCCCCTCACCAGGAAAGCACAACTTGGCCAGTGCAATCGACGCCTCGCCCGTGACGCCACCTCCATTCATGTCGCCCCAGACGCCATAATACTACCATCCATCAGCCTCAGCATCACCTTCATCCCACGTCCCAACCCCGCAGCATGACTCACCAGTTGTCCCCCGCAAACGACGGCCATTACGCTGAGGGGCTGCATCCCACTACTCTGCGGGTCAAAGTTGGTGTTACCGAAGACCACGTACGGGTGGACATTTGCGTCCAGGTCGCTGATACCGTACTGGACGACCTGGTCTTGGAAACTTGTTTGTCCCTGGATCGAGGGGTCGTCGCCGCAGTCTCCGCCGCTGGCGTGCGCTCCATCGCAGTCCACGTCCATGTTGTCGTATTGACCTCCGTTGGAGCTGCTGTGGAGGAAGATGGCGTTGGGGATGTCTCCGCAGTACTCGAATGTGGTGTCACCGGTGGTTCCGTCGCTGAATCCGCTGGCTATGATGTTGTCGCAAGTCTTGGTCTGTCTTCTGTTAGGGTGCCGCGGTGAAGTGCAGGGGAGGGGAGGGAAGGGGCAGACTCTGTGGTCATTGTAGATTTGGGCGAGGTTGCCGGGGATGCTGTATGCCGATGTCAGGCTAGCGGCGAGGAGGATGGTGGCTAGGTGATGGTTGATGGGGTGCATTTTGATGAGGATCACTGTGAGGCAGGCGACAATCTCTGAGATCACCTAGTATCTTATGGGCTGATACGCAGTGGTCTCTTATGTATGCCATGCCATCCTGGTGAGCCCTTGTTGGACCTATGGATCTATCAATCGATGAGCCTTTCACTTGCTCGAAAATAGAGACCAGCATTAGGTTGTCCACTCATCATCATCTTGCATCGACCCACTACAATGCTTGATCATGTCAACGCGTAATTTACTTACTCTTTTGTGCATGTTGACTTCAGCCAGCCACTACATGCGTGGACGGTAGAGAATGCATCCGAATGTCTGGATGACTTCATCTCAAATCGCGCCATACAATCCAAACTTAGAGGGACTCGCGATCGAAAAACAACGCAGACGTGAGTCAACTCAAGTCATCCGTCATGAGATAGAGGGATGAGAAGGAAGGTTCTTTTGTGCATCTCAGTCATACTTCCAAGGCCCTGATGTGCTGGTTGTTTCATTGGAGCGCCGGCTCGATTTGACTCTGGGTGGCGTTGCGACGATGACCTCAGCGGTTGTCGATAGAAACAAGATCGGTGAGACGACCACTAAAGGTGAGAGATTTTCGGGCAATAACGGATAGGATAGGATTTGGGTCCGAATCGGACGAGGAAAGCTGGCAAGAAGTAACGGGATGACCCCCAAATCTGCGTTGTCACTGTCGGTCTTGATATCATCACCCCAGACCCTTTTCATACCAAGAAAGCTACTGAAAACCATGAAAGTATCACGAAAAAAAAAGTTAAATTGTCTACTGACATTCATTAGCAAGCTAACAGTCATCAGATTCAGTCGTGGTTGATAAATTTTAGATTGGCCATGCCACTTTGACCGGCTCATAGATATCGAGGGGTGTATCATCAATAGAATTCCCCACGGGCTCCATGATGTTGATGAACCTGATGATCCATTGGCGGGGACTATAGTGGTGGCATCAGAGGATGTGCGCTAGGGTCTCGGTATGCCCTCTAGCTCTAGTTCACAAATTGCTGCTTTCTCCAAAATTACCGTCTGCAGTAAGCAACGAAAGAAATTAGAACATTGTTTTGAAAAGGTATATAGATCGTACAGGGCTCCTGTTGCCAATGGTTCCGCGAAGGCCGTATTAACATCCGCCAGGTTGGTGATTACGACAGACAGAAAGATACCGATACCCTTTGCGACCTGGCCTTCATAAGCTTGTAAGATGTCGGTTCGAGGAACCCATTGACTTATATTCTGTAACAGTACCAAATGCATCAGGTGCTGCATACAACCAGCATTCCAAACTATTTTCCATGTTTGGATAACAGGTTTAAAGCTTGGCGACACGCAGACGACGCCGCTTGGCCACCTTCCTCGCATATGGATGGGAGGCAGATTCAGGGACCAGATGGTCAATATCAGCTGTGTTGACCAGATGAGGACCCGTCTCGTCCAGGCTGGTGATTCCGATGTTACGCATCGCTGTTTCAAGCTCGTCTCTCATGACTAAGGCTGCGATTAGGAAACAGAACAAATAGAGGGAATGAGAAACTGCACTCACTATCCACCAAATGCTCCACTCCCTTTTGCCCATAGTTGGTTGCAAACAGCATACTACGTCCCATTCCAACTGCTGTTGCTCCCAAGCAAACCGCTTTGAGTATGTCCGTCCCTCTGCGAATGCCGCTGTCAACGTAAATTTCCATCCTGTCGAAGACTTCTGGGCAGCGCTTATGGAGCTCCAACAGAGTGACAATCGATGGCGGACTGGTATCTAGATTTCGCCCGCCATGGTTGCTCAATAGAATACCGTCCAGTCCGGCCTCCATGGCTAGGATGGCGTCATCCGCAGACATCACCCCTTTCAGGCATACGGGAAGATGAGTGTGTTTGCGCACCCACACAAGGTCGTCCCAAGTTAGGCCTGGGTCAATGAATCCAGCCATCACTCTTCCAAGGCCACCTCCTTTCTTATCATTTGTCGCTTTTGACGGTGCCATAGGGACTGAGAGGCTCTCATCCGCCTTGACTCGCTCATCTGCTTCCCTCTTACCCGGCCAGGCGGCATCGACCGTTACAAAAATAGCCTTCATGCTAGGATTAGCGGAGCATTGACGGAGAAGGGCAGCTGACTTCTCGCGATCACGGTTCACGTATAGTTGGAAGAACAGGTTTGCTGAAGGTGCAACACTCCGAATGTCCTCAATCGGATAGGACGAGTTGTTAGAAATCTGTCCAACAATCGAAATGAGCTTCAGGACGAGGGGGAATTTGGCGTTCTAACCTACCCCTTGAAGAATTCCCTTTCTTTCGCACGCTCTGGCAATCGCGAGCTCCCCTTCTGGGTGGATGAGCTTTGCCATTGCGGCTGGGCTCACGAACAATGGGAGACTGGTATCGACTCCCAGAATGCTGGTTCTCGTGTCTACAGATCGCACATTTCTTAGCACCCGAGGGCGAAACCATATACGGTCGAAGCAGGATTTATTTGCATTTCGAGTGAGGAGATCCGTTGCAGCGCTGGAATAAAACGCCCAAGTCTTCTTACTGGCCGTCTTTGACGCGACCAGCTCGAAGTCGTGCGAATTGATGAGAGTATCTAATGGCGGCTTCTCATTTTGGAGGATAACTTGCGGATTCTCAGATGGTGTTTGCTTTACCCATTCATCGTCGATTGTTGATTCGTCCAACGTTCCCATGTTCTTCTCCGGGGATAGGTTTGCTGTGATGACGCTCGGGGCATGGACTTCCGAGTATGGCTGCGTGGCATCACGACCTGCATATTTCAGGATGACTCAATCCGAAGCCTCAGTATCCCTGTTTTTTGGGCAGCCGTTCCGTACAGAGCTTACTCGTCGACCCTCCTGGGTGTTCCTCCAAGAATTCCGTCACATCCCACACTTGGTTATCAACCACGATCCAACAGTCTTCAGGCGTCTTATGTTGGGAGATCTGCCGCGCAGACAAACGCGCCTTTTCCACCATTGTGTAAGACACGGAGTCCAAGCAATTTCGTATTTGCGTATCGGTTCAATCAAAGCGCGAAAGGGACGCGACTGGTAGAATCGGGGTCTGGTGCGAAGTGATCCAGACAACAAGTCAAAGCAGCCCCGGGCGGAGATCCTAGCCCCTTGATATACCTATCTAGCGCCCGGGGAACAGACGATCCTCGTGCTTCGGTGCATCATCAACGCGGGGTGATGTACCGCACCCGAGCATCACCGCGCATGCGGCGTCAATACTCTCGTGTCGAGCTATCGATTGGCTTTGCATCCAAATAGCTCCGAGCACTGTCGATAGTGGCCCGTGGCGTTCTCAGTCGGTAGACACGTTCTGCGCATCTCGAACATGTATTTGAATCATCCATCAACAAGCCAGAATATGCTGACCATCTCATGCCATCGGGTTGGTTGCCGTGGGGAAATCGGAGCACCCCCGAAGCGTTCCTCGCGATCGGGAAGATCTCCGCCCGAACCCCGCTGACGTCAGCATAGAACCGCACCGCCACATTTCACCAGCCTGCGCCTGTGTGGCTGCACCGGCTTCGTCACTTTGTCGCGGTGGCAGCTTCGTTTTCTCGCATCGCGTCAGCACTCCTCCTCTCGTGGCAATGCTGAGTACTGACAATCATGTCGACTCCACAATGGGCTGGTCATAGTACGGCGTGTTTGTCTTTCAGGACGGGTAGGTTCCGTGGGTTCTCGCAGTATATACTGCGGGAAGAGCAGCGGTATGCGAGAGCGTCACGGTTGTTCACTACTAGATCCAGCACAGGACTGGAGCAGACTAAAAGCTAATGCTATTATTTTTATAGTGGAAGATCCTCATCGTCGGACATCAAGTGTGGTATCTACGTTCTACAGGTCAATCTTCGGATTACTTTCACCGCATATGCTGTATCACCCGAAGAACCAAGGCATTCTTTGGACTAGTTTTGAAGATGGGCTGGAATACAATGGTTGATGATGATGATGGGGACAAATGGCGTGATGTTGGAGCTTACGCGGGATAGTTAGAGCGCTGCGTATGTGCTCATTTCGTGTCTTCTTTGACCACCCATATCCAAGCATCATAGGTTCCGTTGAGCGAACCGAGTATTCGTCAGAATAACGGCCGCCAATGCACCATCCTATCTCTAACTCAACAGCTAATCTTCTCCAAATCAAGTTACATGTCTACAACTTGTTCTTCCTTGCCTGCTTCCCAGCCTTTATGGTCACCGGAGGCTTCACAACCCGAAACCACTCCTTATGCAGCACCATATGATCACGCTTTGACATCGGTCGCCTCTTGTCATTCCATTCTTTCTCTGCGTCCCGAAACCTCTTCATTTCCTGCTGAAGCCAAAGCGCACACTGTTCCGCCGTTTGCCTTACGCCTTCAAACGGGAAGAAATGGCTCAGATGGGGAAATGTCACTTCCTTGACCTTCTCCTCCATGATGCCGCCACTCCCTCCCACACCTGTACCGCAAATCTTGATCGCTGCGCGAAGCTCATCAATATTGAAGATGGTTTTACCTCCAATCAGAAACAGTGCTGATGGTCGGAGCGTCGCAACGCGATTAAACGTGCTTCGTGGCTCGGGACGGTAGAGCGGGATGGATGCCGCGAAAGGGTCGAGGTCTGCATGTGTTGTTTGATTAATTTTAATCCGGCCATCTGGCTGTCGCGAGGAGAAATTCTCTCGCATGAGTGCGATGGTGTCTTGATGCTTGGTGGTGGTGAGAGTTACTGGGGGGTTAGTTGGGTCTGCGTCCTTGATTTTGGTTATGTCGGGGTAGAGGGGTGTCGGGAGGTCACGGAAGCCATGTCGGATCATCAGGTCGGTACAACGAGGATCCCAGTCCGGGAAAAAGCGTTTTTGGGATGCTGCGGCGGCTGCACGGTTAGGCCAGATGTCGTTGCGCCAGACAGCTGCGTTGATATAAGTCGGAGGATCGGTGCCAAAACCCATCTTGGGAGGGTTCAGTTGAATGCCTGGGTCGAGAAGAATGAGAGTGGTAAAGAGGCGGGGGTGGAGATAGGCGAGGTTGGTCCTGGCATCGTTAGGTGAGTTGTCAATTGGATACATATGGGTTGAGCTGTTTACATGATTGTGCCGCCGAAGCTGTGGCCTATACCGACGAATGGCCGCGGCATCTGATCGCGGAAGTGGTTGATCATCGAGAGGAGATCGCGCGAATGATCCATCCATGAGTCTGGAAGAGTCAATGGTGGAAAACCGCGACAGTGGACTGCGACTCACAGTCCATACTGAGCTTGTCCTCATTCAAGACACCACTCATACCCATGCCGACGGCATCAGTGATCCAGATACCGCGAATATGGAAACCATACTGCTTGGATAGTTCCCATAGCTCGTCCCACAGAGGTTCATAGAGCTCCTGGAAAGTGTTACTTGGTGAAAATATGCAACTTCGGATCTCATACCTTAGGAAATCCTATTGCGTGAGCTGCGATGAAGGTGATTGCGTCGGACGGCACAGGATCGAGTTGATCCTTGGGGCTATATTGCTTAACATGGAGATGCAGCACCTCCTCCTGGTGACCAGCGGTGCTTCCTGGGTATTCTCGGATATGGCAACCGGGAACAACATGTTCACTGATCTCGAACCTGTCTGTGGACATGGCGTAGCAAGTAGGCGATGTTCGATGATGATCGTCGGCCGCTGGCAGGTATGGTGGGACAGGCAGAACAGGCAGGGATAGTAAACAAGGATAGGATGGGATCAACAGATATCGTTACACAGATAGCGTGAGCTTCAGCTGAACTAGCTGCGCCTCTGAGAGCATCCCCGTCAATCAAATCCCGAATTAGCACCTGTCAGGCTGCACTTATCGGGCACGGGGCGCCTGCATAAGCGGTGATGTCCGAGGCCTAGATAGGCCCGCCACTCTGGTCATGGCGAATCAACATTCGGGTTTCCGTCGCCTCTTCTACCTACATTTATCACAAAGATGGACCTTTTGGTCAGGACAAACAACACAGGCCGCAGAAGACAAGGTTGGAGGCTACCATGGACAAGACTCCCACTGGAACTTGGTTGCAATTTTAGGACATCACTTATCAAAAAATTACATCCGGGGACTAACCGGAAAGAGTGTTGGTATTCTCTGCAGATGCTGTGTTTGAGAAACCACTAGCGAGAACCTCGAAATCATTAATAGACGGAGACCTTTCCTTCTCTGCCACTGACCGTTTCTCTCGATATTTCTTCTGGATTGTTAAAGTTTCTAACAAACGCCATGGATACGCTAACTCATATCATCGACCCGGAGGGCGAGTTGATCATCATACTGCAATGTCCAGCCTGTCCATTTGCAGCCCGAGATGAAGAAAACGCTGATTTGAAATTTGCACAATCGACGCCAATTGCTGCTGCTGAAAGCAAGAACCCGGTATCAAACCTCCGAGGATTACCCATTCCAGAGTCCATAATGAGCAAGGCCCTACCCATGACACTCAATATATATATCGCAGCTTATTAATGCTATTCTAGGCGCTGTCAACAAAGATAGGGCTGAGAGTATCTCAGAGCTCATCTCAACGCTGTACAACGCACAGGAGACTTTGCTATATTGCGAGCAGACCTGCACCTTCAAGTGTCAGTCAATGATGTACAGGGACCTAAGAAGGCAAATACAAGTCAGCGGCTTAGTTTCTACGACTCCGTTCATTGGGTTGAGCTACAATGGCTTGGTGATGGCGGTACGCGATCTCAGGTTCCTGTAGCAAAACCGGTATATTCAGTCTTATTCCTGGAACAGATGTCTGGACTGGCTTGTTTATGATCCTAGAACTCTGCAGCTTATTTGCCTACTGGGGCGGATCCGACCACATCGCCAGACTTTCCGGGGTTGAGTCTGAGTGGCTTTTGACATTTAGTCGTCGTGCCTTTTCTCATCCTGCCACGGGTTGGCTTGGCTTCTATACTTGTATCTGGTGTGCCATGTTCGGATCTGCAGCATGTAGCCATCATATGGTAAATTAATCAATAATTTCTTTAGTCTCAATATTCTGTTCGATGGCCGATTGAAGGGAAGTCCGTATTCTCCCTGACTGGCGGAATGATTCAAACTTGTCATGACCGCCACGCTATTGTATGGACCTCAAAATGAGAAATGCCTTTTTGAAGGTGCCTAGGCTGAAGGAATAGGGATACATGTACTCCAGTAGGGAGGTAGGAGCCTTCATCTGGATCAGGTGATCCTGCCGCGTTTCTTCGCCTTCGTCCCCCTCCCCTCTTCTTCTTCTTCTTCTTCTTCTTCTTCTTCTTCCCACACACTCTACAGTCGGCGCTAGATCGTCCCCATACCATCAAATCAAGTTGATTTTCTTGATTATAAGAAGCTACTAGGATCTCAATTCAAGTCATAGTCATTCCTGTGACTTCCCCTTATGGAGCTTGTGAGATGCATCGTCTCCGACGACGTAGTGTCAGAGGAACATGCAGCTGTCAAACAAAACCACAAATCTGCCCAGACACCCAGACAGAGTGAGATTTGCTGCCATTAACACATATCTGCTACTGAGGCATCATGAAAGATTCGTCTGAAACACTACAATGGCGAAAATGAATTGAGGAGACTTTAACTGACTCGACTCATCAAATGGCAGGGCAAACCTTCCCCCTCTGACCATCCCGGAGCAACATTCCCAACCAAATACCCCACTGAAACAGCCACTATCGTCAAGCATAGCAGGAGCTCGTCGAAAATGGGCCCAGAATCGCAGACGTTCCATGAGGGACTGGCCAAACGAGTATCGACCCAGTTCCTTAATTCCAGTACTATACAGCGAGCACGGAAATGCAATCTGCAGGCGTCCAAATCGAGGTAGTTAATGCGAAGCTTTGAATACAGTGATTGACCAGTCTGGCTGTGATCCGGTTTTAGTCGATGATATCCAGCGGGGTTTTTGGGTTGGGATGCGACCCTACCCCACTTTGCCCCCTCACCAGCGAGCTCAACCAGCATGCAAAGGGTGTTTCACAAAGGCTTGATGTAGAGGAAACGCCACCCCCGCTTCGTCTGGCCTCGGGGGATATCTGGCATTCTCCGATTACTACTCCGTCATTGGTGCTACAAGTACATCCCCCGGCGGATCGGACCGTCCGCTGGTGGGTTCCCGGATGACGACAAGCAATATATACCCACTATACATGCACTGTCCCTACAGGGGTGATTCACCGAGCTTCGCAAGGCCAAATCATCGCAAAACACGAAGCTACCAGGATGTTGGCCCAGACTCCGGCTACTATATCTGCACTCCACCTGGCTGTCGATCTCGCGGGCAACAGCAGGATTCAAACCTGTTTAATTCCATATTCGAATGGTTCCACCTCTAGGTTTCATACCCTTTGGTGTTTGTATTGAAATGGACCCCATTATGAACGCATATATCGCATTGCGTAACCAATCATTCATTTGTGTCTGCTCCCATGATATCGCCCGGTGTCTCACGGGGAACATGCACACCTAGGAATAGCTGAGCAGTCAGAGTTCGAAGAAAATGTCGTCATTCAAGTCTATCGTCAAGGCTGATCGTCCAATGACCCCGTGTGGAAGTCTTGCTACATCTACTCCGCAGATGGTATGATGGCAATTGCATAGATTAAAGATACAACTTGAGTAATGACCAATTGCATTCGGGGCATAATCCCTCAAGCTCATCCACCGAGGGGAAGAAGCATGCAGCCAGGTGAAACCGCAGCTCTAGGTGCTGCCAATTATTATCCTCGGCTGGGGCACGCAGCATCGTGCTATGTCATCCAAAAAAAAGCAGACCTGATTCTTCCTTCTATAAAGCTGTCGTCCCACCACTGCGTGAGCATGGTATGCTTTCTAATTCACCGAGTATCACTGTAAGACATTATTCCATATAACCAAGCATCTTTACCGCCATGGCCTCTCTCCTCAAAAGTATGGCCACAGGAACAACCACTGCTGCTCAGGATGCTACCACCGCTGCCAAAAACACCACTACTGCTGTCGCCGATGACACCACCGGTGTTGTTACGGACATCTTGAAAAAGTTTGATGACCTCATAATTAGTTAGTACCCAGTTCGTCTGGACAACAGAAGGTTTTGCTAACTATTACAGGCTTTGCCAATGATACACAAGAGGTCTTGCACGTTTACACTTTCGACCATCGTACCAGACGCATCAAAGAGACAGCTATTATTCCGTTCAAGAATGTGGATGCAACCAAGATACTGCTCTCGGATGTTCGTGAACTGCTGCTCAGTGAAAAGGCTGTAGAACCCAGACTGTACGTGACTCTACTAAACATGGATGGACACTTCTGAGCTTTGATATAGACTGTGGAGTGAAATATGCAACCAGCGAGGCGCCAAGGTTCAGGATACGATTTCCTTCCAGGCTTACCTTGACATTCTGAACGAGAAGGTGAGTAGCCCGCTTTCTGTTCTAATACAATACTAACCTTTCTAGTCGAGCGAGGTTGGGGTAAGATCGATAGTCCAGGACTTGTAATATTGCAAGAATACTTACAATTGGCCAGGAAACCACGGAGGACAACGCCGATACCTATCGAGTCTACCTCTTATCAGAGGAAATTGCGGACAACAGCTATATTCGCAGTTTTCTAGATAGAGGTGCCAAAGCTACTATTGATGTGAGTATGCGAATTATCTCAAAGATCTACTTTCTAACCACGAGAGGTTTCGTGCGTGTAGCAGAAGCTTGCGCAGCAACCTGTTGCTGCTGCCCAGCCGAAGGTTCCCGAAGTGCCCACCAGCTTTAGCCACAATATATTTCTCAATCCTACCACGACATTTAGCATTATGTATGTGTTGCTGATACCAAGACATATCATTTGCCCATACTGATTACCAAAAAGCCATGCGGCGGACATGTCGGAGAAGCATTGGAGCGTGGTCATTCGCAATAACTCGCTTCTAAATGCCCACCAGGTGATTGATGCTGGCGGTAGGGTAGGAAAGATTGTGGAGCGTTCAATGCACACAAGTATGTTGTCCAACCTTGCGTTCGTGTTCCGTGTTGACCCTGATCACAGCCTTTCGTCTCAAACCACGGCTTTTCCTAAACTACCAGATCTCTGCCAGTGCCGCCTCGGACTCCATCGCGAAGCAAAAGGTAATCCACTACCCACAGGTACCGAACATCTTTGAGTTCTAACATGCAATAACTAGCAAATGCTGAGAATTCCCCGCTTCCGCATTGAAGACGACTCCTACATCGAACAATTCCAGACTAGCAAGTCGGTCTCACGGGCAATTGCGCAGAGCTCCCTGTCGGAGACGTCGGCAGAAGCGGCAGTGTAAGTCCTGGTATCAAAATCAGACTGTCCATGACTGATAGGAGGTATAGGAGTGGGGGTGCCTTCGGTTTTAGTGCCAGTGCATCAGCAAGCTACAGCGATGAGAAATCCTCCACGACAGCATCAAGCTCGAGCAGTGATACTCAGGTCATGACAATTACTTACAACGTAGGATTGGCACCAATCAACACGTGAGAAGCTACCGCTAACTTTCTGGCAGTTCCCGCGAGTGGTGATCGATTTTGACCATCACAGTCTGGAGCTCACCGAGGAGTGCAAGGCAGACCTTCTTTCTATAGACTCGGCTGCGGGCATTAATAGCTTTAAGGAAAAATACGGTAAGGCCTGTCTTGTACCTTGACTTTTCTGTGGCTGCGGGAAACTCTAACATGAGATAAGGTCGCTTCTTTGTTACTCGCATCGAGCTGGGCGGAAGGCTTCACGCATCGGAAGAGACTACTGCGACCACCGAGACCGAAAAGGCAGAGCAAGCCCGGTCGCAGAAAGCCGCGGCAGCTCTATCCTTCTCTTCCCCGTATGTGCAAGCATCAGCAAAGATGAGCCACGGTGAGGCATCATCCTCCAACTCGGATAAGTCAAGCAGCTCATCGAGCCACTCGATGTGCTGGGAAGCGAAGGGCGGTGATACACTGCAATGCAATGAGTGCGTTCTACCCTGCTAATATTACCCCAACCAGACCACAATTTTGCTGACGGTTGCTTCCATTATAGCCCCACTGCATGGGCCTACACAGTTGGATCGTTCTACAACTGGCGACCAGTTAAGGTACGCTATAATCCATCCGTCAGTAATATTCCATTCACTGACTTGCCCCAGCAATCGAGGGTCCTCTCCCTGGAGGACGTGATTTCAACCATTCCCGGTCACCAAGACACAAAGGAAAACTGGGCGAATATCCTCAAGACCAACACGAAGACCGAACCCGCGAACACGAAGACCGAGATCGGCTTCTCTATCGAAACCGCCGCCCAGGGCAAAAGCCTAACCGTGGCATCTAGTGATGAGGGTGGATTTCGTAAGAGCTCCACGTCCCCATTCAAGGTGGTGAAAGACTGACGTCTTCTAGTTGGAACTGTATTTAAACAGGCCGAGGAAGTTCCCATCAGCGACCAACGCGCGATTTACCTCAAAAGGCTTTCCCAAGCTACCTCGGGCGGCACTCCTCTTGTTTATGGCCCGCTAGGCAGCTCAGCCAGTCAGAAGTTCTTCATCGAAGTGGACAACAAGGACGGTGAAAAGGCAACAGTATGAAACAATCCCACAAGCACACGCACAGAAACTGACTTTGGCCCAGATCAAATACAACCAACCGTACCGTATCTACAGCAAGACCGGCGACAAAGATAGTGACCGCAAATGGCTCGGCTCCACCCCGACTCTCGAGGGATACGTGGATACCTCCCTCATCTGGGCCGGCAGCGAGGAAAACGCCACCAAGTTCCAATTCGTCTATCCGTTTATGGGCGGGAACTCTCTTGACATCGAGGACAGCGCCCCCATCAGCATCTCCATGTATAACCAGGAGGATGAGCATATTGGCTTGGCCATGGCGGTTCCAAGTGAAGGGCTTAAATCCGCCAAGGCGGTCGGGGTGGCCCAAAACTCTTACCGCTCTCTGAGGGATACGCTCTTCAAATTCACCTATGTTTAGGTTAGGCAGCTTGCGGAAGTGGTCTATCTATCTACTTGCTTGCTACTGGTTGATGATGATTGATGGTGGCTTGTTTCCGGATCGTAAATCCGGTATCATATCTCGAGAATGGATCTTTGTTTTTGTTTTGTTTTGTTTCGTCCTTGAATTGAATGAGACTTGACTCCATAGACTGACTGGCCAATCATATCATTCAATATTCTGTTGGACAAAAGGGCTTAGCCCCTCTAACTAGAAACGTGTCTCGACCCTGATCTATCTAGCTGGGAATGTCCCATCTGTGGTATTTATAGGGTCATATGATCAGGAGATATCCTGTGTTCAAGCAACATCCATCCCCATATCCTTGAAATATAGCCTGATTATATGGTATGTTATTTTGATTTTTGTCTGTGTCTATTCAAATTAGTTGAATTACTGAGACTAGAGCTGGTACTTATCTGTCTGTCTGCCTGTCTGCCTGTCTGCGTGCCTCGCTGCCTCACTTGCCCGGCCCAAAAACCGAGCATGAAGGGGGAAGAATATTTACTGGCCCAAGTCATCCACATCCACCACAATATAAAAATTAAATGTATACAATTAGATGGATAAAGCATGTAGACAGATAACACTTAGATGCCACTTCCTTTATTCTCAACACCATCTAGAGATAGACTCGATTCTAGTTCCTGATGCATAGAGAGAAGAGATCTTTCACAACGCTAATAGACAAACAATCAACCAACCCAACCCAACCCAACCTAACCTAACTCGGCCACTTCTCGACCAACCACCCCGACCCCTACATTCTCTCTCATTCTATCATTCCCTTACACAACTGAGAATCCACTCCAACCTTCCCCTAATCTCCGGGAACCGCCACCGCTTCCTCGCATCTGGCTCTAACATACCCCGGATACACGTCCTCAACACCTCTGCGACAAATATCCCATCCCCTTCTCCGTCCAACACTACGCACCCCATATCGATCTTCCGGTCGAAGTCCTCCGGGAAGCACGGGCCCGGGATACCCGGTGATCCGCGCGTCAACCCGGTTAACACCATCTGGCGCTCCATTTTTGTGTTAAGCGGGTAGAGGAGCTCGAAGAGAATGACGCCTAGGGCGTAGATGTCGAGGGTTTCGTCGATGGAGTAGATGATTGCATCTGTGGGGGTTTTGGTGGTACTGGCGGTGGAGGGTGAGGTGAAAGGGGGACGGTAGAATTCCGTGCCCACGACGTGGGTTATCTTTTTCCCTTGGGTGGAGGCGGGTTCTGGGGGACAGTCGCTGATGTGCGAGATATCGGCTACGAGGCCGAAGTCGCCGATCCGGGGGTGGGTGTATCGGGGGGTTGGGCCGTGGGTGCTGTGGCAGGGTGGACAGGTGGAGTGGGGAGGGGACCGGGATTTGGTGTCATGGGAGGGGGTGGAGAGGAAGATGTTCGCCGGTTTGAGGTCGCGGTGGATGATTCCTTTCGTGTGCAGGTAGTCAACTCCGGAGAGGATGTCGAGGAGGAGGTTTAGGGAGGGGATGAGGTGGTAGCAGTGTCGTCGGGGGAGGGAGGTGTTGTTGTTGTTGTGCTCGTGGCGGGGTGTGGGGATGCTGGGTTGGGGGTTTAGGTATGAGTTGAGGGAGATCGGGTGCAGGGACATTTGGATGTGGAGGATCACGGCGGGAAGTTGCGTGCCGGGGCGGTAGCGACGCTGGATTTGGAGTTTGGATGGCGCCTCGCTCATCCCGTCGGTGAAGATGTCGTCGTCGTTGTCGTCGGTTTCGTCCCATGTTGAGAGGGGATCGTGCGAACGAGGGCTGAAGTTGCGGGGGATGGATTCCACTTCGTCGTCTTCTGTGCTGTGGGCGGAGGGGTGGGGGTTGGATGGTTCCGATTCGTGGTCGGAAGACGAGATTTGGTGGTGGGATGATGAGCGTTCAGATTGTTCAGAGTGTTCGAAAACAACACCGAAGCTTTGGTTGTCTGTCATTCCATGACTAGAGAAACTGCTTTGGGTCGGCTCGAGCTCCAGGTCGACGGAGGCCTGGGGGATGGGTTGTGGTGGAGGGTAGCTGGACGGATGTGCCTGTTCCACCCAGGCGCCGTAATATCGAACGACGTGTGTATGTTCAAGACGAGCGAGTGTTCGGATCTCCTTCATGATGGTTTCGAGCTGGTTCTGGTTTCCACACTGTAGCTGCTGCAGGCGTCGTTGGCTCAGAGGGATTTTCTTGATGGCGTAGCTTTGTCCGTCGATATGGTTCTTCACATGGTATACCTCTCCGAATGAACCACGGCCGAGGACTTTCACTTCCGAGAACTCCATGGCATAGCGAGATAGGTGGCCGTTTGGAGGCGGCGGGGTTGGCTGGAACAGAGGATAGCTGACGGGGGAGCTCCCAGGAAGATGCAACGGCCGATTGAGCAGAGAGCGCATGTCCAGCTGGATGTTTTCCAACGGATTGGCGCCGTCGTTGCCAATTAGTCGCTGCTTACCGTCTGCCATCCCGAAGCCCTGGCGAATTGACGGAAGCATATCAGTATGTGCCGTATTTGGTCGGAGCTGCAGCGCCTGGGATGTGTCTGTAGCACCCGCTGCAATAGACGGCGTTGCCCCATTGACATCGTCAAGCTGGAGTCCAGCCATACCGAGCCTATCGAGATTATCCCGATAATACTGCCTCGTTGCCCCATACTCATCCCTCTCAATGCCCCGAGACAGGACTCCATGCGAAGAAAGAAACTGCGATTTATGTATGTACATCTGTTTTCCAAGGTATTTCACCTCGGGCGAGTCCCGCGTGAACCGCTGATGGGACCCCTTCTGTGCATTGAGAATATCCGCCGCCCGGGTAAGGCAGAAGAACTCCAGGAGGGAAGCCGTCATCATGTTGGCATGGCCTTCGGTGTCGACATCCAGCAAACCCTTGTTCGGTTCGGCATCATCGGGATTTTCGGAATCCTTCCCCGCGGGTAATAAGGGGGCGCCATTCCCCTTTGTCTGGGGGTGTTCGTGTTCGTGTTCGTGTTCCGCAGCAACATCGTCCTCCCACTCATCCGAGCTGGACTGCGAGTCGGACGACGATTGCTCGTTAGGGGACCTGAACATGGACATATCGGAAACGTGCAATATCAACAGAGAATCGGGCGGAGATAGGGATCGGAGTTAAGGCCACACCAAAGCCAAGCAGAACGGGTATAGTCTGTCCATCTAGTGAAGTGGGCGTGGGCAGCGCGGCGCTATAGTTATATTCCCTGCGTATGTATATACATCCAAACGGTGCGCTGGACTATAGGGCTGGCTTCATTGCGCGGGCAGAGATGGAAACCCCTGGCGTTGGATGTGGGAGGAAGATGCCACGGGTTCTATTGAATTCGGTTCGGGAATAGCTCCAGGTGCCTTTGCCTTCCATCAGATTCCAAGCCAAGAGGTCATTCAAAGGACGTGCGTCGGGGAGTGGAGCTACCACCTTGGTCAAGTTGGGTACTCGGAGCAGACCACTGAGGTGACACCGAGGGGCTTGGATGCAGGAGAAAAGTGAAGTTGTGATTTTGCCGCGTTGGCGGAGAGAAGAATGGAGATGCCCGTTGGTGGTGAGTCACCTGCCCGGCCTGCTTCTTGCCTCAGGCAGTGATCAGGCATCATTATCTCGCCCCGTCGGGATGCGTGCAGCATCACCCCTACACAAGTATATACGTTGACAGCCTACAATGAGCGGTCTAAAACGACATGGGTGAAATTATCCCACTAGAGAAAATTCCATTCTATCTCTAGCCCGCTGTGTTACACGTCGAGGCCAGGAATGTCTCAACATGCAATTACCCGGTTAATTATCTAAAAGTAGGGAAACTGTCTGAGGAACAGAAAGATGATTGAAATAAGATCTTTCGGGACCCTATCTGCAGGAGCAATCGGAGGAGTACGAATACTAGTAAGTATATATGTCAGATGGGGGGGGGGGGGGGGTTGTGAGAAATATGTCTCCAGCATTTTCCCGAGCTGCCCTGATTCGGTTAATTACAAGTACTATGCCATGACAAGACGTTCCTCCGATGAGACAGTTCCCTGCAATTGACCACTGTCGCGAACGAAGATAGACTGTTTGCCATCAGTAGTAGGAAATTGGGAGAAAAATGAAACATGAGGAAGAGTAATGAACCTCGAGAGATAACCAACTCAAGGCTAACAGTCAGGTTTCTCGCGATGCGGAGAACGCGGATCTTGACGTCAGAGTCCCTGGCGCATTCTAGATCCGATCCGATCTGATCGATCTGCCCAGATCGCATCGAGACCCCCAGCCTCCTCAACGTCGTCAAATCGTTGAAAATTTGTCGCGGCATGTTTCCTAGAAGCTTGCGTGTTAGATCCTTCAATAATATCTACCCAATTCTTGATTACAAGCGAACGACCCGCCCCAGCTCCATACTGACTGTTCGCATCATGCCGCCCCAGAAGCGCAAGTCATCGAACAGCTCTGCTGCCAATGGAGGCTCCTCGCACGCGAGCAAACGCGGCAAGCCCGACCTGTCGCGTCCCCATCCCAACGCGAAAGAGACTGAGGAGTTTGGAATCGTCCTTCGGGATTTTTACCCTCCTGAGATGTGCAATGAGCGCTGCGAGGCTTACAACAATGGAATGCTAGAACGACCGATCGAAACCCTGCAGAAGGCCTACGAAGACACCGTGGAGGAGCGTCAGGCCATCGATGCCAATGCGGCGGTTGTGCACTGGTTCAAATCCGACCTCCGGCTGCATGATAACCGGGGATTGCAGATGGCGTACCAAGTTGCGCGCGACAACAAAATTCCACTGATTTGTTTGTACATTCAGTCCCCGGAAGACCTTACAGCCCACCTGACTAGTCCGGCTCGCGTCGACATGACCTTGCGTACGTTGGGTCAGCTGCAACGGGACCTAGGCGAGTTGGATATCCCGTTGTACATGGAGACGCAGGAGAAACGCAAGGCGATCCCTCAACGTATTGTCGAGCTTTGTCAGGAGTGGGGTGCGAACCACCTGTTTGCCAATCTCGAGTACGAGGTGGATGAGCTGCGTCGGGAGGCAGCGTTGGTGCGACTATGCGCGCAGAACCGCATCAAATTCGAAGCCGCCCATGATACATGCATCGTCACGCCGGGGAAGCTTTCTAGTCAGCAGGGGAAACAATATGCGGTATACAGCCCATGGTTCCGCTCGTGGTGTGCATTCCTCAAGGAAAATCCCGAGTACCTCGACGTGGCCGATGAGCCAGGCTCCAATCCCAGCAATGCCCGCAAGCATTTCAAGAAGCTCTTCGACTGCCAAGTACCTGTCGCACCGAAGAATAAACAGCTCTCGGAGGAGGAGAAGACACATTTGCGTAAATTGTACCCCGAGGGCGAGCATGAGGCATTGAAGCGACTAGAGGCGTTTTTGGAGGAAAAGGCGAAAAAGTATGACGACTTGCGGAACAGCGTGGCAGGAGAAACCACATCCGTGCTGAGCCCCTACTTTGCTTCTGGTGCCCTGAGTGCACGAACCGCAGTTGTCCAAGCCCAGAAGGCGAACAAGGGCCAACTAGATCGCAACCAACCCGGTTACCAGTCATGGATCAGCGAGGTGGCCTGGCGGGATTTCTACAAGCACGTCCTCGTGAATTGGCCTTTTATCTGGTTTGTCTCACGCTTACTCCACATGCTGTTTCATCTGCTAACATCGCCAGCATGAACAAATGCTTCAAGCCTGAGTTTACAGATCTGGAATGGGAGTATGACCAGAACCTGTTCGATGCCTGGAGCCAGGGCAAGACCGGCTTCCCGATAGTGGATGCGGCCATGCGGCAGCTGAAGGAGGCAGCGTGGATGCATAACCGCACGCGCATGGTGGTGTCGTCGTTCCTGGCGAAGGACCTGCTGATCGACTGGCGCCGCGGAGAACGGTACTTCATGGAGCACCTGATCGACGGCGACTTCGCCTCCAACCACGGGGGGTGGGGATTTGGATCCAGCACCGGGGTCGATCCACAGCCATATTTCCGTATCTTCAACCCACAGCGCCAGAGTGAGCGGTTTGACCCGGATGGGGAATACATCCGACGCTGGGTGCCAGAGCTGCGTGACGTGGAGGGCGCGGCGATCCATGATCCATACGGCCGGGAGGGGGAGGCGAGCAAGATCGCGGAGAAGAATGGCTATCCGCGACCCATTGTGGTCCATGCAAAGAGTCGGGATCGTGCGCTCGAGCGGTATAAGAAGGCCAGTGGACACTAGGATGCTGCAGATGGGTTATGAATACTACCATGAATGTCCACGACGCGATAATGCTTGTTTTTTGGGGGATGTTCTCATCTCTTTCACGTAGAAACCGAGTCAACCGTAAAGTTGAGATGGGCTGCCATGTGGGAGATCTCACCCGTGGCTGTGCGAGCATTAGAGTTCCGGCCGACATTGTGGTGCCAAAGACTCTCTGCGACAATGTTTCACCTCTCACTTGCCGAATTGGGAGTGGGCCAGGATGATCTCTTTGTCTGGGTGAGGGGGGAGGAGGGGCTGTTCTGCAGGAACCGTTTGGCCATCAGGTCGGGGTTGGAGAGAAGCATGGTCATGGGTGAAGATGGACCCTGAGGGATCTGGCCTGACCGGCCTCAAAGCCCGACCGAATCTAGCGGGGCGCCTCCAGGTGGCTCCAGATCCCGCCGGCTTCCCCGCGCTGGATGGATGGCCTTCCTGCCTGGCCGTTGACCGTCTTGCGCTTTCCTGCGCCTGCTTCCTTCGTCCTCCCTCCTCCTTCTCGCTTCCTGCTTCCATCTCCTCTCGCACTCTTCTCCTCACAGCCCGTGCATACGATCAGTCCTCGTGGATGCATCTCCCCAGGATCTTCAATCCCCATCCCCAATCTCCTCCCCCGCCGATAACCGCCTGGTAACGATTTAGTGCCCGTCCTGTCACTTCCTTCGTCGGTGTGGCCGATTGCTGACTTTTCCTCTGCGTTTCTAGACCCCTCCCCCCCTCCTCCGCTACCCTTTCAGTCTTTCGGAAATCTTCAATGCCGGCCTGAAATGGACCCAGCTCAGTCGGGGGATGCTGAGCCCCCCAGTCTCCCAGCCCCCACAAATGATTCCGGCAACGGGGCTGCCAAACAGCGCTGGAGACGAAATCGCATCGCCTGCGATTCCTGCCACTCCCGTCGCGTGCGCTGCGACCGGGCCTTTCCATGCTCCCGCTGCCTGCGCAGTGAGATCCGCTGCGAGTTCACTCGCGAGCGTCGTAAACGAGGCCGCATTGCGCGATCCCGCCTGGTGGAGACAAACGGTGCTGCCGAGAAACCAAAGAAACAAGACCCTGTACTAGCACCAGCTGAACCAGCTACCGGTCAAAATCCCAATGGCTCCCCATCGTCGACGTTTCAGCCCCCCTCACCCGCCACAAACGAGGGGACGGTGTCTGCTCCGAGTATCGACGAGCAACGCTCGCAGGCGGGTGCAACAGTGCCTCCTCGGAGGTCAGACCGGCCGGGGGGAGATGCGACGGAGGAATGGTTGTCGGCGACACATATTTCCCCCGGTTCCTACGAACCCCTGGCGGGGATAAGCCTGGGAGAAGGTCCTTTCCCTCGCATGTTCGACATCTGGAATGGAGTGGACCTGGCTGGCTACAGTGATCCTACTTCGCAAGGGTCGAAGGCTACAGCCCTAGGCCAGACGCCAGCATCATCGGTGTCCACGTTGAAATACCCCGTGCTTCAACCACTCATGCCGTACCTCGAAACAACACTGCCCCGGAAGCTCGTGTTTGATCTCCTTGAGTTGTATTTCACGAGTGCATTCTCAACCCATATGCATCCCGTCTGTCATCATATACATTGCTACGTCCTCCGGAAAGCGTCCTTTCTCGGTCGGGATGCTCCCCGCCCTAGCAGTCCGGCACTTCTAGCCAGTATGCTGTGGGTGGCCGCGTTGGACGACCGCGCCTTTGCATTGCCGATATCTCCACCTCAGCGAAAGAAGATCTGCCAGTTCCTCTGTGCGCTCACGCTACGGCTGCTACGGCCTCTGATACATGTATCATTTAAGGAGCAGGAAGGTATGACAGCAAGCGACCCAATATATGCAGCCATGGGTCAGGAGTGTCCACCAACCACAGTGCATCACCCGTTCGAGGTCGGCGGCGATGATCGGGGCCTAGTAGGTCCCGCAGGCTCATTAGACGATGTGATCACATATATTCATGTTGCTTCAATTATCTCCTCAAGTGAGCAAAAGGCCGCCAGCATGCGATGGTTGGTTTTCCCGCCCCAGACCCGATGACCTGTAGATACTAACGACCGTTAGGTGGCATGCAGCTTTTACGCTTGCGCGGGAGCTCAAGCTGAATCAGGAGATCGAGGTGATGCCCAATGAGGAGAGTCACCCTGAAGGCTCGAGCCCGAATTTTGATTACTCGCTTGCGGGATGGAGTGGCGTTGACACGGGCCCCTTTTTCGATTACGCGAACCCTGCACGGCCAAGTCTGAATTGCGTATGCGACCGCGGCCACGAGCTGCGCAGCACCGTCACGGAGGAGCATCGCGAGGAGCGCCGTCGGACGTGGTGGCTTCTGTATATCATGGACCGTCACCTTGCGCTCTGCTACAACCGACCCCTGGCGTTACTCGACGCGGAAAGCGAGGACCTCCTCTTGCCGTTGGATGAAGGGTCGTGGCAGACTGGGAACATCCACAGCAATAGCCCCAAGCCGGACGGACCCCAATGCCCGCTATCGGGTGAGAATAACAGGCGTCGCGTGTTCCCCAATTTCGCCTGTCACGACCATTCTATCTTCGGCTTCTTTCTCCCCCTCATGACCATCACGGGGGAGTTGATTGACTTGAACCAGGCACGAAACCACCCAATGCTTGGAGCGCGTCTTAACGGGAAGGGCGCCTGGGAGATGCACGTCAGTGAGGTCCTACGGCAGTTGGAGATCTATAAAGCGAGTCTCACGACTTTTGCGGCCACTGCGTCTGATCCGGACGCCCCCCTGTCCAGTGCGTTCCCCCCCAAACCGGATCAACAGCCTGTCGAGCCCTCCCTTGCCCAGGCGTATTCGTGGCATACTCAGACGGTGGTATCTTACGCGTCCTACCTCGTACATGTGCTACATATTCTGCTGGTTGGCAAGTGGGACCCGGTGTCTTTGATTGAGGACAAGGACTTTTGGACATCGTCCCCCGCATTTGCCTCGACCATCTCCCACGCGCTGGACGCAGCGGACTCAGTGGATCATATCTTACGGTACGATCCGGATGTAAGTTTCATGCCGTATTTCTTCGGCATCCAGCTGCTGCAGGGGAGCTTTCTCCTGCTGCTGATCGTGGAGCGGCTGCAGAAGGAAGCTGGTGAGGGGATCCTGAATGCCTGCGAGGTCATGATTCGAGCGACCGAATCATGCGTCGTGACGCTTAACACGGAGTACCAGCGGAACTTCCGGCAGGTCATGCGCAGCGCGGTGGCCCAGGCGCGTGGGCGGCCTGTGAATCACAGCGAAATCCGGCATCGCCGCAAGGCCGTCCTGGCTCTCTACCGGTGGACCCGTAAGGGCACTGGGTTGGCTCTTTAGATTTAGAGTTTCCCTCAGCGCCCGTGCGACTGACTGGGGAGCTCATCTGCTGGTTGCTTGTTGCTAGTCTTGCATCATCAGAGCTTAAATCATCTCCCGCGGGGGCATTCTAGGCCATGGACGGTCGGTGCGATATGCAGGCACGTTTCTGCCCTATGTCTCGGCTGAATATCAGTTGCTCCCCATGGCCTAGCGCCATGTTCCCCATACCCATACCCTATTCTCCATTGCTTGAAGAATCCTCCTACCCGGTAGCGTATAGCTTCTTTTTGGATTGCATCCCTCCATCCCCTCTGTATATATGCATATCTACCTCCATACATACCTCTTGCTACCTCGGGGGCCTCAAGGCTCCGTAATTTTTGGACAATCTATCTTAATCGAAGAACAGCCTGCATTTTGGTGATCAATGCCATGACTCGCATCAGCTAACCGGGCTGGCCGAGTTTGCCTACCTGGCCATGCATCCCATGATGCCGTGCTCCCTGTTGCCAGGGCCAGGGTCAGGACCGGCACCAGGACCAGGACGAGGAGGGTTCCCCGGGCCCTCTCGCTTACCCCGGATTCACAGGGGGGTTGGCTGGTCGGACCGAGCCTGTGGCTCTCGGTTAAATTGGCAAACAACCGAGGCGGCGCTGCGGGGGAAAGCCGGGGCTCTTGCCATTGCGACCAACGGGCGGGCCAGGCCGATGCGGTCTGGGGATGGCGCTCGGTTAATTGCCCGGCGCAGTATGGGGTAGACCAGGGAGACACGCTGGACATGGTATCCAGACATGCACCATGCAGCCATGCAAGGTCCAGTGACACCACATGGCCTCGTGGAGATCAGATGGTTCCTCTGGAAGCATTGGGCCACCAATTCCCCGAGCCCCGTCCGACCACTTTATTGGCGTCCAGCGACTCGAAATTGCAATTTGCATTTTACCGACGCCAATGCGACTGCAGCTACCATGACGAACTTAATCATGTCTCATCTCCGCCGCTATGGGGCAATGCCTGCGGGGACAATGTTTTATAAGTGACAATCGCCGTCACGCACGCCGTGCGCCGGGCGTTCCTCTACTGTCCAAGTCTAACAGAAGAGGCTCCCTTCTATACATTCAGCTGGCGTCGAGACGCGACAAATCCCATCTACCCTGGACCGAGTGCCAGCTCTTCGAACCCATCTGCTACGGATTGAAACCACCAACGCACCCCAATTGCACTGGACAACCAAATCGGGTCAATCTCCAGCAACGCGACAAGATGCTCGACACCACCAGCCCGCTCCACGAATTCCCAAGCTGGGCGTCCATGGGCGCGTCGGAACATCCGGCGCTCAGCGCGGAGTCCGTCTCCCTGGATGAGGAACTGTACACAAGCCAGTTGGGCCTCAATGGCTTTGACTTCTCGTTCGCGCAGCTGGTCAGCCCGGCGCTATGTCCGGAATTCGACGTCGCGACTGGCGAAACAACGCCCTTGGGTCTTTACGACGCCTTGCAACCGATGGACGTGGCTGATGCCCCGTGTGCACCAGGATTCGCGGAAAAAGTCACATCGCTGTACGTCCCGTTCCTTGTGCGCACGTTTCCCCGGGGCTTGACATGTGGACTGACCAACGCCATTCCTACCTATCTAGATTCGGAGAATCCTCGTTTAACATTGCTCCCGAGCCCAAGCGGGTCTCTGGCGGCGACCTCTCGCTGCACGACCTGCTCCGGTCGACTTCGCAATTAGCCACCGAGCGCGCGCTCTACATGACCAGTCTTCCGGGGACGGGGACGGGGAGTGGGACTGGAAGCACTTCATCACACGATAGCCATCATCTTACTCATAGCCGCAGCGCAGCGGCACGACTCCGCTTCGCTCCGTCGCCCATAACTGAAGACCCCTGCAGTTCCCCCGGGACGAGTCACCAGTCATACAGCGGCAGTGAGAGCGACTGGGAACGGGAATACAGCAACACCAACTACGGCGACCCAGGCCCGTTCTACGGCCTCTCCGAGATTGGATTCTCCGACTCTATCGCCTCGCTGGATCACACGCTTGACGAAGTCATCCACCACCAGCAGCAACATCAGCCATTAGACACCCCCCTGTCCAACTCTCACCCGGAGCCGAGGCGGAAAAGCGTCGTCGGGCACATGAACCTCCCGAATTATCAGCCCCTGGACACTACCACTCTTGCTGCAGACGATGACGATGACGAGGAGGAGAACGGGCTTACCCCGCTGGAGATGCCGGATGGGAGTACCCGCTTCACGACCAACTGGCTCCCCGTCGACCCAGAGGGTGGATTCACTATCCGCGCACCGCCATCCCCGAGACCGAGAAGAGTAGTGAGGGTGAGACACAACCACAATCCTCCGACCCTGACCCATGCTTGGGGCTCCGATCACACGGACCCGTACTATTTCCCCCAGGATGCTTTCATCGCTTTGCCGACTGATTGACTGAAATGGCTCACAAGCCATGAGACTGGGAGCGAATAGCCGACTTAACTGCCCGCCTGACTGGTTAAGCGAGCGACAGCGCGATAGAAAACAAAACTGCAAATTAAAAAGAACATACGCACACGCACTACGCAGACGGAACCAGGCCACAGGCCACAACGCCGAATGCACCAAGCCACTAGCCTCACTAACAGCTACCTAAGTGCTAGTGGAGTTGGTCTGCGCGACCCCTCACTCCCCTGCTTCCTGCCTCTGCCGCAGCACACTGCGCTGCAGCCCACAGTCATCGCTCGGTTGGTCGGTCTGTCAATACCTACCTAGGTATTCATCGGTCGCTCAATCGCTCAATCGCGCGGCAGCGACGAAGGAAGCAGTAGTGCTGGTCGGTCGGAGAAGATAAACGAGCTTCCATCTTGCTGCCATCCTTCCAATCATCCCTCAGCCCACAATCCCTCACTCAATCTACCGGTCAGATCAATCAATCATACGACCGCATCTGCAACCTGCAATTCCGAAGCAAAGCGCCAGGATCTTGCTTGAGACTATGACCTCATGCAATTTAGTTATCCTGATTTAGGGAGCGGAGACGGAGACGGAAATTAATTCCCTGCTTCTTGGGATTGAATCAGCATATACGGAGTAGTAAAGAAAAAGAGAGGAGGGAGAGGGGGAATTCCGTTCTGGTTTCCGAACATACTACTTCCTCCGCTGGAAACCCCAGGTCAACTCAACTAGTTATCCGTCAGTGATCGCATCGCAACACAGACACAGACAGAGACCAGGATGTCAATGTGAAATGAATAATAATCAATCCCCAGTGCGCGCGAGTGATGGATGGATGTGTAGACGGACAGCAAACCAGCCATCGACTGCTGCCTCATCGAGGGTCCAATAATTGGACGATTGGATCATTGGATGGGTGCCATACATACATACATACATTGACATACATACATACATACATACATACATACATACATACATAGTACCTACCATGGATGGATCCAGATCGGATCGGTCGGGAGGGCCAGCCAGCCTCTCAGAATCAGAGAAGACCAACCAACCCAACCCAACCACATCACAATAAAAGTAGTATACTATACGAAGTACCTACCTACCTACCTACTCCGTACTTACAGCAAAAATAATAATAATAGTATTCATGCAATGTGCTGTGTACTGAATGAGTGAGTGAGTGGTAACTACAGGACTAGATACTAGTAGTTAACTCGACTGATTGATTGATTGCACTGCAGCCCCGCGCGGGCGGGCGGCATGTGATCCGTTTGCCTTATCGCCCCTGCTTGCAGCCTTGCGGGTTGCCGGGGTTGCCTTCAGAGTGGATATTGGTATCTAGGTATGGGGAAGGGAGGAAGAGCGGCAGGAAGGAAGGAAGGAAGGAAGGAACTCTTGTCGTACTTGTCCCACGGTACAGATGTATGTGTGACAGTGACTATCTACGGTACGGAGGCCTCCCGAGACGGATGGGCGGACTGTACGACATGCTCCCAGGGTCCATCCATCATTCAAACTATCCAGGATATACACCATAGCCGAACCAAGGTAGCTAGAGCTAATAATACGAAAGATCCCAACATTCCCATCATTCCATATCGATGGACTCCAGATCGAGATCGAGATCTGGACCCATTTCTCAACCCCCTCTTTGCTTGCACGCACGTAAGGTAATAATAAAAAGCCCAGGTCATCATTGTCGTCAAAACGCAAGGTAGATCTGGAAGTCGCTCATGGTAGGCAAAGAAAAAAGACAGGACCGGAAATGATCATTCCTCGACTTTGATCGAGGATGAGGTGCACTTGTTAGAGAAGGCGGGAAACTCGAACTTCCGCCCGATGTAGGCAAATAGATCGCCCATCGAGTCCTTCTCGACCATCCCATCCGCAAAGTTATCGAACGCGGTCCGCAGAATGAACATCACCCGCGACACGAGACAGCCGGGGATGTTGTGCGTGTAGTACTTCATACTGCGGCAGATGTTGCAGGCGAATTGGTATCGCTCCTGCAGGCCCAGGACACCGACCAGCCCCGTATCGGTAGCGGAGATGATCAGGCTGAGCGCCCAGTAGAAGCCCAAGGATGTGGCCAAGAGGAGGTCCGGATAGAAGATGTTCCTGGCCACTATCACTTCCATCGTGCTCGGGTTGCGGCACCTGAAGATGGGGAAATCGTCCGTGGGATCGATGTCGTGGACCGATTCCTCCCATGGACCGCCACTGGGGTAGGTGTCGGCGTACATGGCTTTCCACATCTGGAGTTGACCTTGGAGTTCGTGGGCGCGTTCCCAGATGTTGGTCTGCATGGTCACCAGCTCCGCCGGAGACTTGGTGTCGGCTTTCAATAAGGCAGAAAACTCGTCAATCTCGCACAGGTACCCGGGAATATGAACGGCGACATCCAAAAGCCGCTGCAAGATGTCCTTGCTGGGTGCATCGCCCGGCCAAGGCACGGTCAACCAGTCCTTGTCGGCCAGGAAGGTGGGCTTGCGATGGACCAAAGCAGCCGTGACCTGCAGAATATGGTCAGACGCATGTTTGCGATGGCAATAAATGGCAGAAAATCATACCCAATACATGCGAAGGTCAACATACAACGATCGCTCCACCCCATGTCGATGTCGATATGGCGTTCGCGTTCGCAGAAGCTCCAGGCCGCCAAGCTGATGCCTCAAGAGCGAATCTTTCGAGGTCTGCTTGAAAGCCTAGTCCACATAAGTAAGATCTTCGATGAGAAGGGTGTGATACCCACTTCAATAATGGTCGCGAGCAGAACGACTAGCAGCACCTCGGTCGACTTGCCCTTCTGGGGGTCATACAAGGCTTCTTGCAATAGGCGCAGGACTTTGGTGTATCGACAGTGACCGGCCACCTCGACCGCTCGATTGCCATCGCGTCGACCCGCAATGGTGAGGGACGCCGCCTCAAAGGCGTTATTAAGCATGGGGGAACAGATGCGCATCTGTCGTGCTTCGCGTAGCGCGATCGTACCGCTTACATTTTGCGGGCTGAAATCGTTGACGAGACGCTCCACGTACAATTCAATTAGGGCATTAGCTAGATTTGGGTCAGCGAGGACGACCTTTTCCCTCGCCCATGGCGGAGAGGAACCACGACCTGGAGAATGGTAAGCGGGGGGGAGGAATAATGTAAAGGACGGGAATGGTTGGAAACCACGTACTTTGTTTCCGTGCTCGGCGCTCGTCGTTGGGAAGCACCACGGCACTCGGCGATGCTAAGGACTTCGTCTTGGAGGTCCGAGCTATGTCATCCAATGACTTGTCGACGGTATCATTATTGTCGTCATCGTCATCCTCGTCCTCGTCCTCGTCCTCATCCTCATCGACATTGTTGTTGGCCGGATCATCCGACTCCTTCGCGGAATAAACCGACTGGCTGCTCTGGGACGGGCCATGTTCATCCTTGATTGCAGGGAGATTGGCGAGCTGTCGCGTCTCGGCAAGCTGCTGCTTCAAACTCTCGCATGAGCGAAGTAGATTTTCGATTAGCGCCGACTGCTGGATGTAGTGACGGTCCCGCTTGTTGGTGCCGTACTCGCACTCGGACGGGGTGCCGCGGAGGCAACAGGCACCGCACGGCTTTACTCGGTCGCACTGGCGAGAGGTGCGCGTTAGTCGGATGCCACAACACATGAGATGGTAAGACGGGCCCGGCATTTAAAGCAGCCCCAGGCCCCTCCGGACCCCGATAGAATGCTCCCAGACTCGACGAGGCATTGTCCATACCTTGACTTTGCGTTTGTGGCAGTTTAAGCATGAGTAAGTGGGTCGGATCTTCTTTCGCGCGCCCGCCTTCGCGGAAGGGTTGGACTGATCGTTTCTGGGACGGTCCTCCACGGCGAGGTTACTCATGGTGCTCTTCTCTTGTGTGCTCTCTTGCGGGGCTCAGACTGTGGCTGACTACTGGTGGTCGGGTGGGTGGTTTAGATGAGGGGAGAAATATGGGGGGTGGTGGGTGGTAGTGGTGATGGAGGTGGTAGCTGGAGCCCCCGACGGGACGGCCGTGTAGCTGTCAGTCAGCCAAGGTAGGGTTCTTATGCAAAAAAGACGCAGGCTGGCAGGTCGACAGTTATGGTGGTGGTGGTGGTGGGCGAACAAAGTCTATTGTGAAAATCATTCGAATTCGGGGGCCTCCAGATTGGACTCGTGGTTCCAGACTAGTCAGGATCGTTGAGGCACCGTGAGTGGTGGCTTCCTCCAGGGAAATGACGATGAGACCATCACTCTCGCGAGACTTTCTATGCACCTTATTCCAAGTTGCCCTGGTTCGGGGCCACTCTCGACCCTGGTTCAAGGAAGGCTAATTCGAATGCGCTCCTGTCAGTCCTGTCAAGGCTATCGGGACCCGGCGTGGGAAGGGCACAGGCGCCCTCCGGTCTTCGCACTCCTGAGCGGATCCTCGCCAGCGTTTGGCTCGGCCCCCTGGTTCTTATTTCTCCTCCCCACCCTTCGTGCAGTGGCTCCGGTGGAGGTTGCAGGCAGGCAATGATGGGATGCCGGACATTGTACCCAGGGATCCTTGTGATCTGTCACGTCAAAGAAAGCAAAAAAGAAGGATTCTATCTATGGAAGTATCGCGCGAGCTTTCCTGCAGCACTGACCCTCTCGCGTCCGTTGCATAAGCCTCAGGGGAGTTGACTATTTTCATTCCCACCCCGGTCGAGAGAAGCCATGAGACGCCCCCCCTCAGGCTGTCTGAGCCCGTGTGACATGACCGGGGCAGATGCAGGCTTGTTGAGTCTGGGAGCCACCGAGGGATCTAAAGGGGGGCGAACGAAGACGTCCCTTCTCAGACAGTTGGGGATCTTGCAGGGATCGGCGGTTTTAGCGTGATGCGACGGGCTCGAAAAGCGGTGGTGATAGACTGCGTAAGTACTCCGTACAGGCGTCTCGGCTGGAGGAGACCTGGAGGCTGAGGCTGCTGCACAGTCGGTCGACAGAGCAATATACGGAGTACAGGGTGGTCCGTAGGGCTACCGATCAGCCCCAGGAGTGTCCATCTCTTGAATATTTATTGTCTCTTCGCTGGAACGACGGGCGATGGCCACGGATTCAGGTCTACCGCTAACATCCCAGCAGCACCCGGACGGCGCGGAGGATTCGGGATTCTGGTCTCAGGAGACCCTGTCACTGTCAGGCTGTCAGCCGTCCACGCCGTCGCCCTCCCTAGTTAATGGACCGACTAGTGGTAGTGCCGCGCTTATGTATGTCTTGCGCGAAGGGGAAAAAAAAAGAAAAACAAGCAGCGAGAAGAAGAAGCAAAACTGAAAAGGCGGACTGGCATTCACGGCATCGACCAGAACACTGCCTAATGCGAGCCCTCCTTGCAGAGTTGGCAAATATTGATCCCCCACTGCCGTGGATAAGGATTCCCTCCGAGGAGTGGCTTGGTCCTAGCTTCCAGAAAGGATCCCAAGGGATTCCACTCCGGCCGAAGCAACGGCATTGAATCTAGAAGGACTGGGCGGGGAATACTGTGTTTTTTTTTCTTTAGCCTAACGGCTTGTCAAAGGGGGACGCGTTAGCCTACTGGGATAGCTTGCAGCGGCGGTGGTAATTATTTGGTGGCTCACTCTGGAGACCTGATCCGTCCTTTCTTTCCTCTTGGGCGTGGGCTTGATAATCAAAGAGACCGCAACGAGAAGAGTCAATGGAGAGAAACGCCGATGATAGGAAGCTGAGGCGGGGTGGAGAAGACGCCGGAGGAGGAAGGAAGGGCGCGCCGGATCTCCCAAACAGGAAGTCGCGCGGGGTTTTCATCTCAGCGCGCCAAAGAGTCTTGCCGACTGGGCCATACAGAGCGTCGCTGAATCTCTTTTCTAGCAGCTCGCGGACGGGTTTCTTGTTGCAGTGCAACGACTTATTATCGCCGTCGGCTTAATTGGAACGGTGCAATTGCTCAAACAGATGCCAGAGTGTCTTGGTCTAGTAAGTACCCAGGACAGTCCCTCACACTCGATGTCAATCCAACGCAACGGTCTGGCCTTCCAGTTCCAGCACACCATTGCAATCGGCTTACTCGTGGAGCCTGTCGGCCAAGGGTGCCATCAATTGCCCAATCGCGCACACCGTGGGAACTAAAGCCCTCCTCATCTCCCCCCCCCCCCCCCCCCCCTTCGAAACTGGTCCCATTCTTATCAACATCCCTACAGCATGGCATTGGGCTAAGCACGACCAAAATGGTGGCTAGCTATGAAAGAGCTCGGACTAGGCAACAATAATCAGTTGATGTGTAGCAGTGCTCTCTCTACACGGGGACTGTCTAGGCCAGTAGATAGATAGTGCTTCTCATCCCCAGGCCTTCTCTCTCTGCCTAGTAATGCTAAGAGTAAGATGATTTTAGTCCCAATCCCATCCCCACCTCCCCTACTCAAAGTCTCGCCTGACGCTCCCCTCCCCTCCCCTCCTCATAATCAACCGCAAAGCTATACGCCTCCTCATAATGCATATCCCAATACGCATCCCAGATCCTCTTCGTAACCGGCCCAATGCCACCCCCATTGACCTTCCTCCCATCCAACTCCGTAATCGGCATAATACCACCCGCGGTAGTGGACATGAAGATCTCATCAGCGTGATACGCCAACGCGACAGGCACAACCTGCAGATGAACCTCGATCCCGGCCTTCCGACAAGCATCGAAAACACTCTTCCTCGTGACGCCCTCCAACACGCCGCGATCAGGGGTATACAAGGCGCCATCCTTCACCAAGACGATATTATACCCGGCTCCCTCGGTGAGGTTTGCGTCGCCGTCCGTCAGGAACGGGTACGTGGAGTCCCGCTCCGCGGCCTCGAGCATGCCCCGGGTCAGGTCGCCCCATTGCAGGTTCTTGACTGTGGGGTCCATGGCGCCGGGGGGCACGCGGCGGACGGTCCGCGTGATGATGGCGCTGCCGCCGACGCGCTGGACTTCCGGGGGCATGGCCCATAGGTATGGTTGGATGAAGAGGTAGAGGTTGTTGGTTAGGTCGTCTGGGTTGATGCCCCGGACGCTGCGGATGCCCCGTGTGACGATGAGTTCGACGTAGGCGTCGCGCAGGCCGCTTCGGGAGACCATGTGGACGAGGGTTTGTTTCACTTGGTCGCGGGATATTGGGAGTTTGAGGCGGAGTTTTGCGCAGCTGAGTTCTAGGCGCGAGAGGTGGTCGTCCAGTCGGAAGAACCGACCGTCCCACACGGCGGGCACGTCGTAGGTGAGGTCGCTGTGTAGGAAGCCTTGGTCTATCAGGGGGATGCGCGCTTCGTTGAGTGGCACGAGCTCTCCTTCTACCCAGGCGACGCCCTTGGCGAACGGGTTGGTGCTGGTTTCGAGGACGGCCTGGCGGGCGGCGTAGCCGGCAAAGACTCGGTCCATGGAGGCCATGGTGAGTGAGGGTCGATGGTGAGGTGTCTGAGATGGAGATGGGAGGAGGAGGAGTGGAGAGTTGTCGGTGACAGGGAGGGGAGTAGGTGAGTGAGGGGAAGCAGGAGGGGTGATGCAGGCCGGGTTTAAATCCCATCGGCGTCAACTTGACACGCGGTCGTACAGAGTGGTGATCACAGATATCAAAGCAGGATATCGGATTGATAGTGGCCCGCCAATGACGACGCTGACCCTGATTGATAAGCTCACCCAGGCCTTGTGAACCGGGAAACCAGTTTCTGGTGCTTGACTTGGGCTGCCCACTCTTTCGGGAAGTATAAAAGTCTCTGCGGACGACAGGCCATGCTCGATTGATTGGCTTTGCTCCTAAAAAGTGATAGTAGGGAAGGATGCAGCTTGACAAATCTCGGTCCTGGTAACTACTACAACCATGCCAAAGCGGGAAAGCAAGCTATGATTTAAATCCTGGTGGCTCAGGCCAACTTGATAGGCACAGCACCAGGAGCACTGGGGCCTCCTCTCCACATTGCGTGGCCGTAGATCCGAGAAAGACCTCGAATCCAACCAGAGAATAACCACCATGAATGTGCTGTGGCGAGTGTATTGCCGAGTGACTTAATCACTAAATCTACGCTTATGCATCTCTACCGATGTTCGTCTACAAACAATTCACAGTAAGCACAATCAACCACATCTCAATCTATGCTTGAGCTAACGAGCTGCATATCCCCAGACTATGTACATGCACATCACCTGCACCATATCATCCCCATTCCCCAGAAACCCAAACCCCGGTCATCCATTTGACCAACAACCCCTGCACCCCGACACGTGGAACCCAGTATCAAGATCCCTTTACTTTTCTCAAACGCATCCCCCAGTTGGGAGTTATAATATCCTCCCTATTCCCGAAAGAGGTCCGCTTGCCAGTCTAATGAGGGATCGACAAGCTAGGATGGTAGTACTTCCGGTCACATCATACATCGTACTTACTACACCGCAACGCAACAGATGAGCCTCGGCCACAGGATTCCAGCATGGCAAACAGGAATCCCGGACTCCAATGCATCCTACTATGACACGATGATCACGGGCAAACCTACTGTACCTGTATAGTTAGGTAGTTAGTAGGTACTTTAAGTAGCTAGCTATAGTTAGCATGCTCGCTATTTAACCGAGCTAGCTAGCTACAAGGTAAGTAGCTACCCCATATCCTATCCTACCCATCACTATTCCAAGCTAGCAAACTTCGATAGTACGGTAGATAGTCGATCGGACCGTCCGTCGCCAACCCACCGGATCAGATTGGCGGATAATCCACGATTCCCTCTCCCCTCCGCAGTCCGCACCATCATTAATGGTCCCCGTGTCCTTTCGCGAATCCAAGGAATCCACAACGCACCCCATGCCATGCCATGCCATCCCATCCCATCGCCAGTGGGCAGGGGCCAGGGGAATAGCAAAACTAAAAGGGTCCTGATCCAGGGGGGGAGCCCAGCTTCCCCATACTGGTCAAGTGAGTAAGTGCCCAAGTGCGGTGAAAATTGACTAGTGAGGAGGGGGGGGAAGCAGCCGATCCCTGATCCCTCATGTACTCCTCCGCACCGCACCGGCGACCAGCACACACCCACACCACACGGCACAGCTCGCACAGCGCGCACAGCTCAGCTCGCACCCCCAAAAGAAATACCAACCAACCCCCCGACGATCAGATCATCCCTCCCGCCCCTCCAGATCATCACTGACCGACCGACAATCATCCACCACCCACAAACAAGTAAGTAGCAACCAACATAGATACATAAATACATAAATATATCACCGCCTCACCCACCCCCTTCCCCTCTACTCAAACCCTCCCCCCAAAAAAAACCATGCCCACCCATCACCACCACCACCACCACAAACAACAACAACAACAACAACAACAACCACACCAAAACCAACCCATGTCCATCCACGCCCACGCCGATGCCCCAAACCATCCACACCAGCAATAGCAATGACGCCTCCCTATCCCTCTCCCCATCCACCCGACTAGTCCCCGACATCCACACAACCGCACACGCCGGGTACATATTCGCCGCGTTCGCCGCAATCGCATGGTACAACTCCCTCGAACTGCTGGTGCTCTGCCTGTCCACGTTCCGACACCACCGGAGCAAAAGCACCTATTTCTGGTCCCTGCTGCTCGCCTCCCTCAGCATCATCCCGCAGAGCCTCGGCTACGTGCTCCTGTTCTTCCTGCCGGAGATCCCGCCCTGGGGGCCCGCGACGCTGATCGTGGTCGGGTGGTGCGGGATGATCACGGGGCATTCGCTGGTTCTCTGGTCGCGGCTGCATCTGGTGCTGCATGATCCCCGGATCCTGCGGTATCTGTTGAGGTTGATCGTCGTCGATGACATCTTGCTGCAGGTGCCGATCACCGTGTTGCTGTATGGGACGGTGACGTTTCGGTCGAGCCGCATCTCCGATGGGTATTCGGTTATGGAGAGGATTCAGCTCGTCGGCTTTGCGTTGCAGGAGACCTTGCTGTCAGGGATTTATGTCTGGGAGGCTGCCAGGTTGTTGTTGCTTCGGCCGGGGGGGCGCCATCATCGCGTGCTGGGGCAGTTGTTGGCGATCAATGTGCTCGTTTTGCTGCTGGATGTGGCCGTCGTGGGGATTCAGTATGCGGGCTTTTACTCCATACAGGTCATGCTGAAGCCTGTCGCGTATAGCGTCAAGCTGAAGTTGGAGTATACGATTCTGGGCCGGTTGGTGAGTGTGGTCGAGGGCGCAAAGGCGCAGGATATCTTGAGCACCCAAGAATTCACCATGCTGCCCCAGTCGGCTGGGACCGGGAGGAGTGACGGGCGGTTTGATGTCCCCAGGGCGGATTCGGCATCCCCAAGCGGAAGTGCCGCGGGCAGTGGTTCATAACATAATTTTCCATATTAACGCTAGAATACCACAATGCTTCTTGTAGACACATGATTGAGGAATAGAGGCATGTCCGGCTTCAATTCAGCCCCCGCTAACCGTTCACAGAGAGCCTGTTTAACAACACTGGAATCTCTTCTTGTCCAACCACACCAAATTCATGACCGACGCTCATAGTTGGGCCACTGGCATCCTTTTCCCATACCGGGAGAGGATCCACGGCACAGATGTAAACACCAGGACCACCAGCCCCATCATCGTATTCCCCCAGCCGTAGTTCAGTCTCACATACAAGTGGAATCCAGCGAGTGGTAGAAACGCGGCAAAGAGTGAACGCACGAAAACACTAGCCCCCATGACTGAGGCGGCACCTTCGGAGCCGTACAGGTCAATGAGGTAGGCCTGCGATGGTACCTGGAAAGGTATGGAATGAGCAAAGAGGCTTTAGCATGTCAAGTCTTTGACACTTACCCAAACCAGGAAGCAGCTAAAACCAACAATGAATAGCCCTATTGTCGGGACCACCGGGTTGACTTTGTACTGCGCCGTCCAACTGTAGACGACTAGGCCCACCGGAATGACAGGAGCAGCCCACTTCATTAGTGTGAGGTGATATTCTGACTTTGGCTGCGTAACACTAGCTGACGCCATGTGCCTCCTTAAGATGCAATCAGTCAATAGAGCAGCGAAAAAGTTACCGAGTATTACCCCAAAATCCAGGCTTCGTCCAAGCAGGAGAGATAAATCGGGGCCAAAGCCGTATTGCATTTCGAATACCCAGGAGATTGTTACAATCAGCAGATGAAGAAGGCCTAAGACAATTCCTATGTAGGCGGAAATCATCGAGACAGCTGGTGAAAAAACAACGATCCTGATGGGACGGGTGAAGGCGGGAGATAAGGATTGCCAGTGACCCAGGCTGCGATCGTGCGCTGATCGGATATGAGTACTGCATGATCTCTTTCGTAGTATGTCTGCCTTCCTTTCGAGTAAGATCTTAGGATGCGTTTCCCGCATAGCTGCCAACGTGGCTAATGTTCCTATTCCACTCTTTCCCTCTATTAGACAACGGTCCTCATGAGCGTGAGTCTCGTCTGATTGACTTACGGCGATTGAAATACTCCAAAGGGCCCATCTCCAATTGGATGACGACGCCAAGGCACGCCCGATCAACAGTCCAAAAATCTTTAGCGATTAGCCCATGACATTCTCTGCTGTGATTGTCCTAAAACAATATGGGAATGAACAATTCTCACTTACAGCTCCAAGCAGTGGCCCAATAGCTAAACCAGTTGCCGCCCGGCTGCGCTCTCTGAGCCGATATAGATCTGCCACCGTCCCTCCAACCACTGTAAGGGGCGCCGCTCCGGCAAACCCGACAAGGATACGAAAGGTGATGAATTGGAATGGTGACTTGCTCAGTGCACATATGATCGTGAATGTCAGGAGGCTGATATTACCGCAGTGATACGCTTGTAATCTGCCGTACGCTTCGGAGATAGGTGGAAAGAAGAGTGCACCCAATGCAGAGCCTAGAAGATAGAAACCGAGGTCAAGTAGCGGAAAACATGTGATGTTTATCCCGAGCTCTTTCATGACATTTCCCATCACAGGCATGACTATCATGGAGCCCATGCCACTGAGATGTCCTGGTCAGTCTCACCCATAGACATAGTATATAAGCCTCCTTGTGGATACGCTTACACAGTACATGAGAGCCATTCAAGTATTGCCAGATATGTGTACCGCTTCCAACTGGCCCAATTCTGAGGATTTTTGGGGTCTGCTGGTCCGTCCCAGTCGACCACGTACTCAGGGGATACCGGCCTAGGGCAACCTAAAATCCCCCCATCGACCGAAGACTTGCGAGGGCGCAGCTCAAGGTAGTCACCGGTGGAAGCCATTTTCTGCGACATGCCCTCGCTGGCGTATTTGCACGTTTTCTATTGAGCAAGGAAGACAGACACTGTAATAGGATGAGTGCCAGAAGAAATACTAGTGCAAGAGTAATTGTGCTGGAAAACCAGTGGTTGGGGTTATGGCTGCGTTGGCGCGAGATAGGAAGGAGCGGGATGCATTCGCCCAGGTTGGTAGCTGCGTCCCTATTGAACCAGTCAGTAAGGTTTCGCCTTGCTGGGACTATCATCTGATGCGAACCTACCAAATAACCCATATAAGAATCGGGTGACACCGTTCAATCGTATGGCAAATCACAGAACCACGATGCCAACCAACGTGTCAAGAAACATGATACTTTGGACGACTCTCTTCAAAAATTGAAGCCTGTCTGGCCAGAATAGAGATCCACTTTGTATTCTATTATTACACGATTTATCGCCTTTCAAGCCCCGTCCGAAGCGCGTCAACCCACGCCAGCTTGCTCTCCGTAAAGATCTCTCCGGTTGGAGGCATTCGCGATCCGTTGTCGAGCAGAATGGTTCGGACGATGATTCAGTCCCCCATGACGGCTGGGTGGTGGTAGATGTGGGAGGTACAATTGGGGCAGAAGTAACAGTTGACTGGCTTTCCGGAGGCTCCAGTATAGGTGTGGCAGCTGGGCTTTCCGGTGAGGAGGCGGAGTTGATCCTTTCGGGCTTATTTAGCTGTTTGTATCGATTCATGGAGCGTCAGACGAAGGTGAAGATGGCCTTGCCATGTGAATTATCTGGTTCATGGAGAACGGCCCTCCTCCTAGCTTTCGACATGTGTCACAATGGCATAAGATGTACTCAAACTCAGTGATCTCTGCTGTCCAGGAACAGTCACTGCAGTGACAACTGCCATGGAAAACTCCGGCTTCTGCAGCTGGTTCCTTTGCTGGTGGACCAAAGAGGATGCCATCTTGGATGTCTGAAGCGGGTTTCAGGATTGATTATTTCAGATGCTGGTATAGTTTCCCTACATATGACGACGGAATCTTCACTGCCGCAGGAAGCCAATTTCAGTAAGTTTCGCAACAGTGAGCAAGAAAATGGCTGTCGCATACATCAATGGTGCCGCATTCTTAGAGAACTCCAGATGGACGGGGTCTTCTGTCAAATAATAGTCGAGATCTGCTTGGTTCTCAAACTCCAACACGAACCCATGCGTCATTCCTCTATTATACGGCTCCCAGCGTCGACTTTTACCGGCGACAGCCATTGACAATTAGCTCTGAGCCACTTTGTACTTGAGCGCGTATCCGCGACAGAAGATTCACAACGCACCTGCTTTCAGACCCTTCATGTAAGCCCGCCCGGTGTCTGGCTCGACGCACTTGTTCCTAAGTTCAAGAAACACGTCAGAGTGCTTTTCAAACTCGCTCCACGTACCTAACTGAAGACTTGTACTTGAAAAGCACGATATGTGTAACAGCTTGCGTCATTGTTGCTGCTGTTGATTGAACGCGACCAAGTCAGCTGTCTGCCGGGGGAGATTGACTTCCATGTTAGCTGGGCTCAGGAACGAGAATATATAAGCTACAAGTGAGCAAAGGGAAGAAGGGATCTCCGCGCGGGCAGAAGAATTATCCTATTTGCTCGGGGGTTGCTTTCCCCGCACGTTCCCGAAACAGGCAATTTAAGTGCATTATGCAAGGGACGCCTTAGGCGGGGTTCCTCTCGACTGAGACATGGTAGATACAGAAGAACTCAATCTCATCAAGCAAAATAAAACACAGGAAAATAAACATCATGTTTCTCCACCTCTTTGCCCGGTCAAACAAGTTCCCAAGGATTGATCATTTCACCATCCTGCTGTTCCTTTGCCTCAAGCTGCCTCACTCGCCTCTTAGAATCTCTAGATGAGCCGTCATCTCCTTGATGGCGTCTCTCATTAGTGGGAGATCGTCAATGGTCTCTGGTCCGAGGGGAAAAGGAATAACATTGCCATCCAAACGGCAGACCCTAGTGGTAGATAGCGGGATGACGCTTTCTGACTTAATACTACCGACTATACTCAAGTCACCTTCCTCAGTGACATCAATTTTTGGTGTAGGTCACTGTCGGGGAAGTCTGAATTTATGTTCGTCGCCTGCGAGCCAGGAGCGATTGTTTCGTCACTGTTATCTCCAGGCCATGTATCTTCAAGCTTGAGAGCTTACGAGCTTGAGCTTTCACAGTCGGTGGATGGACCATATGGGTTATCACCTGTTGACAACACGGGTAACTAGAGATGTATGTATTAGCTGAGATCTCCCTGATAGTTGTCTGACAACATACTGACCGAGCGTGCAATAACGCCGACTGAAGCGACAGCTTGCGCAGCTCCCATGCATACTGGTGCCCTCGTGGGTATCAAAGCCAACAACGCAGGTCTGCCAGACACTTTGCTTCGTTTTGCAATGATAACAGGGATCTGGCGCTTCTGAGCCCCGGGTCTGAGCAAATGCTGCAGTTTGAGAGATCACATCTTTCAAGGGTCTTCTCATGGGTTCCCCTTGTTCGTCAAGTCGCCACTCAAGTTTGCGAAGCACAGGCAGCTGGCTGTATTCTGTCATAGCCTCGGTAGACCTGGATCCGATGAGTGGGAGGTCACCGTAGGTTACACCGACAATATCTTGTAGACGTATAAGTTCACCCGCCTTTTGAAGGTATACTGGTAAGCAGGATGCCATCGCTCTGTTGTAGCACGAAGGATAGGCCTGGTGGGTCTAGAGTGAATAGCTTCATCAAGAAAAAAGAGTTGGAGAAATGTAGTGAAAGGGGTATTATTTGTTGTTAAAACCTTCAAGCTATGAACGACATGATATATATCCAGAATTTATCAAATATATATTATGATTGTAGTGGTATGTATAGCTTATAATAAGTCAGTGGCTGTACGGAGTACATGATATACTGATTAGCTTCTAGAGGGGAGCCTCTCAGTGCCAACTGCACCACAATCGATCTCTTGGGAGAACGGCCAGAATACTATCCTGGAAGGTGATGTATGAAAGCCAGCCCCATTGGGAAAGAATGACGTCATGCGGAGAAGTCGGTAATCCCAATACCAAAGTGACCGTACGGCCGGCTGGCGAGTCCCAACTTCGAACTAATCGCGACGCCCACAAATCCTCCTGCAACATACCATGGTGGTCCTTGATGGAGTGCCATGGGCCTTAATAACTACTAACATACTTGAATAGCTGGTGCGGGTATTCACCGGCTTCTATCTCAATCATGGAGAGCCTCGATGACACCCTCTTTCGAGAGGTTGCAGAAGACCGAAGCGTTGGTCCCTTGGACGACCGCTCTTCCAGAGCATCTGTGGACAGCAGCACCAGGAACTCTACCTCAGACCTGAATCTCCAGAATGCAGCAGCTTCGTTTATGTCCGGCTCTAGCAGCAAGTTCCCCGAAGACCAGCCCGAGCCCGTCGGCCGAAGTTTTGTCGACCAAGATGACGACCTAAAGTCCCCCCGTGCGGCGTCGCCATTCCCACCAGTGCCCTATAACCCTCCCCAAGTACCGGCTCTGAGTGAAGATGACGGCGAGGCAGAAGATGAGGAACCACAAATCGCGACGTCCTTTGAGCGGGATTCTACACCGACATCGGCGCAGAAACAACGCACGGCGTTCTTTGATACGGGCGGGGAGGAAGGCATCAACCGCATGCACAAGTTCTCGTTGTACGAAACAGCTACGCGGTTCTACATGGTCGGTATGGATCTGTCGGATACACGGTTTAGGATCTTGAAGATCGATCGGACGTCTGAATCGGGGGATCTCAGTGTGTCGGAGGACGACATTGTTTACAGCAAGAGGGAAATGAGTCAGTTGTTGGATACCATCGATGACGGAAATAAAAGCTCGGGTGGATTGAAGCTCAAATGCAGCGCATGGGCTTTGCTCGGGTTCATCAGATTCACGGACGCATACTACATGCTCCTCGTGACGAAGAGAAGCCAAGTGGCCATGCTCGGTGGCCATTATGTTTATCAGATTGACGGGACGGAGCTCATCTCGTTGACGACATCGAGCTCGTCTCGGCTCAGACCTGAAAAGAACCCGGAGGAGGCAAGATATATCGCTATCTTGAACAATCTCGATTTGACTCGTTCGTTCTATTTCAGTTATTCATACGACATCACCCACACGTTGCAGCGCAACATCTGCCGGGAACGGAAAGCCAACCAGGATGGGCAACCCAAACAGTTTCAACAAAATTACAACACAATGTTTATATGGAACCACCATCTTCTTGGTCCAGCTCTCGAGACCCTGAGAAACCCCTGGGAATGGTGTCTCCCTATAATTCACGGATACGTCGAGCAGGCGAAGATGTCCGTGTACGGGCGACTGGTGTATATCACGATTATTGCTCGTCGATCTCGGTTCTTCGCTGGAGCACGCTTTTTGAAGAGAGGTGCCAATGATTTGGGCTACGTGGCCAACGATGTGGAGACTGAACAGATTGTGTCGGAGATGACGGCGACGTCGTTCCATTCTCCCGGGCCGAATCTCTATGCCAACCCCCTATACACCTCTTACGTGCAACATCGCGGGAGTATTCCTCTCTACTGGACGCAAGAGAACTCGGGGGTGTCCCCAAAGCCAGACATCGAACTGAACCTGGTCGATCCGTTTTACTCCGCGGCTGCACTGCATTTCGATAACCTGTTTGAGAGATACGGGGCGCCCGTGTATGTTCTTAACCTCATCAAATCTCGAGAGCGAACACCGCGAGAGTCCAAGCTCCTGAAAGAGTACACCAATGCGATTCAATATCTCAATCAATTCCTACCAGAGGATAAGAAGATCATATATCAACCTTGGGATATGAGTCGGGCTGCAAAAAGCCGCGATCAGGATGTTATCGGCACACTGGAGCATATAGCCGGCGAGATAATCCCCAAGACTGGCTTCTTCAAGAACGGGTACGACGCAGATTCCGGACTGAGACTGCAAAACGGTATTGCAAGAACAAACTGTATCGACTGCCTTGACCGTACAAATGCTGCCCAGTTCGTCATTGGAAAACGCGCCCTGGGACACCAGCTTCATGCTCTCGGGATCATTGACGGGACAACAGTAGAGTACGACACGGACGCTGTGAACCTCTTCACCGACATGTGGCACGACCATGGGGACACAATTGCCATCCAGTACGGGGGCTCCCATCTGGTCAACACCATGGCGACGTACCGCAAGATCAACCAATGGAGTAGCCATTCCCGAGATATGGTCGAAAGTTTCAAAAGATACTACAACAATTCATTCCTCGACGCGCAACGCCAGGAAGCCTACAACCTCTTCCTCGGGAACTACATCTTCTCCCAAGGACAACCGATGCTGTGGGACCTATCAACCGATTACTACCTCCACCACGCCGATCCCAGAGCATGGTCCAACATGAAGCGGCCGAACTACATCTGCTGGTACACGCCCGAGAATCTGAAAGAGAAAGAACTGCCTCCTCCTCCACGACCCCCCAAGGACTCCCTTTCCCAACACGACGACTACTGGCTCGAGTACTACAGACCGCTGGCGGTGTCATCGTTCTCCAAGATCTTCTCTTACAAGATGAACTCCACCCTCCGATACCTCCCCTTCCGCCCCGGCTCCGGGACCCCCTACGACATCAGCCCGTTCGTCCCTCGCATCCCACATGAACAAGTCAACCGGGACCGCCACCCTCCCCGGACGGTCAAGATCCAAGAACCCATCAAAACTGCCATCGACTCGTCCGGCCGTCCGCACCTCGGCACCGCCCCCACACAATCCAGCTACAACTGGATCCACCAACCCCCATCCGCAGACAAACAGCCCCATCGGCAGGCATCATGAAACCCACCTCGTTCGGCTTGCCCCAATCCTTCTCTTCCCTGCAATCCTCCGAATCCACCACCCCCAGCAAAGCCCAAATCGCCCAATGGACCCTCGGCCAGCTCGTCACCGACTCCCTCAACCCCTCCGTCACTTCCGGTGAAGCCGAGGAATACGAACGCTACATCAACCACCCACTGAAAGTGCCGCTGGTCGTGACCTCCGAGGACGAGTTCACCGCGACCTCCACCCGCGAACACGAATCGAGTCTCGATCTCCTCGAATACGCTAATAAATGCAAGGTCGAGGAAGCTACCCTCGAAGCTAACGCGGAGGAAAATCTCGCTGACTATGCCGAGTTTCTGAATGTCTCGGAGGGTGGGCTTACCGTCGTCGCGGAGGACTACGAGAAGAAACGGTATAAGCGCTATCGGCAGTGGTTGAGGGGGAAAAGTCTGTTCAAGCAACGTGTGGATATGTGATGTTGCTTATTGAATGAGCGTTTGTTTTACATCCTACTCGCCTAGACACACACCCCACTGGATGGTGATCTGTTGATTGTTATGACACGGCTAGACACGATAGGATACCCCGCCCTGCTTTGTTTTCTTTCTTTTCTCTGTTATGTTTGTTGCCCTCTTGTTCGAAGTACATAGTTTGTATGGTGTTATATAAACCTATATATTGATTGTTTCATCCGACTACTCTATCCCCAATAATATATATATCTAGCATCCCACTTCCAATAATTCCTATTCTAACCCAGCCCCAAAAAACGTGCTATCATCATCCCCATCCACCTCCCCCAACAGCAACTCCCTCAATTCCTCATCCGCAGCAACCAAGTCCTCCATCTCCTGCTGAAACCCCTCCTTCACCTGCAACGCCTGCGTCTCCCCAGGGACGGGATTCTCCACCGCCATGCGAAGCAAATACACGACCCCCTTCAACTCCCTCTTGACTCTCTCCAACACATCAACCGCATCATTATTATCTTCCTCACTTTGACCCCCATTCACCGTCCCCTCCTCCTCCTCCTCCTTCTTCTTCTTCTTCTTCTCCCGTATTCTTTCATCCACCTCCTCCCCAACAACCCCCCAACACCCACAAACCGCACCCAGAATCTCCCCGCGCCAAACCCACACCCTAGGATGGGCATTCAGCACGACCGCCCTCGCGACCGCAACCCCCGCCAACAGCAGCGGGGGATATGCAGTCCCGAACGGATTCTCGAGGACGGAGTACACGAGCGGAATAATATCCTGGAGGTACTTTGTGGTCTGGATGCCGAGGTCGAACAGCTCGTCGTGGATTTGGTGCAGCAGGAGGGTGGAGAGCCGCGGGTACGGGAAGGAGGGTTTGTTGGTGGAGGGGTCGTTGCGGGTGGTGGGGGTGATGCTGGTGTGGTGGAAGGAGGGGATCAGGTTTTCGCGGAGGGTTTGGGCGTGCGGGTTTTTGGGGTTGGAGGTGGTGGTGGTAGTGGTGGTGGTAGTGGTGGTGGGTTGGGGTTGGGGGAGGGAAGCGGTTTTGTGGAGGAGGCGGAGGGCAGGGTAGGCTGCTGCTAGGAGGGTGAGGGATTCGTCTTCCGGGGTGATGGTTGGGAGGGAGAGGAGGCAGGGGCGGATGGCGTCGTCGAAGACGGAGGAGAGGTTGGTGCGCCGGAGGATGGGGGAGCGGGCGGCGCGGATGGGGTGGAGGAGATGCGTTATCAGGAGGCACCCTTGGGTTTTGAGGGCGGTGGGGGACGAGTCGATTAGTGCTAGGATGGGGGGAATGAGGAGAGGGAAGTGCGCTTCTAGGTGGGCGATGTCGGATGTCTGGGTGGGGTGTTAGTTGTTTGGTTGGTGGTGGTGGTGGTGGTGGTGGTAGTGGGCGTACCTGATATTGAGAGACTATCCAGGAGAGGACCGTCGTCGCGTAGACTTCGTGTGCCTGCCACGGCTGGGCCTCCGGGTCGAGGATACTGACGTCGAAGCGCGGCAGAGGCACCGGGTGGAAGTCCTTGCGGCCTGCGGCTGTGATGGCCGGGTTTCGCGTTTTGGTGAAGAGAGGCCGGATTTTCTCTTTCAGGATGCTTTCGAGCATGGTCCAGAAGGAATTATTGGGTGCAGAGCGTGCTGTGGTGGTGAAGCTGTCGAGGATGGCCGCCGACGTTGCGCCAGTCTCTGCGGTTGTCCATGGGTCCGCTTCGGAGGTGAAGCTTGCCAGGGCCAGGAGGATATCGGGCACATTTGCGGCTTGGTGGACTGGCAGGATAGAATCCAGTGCTGCGATCACGGATAGTGATAATTCCGACCTGAGTCGATCTTGGCTCATACTGGCCATCTTTTTTTCTATGACACGATTAGAATCCGGGTTCGGAACGACGAAGTCCCTTGGGATGTCCTACCACTGGGAGCTTCCCCTATCTCTGCGAACGCCGCAGAGGGAAGTGCAAGTTGACTTGCCCATCCGTAGAGATTGTTGGCTGCATGTTGGTCCGACTCGGATAGTTCTTTCAAGTCGCACAGCCTCAGGCACTCCCGGGCAATAAGAAGGTTTTCGCAGGCCTGGGGGTTTGGTCAGTGCGAGAGACCGTATGAGAGAGATGGTTCTTACAGCTTGATGTTGTGTATGATCGTGGGGAGAGATGGTGTCCCAGAGCTGGTCCAATGCGCGGGGGACTGGGGTGGAATCCAGAATGGAATCGGGGATGTGCGAATCCCCTCGGCGCAGGGCCTCGCGTGCCGCGGAGCGGAGCTCTTCCATCGCGTGCCGCAGTCACAAAATACAAAACACAGGTGCAAAGCAGGGCCTAGATGTCGGATCGATCGTGGGGTTGGGTTGGTGGGTGTTGAACATGGACCAGGCGAGCCCGCAATTTTACAGCAAGCGGTAAGTGACGGGACCCGAACCATCAACCGCTACGGCGCGCAACCACGATATTCTACATTCTACATTCTACAAACTACAGTTCACAGGTTCACAGGTTCTTGTGTGGCAACCACAAGCTGTATGTATTATTTCGTAACGATGCCCAGCTCTTCTTGCTGATGAGCCAGCATCTGCAGCACCGGTTCTTTTTCGGTAATTTCCGGATGCGACAGCTGCCAGGCAATCACCATGTCCTGCGCCTTCTTCAACCATGGCCCAGCCTTCACCCCAAAAGCCTGCATGGTATCAACACCATTGACCAGAGGAGCCATCTCGTACACGTCTTCCAGGTTCGCTTTCTGGATATACGAAATGAATTTCTCATAGCCTTTAACCACTGTCCAAGGTGCATTAGCGTCAGTTGGCATACATAGTGATTCAGGGGATGAGCCTTACCTTCCTGGAGATTTTGTCCATGCATGTGTCCCTGGAGTATGGCCAGGAGGATGCAAAGCCTCCAGTCGCTGGTCGACCACGAGCGAATGGCAAGCCCGACTTTTTGTCGTAATTTCTCTGGTGTGATTTGGTCGGACGATCGGTGTGTGTTGATTAGGACAAAGTCTTTGATCTCTATAACGTGACGCCAATTCTTCGCTGCAGCACCTATCAAACTCATGGACTTATTATCGGATCGGAGACTGTCGCGAGCCACGTCTACCGTCCGAGGTGGGAGCGGCTTCGACTTGGAGGTTTTTGGAACACGACCTGGCACACTCGACCAGGGAGCAAATGCAGCAATCATCCATGCGTAATAAGTTTCACGCCTATCGCGCACAAGGAAGTGGCGCAGCCGGGCCACGTCTGGGCCGGCATCAGGAGATAGTAATGCTTCCAGCCCATTGTAAGCGAGAGACCAGGACGATGTGTCCGCCTGAACGTCATCCATGTGGTTGGCAAATATGGTCGAATATAGCCCGAGGCTATCAATCAAATGCAGTGCCCCACGGGGATCCGGACCTGGCAGCTTATGAGTGAGGTGTACGATGTTGGAATTCAGATGAAGCCACAAACCTTGAAGCATCTTCTCCAACTCAACGCCGACCCGTTCTCTGCTAATCTTGAGCTTGAGGGCCTCTCCAATATGTTCATTACGCATCGCAGCTTGCGTCTCCTCGTCTATACTGTACCCTAGGCGGCTAGCAAACCGAATCAAGCGCAACACGCGAAGCGGGTCGTCTTGAAAGGTCTGGAATGGCTCCAGAGGGGTGCGGATAATTCCGCTCTCCATATCCGTCAAGCCCTGTCCGGTAAAATCCTCGACTTTCGACTCGTTGAGATTGTAGAATAGCGCATTGATCGTGGCATCCCGGCGCAGCGCATCTTCCTCGGGTGTGCCGAATTCCATCTGCGGGTTCCGACTATCCTCGCAATAGGTCTCCTTCCGGAGGTTCACGAGGTCCACATCCAAGCCAAAGATCTTCGTTGTGACTGTTTCTAGATGCTTGGACTTTTCGGGGTTCGCGTCGATTTTGTGTAGACTGACGATGTTTTGCTTGAATTCCTCATCCGGGAGTGTCTGCCTGTACTTGTCCAGATTCCCCGGCGTGTCCATGTACTTCTTCAGCAGCAGACCAAACTGATAGCCCGTCATGTTACTGATCCCGACATCGATGTCATGACTGTCCACGCCCAATAGCTTGTCCCGCACCCATCCTCCGGTAAATCGCAGGACGGTGGGCGGGAGTTGCGGGTTCCTTTCTCCGATATACTGCACGACATCCAGCAGAAGCGTCTTCAGCGTACTTTCGATCGGGGTGAGTGGCAGGGACCTCCCGAGGGAATCCATGTCGTCGATAGGGCGCCGGGTCAGGGCCAGGGGATCGGTGGGTTTATATTTCACGAGGGGAGTAGGACTCGAAACCTTTCTTATGGGGACGTCAAAGAGGTCGGGGTCGCGGTCGACGGGGCGCGGGGCAGTTGTGTCTTTTCGCTTCCGAGGGGCACTGCTGGCAGGGATGCTGGCTCGTTCAGAGATGTTGGCGCGTACTCGACGGATGAGAGATGGCTGGCGGTCCCGAGAGCCAACCTTTTTGATGTAGATGGAGGCACGTGGGATCACCAGAGGGGTTCGGGGTCGCAAAAGAGGCCCTGTTGCAGCAGAAAATTGGGAGAGTGGGGAGAGAGCAGAGGTGGGGCGGAGTTGGCGCTGCTTGGAAGACAGTCGGATGACTGGGGAAGGGAGCATTGAGACCAGTCAAGCTGAGGAGGAGAGAGGAATGAGTGAGTCAGTGGGACTGACTGCTTGCTGTTGCTGTCAGAGTGACTGCGCCAACCGCCAACCGCCAACCGCGCAAGATGGCAGCGGGCGATTCTCCCGATTCTGGCCCGTCTACGCCCGTCTACGCCCGTCTACCACCACATCACCGCCTTCCGCCCATCGTCAACAACAACATACCTTGTCACACCATCAGCTTCGTATCTTATGGTTAGCCTCTTCACTTCAACCTCTATCGGCCAGACCTTCCATCTCCCGCCTGCCATCCCCAGCCGCAGTGTCTTGACCTCCTTCCACCCTGCGTCCTCTCAACCTCCCTCTCGCCATCGCCATCGCCTCATCCTCCTCTCCTGACGGATTCCCCCACCACCACTTCCTCTCTGTCTGCCACGTTCGTCACTTCTACCGCTCATCTCCCCCCTCTCAAATCACCACACCCTCGGTCCATGGGCTCTAGGGTCTCTCCTTTCCTTCCAAGTCCCATATCGCACGACAGTCGGAGTCCATGACATCGCCCGGAGATGCTGCTCCGGTCAAGCCTCCGCCGTCTTTCTCGCCCGGCGTTCCGCGTGTCGCATCCAAGACGAGATACCCCAACCAGCGTCGCGACTCATCCCCGTCGCTAGATGCCGATCTGGGCGACTCGAGGCTCAGGTCGTCACCGACCCCTCCCCTTTCGGCGACCACGTCAGACCTCCCGATCCGGTCCGCCTCCCCCCGTCCACAGTCGTTTCGATCGTCAACGCCCCAATTAGCCCGATCGTCTCTTGGCTCACCCGTGGAAGGCCGCTTTGAGGGCTCCGAAGAAATCCGCTCGCTGATCATTCGTTCCTTTTCCCCCGTCGTCGGCGTCTGCGCATCCGCCGATACCGATGAGTTGGTGCGCCAGAAGGGGTTCGCCGGGGGCTTTTGGGAGTTGATCCGACCGTTCGGCGAGAATATTCCCGGGAAGATTGTCATCCGGGATAGTGTAGGTGCCAGTCGCGGCTGGGAGGACTTTGGGGTTCGCTTTGTGGACTTGGCTGGCAAGACTCCGACCCCTAACGACTCCAGCGCCGGGCGCAGCTCCTCTCTGGCCCAGGTTGAGGACGTATTGGATAAGCAGCTGGGCTCAACTGATGATCCGCTGGGCGGATCGTTGCGCCCGAAAGACTTTTTGAGCTTTCCCACCACCTCGCCGTTATATAAAGTATTTCTCCGCCAATTGCTATCCATATCGTCGGCGACACCGCACGAGACGTTCCGCCACCCGGTGGCCAGTATCATCGCCATCAGCTCGCGCAATACGGCCCCGCTTGAAACTCTCCGACAGCTGTACGCAGATACGAACAATGGGAATAAGAAGGTGCCGGACTGGGTGCATCCGGAATATCTCCGGTACTATGTACTGGTGCATGACGAGGATCGGGACGACATTGCAGAATCGACCAAGCTGTATGACCAAATGAAGCGGCACTTCGGGCTACACTGCCATCTGTTGAGGCTGCGCAGCAATCAATGCGTGGTCACCGATGATGACAGTGCCCAGGTGCCGGAATGCGAATGGCAGTCGCCTGCTGAGCGGCTTTCTGGCCGAATTGGTAGGGTTGAACCTTGAACATGACAACTGACGAACGCTAACGATCATCAGAACCCCTGGTAGACCTGGATACTAATGGTCTGCTCTACCTATTCGAGTCCGATGTCATGGCGATCAAGGCGTTCGTCCGGGAACTGGTCGCACAGTCCGTAATACCATACATGGAAAACCGAGTTGCCGTCTGGAATGACCAGGTGGCCTCTCGCAGACGTGGCATCAGCGGAAGATTCATGTCGATGTCGCGCCGATGGGCCGGGTTCGGGTCTGGTTCGCGCTCCAGTCTCACGGCGGGAGGAGCAAGTGGAAACTACGATCTCAGCCATGGCTACTACAAAGCTGACACGCCCGAAGCCGTGCTGCGTAAGATGGCGGACTTTGCATTCATGCTCCGGGACTGGAAACTATCCGCTTCTACCTACGAACTCCTTCGCTCGGACTACGCAAATGACAAGGCTTGGCGATACCATGCCGGCGCGTACGAGATGTGCGCGGTAAGCATGCTCCTAAACCCATCCGCCATAGGAACCAAGATGAAGCTGGACGGGGTCGACCAGATGTTCGACACCGCCTGTTATTCGTACCTCACGAGGTGCTCGGATGCACCCAACGCTCTCCGCTGTCTGACCCTGGCCATGGAACTGCTGAAATCGCGCGGGGGCTCGGCAGTGGAGAGCGCGGCTAGATGGGCCATGCGGGCCATGGACCTGGGATTAGTCGGCCCCATCGGCCAGGGTCTCTTCAGCGAACGGGTGTCGGCATGCTATGCTGCGAGGGCACCCGTGAGCGGGATGAAATGGGGCTCGCGCCACAGAAAAGCCGGGATGTGGAGCGTGTTCGCTGCGGACGCGTGGCTTCGACTCGGAAAGCCGTCGCTGGCCTCCGCCTCCCTCGAGGAGGCCGAGCGTCTATACGCGGACGTGTTGGACGCCGACGGCTCATTCCCCATGCCCGAGATGCAAACCTTCATCGACAACCTTCGCCACGCCGTAAAAGTCGAGTACCTCGAAGCCAGAGGGTTGGATACGAGAGACGAGACGACCACCGCGGAGGCCCTAGGCACGGAGGAAACCAGCGAAAAGCTAGACCGGCGCAGGAATCGCAAATCTTTGATCGCCAACCCGTTGGACCTGGGGGGTCTCGGTCCGGCCCAAGGCCCGAGAGATAATGACAACGCTGCCAATGACGATTTCGAACGAGCTTAGGGATGGATGCCACGAGGGTCGATGGGGCGCATGGGACTTTATACCGTATTATAGACTTTGTCAGTTAATGTTTGAGGACGATTTCTCCCATTTTATTCTCCATCAGAGAAGGTAGACACCCCGTGAAGACGTAGTATGTCATCGAGCCACGTGACCCGATCTTATCGTCGATAAGCCCGGCTCCCCGACAACCAACTGGCCGTTAATCGTTATTATTGACATCAGACCGATCACCATCCTGACCTGAACATTCACGGGGCTAACCAGCCTACAGCAGTAGGAAGTCATCCTTGTCTACCTCTGCAACTCTTCACATTGCCCCTTATCACTCACTTACTATCCAACCCATCCACCCCAACCACCATCCCTCCACCAACCACAAAATGCCCAACCCTCTCCTCGAATACATCCTCTCGCAGGACTCCTTCAGAAAGTAAGCTCCCCCCTCTATGAGCCTTTACCCCCCCCTTTGACCAACTAACAACCCATCCCATCTATCCAGAAACCGCCTCCCCTCACTATACTCCGACTTCCCGATCCACCGCAAAACCAACCCGGAAGGCTACACGACCAACATCGCGGCGTGGGAGCACGCCCTCACGACAGCCGCGAAACACGGCTACATCGCCCCGCATTCACCCTCGTCCGCATCCGCGCAGAGCAAATCGGCAGACCATTTGGTGTTGAGGGCCGATGATGCCCTGCTCAGGGATTTGGAGATTCCGGAGTGGGGGAGGCCTGTGGCGCTGGGTGTGGTTTTTGTGGGTTTTCTTTTCTTTGTTTTCTCTCTCTCCTTCTCCCTCTCTCTCTCTCCCTCTCTCTGTCTCTCTCTGGCTTCTGTGTGGTCGTTTGCTCGGTTAGGGATGAGTTTGTTGGCTTTTGCTGACTGGTGTTGGTGTTGTAGGATGAAGCGACTCGGAATCGAACGATGGTGCCGCTGCAGTTATACCGGAGTAACGGGGCGAGCTTGCGGAAGCCCGGGTGGGGGATTGATACGTCGGTGCTGAGTCCGTGGACGGTGATGAGTTGGGGGATGAAGCAGTTGAAGGGGGTTGTGGTTGGGTCGGAGGAAGCGACGGCTAGGTTGCAGGCTCAGGAGCTGGTTTTGGTGGGGAATCTTAAGGTAGGCACGGCATGACCCTTTATCTATCTATCTATCTATCTATGGGTTCTTGTTCTTGGTGGAAGCTGGATATGCGAGGTTATATTTCGTGGGGATGAGTTGGGACTGCGCTGGACTGTGCTGATATTGAGAACAGGAGACTGCGGACCGGGTGGTCCAGAAAGCTACGGGTCATAATCCGTCGCGGACGGATCTGGTATACTCGCGGGAGAACTTCGTGAAGGAGTTTGCCACGGCTTTGGATGAGACAAGTCGGCTGTCTGAGGCTGATATGGATGTGCTATTGTTATATTTATCTCGCGACAGCGGTGCCATCGCGTATGACGGCAAGGTGGGTCTATGTTTATGTAGAGGGTGACGCTTTGGGCCAATGCAAGACGCTAATCGTGATGCAGACTGTCAAGTTCAGAACAAAGGACTCTCCGAGAGAGATCACGGAACAGGACACCGCGGTTGCCTCTATCAAAACGCTCATGGCAACGATGACGAAACAGGTGGAGAACCTGGAGAATAAGATCGCAGAGCTGAATGCGACGGCTAAGATAGCGCTGCATAATAAGAACCGCGTTTCGGCGCTCTCGGCGGTGCGCTCGAAGAAGCTGGCGGAGCATAATCTGAAGCAGAGGCTAGACACTCTGGTCCAGCTCGAGGAGGTCTATTCCAAGATTGAACAGGCCACGGATCAGGTCGAGTTCGTAAAGGTGATGGAGGCGAGTACCGGGGCTCTTCGCGGGCTGCACACGCAAATCGGCGGTGCGGAGAGGGTGGAGGATGTGGTGGAGGAGTTGCGGGACGAGATGTCCAAGGTGGACGAAATCGGAAACATCATGAATGAGGCTGGCCCGCAGATTGATGAGACCGAGATCGATGACGAGCTTGAAGAATTGGAGAACAAGGAGCGGGAGGAGAGAGAAGAGAAAGAGGCGGAGGAGACCCGCAAGAAACTCGCTGCCCTCGACAATCTCGAACAGCGTGCCAGCGAGGCTGCACGCACAGCAGCAGCCCAGCAGAGCGCCGATTCGGAGTTGGAGGAACGGCTATCTCGCATGTCGGTCGAGGAAGGCCCTGCCTAGAGCGCCGTAAAGCAACACCTCAAACTGAGAGCCTGGCCGGGTCGCATATTCCGTACCCATTGCCCCGGGATCCGTTAACCGTGCGCATTGGCCATTTTGCTATCGCAAGTTTCCTGCAATACCGGTACTTCATGCTCGGCGATACTTACGGCACTGGATTCTACAGGCAATGGCTCCGGAGGCTGGGAATGTGTCGGGACTGTGGCTTCCGTCGCTTCAAGAATAGGCAGACTGTCAGGCTGGCTTGCGGGTGCAGGTGCTTCCGGTGTCTTTGGGCGCATTGCCGCGTCTTTCTTCTTCCGCGCATTCGCAATCAATCGCTTGAAGTCGTCGTCATGACTCGTTGACCAGGCTGCCGCATCGAAATCCTTGCGCATGACACCGTCGACAGTATCCCCAGACTGTTGTGCATGGCCACCCTGCGTCCGTTCCCAAATGTCCAACTCCCGCAGCAGTTCCCTCTTCAATTTCGGATTTCTTGAATCACAATTCGCGTTCCAGAGGTTCATCCACTCGGTGTGACGTCTTTGAAGGATCGGACGCGGGCCTGTATTCGGTATACCCAGGTCCTTAAGCTTTTTGCGGAGCACGTTATCTTTTAATAGAGAATAATTTATAATTGGGAGTCTTTCGAGGGGTTTATTCGTGAGGTCGACTGTCTTCCGCGATGCCGGCGACATGGGCTGCAATGAACTGTAATCCTAGTCAGACACGAGCCGTAAATGAAACGTAGCTGGGGCAAGCCCGCCTTACCCAAATGACACCGGCTTGGGGGGCGCTGGAGCTCCAGCCCCATTGCAGCTGTCCAAATGGCGGAACACGGCCTCGTTTTTCATCCTCCTACTACAAATCGGACACGCGACCAGTCCGTCCTCTGCATCCAATTAGCGCATAACATCGGTGACCTTAAACCATATTCACATACCAGGCACGTATTCCTCGTCCGTAGTATCGTCAATCACCTCGACCGCAACCCGATCCACGTGGGGATTGGCACCCCGGGCGCGCGATCTAGTCCTCACCCCCTCCGGCGCAGCACCACCGTTATCCGCACCCTCCGCCTGAACCTTCCTTTTCTTCGTCACCGGCTCAGTTACCCCCTCCTCGCTCTCGCTTTCCTTAGCTGCCGCCGCTGCCTTGCGCGCCAAATCAAGCACACTCGCCCTGGCGTTCTGAAACGCCTCGACCAGCTCCTGCACCGCCCAGTTGCGCCGCAACTTCAATTCTTGATCTGGACTGCGACACGCCGGACATTTTCCCTCCGTACTGAGGCAGCGTCGGATACAGAGCGAGCAGAACGTGTGGCTGCATGATGTGATCACGGGGTTATCGAAGAAGTCCTTACAGACCTGACACCGGAGGGAGGATTCGAGCGGCGCGACCAGGGACAGTGGCGTGTCGAGCCAGTCAGTCGAGTCGGGGAGATCGAAGGTCTGCTCCATGGAATGAATTGTGGTGGGTGCTGTGGACTAACGGCGAGCAAACATCGGGTGAGAGTCCGGTGAGCGTATCTTTTGGTTTGAGGTGAGGTGGAATTGAGGATTGTCCTGGGTTGCGGCCGGTGTTGGAGATTGTTCCTGCTAGATGGGGGATGATGGTGGCGCCAAGACCCGCTGACTGATACGCGTTAAGTGCTTGGGCAACGCGTCGGCATCGTTGGCTGTCCTCCGCTTCGCTGGTGGCTCCGTTGCGCTGGATCTCGCAGTTTCCTGTTGTCCGCAATTTATTGAGACTCCCCTGTCAAGATGGCTGTCGCGGATTACAAGAAGTATCTGGCAGAGAATGTTCTCAATGAGCGACGCACGGTAAGTGGCCTAGTTTGATTCTGTGGTGGGTTGTTTGTATACGCTTCTCATTAACGATTGCGCATCTGTCTAGGTCACCTATCGCTCATTAAGTCGGGCTCTTCGAGTTCATAGTACCCTGGCCAAGCAGTAAGTTTACCTCCGGGTTATATGGATTGGTGGAGGGTATGCTCACAGAATGCTCAAAGGATGCTATACGACTTCCACCGCAACGAGAACAACAAGAAACCCAACAGCGTCAATGCGACGTACCTCCTGACGGGAATCCAGAAAGCGCCGGAGACTACAAACGGATATCAGGACAGCTTCGATGAGAATGGGATACCGCAGAGCAGCCCGTACCTGAGCAGTTCGATGCCGAACCAGGACGCCGGTGCGGATGATATTGCGGTTTCGTCGATCTTGCTTGTGCGCGAGGATGATTTGGAGGGTAAGCGATACTTGCTGATGCCATACGCAAGGGCATCGGGTAGCTGACTTGGGAATCAGATGCCAAGGCGACGTTCGAATCTATCGCCTCGATACATGTCTACAGTCTGCAACCGACCGTGCTTCAGGATCTCAATGTCCTGACGGATGTTCATGGGGAGATGGTGACCAATCACGCGCAGGAGGATCCCCTGGAACATGGGAAATCCTGGGGCATGATCCAGGGGAAGAATGTCAGGGTAAGATATATGGCTGTCTAAGCTCTGCGATCGCCGTTCTAATGATTTGTGTCCTACAGAGGAGAACCGCTGGTCGACCCCCTGCACCCGCAGCTGCACCCGCAGCACCTAAGACGACTATCCCGGCCAAGCGTCCCATAAAGAGCGAAGAAAAGCCGCAGCCTAAGACCGATACCGAGGAGGAAGCCCCCAAACCGAAAACTGAACCGAAATCTCAGCCTGAACCGGCGACCAAACGTGAAGAAACCCCCACTTCGAGCAAACCCAGCGAAAAGACGGCGCCGCCCAAGCAAAAGGGCAGTATTTTCAGTTCGTTTGCAAAGGCCAAGCCTAAGGTGAAGAAGGAGGACTCGGCAACATCGACGACTTCGGCGGTCCAATCGGTTAGTACAACTCAATCATGGTGGATGAAATGTGACTGCTGACAACAATGCAGGCCGAGCCAAGTGGTGCTGAAGACGGTAATTTGTCTCTCATCATGCGATTATTATAGCTGCTAACGTGAAACAGTGGTTCTGGGCGATGCATCAGATGACGACGAGGAACAGGAGGAGCTTTTCCCTAATACAGGAAAGGCTGCGCCCGCTGGTACTCGTGAGTCACGGAAAGAGCGAGAAGAAAAACTCAAGAAAATGATGGAAGATGAAGGTATGCCTCCATCTGACTCAAGTGACTGCCTGCCTGGCAATCCTTCTGACTACGACAGACGAGGACGAAGACGAAGAGATGCCCGATGCGGCACAATCGCCAGAGGAATCGAACCCTATTGACGAGCCGCCGCCGAAGCAACCCGAGCTTAAGGAGGAAATGACGGTGCGTGGTGGCCGTCGCAGAGGACGACGCCAAATCATGAAGAAGAAGACCGTCAAGGATGATGAAGGCTACCTGGGTGAGTCGTCGCGTGAACATTTGATTGTGTCTTGGCAGCTACTGATCTGCAATCGACTTGTTTGTAGTGACCGTCGAGGAACCGAGCTGGGAGTCCTTCTCGGAAGATGAACCTGCACCGCCGCCCAAGAAGAAGCCGGCTGTGAGTGCGGCCAAGGGAAAGCCCGCAGCAAAGCCCGGGCAGGGCAACATTATGTCCTTCTTCTCCAAGAAGTGAGGGTTGTCAATACCTGGGGGAGACTCTTGAGGGAATCATTGTATCTGCTGACACACTACACGCGGACGATCCGATGCATAAGCAATATTTTACCTTGCAAACCTCTCATCAAAATACATCGACATGTAGAAGATGCCCTCAACAGCTTGGGAGGTATGATAGACCAGATTGTGTAGATATCCCACGGAAAAGTTGCGATCTCGACAACCGATGACATATTGATTGTCTACCCATTATTAAGGCAAGACAGTACGAAGTCCGCGGGGGAAACAATGGCTGATCCAGTCACAAGGCAGAAATCCGGGGGATCGGCGCCTTCAAGTGTCGCGCTCTGTTAGTTTTGGCTGCTCCCCCGCATTCCGCCCGCCCCTGCATTCAACCGGCCACCTTCGCAACATGCTGATTGTTGTCGCCCCCTGACCCGGTCGCTGCTGGCCGGCGCATCCATCCTCCCTCTCCCTTTCATCGCATCTCACTCTCCGTCCAGAACCGTCATTCAACTCGCGATGACACGCCCCTCCACGCTAGTCCTCGCCCTCGCGGCCAGCTTCGGCGCAAGCGGTGTTGCCGGACGCGATGAGCCCCATGTCCTGCGTCGGGCTTGTCCTGACTACACGTCTTACGCGTCCACCGGACAGTGAGTGCCTCTCTCATCGGTATACCCTCGCGACCAGCTATTGACCATCCTGCGCTTCTAGTGCCCCATACAGCGGCGGCCCCCTGAACCTCCCCTTCCAACGACCCGCGGTAGAATGTCGAACGTTCGCCTCGTCCGCAGTAGAACAGGTCATTGACGATGTCACCTCGCGCATGGTAGACAAGGACCTGGCGCAGCTATTCCGCAATGCGTTCCCTAACACCTTGGACACGACCATCCGTTGGCACACCAACGGCTCCACGACCTCCACGACCTCCAGGAAGAACAAGCGGGATAACGCCCAGTGGCAGGGACCTCAGACCTTCGTGGTCACCGGTGACATCAATGCAGAGTGGCTGCGTGACTCGACGAACCAGCTATCTGGCTACCAGCTCCTCGCAAAGAAGGACCCCGCTCTCTACAACCTGATCCTGGGCGCCATCAACACCCAGGCCGAGTTCGTCATTCAGTCCCCCTACTGCAACGCCTTTCAGCCCCCATCGCCCAGCGGCATCCAACCAACCAACAACGGCCAGCAAGACACCGTCCACCCGGCATACGAGCCCTCAGTAGTCTTCGAATGTAAATACGAACTCGACTCCCTCGCCAACTTCCTCGCCCTGGCCACCGACTTCTACGAAAACACTGGGTCAACCGAATTCCTGACCAACCGATGGTATCTCGCCCTCAACACCCTCCTGAGCGTACTCGACGCGCAATCCGCCCCAACCTTCAACAGCAAGCAGCAATATGTCCAGAACCAGTACACCTTCCAGCGCCAAACCACCCTCGGCACAGAAACCCTCAGTCTCGCAGGCATCGGCAACCCCCTCAACCGAGGCACGGGTCTCATCCGCAGCGCATTCCGTCCCAGCGACGACGCAACCATTCTGGGCTTCTTCATCCCGCCCAACGCCATGATGTCCGTGCAGTTGAATAAGACCGCAAGCATCCTTCGCGCCGTAGGCGGACAGGACGATCTCGCATCTAATCTCCAATCCCGGAGTGATAAACTCGCACAAGCCGTCCGCGAGCACGGCATCGTCCAGCACCCCAAATACGGCGACGTCTACGCCTTCGAGGTAGACGGGTACGGCTCGCGCATTCTCATGGACGACGCCAACGTCCCCTCTCTCCTCTCCCTCCCCCTCCTCGGCTTCCTCGACAAGAGCGATCAGACTTATCAAAACACCCGCACCATGATCCTCTCCGCCGAAGGCAACCCGTACTATCTCACCGGATCGGACTTCCATGGCATCGGCGGTCCTCACAGTAAGCATCCCTACCCACCCAGCTACCTCCTTTTCCTTGTTTACCACCCCCCCCCCCCCCCCCCAAACCCCATTCCCACCCATCGCATCCAAAACTAACCAACCAACCACCATCACCAGTCGGCCTCCAAAACGCCTGGCCCATGTCCCTCCTCGTGCAAGCCATGACCTCATCCTCCCAAGCCGAAATCACCACCTCCATCAACCTAGTCCGCAACTCGAGTCTGCTGGGTCTAGTCCACGAGTCCATCAACGTCAACAATATCAAGGATTACACCAGACCGTGGTTCGCGTGGGCGAACTCCGTCTTCGCGCAGACTATCCTTAAGGTTGCGGCTGAAAACCCCGATATTATCTTTGGGGAGGGCGCGGAGCCGTATGTTGTTTCTTAGGGGGCTGGCTGGGCTGGCTGGCTTTCTTTCTTGGGGGGGTTCAGGGTTATTTATTGCCCGAACGATCCTGAAAAGTGAGTGGTATTGGTTGGGAGTATAACTATGGGTAGGTACATGGGTACCGTGCTGTGCAGTGTGCAATATTATATACCCTTCGGCTTGGTTGTTCCTTTTTCGTTTGGTTTGGTTTGGTAGTTTGGTGATACAGGATATTATTCTGATTGGTTATCTTATCTTTCCTGTTAGAAAGCTGAGATCGTCTTTGAATAGAAAATGGAAGACATGAGATGTAAACGCTAGTTATATCATATCATGAACAGTGTAGCTGAATAGATAGACACTAGACCAAAACCCGCCTCAACCCTTCCGTTCCCCCTAACACCCTCCTCCCGGTAACCGGACACCTCCCCTTCCCACTCTCCCACTTTCCCCGTCTACTCCGTGATTTCTTCTGTTCCCCCTCAGCCCCAGCCTCCCTTCCCCTTTCACCCTCATCCTCATTCTCACCCTCCAGCCCCTCATCGTAATCCTCCCACGCCGCGCCCGCGCCCTCCCCATCCATGAAATCCAACTGTCGCTGATGCTCCCCATTCAACCAATGGAAGATACACACGTAGCAATACACGTAGCCCGTCTGACAGGCGGTCGGATTGGTCAATCCATTCAAGCAAACCGGACACGACGCCGCGACGTCCGAGTCCGGGGGCGGAAGCGGAACCGTGAAGATGGGGAGGTAGGATGTTGCTGAGATGGGAGGCCGGATGCGTCCATTGCCACTACCACTTTCGTTACCCGTCGCTTTGCCCTTTCCTTTTCCTTTGAGCGCGGATTTGGGTTTCGTCTCTGCGGATGGTGAATCAGTGGGGGTAGTTGTGGTGGTGGCTTTTCTGCGCGCAGAGGGATCAGTCATTCCCGACGCAACGGGGGCGGGGAGGTCGAGGACCTCGGTGGCTTTTCGCGCGAGTTGGCGCGAGAAGTCGCTTGCGTGCCACCATTCGAGGAATTTGAGGGCGAAGATGGACGCGGGGAGGAAGTAGCGGAGGGAGGTGGCGATGTGGGGGTAGATATTCTGAGGGCTGAGGAGGCCGAGGAGGTTTGAGCCGGGGCGGGAGCGAGCGCTGGCGCCAGCGGGACCTGGGGCAGGAGGTTTGGGGTCGATGATTTTGGCGATTGCGCGGTGGTCCGCGGAGCTGAGACGGCGGATACGCGTGCCGATGAGCCAGAGGAACGGGGAGGAGTATTTGGTGTTATCGAAGAGGTAGGCGAGGTTGAAGGCGATGATGGAGAAGTAGTATGCTGCGTTGATGGAGGGGTATACGTTCCGCAAGAACCATTTGTAGTAGTGGAGGAGACGCTGACGGGGGGAGGGGTTTGGGGGGAGCTCGTCGCCGGGGTTGTAACGGGGTCCGCCGCTGCTGGAGATGAGAGAGGCGTGGGGCGCGGCGTGGATGTCGTAGCCTTCGTCAAGTTTGCGTTTCAGGTACGGGACGCCGACGAGGACGAGGAGGTTCTTCCACACGTCTGGGGTGCGGAGTTTCAGTGTTTCGCGGACCGGGCCTGGAGCGCCGAGTTGGGCGCGGGGGATCTCGCCATTCTTGGTGAGGAGGACTCGTTCGCGTTTAAGGGAGTAGAAGTTCTCCGTGAAGGAGCCGCCGAAGGTGCGCAGGTAGTAGCGTTCGACGAGGAGGGAGACGAGCGCGTAGAGTTCGTCGTAGGAGTTGAGGATCCGGAGGAGGTAGCGTGGGTGGCGGTGCGTCGCGACGGCGAGGAGGTAGCGGATGGAGGGAGGGAGGAGGTCTGAGAGCTGTTGTTCTGCGAGGAGCTCTGTGATAAGAGGCAGGCTGGGTTAGCTGGAATTGGGGTGTTGAGTGGTTGGGGCGTGGTGCGCGAGGGGGTTACCGAAGAGTGACGGCTTCAGCTCGTCGAATTCCTGCTGTAGACTCGGTAGATACTCCATGATGGTGACCAGGTGGCAGTCATCGTCCCCGGGGGGAGGCAATTGGGGTGGAGGGATGGAGAGATGGAGGATGGAGATAGAGAGATGCGGAGGAAAGGCGGTTGCGGCGCGGCGGCTTGAGCCGAGGCCCATCGGCATGTGGTTTAGTCCGGCTCCACCGCATCTGCCATGGCTACTTACTTATCTACGGAACACTGTACTGTAGAACTGTAGAAGGTTCATGCAGACAACAGTTAGGGGAATTACTATGCTACTGGACGCTCGCTGTTAATTACAAAGCTTCCGCCTTTAGGCAGCCTTACTTTGGCATTCATGCCAGAATTGGACCAGCCTGCCTTTCGAGCCTTCCGCTGCCTTTTCGATGATGCCGGGATCGGCGATGCACAAGCAATCCCGGACGCTCTGCAGAAGCTGGCCATCGAGAGGTATCGAAGGCTTTTCTCGGCCCATCATGGGGAACCACACCGATACACATTCCCGGGCACGAGTTTCATCCCCTAGTACGACATGCAACCGGAATAGCGTCTCGTAGTCCGCTGCGGTACGCGAGCTCCCATCGAGAGGAAGCTTGCGCCACAGCTTCCAGAATTGATCATAGTCCCCATGTTCAAAGTGTGTAACCATTAAATGTCGGGCGTATTCGGAATGAAACGGAATATTAAGAGTTTGGATTATGCGAGACACGCGTGAGGCCGCACTGATCTTCTCGGGCCCTGCGGGACTTGATTCACCGGTAACAGTGCTGAGTGGTGGATCAAGAGATGATCTGAAAATCATACTCCATACTCGCATGTTCAAAACATCGGTACCTCTAAGGGAAAGATGGTCCAATACACGAATGGCCAATTCCTTGTCCGAGTCCGCAACCTTTCCCGCATACATGTCAGTCTCGCTCCCTGCTAGGCGAGGGGTGAGCAACGCTGAAACAACTGAGAATCCTAGATCATCAGGGACTGAAAATGCGGATGTACATTCCACGAAAGCTGCATATAAACTGTCCTTTGTGTATGCAGGGTGTTGTCGGGAAACAGCATGGCACATGAGATTAATTCGAGCCACCACTTGATCCTCTGTAGAACGTCCGGACAAACAATAATACATCATCAAAAAGTCTGTCGACTCGCGATCCTCTGGACCATGGCCTAGCTCGATCCTAGCCTGTTCGTCTGTTAAGTCAGACAAATAGTCAAAGAGCTTATAGGCTTCCGAGTTTGTTTTGACCCCACTGTTGGGATGATCAAGGCCTTTGGACAGGGAGGACGATTCAGCCGGCGTGACATCATGTTCGGCCATCGGGTTGATGAGACGGGGGTTACTGTGGAATTGTCTTCTCTGTTCGAATGTCGGACTCGTTGGAAACCTGAAGACATGTCCGGTGTCGCGGTCAGAATGTGAAATGTTTATCGAATTGGATGGACGAACCTCTCGCGAAGGTGCGGCTGAGTCGACCTCGGGATATTTCTGCTTCGCCAGTTCGGCACGGTCCAATGCTCTCTGCCAAAGGCTCTCGAGATCGACTTCCTCTCTCTTTTCTTCAGTGAAGATCTGCACAACCACCCTGGTTCCCGCTGCAGTATGACCAAATCCTTCGAATTGATAATCAACCTCCGAGTCCACTGGGGCTTTCTCAACCACACCTGCATTGACACAGATCCAGCCTGTCGTGATTCCGTCGTCCTTCTCATCAAAAATCCTGCCGGACCTACTGGTAAGCCGGGCTCGACGGGCTTTCCGCCGGAGCTTAATCTTCAGCTCGTTTCGACCAAGCAAGCCATCCGCGTAAGGTGTTAATTTGTACGTGCTTCTCAGCCAGCGACAGAGACGGTCTGCGGAAACATTGAGATGCTTGACGCTACGAGCAGTGCCAATGATCATGATGACATTTGCGCCGAGGGCCGGCGGCGTTTCCAGGCCTCGTGAGTCAATTATCTTCAGTTCGTCCAGACCAATATCTTTGAACACATAATCGACGAGCGCCGGGAGGATAGCGGGCGGGTTGTCTGGTAGCTCAGGAATATTATCGCGCGAAGAGGTTTGCGGAGCGTCAGCAGCAGTGGATTCTTCTTGCAGATACCACGGAATGTGAGATGATGTATCCGAGGTTGGGTTCACTGCAGAGCCTTCCTTTCCCTCGACAGATGCCTTGGGCACATCGGAGGGGCGGGTTGGCTGTTCAGAGAGCAGGCGAGACACCGAAGCAAAAGACCGATTCACCGGAGGGAATGCGCGGCATGGTGTGGCCCGAGAGATGGGGGATGCACGAAGTATTCCCCTAGCCCAGGGACCTCTCAGTAATAATCTGTTCATGCTGATCTGGATTGCAACAACACGGATGGTAATTGGCACAGACCGGATAGCTTCTTCGGTGGCGACGAGCAGGATGAAGCTGCAGCTCGGCGTCAAACAGCCCAAACACATGACTCAGCACTGAGTCAGCGCGGGCAGAGCAAACAGAGCAAACACTAATTAGTCCCGGCGGGGCAGATCCTGTGACAAATCCAAATTTCCCTCCATCGAACTATCAAAGAGTCCTCGACTCTCTTCTTGCATCTCCCTTTTTCTGTTCTGTCTATTGTTAGGCTTCAGTAACTGCTGCCAACATGTCGATGGATTTGGATGCGCCGGTGCCTTTCTCGGCTTACACGGATCAGTCCGCTGCGACGTGAGTTACCCCGCAAAGGAAAAAAAAAAAAAGAAAAAAGAAAAAAAAGGGCACGAACGGTAACTGACAGGAACATCGTCTAGTATTCTTTGCTGCAACTGCGGTGCTCCTATCGACGGAACGACATCAGCAGGCGCTCTTTGCCAGGACTGTGTGAAGTTGACAGTAGATATCTCCCAAGGTATCCCGAGAGAAGCGGTTCTGCAATGCTGCAAGGATTGTGAGCGTTGGCTTCAGCCGCCCACCAGCTGGATCAGTGCCGCGCTTGAGTCCAAGGAACTGCTCGCACACTGTCTGCGCAAGCTTCGTGGCTTGAACAAGGTCCGGATTATCGACGCCAGCTTCATTTGGACCGAACCCCACTCGAAACGTATTAAGGTCAAGATCACCATCCAGCAGGAAGCGTTCCAGGGCACGATTGTGCAGCAGACCTTCGAGGTAGAATATGTGGTCGCCTCACTACAATGTCCCGACTGCAAGAAGTCGTTCACCGTCAACACGTGGAACTCCAGCATCCAGCTGCGCCAAAAGGTGCCTCACAAGCGAACCTTCCTCTACCTTGAGCAGATCATCCTCAAGCACAACGCTCACCGCGATACGATCAACATCAAGGAAGCTAAAGACGGGTTGGATTTCTACTTTGCGCAGCGGAACCATGCCGATAAGATGGTCGAGTTCCTTGCCTCGGTTGCGCCAACCAAGGTGAAGAAGTCGCAGGAGCTGATCTCCATGGATGTGCACACCTCGTCCAAGTCTTACAAGTTCACCTTCTCTATCGAGCTCATTCCCATCTGCAAGGATGACTTGGTCGCGCTACCCATCAAGCTCGCTAGATCTCTCGGCAACATCTCGCCCTTGACGCTTTGTCACCGCGTTGGCACTACGGTCAACCTCCTCGATCCCAACACCCTCCAAACCACCGATATCCCGACAGGTACCTACTGGCGGTCGCCCTTCCGGAACCTTGCCGACGTCACCCAGCTGGTGGAATTTATCATCATGGACATTGATTTGGTAGGACGCTCGAACGGACGGTTCCACCTCGCTGAGGCGACTGTTGCCCGCGCCTCGGATTTGGGCTCCAACGACCAGACCTACTTCACCCGCACTCATCTTGGTGGAGTTCTCCACGTCGGTGACGTTGTGCTCGGATACCACCTCACTGGCGCCAACTTCAACGACCCCAACTTCGAGGAACTCGAGGCCAGCAGCCAGTACAGCTCTACCATCCCCGACGTTGTGCTCGTCAAGAAGTTCTACGCCCGCAAGAAGAAGAACAAGGCCCGTAACTGGCGCCTCAAGCGCATGGCTCGCGAATACGAGGAGGAGGCCGCCGCGCAGCAGACCGCCGTCCTTAGCAAGAAGCAAGAGCAGGAGCGTAATCGTTTGGAACAGGACTACGAGATGTTCTTGCGGGATGTCGAGGAGGACCAGGAGCTGCGTGGCACTCTGGATCTGTACAAGGCACGGAAACAGATGGCCGCCCAGAACGACATGGATATGGATGAGAGTGAAGATGAGGAGGTGCCCAAGATCGACATGGACGAGCTGCTTGATGACTTTGACGAGTTGAATATGAACGACGAGTAGGTTCTACGGAGCTTTCATTATTACGACTGCACTAAGGGGTTCGGCGTTCACTATGGCTATTCTGATATTGTTGCGGTTAACAACATCTGGGCTGATATACAAAAGTTAAGGTAGATAGATGATACACAGTGAATCTCATGATGATTCTCCAATACACGGGCATCTGTAGTGAAGGCTTCGGCTCTTCAATGTCAAACTCGATACGGAAGTATTCATGGCTAGCAAATCATGGTGAATCGCGTTGCTGGAAGAATCCCAATATACTCTATTTAAGTCTCCATAATTTCCCTCTCGCAAGACTCCCTCCATTCTCACAATTCTCTTCTCGGTACAAACCTCTAAATCGTACCGCACCTTTATACCACTTTCTGCAAGAATTGAACATCTCAAGACAACCACTTGCATATTACCTACATACTGCCCCAGGCATTACCACTTCAAAGATCGAATGAATAACTACACCGATATCTGCCTTGTGCATTCCAATTTCCACGTCTGTCTCCCTCATCCTGCTTGAATAGGGATGAAGGAAGCCTTAGCTATCCCGTCCTCAGCCATCTCGAGTCGACTTTGTCCCCACTGCGGTGGAGGATCATCCTGCGCGAGATTCTAGAACATAATATGTCCGCTGGATTATTCGACGGATAAAAGAGGGGTTGAGTTGGGTGTCAGGTATGTACCGCTGTCTATGTTCAACGCTGACCAGCCCTAATTGGTGTATAAAAGGCAAGGCCGATCAGCAGTCTATCTTATTAATTCGCATCGTTCCACTTTGTTCCACCAAGTCGACCCCAATGATCGATCATGGAATATAGAGCCGTGTGTACTATATATTCTTTTGCTTCTAAAAAGAAAATTCATGATGCAGTGGGAAGTGGCTAAAGTATTATTTCTCCAGGTCTGGGTCCCGACGCCTGTGCCAGCCCTGAATATAGTTGCTTAAACAGCTATCATCTATGAAGATGTAGACAAAGGTCATTGCTTGACCTTCTTTCGAGGCTTTTCTGCTTTTCTGCTCTTAGCTACGGGTTATCATCATTCATCCTTGAATGGCCGGACAGAAAGCAGAGCTGTCCGCTGGTTTTTGGAGAGGTTGGAAACGGACAACTTTAGGTTGGTCCTCTGCTCTGGATGCTATACTTTGTCATCGTGGTGGCTTATGGTATGGTGGGGCTCTATTTAGAGTTATTGGTCAAATGGAGCTAGCCATGAAGTTGATAAGAGCACTTCCGACATTCTGCATCTTGATGGTGACTTTGTTTGGGGGAGTGTCGTTTGTTTACAAAATTCTTAGCGCATGGTGCTAGGGGATTACACTGCCGAAGAAAATCATGAGCCGGAATCATCAAGGCCCGTTACGCAAAAGGTTGGATGGTGGAAATATCCTAGAGGACCTTGATCAACTTTCAAGATTTGCAGGATGCTATCAGGGGATTTGGTTGAGCTAGTTGGCTGGACGTCGAACGAATACTAGAATCCTGTGGAAGTAGAGGTAGGTCCTATTCGTGGGTATATGGTCTGTTCTCAATGACTGGCTCATCGGGAGCGTGGGCTGTTGTTTCTTTGGGGGGGGGGGGGAGTTGCAGATGCGGAGGCGGGTTAGGGTGCGCATCACGGATCGGGTGCACTGTATACAACATGCATTTCGCGGGCTCTTGACGCGGCGAAAGCCAATAACTGGGTTGTGATATGGCAGAAGGACATCGACAGCGAGGATTGGAATGTATTCGCCTAAGAATGATTGATGCTTACTGATTTGCTTGATGCTTACTGACGTTTTATTGATTTTTTTTACTCCCCTTTATGTATGTCGAGGACGACAGGCTCTTCTTCTTGCCGGCAATGTGGCAACCCCTGGGTCTGCCACTGCACACTGCATTTAGTTAGAGTAGTTATCTAGCTAGCCGTTCCCGTGTACAGAAGGAGAGAACAACGCTTCATACCTGATCAAATGCTTACTACTAGTAGGGGCTAAGCCCACTAAGCTGCCACATTGGATCGGGATCGGCCGGGGTAGCAGGGTCACTCAGAGCTTTGATAAGTGGTAACCGGGTATGCGGGATTTCAAGAATATGAGCGACTTCATGTGTCATTTTAAAGTTGGGGGGGTAGAAGAAGATGATCTCATTCCTAAGCCAGAGAATGTACTATGTAGATGGGTAGCTGCCAGTAACATTCTTGATGGAACGAGGTTCGTTTTTCACACATCCTGCCCTGTTTGACCTTGATAGCATGTGAGAAGCTCTCGGTATTTCAACATTGCACAGTGTTTAAACAGAGATGGTATAAATAGCCATGTGTGACAGGCAGGGGTGCAGGGGTGGCAGCGTAGGGGGTGGCACCAGGGCCATCAAGCATCGAGCTGTGGGAGGCTTGATGCCTATTCTGTCAGGCAATTTGGAGCAGGTATCACGCGAATCCGGGTGTCAGAGGCTTAGACCAATGGCGGTTGGGATCTGGACTATTCTTGCCTACACGGTATATTGCTACCAACTACCAAGGCGGGAAAGGTATCAGGCTGCAGAGCAGGTTGGGGCGGATTGGTTGGTCCGAGAGCACTGACGACTGGTTGCGTTCTTGATCATGCAACATTCCCTCCCATCCGAGGACATGTCCTGTAGGTTGACTAAGAGAGGGGATGATGTACACATGCATAACTACTGGCCGTTTGGTACTCCGTACTGTAGTTATGTAGTACACCCTGTAGCAGGGCACGAGAGGGGTTGTGATGAGCGAGATCGCGACCGCTACCTGGCGAGGGACCAGTGAGGCTGTGACTCATGCAACTGAGAAACTGGAAAGGCCACTAAATCAGATAAGGACGGGTGGCCAGCGAGCTCCTCCGTCGCCCTCCGTCGTCCGTTGTCCGTCTGGACAATTTGGCAGCGGGGGATATTAATCAGAAGAGGGTCTGTTCATTTCATTGAAGATCCTCCAAGGCAATCTCCAGGCCTCAGGCTATCAGATGGCACCTCCTCAGGCACCACCGGGGGGCTTGCTGGCACCAATCAGGGCGTCTGGGCGAGCTCCTGCCCAAACAATGGGCGCCGTCGGCCCATGGGGGCCCCACTGGCTAGCCCGAGTAGGCCTAGGGATGCAGTGAAGCGAACCAGTCAGGGCGGGCAGGCGCGCCAAAGCGACGGCGGGTGTCTCAGGCCAGCGTCTGAAAGGCAGAATGGGGAAGGGACGAGGGACGGCGATGGAGTGGCATTGTTCAGCTGAAATCCAATAGTCCATTTGGACTCCGTATCTCCTTCTTCATCCTTCATCCTCCATCCTCGCCTTTTCCCTACTTCTCGACTCTCTTTCTCCTCCTCCTCCCCGCCGGTTCCTCTCTTTCTCCTTCTTCCTCTCTCTCGGACTCCCTCCTTCGCGGCCTCTCCTCAGCATCTTCCCACCTCCTCCCTCCACCCCTCCCCAACCCAACCCTGCCTTCACTTCTCCATCACCCCCTTTCCCTTACTTTTAACTTGTCTATCGATCCTCCATTTATCGCTGTATCTTCAACCTACTTTCCTTCTCTTGTCTCATAATCAACACATCCATTCGACAGTCGACGACGCGTCGTCGGTTCGTTCCATCGCCCGAGCACCCGCGGTTGTTCGTTGGGGTGGTTCTGGTGGTCTGGTCTGGTCTGGTCTGGTCTGTCTGCCTGGGGCACTGGCACTTGGACGGGTCTCCATAAGCGCGGAAGAGGGAAAGGCACGGAAAAAAGAAAAAGAAAAAAGCGGCCAAACACGCGCCGACCCCCGAAACGATTCGCCCGGCGTTGAACCTCGTTTCTTCCATCTCTCCCAACCCTTCCTTCTCCCTCCCTCCTCTCCCCCCCCCCGTTCGACGTGCGAAAAAAAAACAGTGACAAATCGAGAAAAGACAAAAAAAGAACCCGAGGAAAAACAAAAGAAAGAACGGAGGTTAATAAATAGTTTCGCCCCCGATCCCCCAGAGAAAAGCGAAAAGTCCAGCCCTCTGCTTTTATCCCTCATTGCCGCGATCGCGTGTTTTTCTTCCGACCGTCTGATCGTCAGACCTGATCTCGACTCTCCTACCGCATCTTTGTGTTGAACTTCCTTTTCTACGGCTACTCGGGAGTTGCAGAGCATCTCCAGCCCACACTTCTTATCATCTGTCTTATAATACAGAGTCCCCCCCATCCATCCTCCCGGCTACCTCGGATCTTCTCTTCCCATTCGGTCGCGTCTATCCTTCGTCCCTCGCTTCCTCAGCACCGTCATCGCCCGTCAACGTCGACACCCCGTCTTATAATTTCTTGTACACCTGGTTATTAATCACTCCTTGGCTTTCGGCCTTGTCCATCGAGGCGCTTCCTTTGCGTATCTTGTTGTATTCTGCAGGTACGTCACTTCCCGGTCGGTCCGTCTTGCACGCACATCCCGGACTGACACTTGTCAAGCCTGCTTTGGGTTTTCACCACAGGGAGTCCGGACTTTCGCCTCGTTCGTTGCATATCAACCCCCGTTCTCCGGTGTCGGTTTTGGTGCCTCGCCATCGGCCTTGTAATATTCTAATACGCCTAAAGATTTTTGTGTGGTCGACCACATCACGCCTCCGATCGCTGAACCACCAGCGCTGTTTTCATTCGTCTCTTGCACATACGGTTTTATACTCCTTTTACAGCCACGAGTATGGACACTGGCGGTCTTGCTCAGATGACCTACAATCCGTCTTTCAATAATGGCAGCGGCCTTGGGGTCCCCGGGAGCTTTGCGTCCCGGAGAAAAGGGTCTCACATCAAGCGTTTGAGCGTGCCCCCGCCGCACATCTCGACCATCGATGAATCCCAGCCGTCTGCGCCGGTCCCAACCCCGCGCACCAGCCGTTCGCATCTTTTGGCAGGATTGAGGACCGCTCCAAAATCTGCGACGATTCCTTCCGCCGCTCAACGTCAGCAACACCTTGGCCTGGAAGGTGATCGATATGGCAACTACTCCAACCGGACTGCGGATCGCGTCCCACAGACCGCCATGGGAACCGGATTCCCACGCCACTCATTAGCCGTGAACCAAGGTCTGGACGTGAACACAGGTCATCCCGTGTACACTCTGCCGGAGCAGGTGCTCGCACCTCCGGCTCTTGACATCGCCGGCGATAACCAGATTGACGAGAGCTTGTACGCGGAATTGATGTCGACGAACCTTTTCTTGGCCGCTCAGCAGCAGCGCCTGCAGCAGCAACTAATCTCCGTCACCGCGGCAGCCCAGCAGTTCCAGGGTCTCAACCTGGGACCGCCCATGGCCCAGCAACAACAGGAGTATCAATCCATGTCGATTCCCGGCATGGGATTCTACCAGCAGCAGCTCCAGCAGGGTGTGCAGCCAATTGTGCAGCCCGTCCCCGGTCAGCCAGGGCTCTACTCCGTGTACAACCCCCTGACTGGTCAGCAAAATTATGTCTACGACAACTCTTTCCAGCAAGACGGCTCCTCTCCCCAGTATCAGGAGGAAGAGATCCAGTCTCCGCCTACGCAGGTGCCCACCTTCCGAGCTGAGGTGTCCCCGCCGCCCGAGTCCAGGCAATCTCCCGTGAATGTCGCGCAGCCCGTGTCTCCTCCCAGTGGCCGGTCTTCCCCTCGGGAAACCGCCCCTCTTCCTCCCCCCTCCGCAAATGCTTTCCGCAGGGGCCACAAGAAGAGCTCGTCGTTCAGTCCTGTGCCCAAGTTGCCCATCGACACCGCCAAGGCGAATAACACGATCACTCCTGCCGCTCCTAAGACCGCTGCATTGCCCCAGACCCCGGCCACTGGAACGTTTGGACCCGGACAGGCTCGTGCCGGAGAGCACCCTGTCCGCCAGCCTCGCGGCCCACCGTCTCTTGAGGAGCTTGTTGCCAAGCCAACATCCAAGCACGAAGGAAGCAAGAACTTTGCGACCCGTCAACGTCGCCGTGCCGTTCACAACCTGGTGCGTGCGGGCATTGAACGGCGTGGAGAGACCCGGAGCTTCGGTTGCCACAGCAGCGGCGGCACCAACACCCCGGCGAGCGAGAAGGAATTCACGTTCTCTGATGGGGATGATGCTACTGTTCGTAGTGGGAGCCTGTCCAGCAAGCCCAGCCTGGGCAGTCTGCGTGCTGCCGCGAATGGCGCAATTGGCTCAGAGAGGAAAGAGAGATCTTCTCGCGAGCGCAGATCGCAGGATAGCCCGTACAACACGACTCCCATCAGCGAGGATGGAGGCTTCTTTGGCGGGAAGTTCGCAGAGGTCCGACCCGATCAGGTCCCTTCCCGCACGGGATCACCCTCGGTTGCTGCTGTCGTCGCTGGCCAGAAGACGGTAGCTCCGGGTCAGGAGCGGCGCAAGACTCCGATGCTTGTGCTCTCCAGTGCTGAGAAGCGCAAGACCCCGATCATGTAATGCGAACGTCGTACATAATGTGACTGAGACGTAACGGACGTGCAAAGCTTGGATGAATTGTTTTTCTGTCTTTTTTTTTACCGCTCTTGGATTTGAGTTCTGCGGGCACTATGGTTCTGTTCTGAGCAGACCAGATAACACAGTTAATTTTTATGTGATGGCCGGATCCTCGGAGAGATCCTCGGCCTACGTTCCCTCTCCTCTTTTGACCCTGTGCATGGACACACGACCAGGACTGCCCAGCAGTGGACCTATCCGGGGCAGGACGAAGCAAGCCTCAATGAAATGTGAATTTTCTTCTTACTGTTATTATTCGAATCCTCTCCTTATCTCCTTCCTATTCTTTCCTTCGTTGGACCTGAACAGATTGACGAACCACGAGCCCTGAATCCGAAGTCCATTTTGAGTCGTGCTCTGTCGGCTGAAATTCCGGACGCTCCTTCCCACCTTTTGGCATGGGATACTGTACGTGCATGCATCTGGCTATGTGTGCGCATTTCATAACTTGAATCTCATCCTATCTATTACCACATAATCTGCGATAACCACGTAGTAGCTCCTTCCCATAGACCAAGACCCTGTACGAGTGACAGTTTCGGGGCAGGAATGACATTCCTGATAAAAGTAGGATCGAGGAGGAGCCCTAGGTAGTATAGAGTAGCACTTTCCACATTATGTCCATAACCACTGTAACATCCCATCCTCCCTCCTGCCTCCCACCTCCCCTCCCCCCCGTAGTATCCATATCCATTAGCAAAACATAGTGCGGAGTGCGGAGTACATGCATAGCCCTTGGTATGACAAGGAGGTAGTAGTAGCCAGTGGAGAACCCGCATATGCAACATACCAGCCTGCCTCCAGCGTACACGTACTAACTAGTTAGTTAATAGGTAGTAGTCTTACGTACCCAGTACCCAAAAATAGCCCTAGCTGCATGGCTGCATGGATAGTATTATCTAGTAGGTACTTACTTACTAGATAACTACTAGCAGCCTACATTCTATGATGTGTATCCTGATTGGTTATTGATAGATTTGAATGAATCGGAATGAATGAGTAAGTGAATGAGTAAGTGAGTGAGTGATTCAGTGAGTGATTGACATCCCGGGTGGGTGGTTTGTGACGGCAGAATGAGGGGAGTAGTAGTTATCTCAGGAATTTTCATTAAGAATTAATTGTAATTAATGGATGGATGGATGGATGGATGTGGTTTTGGTTGTGATTGTGAGTGGGTGGATGGGTGGGTGGGCTATCTATGTATCTCATTCTATTTCTTCTACTTATAAACTTCATTCACTCATTACTTCATTCATCCATTCATGCATGGTTTGTTGGTTGAAATTCAATCATGCATGCATGCATGCAGGTATAGTACATAGTACATACAGTACAGTAGTGCTCCAGCGTCGGGGGGGGGAGGGGGTTGGTTATTATTATATATACGGAGTACATCATTCTGCATTCTATTTCTGCATTCTGATATCATTTGTGGTTGATTGGTTGGTTGGCTGGTGTACATGTACATGGATAATAAGATAGAAAGAAAGGTGGTGAAAGGGTGGTGGAAGGGTGAGAGTGAGAGGGCGATGTTACACAAGAGGAATATCCAGAAGAGGAAGGAGGGAAGGGGTCCCCCCATCTATTCGTAGAAGGAACTCACCATAGATAGAAGTAATTAAAATGTGCATGTATGGATTTGCTATCCGTCCTGCTTGGAGATGGATTGATTGCCTTCCTGTATTCCGAAAGGAAATGCAATAGTATACCCAGTTAGAACTTGGACTTTGGTCATTATGATTAGTGTTTTGCTGTTGTTGGTCTTCAATTGGTAGATTCCATCTAATCCCTACCTTGTAGGTACCTACCTACCTACCTACCTTGTAAAAACAACTGATTGTCTGACCTTGTTGTCTCTTTCTCGTTCTTCTTTAAGGGCTTTGTGTGACTGACAACCTAGCTGCCTGACTGCCTGGCTGCATGGCTTTATTTTCCACCGAAGAAAGTCTACCTTATAGGAACATTAGACATGCTACAATTGCAAGCCGAAGTAAGATGCAATAAAACGGGAGCTAGCTCATGACTTATGAGATCGTATCTTTCTTTGTTTCTTTCTTTCTTTCTATCTATCTATCTCAATCAGACTCAGGCAGTATCTGCGTCTGCCTGTGTCTGATGACAGGCACGATGAAAGTCCGTACGTATACTATAATGATGGCAGGCACGCACGCAAATAGGCAAGCAGATAGTGAAGCAGGAGACTCAACTCAACCCAGAACAAGGCAAAGAGCAGCAAGCTAAGTAATCAAGCAGGCAAGGCAGACAGACAAACATGCAGGCATACAGACGGGCAGGCATACAGACGGGCAGGCATACAGACGGGCAGGCATACAGACGGGCAGGCATACAGACGGGCAGGCATACAGACTGGCAGATGCTAAACCACCATGAGACAAATTGCAGACAGACAAAAAGACAGAAAGACCAAACCGCCGTATACTTTTATAACCCAAACATCCAAAAGAGTAAGATTGCGAAATGAGATCGAAAGGTGGAGGATAGAGCGAATGACAGGAGGAAAAATCCGTTGTTAACAGTAAAATACAAGTGCTGTGATCGGCTGACAATCGCTGCAGAGACGACGAGCAGAACAGATCCATTCCCGAACAAACCCAAAAAAGTGAAACGATAGAGAACCAAAGAAAAAGAGACCCCAATATATGCAAGATCACGGCTCAAACCAGGAGGGAAAATACACAACAGAGAAGGACACATGCATAGAGACAAGAGAACTAGAGGATCGACTCGGATCGAGAGTAGTAATCAGAAACATAAAGAAGTCCACGCTGAAGAACAGGACAATTCGCTTCAAGGCAGCAATGCAAGGAAGGGTGAGTGAGGTGACCGGATTGTCTAGAGTGAGCTAGAGGGAAACGAAAGGCTGGGTAAGGATAGACGGAGTGAAGGGTCGGTCGAATCGAAGTGTAGCTTGTATCTAGACTAGAAGCTGAATAGTCCACTTCGCTTCTTTCCAAGTGGATAGACAACCAGCGCGGCTAAGAACAAGCCGACAGTGAACCCAACGGCTACCTGGATCATCCCGTAACCGATGTCCAGGACCACGCCGTGGAACTCGCGCTCGTACGAGGGGCTGGACATGTTCTTCGCCGCATCCACGAACCCCTGTGTTCCGTTAGCGACGACAGAGAACGCAGTTGGCGCCGTGGTGATCTGTTCTGCGGCGGCGATGCCTGAGATCAGCGATCCACTGGCAGCAAGGCCAGACGGTACAAGAACGAAGATGGCTGGTAGCATTGCGGCAGCAGCAAAGCCATGTCGGAGTCGGCTATAGAGATTCCCCATCACCCCAATGACGAAAGCCCCCAGGGCATTGGAGATCTGGCTGCTGGAATAGAATCGCTTCGTGCCAAAATAATTGGTCACGTAGCCTGCGAAGGCGATGAATAACATCATTGGCATCTGCCGCCACTTCGCTTGGTTAATGACTGCAAGACAAAAGGTGAAAAGAATGGCGAAGGGGAAATGCTGGAGGTATTCGTTGGTGATAGGGCTGGCGGGGCAAGTGTAGTCCGAGGACGCATCGTCATCCAACAAGCCATAGACGGCTGTCCCAATTGTGATGCCGAACCCCAGGAAGAGGGAGTAAATAATGGCATACACCATGCGAACCGATCCCGCGACAATGCTGCGGGACTGCAGTTCAAGGCTGGCGCACAGCACCATGTATCCGGGAAGGATCAGCGCAATCGAAGATTGAGCCAGGGCAGAGAAACAGAAGAGCCGGCCATCGCCGTACCGGATACTGCCAAAAGCCCGAGCCAAAAAAGAGGTCAAGACGGCGGCGGAGATTTCAAAGACGTTCGAGTATAGGTTGGAGCGGGGCGAAAGCACAAGCTGCAGGATACCCAGGAGAGATCCGAGGAGAAAGGCGATGGGCATATCGATGGGGCGAGCGTTAAACGCGAACGGACCGACGCAAGCGCTGGCACATCCGTAGACTAGAATGACCACCGGAATTGGGTACTTGTTGTTGTCCTTCATGATTTCGTCCAACCGTTGAATCGCTTCCTCCACTCCAATCACGTCGTGTATCACCTCCTTGTAGATCAAATGCACGTCGCAGAGCCTCCCCAGATCGACTCCCTGGTGGCTCCGCACCAAACGCACTTCCGTGGTATGAGTCGACGTGTCGTCGAAGGATATGATCATACAGCCAGGTATGTACAGGAATTGGCCGTCTACCTCCAATACACGGGCCGTCATCTTCATATATTCCTCCAACCGATGGGTGGGAGCCCCGTACTTCATCAAAGCCCGGCAGAGCCGAATCAGATACCGTTGGCGCGAGAGCAGCTCCGCTATCTGCACGGTGATGCGGATCTCGTCCTCCAGTTGCGGCTTGCCCATCCGCTTGGGCGCCGCCGTAGGGATGGCCCCGCTGCTCCGCGAACGCTTGAGCATCGCGATCGGGGATGTAGTCGCGTCCTTGGCTGAGTCGGCCAGCGAGGTGCTGGAGTGGTTAGGGGACTTCTCGTACCACTTCCGGGGCCGCTGGGACTTCCAGGACGGCACCGGCGACAAGCCGTGATCACTGAGCTCTCCAATGCTATGGGAACGGCCATGGCGAGCCCGCGAGTAGTGGTTCGCGGGCTGGTCGTAGAGTTTGAGTAAGGAGGAGAGGATACCGCCGCGGTAATGGGCTGGGCGTTCGACGTAGTGGTCGGGATCCCTGTCCTCCATGGGAGTGACCTGCCCGGATCGGAGCCCAGGGGAAGGGCCCTGGATCCTGGTCAGGAAGCTGAAATCAGGGCGAGTCATTTGCGTGACTAGTTGGTGAGCTTGGGAGGTACGTGTCGATTGTCGGGCGTTCAGGGGGCCGACTTCATCGTCTTCTGAGTATTCGTCAAGATGCTGTTTCTCGGGAAGACTGATCATAGGAATCTCATCCCCATCTTCTGACGGCAGCACCACCTCTGTGGGACTCAATGATGCGATCGATGGGCGCCGACAGGACCAGGAACTGGGCGTCGGGGATTTAGAAGGTCGGTGCAGCAAGGATGCCAGCCGCTGGGCTCTCTCTTGAGCGGAGTGGATAGCTCTCCCCTTCTCATTTCTGACTTCATCATCCTCGCCCGTGAGCCCCGTGGAGCTGGCTGCTGAGTGGACCGTGAGGCCCGTGACACCTGCCGGCGCAGCGGCGCTGATATCGATCGCAGGCACTGATTGGGAGTCGAGGGGCGCCCTGACTGCCGATGGAATGCTCGCCGTGGGCAATGGTCTTTGGGGCAGTGGTGACCCCCTTCCCTCCCACCGGGTCTCTGACGTCGATCCGAGGGGACTGTTGCCAAGGCCCGCCTCGCTGACCGTGAATTTGACCCGATTCGCGCTCTTGAGGATTCCTGCATTCCGATACCTGCCCTGAGCTTCGCCGGAGTCTGGCGACCTCTCCTGCCGCCTCTCATTGGGGGTCGGCAGGGGGGTTGAGACACGCGGCCCTGGGGAGGATCCGCTGGGTCCTCCGGATGGATCAGAAAGGCTTGAACGCCTGGTAGAGGAAGAGGTGGGCAGATCGAAATAACCGCCAGCCATTCTTGGTGGCTGTTCGTGACTTGCCGGCTCTTCGTCTTCAATCCGCGGAATTGGCGGTACTCCCTGTGTGACTCGTTGTCTCTGGAGGTTTCGGGATTCTATTTTATTATCTGTGCTCCCCTCCCGATTCCTACACGTAGAACTCCAATACGGGGAGGTACCCTCTTCGGTGTCCAGCACCGTGGCTTGGAGAGGGGCTGGGGGGTTCTTCTCCCAGTAGCCTAGCAACCACGTCAGATATGTACTGTGTACACGGTATCATCCGCCGAGCTTGGCGCCCGATGTGCTCCGTACCTCGCAGCAGGCTGTGCCAAGTCGCAGGAATGGGACGCCCGATGATGTGATTAGGAAGTTGCGGTACTCGGATGGGCTTCCCTCTCGGAGAAAGGGCCGTCGGAACGGTGGGTTGGAAGGGATAGAAGTCCCGCCACAAGGAATGAAAGTACGTCACGGATACATAGTCCAGCTTGGATGCAGCCTGAAACGTCTAAAGAAAGAATTCCGCTGCTGCAGGAGAAAAGGGGGAGGGGCGGGGGCGAAGGGAGAGGGGGAGGAGGACGAGGAAGAGGCGGAGGAGGTGGGGATGATAGCAGTCGCAGGATTCCAGGAATGAAAGGGGATGAGGAGGTGCAGATGTGAGCTTATACTCGGGGTCCTCCTGCGGCAGCTGATGGCAGAAGGGAGACAAACGATGGAGAGGAGCTCTGGGCTCTGGTGTGCTGGACGAAAGCAGCCGAATGGGGGCAATGAGCCCTCCGGATAGAGACTGGCAGGGCCAATCACGGAGCTCAAAACAGCCCAGTGATCATATGAAGAACGTCGATGTGCGCGATCTCTGCTTGGCTTTGTGTAGCGGCAGAGGGCTTGCGGAAGAATATGAAATTGGCAATGCGGAATGAACGTCTCCCCTGACGGGTGGTGGGGGGGGGGGAAGGAAAGAATAGTATAGAGAACGAAAGGGATGGATGAATGCGATGGATGCGATGGGAGCCAGATTCGGAGGTGGAAGGGCGCAGGGGCACTTTTGTATCAGATGGAAGCTGCTGCTGTTCTAGTCATAGTACTGCACTGGGCTGCTGCTGCTGCTGCTGCTGTTGCTGTTGCTGCCGTTGCTGCTAGACTTGCCACCGGGGATGCAGAAGTCCAATCCAATCACGGCGTGCATCGGTGGAGTTGAGTTGCGAGCATGACGAATCTGGGAGGATGGATCACAGACCCTCTCCGACGACAATAAAATAGAACATCTCGCCCAGGTCAAAGTCAAAAGTCAACCGCCCTTCAGGCCGACCCCGACTGGTGTCTCCATCCACCCCGCCGATGGACCCAGGGGACCCATGGACCGATGGGTCCCCTGGGTCTCTCGGGGGTCCCCAGCGGATGCGGATCATCCTCCAGTGACAGAAGTCCCAAAGAACCCGGAGAGAGAAGGGATAAGGGGGGGGGGGGGGGGGGGAAGGGTGACACCCCAGCTGGATTGAGGAACATCGCGCCCGGGCAGAGAGAGACGACTTGGGCGACTATCTTGGATGCGGTCGCCGTCATCGACGGAACCGGTTCCACGAGGTCCACGATCCCGTACCACGGCAGCCACGGCAGCACGGCAGCAGACTATCAAACTGACGAGGGGAATTGATCCAGAAGATAGAGAGTGGAGAGTGGAGAGCAGAGCAGAGGGAAAGAGAGAAAGAGGGGGGGAGAGGAGGGGAGAGGAGAGGAGAGGAGAAAGAGTTCCTTCCCCGCTGGGATGGTGATGCGAAGTGGTGTGCACCAGTCAGGAACCGGACTGATATCTTCTTGTTCTATTTATGACTTATTTGATTTTGCCTTTTTCTTTCTCGCCTATCCTTCTCTTTTGACTTTGGGGATGTCTTTGATCTTGGTTAAGGATTACTCCGGCTGGCATGTCTCTGGATCTATGCTATGTGTATGACTTCCTTCTGGAACCGTTCAAGGCCATCCTGTCCTCAGGAACCGTGGATCCCGCGGATGGGATTGGTCGGGACAGGGCATTCAAGCTCTCTTGATCGCCTTGCTTTTGCTTTTGCTTCTGATGCGTTGCAAAATGCAAAGCCCCGAGTGGATCCTGACTGGGTCCGGCAGGAGCCCCCCTCGAAGGGCGACTTTGGAACCGACAAAGTTAGGGCCCGAACCGGACCAGAATCTCAATCATCATCTTCAAATCCCCAGCTTGGACCCACGGTTGATGGCCGGTCGGTCTGGAACTCGACCCGTCACGGCGTCAACGCGTCAGCCTCAACCAGTCCCTCGGCTACCCGATCGCAGCGTTCGATGCGACATGACGATGGTGGTGGTGATGACGAGTAGGTAGGTAGGTAGGTATGGACTGAGTACACGGTGACTGCAGGGACGTGTCCAGTAAGTTGGCCCAGTCCGGTTGATGTTATTTTGGTCGGTGCCTCTAGTGGGGCAGAGCACAGCAACCGGATGCCAGATGACGAAGCGTCGGGGGAAATGGATGGAAACTGGGAGGAGAAAAGGAGGATAGCTGCGAATCAGTGGTTCTCCTTCCTCCCCTGGACTATCCCTGGGTTATCCCTGGGGATCACCGCAACGGATGACAGCAAACAGTGGCTATTGATGGCTGATGCACGGGGCACTCGGAGATCCCAAGGCCCATGGCAATGGCAGCGGCTCTCCCAATCCGGCATTCCCGTCTCTCCTCCAGCTGCGACGGATGGACGGGGTCCTCAGTGGGAGGGCAGGTACATACATACAAACTCACAAACTCCCTTCCCTGCGGTGTATCCTGAATATCTTGGATGCCTCCGAGATGTCCACGATCACAGATCGAAGGATAGGATCGTTTCAACTCCTTACTTTGGCCGCCCTGCCGGTCGGGATGGCGGCTGGCGGCCGATCTGCATGCCTCGAATCACCGAATCAATCACATCGTTGCCCCCCGTCAGTCGGCAGTGCGCCAGGATTACTTGCTGCATCAGGGGACCTTCACGGCTCCACTACCATATTCGTCTGCCTGGTCTGCATCCGCTGGATTTAGAACTCCCCATGGCAGATACCAAATAGAGTAAGTGTGCCTGGCTAATGGCTATGGCCCAGCGATCAACGATCCAAGCCCGAAGATCAAACGGCAGTCGAATAAATAGCGGCCCCCCAGCCACGACGCACCCCGGGGTGCTTCGTACGCGCCCGATCCTGCTACTGGCTTGTATCACGCAGCCCCTATCCATGATGTCAATCAACGAGTTCTATCTGGTGGATTGCGTGGCGCCGGTGACACGATGGACTTGGTTGGAGCAGCTCTGCTCGTTTTTCCCTGTGGTTGGGGGTCGTTTTCTGTTTATTCAGGCGACGCAACTGAGTCAAGGTTGACCGACGCCTGCGCAGTTCATGGTTCCATCGACTACGTATTCTCTGCATGACTGACGCCCTCTACTGGGTCCTCCCGGGCCTCTGTCGCTCGTCACAGCAACCAGCCTGTCCGACCCTGGGCGGATCCAGCTTCCCTCCCGTCTCACCTGGACGAGCGCTGCCGAGGATGGTCGTGACACCTGCACGAACGCAGGGACCAATCTTTAATTCTGCAATCGGGAGGTGCAAAGGACGGACGGCACTCCTCCCAGGTGACACCGCGGAGGCAGCGCTGCCGACCCGGCGGATGTCTGTGTCCTTGGCTGAAGACTGCCTCCTCGTCGGGCTGGAGGAGATGCCGGTGTATGTGTGTCTTTTTGTGGGGTATGCAGTGCACTGCATTGCATTCTTGAGCGATGCGACAACATTCACTCGACCGTCGATGGGTACCGCCGTTGACATCATCGGACTGGGGATCGAGCAGCGAGGGGGCGCTGGGAAGGGCGTCGTCGTTTTCCACGAGCTCCGACACCCACCAGCGCCATGGCGTCGATACGGCAAGGGACTGGCTGGGCGAGGCGTCGTCCTGGGCAGGGGTGGGGCGACTTTATTTCCGCGGATTCAGGCTGGTCTGGACTCATCTTCCATCGGCAGTCAGAAGGGAGTATCTGCTGGGAATGAGATTCAAACCCATCCCCTCTTCCCACCCCCCTCCCTGGCGAACACTCCCAAACAATCCCAACCGATAAGATTGAACAGAATAGAACAGAACAAGCCAAAACGTCCCTGCACGATGACAGAGTCACAACCCGGTCAGAATGACCGAGATACAATCCAAACCCCCTTCCTCAACCCTTCTATCCATCAAGTGATCCTCCACCCATTATGAGAACCTGAACCCAAAATCACTACCCATCGAACTTCCAGATCCCTTAGTTCCTATCATGTGGTCTATCCGCAGAAACACCAGGACAAAACAAACCTTCTGCGCAACCAGCCTATTATCCTACGCTGTTGATTGACTACATTCTCATTCTGTACATTGTCCTTTTCACCTGATCATTCATGATCACTATTATTCGGTGTGCACACACGCCCACAAACACAGACCCGCCCAGACTATACAGTATACAGTTTCAAACCCAGTCACAATCACATGAAACCCCCTCCCCAGATCCGTCCACTCCAGTCCCCTCCGCTATCGGACCCCCACCAGCTCGAGCAAAATGTGCCGGGCCAGCCTGGGCACAGGCTGCACTCAACACCACGATGTAGCTCATATCCTACCCGAGTCCTGTTGAGCTTACAGGGTGTGACCTGAGCGAGCGCGCGGGGATCAGATAACATCACTGCTGTGCTGCACTGCGCTGCATGGACTCGACTGGGAGGAGATGAGGTAGCTAGTAGGTAGGTAGGTGGTTGTGCAACTAGCCAATCGGTTGTTGTTTGTCCGATGCGAATGGGGAGGGGTAGGCATATCTAGTGGTTGGAGATGGTTGGAGATGGTTGGAGATGGGTGGGCCTGGAGTTAGAGCTGGGCTGGAGCTAGAACTGGGTGGGAGCTGGGTGGGAGAACTGGGATCAGTGTATGGATGTGGTGTATTTGCTGGCCGACTCCGTTCGTCTTATAATCTTTGGCTTTTCTGTTGTTTGCTACCTCAGTGAGCCTGGGTAATATCTTGTTATACTACGGAGTAGACTTGAGGGTATTGTCAAGAGATGTGTTCTCTGTGCATAGTATAGTAGAGTCATTGTCTGACTTACTACCACTTAGCACTTACCACTTACCATTTACCACCTGCCAGCAGGCCACTAGTAGAAAGAATCCCTCTCTTCCCCCGTCCTCCATTTTCCTAAACCCCAAGCCCCCTCATCCCCTAGATCCAAAGTAGATGAGTATAGACCCACAACCCAGCAACCCAGCAACCCAGCAACCCAGCAACGAACAACCAACAACCAGCTACTCATCTAGCAATCAAACCATCAAACTACTCCCAGTAGTTCCTAGCTAGCTAGCCAGCCAGCCAGCTAGCTAGCTATCTATCTATCTACTTATCTACCCGACAGCCCTGACAACACAAACACCGCCACCATCAACACCAATAGTGAATCCCATCCCCACCAAACCCGAGGATCATCACCGCCCCAGAAACTAGCACCAGCTAACACAACCGAAGTACTAACCTGAACCCCCCAGCCCCATAGAAACTAATACCAAATGCCATATATCTCAGTACCTTCCTTGGTGTTACATACTAACCCACAGCCAGTAAATAGTGAATTATTCTCCTATCTCAGACATGCGCTACATCCGACATCCAACATCGTACATAACTACTATCATACACCCCAAGATGGGAAAAAGGAACATTCAACTACCCAACCCCACCTTAGATAGATGATCTGATCGTCTGCACATCTCCCTTCTTTTTTTTTTCCCTTACTCGGAATATAATTAGTATCATTTATGGTCGATACATATCATTTATGGAAATGAAAATTCTGGAAGTTCGAGAAGAACTCAGTTGAACTTTCTGCCAGGAATAACTACATATATATGATCATGTTAAACATTTACTCCGTATTCTGTGTTGGATATAAATCACCCCAGTTCGCGGGGGTTACTTCCATTGATATTGAAAGAGATAGATCTTTATATATATATATATATATATATATTAAATATAAAAATGAATGTCGTGTCACGGTGGTATGTATTTTGTTTGTGCTCCGGGATATATAATGCAGATTACCAGTTAAACGCCGTCAGGAACGAAACAAATCTGCTGGTTTATCCTGATACTACTAGTACCTGCAACTTGCGTAAGAAACTACTAAGAAGCATACTGAAGTAAGCCAGCAGCAGTTTTGAACCAATAGCCACTGGCACTCCGAACGCATCTATATAAGATATAAGCCCGGCACCATTAAGATAATAAATATACTATAGTCCAGCCGATGTCATTCATCGCTATCTCACTATCCTAATCCCCGTATCCACTTCGACCCTACCTCCCCCCCTATTTCCTCCCAATCCACAACACAAACCCCAACTCCGTGCTGAAAACAACGCCGAATCGAATTCCATACCCAAAGAAAAAAAAAAAAAAAAAAAACTCCAAGGCCTACCTCAGGCCCAGCCCGCAAGGAGATAACAACAACAGCAGCAGCAGCAGCAGCAGCAGAAGAAGAATAAGAAGAAGAAGAGTAAGAACGTGGTATTTATCTCATCGTCACCGATCACCCTCGCTAATACAGCAACCGATCTATCACTCACTATCACTGAGTTGAATCGCTATTATGAGCGCCGCTCGACCCGACTCAAAGCCCCCAGGATCAGGCCTAGGTCTTCGCGCGGGCGGGGCCGGAGACTGAGATCCTTGCGGTCGGTGGTTTCGAGGGCCAGATGGCGGATGCCGTTGCGGGCGTCGCGCTCATCTAGGCGCTCGGCGCAGATGCGGAGGACGCGGGAGGAGACGGTATCGGACATGGCGCGGTAGAGATCGATGTCGTGGATGCCTGCGGCGAGGGAGTCGAGGGTTGGGGCGAGGGAGCTGGTGATGCGGGAGAGTCGGGTGGATATGGCGGATGGGGTCATTTGGGGGAGTATGGCGGCGGTTGTTTCTGGGGCTGATGGCTCGGTGTCCATGGCTTCCGCATCGGGGGGGTGTTTGGCGGCGGCTGGGTCGAGTTGGGCATATAGTCTCCGCTGGGAGGGTTCTAACAAGGATAGGTCGATCTGGTCTGGCCTCGATGATGGTTGTGAGGGTTGATTCGAGTCGGGCTCGGTCTGTGGAGGTGATGGCTTGAGTGGTGGGATTTCGACGGGGCGTAGAAGTGCATTCAGAGCATGTCGTTCTTTTTGTAACCTGACCAGCCATGTTAGCCTCGCCTGACGCCAAACACGGGGCCGTACTCACTTCTGTATGTGTTCTTCCAGCTCCTTGATCTTCTCCGCGTTGAGGACGTTCTTGGGGTTCTCCTTCTTGACTACCAGAGTAGGGGGGTTCACATCTTCCCGGCTGAACCAGTCGGAAAGTTCCGAGTTGGAGGAGAACTCCTTCAGCAGCTCTTCCTGAATCACGCGCGCTATGCCATGTCAGCCCCTGCCGTTGGATCTCGTTGTCCAACTTACCCGCTAGACGAGCGCTCTCATCCTCCGAGCGCGATCCAGAAGGCTTGTCGCCTATAGCCCGTGTGCCACACCAGATCAGCAGCTGCCGCATCCTTCGTGGCTCCGGCAAGTCGGCTGCGATATGCTTGTAGAAGTCCGCCGTGTCGACCTTCTTATGAGGCAACGCTGCACGCCGTTAGTACCAGTCATCATGCAGAGACCGAATGACCCACCATTAGACGCTCCCGAATCAATCAGCGAGCTGGCTCTCCGCCCTCTCATCCCCAGACTACTTCGTCGATTATTACCCTTCACCGACTTCTTCCCTCGCATCTCTCGATTCCGCTGGATGACCGGCGTATCAGCCAGGGGCAACGCAATCGTCGTTCCCCGCCGTTCTGGCGAAACATGACCATTCCGTGACGGCTCTGGCTCTGGCTCCGGCTGCCGCTGCTGCGGTGCCTGTGCCTCCATCTTCGAATTGCTCGGCCGACCTTTCCTCCGCTTCTTCTCCAGCGGCACCGGTTCTGCCTGATCTCGTTTCCGTGTCGAGCGCGTAGCCCGTTCCGGCTGTGGTTGTGGTTCCTGTTGCTGCTGTTGTTGCGGCTCGGGCTCGGGCTCAGGTTGTGGTTCCGACTCAGCAGGCGCAGGTGCAGGTTCAGTCGCAGCCTTCGCAGCACCTCTCGGATTCTTCTTACTTGGCCTGCCAGCCGATTTCTTCTTTTTCTGCTCCACCACCACAGTCTCAGGTTCAGGCTGAACAAACTCCTTCTCTACCTTCTTTTTTGGCGGTCGACCTCGTCTGGGCGATGGTTGCGGAGCGGGCTCCTCCAGTACAGGCGAGGGGGCCTTAGCGGACGGCTTCGCCTTTTTCGTGGTGATGCGTGAGAACTGAAACCCCTCCACATCCTCGTCAAACACTGCATAATCACAAAGAACGCAGATGTTAGCAAAGCAAACTGAGGTTCCTTTGGACCCCCCTCACCGCACGGTCCATCACCACCACCTGCTCAAGCGCAAGATTCTTAAGAACTCACCAATCTTCCGTTTCTTCTCCATCACACTCGCATTCGCAATCCTGTTCCCATTCGTCTCCTCGTTCTTCTCCACCTGGTTCAAGCTCAATCGCGTACTCCTCCGTTTCCCCGATCTTCCAGGCGCGGCGGGACGCGCCTGTGCCTGGGTCGCTGCCATGTCGACGGCCAGTAGCGGTTCGCGACGTTTCGACTTCTTGCTAGTGGTAGAGGTGGCCACAGCCGTGACGGTCATGTCAGGGTCGAGACCAATGCGAAGTGGGGTGTAATCGAGAGACTGAAAGAAAAAGGAAATTGAGTAAGCGAATGATCGGTGATTGGTTGGAATCGGCCGTGTTCGTATTCGGTGTTGCTCTCGCTGTCTCGATGGGCGCGGGAGACTGATGGGAAAAAAATGAGTGAATGTTGATGATGTTGTTATGTTCGCGAGGATTTCCTCACGGGGTTGCGTCGTGTTGATACGGGCGCTCTCGGGGTCACCACCGCAAGATTCCTTCCCCCCGGACTGTGGATGCTGGATAGTGATACGGACTGAGATGGATAATCGTGCTTTTGATCGACTAGCTCGGGTTTATGGGCTGGGTTGGCTGGTTTCGCGGTCGCGGTCGCGGTCGCAGTCTCCAGGCCGACGGGTAGCTCTCTCGGATGCAACGGGGGTCGTGTCGATGCGGGTCGCGCGGTCGGGAACCGCTCGAGGGATGCGGCAATTGAGGGAGGGCGACCACTGCAGAAGTCGAGATGGAGACGGGCAGACAGACAGACTGGCGGACGTGGAAACCGCTCCTTGCGCAGAAGGGCTAAGCTCTGGCGTCGGGATGACGAGGGGGTTTGGCTCTGGCGAGTTGCCGCAGCACGCGCTTGTTTTGGTCGTGGCGCGTGGGGAGGGCGCTAGGCCGGTTTGGGCCACGCCGACAGAACAGCCTCATGCAGAGTAGAGAGTAGATAGTATTTCGACTCCCAGATGTGAAAGTTCCTCTAGTCTAGCCAGGCTGGTCAGAATCCGAACTATGTGCATTACCGATGTTCTAGTATCTAACATGTGTACATCCCCGCGTGCCCGCGTGTCCGCTTACCGTATCGTCTGTAACCTTTACAAGTGTGCTAGAAATCGCTATGAAGGCGCCTGGCCTGCAACATCAACCCAAACGCCAAGATGATTAATCGTCCTGCTGAATAGTCGCATGTGGAACGCAGCCCGAACGCAGGGAAAGCAGGAAAGTCAACTACGCTACAGCAGGGGCGTCTGCCGGGGGGGCCAGACTGCCTTCGATTCTGCGCTTGGCCGCTTGCATCTCCTCGAGAGAGACGTCCTCCGTCTTCTTGGGCATATCCGCCTCGAACTGAGGGATGTCCGGGCTGTGGCCCACGGACATACCAACACGGATCTATAGAGAGAACAAGCACGTCAGTGGTGATCACGCAGGCAATCAGCAAGGGGCTCTTACCAGCGTCTCCAGTGGGCCCTTCGAGTTGTCCACCAGATCACTGTCGAACTTCATAGCACCGTCTTCGAAGAGAACAAGGAGGGTGCTTCCACCAAATTTGAAGTATCCAAGTTCTTCCGCTCGGGAGACTTTCTCGCCCGCCTTCCGGGTGATGACCGTACTGCCGACCATCATGGCCCCGACACAGACCACCATGACGCGGCCATGGGCAACCGAGTCGATTGGTACGAGGACTCGCACGTTTTCGCCGTACACATCCAACGCGGAACGAATCGCCATCGGGTTCACGGTGTAGTATTCACCTTCAATGGTCTTGGGCTCTCCCATGACCCCATCCACCGGAATGTGGAAGCGGTGGTAGTCCTGCGGCGCGAGGCGGAAAACTCCCACAGCCCCGTTCTTGTAGCGCTTCACGTCCTCGGGATAGGCGTCTCCCAAAAGTCTGGCAACAGAGAACTCGCGCCCTTTGACCCAAATGCTCGTCGCTTCATCCAAACGATCAAAAACCACGGCTCGGCAATCAGCAGGCGACACAACGACCTTGGGCTCGTCCGGGGCAGAACAGGGCCGAGCATCCGGCTTGAGGGCCCGGTAGAAGAACTCGTTGAAGTTTCGGAACTTGTCCATCGGGAGCAAGACCTCACCCATGTCGAGTTGGTGAAAGTTGACAAAGTCTCGGATCTGACTGGCCGATGCCGGGTCGTCGTACTTCTTGCCTTGCTTGATACTGAGCGACTTCAGAATTTTGCGGACTAGTGGCATGTCAGCTTGTCACTCAAGTTGAGGGGTTAACGTAAACATACTTCTCTTTTTCTCCATTTCCCGGCTCTTGAGGCCCTTATACAGCAGCCGGATACCAAGCCGGACATAGACACTCATCCTCTCCTCATTGATCTGGCCGGTGATTCGGTCCTGAACAAGGATGTTTGCCGAGTTGGCACCGAGCTTGTAGCCACCGTAGGATAGCTTCGTGATCACCTTGGTGTACCACTTGCGTTGGGCCTGGCTCGAGGTGACAAAACCGCCCATGACGAGATTGTCCACCTGTCGCCAATCCCGGCTCGCACAGGTGGCAATGTGTGTAATAATATCAGCGTCAGAGCGCGCGGAAAGGCGAGGTTGGTGGCACAGAGGACATTCCCTCAGTTCAATGACATGCTCTTCTCCTCGTTCATCGCCCAGATCGTCGGGCTGAAGCTCTTCATCATTCGAGCTCGGTTGCTCATCGCTCGCCAATGTAGGGACGGAAATGGCCCGGGGATCGGCGTTGGCGGGAACAGAGCCAGACCCAATAATGAGCTCATCGCTGCTAGACTGCTCATCACTCTCGCGGCTGCCGCTCGAAAGAGTGGGCGTGAGCTTCTTTGGCGGTGACCCAGGGTCTTTTTGCAAGGCCTGCAGCGTATCTTCCAGACACATCACAGCTTGGTCAAATGTCAAATCCATGGTATAACTGGGCTCGTTCTCCGAGCTGAATCGTTCAAAAAAGCTGTCGATGGTAGACTCCTTCAAGGTGGAGCCGAGCGTATCGAGCATCGTCGTCAGTTCGACTTTATCGATGCGACCGCTGTCATCCGCATCGTATTGCTTCAGCATGAGTCTCCAAAATTGCTGCCGAAGTGCACGGTACGGCACATATTTCGCCTTGACAAAGAGTTCTGGGAAGTGTTTATCCTCCCATCTGTCCTTGTTCTTTAACTTCAACTGTATCCGATATCCCTGGAGGCCATCTGCCTCGGGCGGACCCATCCGATCGCCGTCAAAAGTGGCAGCAGTTGGAGTTGTCGGGATACTGGCCTCACCCGATTCGGGAATACTCCGGGGAGGAAGCAGGGTTGTCTGTTCCTGCAGTGTCTGGCTGGATAATGAGGTAGAAGAGCCTCTGGGTGTACCAAACCTGGGCGAGGTTGACAAGCTGTTGGCCGATGGGGATCGGCTTATCGCGATCTTGATCTCCGGGGTTCTGGTGATAGAACCTGGCTCGGACCCTGTCAATTCAGAGGCTGGGTCGACGAAACTATATAGCCCGGTTTCGGGGTCGGCCACGGGAGCTGACTGAATAAGAGCCTGGACCGGAAACGACGCGGAAGCGACAAAGTCGTTTCCAGAAAACTTGTCCCTATCCATAACCGTGAATCCAATAGTATAAGACTGCTCATGTCTCATAACCTGGAAGACCATCTTCTCGTAATACACGGGATTGAGATTGTGGCGGACGACCGGCGTTCGAAGAGTCTTTCTGCCGAGGGAAGTGACCACGAACGGATCCATGTCAAAGGAAGTGCGTGTCACTGTCAGGTTAGCAATGTTTCTAGCCCACGCAAGAGTTAGCAAGCTCACCATTCCGTTCCGGCGGAAGATCTGTGACCTTCACAATCTCCATGAAAACGATCCCCTGGACGCCGTTGCCAGCGCCAGAGAACTGATATGCCCTTGCTGCAAGCGATTTCCGTTTCAAACGCTTCAGACGCAGCCTGCGTTTCCGCTTCTCCATGACCTCGGGCTTCAGCGGATCGTCCGTCTCATCCGAGGTTTCCTCCTCTCTGTCGGCATCATCCAGCATGATAGACGGGATCTGCGGGAGCTCGTCCTCCTCGTCCCCAGCAGAAACCAGGTTTCTGAACTTCTGATAAGTCTCCGACCCCGGTGCGTTTGGGTTCGATGCGTCGAGAAGCGTGAACTGGAGGAGAATCTCTCCAGACACCATACTATCCTTCTTCTTCGTCGGCTTCCGCTTCGACCTGAGAGTATACCATTTCGGCTTCAAAGAATGGATCAGTCCCGTTCGACTCTAGCCGTTCCAAGCGAGCACCTACCTGCTGATGAGTTTCGCCGTTTTGAAATATATCTTCCAGCGCGATGTCGAACTCCCCAAGATAATCCTTGCCAAATCTGTCATGGTCCCAACAAATGCACTCCAACAGCGGCACGCCCATGACGGGCATTTCGAACGTCACGTTCCATTCCGGGTTCAGGGTCTTGGGGATCGTGGGGGTCGATTGCCGGGCATCTCCGAGCGTGACGACCAAATACTGCGTAAAGAAGCCGTCATCAGTAGGTCAATCTTCCGAAGCGCCAAAATAGGGTCCTTACCGGATCGCTGGTCCCGCCTCGATCTTTGGCTGCGAGATTCCTTCCCTGAAGGCGTAGACAGCCCGAGTTAGCAGGCATACAAACGTGCAGTCGGAGCTTCAGTTAAGCTCCGCAGTCGCGGGATGCGCCGCTCTCACTCACCCGGATCGCGAACACTTTCAGGATCAACGGCTTCGCTTCCGGCATTCTCATGGGACTTGTACTCCTGCTTTGACCGGGGGTTGTAGAGTTGCTCTTGGTGCTCAGGTGGGTGCTGAGACGTTGTGGCAACGGTAGCCGCACCATGGCGACCGCCGGCAGTGCGGGGAGGGGGATGGGTTCGACGGATGCGGAAGACACGTCGCGTCAACACGGCAGAACGGACGGCCAGAGGGAGATTTAGAACAAATTAGGGGGTGGAGGAGGGGAGAGGGTGTTGGGATTGGGGAGGATGTCTGTCGTAAGGGTAAATAAGGGGGGAAACAATGACTGGGGGTGGAGGTTCAGAGCTCCCCGGCCACCGTCCGGAGAGATGCCACGGTCACGGTGTGGTTGCCTGTCAAGTTGATTGCGGCCGATCTAAGATCTGCTCGGGGTGACCCAGTGAGACCTAGAGACGGGGCCACGGTCGTACTGCGCGGGAGACAACACGAGACAACAGGAGGTGCTCTCACACACTGCAAACTGCAATTGGCACCTTCAAAGATGCAGCGTTGGGAGCATCGCGTCGGCAAAGGGAACTTGAACGTGGTGGGCAGTAGTGAACTTAAAAGCACGGACAAGGCGGATGGACCACAAGCTCTCAGCAGTAATAATCTACGATGGGGCCCGGGACTCGTCCAAGGAAAGAGGGAGCAAAACAAGAGGCACGGCCTCGTATCTGGGTGGGGAGGGGCACCTGTCGCACTCTCTTGACTGTTGAGACCCAGAGACTGTCAGAGAGATTGGCCCAGGACTGATCCTCGGCCCCCAAGGCTACTTTTTATATATGTTACAGCGTACGATGGCTGAAGCAACTACGAGGGAGGGATTCTCGGAAGCCGTCGGTCCCAGCCTGGGGACGAGGAGGGTGCCCATTATTTGGACCCTGCGAACTTCCCGAGTAGTCCCCGACACCGTTGGGGAAGAACTTGACAGAAGAAGGGATGGTCTCCACCCGCAGTCGACTGATCATGCCCGTGCAAGGAACGAGAAATTGGCTGCCTAGTGGTGTGGCTATAGATATTCCCTGCCGCAGTCAAAGGCTGATGGATGCTGTCAGTTTGTCTGTACCACCCCGGGGCGTGATATAGTATTTATTCATCGGGAGTCCTCCGTATTTTCATTTCCATTGTCTGTGAACTTCGGTCCCACGGGTACAGCACTCCGTCCAGGGAGGCCATTTCTTGCTGCCTAGACGTCATCTGAGATCTGAAAGCCCCTCATGGTTCATCCGGAGAGATCCAATAAGAGTGAACCCCCCAGCAGATCGACTGCCCCTCGCACCCAACCAACCAGTATGTGAAAGTCTGCATGGCTGTGGAAGTGTGTAAGAAGGCTGAGACGTTCACTGCCTCAGTCCTGCGCCCCCGCCCGGGGGGATGTCCATGCTCTGTGAAAGCCAACGGAGAAACGATGAACAGGAGATCGGATGGATGGGCAGGGAAAGGATCAGGCTCACCTCCTTTTTTTTGGTTGCGGGTTGAAGCCGACGAGGCCCAGATGCGGCTGACTAAACACCCCGTCGCCGGCGGTGAGGCGGTGCGCTGTTCTGCCGGGGATCGGCCAATCAGACGGCCCGCAATAGCCATGAGAGGAGCACCTGCCTCCCCAGGTTATATACTATACACACAATATACACAAGACCATTTCCTGTCTTCGCAAGGGAACTTCTCTTGGCACACATGGGCAAATTCACTTCTGATCCGTTGAGATCAACCTGTGACAGACCTACCGACTACTGCACAATGAGAAGTCTAGTGCAGAATGCCTGCATACTGCCACCCGGGTCTTGGAGGCGAATGGCTGGCTGAAGGACTGACTAGGTATATATTGTTGCGCCCTCTGTACGGAGTACAGAGTACATCATATGATACGTAAAACTCAGGGCCAGCTCAGGACCACAGTACCTGCTGAGGAGGACCCTTATCAATGGTGTCCCTGAGTGCGCGGCCTCTTGCGCATACTACACGATACGCTTCTCTTGCACCGAACTAAACCTACACCCGAGGCTGCGACTGCATCTAGGATGGCAAGCCGGCATCACGCATGAAAAAGCTGCAATCGCCTCCCTGGTAGCCCGGATACAAGGTCTTTTTTTCTCAAGGCCCAGACAACGAGGTCGGAATACGGTTGTGGACGGACTTGGCTCACCTGTCAGGCGTAGGTGGGGTCTGCGGTTCGCGGTGCCCCATCCCAGCCGAGTCGCATCTGGCACCTCATCCATGTCTCCTCGATTTGTTATCTAAGTATGCCATGGATGGTTCACGCGGTGCTCGGGATCTGCTTGATCAGAAGCCCGGCTCAACAACAGCTCATCGAAAAAAAAAGGCAAGGAGGGGCTAGATTGGAAACAACTCAGTCTGCAGCTTACTGCGATGCTGGCCAGGTCGGCGAATCGGACTCACCGAATTGGACGACCGTGTATACACGGCTTTTAAGGCTGTTTGTTTTCTACCAAACCGGGCATCGCGTGCAGCGTGCAGGACTAAAATTGGCTTTCGGCTTGCCCGCCTGGTTAACTCCTCAGATTGCTTGGTGGCGGCTGGTTGGCTTCTCACTCGCGCCTAAAACCTCCCACCGCGCATGCAATGGCCCTTGGTGGGGTAACTTCTCAACTCTGAGTCTTACCCTGACACAATGCCATCCAGGAAATGCTAATGATATACTCCGTACATCTCCTCCCTACCGGGTGTCATATTTTTTATCATAACTCCTCTTGAACACCTAGCGAGCCCTAGGTAGATCGAGAGATGATACTGTTGGCTTGTGCTAGCAGATCCATCCCCACGACTAGCCTGACCGCTAATGCAGCGGTTCGGGCTGCAATAATAATAATAATGGAGATTAGCTGAACAACACCTATCATACAGGTGGCTGGCGTCTGCATCGCTCCATTGATTGGACGCACTTGAAGATCAGTTCGCGGAGACATGTGTAGCGCTTACTAGTTGGGATCTCACCTGCCCCCGACAACATAAGAAGCTTCGCTTCTGCCACTCCAACGTCAGGATCTACCTTCATGACCACCAAGTGGCCCCAGCCTGCTGTGATCAAGGCATAACACTCTTCACTTCTCGTTAATGCTCTGATATATATATCTCTCTCTCGCTCGCTTTTTGTTTCTAGCAGACATCCTCAAACGTGCTTTCAGTGCAAAATGGGCTGGTTCCCGACGACGCTCGATTCCGACGCGCAGAGCTGGCGGTTTGATATTGTCAGTCTTTTGGCCGTGATCGGTGGATCAACTATCGAAAAGCATTTGCAAGCTATCACCGCATCTCCCTTCGCCGGGTTCCCCCGTCTCCTACCAGCCCCCGAGACGCTGCTGGATACGGACCGGCCCACTCGACTGCCATCTATCAAGGAAGTGTCAATCACCGGCGTCTACTCCGGCACGAGAACCTCAGAACTCAACTTCTTCGCCAATGTCATTCACAAGCTCGAGGATGTCAAAGATTTTGAGTTCCGATCTTACACCATCACCCATGCGGAAGAAGAGAAGGATCCCGAGAGCACTGGAAAGCCGGATAACTTACAAAGTGAAATCATCATCCCGCTGCAGACCCTATGTCCGTTGAACCTGGTAACACTGGTCTCGATCCTCATGACCATCGGGCTCTTTATCTGGGCGGGCATGATCCACGACGGAGTGGCTCTCGTCGGCCTCGCAACCATGTCCCTCTCCACCAGCTCCGCTTGTCTATCCGCACAGTGGTATCCGCGACTCCCACGCAGACCTACCAACAACGAAGTGGCACCGGGCAACATCGTCATGAAGACGCGCAACGGAGCCTTCGTGGTTGTCGAATGCTCTGAGGAGATCGCACGAGAGCTTTACGGGGGAACAGAGACCTGCAAATACGTGTTCCAAGGCCGAGCTCATCAGTCGCTCCTAGCATGCAGCACCGTCCTTCTCATGGCCTCCATCATCCTATTCAGCAACTGCGGATGGACCATGCAAATCGCCGTTGGCGTCGCCTACATCATCCTCAACATCCTCTACTGGGCGATGGCCCTGCTAACCGAACCACAAGACACATGGGACATGAGCCGATACCAGGTGAAACAGGATGATCCCATAATTAGCGGAAGTTACACTGCAGTGTTGTGGCAAGCTATCAAGAAAACCCGCCAGATTGATTGGGTCCGGTCAGGGAATCTCGCGCCGCAAACCCCGGCCTGGGACGACTGGTTGCTTGAGGCAAAGAGAGCTTACACTAAGAACGATAATAGTTGGAATCCGGAGCGTGCCAGGGACCGCTTGATGGGCGTGCCTCGGACGCCAATAGTCACTGAGCCGCATCCTCAATTGTCGGAGAACAGGACTTGATGGGGTACATCATCGTGAGAGAGGTAGTTGGGTCGGGTCTAAGGGAGCAGGTATATTTAACCTGGGATGAGTAGATGAGGCCATATTTGGTTTTTGGGTATTCTTTTTCTACACTGCTAAATACTATTGCTTTCTGGGGCATGAAAAGCAAGCGAGCGAGAGATTAAACAGGGATGTGCATGGGAGTTAGATATGCTGGAGTTTCTATGTTTTGTGATTGATATTGTACTTGGATTCTCATAAACAAAACCGGGATTGTTCTTTGGCATAGTACTTCTTCGCCTTTCAAACTTGAAACGCCGAGGTGTTGCAGTAGGACCCAGGATGACTTCAGTCCTGCTTACGCTACACAGCACAGACGCTCCGTTCTATCCAAGTAGAAAATATCATTACTCTACCAACCTCTCCAGCACCAAACAGAGGTCCACTACTACCTACCTACCTACCTACCTACCTACACTCGCACCAGTCACCACAGTCACAAGCAACAAACAGGGCAAAACGGCGCCCGCATCTTACCAACGAACAACAAAGAAAAGGGGGGAGAAAGGGAAAAAGGACCCCTACATCCTACCCTCACCGAACAACTAACACTAACACTAACATTAACACTAACTCGAAACTCAATCCGTTCTCCTCCTCCCCTCCCTCCCCCAAACCTCATCTGCGCTCCCCTTCCCCTTCGTCTCAGGAACCTTCCAAAAGATAAACCCGCCCATCAAGCCCGCCATGCACGCAAAAACCCAATAGATCTTGCCCCTGCCACCCAACGCATCATTCAACATGGGGAAGAACTGCGCGACGACAAAAGTAGCGATCCAATTGGCCGCGAGGGCCCAGCTCTGCGTCGCGCCGACCGCCTCGGGGCCGACAAGCTCCGACGCAAGGATGAAGGGCACGGGACCGAGACCGACGGCGAAGCAGGCGACGAAAAGCAGGACGGCGATGGCGGAGAGGACCTTCAGGTTGAAGAAGATGCCGAGGGCGAGGAGGGCGGAGTTGATTCCCATGCCGGAGATGCTGAGAAGGAGGCAGGTTCGACGGCCGATTTTGTCGGGGAGCGGGGAGCAGGCGAGTGTGATGAGGAGGTTTAGGACGGAGATGGCCACGGTGAGGAGGGCGGCGGTTGTGGGGAGGATGGTTTGTAGTAGAGACACGCTGTACATGATTATGCTGTTGATGCCGGTGAATTGCTGCGCGATCATCACGCTGACGACGGCGATGATGGCGGGCCGGTAGGTCGGGGAGGTGATGGCATGGAGGATCGTCACGGGGGGTTGTTTGGGTGGGATGTTGCCGGAGGGTGGGGTGAGGAGGGATTGTTCTTCGCCGGTGATGGGGGTTGGGGGTGATGAGGAGGGCCAGGAATCGATCTCTGCGTCGATGTCGGCAGTTTTGCCGCGGATGCGTTGCAGGACCTTTCTGGCGAGGGGGGCCTTTTGGTGTTCGGCGAGCCAGGTTGGGCTTTCGGGGACGAGGGCGAGACCCAGGAGTTGCAATATGCCGAGGAAACCGGCCACGGCGAGGATGATTCTCCATGTGCTTCCGTCGCTGAGGAAGTATCCCAGGGATTGGGTGAAGAGGATGCCGACGTTGGTCATGACTTGCGTGAAGGCGCCGAAGAAGCCTTTTGCGCTGGGGGGTGCGATCTCCGAGATGTAGATGGGGCCGACGACGATGGAGGCGCCGGCGCCGATTCCAGAGAGCAGTCGACCGAGGATGAGAAGTGGGATGTCGGATGCGAGGGTTTCAGCGATGGGGCCGAGGATGAAGAAGATGGTTGTGGCTCGTAGAGCGAAGAGACGGCCATGTTTGGTCGCAATGGGCCCTGCCAGCAGGGCTCCCAGGAGGCCACCGAGAGTGTAGATGGAGGATACGAGGCCGAATTGTGAGGCGTTCATGGGGATGCATTGTGGGAGAGAGGTTGCCGTTGGTGAGGCATGGATGCTCTTTCGGTTACAGGTGATGACGGCTTGCGGGGCGTTCAGCTCGGCCTGTGGAGGATCTCCGTCAGTAAACGTGATTGTGATTCTAGCCCGTGGAGGCCATTATTATTGCCTACCAGATGATACCCGAATTGCAGCGGTCCCAGAGTTGTGATGAACACGAGATAGACCAGGTATGGCGTGACCCTGGAGCGGGTGGGCTCGGTGGAAGCCATGGATGGCGTGGTTGAGACGTCGCTCTGTGCGAGGTCTCCGGTCAGCTGAAGTCTTCGACCACTGGGGATGGTTTAGGTCTGTCGCAACCCGGTCATTGCAGGCATTTGGATGCAGCAGTTGTCGGATGCGGAGGTGCGTCCGGATGACGTTGCGGAGGGCGTTTGGGTCGGGAATAAGGAAACTCCGTGTTATCGGGGAATCAGGGGGACACACCGGAGGATATATTTAGAACCCAATTCGGGGAAGTCAGGACCCCTACCTGGAAGTGGTACTTTTGAATGGGGGGAGGACACATGCATTCGAAGGGTCAAACTGCCAAAACTGCCAGGGCTGTAGGGAGTAGGGAGTATGCACTATGCACCTAACTATACCTAGTGTGGTAGTGAGCTGCTTGCTCCTAACCAGGTACCCTGTATCTATCTAGAGGGTGTTTGTTGTCAATGCTGTTAATATCTGGATGCACCGGGACTGGACTAGACTGGAACGGAAGATTGTTCTGGACCACATCTCCGCGGGTCAGCGGGGCTAGGAAGGATGTCCATCTCATGTGCCCGAGATTGACTTTTAGCAATTTCGGTCGCTAATACCATCCCATTCAGGATCGATCTATATTGAAATTGAACTTGAAATTGCGGCCTCAGGGACCGCCGGCTGAGTCAGCCCCACCTCACGCTCACCCCGTTTGTCCGCTCAGGATCACCACCACCACTACTACCACCACCTCCTCCTCCTCCTCTCCCTCCCTTCCTGGCTCCTGCATTGTAGTGGTGGAGAACAGTGTCTCCGCCAGTGTGGTTCACGTCACCTCCCTTCCTTTTGCTTTCCACGGACCCAACCACCACTAGCTAATAAATAGCTAAAAAGTACGGTCGCCTCCACCTCCGCCTCTTCCATGAGTCTGACCAACCCGCCTTCCTCTTCCGGCCCGTTAAGTGCGACTTCCAGGCCTGTGTCTCTCAAGAAGGGTCTGCAGGCCGCTGTGGATGGTAATACTGGTTGCGATCCATTTACTACTCCTCCTGCACTACTAAGTAGCCTATTATCCACTACTACTACTACTACTACTACTACTACTGCTGCTGCTACTGCTGCCACTGCTGCTACTGCTGCTACTAGTGGTACTGCTGTCTCACCCTTTGCCACTTCTCCTCCCACTATGTACTTTGGTTGAAGATCGTGTTGAACTCTTTCTCTTTCTCTACTCTAATGAATCATCACTGGGGTTTCTTACGGCTGTCCTCTTTGTCTGTTCTCCTCCATCATGTTTGGAAAGAGTTTCCCGTTCTATAATTCTGTCGGCGGGTTTTATCCACGTGGTAATTGCCCTCCCTTTCCCAGGCCGCCGCCGCTTTGGGCCGGTCGTCGAGGCTGGAGGGGAGGGGTTTGCCTCCTCTCCTGGCTCGTCTTGCCCCTATCCGTGTGGTCCACGAGCTAGTCCCCCCTTGCTCCTTTCCCGTGGGATTCCGATGGCCGTTGAGTTCTTGTGTTGTTTCCGATGCGCGCATGGTCCACGTGCTGACTCCCTTTCGATATCAAGAGAGTATAGATACGCGAAAACCTCCTGGGACCGGTTACACCAGCAAAGTCCGGGTCCGGGATAAATACCACATCGTGGGGTTTATCAGCAGTGGCACCTATGGCCGTGTCTACAAAGCAATAGGCAAAAATGGCCAGAAAGGCGAGTTCGCCATTAAGAAGTGAGCATGTCCCCTCCCCGTCCGTGCACTGGCCCCGCATTACTCACGCTTCGTTTAGGTTCAAGCCAGATAAAGAAGGGGAGGTGGTCCAATACACCGGCCTCTCGCAGTCGGCAATCCGGGAAATGTCCCTGTGCTCCGAACTGGACCATGCCAATGTAGTGCAGCTGGCCGAGATCATCCTGGAGGACAAGTGTATCTTCATGGTCTTCGAGTACACCGAGCACGATCTTCTGCAGATCATCCACCATCACACGCAGCCGCAGAGGCATGCTATCCCGGCCTCCATGGTCAGGTCGATTCTCTTTCAACTGCTCAATGGATTACTGTATCTTCACACCAACTGGGTCCTGCATCGTGACCTCAAACCAGCAAACATACTGGTAACCTCCAGTGGTGCGATTCGCATCGGAGATCTGGGCTTGGCCCGTCTCTTTTACAAGCCTCTCAACTCCCTGTTCTCCGGAGACAAGGTGGTCGTCACCATCTGGTACCGTGCCCCGGAGCTTCTCATGGGCAGCCGGCATTATACACCGGCTGTTGACCTTTGGGCTGTCGGGTGCATATTCGCCGAGTTACTTTCCCTTCGGCCCATTTTCAAGGGCGAGGAAGCTAAGATGGACAGCAAGAAGACCGTTCCGTTCCAGCGCAATCAAATGATGAAAATAATGGAAATCATGGGGTTACCGAATAAAGAAACCTGGCCTGGGATGGTATCCATGCCGGAATATTCCCAGCTCCAGTCCCTGGCACTATCACGGGCACCGGGGCATTTTAACAGATCATCGAACCTGGAAGGCTGGTTCCAAAACTGCCTCAAGAACAACGGATACTCCGCCAATTCAAGTGCCGGTACACCGGGTGCAGACGGCTTCGACTTGCTGTCACGATTACTGGAGTACGACCCCACGAAGAGGATCACCGCCCAGGAAGCCTTGGAGCATCCTTACTTCAAGAACGGGGGCCCCATATCCGCCAATTGCTTCCAGGGATTCGAGGGCAAGTATCCCCATCGTCGTGTCACGCAGGATGACAATGATATCCGATCTGGTAGCCTACCTGGTACGAAGCGGAGTGGACTGCCGGATGACAGTCTCCTAGGAAGAGCGGCGAAGCGTCTGAAAGAGTGACGGACGTCTTTCTTCTTGGATCTTTTTTTTTCAGGGCGTTCGGACTCGGGAATCTAGATGCATTCACACCGGCGTTTCAGCTTTACTGTGCCCCATGAAAATATTCGAAACTATCCATATGCATCTCATTGAGACATAAGCACATACTCAATAAACAATACACTTACAGTACTTACGTTACATTTGTGCCAGTGGAAAATCAGTCTCGATATACTTAGGGTAAATTGGAATTAAATAAAAAATAAATGCAAACCAGATGAACGCCTCCATTAATCATACCTCATCCGGAACCTCCTAGTAACCATATCGTCACTCATATACCCAGCTACATCAAACCACATTCAACCAGCAGTAGCGACAACAATAGCAGCAGTAAATCAATACCCTATAACCACCACATTAGCACCATACACCAAATCAATCAAGAATAATACATACCGCTCTGTTCCCTCCGCCCACCATCCCCCTCACCACCATCATCACCATCATCACCATTTTCCCTTCCAGCGGACGCCTGCCCCGCCGCATCCTGAATGGAATGATCATCACCCCTCAATTTCTCAAAATACGATTTGATATCCTCGGCGCTGACGGCCGTGCCGGTCTCGGCAAACGGCTTCAAAAACTCCTTCACCTTGTCCCGGAGATGGTTGTAGACCATGGCGCCTTCGATGGCCCGCACGCGGTCGATGTTGCTGAATGCTGCTTCACCGCGGTCGAGCAGACTGCCCGTGCCGGTGCTACCGCCGCCGTTGGGGCCGTCCTCGCCATCCTCGGACATCGGGGGCTCGTAGGTGTCTTCTTCTTCGCGCAGTTGGGGGTGTGCGGCGAGGTGGGGGTAGCAAGTCCGGCAGCGGCAGAAGTGCTCGCGGAAGTCGTCGTGGAGGAAGAGGGAGAATGTCGCGGTTGGGGGGACCGGGAGGGTGGTGTGTTTGGGTTGGGGTGAGAGGGAGGTGGTGTCGGTGGTAGTGTCGTTTGTGGCGGCGTCTTTGGTGGTGGTGGTTTCGGGTTTGGTGTCATCCTGGGTGGTGGTTGGGCTGGGTTGTTCGTCCGTGGGCTCTGGTTTGATCTCGTCTGAAGGTTCATCTTTCGGTCGCTTGGGCGCGGGTTCGCTGGCTTCTTCAGCGTCGTCGTCGGCCTTTCGCTTTTTGGGGTTGGCGGGCTGGTCTTCGGTTGGTTGGACGGAGGGCTCGTTTGTGGCGGTCGGCTTTTGTTCCTTAGATGGTTTGGCGAAACCGCCTTCCTTGTAGACGGGGGGCAGGAAACCGGGTGTTCCTGCGTAGCGCTTGATCCATGGGTTGGAGTCCACGCACTTGTAGCAAAGGAAAATGGCGAAGTCTTCCTCAGCGGGAAACCCGGGCGGGAGGGGGGTTTCATCCTCCTCGTCATCAGCGACATCTTCGCCAGCAGCATCGCCCTCTTCCTTAACGCCCTTGTACCAGTCGCGCGGCAGTCCGATCAGACACTCCGGATGCCACCAATCTTCTCCGCACCCTCCTGTCTCCACGGTGCCCAGACCCAGACACTGAAACATTGTACCGCGCTCCGTGTTGGAATCGTAATCCTCTGCGCAGCCGCAGAACTTGTTCTGAAAGTTGTGGCAGTATTTGTTGTCCGGGTGCGGTTCTTCCGAGTGCACGCCCTTTGCGCCCGTCTTGGGGTCGTTTCGGAGAGTGCATGGTGAGGTAGAAGGGATGCGAGTGGTGCCGCAGTCGCAGACGAAGTTTCGCTTGTTGAAGAGTTCGACGAGGGTGTGTTCGCCGTGGCAGGAGATGGAGCAGGAGTAGCAGACGGCTGCGGAGGTGTAGGAGGCATCGGGGGTGGTCGCGGGAGGGTTGCAGGTCAAGCAGGCGAAGAGGGATTGACGGAGGGGACCTAGGGCTTTTGTGCAGGAGTCAAAGGCCTGGGTTGAATGTTAGTGTGTCTGTTCCTTTCCTTGCCGTCTTCTGGGGAGGGAGGGCTTCCTCACATATGGAAGGGCTTCACGCGCGTCAGCTTCGAGTTGGATCTGGGATTCGATGAACCTGTGGCAAGGATGTCAGTAAGTCGTGCTGTCGCGAGCGCATGATTATTGCGCCAACGGAGGTGATGTGTGGATGATACTCACTCCTTGGCTGTCTGGGAGTTGTGAGAGCCAAAGCTCTCGCGGCGTCTCGCGGCATCTTGTCTGGGCTGTACAGGTTTGGTGGTGGCGGATGGAGCAGCAGACTCAGTCGTGGCCACGTCTTCCTCAATTCTTTCCATTGTGGCAGACGGAGTTACTGGTGAGATATGCGTGAGAGGAAAGGTGTTAGAATCAGAAGTTGCGCTGAATCAGTGGATGGATGGGATCCCGGAGAGCAAGTCGAGCGCGGCGCGGCGCGAGGCACTTTATAGTTTGCCGTGTTTGCATCCGCTCGCTTACCAGAGCTACTATGGGGAAAACACCTGGGACGGTGTTCCACTATGAATCATCTTGGAATCTAGAACCGAGTGGCGAGATGTAGTATCTCATGGGTCTCCTTATCGAACGTGCTGCATCAGTTTCACTTGCTTCGTCTGTGGTGTCAGACATGGGGTCAGGTCATGGCCAATGTGCGGGGAGCTTTGGAGTCATCGCGGTTTTCCAGAAGAACCCCACAAGTACTCCTGAGTCTAGATGGCTAGCACGGAAGACTACTGCCAAGTTCATCTAATTTCAGGCATATCATCGCGTATGACGTATCAGGTGGTGTCCTTCTGTGTTCGTTGGCGCCGCAGCGGGCCCAGGATTCATTCCCAAACGGGGTTTAATTGAAATCGACGCGTCTGTTTCGCGCCGCGACGCGTCTGGGCCGCGCAGCAACGGCGCCAAGTCCAGGATCTTCCCTCCCTTTGCTTTCGCCCAACGGAAAGAAAAAAGACGCCCGCACTGCCATTCTCTACGCATTCCCCCCCTCCCCCCCCCCCAGTCTGTCCCTTCAACTCCCCAGTTGCCAGACTGAACACCACATAATACACAATGAGGTATGTATCCTGTCGGGCCCTCGATGATGCCTACGACCTTCCTCCGACCCTTGGGTGCTAATTCTTCGTCTGCAGTTCACCACTCCGCCCCAGCAATTCGGCTGCAAACCGCGGCCTAGGGAACTTGGGTCGCCGCAAGAGAGACAGAGAGCCCGATGATGAAACCTCATCGGTTGCCCCCCCGTCGAGTCGTAAGTCAAGCTGCGAAATGACATAGTGAAGTCATGGCTGACCTCCCATAGCACCCCCTTCCTCCCCTCCTATGCTTCCCTTCGACGACGATGACAACGAGCGGGATGAGGAAGCAGAGCTTCTCGGTGACATCGACGACATCGATGAGATGGCTGAAGACGAGGACGGAATCGACCTGTTTGGTGATACTTTCGAGAAGGATTACCGGAGCACAGCAGACGAACAGTACAGAGGAGAATACATCGACGACGATGAGGACCATGAAGAGCTTGATGTGGCCACTAGACGTCAGCTGGAAGCCCGCATGAACAAGAGAGATCGAGAACTCGAACGTCGTCGTCGCATGCCTGCGGCTTTCTTGCAAGATGATGAGGACGGTGACATAGATCTTACCCGTCAGCCTCGTCGACGGAGACACGCCTACGACGAAGACCGGGAGGATGTTGAGATGGGTGACGATGCCTTGGAAGAGCTCTCCCTGGAGGAGTTGACCGATGTCAAGGCATCCAACCTTACCGACTGGGTTCTGCAGCCCCAGGTTCTTCGTTCCATCTACCGAGAATTCAAGTCCTTCCTGACAGAGTACACCGACCCCGCCGGTGCTTCGGTTTACGGAAACAAGATCAAGACCCTTGGTGAGGTCAACTCGGCATCCCTCGAAGTGTCGTATGCCCATTTGCTCGAAACTAAGGCGGCTCTCGCGTACTTCCTGGCGAACGAGCCTACTGAAGTCCTGAAGGTCTTCGACCAGGTCGCCCTTGATGTCACCCTTTTCCACTACCCTCAATACCACGACATCCACAACGAGATCCACGTCCGCATTACCGATCTCCCCGTCTCCTACACTCTCCGTCAATTGCGCCAGTCTCATCTCAACTGTCTCATTCGTGTCAGTGGTGTCGTTACTCGCAGAACCGGTGTCTTCCCCCAGCTCAAATATGTCATGTTCGTTTGCGGGAAGTGTAACATGCATCTTGGCCCCTTCCAGCAGGAAGCCAGTGCGGAAGTGAAAATCTCTTTCTGCCAGAACTGCCAGTCTAAGGGACCGTTCACTGTGCACGGCGAGAAGACCGTTTACCGGAACTACCAGAAACTGACCCTGCAAGAGTCTCCCGGCTCTGTTCCTGCTGGTCGACTACCCCGCCAGCGAGAGGTGGTTCTTCTTGCTGATCTCATTGACTCTGCCAAGCCAGGTGACGAGGTGGAAGTCACAGGCATCTACCGCAACAGCTACGACGCCCAGCTCAACAACAAGAACGGCTTCCCCGTCTTCGCCACGATCATCGAGGCCAACCACGTTGTCAAGTCTCACGACCAGCTGGCTGGTTTCCACTTGACCGAAGAAGATGAGCGCGAGATCCGGGCTCTGTCCAGAGACCCCGAGATTGTTGACAAGATCGTTCGCTCCATCGCCCCCAGTATCTATGGCCACCTGGACGTCAAGACCGCCGTTGCCCTCTCCCTCTTCGGTGGTGTCAGCAAGGAAGCCCAAGGCAAGATGTCCATCCGTGGAGACATCAACGTTCTTCTGCTGGGTGACCCCGGTACTGCCAAGTCCCAGTTCCTCAAGTACACCGAAAAGACTGCCCACAGAGCTGTCTTCGCGACCGGTCAGGGTGCCAGTGCTGTCGGTTTGACCGCCAGTGTCCGTCGCGATCCCCTCACCAGCGAATGGACCCTGGAGGGAGGAGCTCTTGTGCTCGCAGACCGCGGAACCTGTCTCATCGATGAGTTCGACAAGATGAACGACCAAGATCGTACCTCCATCCACGAAGCCATGGAACAACAAACCATTTCCATCTCCAAGGCCGGTATTGTCACCACTCTGCAAGCCCGCTGCGCCGTCGTCGCCGCCGCCAACCCCATCGGTGGCCGGTACAACAGCACCGCCCCCTTCTCCCAGAACGTCCAACTCACCGAACCCATTCTCTCCCGTTTCGATATCCTCTGCGTTGTCCGCGATCTGGTTGACCCCAGCGAAGACGAGCGTCTCGCCAACTTCGTCGTGGAATCCCACCACCGCGCTAACCCGGCCCGTCCCCTGCGCGACCAAGACGGCAGCCTCATCAACGCCGACGGCCAACTCATCGACGAAGAAGGCTACCGCATCGACAAGACGAAGCAACGCCTCCCCCTCACCGACGAGGAATTCGCCGCCCGCGAGGCCGAGAAGCAGAAGCGCGAAGAAGAAAAAGAAGGCGAAATCCCCCAGGAGCTCCTCCGCAAATACATCCTCTACGCCCGTGAACGCTGCCACCCGAAACTCTACCAGATCGACCAGGACAAGATCGCCCGGCTGTTCGCGGACATGAGACGCGAGTCTCTCGCCACAGGCGCTTATCCCATCACCGTGCGTCGCCCTTCTTCCTATGCCCTAACATAAACCCACCAAACTAACAAACAACCCCCCAGGTCCGTCACCTCGAAGCCATCATGCGTATCGCCGAATCCTTCTGCAAGATGCGTCTATCAGAGTACTGCTCGTCGCAGGACATCGACCGTGCCATCGCCGTCACCGTCGACTCCTTCATCGGTAGCCAGAAAGTCAGCTGTAAGAAGGCTTTGTCTCGGGCGTTTGCCAAGTATGTCCCCTAATCCCTATATACACTCTTCCCACACAAAACACATGCAGATAAACTAACACCCAACCCCAGATACACCCTCTCCCGCCCCAAACCCCAATCCAACCGGAGAGCAGGCATCCCCGCCCCGGACCCGTACAGATCGCGCGCACAGCAGTCTACTCGGGCGCGGTAGACGACTACTTACCTACTACCTCCTCCCCTATCTATCTATCTATCTACCCACCCACCCACTCACCAACCCACTGTCTAAGATTCCTACTGTGCAGAATTTCCATAGCGGTTCCTTTTCTTTTCTTTTCTTTTTCTTTTTTTTTCAATCTCATGGGATAATAACAATAACTTGATGTGATGTGTTCATGTGGTGCGTGCAGGTTTCAATTCATCTCATGTATGGGAGGGAGTTAGGCGGTGTTTTCTTCTGTCATCCTTTTCTTTTCCTTATTTAACGTCTGCCCTGATATCTGTCCATGTATGCATGCATGCATGCATGGTCAGCTGGGAATGAATGATTTGATTTTATTTGATTCTCCTTTTTTTTTTTTCTTTCGGGGTTTGGAAATGGATAGGAAATGGAAATGGAATAAACACATGGAACGTGAACGTGAATGTGAATGTGAATCTGTCCGTCCTATCATGTCATAATGTCATAATTGGTGTGTATGTTGTTTATTTAGTCTTCAAGGAATAAGGGTATGGATATGGATATACCTATCTACCTAACTGTTTATCTGGCTGTATGGATGGCTTCGTACTAAGTTACTAGTTTATTTGCTCTTTCACGAGGTTGGGATGTCGATCCTATCTATGTGTCTTCATGGGAGAAGAAGTCTTGGAGATGAGATTATATGGTGTCGATGCTACGATGTAGTTTGGATACGGACTTGGAGATGATGAATACTCAGCGTTATACATGAATGACCTAGGGGCATGTGGTTATCACAATTACTGGCGTGAGACAAACTATAGTTGAGAATGATTGATACAATGTATGCATTTAGCTGAAAGACTCGCCCGGAACAAAGGGCCTAGCAAACAAGAGAATGAAAAGAAACAGCAAAGCCCGGCGGGGTTCAACTCATGTCATGTCCTGACCCATATATGGTGGTAGGAGGTAATGTTCACTGAACGCCAGCCTGGTGCAACCCATACACTCAACGCTTACCAGTAAAACACCCACCACTACCTAGGCCATAGCATTCCACTTGGGTCAAGTGCGACGCATTTGAAGCGTGTGACATGAACTCTTCAGGGAGGGGGAATTGAACAAGTGTGGTGTTGGTTGCGCATCGACGAAACCCCAAGGTAACGCTGCAGATGATATCATATTCCATTTATGTCAACCTGTGAGGGTCACAGAAGTTCTATTCGCATCAAATGCCTCACTGCCTATTCCCCGCGCGAGATCGGCGCTCCAGGGACTTCGAGATGGATGCTTCCAGCGCATCCCCACCGATGATTTCCCTCATCATCCGAACAGGGTACAAGTGACGGGGTTGTACGTATGTCCGTTAGCCAGAGTTGAAGACACTCAGTCGTTGCTGATCCGTCGGTCGGGTCGAGGCTTTCTTAGACTCTTCATGCGATTGATGAAACCGCCGCCACCGCCGCCGCCCGTGGTCTTGGTCTCCTCGAACCCAGTGTTGGACCGCTCGTTGGTGTACCTCCGGTCCAAACTGGTATTCTGCTTGGGGCTGCTGGAGGAGCGGGCGCGTCCCGTCATACCACGCGCTTCTTCAGAGATGTTGATCTGGGCTCCCTTCTTGTCCCAGGCATCATCGTAGTCTTGGTCCTGGAAGAAGGGGTTCTTTTCGTTGGCACGGATGGTTCCGATGTGGGCAGAACCGGAAGGCAGAGCCGGGGTGTACGATGACTCGGGGGAAACCATCCGGCCATTAGGAGGTTTGTTCATTCCTCGGAGCCTCTGGGCCAAGCTCTTCTTGCGCTGCAGCCCTCCTCCGTTTGATCCCTCGTTGCTGCTTCCACGGCGCTGGATATCTGCCCGACTCGCAGGAGCCCCATCCAGGAAGGTGCTGGTTCCCAAGCCCTGGCTCTCCATTCCATGGATTGGCTCAATACGAGCGGAGGTATCGATGATCGGATGCTCTTGCTTGGTACCACTTGTAGAATAGTCGTTGTAACCCTGGTCGGTGATCCCGTGGAATAGATTCCGATCGATATCTTGGTTGTTAGGGCCTGCCCCTCCGAGGGCCATGTTGGCCGAATCCTTGGGGAAAGCTTGCATCGGTGCAGTGCGCAACCCCTTGCGATTGCGGTTAGGGTTACAAGCATCGAACGGTCCATCGTGGTGGAACACTGGAAAGGAACCGACATTAGCAAAAGCCTGCGATGTGAGGCGGCGAAGCCAACTTACTCCCTGTGCCATAGATACTAGTCACATCCAGTTTGTCGATGATATCCATGTGATAGTTTGTCTTCTTCGAGCGAGACTTCCCATCCTTCGGGTCCTTTCCATCCTTCACCTCCTTGCCATCCTTGTAACGGGCCTCCCGTTCACGGCGTCGTCGCTCGCGCCGCCGTCTCTCATCCTCCGTGTCCACAAGCTTGGGAGTGCGTTCCATGATCGAAGACTCCGAGTTGCGACGAGGTCTCCGGTCTCTTTGTCCAGACCGTGCTCCGCTGCTTGTCTTGGGCGGATCGGCAAAGATATCTAGCGAATCCTTTTCGCGACGCTCCGGACGTTCTCTCGACGAAGGACCACGGTTGCCCGAGTATCCACTCTGCACGGGCTTGTCGGGACGGGGCGGAGCCTGTCTGTAGCCGGTATTCGCCTGAGGGGCGGGGTTGATGGAAAGATTTTCCTATCGGACACAGTCCCAGTCAGCTTCAGTGAGCGCAAACGGGCGGGTTCCCACCGGGCGGACATACAAAGAGCTCGCGAGTGTTCGAGGACATGTCTTGTCTCTCGATCGGAGAAATCACGCCCGTCCCTACAATAGGGGCGGACTGCGGGGACAGGACGTCGTCGTCGACGAAGGGATTTGTCGAGGTTGGTCGTTCGGAACGACCGCTGGCGGATGCGAAGGAGCTGGCGGAGGGCGACAGGGCGCGGTTCCGGAACGGATTGTTAGAGCCCAGGCTGGGCGACGGCGCGTGGGTTTGCTGGACAGGTGAGACTGCAGTTGAGCAAGAAATAAAGTTAGTGACACGAGGTGAACCTGGGGATGCACGGTCTGAAATAGACGGTGTTGAGGACAAAATAACACCCTGACCCAGGGGGACGCCCCGCCAGACGTGAAACGGCTGGGAGATGACGAATCCTGGGACAGGCACCAGGGACGAAACGGGAATCAGCAGGCTGACGCACCTGAGGGGCCCAGTGTCACGCTGGGTGGGTAGGAGTAGGTCGGGGGATACTGCGAGGCATTCATGGTTGCGAGCGAGTCCACGCAATGCGGAAGATCGAGAACGGCGGGTTCAGGAGAGATGATTGGGGAACAAAGGAAGAGACATAAAAAAGACAGGAGACAGTGGAGGATCAGGAGGCCGAGACTGTGCAGGTCGGCGCCAAACTAGAGTGAGCTTAGGCGTTGCTGAAACGGCGATGCCGCGGCAGTTTGGTCAGGGGTGGAATAATTGGAGGGGGGGCGATAAATTAGTCTGGGCGTAGTTGGTCGATAGTAGACCGAGTAGACCGAGTAGACCGGCCGTGGGGAGGGGCGAGATGGGAGGATCGCTTGTTTCCTTTTAAAATTGCTTAATTCTGTAGTCTGGTCCGAAAGGACGTCGAGATCTTTTCAGGATTTTTTTTTTGTTGTTGGAAGATCTTAAGTAGTGGTGAGAAGTGGAATGGAGCTGATGGGGAACGGGGGGTGGGTGGGTGGAGGAAAGGGAAGGGTATGGGTATGAGTAGGGGGGAGGAAGGAAAGAAGAGAGGAGAAGAGAGAGAGTAATGCGTGCACGCGAGTGAGAGTGAGTAAGAGCGAGAGACAAGACAAGAGCACGGGACAGAGAGAGAGGGAACCGGAGTGGGTGACGGTTGACGGGTGCCAATAAGGAACCACCAGACAAGCCCCCTTGGGGAAGAGGCGATCGACGCGGCAAAAGGAGGGAGGGAGACGGAGAGGAGCGCGTGGCCAGACGAGGACGATGGGAACCTAAACTGGGAGTGGAGCTTCAGGTACCATTGGACAGGGAGGGGGGGAAAGTGGATGGGCAGCAGGGAGGGAGAAAACAGACAGAGAGAGGGGGAGAGAGAGAGAGAGAGAAAGAAAGAAGCACGGACAGAGAGGGTCGAGGGAGGAAGGAGAATTATCTATAGTAACCCATCTACAAGAAGAATACGAGAAGACTGCCGGGGATCATCATTCGGGCAATCATAACCAACTGCCCCCGTTGGTCGTGCCTGAGAAAGAGTTCAGGTTCAACCTTGTCCAGGGATCGTCCACAGTGGCCACGCAATGACAGCCGGACCATGCTCAGGGGCTGGTCCGTCCGGTGCCCGTTCCTGGATGGGTACGTGAGGGAGAGAGGGAGAGGAGAGAGACAAGAGAGAGAAGAGGGATGGATGCATTGCAGATGAAATCAATCAATCAATTAATCTCACCCACGATGTTGATATCCTCCCACCCACAGTTGATCTGATGTGGTGCAGCCACTATCAACCTAGGCAATTAAGAAAACTGGGGTTAATGCAACTAGTCGGGATTAATCCGCAGGAAAAATACTCTTCAGGCTCATCTCATCACCTGGCTAAGTTCTAACACTGCTGCTGCTGCCTACACTAACTACTCACTTTACTATTGCCGAGTACTAACAGTAACAACCAGGCACGAACATCCAACAGACAACGTTCCACCTTTTTTTTACACCTCCACGGGTTCCCTGGAAACCTCGTCCCGTTCCCTTCCTCCCCTCCCCTCCCCCCCCCCTCCAAGAATAGCCTCCAAGCCACCCTGCTCACAGCCTCACCATCCTCTCTATACAATATCCGCTAGTTACTGTGATCCATCTGTCATCCCAAGCCCTCCTTCCATTCTTCCTCTGGCTAATCCCGGAGGAGTGACGGACAACTATTGCGTCAGCTTCTCCTCTGGAATGCCAGCCCACCTGCAGAACCTGAACCCGCCCATTATTTTCTTTTCTTTTTTTTTTCCGTTTTTCGTTTTTGGCCCTTCCTTCCTCGGGCGATTCCGATCGACAAGCGGACCACTGACCACGATGATGATCCCCCTGGGGCCTGGTGTTGGTGGCCCCCCTCCAAGGCTCCGAACAGCATCCGTCTGATTAATCCGCGTTCGGTCGCCCTACATGACCTACCCTCCTGCTTGCCTCTGTGCCTTGGCAACCGAATCATCCTTACTTGCCCCGTTCGCTCCGAATGTGAGGTGGCTGCGTATATAGATCCAGAGCCTACGCACCCTCCTGCCCTCCCTCTCGAAAAAAACTGCCCGGTCTGATGGTGTCCAACCGGAATGTTGGCCTTCCTTTCTCGGCGGACGCTGATGCAGCCACCCAGCCGGTGAGTTTGAGCCGATCGACCGACGGAGTACGACAGGCAGGTGGGTGTTGCCACGGTCCTGAGACCTTACTTGTGACGTCGCAGTTGGTCTGCCTATCACTCCCTCCCTCAATCCCCGTGTGGTTATTGAACGGCAGCGCAACACTCAAGTCCCGGACTCCGTCGGCATGGCTACCCGGATATCCTGGTCATCGGACAAAACACTAACATGCAGGGCAATGAATACGGACTGCATATTTGTTTTTTTTTCCCTCGTCAGCCCAGGTATGAACTGCCTATGTATAGACAAGCCTCACAAAAGTACTGTGCCTTCAAAACAGTTCGTTTGGCTTCAGGTTGATCGGAGCTGCTGCACAAACTCATGCCAGTGCAACACCACATACCCTGTGTGCCTGTGTTGTACGGCTAGACGCACCGTTTCAGATAATCACTTCGGACAAGATACTCGCCGGGACAGTTCGATTTCAACCCGCTGCCTCGAGCGGAGTATCTTGGGCTGTTTCAGAACAATGCTTGTCCTGTGCTTGCTTCCTCTGCGCTTGCCCTCCAGTCTGGCGTAAGCCCTATCGGCGCTTGTGTCGACCAATCTAGGTCCACTTTGCTATCAAATGCCACCGTCATTGATGCTAATAGACGATCTAGACAAAGTGAACGGATGCAGACTAATGCAGTGTTGACTTTTACCAGCTTAAGGAATGCCGACGATGTCATCGAATTCCTCGATTGTCACGGAGGACAAGGTCGCCTTGCTGACTGGTTGGACACTAAGTCCGTTTACTCATGTGCTTTGGAGATCGATTACGCCATGTTGTACATGTCTATCATCAACAGGCTTTAGACTCCACGGGCTCTGTAGTCTCGAAAGTATTTCGAAGGGAAGCCCGCGGTACCTGTCATCTCCGCCATCTACATGCGCCTACCAGTTAGTATACTCTGTATCGGTTGATTATAGTCCAAAACAGCAAACATAAGTAGTATTTTATTGGTGTCACTTAGGTTACGATAACATACAATCTATACCTAGCCATCTACACAGTGTTATGCTGTCTACTGTAGTAGATCATGTTGACATCCAAAGATAGTAGTGATTGGATTTCGGTTCTGACCGTTGCGTAGCACAAGCTTGGAACCGTGGGTAGGACGAACAGGTAGGTAAAACATACAGTTTGTTTGTTTTGGTTGAACTGTCTTTCTTCGGATTGGTCGATTTCCTTCTGCAGTTGGACGATGGGTTTGATTGTTGATTCCTTCTAATAATAGTCTCCGTGGCAAGTACCTATTCTATCCTGCAATTACTACCCTGGACGGGTCGGGTAAATATATGTCATCACTCTCTGGTGTGGCGGAATACACCGAGGAGGTATGAGGAGCTCTACAAGTCCAGAAACGGGACAGAAGAGCCAATTAACGACAATATAGAGCTCGGAGTGCAGCCCTATATACGATCACTTCGATGGTGGGGAGACAAGACACTAGTAGTGGGTATAATTGGCATTGATAATGGATCGATCATCGGGGCGGGTTGTGCGCATCATGAGTCTGTCTTGGCAACCTCTGGCAGGTCGCGCGTCTGTTTGATTTCTCCGACTCGGACCGCCTCAACCCGTCCACCACCCTCTGCTCCTGATGCCTCAGCGACGGCATTTGCTCGATAAACTAGGCATTTCCACAATCCTCTCTCCGCGTCATGGCACAGCAACCGCCCTCCGACCAGGAAGCCCAGCAGCCTCCACCTCCGACCCTTACGAACCCGCGCTTCACCCTCGAGCTCGAGTTCGTCTCCTCTCTCGCCAATCCCTACTACCTGTCCCACCTCGCCGTGACCTATCCCAATCTGCTGGGCGTCAATAAGTCCGGTGATGACAGCGACGCAAATATTGACTCCGTGGACCCGGACGCGCAGGCATTCGCGGCCTACCTCGCCTACCTCTACTCCTACTGGAAGACTCCCGAATACGCCCAGTTCTTGACCCATCCTGGTGCAACCCTGCGTGCGCTCCGACTGCTCCAAGAGGAGACGTTCCGCCGCGACATCATTCGCCCCGACGTCATTGAGAATCTAGCGGGCACCGGTATCACCGGCGAGCAAGGCGGCGGCGCGGCTGCAGAGACCGAGGGACAGGAGGAAGAACAACCCAAGACGAGCTAGGAGGAGTCTACAAATACTGGAACTATTTGCTATCAGGTGTGAAAGCTCGCGGGAGATGGACGAGAACCGGGTCAATGCCTTCAATAATGGCGCTGAGGTTCGGCCTCTCGACCATGCACAGATTGTGCTGGGTGGGCAAGATTGACGACGAAACGAAGTAATGAAAGATGGCCTTGATTATGGGCACCTCGTCTTTGATTTGAGGACACAAAATAGATACCCCGTATCTGACGGGGTGTATGCCATGCAGGCTCTAATGCAACTCAAGTGGCTCGCGATCTCCCGAAAATCATGTGTGACCGAGGTATCCCCTGGATCTACCACAAATCGGCTATCGCTGGAGCTACGTCTGATGGATGCGACAAGCACCCCACAGGCTCATTTAAGCAAATTTCCTCAAGCTTAAGATCTCCGATATGCCCCCGCTTAGTTATCAAAAATTGGGAGTGGACCTGTCCCGAGGATGGAGGGGATGGCGTTGTGAACACCAAGGATATAAATCAGGTGGACGATGGATATAGCCTATTCACACCATGAAAGGGCGAATTATCGTCCACAGTCCCAATCCCCCTCATCAGGCCATGTTCGTATCCCCAGAGACCAGCTGCAGCCTGTCCCTGATATTCTGCCTATGACGTTACCGTGGGGTTAAGTTAAGTATTAGGTTGCAGGGGGAAAAGCCTCCTGGAGAGCCTGGTGGCACTTGGGGGGCAAATTTATTATTCTGGCATTATTATAGCATCGCCATAGATCAAATCAGAGATAACTGTCGGATCAACAAACAACAAACCCACGGGAAGAAACCCGCGTAGTCCACCGAGTATATTTGAAAGGGGCTCTGTACCTGGAGGTCGCGACCGCCCCAGTGACGCGGCGGCCGGTGTGCGGCGGCCAGCTGAATTTCCCGCCCTGGCGCTCGATCTCGCCGCGGCAACCCAACTAAACTCGCTGCTGAACTTATCGCCATCCGCCAGGGAACCCGAGGGCGACTTTTGGCTTCTGCCTCGTTTGCCTGCCTCACACGACTCGACAGTCGAACTCGGGCAGTCCACATCCTGCTCCTCTGGCTGCCATTATCTCCGATGGATCTACCCCACCCTTAGTGATCCTAACTGACCCGAAAGCCTACTCCTTTTTCCTCCTACATCCACGTTGACCGTTACCTGGATCGTCCTCAGCTTCAGTGACGCGACCCCCAACTCCATCTCCTCCCCATGGTCCGTCCCAGGGACAGGATCCTCTGAATCGTCCTCGAACCTCCGTTACCCAGTCACAGTCCAGATCGGGTCCGGATTGCGCATTCCCCATCGTGGTCGAATTTTCCCCGTATACCGCGAGTAATCGGGTAACCGCCCTGGACCATCCCCTTTACAATGGAGGGCGTACGCCAGTCGTGTCGACCTAAGCATCAGGTCTTGGTCCTCAAATGTTACCCTCAATATCAGAAAGGGATTTCGGACGTCAAGCCGAATCCCAGTGAGCTTTCTTATCTGCTCTACTATGCCAGCACTCGCCGCAGTAAGCTGACGAAAGTCGGCGCTTTCCTGGAGAAAAGGGCCGCCCGGGATGTCTGGCGTCGCAAGATGGGGTAAGTCGATCGGTTATTGAAGATCTACGCTTGTGTGGTCTTCGTGTGAAAAAAATTGCTGTGGTCGTCTCACTGACTTCGTTGTGTAGCAATGTACAGGTGACGCTTCAGATTCTCACTGCCCTTATCGAGAAAGTTCCCCGAGACCTCCCCATCTACGCCCGATCGGTGTTGACGGTCATCGACACGGTTCTCCGCTCTCGTGATATTTCCCTCGTCGAGGACTCGATCGCCACTTTTGAGATGTTCTGTCGCCATCAGGACATGGCGGCCTTGTCAGCCGAACAGGAATTCGCGACCCAATATCGTGAGGTCGTACGGACCTACGCAAGCTTTGCCGACGTTCATGCCCAGGCGAACCCTGCTACCAGCGCTCCATTGGCTATACGGTGGAGGACGGCGGGACTACGTGCGATCAAGGGTGTGGTCAGCTCCGAAGCGGGCTTGGCTGCAGATGGCGGAGATTCGTTGAGGCTCATATTGCCTGTCATCCTGGAGAACCTCTGCCAAGGAGACGAAGATCTGCTTACGTCTCTCGAAAACCAACTCCAGGAATCGGAGAAAAGCAATGACACGGACCCCGCGCACCGGCGCCGAGTCAGCACCGCGACTGTGCAGACGGTGGACACCGTGAACGGTGATCCGGCGCTGGCTTCCCAATCTGCAGCTGATACGGACAAGAAAGCAGAGATGGACGTCCGGCTGCTTGCACTCCGCTGTCTGGAGAGCATTGTCGTCACTGGAAGCAGTCGCGGTCAAATTCGCGTTACTACGAAAGTTGTACTGGATTTCATTCTCCGCAAAAGCAGAACCTCCAGTCTGGGCTTGTCGCTGGATTCGGGGGAAAACTGGGCGACGTCTTTGATTGAGCTTGTTGCAAAATGGTGCCCTGTGCAGGTTCGTTTCATCATCTTGGTCGCCGCCATGGAACACCTGTTCGATACCGCGCCAACAGAAGAGGGCCTAGACGAGCATTTCACCGTTGTCTACATGATCGATTGGCTGCTAAAGTCCTCCGTGAACATGATGGGGCTTAGCGTCATCGACATCCTCTTGAGTCTCATGCAACATATGTCATCTCTGCTGTTTCCCGCGGGCAGCGAAAAGCCGACTGAGCCGTCTGGCAAGAGAAATGAGCTTCTTTCTCTCCTTCAGAGGTGTGTCGGAAACCTCGCAACACACAACTACTATGGCGACCAGATTGTGGATATGATTAAAACTATCCTCAACCGGATCAAGGCTACATCGCCCCAGGAGCACCCCACACCAGCCCAGGCCGATTCTCCTGGCTCTCAGAATGGCAGTCTCTCCGGCGAAACCAGCTCTGTGGCCTTTTCATCCGCTGCTGGAAAGGTTAGCGCTCTTCGAGCCATCAAGAATGTTTTACTGGTAGCGAACTCTCGGAGACAGGTGGCTGTGGCTGGCGTGGAATCGAGAAACCCGGTGGGAATCCATGTCTGGGAAGGGACGCAATGGCTGCTGCAAGAGCGGCAAAGTAACGTACGCATAGCGTACGCGAATGCATTGTTGACCTGGTTGAACCTGGAAACAAGACAGAGCGATCTGATTGTCAAGGACAAGCATGCAAAGCTGTCCAGCCCGAAGCGTGAGGCCGTGGAGGTCAGCGAGAAGTCTGGTAAGCGGTCTGGTTCAGGCGTGCACCAACGAGAAAGGGCAGCGTTCGCAGCGCAGTCTAACTTCCTGCGGATGCTCCATTTGACTATCTACGACATTGCGCTCGAGAGCCCTGCACGCGTGTCTGAGGTCCGGCTGCTTCACTTAATCTTGACCAGTCTTGTTGAGAAGCTCGGAATCAACGCGTGCCGATTTGGACTTCCTATGGTTTTGAAGCTCCAGGACGACATGGACACCTCCCAGAGCTTGGTTTCTGTTACTGCTAAGGTGAACATCGGGAGCTTGGTATATGGGTATCTTTGGGCGTTGTCTGAACGCTTTGATCTTGAGACGTCCAGCGTTGGGAGGGGGATTCAGAGTGAGATCATGAAGAGGCAAAAGCTTGGTCTCTGGCTTGAATACATCCGGTTACCTGCCGCCGACCTTGACCATATCATCCAAGGCGGCGAGTCCCATGCTATTGCTGACAACTCGAGGGATACTGATCAGATGACACCGTACAAGAGCGATATCGAGGCACTTGTTCGTGGCATTGAAGATGTGTACAACCAAGCCGTGGTCTCTGCCCATAGCCCTCCGAGCTCCCCCGGACGCATCTTGCCCCTGCCTCCCTTAGGGCATGGGTCAGCCTCCGCGAATCCCCAGCGCCCCAACCTGCTTCCGGTTCTTGTTAGGGAGCAGATGCTATCGGGGTGGTCGAGAGAATCCTGTCTGGCGGCTGCAGAGCGGGAGAAGACCGAAGCGGTATCCCTTAGTGGCTCGAGGGCCGGGACTCTCGCAATGCGCGGCCAATTCTACCTCAGTGGGGCGGAAGGCAGTTCGCCGTCGACATCCTCTCCTACATCCGCACAGCAAGGCGCAGCCGGCCTGCACAATTCTCGTCGGATGAGCGTGCCCGAATCCTCCCGGCCCCAGCCACATAGCCCTAGGGAGTCGCCCGTGCACGTCAATGAACTAAGGCGCGTGCTGTCGATCAACGACCAAGAGAAAATGCGCCGCCTGAGTCCACTCCGAGGCCGGCTCGATGCTTCGAATCGCAGCGTGGTCTCTTCCAGCAGCGAGAGCATGGTCAGTGGCTATTCGCTGTCGGAGGTCGACGGGGACGGAGCCTCGATCCGACACCATTCTTCTCGGGGCGGGTACATGACTCCAGATGGCGACGTGACCCCCAGAGCTTCGGACGGTACTATGCCTTACTACATGGCCTCGGAGGACATTCCCCCCGTGCCTCCGATACCCCCGTCCTTGTCCATTCCAGGCAGCATGCCGAACGACTCGCAGCGGTCCTTGTCCACCGACCGACCGTCAACCGCGCCTGGTCCCCGCCGGCTGCCGGCTGCCAACGGGAAGCCCGGCACGTCCGGCACGCCTCACCACGGAAAATCGCTCAGCAAGCACAAGAGTCGATCCAGCACGGGGCTCGCAGCTGCAGCGGCAGACGGCGACTACTCAAGGGGTCACATGTACGACGGATCTCCTGAAACAGATAATGCGCAGCGTCGGGACGTGCAGGAACTCCTCAACGGGTTCCTGTCCCCGGCCCACGCCGAGATGCGAAACGGCACCGGCAGGCCTCGTGCTGCAGGCCGACGGGGAGTAAGCGGAGGACTCGGACGCCCCCCCTACTAAACAACGTTTCTTATCATCTTCCTTACACTTCTTCATTTTCATCATTTTCGGGTCTTCCAACAGGTTTTTGTCATGATTGTTGAGGCCCATGAATATATCCCCTTCTTTCTTTCTCTCCTTGTCTGCCTTGATCTGGCTCTTGTTCCATTCTACAACTGTTAGTTTCTGCGTCTACCATCAACACCACCACCTGCACCTGCACCTGCAGCTACACCTGCACCTACCCCGTTTCCTTTTGTTTCTCCTATCCGCTTCTTGTCGTTTCCGAATCTGCCGTTTGATAATGTGTATCTGTTCGATGGACTGATAGAGCTGTACCGAGTACACTGCATGAATTCTTTTTTTTTCTCTTTCTGTCTGATTTCTTGGATATTATCACCTGGCAATTGATGTCTTTGTTGTGGCGTGATATCCTCTGCGCATGTAGAATATCGCAGTTAGTGTACCTAATATAATCATACAACCATACAACCTAACCTAGGTATAGTACATAGGTAAACAACGGGTATAGCATACATCACCGATCAACCCAGTACACAGCTATCTTCTTTGCAGCAGTGACAGCAACAACTGTAGTAACAACAATCTAAACGCCCGTCTGATCAACCAACCTTCCCCTCCCCCTCTCATCAAACTCGACCTCTACAGGCCCAAAAAACTCCTGAAACACGCCCTCCAACACCTCATCATCCAACTGCATATGCTCACCGGGTGTAGACCTAAACACCAACTTTCCCTTCTCATCCAAGCCCTTCAAGCCCAACCAATCCTCCTTATAAACTCTGCTCTCCCTCAAGCCCACCACCTCTCCACCCACCCCATCCACGCCGCCAAACCACGCCGACTCCTTCGGATGCACCATGCGATCCCCCTCAAACAAATACATGACAAACCGATTCAACATACCCAGATTCCTCTTATAGGTAGCATTCTTCACCTCGCGCTCATTATTCACATCGGCCAAGAAGTTACTCTCGGCGAGATACCGCGCGTATTCATCCTCGTTACTCGCATCCCGGAAATACTGCGCGGGGACAAGCCGCTCCTGCACGAAGGGGGACCATTTGCCGGCCCGCAGGAGGGCCTCGCCGCCGCGACAGAGAAAATCGTTCCAGCTGCATTCCTGGAACTCGGAGATGCCGGCGTGCTGGCTGCCGAAGGTGACGAGGTTGTGGACGGGTGGCGTGTTGCATCGCTCGATGTAGCCGCGCAGGAACTGGCCCCCTTGGGAGAAACCGATCGCGTTGATGGCGGGGGCGGTGGAGAGGATGGGGTCCGCGGCGATTTGCGCGCATATGCTGCTGATTTGCGTGGTTAGGTTGCCCAGAAAGGAAGCTTGGCGGTCGCCGTTGCTGCTGCCGGAGAGGTGGATTAGGTGCGTGTAGGTGCCTGGGTTGGTGGTTTCGGCGTGCCGTGCGAGGGAGACGAGGTGTGGGTTTTGGAAGGTGTCGCCTAGGCCGTGCCAGATTATTAGCGGGAGGGGGGTGAGTTCGGTTGTTGTGTTGGGGTGGTGAGGGCGGAGGTGAGCGGGAGGGCGAGGAGGGGGTGAGTAGGTGGGGACGCATTGGGGTGGTTGGTGTTGGTGTTGTGTTGGGTTGTTTCAGTGGTGGAGGAGGAGGAGGAGGAGGAGGAGGAGCTGTGGTGTGGATGAGGTGAGTGAGTGGTTGTTCGGGGGTTTGTTTATGAGGTTGGAGAAGAGGTCGAGGATGCGGAGATACGAGATACGAGTGGAGAGGGAGGTCTGGTGTCCGTGCTGCCTGACGTAAGGTTGGCATGTGATCAGGTACCGCCGCTACCCTTTTCTGGCTGGTACGATACACATCTCATGGTGGCTGCTTATGGCTAGTGCAATGGTCTTCTTGGATGGTTCTGTACAAATCTACAACTCAGGCACATTACAGTTATATCAATGTGGGTTTGAATAACTGGTAAAGCAAATTGTCTTGCTTCTGCGCTCGCAATATATACTACACAATAGTCATAGATTTGATACCTCGTGATCTGCTTCTCGGCACATGGACACAGAGCAGTCAGCACTGTTACATATGAAGGAGCTGACGTGGTGCATGTCTAACCCATATAGACTTTAGAGCCCGGTGTGATCTTTGGGTTGTGGAACTTGAAAACGTTCGAGGCGGATGAAAAGCCGTCAATGCTATCGACTACGCTAGGCACATTGTTTCGCGATCTGTTAGGCGTAAATACACTAGCCGTAGCTGCCCGCTCAAAAGCTGATGGACATGTGAAGTCAGTGTTGCGAAGTTTGTAAGCTCTGTATGTATTTGATTCTCTGGCAATTTGATCACCATCAATGGTGACGGACTGGCCGAATACTTTGATCGGAGGCGTATGTTGTTCGACCATTGTGCTTAGCTGCGTGAGCCCACTCCGTTCTTGAAGACTAGTCCCTCTTAATGAAGAGTTAGACGTCTCATCTACTGTCTGGGTCATAAATCGTTGTATGTTGTGACGCGGTTCTGGGAGCCAGCTATAACGGGAATTCAAAGCCGACAATGTATCGGTAGAATCTCGAAGAGTATTATGCTGGCTCTCAGCATTCTCAACGAAGGACGATGATCCTCGGATGCGAAGAGGGCTTTGGTATGGTTGATCCTGACATCTCGTTGCACCCTGAAAGCCATAAACTGCAGCTAGTTTCCCCTCTTTTTCGGCGATGATTTGATCATCTATTGTAAACCTTCTCCTGATGGGTGTCCCTGCACGTGAGCTCCCCGAGCCCCTCCTTGACTCTAATGGTCCTACCCTGGGCTGTTGGGGCCCGTGGATTCCATCCGGCGGCCAAACCAAGGGATCTTCTGAGACAGATGCTGCTCGGATGGAAGATGTCGTGCACCTATGTGGAATACTTGAGTAGTCCAGTATCCAAGATCTCTCACTAAGTGGACCGCCCCTACCAAGCCTGTCACGATCGAGCTCTCGTGTAAGAGAATGTCCATTTGGAAGACTCGATTCTTCATGGTCCAGAAGCATGGACTGTGACGAGACGATTATCGGTTGACTTGGTTGTGTACTCTTACGGTCAACACCTATGCGTCTGCCATTGATTCTTATATCCATATTCCGAATCGTTTCTATCTCAGATGCCGTATCTCGACGTTTTATGTGAAAATTGGAAGCTTCTCGACGCAAGGCAGAGGAGCTCAGTCTCTTGCGGTCGTCTTCCGTAATTCTTCTGCGCCTGCCAAATCTTCGAGTCTCTTCTACCGGGGTAAACTCCATCTTCAGTGGACGGGAGACGGAAACAACCGCCCAGTCTGGCTTTTCCAGGAGCCCACGTTTGATATTTTCTAACCGTCGATTTACCTGTGAGGGTGTGTGGGTAGTGGAGGGGAGTTGTGGAGGGTCAACCGGATGGATCTGGGAAGAACGGCTTCTAGTCTTGAGTAAAAGCTTAGCTGTTGTTACCACGTCGGATGCGAATGGCCAGGTCAGTCGAATGCCTCTCACCTGCTGGGCCGGATCCTGGCCCGAAAGACCGCCCGGTCTTCCCACCGCAGGGCCTTTCCCTTCAAGAAAAAGAGACTCGTTGAAATGCGAAGCTTGAAGGGTGAAGGACGCAGCTGGTTTCGGCTTCCTTGAAGGCCGTTTCTTGCTCTTACCCTTGATGTCGGAATGGCGTCGAAGACGACCTCCGGTCCAGTTCATCGTGCTGTAGACAGCCCCAAAGCATGACAGGCTCGTGGGCTGCGGTTAATGACAAGAAGCTCGGGGCGGCATGGAAGACGGCGAAGATGCTGTCATGTGATAATGAGCGAAATTCAGAACTGAAGGGTACCCTCAGGCATCGGGAGGAGAACCGTGAGCTATCCTCAGTCCCGATTACGGGATCATGCAATATCTACACCTCAGTTGATAACTCGAATTCCAGAACTACAGTGCATGTGAGGGAGGCATTGATCCATATTGGGACATGCATGCCTCGTCCAGCATGCATGCGTTGTAGACATAGATGCGCGAAATAGATGCGATCAGTCGAATCCGGCTGTTTTTGTACTCCGCTGCATCATCAACGGAATTGGGGTGACGGATGAAATTGGGGGTGATAGGTGTTGGCTGAAACAACCTGAGATAGCTCTCTCCCACGCCAGACACTGGAATCTCAGAGTCGAGTTGAAGTCTTACCACATGAGGCATGGTAGAGTGCAACTAGATACTAGATAGCCATAGTGCCATACTAGCACCTCGGGACTGTTAGGCAAAACATATGGATGGATACGGGACGGCCCGGAAGACGACCCAACTTCCAAGTAGTCACTTTCGATGTCACTAGTTTAGCTTCAGTCTTCGAGTCCGCTCAAACCTCGGAACCACCGGACCATGCAAACCATGCAAACCAGGTCACGTGTAGGCTCGCTTCGTCGGCCATAAATTAATTTCCCACATGCAAAATTCCTTCCTTCTTGACTACACGCATACGACAACAAAATGTCCAGTGCAGCACGGATGGTGCCTGCATCATCCCACTCGCTTGCCTGGCAAAGCACGAGACAAATTCATTGGCCTCTGCCTTGATGTAGGCGGACTCTGAAACTGTCTCGTGTCAGCAGCATGGCCAGCTGTCTGCCTAGTAGTACGCGGTCCCTGGCGGCCTGCGATCCTTTCTTTCTTGGTCGCCTCCTTTTCACAACCCCTTTTTCCGGACATGATGATCGAGGTAAGCACGATGACTGTTTTCTTTGTCTCTCTTTGCATGGGTGTCGCAAGGGCATTCTGTCCTTAATGATGAACACCATACCTTAAGCATAGTTCACCTGAGGTCTCCGGATCGTTGAACGAAAACTGTATACCATCTTTCATTTCTATCTGATACACACCCATTCTTGCGTCATTTCTTCCTGCCTCCCGGAAACATTGCATTCTGGCCAGTCGCTGACTTTGTATGCTCTCAGACTAGGAAAGACGCGGGATCCGTAAACCAATAGTCTTGTTTACTTTTTTTTTGTATTTTTATAGAAGCCGATGAATCCAATCCTACTTAATCTTAATATGATTACTCTGAGACAAGCGTAAAAATAACCTCCCATAGTCCCATCGAGCCCGCTCCGTCTGTCCCTCGACCTCGAGTGTCCCGGAAGTCCCGTAATTAGATGATCTCATTGCTGCCCAACCTCCCGTGGTGCCAGTCTTTCGCTGTGGATTCCAGTCAGAAGTTGACGGTTGCCCGTCATGCTGGAGATAAATGCAGGTTCTCGTCCCCCTGAAACGTAGCAGCGCATTCCCAAACTGTACTTTTGTCCGTCTCCTCGGTTGGCGGAGTGATATTGGGCGAGACAGGCCGCAGGGGCGTGGGCATGAGCAATGAATCACCCGGCCGGGGGGGGGGGGAAATGAGGGGCAATCGAATCGACACTTAAGCCCCCCTCACTGTCTGTTTGCTTGCAGTAGTCGCGATGAGCGGGATCCCTGTTCCCCGATGTAGGCAGGCTTGACGTGTTGCGGTGCCAGCCAAACGATGGCAGGCCGAGAGTTTGTGACCTTCTGTGCCCTTCACGAGGGAAAGCGGGGCCGCCGAGAAAAGACCGCCCGGGAGGCGCTGACTGGCTGTGGGCCATCGAGGGGCCCTCCATAACCACCCATAGCCCTGCACGCGACAATCCACGGGGGACCAGGAGGGACCAGGAGGGAGAAGGAGGGACCCAGAGCAAAGCCAGAAGGATTCGCTCGGCGCCAATCACTACTGGTTTACAATCCGGCCTGCGGAGGGGCTGCGCTGCCAGTGATGCAAGCCCGCAGCACATTGCCCGGCCACCAACCAACCACCGGCCCCGGAGTAGTGGAGCGCGGTTGATTCCCGCCTCACCGCTATATTGAGCAATTGCCCGGGTGGTGCCGTTGCAAATGATACATCCACCCGCGGCCACGTCAAGCCGGGAGGATGGGCGGCTCCGGCGCGTCATTGGTAGATAGTGGGCGAACAACACCACCTGGCGCTGCACCACTATCACCGCCATGTCTCGCAGGGTCAAATCATCGTGCGTCGTAGTGCCAGTGAGGCAGCCCGCTGCAGCAGCATGCAAGTCCGGCACGCGCTTGGACGCACTTTTTGCGCTTTCTGCACTTTGTGCTCCGAATTCCCCCCCCCCATCCACCCCCCCGCCTGGCCTCCTGAGTGTGCGCTCCAGCCTGCGCCGTAGCCTCTAAAAGGCCGGTCATTCCCCTCCAGATCGGATTCTTCTCGACCTTTCCTATTCATCTCACACCAGACTCGAAGAAGCAACCCAGCTGTCCACTTTAGATACCCAACAACAACCTTGATACCCCCCTCTTCCTTTCAATTCATCCTCTACTCCACCTTTCTGCTCGATTTGCCACAGTCAAATCAGCTTACCTACCTCTCTCACATCATCCTCATCCACTTGATCGAGGCTACTGCTCCTGCTCTTGCTTCTGCTGCTTGCCTGTCTTGCTTTCTTTTCTCTCTTGCTCTAAGAGTCCAACCCGTGGATCTTGGAGAAGAACTGCTCCCCCGGCTAAAAAACAACCCTTGACTGCCACCTGGAACCCAGTCCGCATCCCGGATAGGATTTGCTTGCTTTGTTTTCTTTCCTGCTCCACCCCCAGGCTTTAGTCTGAGCGTACGGCAACAGATAACAGGTAGTCCCCTTATTATTTTCTTGTGTTTTGCTTGCTTTTTCTTGTCTTCCCCTCGCGACTGCTGCATTTCGAACCGCCTATGGACTCCGCCGTCGACCATCACACGACATCTTCAGAGGACCCCTGGACTCTTGAATCATTTTGCCCCGCTGGAATCTCCCGTCTTGTGACGGTTTCACGAACGTGGCCATGGAATTGCCTGACGTCCTCAGCGCCCGCTGTGTGACTGGACACATTGAGTGTTGTTTTATGTTGCACACTCTTCGTCGAATACCCCTGGACTGTCATTCTGCCTGGAACCCTGGATCTTCATCACTAAGCCTAGTGTGGAGATTGGATATTGCCTTGGAACCCCTTTTTTGCATGGACTGTTTTTTCTACGTTTCCGCTTTGGACCCCACCATCAGGATAGACAGCCGTCACTGGAATATCAATCATTATGAACTTTCCCATGGACTTGCGATAAACCTTTCTCTGGACTCGACATCTAATGGCCTCAATCCTTGAACAACTTATGTGTTGTGCTTGTCGTTGCTACTAGCTCTTGTAGTCCCTCGGATCATGGGACGGATGCCGTGACTAAGACTCGACCCATCTTCATACAGCCTTGGCCTTGGAATAAGCACCACGGAAGTTGCCGCTCACTCCGATCATCACTGGCCCTTGTTTCACTGTTCCGGATTAACCGCAGCCCCCTGACTTGGACCCCATCGCTGCCTCGGATAGCTTCGGAGACCACATGCTCAACTCATACTACTGGTTCGTGCACCTTAACCTTAGAGCTCGTTTAGACTATCTAACAGTGACTGCAGGTCTCGCTCTATGGATTTCGAATGCACACGCTCGTTCCATTTGTCATTGTTTCTTAGCGATTCGGTGTAGATGTACTGACGCTGTTGCCTTTTTAGTGCTTGCCCAACCCAGTTTCACTGGACCCTAGTTCACAAAACAATGTCCACGAAGATCAAGAACGACCCAGAAATCATGTCTTTGTCCCAGTCATCTTTGCACACTATGGACCAGATGTCTCAACCGAGACAACACCAAATAATCCCAGGATACTCCAACATGGCCTCCAGAGGACTCCCGGATGATGATCTTTCGAGCCAGGACAATTTCTCCTTGTGTTCAAGTACACACCAGAGCCATGGAAGCCCCCATGAGCTGAAGGGATGGACTCTGAGCGACGTGGACGCACTGGACAGTGGTGCCATCTCCAAGCCAGAGTCCCCCGAAGTCCAGATGCTCTCTTTCTCTTTCTCCCAACAACTTCTTCCCTCCACCGTTGGCCCCAGTGATGTAATGTATCATCACGCAGGATCCGAATTCTCAAACATCCAGGACATGGGAGAGCCGAGTGACCTGGATTTCTCACATGCACATGACTTCAACCACTACTCCTCCCTGGTTGACTTTTCTGCCTTTGATAATGATGTTTGTGGCCCAAATGGTACCCAGTCCTCTTGCGCCCCTGATGATACTCTTTCCAGCCACAGCTCTCATGCGGATGACGGTCACCTGGCCGCCAATGAGGCGTGGAACTCCATTGTTGCAGACACCAGGAACTACCAGGGATCAGCCATGGACCAGTATACCACCGGCATGTTCCAGTCAGTGCCTGTTTCTCCTCCGTTGAGTGACGCGAGTAATGATTCTTCCGTTAACTCTTGCTCCCACACTGGATACCCCACCTTTATGAGCCATGAAGATGCCATGTTGAAAGATGTCACAGCCACTCCCGTTGGAAGCCATGGAATCAACCTCGGAGACCCCTTGTTCCCCCTCACCCCACCTTTGAGTGAGCAGGACCCCAACAGGTCAGTATTATGAAGTTACCTCGAGCATTTGATCCACATATTCTGACACTCAACAGGACTATCCGGGCTACCAAGAATGCACGTAGACCAGCCCTGCAGACTTCCCCCCAGTCTCAGGTGAAGCAGGACCCAGACTTCTTCCCACCGCTGCCGGTCAAGGAGACGCTCCGTCAGAAGGCCAAGGAAGGTTCCGACCTGCGGAACCCCCGTGACCACCCTTACTACTCCCTGCCCACCCACAGCGACGGCAAGTACTACTGCCCATTCGCCAACGGAGACAAGCCTTGCAACCACCCCCCAACCACCCAGAAATGTGCCTACCAGTGAGTATCATCATTTGCCTGTATGAAGCACTGCAACTGACATTAAAATAGCAAATACCTGGACTCCCACCTGAAGCCGTATCGCTGCAAGGTCCCCGCCTGCATGGATGCGCAGCTGCAGTTCTCCTCCAATGCATGCCTTTTCCGCCACGAGCGTGAGGCTCACGGATTCCACGGTCATGGAGACAACCCTCATCTTTGCCAGTTTGAGGGATGCGACCGGTCTGTTCCTGGATATGGATTCCCCCGCCGGTGGAACCTCTATGACCACATGAGACGTGTCCACGACTATGCCTCTTCCGACAGGCACAGCTCCCCGGATGCCTCCCCCACCACTGGACCCACCAAGAGAAAGGAAGCTGCTGGCCGCAAGCGCAGAGTTGCTGGCGTCACTGGTGCCCCGACCATGAAGCGTACTCGCTCCACTCAGTCCCACACCAACCCCTTGAAGGCCGCCCAGCAGTCCTCTGCCCACCACAGCCAAAGACTCCAAAATGCGGAGAGGAACTACTATAACTGCCGCTCGCGCTTGCTCGAGGAGATCAGCAACATCATGCCTCAGGACTCCTCTCTGCACGAGAAGGTCAACGCCAGCCTTCAGGAGCTGATCACCCTTGGCCTGAACTTCCGCCACATTGAAGCCAGCCAAGCTGCCGCCCAGATGGCCCACGGCCTTCCTGCGTGAATGGTCCACTGGATTTCATATGTGATTTTTTAAACTTTCCCCGGGATCGCCGAGCACAGGATGGTTTCCATAGGAAGATCCTCGTGATGCTAAGCATTGGAATACCCGCGAAGGATGGAAGAAGTCATGGAGATGATCCGTGAATGATTATCACTACTGGTTGGATTTTCTACTTTTATTCCACGGGGTTCCTCGATCTTCTGGGGCCATCAGAGGGCTTCCTGCTCTCAGCCACGATGTGTCTTCAGAGACACATTCGCGCGGCCCACACCTCCGACACCAACATGTACCGTCTCCTTGAGGTACATGTCTTCATCATCGGCCACACTAGTGTGGATGTTGATGTAGGTGGTGTTTCACAAGGGTGGCTTCGGGCATTCGGATAAGCCCAGGATTTCCACTCTCTGAGGCCATTTCCATTTTTGATATACGCGCAGCTTGCTGTGCTTTCTATTTTTTTGTAAATTTCTGTTCCTTTTTCTGCATTTCTTTGCGACAGGCGGATACATTTTTTTTCTTCATCTCGGGCTTGTGACATTCGGACTCTCAATCGGAGACGAACTAAAAAAGGATGGGAACTGCGGGACACATGGGAAGGTATAAAATTTGGGACGGACGGACGGACGGAACGGAACTGTGTATATGGGGTTTTGTGTGTTCGGGTCTTGATCTAGACACTTGGTGTTCATTATTCATGTATAGGTACAGGCCGTGGAACAGGAGGCCTGCTTCATGTATCGGGATTCGGTTTTCACGTCAGTATTGGGTTTTGCGTTTTTCAATATTTTCTCCCTTTGGCTTTTTGGGGCTCGATCTTGGACATTATAGTTTTGGAAATACTCTTGATTCTCTTTTCAATATTTCTTCTTCCTTGTTTCTGCTTGCGCCTCTGGTCTTAAAGGTATTGCACACTATTGACTGCCTTTAGTCATAGTATTGTTCCTTGAACCCTAGTATTCTGATAGATCTCAAAAATCTCTGGTAGTACTATCGACTCACCCCTTGCTTTTCAGCTTTTCAGATCATGTACCACAAAATTGACCCTACCACGTAGTACAGAGTACAGCGTGCAACAGTTCGATTATTTGCAACAAACGCTCAGTGATCAGCTGTAAATACTTGGGTTACCAAAATAACGCTATACACGTATACACTCGCACGCTGCACCTGTATCTATTGAAACAATTCTGTATCGCTTGACCAAAAACAATACATCACATGCACCTAACCTCCACAGTTCCTCAACAATCCCCCCCCCCCCCCCCCACAACAGTAACGTAACACAAACCCACAATCTAGTATTCATCTACCCTGTATGCTTACACCTCCTCCTCCGCCCCAAACTCAGCATTCAAAAACCTCACAAACGCATCAGGCACCTGCTCCGGACTCAAGCCTCCGCCCTTACTCGCCGCATGCGTCCCCATGACATACGCGCGATTCAAGGCGATCCACTGCCTACGTAGACGCTGCAACCGCGGGAGAGCGAGTATGCCTCCCGCGGCAGCCAACTCATCTGTCGAGCCGGCGGTAGCAACATGCGCGGGGATGAAAACCGGGATCGAGGCCTCGGGCACGGGGATGGTGAGGCCCCGGCCGTCATCGCTCTGCGCGAGCGCAGCTTCAGCGGACGGGTTGGTGAGCGTGAAGCCCCGGATTGCGGTGACGATGGCGGAGGTGCGCTTCTCCATGCTGTAGAGGGCGGAGGAGTCGGTGGCGGCGGGCATGGCGGTTGCTTGGTGGGGTCTGATTTTGGGGCGGTTGGAGCGGAGGGAGGAGGGGGCTGCGGTGGTGGTGGTGCTTGCTGCAGAGGAGGGGGAGAGGTGCGTGGATGAGAGAGAGGTGACGAGGGAGGAGAGTGCGGTGGGTTTTTCTTGCTCCGCAGCGGGGGTTGGGGAGAGGTTGAGGGTGGAGGGGTGCGGGATGCCTGTTAGGGCGGTCCAGATCTCGGCGATTGGGGGGGAGGCGTCGCTCCAAGGAACCGTGAAGAGGGGTTTGTCCCAGCGGCTGTGGATGCTGGGCTCTTCGTAGCGGAAGATGAGGTTGTTGAGGAGTTCCGGGGGTAGGCGTCTTCGGGGTCGGAGGTTGATAGGGGGGTTGTTGCGTCTGTGGTTTCGGTGGGTTCGATGGTTGGGGGATTGGGCTCTGCTTTTGAGTCGGCTTCGGCTTCGGTTTCGGCGCTCGTGGTGCGATTTAGTCGGGCTTCGTTGTTCGCGACGCATTGGTCAATAGGTGTGCCGACGTGGACCTGGAGAGAGAGTGTGTTAGTGTTTGCGGTCGCAGGCGTGTGGAGGAGACGGGGAGGATGCGTACCACACAGCATGTTGTTCCGAGTGCCTTTGCTTCGCACCAAAGCTGGTACCGATAACCCTTGATGTAGTTCATTCCATCGAGGATCACGAAGCTGTTTGTCCCGAGAAAGCGCTTCGCGCGGGCGTATGCGACGCCGCGCGACTCCTTCTCTGTGCGCGCATGGTCGTACACCGTTCTCGGGTGGGAGGGATCGTGGGTAGGGACGACATGGATGTTGTAGCGAGGCTTTGAGGGAGGGAGAATGCCTGCGGTGAAGAGATCGGTTTGGGCGGCTTCGAGCTGGTCCGCGAGTTGGCGCGCGCGGTAGCTGAGCCCGGAACACGGGTAACCAGTCAAGACAATGAGCTTGAGGAGGTCAGAAGAAGTCAGTAAAGGCGACAGAATGGCATATTTGGGAGCAGGATTGGCCGTACCGGCATGCTGATGGACGTGAAAGGGGTTGGTGGTTGAGGATGTGGTACGATGCGGACTTGAGGCGGAGATTTGCATATAAGTTATTTTTTGGCGGGGCGGATGGGTGGGGTGCATGTGACTTGCATATGGGCTGATCTGACAGCGTTAATCAATTGGCAACGCCGAGTGATGTTGGAAAACTCAATTGAGATTGTGGATTAGGGGGTATATTATCTTGTCTGTTTAAGGTAATTCTGAAATCCTTTTCTGCTGTTGAACTTGGAAACAAAACGGGTTTATCTAACCCCACTCCGGCTCTAATTTCCCCTCATCCTTATGGTATAATGCATCGTCAAGTCTTTTGCCATCCAAGCGCCAGTATATACTAATTCAATTCCTCCTCTGACCACCGGATTTCATACCCAAAGACCGTCTTCCGTAGCCGCTCATCCTACAAGTTCATAGTTAGCGCAAGACATCTAGAGCAAACCGAGCCGGTGAACTTACCCCCGGGTCATTCTCGAACAACACATCGTCCATCAGCTTCTCAAAGATCTTCGTGACCTGGAAACCATTCTCCTCCGCCAGCGGGAAAAATTTCTCCGTCTTGGGCAACAGCCACGGCTCGTACGGGGTGAAGATCACCAGCGCGACGGAGTCCTTGCTCCGCTTCAGCGTCTCTCGCATCGTCTTGATCAGATTCGGGTGCTGCGCATGACTGTATACCACGTCCGCCATGATGAGCACATCAAACCCCGTCGCCCCAGCGGGGAGGCACGCGAACAGCGGCTCGACCGAATCGCCCCATTTGTATCCGTCAACGTGGAGGGAGGAAGGGTTCGCGATCTGGGAGGCCGAGGAGGTGGCATTATGGCGCATGTTCTCGACGAGATCCGGGTCCGGGTAGTCGGTCATCACGACAGTGCGGGCGCCCACGATGGCGCTGACAATGCTGGGGACACCGGCAGCGGCACCGATTTCGAGGACATCCTTTCCCTCAATCAGGGTGCTGGCCCGTTCTTCGATGTAGTGGGAGCTGGTTCGGCCGGCGTTCCAGAGCAGGTTGCCCTAAAATGAGAAGAGGCGGTCAGTTCGTGGGACGGATGAAAGACGAGGGGTGGTCAAGAATGGTCGTACGTAGAGAGGATGGCTACCGACCAGACGCACGCGCACTGTCTGGCCGGAGAGCATGTGATGGTCTGCAAAGCTAGGCTCGGGCTCGGGCTCGTAAAAGCCATCGGGGTCCTCGAACATGGCCCCCGTATCGAAGTTGTCCTCTTGCGCCATGGTGAGTCGGTGTGAGTCCAGCCCCAGCTGACAGGGGGTATGATCAGATGAGGAACGACGAGGACATCTGGACGATGGAGGGCGATGCGCACCGCACCGAATTAATTCTGTATCGCGATTGCGAAGTGGAGTCCGCCTTGGTGGGGGATGCCAGAACCGGACTAGCGCAGCATCGGGAGACAGATGGGGTCACCTGACCTCACGTGCAGATATGCCGAGGCTTCGCCGCCCGACCGAAGGAGAGCGTAATACATACGGTCACGTACCTGCGTCCAGCGGCAAACCCCGCGTGGGGTCGGGCGGAGATACGCGTTCGCATACAGGTCGGGTAATTGTCGGTAAGATGATTTGCCCGCCGCGAAAAAAAATCACAGATCAGATCAGTGTTGGACGAATTGGGCTGATTGATTGATGGAGGCCATGTCGATCATCTTCAAGTCAGTGTGTACTTATGTACATACTACTTGCCGACTAGCCCCAGTGATTGTCCCCCAGGTCAACACATCTCCTGGATCCTGAAGGACCTTCCTTGTGTTCAAAAGTACCGAACCTCAGCTGCAGTGACGCCTTCCAGACGCTATCTTTTCAGTTATCTCTGGTCCGGTCCAGAGTCATCCGTTCGTGGAAATTCCACTTATCAGCCTTTCTTTTGCCTTGCCGGACGTCATACCGCGGTGTCTCCGGACGCGCAGCCCCACGTGTTGCTGGATTTCTCTGCTGCGTTCTTCCAGTCCTTCTCTTTCCTCCCCTCATCTCTCGCATCGTCCTCATCACGCCATCCCATTCTCTCCAACGCCAGAGAGGAAGCTAAAGCGACTCCACCTGATCAGTCCACACACCCACTAGATACTGCACCTGGACCGATTTTCTCTATCACCAACCCACCGACCCTAGTCCCTTCTGCTTCCTCTCCTCGCTATCGCCGCTCCCAATAGACTTCCCAGCGTTCCGCATCACCTCGTCACCACCGCCTTCACCAAAACCTGCATACAGATAGACCCTCTATAGACCCTCACCACCATGGACGACCCATCCCGCACCATCTCCCCTTTCAGTCAACCTCAACCCACCGCACAAGTCCCCGCTGGATACCCAGCGCAGCCTCAGGACGCCCTGGGCCTTGCGGCCGCGGCCGCCGCAGCAGCCGTCAACAGCCAGACCTCCCAAATGCAGATCGCATCTCAGACTCAACCCACGACATCATCACTATCATCATCAACAACGGCCACGGCACTCGAACCGCAACAACATCACCTCCAACATCCCTCAGAGCTCTCCCAGTATTCCTCCGCAACGGCGACCGCAGCCCCTCCGGCCGATGCCTACCCCCACCAGATCACCGGCGAGGGGGGTCCCACTGCGACAGCGCCTTTCCTGCGAGACTTCAGCCTCGTTGCGGAGGCGGCCAAACGGGCCCAAATGTCCGTGATGGTGCGGGATTTGGAGGGCGTTTCGCTATAAATACCATGCGGAGAAATCTCCTGTGGGGATACGTGACATCATGTGGGCTGGGGGAAGTGGGTTGGTTTGTGCCTGGGTTGATTTAAAAAAAGACCGACCTGTGAAGCCGATAGAGTGGTTCTCGGTGATTGATTGGTTGATTAGTTCAGTCAGGACTATCTTATCATCATCATCATCATCATCGTTTCTCCTGCTCTTCATTTCCATTCCACAAACACACACAGACACAGACACACACACACACACACACACACACACACACACACACACACTAGAATTTCGTTCCGAAAGAGGAAGGACAGTTCGTCAACTCCATACTATCCCCTACTACAGGGCATCGTAAGTACCCCTACTATAGGTACTTATGGTGCCTACTACAACAACTACTACTATATATCGATTGATTTCCATTTCCGGGCTGGCGCGCGGGTGTGACAGTGCAATTGTCCTTTTCCCTCTTCCTGCTTATCATTGGCTGGGATTGGCCGCTTCCTACATTGTCTCTCAGGCACCAACGTTTTCCTTCCTGTTCCTTTCCTTGTCCCCTCTCCCCCCCCCTCTCTCTGTGGATTTCGGGATTATTTTCATTGGCGCGAATTTGCGAGTTTTGGTTATTTATCTGCCTATTCGTCTCTTCCTTCTCCGTCCCATATCTATCCATCCATCCTTATGATCCATGCTGGTTTGAGTCTATCTGATTGATCAGAGATTCTCTAGCTTGGGGGTAAGTAGGTGCATGAGTGTGCGTGAATGAGGTGAATAAATGAATGGGCTGGGCTGGTCAGGCAAGGGCTGGTTAGAATGGCGCAGACAGACGTGAAAACAACGACAGCGTGCGAGGGACGTTCGTTCTATATACCATTTGGATTCTTTTTTTCTTCTATCATCTCTCTTTCGGGGTCAGGTTTGGGTATATCGTGCCATCTATCATCATCATTCACGTCACACAGCTAGACAGCCAGAGCTAGCTACCCAGATAGAGAGGTTGGACCATACAAAGGCATCTCATAATTGTCAGTCATTCAGTCTGTCAATCAAGAACCCCCCCCCATTTCCGTTCCCGGAAATTAAATACCCTCCTCCTGCCCTGTTTCTTGCCTCTCCGACCGGTCGACCGACCGACCGACCGAGCGGTCGGCCCCTTTCCAATTCCAACGTAGTGAACAGACTAAACCAAACCAACCACTTTAGCCAGGAAACCCATACAAGCGAGCGAATAGACAGGGCTACTAAATTGGTCAGTAAATGGTGCCTGCTACCTACTCCGTACAGCGTACAGACTACTAGAAATGCACCTGGTGGTATTGTCCTGTTTAAATGGACAGATGACCGAAGAAGGTAGAGAAAGTGGGCGGATTAGACGGACGGACGGACGGACGGATGGATCGATGGATGGAAGCGTATTATTTACGCCGGCGGGAGCGAAACAAAGAACAACAACCCCAGAAGACCGTCCTCGGCGAACTGCGAAGCGAACACCCAACCTACTTTACCAACCTACGCTTAGTACTAGTAAGCTACCAAGCCAAGCACCGGCCGCGGCGCGGGCGGGAAACACGACCCGAACCTCCCCCCCGGAAAAACTTAAGCAGCAGCACTAGTACTGTAGATAAGCATGCGGCCTTACGTATGTATGTATGTACGTCCATAAGGCTGAAGGGGAAGAACTGGAACTAAGTAGAAGAGGGGGAAGGGGAAGGGAGGAAGGAAGGAAGGGGGCGTTGCCAAGGCGTCAAACTAGCCGGGATAGGCATATCAGTGGTGAGTAGTGTGTGTCAGGTCGGATTAGATATGATGATATGATAGCTCGGGAGGGGTCGATAATTGATAGTGATAGTGATAGTGATAGTGACGTCCTTGCATATTCAATGCGGTGAGGGGGGGGGGACTTTATATACCGTTTTCTATGTTCTACCTACCTATCTATTGGGTTTAGGTAGGCGAGCAGGTGGTTATGGCGATCGATGCAGGTACGGAGAAAGTTGCCTTGTTTATTATGATAGGAAAATGGCCTGTGATTGGGGTATGTACGAAGGTGGAGGTGGGAGGTAAGTAGATCCGAACCCAATTTTTCTTTTTCATTGATGGTAGTGGTTGGAGGGTGAGCAAGGTAGATAGGTGTCTGATGATTGACACGGGTGGTGAGTGAACACTGGAAAAAAATCTATAGATGAGGCGGAGAGAATGATAAAGAAAAGATGCAAGAACGCATGATGAAGAAGAAGAAAAGAAGAATGGGACATAACATAATATAATGCAAACGCAACACATGCATGCAGTATGGTAAACAGTAAGGTAAGAAGAAAGCAGGTAGGTGATGTATGTATGTACATGATCTACCTATATACAAAGGATACCTGCCTACCTGTTTTGGCAGGGAGGCATGTATATAGTTACATGCTTGGCGGGGATTCTGTTCGAAAATAGAAAGTGTGGCAAGAAACAAAGGCAGAGGGCACACCGGTAAACAATGATGAAATCAAGGTAACAACACCAAACACCGAGCTAATGCGGGACACCTGTAAATGTATTGATGCCGGGAATGTGACCCGAGTAAGGAGAGGATGAAATATGGTATAGTGGTGAAAGGAAGGACTTTTGACTGGTATTATGAAGGAAGGAAGGATGAAGGATCGAATGATTCTCTCGCCTTGCCTTGCTGAACTCCGATGATGCATTGAGGGTTCGTGGGGTGCTTGGGTAGGGATTGGTCGGTTTAGTGGTGGTGGTGGTGGTGATGATGATGATAATGATGATGAGGGCTGGATGAGAATTTCGCAGGTGAGGAAGAACGCGCGAATTGAGTCAGACAAACAAACAGCGGTAGGCTTCTTTCTATCTGGATTAGGGTCCCGTGATGATCGATCCATTAGGGTGGTAGATGGCGATGATGCAATATTGAGGGTAGATGGTATTAGATTTGGGTGGACGCCCCGATCAAATTCGGCTGGGATATGCTGCCGGCCTGCCCCGGGCTGAACTTCTTCTGCCGCCTGGAACTGAAGATGGACATGCGACGGCTGAGCTTTTTGGTGGGAGGCGCCCAGGCTTCGCTGGAGAATATAGAGACCGGCCGCGACCTCGGGGGCTGCGGTTCCGCCGACACGGGGATGTCCATGCCAGGCGAGTAGAGTGAGGCGCTTGATCCCGGAATCTCGTCGATCCCGAAGATGGACTGACGGCGCTTGCTCCGGATCTTCTCACTGCTGGGTTGTAGGGCGAAGTCTTCCTTGATGTCGTCGAGAGCGTGGGAGAAGCGACGCAGGAGCTTGGGTCGCTCGGCGATTGAGGGCTCGCGCTGTTCCAGGCCGTACATCTGGAGAGGGGTCGAATCCGGCAGGTCCTCCTTCACGGGCGTCGAGTAGTAACGGGGAATCTTGTAGTGGGCAGCACGGCGACGGGGAGCAGGAGGAAACCAGACATTGTGGTGAGGAGGATGTTGGGAGACGGGGCTGCCGGAGTAGGAGGAGCGAGAGGAGTCGGTTGACGAGGAGGTCAACATGATTGTACTTTGTCTTTTGGCGGCCGGGGGGGAGGGGGGGGAGGAGGAAGAATAGGATAGGTCTATATTGAAACGAGAGAGGGCTACTACTCCGGGCAGAAGGTAGTACTGGCGATGCAAAGGGGATCAGGGATATGCCTAGGAGGCTGAAGATGATAAAAAAGATCGAAGGTAGTCCCAGGGGGGAAAACGAGATGATTAGGCCAGCTCCAAACGAGTCGGACGGTTCGGTTCGTCTGATCTCGGTGTAGGGATGGGATGGGGGTTAAAAAATACAGGACTATAATTATAGCACCCCAACACTAGGGGAGGAAAAGTGGGGACGTCTCCGGAGTATTCCCTCGCCCAATACGGTAGGCATACATTGGCATACATACAAGGTGCATCCAATATCCATGGCCTGCAGCCGTATTTCTGTGTCACCCGTTACCCATCCATCGTATGTTGACTTCTGTCCGTTGCCCTGGTCCGTACCGTCCACCAGGGCCACCATCCGCCACACGTCTTGACTTTTCCGTTGTCGGCCTCGTTGCCTCTCTTTTGTGTGCTCTCACACAGACGAGCCGTTCCTCTGGCCCGTTGCTGTGCGACACTGCGAGTCAGGGTCTTACTACCTACAGATCGCGATACTGCCTGGTACTGGCCCATCCTGATGGTGGTAGCAACCATCGCCAGTCTTCCATCCGTATCAGATCCCCGTCCACTGCTAACCGCCGGCTACCGTTGCTAGGAACCCAGCCGATTGGAGTAGGCCGACCGCCGTCATCTCTGGGATGACGCGGCAATTGAGGCGTCCGCCAGCGAGATCCAAACCATCGTTCACTGGTTGACAGACATACTGATTGAAGGTTGACAGGCTGCTGACCGGCAGTCAGGTTCTATGGATAGATCTCCAGGTGAAACATGCATTGAGGCATCATGCGTGTACGGCGGACGGGGCCTGGAGCAATAATACAACAGTACGTACTCGGCTGATGCATCGATCGTGGCCCATGGACCCATGCTCCACGGGCATCATCCCACCGGAAATTGCGGGTTGGTCAATGAGAGGTGATCGGATCTGCCGTGTAGCCGTGCCTTTGCAAGGAGGGGGTCAGTAGGCATCAGTGATGAGGACCACCGCGGATGGGATGACGGAATATTGCGAGTCGGTTGGAAATCGACAAAGGTGCTGGATGCAGCGATGCAGTAATGCACACACCGTCCGTCTCCATGATCGGTATGGCGGCGGTATAGAGCTCGTACGGATGGAGCCGTACGGCGTGCATACAGCAGGCATACAGGCAACATACAAAAAAGCGGAGGTGGGAAGAAATCCCCTGGGCCCCTTCAACGGTAAACCGGAGACTGCCCCGTAAAATAATAAAACCGCATTATTACTCCTGCATATTACTACTTCGGGCGACCCCAATTATTATACTTCCCTTTTCTACTTACTTACTCCGTAGCAGCTCCGTGTGTAAAACCCGCGCTGCACATCAAGGGCGACTAACGAGCTAGCGCCGCGAGCAGAGCCAGCCACATTGCCCGTTGCCTGCAAGGTGAAACACCGCCTTCTGTCGACGAATCAAACCGCGTCGCTAGTGCTGCATCGGTTATGGGCAATGATCTCATCGGGACCTCACGGCGACAGCGGTGGAGTCAACACGGGCATGTGCGCAGCATTGCACAGGGATTGGCCTGCGAGGTGGAGGCGACGGCGGTGCTGCTAGCCTACTGCCGTGTAGAGGCTAGCGCTCGCAATTGACTTTGCCCGAGGAAGCAAAGGCGGAGAATCAGAGCTTTTCTAGCGAGCTCCCCCCATGCGGCGGAAGCACTAATCCGACTACCTCTGGTGCTCACTATCCCCAGAACAGTAGCCCTGGGAGATGAGCGTGGAGGGTTCGTCCCCCGTGTTCATTTAAAATAATCGTGGAATCGCGCCCAGGGGCCCAGCAGGGGGGGGGCCCAGGGGCCTAGAAAAAAACGGCGCGCACCCTGGAAGAATTGCGCAATGTCTCGTTGGCTTACGGAAGCCTGTCCCGCGGCACCGTGGATTGCTAGTCTTATTGTTGCCCCCCAAGCCTCACAGGAACTCGGGAATCCCAGGAATTCTGCTGGCGTCCATGGATGGGGCCGGTCTGGAGCAGTCGCCAATGGCAGCGGGCCAAGGCTGGCCCCGGCCGACAGCTGGGCATTTTTCTGCTCAACTTTAATGCACCCGATCAGCCGTGGTTCGCCGATCACGGCACCTTATTCATTATTGACATGATATCTGCGGCTCAATGGGACGTGTTTGCAGTCAGTCGGCAGTATGCACCTCCGCGGTGGCTTCCAGCCTTCTTCTAACAGATCTGTTCTGTCTGTGTACCTAACTCTCGAGCAGGAACCGTGGTACCAGAGGTAGAAATTTCTCGGTGTGCCTGCCGTGTCCGACAGGCAGTGCTGTTCGTTACTCAACTCGGAAACCACCTCCGATCCGAATGAGCTTCGATCGCCTGTCCTCCGGAAGGTGGAAACTAAACCTCTTGTCTCCCACAATAATAATAATACTCCATATTCTCACACAGCCTCCTAATCACCCAACGACGGCCCTGTGAGTCCGCGCAATCCTCCCTCCCCCCAGCATGACACCTGTTTGATGTCTCACCTGCAAACCTACCAAGCTTCGTCATTCATGAGGAACCAATCGCCAGAGTTTTCTGCGAGTGGGATCGGGAGCCTGGCCGAACCATGGTGTTGAGCTTCCGGAAAATATTTTTGACACGACCTCGGATTGTTGTCACCACTCGCCAGGCAGAAGTATAAGGCAAGGCGGCTAGTCTCTGCTTTGCTGTACAGCCACCGCTCCGGTTCCCCACATTAGTCAACGCCGTCTTGCGCATCCTCCGACCTCCGATGGGTCCGGCCTAAGCGCGAAAGCGAATTACGCGTTGCTTGTTTCGCATCGCATGTCATATTGTACAGTGTATATCAGGTGGCGAGGTCGCCTGGAGATCCATTCGCCTGCTGGCCATGGCTGTTGTCATTGGCATGCGCTCGCAAGGGCTGTGGGTTGCGCGGTTTTCGATCCTCGGATCTAGGCACGATATTGTTGAGATCGGACGGGTCAGATTGATATTGACACTATCAAGTATCTCCTTGCCATTGATCCTGGACTGCTTCAATTCATCAAGACGTGGACCTTACTATTGAACTCAGTCCCTTCTGTGCAGTTGCGATGGTCTCCCAGGGCGTTACAGGTCCAGTCCTCAGTTCGACGACTACGCAATGGCCGCACAGGTCTCATCTATAGCAGAGGACTCGCAGGGCAGCAGGTCCTGCTAACCAGGGATATCCCCTATACTGCTTTCTGATGTTTCTAGCTGTGAAGTCATGATGATATCGGGCCCCTTGGCATGGTTCATGCGAGGTTTGAGGGGTTTTAGGCGAACGACAGAGGGCTCCTGCTTCACGGGGAACAATGAACGAGCTCAATTAAGCTGATAGAACTTGGTTTCATTCAAAGCGAGCTCATCTATTGCAGGCCGTGTCACTGCCAGACACATGAGGGCATTGAGTGCAGGTGCCCGACACCTTGAATAATCGCCTGAAATTTCTACTCTGGGTGACATGAATTGAGAACAGCGTAGACTACATTGCTTAGCTGAACCTGATGTCACAATTGCCGGGGGATTATGCTTCGGCGTGTTTAAGAACTATGGTCCGTGGCAAAGATTTGGTCCTGCCATGTCTCAGAGTTTGTGTCAAGACGGCTGACCTCAGAAACCGCCCAGCGCGATCAGACCAGAATTGCTTCATCTGAGCTCAGACCATTTGGACTCTGGGAGGTGTATGCGAAGTGCATACATACATGAAGCTTGAAATATGCACCAAAGCTTGACTGGGGCTGGGTTGACCCCACTATTACACCAACGCGTACTGTAGATGCCGAATACTCAGGCAGCGTCTGGCCTCACCGCAAGGCGGATATCTATTCTTGGTGCGACATGTGCGATGCGGTGTCTAGACTACTCTTCGTCAGCGGGAGAAGCAGGAACTCACAGTCCAGCCATCTCACCTTACTTCCATCTCCGACCACGGAGTAGTAGTACAAGAGCACCGTGTTATACAACAGTGCAGATCACCACCAGCCTTACTCAGTGCTCCACCCGACCCAGCCACTGTATCCGCAGCCCGCACCCACTCCAATTCGATCTTAGATCCAGATGAAAAGACTGAGAAAATCCCCAATTATTCTCAGCACTAGTAGCAGTCCGGCGTGCCCATCCCTGAACCCCTTAATCTAACCGTACTCAATTCTCATACCCAAGCACAATTTAATCTCAACCACACCCGAGTCAGGGACCACCGCAATTGAACCGCGTCAGCGCACGGCATTTTACGCCAAGAGACGCTGAAACAGGGGTTCCAGGATACGGGTGCGGAGGCATTCGCATTAACATTATGTTATGGATAATAACTAATGGCGTGGCTTAGGTCATATGTGCACGGGTTGTCCGGAGCTCGTTTTTGGGTGGAAGAATGGTTTGATCTTTGAGATTGAGCTTTCGGGGAGGGGGACATGCACTGATCGACCTTTTTCCTACTTGGTCGGGGGTGAGGGTGGAAGATGAGCGTACCATGTGTACTTTGTACCTAGCTTGGAGCTGTGTTGTCAGGTAGATATTACCACCGTACTGGGTATCTACAAGCCGTAAGCAGTGAAGCACAGAGCTATCTACCAGTACCAAGGTACGGAGTACTACCTTCGCGGAGCTTCTGGAAGGATTCCACGCAGGCGTGCCTTGATGCCTGCACCGATCAAAAATCGACGCTTCCCTTGCACCAGTCCCAACAACAATATCTTTCTCCTGCCGCCAGCCAGCGCATTGAAATTCGATTTCCTATCCCACGGAAGCGCCGGAAAATAAATCCAGACATTAGATGAGCTCCGAGGGGACAGCTAGGAGCTACCCCTCCACTCCCCTCCATCCACCCCCTCCTCGATCCACGGACAGTTTGCGCGCAGTTTTGCGATTACAATTAATTGCCTACCATCCGGGGCCATCTTTGAGTAGGAGTCCCCATGCGCAATACTACCATACCGGTATTTCACACAGAAAGACTTTTTCCAACGAGCGATACTATATATCCACTATCCACAATCCAACACCCAATGAACCCACATCATCATCATCATCATAAAGTCAGCCCAGCTGAGCTGAACTCGAAATCTCTTCATTCATGGACCTAGTATCTAGCTGGTAGACTGGTATCCTAGTAAATACCTAATCTCCAAAGAGCACCCCACCAGCCCACCAGCCCACTAACCCACTAACCCACCAATCTACGAATCTACCAATAACCCACCCGGCTACCTGTATGCAGGTTTGATTTGCTGGATTACTGAGTACATACCTAGATATAACGTAGTAACAGACCCATATCTATCTATCTATGCTTTTGCTGCGAAGGGCAAGGGCGAAGAAGAAAATTCAACAAGCGGACCCTGCGGACACGTTCGGTTCGGCTGAGTGTCGCCCGGCTGGAGGTCCACTGTGGGTACTACTATTCGGGAGAGCCGATGTGATTCTGGAAGTAGTAAGTAGTGGTACTAGATACTACAAGTAGTATCTCGGTATTGGTATTTTGGTTAGGAGGGGATCTTGGGACTGGGAGGGGCGGCGGGAGGGGCGTTGGGAGATATGCCGTGCCGTGTTGTGATGGATGGGGGGGTTGGTGTGACGAGGTTACATGGTTACGGAGCTGGGTTTTACTGGTAAAGGGTAAAGTCTAACTGGATGAGTAGGACAATGACAGTGTGGATGTTGGTTGATGGAGGGGGTTTTTTTTTTTTGGCTGTGGATATGGATATGGATATGAAAAGTTTATTGTGTGGACTGGTCTGTTCCTTGGGGGGTGGGTGTACGTCGAGGGAGGTTTACAGGAAGTCTGAGATTGATGCATGCATGTACAGTTATGGGATGAAGGGCTGAGTGGTCTGTAACAGCTTACGTGCTATAGTTTCGCCTTGATATTCTCTGATTTTGTAGGCTGTATGGGTTTCGATGTGGAAAGTGTGCCATGTCCTTTGTTATGGTATTCAGCAAGAATAAGAATATTGTGAAACAGAATATTTATAGGAAGAAGTCTGTCGATGTGGTTTAGGTTATACTACTGTGCCGACAAATCGATCTTAGCAAAATTACAAGTATTGTCATATTTAACTGGATCGGGATAATGTATATCAGCTGAAGATCTATCCAGATACTAATAATTTGCACTGCAGAAGAGATACTGTTTGATTGTGATAAGTATGATTCTTAGTGATTGTTTAGTGTGTGAGGCTTTGAGAGAATGATTTCAAGTGTTATACTAGATATTGAACCAAGACTTTCTAGCTCAGAATGGGGGTCAGCCGAAATACTTGTTGAAACAAATTAAGCTTTCTAGAGTATCAAATTATCGTCAAAACTGACCACCACCACCACATCTATTCAAATGTCAAGACACTCTCAAAGCCATGTAGTATGCGAAAAAGCCCGCTGTGACAAAAAGACACTGCTGTCTCCAAGGGATAGTCCCGGAATTATTTTCCCACACAAGCAAGATAACATGCCCAATTATCTGCGTTGGGGTCTGTGTAAATATATATATATCATATATAGCTATGATGAAGCCATTCCGGAGTGAGTATTCAGTCTAGATTAGCTGTATACACAGAAATATCCGAAAGAAGTCGGGAGCCACATAACCCCGAGATCTTGAACATAAGACTTAAAACTGACAAGCCTGGTAGACGGATTCTGTTTGTCGCGGAGGATAGGAGAGAATTAAGGGAGCTTGTTTTGGATCCATGGAGCGCCTGTCTGATTGTTAGCTTAGCTTTATTCGAGAAAGAAATAACAAAAAAACAAAAAAAAAAAGCATCGTCGCCAAAGTAGGCACTTGTTTATACTCCTCCAGATATATGTTCACGATCCAAAGAGATACGATTCTACATGCCTCATGCTAACCCCCGAGAGTCCCTTACGTCAACCTCGAGATTTACTATTGCGAAGAACGCGGCATAGTTTGGATACTTGATTGATGTCATGGGCAGAGATCATGAAGACATGCTGGTAACGGACGAGGAAGATTTGATGTGAAGCCAGTGAGGAGGACGGTTCTAGGAGCGCAGGGTCACTCTGACTTTGTAAAATTTATAAGGGCAGTTCATGGTTCTAAGTACCTGGACTTTTGTGATTCTATTCGTTGGTCATATGCATGGAAACCCTTGCCCTGGCAGGGTTCAACTCACTATACACCATGATTTTGATGGTCGCCAGTACCACTTCATATGGTATACTACGTGTGTGCGCTTGAGATATATTTGCAGACCATGTTAATCAAGTAATCGATATTATCCCGAGTGACTGCCCCCGAGTGAGATTGATAGCTCCGGAATGTGGTTTCAGGGGCCGGTGGCGCACTGATCTGTCTGATGACGAGCGTATTGTCGCGATCACGACATATTGTCAGCGTCTGAGAATACTTACCGTGTGGTAGATCACTACATATCGTATTACCACGATTATACAATCATCATACTCGGTAAAATATCCAATCCCACAGTTCAAAGCTTTATGAAATTGAGAATTTGTAAATGCATCAACAAAACAAGAACTCTCACTATGCATCATATCGCGTGATCGTCTCACATCACAAAAAGCAAATTGGTATCTATGCGACGATCTGTTAGTAATCACGTCCCAAAACTACCAGCAATAGTGTTTATTGATGCGGTGCACCCACCTAAAGGATGACTGCAGCTCAGCTGCGGCTTCTGCGTGTATTTCCCCTCTAGCTCATTGCGGATCGAATTCAGCAGCTGCAGGTAGCTCTGTTGCGATTGTTGCTGCAGGGATTTGATGAATGCCCAACTGAGAGCGCCGCGGGCTTCTCCGTCCTGGAATGTATCCGCCCTGGGGATTATTAGTGGGTGGATCGCAATGAGGATAATGTGACGGGAGCTTACGATGTCTGGGTGTCCTTGGAGCCGGAGAACATGACCACGTCTGCGGGTGAGGTCTTGGTCATGACGGTCCGCTGTCTGGCGGTGTCGCCATTGGCGGCTTTCTTGAAAAAGCCGATGGCGGTTTGCGCGACACTGCTGAGGTCGCCTTTGCCGTAGGAGTTGATGGCACTGAAGAGATCCATGGCGGCTTCTTTGGCCAAATTCGGCTCCTTCAGGACACCTTGCGTGGAGTAGACGTAGGGGAGATCGAGAGCGGTTCCGGAGTGGCAGGAGTCGAAGATGGCGGTAAGACGGACACCGGGACGGAGAGGACGGACCCTGAGTTGTTAGCATGGTGGTTGATAGTAGGGAAGGAGCTGCCTTACATGATGTCGTGCATGTCGTCGTCCACAATGTGTCCTGCCGTACGGTAGTCCAGGGGGTAGATGACGTCGTCGTAGCCTGGAGTGGTTAGTTAATTTTCTCTGGACAGGTGGAAAAAAAGGCTTACCATCTTCCTCATCACCGTCAAGATCGGGCGTGCGACCACCGTGTCCGGAAAAGTGGATGAAGAGGGAATCGTTGGGTTGCGCGTCCTTCACCAGCCATTGCATGGCCTTGAGGATATTAGCCTTGTTCGGAATACTCATCGGGTTCTTCTGATCGTCGGTCAAGATGACCATGTCCTCCCTGCGATATCCGTATTTTGTACAGAGGAAAGTTGACATGTTGGTGACATCGTTGATGCATCCGCGTAGAGCATTCGGTTGTCCAGTGTAGTTGATTCCGATCAGCAGTGCCTTGCGCCGACCGGTACAGTTGGAATACTGGAAGCGGTAGTTGGACGGTGCTCCGCTACCAAAGTGTTGTGCCTCTTGGGGCGGCCGTGGGGGGAGATTGGAGTTCAATGAAGGCGACTGGTCTGCATGATGTTAATTTGGAACGCGACCAGGAGGGTATAGTATAGGTGGGCTTACTGTTGTAGGAACGTGCGCTTGGCGAGGACGACTGAGGCGGTGGCGTAGGGGTATGGGTTTGACCGTAAGGCGATGGCGATGGGGACGGGTAGCCACCCGTGTAACGGCGGGATGGAGGGGGTCCTGGAGGAGGGCTGTACTGCGAAGCGTGCGGAGAGCCTGGAGGAGGACCATAATGCGAAGTGGGCGGAGGACCTGGAGGAGGGCCATAATGAGAGGGAGGAGGGCCGTGAGGAGGACCGTAGTGAGAGGGCGGAGGACCCGGAGGAGGACCGTAATGAGAGGTTGGCGGAGGGCCGTGAGGAGGGTAGTATTGTCCGTTTGGCGAATATCTGGGCAGGTTTAGTGGCCGATATAGGCTCTGAGTGCGGGGTGACCTACGGGTATTGGGATGGCGGGGGATGAGGCCATGATTGTTGACGGGAGTAGTCACCAGACCATCCCTGGCTGTGATGGTGGTGGTGCATCGATTATATTGGCAAGCAATCGGCTGGGCTGATGTTAGATTGAGTTCGCCGCGAGGTGAGATCGCTTGCGACTGTTGGGGGCCGGGTTCGAGAAAGCGATGAGGAGAGGAAGTGGTCTGTGTGTTGTGCGGAGATGCTGGTTAAATACTCCGTACCCAAGGGAGGAAGCGACTGTGGGCGTGGGTCAGGAACCGTTCCACTGGAAAAGATCGGTTCGCAATGCTGGTACGGGGTTGAAGGGTGAAAGCGAGGAAAAAGAAAAGGAGGGAGAAACGGTGACAAGGTGGGATTTAAACACGATGAATTGGATTCTCTGGCCCGTCACAGGGCTGGCTGATGCTCCATCCCCACCCCCGGGGCATGCCGCCATTGGCTGGGGGGACGCGGTGGGCCGGGCACGAGGCGTAGGGCAGAGGGGGGCAGGGCATAATTCCTCTACGTGGGTGGTACGTCGCGGATTGTAGCACCGTACTCCGTAGCATCCATCCCTCGGGATATCGGCAGCGGATGCGTGAACAGCCGCTCTCCAAAGCCGTCGTCGGTCTTCGGTCCATCAACTCGTTCTTAGAGTGCTACGTCTTTCCTGTTGTGTTCCACAGCCACCCGGGAACACTATCCATCAAGTGAACTCCCATCCCCCCCCTAACATTGTCGATCCTCCTGCACAACTGCAGGTGGGCTGATTAATGTGACCATCAGCGACCAGCCATTAAGCGGTCGGATCCAGATAAGGACAGGCGTACTGTGTACGAATCAGCGGGCTTATCCATGGAACCCCGACGCCAGCGGTCTCCCGCTGGACCAATACGGGCAACCTTCTGGAATGTTCGCTGCAGCCCTTTTCGTGATCTTTAGGCACCAGCCTGGGCGGTGCCGCCACCGATAGGTCTGCTCCGCCTCAGAGTCCTTGGCTGTGAAATTGGCGGGTAGGGCGATCAATAATATTCATGATGATCGCAGGACGATGCTGCGCGTTGACGATCTGGGGACGCCTGAGAATATGATCTGCCCTGGCCTTGTCACTGTCAGACTTCGCTGACTGGTGGGTGGGGGTGGCGCGGGGCACTTATCTGTCAGTCGGGCACTCCTGCTACACCGGCTTTACAAGTCGTATCCGACTCATGTTGTCATTCTGCGCGGAATGTAGCTATGCTGTCATCCCGTCAGCATCTCGCTAGCGTTGTATCTTGTTGTACTTTGACTGTCGCGACATGGGATTCATGCCGCGCCTGCCGCGAAGATGCGCTGGCAGGCATGGATAAGACAAGAGTAGAGGAATGTTACAATTAACTACATTCAATGCCTGGCCAGGTGAAGAGAGAAGGGGTATTTGCAAGGCGAGCTGCATAATATTCGCACATGAGTTGTCAGGACACGGGAGCCGAGGAGACTCTGACCACCAGGCGCTTACAGTATTGGTTCCTTAGGCTTGGCTCGACAGGCTAACGATCGCGAAGCCCGACCACGCCGGAAGCATTCGGTGCTGAAAGAGGACCTTCTTCGACAGGCTGTGGAGTTCTAGAGAGAGATGTCCCGAGCCCAACCACGCGACTTACAGCCTCGTGAATATGGACAGAGCATGGATCCCGAGTGTGTTAAAACCCGAGGGTCCGCAAGAAGAGATGGAAAGCCTCGTCGATACGTCGCTGGTGGATGCTGGAGTTCAATATCCAGCGGACGAGAAGGAGAGGTGAGGGGAGGAAAGGCGAGCGAGCGGCGCGCGGGGGACGCCCTGGCGAGGGGGGGGGGTTTATACTCGCGCGGCGAACCCGGTCTCATGACCGCAGCAACATGGTGGACCACCGGCCGGTAGCAGTTAGGTGAAATAATGATACGGTGCGCGGGCGAGAGAGAGCAGAGCAAGATAGCTACTGGCCACCAGCTGCTGTATCTGGATAGTTTACCTGGGCCTAACTGCGCTGCAGCAGCTTCCACACATACTGAACCTATCCCAATTACAATACCGTCGATCGGCATGATATGCCAAAATCGCAGGACTTGGTCGTTGGGCGCAGCGACCACATTTGCCTGCGAGCCACGGCACCTTGTCGTATGACGCTTAAGCAGTGTTGGCATGGCCGTACCTCGGCTCTATGAATGAGCTCCCCTGCGTCTGACTGAACCATGCCAACTACTCCTAGCATCGAGATCCTGCCCGCTTCCAATCCCGGCTCAAATTGTAAAAAGAGGGGGCGTACTGCCCGTCACAAATCGTTCTACATGCATGCCTTGCCCATGATAAAGTGCATTCGTTGCCCATCGTCTACAGAGTCTACAGCGTATTCGCAGCCACCAAAAAGCGTGCGCTATCCTGAACATCAACGAGATAGACTGTCGGTCAAATCGGTTTCAAAGACAGCGGAAAGCCCCTTCTGCAACTCTCATCTGCTCGAACTTCGACCGCTTATCAGTCTGTAGCCCCTCAAATTTGTTAGTAGATTAACCAACTAGGGAGCCATCGAATGATGGATCCTAATATGATTCAGTGATAGTGATATCTTCCAATATCCTTTTCCGCCCGAATCAGATTCGAGATATTCGCGATGCACGGTATCACAACATCCGCTGTACCCGTTCCATGGTGGGGCCCAGGGTGTGCGACTAAAAGCACCTGCATGGATCAGCTGTCAGCGTTAGCTGCATGATCCAAGAGCTGGCGCAATGTTATGATAAGAAATGCCCCCCCCACTGGCCTGGTCACGTAATGGACCTTCGGCACAGGTGCATTTGTTTGAAGTGTGAATTTGATTATATGGATGACACTATAATTAAGCTTACGTTGGTTTGTAGTATTCGGATAATCAATAACGTAGGTGGTGTTGCAAATAATAAGGTGGGATTGTAATCATTCGTGCAATAGTTGCGTCGAGTCATACAAGTATATGATGATACTTAGTCCTAGGATCGGAAGTTATGGAACTTATTTTCTTGTTTCCTCTGCTGGGGTCAGTGCTGTTGATGGAGGAATATATTGGGGTGTGGTGCCTGTGATAGATAAATTATTTGATCTGTAAGGTATCCTGGACTTCTGTCGCCTGGAGATCTAGATCTTTTAGTGACGTATATTTCGTCTAGTTCGGTGTCATGTATTTATCCCACACGCCGATTGCCTATATGCGTCAAAAACTAAATTATGTAGACCTGTAAGCCAAGCTTCTTCTAGCGTAGTTCCTTCTCGGGATTAAGAGCTAGCTCATCGCGGCAATTGTGCTGGGACAAGACCGACAGGATTTGAGAGTCTGATGCGCACCCCCGTCAGCGCTAAAGACTTACTTATCTACGGCCAACCATACTACCGATGCAGCAAGGCTCTAGCAAGCCAGCCGCGCGAGTGCATCCGTCGGGGTAACCTCAACTCCGTCCAGTCTGGGTTGCGTTGTCAAATGTCTCCGACTGATTTGTCAACTCAAAACATGCGACAGGTTCAGTAATTTGAACCCTGGTTTAAGGTTTCGTATTGAACATCCCGCGAATGCAAAGCAAATGGCTACACGCCTACTTCTTGAGCCTCGATGACGCTCTGTTGCGTAATGCATCCGGCTTGCATGAGAAGAGGGGTTGTTGTCCGACACCTGCAGGATCGGCGGCGCTGTGTCAACACATAAATACTTGAGGTCGGGACGGTCAAGGATTGTCTCCATCCATTCCCTTCAATCTCCCGTTTTCAGTATCGGTAAAAAAAACAACATTTAGCAAGATGAGCGTCACATTCCAGGTCTTTCGTGGGTCCGCCGAGGGCAAAATCGTCGCCGATAAAGTCACTCGCACCCTCGAACACAACGAAGTATTCGTTGAAACGCTCGTGTCGGGCATGTGCGGAACCGATGTGCACTATCTGAAGGCAGGACTGGTATTGGGACATGAAGGTGTCGGTATCGTGAAAGCTGCCGGACCGAGCGTTACCACAGTGAAGGTCGGCGATAGAGTTGGGTTCGGTTATACTCACGCCATTTGCGGCCATTGCGACAATTGCACTAATGGTATGGATGTCTTGGTCACTACCCGCAATTTCCGTCCTAACTGGGATAGGCTGGGATCAGTATTGTCGGACCGTCAAGCTATACGGTAGTAGCGACTTCGACAACGGTACCTTTAGCTCTGGAGCTGTTTGGGACGCCAATAGTGTCTATATCATCCCAGAGGGATATGAGTCGGTCTATGCGGCACCTTTGGTTTGCGCAGGGGCTACCGTGTGGAGTGTTTTGACCAAATTCGGTATCCAATCGACCGACCGTGTTGCTGTTCTGGGCATTGGAGGTCTCGGGCATCTGGCAATCAAGCTTGCGTCTGCATTGGGATACCACGTTGTTGCTCTGTCGAGCTCCGAGGCCAAGAGACAAGAGGCGAAAGAATACGGTGCCTCTGAGTATCACGTCTTCCGATCCGGCCAGGCTCCCAAGGATATGGAACCGATCAAGCATTTGATCCTCACGGGAAGTGCAGATATTGATTACTCGACGTGAGTAGCCACTTCCATCCGGGTGATATATCACTAACGCTGTCAGATTGATACCCATGATGGATACTCTGAGTTCCATTTATCCCCTCACGGTAACCAGCGAGCCATCGAATATCACAACACTGAGCTTGGTCACAAAAGGGATTCGGATCCAGGGTTCCATGGTCGGATCTCGACCGGTCATTCGGAGTCTTCTTGATTTCGCTGCTAAGAAGGACATCCGCCCGACTATCGAGACATTTCCGTTGACCGCTGAGGGGATCGAAACTGCGATGCAGAAACTGAGAGATGGTAAAATGAGATATAGAGGCGTGCTTGTCAAGGAGTAATTGGCTGGTTATGTGAGCGACGAGGAGGCTATCTTCAGCGAGGCTGTAGCAAAGATGAAGGGATGCTGCAGATATACCAAAGTTTCTGGGGTCATATTAGCCGGTTATCTGTCCTCTTATGAGAAACAAACCAATTTGTAAGAAGTATCCAGATACAACAGATTGGTGTGATGGTGCTGTATATCTCAGTCTTCGATTTGTACGGCAAAGGCTTTCCAGCACAAGAAAGGCTCGTGTTTGTAGGTGAAGAAAAGAGTTCCAGAGGGGGGAGCGGAAGGTTAACAAAGATATGTGACACCCCCAGGGAGGACCTTGTCGTCCATTATCCCGCGCAATATGTGGATGGTCACTCAAGTTTATCTGCCTTCATACAAAAACAATTCAATATTGACGATATCATTAGCAGATTCACTATATGAAGAATATCACCAGCAAATTCACTTAAGTCCCACATTCTATAATCGAGATACAACCACAGGCCGCTTGCTATTCGGGGAATCCCTCAACTGAATCAATTCCTCACCGGCCTTTATTCTTCTAAGCCCTCCAAGATCCCCGGATATGTCCAATTCAATCTGCGGAACCGCCAAACCTCTTTCGCCGAGTACCTTCCCGTTGCTTCAGAAGTGTTCCGTTGGATCTGCGACGCACGGGGTCTCCTGACGCGATCGAAGTCCTCGAGAATCGAAGATACATTGTGCCTGGTGACATGTTCCCCTAAAAGGAGGCGGAATCCCTCTGCATCCTCAATGGCTTGGCTTCCTCCCTGCCCTTGGTGTGGGGTCATGGCGTGTGCAGCGTCGCCTACCAAGACCGTTCTGCCGCGAATATATGTCGGTAACGGGTCTTGCTCGCGGAGCTGCCAGAGTTTGATATTTTCTGCTGCTCTGTAGTCGCATCAGTATGCATACGGACGTCTCTGGCTCTGTCAGACGACCTACCTGAAGTAGGCCAGCACCCAGTCCGGGAAATCAGTGAATAACGACACGAGTTCGTCTCTATCCCCTGGTGCCGACCACGAGTCTGTCGGTGTCGATTTCAACATACTGTCGGGTACAATGATAGCAAAGTTCAGGATCTGGTAGTTACGACAGGGATATATCACCACTCTGCGCTCGGTCGGATCCAACGCATATACCCCGGTCATACAAGCAGGCTTGCTGGAATCCAGGACCTCGGGGACCCCTCCGAGAATTTCTACAACCTTTTCGCGGGTCATCGTAAACCTGAAGGCAGACGTTCCGGCAGGCTGGGCGGTGATGTATGCTTCGTTACCGACGACAAGACCGCGCATGGTGGATCGTATGCCATCCGCTGCTATTTACACGGTCGGTACCTATATCAGATTCTCACACAGAAGCAAAAATGAGCAGATTAGGAAGGATATCACAAACCAATAACAAGATCAGCCCTCACCACCTCCCCGTTCTCCAACCTCACACTCCCCTCTTCAACATCCCCCCCACAACCCTCGCCCCATACACCACTTCCGCCGGCCGACCCTTCAACCCCAGCTCCTCCGACGGCGCCGTCGCCAACCTCAAAAGCTCATCTCGAAGATCCGCCCGATGATGAAACAGCCAGTCCGCTCCATATTCCTTCTTGTAATCCACCACGGATTCTCCGGTCTTCTCCCCCCGCTTGTTGTACGACAGAGACCGAGTAACAGGAATAGAACACGCGCGACCACGATCAAATCCCACGCCGTCGAGAATTTGCACCGCGTTGGGACCGAGGTTGATCGCAGCGGCGGTTTCTATGCGTGTCGCCTCGCGCTCGTAGATCGTGACGGTGTGTTGTTCGCGGAGGATGCGGGCCGCCAGGCAGCCGGCGAGGCCGCTGCCTATGATGGCGATCTTTAGGGAGTGGGTTTCTAATTGCGTCATGTTGAGAGTTGAGACTCGTTCGTTTGCTGGCGTGTCGACGTACTATAGGTAGGGAGCGGTTTCAGGTAGGATTGAGATGACGGAGGGTCGGGATGACCCTGGGTGTGATGGGTGGTCCAGTCCCTTGCGTGAAATCTGTGGTGTAACATGATATCGGTTAATGCAAGGCTCGGAATATAAAATATGGAGAGGTAAGTTGATGTTTGAAGCAGAGTACAGGTCACACATGCACATTTGCGTCTTCGGGTGTTTATTGGCTGCATCAGTACCTGTATGCTCCAGTGTCACCAACTGGTCAAAGCACACGGGAAAAGAACTATGCATATCACTGATACTTGTAAGCATTTATTTCCCTTTTCAATTACCTTGGTCCTCATAAATATTAGGTACCAGACCATATCTAAAAGAAATATACAATGATATATGGATATCCAGACAACGCCAGCGCCATCGCAAAGCAATCCATCATAACTCATAACTCAACCCCGTCCAAAACAAACCAATCTATCGATTACGTCTTCATCAACGCTTTCAAAACATCCACCACCTGCTCTCTCTTCTCTTCTTGATTCAAGAACTCTAACGCCCTCCGTCCAAACGCACTCCCCTCCCCCTCCTCATCCCTCTTAGCATTCCCATCCCGCTCATCCTCTCCAACGGTAAACGTCTGCCCATCAACAGTCGTCATATTCAACCCAGCAAGAATGTTCGTCCCATTAGGATGCAAAATACCCCGGAGGGTATTCGTAATCAGCTTCCCCAGCGGCACCCGCGCCGTCATGGTAAGATTCTTCATGACATCTGTGTAGTACGGCACGTGGACGCCGTCGTAGGTCACGTCCGTACCGACGGTTTCCAGATCCAGATACCCGGTTTTGATTGCGGATGCTTGCTGCTTCAGCACAGGGCCGATGTTCTCGATTAGCTTGCCGAGGTCGAAGATGCCACGGACGGGGGTGGAGTGGTTTCCTGGGGTGAGGGTGAGGTTGTCTAGTGTGACGTTGCCGAGGGTGAGATTGCCGCTAATGAGGTTGAGGGTTGTTTTGCCCTGTTTGTTTTGGGGTGGTTAGTTTTATTTGGATTGGATAGACTGGGGGGGGGTAGGGGAGGGGGTGGGAGACGGACAATTTCGAGGGTCATGACGGATGGGTTCGGGAGGGTTGCATTGGCGATGAGGTTGGTTCCGTCGGATTGAGCGGGGAGCAGGAGCTGGGGGTCGGAAATGGAGAAGCCGGCGAAGGAGTTCAGGCCTGTGGAGAAAAGAATCCACGTTAGATAGTGGGGTTTATGGCTGGGGAAACGGGAGATACGTACTGTTTCCGGGAATGTCCTTGTTCATCTTGACACGGGCTTTCAGCTTTCCAATATACGCGGTCGTGGTTCCCTTGACTGACAAGATGGCGTGTTTCTGGAATACGACACTTTGCACGTACTGCTTCCATTGATAGACGTTGAGCGGAGTGAATTGGTTGTCCACCTTTAGGGTAGAGTTGCCCTTGATGTTGGCGCCGTCCATGTACAGCTTCGACCAGGTGTTGTTCTCGGGAAGGTCGCGGTTGAATAGACTGAGAGTGATGGGGTCGATTCGGACTGGGAGGTTGATGGGGAGGCTTAGAGACGATTTGATGCTAAGCATAATGGAGTCGGGGCGCGGTTGGAGAACATCGGCGTGGTCAAGGAGAAGTGTCGAACCGTCCACGACTCGCTGTGCAATTGCTGGAATAATGATGAGAAAGCTGGGGACTGTTAGCGTTGGTCTCGCTTCGGCGTGTAGAAGGGAGCGTACAAGATGGGGAGAAAGATGGCGAGAGAGATTATCCCCCAGAAGGCATAACAGCACCAGAATCGAGCCCAATGCCGACGCAATGTCTGCGATCTCGTCCTCTTCGCTGGTAATAGTGATATGGTGTCTGATGTCTCGATGTGTTCGAGGTCGGCGCCATCGGCGGACAGAGGCCCGCGATGAAGGCCCAGGGCATACTTGCCCTCTTTGGAGCTGAGATACGCGGTTTTCTCATTCATGATTGTGCCTTTCCTACTTGCCCGGGGAGCGACGGACACGGAGGTACTTAGGTCCTGATATCATATATGGCCCAGGTGGACTAAGCTCGCCATCCTTCTGATTCTCGTATACTCCTTCCACCCTAGGAATACACACGACACTCGAGCCCCTACCATCCTCCGCCTAGTGCGTCTCGGGAGGCGTCGATCAGCGCGAGGGGGAGATTACAGTCCGTTGACGACCCATGGATTGTGCTCACATGGGAGGGCTGGGTTGAAGATCCGCCTGACTATTGAGAACCGCCGTTGAAACGTTCTTGTTTAGCTTGGATCAGGGTCTTCGGCCTACTTAGGGCAACACTCGATTTTGGGTTGAAACGCGGATCCACCGTGCCGGGGGGCGGAGACCCTGCCCGAATAGGACGCGGGGATGGATATCCGCCGGCGTATCAGACTGATGCATCAATGCGCACTGTCTATCAGTTGCAGGCTGATGGACATGCGGTGTGTTGCGGTATGAATTGTATCTATCACCTGCAGTGCTGCTGCACCGACATGCGCATGGAGCTATCTTCATCCTCCTCCTCCTCATCATACTACTAGCTATTTACCAGTTGGCTGCACCTGTATCAAACCCATTACAATTCACTGAGAGAACAACACAATCCACCTCCAGCAAAATGAACGAAAAGATCCACCCAGCCGACCGCATCTCCCCGGTCTCCTCGCAAGCCACATACACATACACCAACACAGCCAACAGCGTCGACGATCTCGAGAAACTCGAGATCCTGCCCCAGATCCTCCAAGAGGGCATTCTGTTCGCCGGGTCCGGCGCCGCCCTGCTCCTCCAGGCCGCATTTCCAGGCATCAAAGCGACCTTCGAGGAATCCAACATCAAGACGGGCAACAACACGACCTACCTGGCCAACAACCTCAGCGACACCCTACAGTCCGCCCTGAGCTACATCGCCTGCCTGGTGTTCGGCACGACCGAGGAAAAGAAACGCCTTCTCGATCTCCTCCAGAAGGACCAATCGCCCTTCCAACGGAAGAAACTCCCCTCCGACCCCCTCACCCAGCTCTGGATCACAGCCACCGTCTACGCCACCGCAACGGACTTCTACCAGCGCATCTACGGGCGGGTGGACTTCCGCACTGCCGAAAAGGCCTACGCGGAATTCACTACCGTCCTTTCGTGCCTCAATATCGCCAAGGACGCCTGGCCGCCCACCCGCCAGTCCTTCTGGGAGTACTGGGATAGCCAGATCGAGCGGCTGAATGTGAGTGCCGAGTCGCATCGCGTTGCGAAGACATTGCTTGAAAAGAACGATTTTCCGGGATGGGTGAATGTGATGAAGCCCCTGTTGAGAGCGATTACGATTGAGATGCTCCCGCCACAGCTTCGGGACGCGTATGGACTGAAGTCCTCCGCGAAGACGAGGGGGCTGTATCGTGGCGCGATGGGGTTCTCTGTCGCGGTTTACCCGGCTTTGCCGGCGTCGATGAGAGGGTATCCGTTGCGGTTTTATCTGGGGGATTTGAGAGGGCAGTTGGGTAAGACATAGGAGAACGTGCTTTTGATTGAGGTTTCTTGCGGTTTCTTGAGGTTTTTCATGCGGATGTAATTTAATGGTTATCATTTCTATGGGATCTTTGACTTGGATAGTATGGATAGTATTTAGATTGGATAGTAACTGATTACTAATAGGAGTCCATTGTGTGCCATCTATCTAGTCAAATAGTGCAGGGAAAAGTAACATTAAGAAGTCTTTATAATCGCATCCATAATTTGCCCGAAGTCAGAGACGAGCTATTATCATTCATTAGTTTGAGGGATCAGTTGCGCATATTCTATGGATAGTAAACCCACCGGCAAAGCATCATCAATCAATGAACTGGTCTTATTGACGAACGTGCTCGTCAGCAATGTATCCGCATTGTCGATGATATCCTGCAGCTTGTCGATATTGCTGCTGGATAGCAGCTTCTGCAGATTCTGGGGTGTATCTCCACCGAGCAGCACGGCGGCACCCTTCACGACCGTCTCGATGTTATTGACGGTTTCTGTGCTAAGAAGGTCCTTGACTCCGTCGACGATGGTCGGCAGGTCGTCCAAGAGACTGGTTGACTGGGGGCTCCGGGGAGCGACGGTGTTCGGGGTGCTGTTGGCAATGGCCAGGGAGATAGGGCAAGCAAGGAGGAAGAAGTGTTTGAGATTCATTTTGGTGTGAGTCCGGTATGTTGGTTTGGGTGATATGTGGTAGTGTGGATAATTGTTCCCATGTATGGGCTTTATACGACTACCTGTCTCGCCTGGATGTGATGTGATGATGCGCTACGGCTGACACGCGGGAGTCGAGACCAATTCCTCGTGAGCGGAAACCTGCTACATCGGGGCAGGGGCAGGGGCAGGGGCAGGGGCCATGTTTTCTAGCTGGACGCCCATTCGACGGGCCTAGGGAGGGTCCGATCATCCCTTGTTAGGCAGTTCGAGAGTACTTTGGTTCCGAGGCTGGTGTGGATATCCGTGCTGAACTACATGTGAACCGAGCACCGCAACCCATGGCTCAAATAAGCTATTGCCACCGGCGCATTGATGCTACTTCATCGTTTAGCAGTGATATCATCTCCCCGCATCCTGGGCTCGCCACCCTGTCGATCATGAGAAGTGCCAATAGCGACGAGGTACAAGATAGATTGTCAAGGATTTGCAGTACTGATTATCATTAGGAGTGTAGGGGGCACGCCCCCGGACCGAACTGTACATGTGATCTTTATCTTCCTTTTTCCGCTGAAGCAAAAAAAAAAACTAGGAGTGTTACTGTAGCATCCTGCAAGGCGGGATACATGAGACGGTAGGCACCATCGCGGGACCAGTCATCGTGCAGATATCCAGGAACAGTTGGTCTGAGCACTAGAAGATCTAATCTCGATTCCCAGGGGGTTGTCCGCTTTTAATCATTTAAGCTTTGGTTCCTGTTTGGGATCGCTTGCAGCTGTCCACTTCGAATTCTCAATCCACGCAAACCTGTTGTCAAACTCAGTTCTATTTTGATCATCATGATAGATTGGGGGAAATTAGCCGCTGTGTTTAGATTTCGCTAAGCATTTGATGGATTAAGGCCGTTTTAGGTATTCTGTTCAGTTAATGCTCCTTTTTTGGGCCCGGTTGGCGGCCCAGGCAACCTGAGTTTGGCGGGATTCGCGCTCCCAATATTCGGTCTGTCGTAGCTATACATAGCAGCAACCTTATCTGGAGGATGAGAGTGATATGCGGTTTCAAGACATAAATGAAGGCAGTGTCGCTGTTTCGAATCGAAACGCTGGCCCTATCTGGGCTTTCTCATGGCGCTGGAAAGTTAAATGTGCATGTCTGGCGCTGAGATAAAGGTGTGGTACGCTTTGAATGAGGTTCGATAGCTGATCACTATAGACTGTTCTGTTGGAACAAATATCCGAACCCCCTAAGTGCTGTGATTATCAAGGATCAACTAGTATAGCGAGCATCAAATTGATAATCTTTTTCATGTTCTCATAACCTGAGGGTTCTCATATACTCACCATCCATAGTGCTTTATATTCACCGTTTGCGCCAAGTTCTCCTGCTCATCATTCCTGCAAAGTATCAATTCCTTCTTTGATACCGCACCGAAAACCATAGACAAGTAAACATGTTGTAGATCTGACTTGTCTCAGTCTGCCCCCACCTACCAATAAAAACACTCTTTTCTGAGGGTTATTTAGGTTTCCCGACAGGGTTGATTTAAAAGTGCGAGTGAGCGTGGCTGACAGTCGACCCCAGAATGAGTTGAGGATGGGTAAGAAAAATTCTGATAAAGAATGTGTTGTTGGCTTGATACTGCAAATGACGAAATGAGATGTTGGGAGTATGGTCGCGTTGGGTAGGGGTGTAGGGGGTGTGCACGCCCTAGGAGATAGGCGAGGCGAGATAGGAATGGAGCAGTCTGGGATTGTTTTCAGATTGGAGGAGCTCTTCCAGGACGGTGGGGGTGAATAATAAGACTGAACCAATGGAAGATCCAATCTAGCCAGAAATACAGGGTATTGGAAATTGCTTTGGGGATAGTCTGGGCTAGTGAGAAGTGATAGGCTCATTTAGATTAGACGCAGAGCTTCACCGTAGCTCCAGGAACACCCCGGCCACCATTTCGCAGCTACGTTGGATTGGTCGGGTGTTACAAAGTATGCCTATCGCGTTAGGCATATGGGAATATGTCGCTAAGGAACCAATTCACAAAATGTTATATTGAATATGTACAGCGAACGATCATTATCATGCAGCGCTCTATAGCAAGAAAAGGAAGGAACTGGCGATTCCTACTTCGGTCAAGCAATACAGGGGGAACTCCCGTAACTCCAGTTGGACCAATGACAACATCGACGAAGCAAGAATTAAGAATGCTATATAGATATGGCGTAAAGCTAGTTCAACTGGACGTAGTTTCCTGGATGCTGGTTAAAGGGTTGTTCCGACAATGCGGGGGAGCGGGGTAAGTTTACCAGGGAACTGTCCCTCTCTCCCGTCCACACGACCTGACCACCATTCATTCTGGTTATCTGTCCGTTGCACGATCTCGATGACGTCGCCTGCGGAGAAACTGAGGTCGCCATGCGCTTGTGCCTCGTAGTCATACAAGGCTGTGACGGTTTCGACGGAGGTGTTGAACCGGGAAGGCTTGGGCTTCGGTGGTGGAGGGGCAGGCTTGCCCTTCGCCGCGGCGATAAAGCTGCTGCCTGGGCTGCTGTTTGCAGAGTATGGAGGTGGGGGGTTTTCAACAACGTCGGGGTCCGTTTGCCGCGCGCCCTTGCCCTCCTGAGCCATTTTGTCTTTAGCAGAAGGGAACTTCGATCCTGGCCGACGTCCGCCCGTGGTCTTGAAGTGGACGATTGTGAGCGCTTCGGCGCGTTCCTTGACATCCCCACGCTTGGCCTCGAACGCCTCCTCGATATCCAGCGTCAGATCGAAGTAACCGATGTTGATGCCCTGCATCTTTTCGTGCAGTGTGTAGAAGACGTTGAGTTGCATGTAGTAGAATGACTGGAACAGAGGGCGGATAAACTCCGCCTCGAGAGCGAACAGTTTGGGCAGCTCCTCCTTGAGCAAGTCGTTGTAGTTGTTGTATTCCTGCGTCGCTTGTTCCACGTCGTTCTCGGCCTTGTAGAGCGCCTTCTCATCCTTAAGCGATTTGTCCTTCTTGTCCTGGAGCTTTTTGAGCGAGGCCCTGTGGCGATCGTAGTCCAGTTTCTTGTGGTCTCGCTTCACTCCGACTTTCCGGATCACCTTGATCACCTCCAACAGCTGTTCCGCAGGGCTGATGACGCGAGATTCGATCATCTCCAGTTCGGGCACTAGGGATTCCTGAAGATCGCGCACGATCGCCTCGTATTCCTCGCACGCCCTGATTCCTTCTGGGTTGCCTTCGATCGTGTATGTGCTGGGGTCGGAAGCGCGGCCAGAGATGGGCTTATACAGCTCTGCAATCGACTTGGAAAATTCGATCTGGTGGCTCAGCATGCCTGTCGCGCGGGTTAGTAAACTGAGGGGCGATGGGGATGACGGGATCCGCCTGTACCGTTGATGGCGTCAAAATATTTCTTGGACTCATCGTGCAGCTTCTTGGTCTCCTTCTCTAGTTCCTGGAACCGCCGCTCCGCATCAAGGTAGACTGCATCTTTGGTATGCTCGCCGATGTTGAACTTGGCCTTGAACTGTTGCGGAGCACGAACAATGCTCTTCTGAAAGCCCTTCAAACTCATCTCTGATTGGCCGCAGGTAGCCCAACGCCCGCGGAAGGATTCGGTTTAGGTGGGATGTCGGGTTAGAGTCGTCTAGTAACGTTGAGAGGTGTATGGGAGGAGGGTAGGAACAGGAGGAGGGTCGAAAAGAAGAAAAACAGCAGGAGGTGGTGAAAGCAGGATGTGGTGGTAGGCAGGAAGTGGGGGAGGGCGTGCCTTTTGATCGCGGCAAAGGGAGAGCCGGTGACGGTTAGACTGCAGTTCGTCTGCTGGGCACCGTGGCTGAGCTATGACATAATTCCCGCCTGCTGCCGTGGCTGAGCCGTGGCTTGAGAGTCCGCGACTGGCCGGCCGGGTTGGCCTGGAGGGGCTCGCCAGACTGCGACGATCAGGGAAGAATCTCTCCACAATCCACATACATAAGTAGACACCACCATGAGTAGTCCCTGAATGATCGCGATTCAAGGCCCCTTCGAGTGACGCGATGTCCCGGACCACAAGGCCGATTATTATTCACCCGGCTTCGGAGAGTCGGAAGCTTTCCTCTCGTCTCCTCTCCTCTTCGGTTCTTGGCCGGCATTAGGCACCAGAGTATCCCCTTCCCGGCTGCGCTAGTGGCACTATTACCTGCTAGCAAGGGAATCGTTCCCTCGTTCCCTCGTTCCCTCGTCTTCGGTGGGCTTCCGCCAATGCTTCCATCCTCGTGACCACCACCCCCTTGCTTGTGGTCCGCAGTGCAGCTGAGCGTGAATCGCCGGGAATCCGGGGAAATCTGCTAGTACTACGTAGGTAGCACGGAGTGGTCCGGAGCACTTGAAAAAGCTCTAGTTTGGCTGCCAAACACATGTCAGGAGTTGGAACCTTTCTTTCAGGAGCCACTGTGCCCCTGTGGTCCCCGGGGCTAACTGCATATTAATGAATTGATTAGCTCCATATTCTACGGAGTACTCCGTCTCCAATCTAAATTCCATCCTGGGTAATCTATTCTGCATTTATGCAGGCTTTCGTCACATTTATTGCATAAACCTGGTTGGAATAAAAATAATTGCGAAGTGATCCCAACCACTCACCTTCTGACAAAACCCATACTATGGATTGGCAGCTAAGTATATCCAGGAGTGACATGTTTCTGTAGACGCATTGCTGGGTAACATCAAGGTTGCTTACAGAACATGGCTAATTCGCTATCAATATCTATGATATGGACGGATGCTTCCTATGGGATATACTATTATCTAGCATCATTACAGCACAATGCCTTCCCTACTATGAGAACCCCAGCGCGGGGTCAAGAATTATTCCATATTAGAGAAGATGATGTTGAAACAATAGTTTATTAATTAAATGAGGAGTCTTTGACATTTGCAACAGCAACTCTCTATTTGTTAACAATAAAGCGTCATTTCCGTGTCTAGGATTAAGACGCATGGTCCCCATAGAATAAAAAGGACAGATGACCCGACTACAAAGAAACAACATACCACGAACCTGGCATGAGGAAACAAGCAAGAACAAAAAAAAAAAAAACCAATACCCGCGCGCGAAATCGCACAAGGCTGGCAAAGAAATCTATCACCCCAACCAGCAAAAGTCCAACAAGCAACCTGATGGATTCACAAAGGGATAACTTATACCAAAGCTAAACCATCGGTAGCTAGGATGAAGAAGACCCGCAAGAAAACTAATCTTCGTGTTCCAAAACCTTAATCTTCCATTTTGCGAGGCGATTGCAGAAACCTTGCCATTTTGCGATGCGTGTGTTCAAATCTTCCCCCGCCCTGAAGAACTGCTTTCCTGGAGGTGGCAGCGCGAAGTTATTCTTCAGATCAGCATACATAACGTGAAGATACTCCCAAGCCTTTTCTTTGCGCTTGGATAGGGGATAAATATCGTTACACATTATAGCCAAGTATCTCTCAAACGGTGATGACACGCCATCCAGGAACAGAAGGTTTGGTATTCTGTTGGACATCATTATATTCACGAGTGAGTAAATCTCCTTCATCCAATGGTAGGGATCTTCACTTCCGTCCAGGGCGCGACAGCGACGAGCAACCATGTTCTCGAGATATTTAATGGGCTTGGGAATCTTCAATGGATACCGTTCGGGTGACCGGCGACCCCAGGACAACCAAGGGGAAAGCGGGGCGCCGATGTGACATGGGAGTCTTTCATCCGAGGCAAGCATGTAGTAAGCGTCGTTCGGTTCAGGAAGGCCCACAGGGGGGTCTGGGAAAGACCACAGTATACTCGACTTGGGGTAGAGGCTGATGGTCACTGTCGGAAGCCCATTCCTGGGAGAGTGCTGCAAAACTTCATCAGGATGGAAATGGTAGTCGGAATGGGGGTGCGAGCCGTTTCCATTTTGCATGATATCGCATTCTTCTCCTATTTGGCAGAACCTATATCCAATGGACACCAATGTTTCTGATGCGTCCTCCAAGCGGTCGTCTGGAATGACCCATCCTGAAAACTGCCTCGGATGCGGTGTCAATGTCTCATCCCCTGGGTAGAGGAGGAAGAATGCAGGAAACGTTGCGCTGTCTCCATAGATCCTTAGTAACGGTCTACCCCAAATGCAATAGGGAACCTTGGCATTGTCCAGAGCATATGCCACCTCTTCTTCCTGGTGTGAGCTCAAATCAATTTCCGTTCCCATCTCAAAAGACGTCATGGTGTTGGTTTAGAGGCAGTGTTGATGTAACGACTTGTTCGTTGCGATAAAAGGAGTGTCGATTAGCCACCAGGGCACAGGAATTCAGATTGTATTTATAGACTTAGTCTACTTGTCAAGGCATAGGAGTTCCCCGGATACTAAAGAGTCGTGAAAAATCGAAGGAGAATGGGTATAGGAACATTCCTGACAATATACCTTTTTAATCCAATGCTACTGATTTTTCATCACACATCTTTCCATTACCTTTAGTCTGTATCATGTTTTCCTTCATTTGACAGTCAACTGGTGTTCATGGTAGACTTCCGGCCTCTTTGTCATTGTTGATTTAAGGCGGAGGACCGTATCATATTAGAAAATAGAGAAGCTCCATATTCTGACTCCTTTGTTGCAAAGCCCTTGTTTCTGGGTTCCTCAAAGAAAATCAAATAGATAGAATAACCTAATATTGAGTCCAGGAAGTAAAAATCAACAAAGCATGGAAACATGACAGAATGTCAAATTCCGATTCAAATCCACTTCGGAGAAGTTGGCTCTTTGATTTGAAATTCAAGGTACTCGTCAGACACTTTACTCCATATTATATCCTTGTAGTCTTTTCAAACACTTCAAAACAACAAGACCACTACTGATGAAACCATCTAGTGTGTGGTACAAGCCAAGTTTGCTATTGAAGCTGGTGCCAGAGGATACTTGGAAAATCAATACTACTACTGCCTAGGGGATAGGTAACCCTTGTCGCCTAGAGGCTTGCAGATCAAAGCTCTATTTGTGATACTCTAGCTTTTCAATATTTCTTATAAAGGGATGTGAAGCAAGAGGCTATATTGGCTCATTATCTAATGATTTCAACTCTACATTAAGTTCATGAAATTCACTGATGAGTACCGAAATCCATCATTCTATAGTGAAAGCTCTTGGACTTTACCTTATTTTGCTCTCATATTCAATCTCTACGATATTTCTTTATATCATAAATTCAATTACAATCTTTCCAATTACCGGATCAAGGAAGGGCCTTAATTCTTTGGATCGCATGGTCATTGCCGCCCGGTGGTTAGGTAGGTGGATGACACGAGCCGGGCCGTCTGCTGAGAACATAGACTTAAGGTTCTCAACTTCTCGCAAGAATCTACGGAGCTCTTCTCGGGGCCACTGAACGGCTCTAGAGGTGTCCAATGCCTCTCTTTCAAGGAAAGCAATAGCGTTGTTATCAACTTCAGTACCGGCTTTTGACACTCCTAAAATATAGAATGGTCAGTAGCGTGAACATTTGCCCCTTTGACTGGGTTGGCTGATTACATACCGCTAGCTGCTGTCAAGATATTATAGTTCTGGTGGCATGTATCATGGTGACGTCCTAGTTATCTGTCAGATGGGGCCCAGACCTGATCAGATGAATTTACGTACCGTGGTGCCACCACCGACGTCGCAGACCAAGTAATGGCCCATGGGCTTTCAACCCAATGTTAGAGACATGATTCACAGTGACAGGGAAATGAATGGGAGAGTTCGACAGACCAGTAGCCCAGGCATAGCCTTTTGGAGGAAAACAACCGCCGCCTCGGCCTCACTTATGAAGAAGACCCTGGTACCATACCCAGCGATAGTAATGGCCTCCCGCATGCGAGTCTGTCCATCTTCTGACCAGGCTGCGGGAACTGTAAAATAATATTCGACGGAAAGCCCCTTTTCATGGTAAGAAGATGCCAGTTGTTCCAAAATATGGCCACGCAGCGTTCGGAGAAAATCCCCGATGATTTGCTGAGGGGTCATGTCGGCAGGCAACTGCAGAGTCTCAAGCCCGGCAAACTGTGGGGTATTTGCTATTGTTTCTTGATCCAACATGCCGTTGAGAAGATGCTTGATCGAAACGTGACACGGATATTCGGTGTCTGCAGCCTCTCCCCAACGAATAGCGCCGTCCTTGTAGGCTAGTTTCGAAGGTATCGAGATCTTGCCTGGGCCAAAGAAGACATGCCCGACCTGGCTAATATCGGGCTCTCGCCCACCCCAAGCGGCGTGAGACACGCCTAGTTCAACTCGATTAACATGTTTTTCCGACAGTCCCAAGCTTCAGGAGCAGATAAGACTCACGCGTGGCGGTGGTGCCAAAGTCGATACCGACCACGATCTTCGTCGTACTCTGACAAGTATTCATGTTGCTATGATGTTTGAACAGGTTGAATAAATGCAGGGTACGCAATCAGAATATGTGCAATCTGTGACCTGGAGAGGCAGTTATGCTCGATTCTCAAAGCATATATGAGGAAGATGACGATAAGTGGTAGAGGGAACAGAAGGGATGGACGGATGACTGGGTGAATTCGAGTCAAGCCTTCCAACTCTCCTGCATTCAATCATTCTCTCTTTGATGATCTTCCTCGCGCCTATCATCATCATTTTTTTTTTCATGTTCTCTATCTATGTATGCACCCATGTGAGCATTGATCGGTTTTATTCCTCACGCAACCTTACTCGATCTGTCTTTTTTTTTTTTTTTCACTGGCATAAATTCTGAATCCAGATTGTCAAATACACAGAAGACATGCCTTTCTTTATTTCATGGTAGGCTACGGTGGATTATACCAACCTCTTGTTGGTCCAAGACAATACTTTGTAGATAATGATCATTGCAGGCTGACCTGAATGCTCCGTCTAAAGTCCGGACTCCGCGGAAAGCCCGCGAATCCCTATCAGCCTGGCCCATGAAAACCCGAGGCCGATGCCCGAAAGGGAAATCGCCGGACTATCTGATAAATCCGATCGGGCTTAGCGGCCTCGGCAATGATATAACCGGAGCCAAACTTTTTTCCCTTCCGGCGAACTCCTTTCGCTGTTGTCATCCTCACGGCCATCACTCAAACCCTTTACCTTCCATGGTGTATTTGCAGACTATATCTTGATCATGTCTAGTATGACTCCGAATGCCTTGAGACATGCGTCTCGGGCCTACGCCCGCCGCCTTCCGTCGACACAGCATGCCTCCCTGACGGCCTCTCTTCCCCGAGGGGTGCTCGCCACCACCGGCGCGATCGCTCGACGCTCCTACGTCTCCGAAACCAAGGCCGGAAATGCCCAGGTTTCCGTGGATACCGCCATCAAGCAGGAACAGAAGGCCTTCATGAACCAGACAGGTGTGCAGCCCGGGAAGGTTAAGCTTCCTGGTAGCGGCATCTCCGGGGATGCATCCATGAGCCCTGCCGCGGGCATATTGAAGCAAGCTACCATCATGGACCAGGGCACCCGGCCCATTTACCTCGATGCACAGGCGACGACTCCCACCGATCCTCGCGTTCTTGACGCCATGCTTCCATACCTGACTGGCATTTACGGCAACCCTCACTCCAGGACGCACGCCTACGGCTGGGAGTCCGAGAAGGCGGTTGAGCAAGCCAGAGAATATATTGCGAAGCTGATCGGGGCCGACCCGAAGGAGATTATTTTCACTAGCGGTGCTACCGAGAGCAACAATATGAGTATCAAGGGTGTCGCTCGGTTTTTCGGTCGCTCTGGCAAGAAGAAGCACATCATCACGACTCAGACCGAACATAAGTGTGTTTTGGATAGCTGCAGACACCTGCAAGATGAGGGATTCGAGGTGACATACCTGCCGGTGCAGAACAACGGATTGATTCGCATGGAAGACCTCGAGGCGGCCATTCGTCCCGACACTGCCCTCGTCAGCATCATGGCTGTCAACAATGAAATCGGTGTTATTCAGCCCATGGCGGAGATCGGCAAGCTTTGCCGCTCCAAGAAGATCTTCTTCCACACCGATGGCGCCCAGGCGGTGGGCAAGATCCCCCTCGACGTGAACAAGCTCAACGTGGATTTGATGTCTATTTCCAGCCACAAGATCTATGGCCCCAAGGGTATCGGGGCCTGCTACGTTCGCCGTAGGCCCAGGGTCCGTCTCGACCCCATCATCACTGGTGGTGGTCAGGAGAGAGGTCTCCGCAGTGGTACTATCGCTCCCCACCTAGTCGTTGGTTTTGGCGAGGCTTGCCGCCTTGCATCTCAGGAGATGGAGGTATGTTCATATTTCCCCTTTCCCTTTGTCCACCCCATACCCTTTTGGCGCCTTGCGTGTTGGCTGTGATTATTTGCTGCAATTATACATGATAGTCTGAAGGACTATGGGGGTAGCGACACGCCTTGCGTGTTCCCATGCCACATGACGTCTGTAGCAGGGGTTATGAGCCATTTTGTCTGCTGATCGTGCCAATGCGACCATGCGCTTTCTATGGGATGTTGCTAACTAGGTCACGCAGTATGACTCCAAGCACATTGGCAGACTGTCCAAGCGTCTTACGGACGGTCTTTTGTCCATGGAACACACCGCGCTCAACGGAGACCCCGAGCACCACTATCCCGGCTGCGTCAACATCTCCTTTGCCTACATCGAAGGCGAGTCCCTTCTGATGGCTCTGAAGGACATCGCGCTCTCGTCCGGTAGTGCCTGCACGTCAGCCTCGCTGGAGCCCAGCTACGTCCTGCGGGCTCTGGGCAGCAGCGACGAGAACGCCCACAGCAGTATCCGTTTCGGAATCGGCCGTTTCACGACGGACAGCGAGATCGAATACGTGCTCAAGGCGGTGCAGGAGCGGGTGCAGTTCCTGCGCGAGCTGAGTCCGCTGTGGGAGATGGTGCAGGAGGGCATTGACCTAAACACCATTGAGTGGAGCCAGCACTAATCTTCTCTGTTTCTTGCATTACAGAATGACTGCACGGGCGGTTGTTTGGTCGTTTTACCAGGCGCATTCTTGTCTTCGTTTCGAGATATCAGCGGCGGGATGGCGTTCGTATAGTGTGTAACATTATAGGATTGATGAGATCTGTCCAAGTCTGTACAGAGAATGGATAATCATGACCGATAGGCTGGCTTTTGTAGTCTGGAGTAGATGGAACCTGTTCAATCAAGACATCTCCAAGCCATGGCGTGGGGGTCCGTGCGCCTGTGATCCTCCCGCTTTCCGGAGTACTAGGAAGTAGATAGATCTGTTGGTGAGGCGTGGGGGTACAAAGTACGAAGGTACTGGAGCAACTGGAGTCCTTGTCCCAGCCATGGTCCCTTGTGAAACTGTCCGCCAGATACATGTGTGTGTGTGTGTGTGTGTGTGTGTGTACAGAGTAAAAAGATAGATATCGTGGTGGTGTACGGAGTACGATGTAGTAACTGAGAAGGTGAACAACGTCCGCCGACACCCCGAGATTTCCCCGGAATGGCAAGTTGCAGGCAGTCAGGCAGATAGTGGCTAAGACGCTAAGAGGCGAACCGGCGAAGGAACTGCAGTCGCAGCCGTGGATCATCCGGGCGAGGTCGGCCGTCGAAATAAGATGGGGCCTCCACACGGGCAGGCGATTTCACCGCAGACCCGAACGGGGTGGCGTGGGTGGGAGCGAACGCGCCCCCGGCCTCGCTTAGTCGTCCGATTTCGCACTCGACCCCCCTCCACGCCCTCCCGGTTCATTCTCTAGCACCCAGCCTAGTCGACAAAGGGGGGGGGACCCCTTTCGCTGACACCCAACCTTCCGCTGGCGCTGTCAAGGGCCTCCAGCGCCTCCAGCTACTAGCTACAAACTACATAGATACTCCGGACGGGCAGCCAGTCCGTCCATGGGAAACTACTCCCACTTTCGCCTCATCCCCAGATCTTGAATCGCTGGAATGCTGGATATCAACCAGTTTTCACGCCCCCTCCCCTCTTTCCCCGGCGGCAAACTTTGGCCTCTGCTGCCGTCCTGTCTTGCCTGGCTTGGTTCGGCCCACTTGACTCTTCCTGGGCTATGTCCATCCACGGGCTAGTCACCGGTCCTACCCTCACCATGGGTACAGAATATACTACCACGAGAACGGGTTCCTTTTACCCCTGTTTCGCGTCGGTCGGTCTGCTGTCTCCGGATGACACAATCGCCATCGCGGTTGATTAGTTACTCCTCTGGCTCCCCCAGGCTGATTAATTCACAGTCCGGCTATTCGGTTGTTGCCGCTGTCCTGGAAGGTGCTGGTCCAAAGGTGACCTGATTATTTAACTTTCCAACGGTGCTATTGTTGCCTGTGGAATTGAATGGGAAAATTTTCTATTCCCTTCCCTCTCTCTCTCCCCTCCTTTTCGGCCGCCTTATACCCCCTCCTTTCCCGCGCTTTTCCGTCGCATCTGGGATTAGTAGTATTGGCCCCCAAGGTTTTGACTGCCTTGCGACCTTGCTCGTCCCTGTTACCCGGATCAACTCAGACGAGTCGTTGTTTTCCTGGCCGCCTCGCAGCTTTTTGAGGCAACCGTGACAGCTACTTCCAGTTGTGTCCGAGCGGCTCGGTTCGTCCTTGGTCAGTTTGGATTTGGCCTGCTTTACTTGTCACACAAGCCTGCTGTTCCTCGAGATTGTCCGGGCACCCGTCGAGAGATTCTTGTCGTCCCGGAATTTGCTCTTCGTTATTTCACTCCACGTCAGGTTCCGGACAATCCACAAAACCTTAAGTGACATCTCCTGGCAAGGCACCACGAGACACATGAGCTTCTACTAGATCCATATCAAGCCTGGTCTCTGCCTCTTCTGCGTGTTCTCATCGTGCCATCGGCATTGCCAGTTCTTTCTTAGACGTCTCTCACGATGCTTCCTCCAATTCCAGTTTTGGCAGACTATGGTATCTCGCCAGACCATGGCTTTCTCCCTCCCGATCCGCCTCTCGAGGTGTTGCCGGACCCTTACTACGCCAAGTGGGAGTGGATTGTGTCTAATCTGCAGGCCCTGCTAACCAGTCGGAGGATTCGGGAGGCTGTGGACAACATGTCCATGCTGTCGACATCATATCTTCGCTCCGACGCGGAGTGGCGAAGGGCTTATGTTGTCTTGGTATTCATGCTACATGGGTATGTTTGGGGCGGAAGCCGGCCGGCCGAGGTATGTGACACGAGACTACGATGGTGTTCCTGAGCTAATGTGGGCGACCAGAAAATCCCTCCCCAGCTGACAGTTCCCCTGTTGGACGTATGCGAGCACCTGGGCCTACCACCAGTTGCAACATACGCCGGGGTCTGTTTGTGGAACTACAAACCCATTTTTCCCGAGGAGCCCGTCTGTGATCTGCGTAACCTCGACAGCATCAACACATTCACGGGGTCTTTGGACGAGAAGTGGTTTTATCTGGTTTCTGTGGCTATCGAGTCTTGTGGGGCGCCATCAATCCCGCTGGTTCTGCAAGCCATCACCGCTGCGCGGGCTGGAAAAAGCCTGGTTGTGACGGAGTGCCTGCAGAGGCTTGCGGAAGTGTTGGATGAGGTAGGGACACTGTTGGAGCGCATGTATGAGCATTGCGATCCGTATGTGTTCTACCACCGGATCCGTCCCTACCTGGCGGGAAGTAAAAATATGGCCGATGCTGGCCTCCCGCACGGTCTTTTGTACGACAAGGGAAGCGGTGAGCCTGAGTATCGCCAGTATGGCGGTGGCAGCAACGCTCAAAGCTCATTGATTCAATTTTTTGACATTGCTCTGGGTATCGAGCATCGACCTACTGGAGAAGGCCCTCCGAGCAGCACACCCTTGAAAGACGAGAAGGAGGGCGTGGCCGGGGCCCCACGCCATGGCTTCATCCAGGAGATGCGCTCCTACATGCCGGCGGCACACCGTCGCTTCCTGGAGCACGTCAACGCAGTGGCCAACATCCGAGAGTACGTGGAAGCACGACGCTCAGACAAGGCACTCTGCATCGCTTTCGACGCCTGTCTCTCTATGCTACGCGCCATGCGGGATAAGCACATCCAGATCGTGTCCCGTTACATCATCATCCAGTCTCGGGACGCACGACCCAGTCGCGCCCCTCGTGCAAGCAGCCCAAAACGAGCCTCTATCAACCTCGCCACTGCCCGGCACGGCGAAAGGTCTGACAGCAAGAAGTTACGAGGCACTGGTGGAACCGCGTTGATCCCGTTCCTGAAACAAGCGCGGGACGAGACCGGAGAACCGGCCATTGACGCCTGGGCCCGACGACTGCTGAGCAACGGTCCATCAGAGGCCAGCTTCGCGGCGCTAAGCAAAGTGGACGAAGACCACGACGGTCATCTCCAAGTCGTGGGACTGTCAGGAACCTGGGCAGCCGACGACAGCGAGGGGGGCATATGTCATTGGTAGTGGTAGCGAGTGGATTTGCATTTCTTTGTGATTATTGAGCGGAGCGGTAATTTGGGCATCTCGCCCTGATGATGGCATCGGGGCGATCCACCTGTACATAGAGCGTTGATTCGATTCCACTTACGACGAGAATGATGAATGAACGAGCCGCTGGACGTCATTATTGCTCCTTGGTTTTTGTTTGTGTTCCTGCCCGGTTGGCGTGCCTGGCCATGACGTAGCCTTGTCGTCTCTCGCCCGTGACATGACGTCACCTGCTTCCCCGGATCCCACCATCGATGAACTATATAACTCCATCAACACCCACACTATCGCCATCCACAAGACAATCAACTGAATCCAAGACTTCCTATCAAACTACTCGGTCCAAAGTCCCTGTCAATTTCTTTACTACTTCAAACCAAACCAACCAATCTACCTACCAAGAACACCACCATCATGTCTGCCGACAACTCCAGCAACGCCAACAACTCCTCCACCCTCAAATCCTACATCGACTCTGCCACAGGCCTCGCCCAACGCGCCGTCGGTACCGTCACCGGTGACTCCTCTACTCACGTACGCTTCCCACCATCCCAATCCCAATCCCATCCCATCCCATCCCCATCTCCATTTCCATCCCAGTCCCAACCCCCTTCACCCCTCACAAAACACCCCAACTGACCCACCCCGCCTCCCCACAGGCCGAAGGCGAAGCCACACAATCCAAAGCCGCCAGCGAAAACGCCGCCAGCCACGAGACCGCCAAGCTCGGTCCCATCACCGCGGACCCCTCCACGGGCGCCACCGCCTCCGACCACCCGCAACGCAGCACCGGCAGCTGGGACCAGACCCTCGGTTCGGCCAAGGAGTCCCTGGGCAACCTGATTGGCAACGAGGGACTGCGCAAGTCCGGCCAGGAGCAGAATGCGGCGGGCAAGCAGGCTGAGGCGGAAGGCCAGCTGAGGGATCTGGGTGAGGGCGTTAAGGGCCGCGTGAAGGGTGGTCTCGGGCAGGTTGCGGCTGCCGCGACTGGTGATCGCGAGGAGGAGCAGAAGTGGAGGGATGTGCATGATGAGGGGAAGACCAAGCAGAGGGGCGTGGAGGCTGATTTGGATAAGAGGTACTAGACTGCGTGGTACTGAGTCTCGGTGATGTGATGTGATAGCGATGGCATCGGATCTCTTTACGTACATGTGTTTTTATCAGGAAGCGGGTTATTTATTGATTGTTAATGATGCTGCTTGTATTATGGGTTAATGCAGTGAATGAACTTATGAAGTGTCTATTGGGTTTCTCAGTAGGTTGGTTGAGTGGTGTGGTTGGTATATATTTAGAGGGATTAGAGTTGTGTTTGAGTGGTAGGTGCGTACCTGAGGTTCTGGTACTATCTATGCATGATGCATGCATAGATCTGCAGAGTGCAGTATGAGTGCTAATGGTACTACATACAACATTGGAGTTTCCGGGTAAATAAAAACAGGATGCGAGAAATGCCACAGCATAATATAGTAGAATTGCGATCTACTTATTAATATACTGTTTTTAATATAGGGATGCCACCCCAAGCCTGAACCGAACATAGTCATCAAGACGAGTGGATCCGTTGGATACCACTCCACCACCCTCCATTTCTTCTATATCGCGAAGGAGATTATCTATATAATCACCGGCGGCGCTCAGATGAAGGATGCGTCCAATCGCATGATGAACCTTAAGAAGTTGAGCAGACGGCGGGTCTACACTTCGGTCAGGTGTGAGATTAAAGGTAACAGTGACGGGGAGCTTTTCAACCCGACCCATGCGGTCAGACTCCACATAATCAATTTTATAGGTATGTGTTGGGGAAGCAAGCTGTTCAAAGGCAATTTCAAAGGTGCCGAACAACCTATGAAGGTCATGGGTTAGGGTGAGCGCGTTCATCGGCCGATCAATACCAACCCCGTTGATTAAACGGATAGCGCCGGGGTTGAACATCTTCAAGATCCTATGGGCTATTTGCTTTGAATCTGCCTGGGCACTGTCAGAGGTGATACAAGCCACTAAGGATATCATGCCAGCAACTTACAAGTCTCCATTCACCATCTTCACTGGTGAGCGACATCAAAGAGTGCGGTATTATGTGCGCTACTTCCAGATATGCCATCGTATCACGTTCCGGAAGCAACGACTTCCCGTCGTCATCTTTCACATTGCGTCCATCTCGCTTATATCGAGTCTGGGCTTCCTGAGCATCGAATTTCCGAGTGATCACACATCGGTGGCGATCACGAACAAGGCAGGCCCGTCGCAAGTTCGAGACGCGTTGCGGGGTGCCAATGGCCGTAGAGGGTGTTCTGGAATGCGACAGATCCGGTGTAGACTGGGGCGTTTTGACTGCCAGCGCTTTTACTAAGGGGGGATATAAGTAAGGGCCTTGCCCCTTGCCATCCCACGTGAATTAGATAGAGCCTGCAAACTTACATGGCAGGAAGAAATTTTCCACCAGGTATTGGGAGAACCCAGCGAGACTCGCACTCAAAGTATCGATCTCATCAGCCGGCCAGTCGGGAAAGCTGGCAAGGTATGGGAGAATTTGGTCGTCCAGGCCAGTGCCTCCTCCTCTACTTTCGCCAAGGAGGTCTTGCTGGATGAAAGAAAAAAGGAGTCTCAAGAAATCATCCTTTTCAGAGACCGCGTTCCTCATGAGACGGATGAGGGTGACGGGTTTATAGCCGTTGTTGGTGCTCTGAGAAGGCTCGAGGGTCGCGATGATCTCATCGGAAATCTGGATCGCGAGGTCGCGCACTTTGGGGTCCCAAGTCCTTGACACAGGAATGATGACCCCTTCTAAAGATGAACGGTGCCGACGAAGTCGAGGTGACTGCTCCATTGATATCTACAAGATATCCAAAAGACAGCTGGGCTTCCTAATCGCCGTCACATCGCTGTATGGCCGATCGGGTTGAAGACTAAATCATAATTGATGATTGTCAAGCGGTTAAAGCACGCGAACTGGCGGAAGCCGAAGGGGTGGATTGTGCCGGTACAACTTCTTTGAACCGGAGGGCGGTGAGGACCAGGCGGCCTTAAGCGTGCTTGCCGGATTGGGAACCTGCCGAGCGTTACTTTCCCTCTTTGTCTCCGCTCTCTTGGCTATTGCAAGCTGGGTTTTAAGAAAGGACATGGACATAAGCCCTAATCTGCTGGAGGACTTGATCTTCTTTTTGACTAGCATACCCAACGCATTCAATGTTCAGGATGGAAAATCGAACTTCCTGGAGGGCTTTCTGCTGGTAGGGTTGTAAGTCTACCTTTTCCAATGCCCATATTGTTCGCACGCTGTCAGAAATAGTATTAGTACTTCTTCGGAATTACGTCGCCTTTCGAATTATTTCGCTTGTTTGCTTTCCCTTCTTGTCCGGTTGACGAATTGACAGAAAGGTACATCGTAGTTGACTCGGTGTTCTTTGTATACGAGGATACTAGACCTGGGCTGTAGTGACATGTCTGCCAAATGCGTATCTGCTTTTGGAGGAATATCTATGACCTCAGGTACTATGACAAAGAACCGACTCTGCTGTCGGAAACCTATCTGTCTGATAAAAGTAAGCCATTCAAGATACCAATATGCCCTACTAATTACGGAGAGAAGGCAACACTGCCGCTGGCACTTTCTTGCCGTTTACATTAAAGAATAATATAATAATATGTCAATTTTATAATAGTTTTAGATTAATACTAATCTTCAATTACTCTTTTGGTTCTTATCCACTCTCTACCTCGTACTAGCTTGCGGTTTTTTGAAAGGAGCCTCGAGGTCTGCCCAGTGTACCTTTATGAAAGGCCAACAAAATACCACAGACTGGGGTTGAAAGCCCTCCGGCGGACATCGCAGCATCTAGCTCCCCAGCATTTAAAACAACGCGCCGAAACACTACTCACCAACTACAACTCAGCACAGCGCATCCAGACCTTGAGCATCAAGATCAAACTTCCAAAAAGACCCGCCCCGGGAGACCATAGGGGTCCAGGATGGCTCAAACACCCAGCCCGGCAAGCTAAAGAAAGATAAACATCCAAAAATGAGACCGCAACTAGGGTCTACGCTATGCTTCAGATATCCCTTTCCCTCTCCACCCTGCAGATCACCCAGTCTTTGGGCCATGAAGATCTCGTCCGTGGTCGAAATCGGATCTCGGTCCGGACAATGCATATGATAGTGGTTGTCCCATCCGCTCATCCCATCCGCTCATGCTATCCCATATTGTGGTCCGTATACCAACCACATCTTAATCTTCACTCTCGTCAAACCATCTATCAAAATACCTAGTTACCTCCCTACCAACAGAGCGAAATATACCAAACCATCATCTATTTCCAAAATGAAACTCCCATCCACAACCACCCTCCTCCTCCTCCCCTCCCTCCTCGCCACCACAGCCTGGTGCACCCCGGACCTCCAAAACGCCCACGACATCGACTGGTCCTCTCTCAGATCAGCCCTGTACTTTCCCCCTCCCTCCCCAATCCATCACCCACCCAACTAACCCTCCCCCAGACAAAGCCACACAATCGCCATCCCCACCAAAACCGCCAACCTGGAAAACATCTCCCCCCCACCACACTCCATCGTCGAGAAAGTCGTCACGGGCGTCCCGGCCACCGTGCTCGCCCAGCTGTTTGTCCCGGCCCAGCGCAGCGCCCTATCCAGCGACTTCAACGCCGGACATACCCCGGACTGGTACCTGGCGCTGCCGACGGACGTCAAGAGTTATTTGAGTGATGTGAAGAGACAGGTTGCGACGGGTGCGTTGACGGCGACGGGTAAGGAGGCGAAGGCGACGGGGGATGCGAAGACGGGCGGGGCGGGCAGGGCAGTAGGGAAGGGGGTCGATTTGTGGGTTTTGGGCGGGTGTGCGGTTGGGGTGTTGGGGTTGTGGGGGCTGTGAAGGGTTGCTATTGGGGTTGATGGGTTGAGTTGAGGGTTAGTTGAGGGGTCGGGTTTGGTGATGAGTGAGGGAGTTTAGGGCTGGGAAGGGGGTTGGATGTTTATGAGGGGATGGAGTGAGTGGGTTGGTCTGTCTGGACTGGGTTGTGCTTTGGTCTGGTGCATAGTAGAACGGGCTACCACGTTAGAAGAGAGATCATGTCTATATCTGTTGAGGGCGTCGATTTTAATTGTCAGATCCACTATCATAAGTAAGAACAAACGCTCAGATGTCCACTCAACCAAGTCCAATCAAGCTTATGTACATTGCCTAGCTTGGGTATACTGTTGCTGTTGCATAAGTCATCCATCCACAGACCAGTCTGCAGATAACCACAGCAACCACCATCTAGAAGGGATATTCTTCCAAGCCCATGCCCTTTCCGATTTTCCGGATCAGAGCTCTTTTCAGGAACGCCTCGCGCGCGAGCCCACGCGTGTGACGCGACCATGTCTCCACACCAATGACGCCCTTGACCAACGCAGCCTGTAGGGCGTAAATTGCCTGCTGGATGCCGCGTTCTTCGGCAACTAGGTCGTACAATTGCTTGCCAACGACCGTGGGGGCGACGAGGACTTCGTCGATCGGGGGCAGCCCTGAAGCTGCGGGGTCGGTGCTGGACGATGGGGCTGCGGATGCCGAGATGCGGCTTTGGGCGTCTGCAATCACGCCGTCTGCGCGGTGGAGGGATTGCTTCAGGACCGAGTTGTTCGACTGGAGGGTTGAATTAAGGGTGTTCAGCGACGAGATCTCGCCTTGTAGGGTGGCGATCGCCGCGTGCAGGGAGTGGGACTGTGAAAGCAAAGACTGAGCAGCAGACTCGGTCTGTGTGACGTTGCCCTGGAGTGTTTCGGCAAGGGTCTTGGAAACAGCCTGTAGCAGGGCGTCCTTCTCGGGATTGGGGGGATTGGAGGCGCCGGGCCGGTGGGTGCGAATGAAGGGAGTTCAAGCTCGAAAGGGGATGTGAGTAAGTCGGGTGTCTCAGCCTTGGGTTGCTGCACTGGCTGTTGTGCTTGCGGAAGCCCAGAATGGGAAGAAGCTTGAGACGGTGCCTGGTGCGGTGGGGGTCGTTGGTAGGTTGGGTGAGGAGCTTGTTGCACGGGGTAGTAAGCCGGGGCTCGTTGCTGAGTTCCCCGCCCAAGGTCATGTGTAGGGTTTACAGGGGTGCCGCGCATTGGCTGAAACTGAGCTGATCCATGCGGGTATGCAGGCGCTGGCTGGGGTCCATGGTGCGATTGATGAGGCAGCTGATACTGACTCGAGGTCCCAGGATTTCCGCTGCGCTCGGGTGGGTACTGCGATGGTCCAACCCCAGGGCTACCGACACTTGCTTGAGGCTGGAAAGGCAATCGTCGAGGATCTTGTTCTTTTGGTGGTAGGGGAGGGATTGGTGGGGGAGAATTGTATCGCCCTGCTGACGGAGTCCGTTGCGGTTGCGGCTCAACCGGCGTTTGGCCCGGCTTTGGAGGCGGCGGCGGAGGCAGTTGTGCATTCGTCTGCGGCGACGCGGTTGGAGTGCCATGTGTTGTCTGGGGGCGGCTAGGTGACGAATTGAGCTCTGGGGGCAAAGGAGGTAGTGGCGGAGGTGCCTGTCCATGCGCCTGGGCTGGCTGGGGCGGTCGCTGTTCTGCGGGTTGCTGCTGTTTGTATTTCACCGGCGGCTCCTTGGCGAACACCTCGCGTAGTATCAGGAGAAGGTCACTCAGAGACGATCGCTGCAGTTCCAATGTCAGAAACCCACCAACGTACCCGTTGCGAGATGGTCCCAGAGTTGCTCACCTCCCATGCTCCGGCCCAGTGTGCTAAGTAGTGATGGTAGATCCTCCCTTCCAACGTTACATGTTGTCCTACGCGCACAGCCATGTCTTGTGTTGGCGTCACGTAGACCATTGGGGGCTCTCGAGGGTAGGTGTTTGGGATCCATAGTGTGATAGGAAACTTGTAGACGGTGCCGCGAAACGTCACGGGCAACGTGCCGGATAGCTGGAGGAGCAGGGCGGAGAAGCCGGTCTCGTAAGCTAGAGGGAAGATTGATACGGTCAGTCAGGACGACAACAACAAGATGATCGTAGTTCAGAGGGTCAGGGGGTCACACACTGTAAACTTCGGTCCGTGGACCCAGGGAGGGGTATTGAGCAAGCACATTGGCGACATCATAGTAGGTCCGGTTGGGGTCCTGGTATGTTTGCCTGGGGTCGTGATGATCCTGGCTCGAGTTAGTGGGGGACAAGGAGAGGTGGGATGAAGATGCAGTCGGGAGGGCATTACCCTGACCAGGATACTGTATAGCCAGTTGAGGGTCCTCTGCGGCACGGCAGCCATGGCGAGGGACGGAGAGAAGGCGAAGGCGCATGGTGGGATGGAGGAGTTGGAGGAGTGGCCGCAGCCGTTGGAGTGAGCGAGCGAGTGGGGCCTTGCTGCCTTGCTCCACCGCCGTCTCCCCGCAGCTTCTCTCAGCGACTCTCGACGGTGACATCCCCTCTCCTCGGATACACAAGACCCCCAACGTTCCACAAAAATGAATTCTGTCATAGCTCCAGTGTCACCTCCGTGCCGTGCCGCTCTGGCCATGACTTCGAGATAGATGAAGTACCTATGCAGCTCAGCTAGGGAAACATATTTTTGCATTCAACTAGCATCTATGAACAATGATATTCCAGTGATGGAGCCTATCGTTGGCTACCTTTCCTCGTATACCACACCCCAGGCATGCTCTAACGCAGAAAACAACTCCTTACTAAGATTCCTGGCAAATAGCTCGAGTCTCTGACGAGAAACCCGGTGGTCCGGCCATATTCCTTTTTGGACCATGTGGACAACACCGGGGTTGGAATGGCCGATAGCATATTCTAGCTCAAGCAGGCTGTCATCTTGTCATCTTCACCCTCTACGATATGGTTTAGATGGCGGTTAATGATAACATTAATGGCCGTGACCCCCGCGGCCAGGTTGCGGTACAACGGCCCCTCGAGATACGCAGCACAATGATCGTTTGAGCAAAGGCATGGAAGGTGATCAATCCAGCAGCTTGAACAATCCTCGTGGATTAGGCTTGCGGGGTGAAAACAAATCAAGGACGGCGTTATGGTTGATGCTGGTCGCCACAACGCAGGCTCCCGTCGAGGTGACTTTCCCTTTCGGGCACGCCATTGTACTTTGCGCCGGCCTTCATATTGTTTGTTTCGCAACATACTTCTTCACCTGGCCCATATAGCTGAACGAAGCTATGATTGAAATTGTCTCGAACAGGGATCCACTTTGTCAACTCCTAGCATTGTTGTTCTTTATATACCCTTCATCCTACCTATTGTTTGTCTCGGGTGTTGTACGAGACAATATCACACACCCCCCTTGGCACAGTTGTCATATGGGATTGAGACTCCAGCTGGGATTTTATTTTGATTGGAACACCGAGTGTCCTCCTCAATGGCGTATACAAATCATCGTCTCGTTCATTTTGCACTCTTCGGTTGATCAAGATATCTTCATTTCTGACTGACTACCTTCGTCGACACTTCACATACAAGTCAAAGGTCTACGAACATGTCATCCGATCAAAGCACCATCATGGCTTCGGATTTTGACCCCTATACCCAGAATGTCACCTTCCATAGTGTCGCCGGAAATCTCTTTGAGGTGAACGTGCAGGACATTGACATGTATATGCAGTATGGCATCCGGATCTGTATCAACTACGGCGCCCAGCTTGGAGCATCGATCATCCTGTTTGTGATTCTCCTGCTTCTGACCAGACCCGAGAAGCGTCGCTCCTGCGTCTTCATCCTCAACTGCTGCGCGCTGCTCTTCAACGTCGGCCAGCTTGTCTGCCAGGTCCTGTACTTCACCTCTCCCTTCATGCGAGTCTACTCCTACTTTGCCGGGGATTTCTCCCAGGTGCCCCTTTCTGCATACATAAACTCCGTCACTGCAACGGTCTTCACCACCCTCCTGATGATCAGCATCGAGACCTCTCTCGTCCTGCAGGTCCAGGTCGTCTGCGCCAACTTCCGCCGTCGGTACCGCCACATCCTCCTCACCATATCCTTGGCCATTGCAACCATCCCCGTTGGATTCCGCATGGCACTGATGGTTGAAAATGACATCCTCATCATGGGAGCACAACCCAGCTTAAGCACCATGGCACTCCAAAGCAACGAGAACATCACCGTCACCACCAGCATCTGCTTCTTCTGCGCCATCTTCATCGCAAAGCTAGGCTACGCCATTCGACAGCGCAGAAAGCTGGGCGTGCGGGACTTTGGACCCATGAAAGTAATCTTTATCATGGGCTGCCAGACCTTGGTCATCCCAGGTACGCATGCACATCTTCATAACCCCTAAGACAAGACCAGCTTCACTAATGGATCAAAACAGCCTTCCTATCAATCCTTCAATACATCCTGGTTGTCCCTGCACTCTCATCCAACGTTATTACCATCGTCACTATTTCCCTCCCTCTATCTTCCATCTGGGCCGGTGTCACCCTAGACAACCCGCACGATCGTTCCGGCTCTGCCTCCTCCCCCCGTCGAAACCTCTGGAACATGCTTTCATTCTCCAACTTCCTGGATACCAGACAGACTAGCTCCACGACTCACAGCATGAAGCCCGCAGTCTCCTGCTACGCGGATCGGACTCAACCCAAGCTGGAGCGCGACAACAATGCGTACGGCATCTCCGTTGAGCATGATATCTCCGTGCACAGTGTCAGACAGGAGAAGGATATCGTTTGAATTGAACTTTGATCCTGTACTGTACTTCTAGCTGGCAAGATTGACCAATCGTCACTGACGTACCATTACGTGGGTAGTTTAATTGTCTTCTTCCTCTCCTCAAATTTCTTTTTTGATTGTTCTTCTAGCTCTCCTCCAGGGGATTTGACTTTTCTTTCTTTTTTGCCCCGGGCTTGTCACCATGTGTTTCTGCATTGGCGGCTGACTGCCTTCGTTTATTGTTGCTGTTGCTTTTTGCTTTCCGTTTCGTTTCTTGGCCAGGGGATGTGCCTCGATGTACTATAGCTTTTATTAAAGGCAGGCAATTTGATACATTTACTTTTTCAAGTCTTCAAGACAGACTTCGTATCCCGAATAGATAGATAGGTAAGGTAGGCAGTAAACGGAATCGTCTCCATAAGCGTGTCGATTAGCTATAAGTACTATACGTCGAAGGCAAATTCTATTTGCTACTACAACTCCTCCCTAACCACCTTCCATTCCAGACAATAGCAATATCTAACCCTCCCGGCCTAGCTTGGCCAAGGACTCCGTCAGGAACTCAGTCGCGTTCATCAAGTCGGTACTACCGTAGACGACTCTCCGTCTGGGACCCCCGGGGGCACCGGACGCAGCGGCGCGGTTACCGGCCCCAGCTCCGTCAGCGCCGGGCTGTCCGCTCGTCCGACCGACCCAGTCTTGCAGGTTCCCGTACTCGTCCATGCTGCCACCGCCAACGGTGAAGACGATGGCTTCGTTGAAGGCCTGGCGGCGCTGGCCGAAGGTGGCGGCCATTCCGGGGCCGGAGGCGTTGATGGGCTGGCCCTGGGCGTTGCGGGAGGCAGAGGCCGGGGGCATGGCGCCGCGGGCGTTGGCGCTGCGGGGGTCGAAGTAGAGGTAGGTCTCTGTTTTGGCGATGGCGGAGCTGGAAGCGGAAGCCGGGTCCATGATGGATTCGGTGATTTTGGTGAGGGTGAGGTCCTTGTTTGCGGGGAGGAAGTTCTTGACACCGGAGATGAGGGAGTCGAAGTTAGCGCCGAGGGCGCCGGATGTGATGCGGTCGGTGAGCTGATTGGAGAGGGAGGAGAAGCCGCGGAGGAGGTTGGAGGACTGTTGTTGCGGGGCGGCGGTCGCGGTGGTCATCATTGTCATGCGGGTGATCTCGCGGACTTGACGCACGTAGGCCAGCGGGGTGACGTCCGTGACTCCGACCTTGGTGAGGGCTTCTTCGAATTGGCTCATCTCGGCACGGGAGACCTCCGTTTCGGTGCTCAGGAACCAGATGATGAACAGGCGGAGCTTGTCCAGCGGGTTGTTGCCCTTCGTGGAGTCGTTGAGCAGTTCCATGATCTGGGCCTTGGACTGCTTGGTGATGTTTTCTTCGAGTTCGAAGAAGTTGTCGAGCTGACGGTCTTTGATTCCCTTCAGTAGGGCGGTGGCGATGTTCATGTGCATGTCGAGAATAGCTTTGCGTTCCCGAAGCTCCGGGAGGAGGGTGATGGCGGCTTTTAGGTGCTGCGCAGAGGCGCTGGTGTCGTTCTGGAGATCTTCGATCGAAGAAGCGCCTGTCTTCTTTGTGATCTCGGTGGCATCCTCTTTGTATCGCGTAAGCTCTGTATCGATGTCTTCCGCCACCTGCGGGAAGGGTGCACCGGCATTGCGCTTCCAAAAGAAGTCGTTGCTGTTCAAGTCGTACGCCCTCTTGGAGACTTTGTCGGGGTTTATTTCATCCGTGGTTTCTACTGTGATCCGATTGAGGCGCATCTGTAGAACGTCCTGGACGAGAGATTGGTACGTCCATGAGTGGGAAAGCATCGGTACTAGATCCACGTTGCGGTCCACGATGATCAGAACCGGTCGCGCGGATGGGACGCCAGGAGTGGCCTTCTTCGAGAACAGATTGTCTTTGGAGTTCAGGATGTGATCGCGTAGCTTGCGGTCAAGCTTCGTCGCTATTAGCTCTGCTGCGCCGCCTTTGGGACACCGAATAATTGGGATGGCACCTGTTCATACCATCGTCAGCAGATGACTTCTGAGACCTGCGTTGTCCGTACATACCCATAGTAACGCTGACGCTAAACAAACCGCTGACGATTCTATCCACCATTGCGTCTAGATCATCGTCGCTGGTTTGGGCGCTGTTGATCTTCCAGTATGCATCATTCCCCAGTCCCAGGCTGAACAGGTCGGGCTCAGCCACGATGAAGTTCAAGTACTGATCAAAGACCTGAGCGACGTGTTCCGCGGTCCCGGTTGTCGCGATCTGTGACGCAAAGTCTTCGAGGAGGGGTCGGGGCACGGAGGATAGAAAATTGACGTAGGCGGGCGAGTAGAGCCCGCGAGAGAGGTCATTTGTGATCGCTTCGACATTGGCAGGTGTTGGTTCGACGAGATAAACGACGGGGACATCAGGGATGGGGTATCGATTGGAATTGATGCCTCTGGGGAATCGCATTAGCTAGACCCTTGGGAATTCAGGGACCTCGGCAATAGGAGTTCGTACAGATGGATTGTGACCCCCCAAGCCCGGAGGTCATTGACACGGAGTACGCTGCTGATAACATCTCGCCCCATGCCGTCAAACACAAGGACCTTCCAGATCGGATCGCCATCTTCGTTCAACACGGGGGTCGAGATGAGGCCCTGCGCAGACGCATCGTGGTGGGCGTCTTCCGCGGGCTGGGGATCGTGGTTCAAGTTGAGGATCTTGTGGATGGAGGCTGAGTTTGGTCAGAGCAAGGTGGTGGTATAGAGGAGGTAGAAGACAACGGAAACCTACCGACCTGACGGTCCCTCAGAGATGCTGGGTGTGAGGCCATAGTAGGTTGGGTTGGACTTGCTGCGGCACACCCCGGACGGTATCACGATTACCTGGAACGGGTCTGATTCATGACATGTAGCGAAACCACCGGAGGAAGAGTAGACGACAGGAAGGCCTATCTAGTCCAGGACGGGTCAATGTCCTGATTGGAGTATCGCAACGGGCAAAGGCGGGCTGTGACCCCCGCTGGAGATGAATGTAATTTATCCAGTAACAACTACGCTCTCTCCACCTGGCATCCTGAGAGCTCCCCGATCGATGAGGCGCTGACCTAATCCCGCCCGGCCAATCGCCGACCCTGGAAAAGAGCAAACCACGCAAACCACGCAAACCAAACAACCCGCGCAAACGCTGCAGCGGGATCATGTGCCTTGCGCTAGGTCGCAAGAGGCGTAGCTCGCGCAGTGGCCCAACCGAGCGCCGCCCGGCTTTTTCAGCAGTCTCACCACCACCACCACTACCAACCACCTCCCTCCCTCCCCCATCCCTATCCCTTCCACCCTCCTCGTAAAGCAAATGACTATGCTGCTAAACTGCAGTCCCGCGTGGTTCTTTGTATAACACCTTTTCTTATCATCTTTTAAGACAGAATAAGGAGAAGAAAAGGTCCACCAGGACTGGCAGGACGAGTGGGATTGACACCCTTTCCCCCCAGCCCCAGCTGCCTTACAAGAAGACCCAGAAGGAGTGAAAGAGAACCGAAGGCAGGAGAAGCGTGAGCAGGACAAGGATACAAATCCAGCTTAAGGATTGCTTGAAAGAAGAGAAGAGGCAGAAGAAGGTGTCTCAGCGAGACGGATTATCTTACGTCTATTATACGGAGTACGGAGTACTTGGCCGGTGTATTCGCAACAGAAGTTGGCCCAGCTTGTGCATCATCATCAAAGACCATCTTTTTGTCTGCTTAAGAAGGCGCGCAGAGGGTGCACACTGGACGCAGCGCAACGTGGACGTGGACGTGGACGTGACATAAGGCTCTCAGGCACCACAAGGCCGAAAACTCTGGTTTGCCGTTGCTGTTTCTCTCACCCTCAGGTGTGGCCCCCCTCTACGTCCGCCAAAAAGGGAGGGACTGTCCCGCCCACCTACCTACTATCTATTTGCCACCCGCGAAGTTCACCCTCAGGCTACCCGGATCTCCCTCCTATCTTTGTTACCCTATCGAAGGACGGAGTATCGGCGATCTCCCCCGGGCCAGCTGACAAACCCGGCCTGGACCAGTGATTCGCCCAGCCAGCTCCTGTGCCAATATCCGGCTCCATTGGGAAGGTTTTCTGCGCCGCCGTTACGTGCGAACGGCCAACCAATAAGCGCGTCCCTTGGGTGCCCTCCCCCCCACCCAGGATTTTCCGCCAACTCCGACCACCAGCAGAGTGGCGCCATTGGCTCGCCCAGACTACCCGACTGTTGCCCCGAACCTGCCCCCCGGCACGTGGATGCATGTGACTTATACTTAGGTACCTTTGACCGGCCTCGCGTTTAGTACCTTAACTCCACCCGCCGCGGCGCTACTTGCTGCGATCCCTCCCCCCAGAATATACACCCACTCCAGAAGCGGGGATGAATGGTAGCATGGAACAGTCGCCGTCGCAAAATATCCTGCGCGGGCTGCACCGTGGGCCAGTAGACCCCGGCTCGTTGCCGCCCGAGTACTGGAACAACTTCGAGCCTTTGTATACTACCCCCGACCCCCCACATCAACACCCGCATCCACCCCAGCAACCGCTCCAGCAGATCCAACAACCGCAGCAGCAACAGCAACAATCGCAGCCGCTGGGAATCAACTGGGACCATCCGGTTTTCAGTCAGAGCACACCATCCCGAAGTCCTCTACCTACGCCGCAGGAACCGACGCATGGCATCTACCCGCAGCCGACGCCTCAGTCTTGGCGGTCAAACTCTTTGCATCCCCAGCAGCTCATTCATCCAGCGCCAGCGCCGACACCACATAGTTTTATAAACCACCAGCAGTATCGCCAAGCTCCCCAATTCCCGCATGGGCAAGCTACGTTTGACACGCAGCCGCTTCCCGCATCCGACAACTCACACTATCAGTCCTACACGTTCCCGCGAGCATACTATCCTCCCCAGAACCTCTCCGTACCAGATGTCTTCTCTCAATCAAATTCTCCTCGGCCCGCTCAAGTGCAGCCTCGGCCACCGCAATACAGATCTGAGTCGCATCAGCATCAAATACCGCAATACTCGCTTCCCACGGGTTATTCGGAGGGGAACTCGGTACGACTTTTTACGCCCTTTCCTAAGTGTATACAGCTAACGAATACTAGCATGTTCCGATCAATTTCGCTGCTGGATATCCCCAGTCGACTCCAACCGTACCTGATCAGACCATCAACCCACAGTTTCTCAATTCTGCACAACAGGCGGCCAACCAGCAGGCTCCGCTTCATAACAGCCTCCTTTACCTAAACCCTGCGGACTATGAGCGTTCTGAGGAGCCGAAGTACGCAGCAACAAACAAGACCGCCAATCCTGCCTCTGATCCTGATCGCATGAGGTTTCTTGCTGGGGATAGACTGTACAACTTTTATCGAGATGATATGCAGGTCCCGCAGGTACTGGGCCATCCCCAGCCCGTTTCGAGTAACCAGCCGATTGCTCCAAATACGAAATATGAGTTTGTGGTACCTATGAACGGTATGATTCACTGCCACGTCTAACCAGGTACATTCATTGACGGGAGTAGGACACAACATCATGCCCGCTCCCGCAGCGGTGAAAGCGACGAAGCCGAAGAAACAGCCTAGCGTCAAGAAACAATCGCAGACTCAAGCAAAGAAGGCCACGATGAAAGGGGGTAGCAAAAAGCTGGACGGGAAGTCTGCTTCGTCGAGTTCTGAGTCGGACAGCTCTGACTCCGAACTCGAGATCCAGGCCCCTGAAGAACCATCCCCTCTACCACCCACTCGTCCTAATGAGCCGGAGGCTGCTGCGCAGTATGACGCTCTTAAAGCTGTGTGGTCCCCACGTAATAGGCGACCCAATGTTGACAAAGTCAAGGCTGCACTGGTTGCGTTCAAAGACGTCGTCAAAGCTGTAAGGGACTCCTGGAAGGAGAGCACCCAGGCCATGAAGGTCGCAGAAAATAAGGGTGAAAGTGAGAAAGCCGCGCAGCTCAAGAAGGATGCTGTGCTTCAACGCCGCCTTATGGATGTGGTCGTCAGCACCACTCTAGAGAAAGGCCACCCCGTCATTGTCGAGAAGTATGTCCTTTTTCTTTCCGTTTCCTTTCCACACTTGGCATGTCGTCTTCATGGCCATAGAAGTCAGAAACGAATTGAGAGCCTATCCCGCGTAATCTCCCTAGTGTGGGCGTTGGCATTAAGAGCGCTTATCTGTAAGGTGAATATCTGCTCTCCAAGCGGGTCCTTAATCATGAGACAATTGGGAATAATACCCTGGATCAGAGGCGCCGTTCTGGCGCCTAATGCCACTGCTAAAGGCTCCTTCCAATGCCAACGTCCGGGGTCTGGGTTTCGCCTGCTCTGCGATCTCTTGCATGAGATGATTTGCAAAGTTTTTCTTTCAAGTGTTGTTTGCTGGCCAAATTACTGACGCGCGTGTTTCCAGGCTGGGTGAACATCCAATGGCCGTAGCTGCCTTGTATTCGTTCCTGCTTGATCGGCACCAGGCTTCTGATATTGATGGGGCTTTGACAGTGAATATATTAAAGGTAATTTACCCCGCAGCCGCGCGGGCTCTCTGGAACCACCGCTGACATTTGCCCCGCAGCTACTCTCCCGCTTCGTGACAATGGATGAAGAAGTCCTTCAGAAGACAAATGTTAGCAAATTATTGCCTAGATTTGTGAAGAGGGGAGGTCAGATAGTCAAAGAGTTGGCACAGAAGATCTTAGACAATGCCATTGCATCTACAAAGCGAAAGCAAGAGACGGCGAAGTCAACAGCCAAAGAGGGATCGCCTGCTAAACCTCCAGTCGCCGAATTGGCCGTCACAGATGGACGCGCCGACCTGGCTGGGTCTAAGAGGCATCGGGAAGGCGAGGGGAATGGGCAGCCTGCTACGAAGCGAGTAGTTGTCTCGTCAAACCCCAAGACGGTCGCGAAACCCAACACTGTCGGAGCTCCTGGTGCTGCTGCCAAGCGACCGCAAGAGGTAGGACAGGAGAACAAAGTCTCTGCGGCCACTGCGGCCCGTCTCAAGGCCAATATCATTGCTCCTAAGCCTACCAATCTTTTTGGCAGTCTTAGCTCAGCCTCAAAGAGGCCCGGAACTTCGAACGCAGAGAGAGCTGCCGCTGCCGCCGCAGCAAAGACTCAGTGAGTAACTCGCATCTTCCAGTCCAGAACGGCTACTAACTAAAACAAATAGTCCCGCGGAGAAGAAGGAAGCTCAGCCCGCGCCTCCTAGACCTACTTTCTCCTTCGGGGATTTAATGGCAGATTTGAACAAGCAGAAGGATCCCGCCCCTGTGGAGCCTACTGAGGACAGACCCCCTGAAACCGAGGAAGAACGGAAGAAGAGGTTGCGGAAAGAGGCACGACGGAAGCTTCGCGTAACCTGGAAGCCTGATTCTAGTCTCACGGAAGTCCGTTTGTTTACGCACGATCCTGAGGAAGAACTTGGGCCAGGTGATCGTTCGTCGCGAGAGGCGGGAGATGTCAAGGGTGAAGGCAGTGTACTCAAGCTTCACAGAGATCTGGATGAGCTCGAGGAGGAGGACGACGGTGGTCTTCGCGAAGAGCAATTGCTCGAATATTACGAGCCGTCTGGTAAGTCAATAGCTTCGTCAGCTGTTGCAAACTCTACCCTCACACTAACTGGGTCAGAAACCGATAAGGAGAACATCAGTCCTGAGGATCGCGCCAGAAGCTATGTTAAGCGTGGCGGCAATCAAGAGCCGACCAGCGCCGAGAAGAAAGCTCAGGAGCATCGCGAAGCCACGACACTTATGGTTTTCTATACTTCACCTGCGGATGTGCCATCCACGCCGAAGGAACCTCCTCCGCCAGATACTGATGAAGCAGCGCCAGAAGTGGTATCATTCGGAGAATTGCCGGATCATGTGAAGGTATGTCCCTTCCCAATATTGTACACTCAAAGACGAAGTCCTGACAGCTTCTCCAGGCCCGACAAGACCGATACTTCGCCATGGTCAACCCACAGCCAACACCCGCGCCTCAGAGCGCACTTAATGGCCAGTTTGATATCACAAACCTACTCAAGGTCATCCAGACTGGGCCACAGCAATATTCGACGCCGCCGGTACCTCAGCCTCAACCTGCGCAAGCGCCCATGTCTGATCTTGAAAGGACGTTCAGCATGTTCCGCCAGCAGCAGCAACCCCAGGCACCGGTCCTACAGATGCCTCAATTGCCCCCTGCTTCTCAGGCACAGGCGGCACAAGGTGTTGATTTCCAGAGACTCTTGTCGATTATCAATACCCAACAGCAAATGCAGCCAGCAGCACCTGTCGTGCCTCAGGTGCAACCCTCGCAGCCTAGCATTGCCCCTAATTTGGCTGCCATCATATCCCAGATCACCAGCCAAACCCAGCAGCCGAGCGTTGCCAGCGCGCCCCAATCGGGCCACTATGAGGACCCCGAGCGCAAACGCATGCGCGAATCCGGCGGGCTTGACGGCCAAGACGACGACAGGTTCAATTCATCCAAACGGAACAGATCAAATGAGTCGAATAAGAAACATGTAAGCATCCCCTCCATCCTCTCTACCATCCCTCCTTCTAACAGTGCTTAAGCCCAAAGCTGGATTGGTTCCTTGTCGATATTGGCGCGAAGGCAAGTGCCGCAAGGGTGACGAGTGCACGTTTCGCCACGATTCTCTGAACTGACGTTCTTATTTCCTATTCTCCTGATACCCCCCTTGGTCTTCGTTCATTCCTAAATCTATGTAATTGTCTTGCCTGTCTCTCAGCATCTCTCCCTGCGGTTGTTGTGTATTTGGCCGCTGCATGTGTCGCATTGTCAAAATTACGGTGTGTCGGGTTTTTTCATTGACTTGGCAAGCTTCCCCTCGGACTGATTGATCATCAACGCATCCTGCATCTTATTTCGAAGCATACCTACCATCATACATGGAATGGAGTACGGGTGGAGTTATGTGAAGTTTGCAGATCTATTATTTTCCTTCTTTTTTTCTTCGTTGCGGCTATGGGTTTCTACAAGGGATGGTTCTATGCCGGGCGTTATTAGGTGTATGGCTCCTGCTCTTGTTCCGGACAGGTCAGCATGTACATTAGTCGCGTTAAGCTGTGGCAAGGGTCTCTCCGCCGACAAACAACCTCCGTGGTTGAATTCCATTTGTTTCTATTTTAGGTTCCTGGTAACTGGATTAGCGTTTCAGAATGCGATTGCTGTAAACAATTATTTTCGTGAATATCATCTGTAGTTAGTAGTCGGTAGACCGGCTTAGGTAATATACAACATCTAGTTGGTTATTCCACCAAACATGAACATACTAAATACAACCCCTCCCTATACAAGATCCCTAGGTACTTATATCACTCCAATCTCCCAGCACCTAGCACCTCGCACTCTCCGAGAGGGCAGCCTCCCCAAGCACCCCATCATCCTTCCGCAAAGATGCCCGGTCCCCCCACCCCACCCACCTCATCATCGTCTGCTGCCACGCCATATACACCGGCGGACCAACCCACGGCCTCTCCGAGGACGAATGGTAAACCCCCCCCCCCCCCCCATCCCCCAATTTGAAAGCAGCACCATGAATCTGCCTCTCCATCAATTTCCACTAACAGCATGCCATGATCTTTTGTTGTGGAAAGGATAATAGAACCCTTCCAAAGAGGCGAAACGCCCACCTTCACAGAACATGTCAAGGCGGGGTTACGGGCATTGGCCGAGGACGAGCATGCGGTGTTGGTTTTCTCGGGGTAAGTATACCCATTGCTTTTTTCTGGAATTCGAAAGTGGTATGTATATATACTATTGGGGATTGGTAATGGGTGTAACGAGATTGAAGATGGTATTGTTTGCTAATGTGGTGTGGGTGTAGCGGAGCGACAAAGAGACCGCGGACGCAGCTTGAGGAGGGGGTTTCTTACTTGGTGAGTGTCCTGTTGCTACGGTCTTTTGATCCTCTTTTCATAGTAGGATTGGGTTTGGGTGAATTGGGCTTGATCATTGAAAGTTTTGGCAATAATCAACCCATCCATCCCAGCAGTACTTTATATGTTTATATCTCGACCCGCTCGCTCGCTCGCTCCCCGAAACTACTAACAAACAACATACAATACAGAACCTCGCCAAAGAAAACAACTACTTCTCATTCTCCTCTCAGATTGACTCTGCGCGGATAATCGCAGAGACACACGCGACAGACTCCTATCAGAATGTCCTGTTCTCATTGCTTCGCTTTAGACTGCATGTGGGGTCCTATCCGCGCCGGGTTACCGTTGTGACGCACGAGTTCAAGAGACAACGGTTCATGGAGTGTCATTTCCCGGCTCTTGGGCTGGAGCAGCCCTTCTGTTTGTGTTGCTCCGGGGTCGAGGCGGGGGTTGTTGGGATTAATCCGCCGGAGGAGGTGACGCCTTTGGCTTCTGTGGTGGCGGGGGAGGAGAAGAGTGGGATCGGGCTGTGGAGGGGGATTTGTATGGGGTGCAGAGGGAATTGTCGGGGAAGAGGGTGAAGAGGGGCTGGGGGTGGGGATGGAGATGGGGTTGTTTGTGGGGTGGGTTTGGAATCGGTCGTTGAGAAGTTGGTGGTTTGGGATGGAGGAGATACGGGGAATGAGTGGTTTCCGAGGATGAATCAGTTGCCGTGGTGTGGTGGTGGTAGTAGTGGTCATCAGCAATGATGCATGCATGTTCATGTTCATTAAGTCATTGATAGCCATGCGATGAGAAGAAGCAGAAATATCAAAATACATAGTAGCGAAGTGAAGAAGAGATCCCCGAAATGCTCCGAAACTCAGATCCCATCCTCTTGTCCCTAACGCCTCCGTATGAACACCCGTGAATCAATGTATCTTCTAATCGGCGAGACGGTAGCTGACCAGGGTCTCGACGCGATGGTTGTTGGTGCTGAAGCTTCGGAGCTGCACCTTCTCCGCGTTCTTGATCTCCTTCGCGTCGCTGTCGCCCCATTCGACGGGCACCTCGGAGTCGGCGTCGGCGTACACGAGGACATTGAATGTGCAGTCGCCGCCAAGAACAGGCAGGAAGGTCACGGAGGCGGTGATCTGGCGGAAAATGGCCTGGATTTCGTCCTGGATCACCTTTTCGGTCTTCTCGATCGGTGCGGCGGCTTCCTTGTCACTGTAAAGGGAGTGTCTGGTTAGCGAGGGAATCCGGAAAGGACTGGCAGGAGAGTATACCCAGGGGCGTTTTCCTTGTCACCGGAAGACTGGGATGACTGGCTCTTGGTGTGTTTCCCGAAGATTTGGACCTGAAGGCTTGTCAGTTCGTGCATGTCCCCGAAACTAACGAATGCGTACGTCAAACTGCCATCTTTCCACATGCTCGCCAGTCTCCTTGTCGGTAATCACAACGACAAGCTTGGAGATCTTCCCACCCATCATCCATTTGTTCAACTGCGACATGATCTTCTTGATGTAGGCTTTGACCTGGTCGTCGGAGGTGACTGTTGTCGGTCAGTATTGTGGGGTGTTGGACAGACGAGAGGACGAACCAAGCATGTTGAGGCCATATTTCTTCACGCTATACCACAGGTTGTTAGATGACTTCGTAAAATTGCAGGTGCAAGATACTCACGTGGTGAAATCCTCGGGAGGATACACGCCTCTCTGGAAGCTATCGAAATCGGATCAGTGGTGTCCGTGCATAAAATGCCCGAGAACTTACAGGATGGAGTTGATGGAGTATTCGAACTAGGCATATTAGTCAACGCCGGTCCAGGCTCCGTCCAAAAGAAAACACTCACGAATTCCGCCACCATCTTCGACGATCCTGTCTGGGTATGAGCTTGAGTGGAGATCTGACTGGCTGCGGTCTCATACCTTTCAAGGACAGCTTGTGGACCTTGGATTTCTCCGTTGAAGCCGACATCTTGGATAGATTGACACGGGATCCGGGATTGTTGGCGAAAGGGGGTGGTGTCGTGTCGTGTCGTGGGGTTGAAGCGCGCAGGAAAGGTGTTGGTGAAGGGAGGAGGAGAGCTTTGTTTATTGGGATAGTCGCCGCGGCAATCACCGCCCGCCGCCGAGTCCGCAGCGTCTCCGCAGAGCCGCACTTTTCTCGCCCGCCTCATCGCCTCGCCCGGACTGCAAGCGCCTGTCAGTGTGTCTGCGCACTTCCCAGCCCCAGCAATTCCCTCCCATGCAATTGCAGACCTCCCGATGCGAGGATGCCTGCAGTTAGCCAGGTGGCTGAGCGCAGCGCCGAAATGCTCTGCTACAAGCCTCCTCAAGCCGCCCACCGGCCTTTCTAACCCAGCCCGGTTTTTCACCTCCTCCGCAGCCTACGCGGCATCGCGCCCCAAGTCGATTGCCCGCCAGCCGTCCTCCGAACTCGAAGACCGCATCGCAGCCATCCCGATCGACCGATACCGTAACTTCTGCATTGTCGCCCACGTTGACCATGGCAAAAGTACACTCTCCGACCGACTCCTCGAACTCACGGGCACGATTCAACCGGGAACCAACAAGCAGGTTCTGGACAAACTTGATGTCGAACGTGAACGGGGTATTACTGTGAAGGCACAAACATGTACCATGATCTACAACCATAAAGGCGAAGACTACCTGCTACATCTCGTTGATACCCCCGGACACGTGGACTTCCGCGCGGAGGTTTCGCGCAGTTATGCTAGTTGCGGAGGAGCGTTGCTCTTGGTTGATGCCAGCCAAGGCATTCAGGCCCAGACTGTTGCAAACTTCTACCTTGCATTCTCTCAGGGCTTGGAACTGATTCCTGTTATCAACAAGGTGGACTTGCCGTCCGCCGACCCGGATCGCGCTCTCAAGCAGCTGCGAGAATCGTTTGAACTCGATACGGATAACGCAGTGCTCGTGTCAGCAAAGACCGGTTTGAATGTGCAGGAATTACTTCCGAGTGTGGTTGAGAACATCCCAGCGTACGTGGAGTATCCCGAGCTGAACCCTGCCAAGCCTGAAAACTAACTCGCAAACAGACCTGTCGGTGACCTCAAAAAGCCTCTCCGAATGCTCCTCGTTGACTCGTGGTACGATACCTACAAGGGCGTCGTTTGCCTGGTTCGTGTTTTCGATGGCGAAATCAGACCAGGAGACCACGTTGTGTCATTCGCGACAGGAATCAAATACTACGTCGGAGAAGTCGGCATCATGTACCCCAATGAGATATCACAATCGGTCCTTCGTGCTGGTCAGGTCGGCTACATCTTCTTCAATCCGGGTATGAAGCGAAGCAAGGAAGCTAAGATCGGTGACACCTACACCACAGTTGGATCGGAGAAGCTTGTCGAGATGCTTCCGGGCTTTGAAGAGCCCAAGGCCATGGTTTTCGTCGCCGCTTATCCGGTTGACGCGGATCATTTCGAGCATCTGGAGGATAGTGTCAACCAACTCTGCCTCAACGACAGAAGTATCACTCTGCAGAAGGAGTCGTCCTATGCTCTTGGTGCGGGTTTCCGGCTCGGATTCTTGGGCACTCTACATTGTTCCGTCTTCGAGGATCGTCTGCGCCAGGAGCACGGTGCCAGTATCATCATCACTCCTCCCTCGGTTCCCATCAAGTTGATCTGGAAGGACGGCAGGGAGGAAATCATCACCAACCCCGCCAAGTTCCCCGAGGAAGATGACGTGCGCTCCAAGGTCGCCGAGATCCACGAACCCTACATCCTCGCGACTTTGACGCTCCCGGATGAGTACCTCGGAAAGGTCATTGAGCTGTGCGAGGCCAATCGCGGCGTCCAGCAGAGCATTGAGTATTTCACGTCGACCCAGGTCATTCTCAAGTACGAAATCCCCCTTGCGCAGCTGGTCGACGACTTCTTCGGCAAGCTGAAGGGTTCCACCAAAGGATATGCCACCTTGGATTATGAGGAGTCCGCTTGGCAGCGGAGTCATGTCGTCAAGCTCCAACTCCTGGTTAACAAGGCACCTGTGGATGCCGTCGCGCGACTCATTCACACTAGCCAGGTTGCGCGGCTGGGCAGACAATGGGTGACGAAGTTCAAGGAGCACGTTGACCGACAGCTCTTTGAGGTCGTGATCCAGGCGGTTGTCGGGCGCAAGGTTGTGGCAAGAGAGACAATCAAGCCGTACCGGAAGGACGTGTTGGCGAAGCTTCATGCCAGTGATGTCGGTCGACGTCGGAAGCTGTTGGACAAGCAGAAGGAGGGCCGGAAGAAGCTGCGGGCGGTCGGAAACGTGGTGATTGAGCATAAGGCGTTCCAGGCCTTCTTGGCTAAATAGACATGAGGGGGAGATGTATGTATTTGTACAGTATACCATCTATATTACCTATACCAGAGCTGTCATGTTGTATTATTATTATTTATTACCAATTAGAGATCATTGCTCCCTGCCAGAGTTAATAGATTCCTGATAGATTCCTGAAGGATATAGATTGACAGCCGTAATGCAGGCCGAATGCATAGGGCACTGCGGGCGTTCTGATTGGCGGAGGGGCGGAAGCTGGAGCTTACAATTCCACCCGCAGAAAAGTTCGTCGCCGACCCCGCCGCCGCGGTCGTCTGCAATTTCTCCCCTCCCGCCGTCGACTTCTCTTGCCGATCCTCCTTCACCTGTCTCTCAGACTGGCTGGCGCATCGCAACCCGGTTCAAGTGCTGGTGACCTGCTGTCCGTCGTCCGGTGACTCCAGCGCCGTCGCATCCTTCCCGTTGAGTCATTGTCGCCTTGCCATGATCAGCATTTGACGACGAGATGCAGCCTCCCGAAGGTGTGCAGGTCGACCTGGGCAAGGCCCAGGTCATCGACCGCGTTCCCAAAGTTATCAAGGAGTTGAAGTTTGGTGTTCTGTAAGGGAGACCTTGTTCCATCAGTTCTACCCCTCCTCGACCGGGTCCGGGCCGTCGTACTAACACTGCGGGATGTGGTTAGGTCCAACGATGACATTGTCAGCCAGGGTGTGGTGGAGGTGTCCGACCGGAAGTTCTTCGATCTCGACCATGACCGAGCCGTGGTAGCCAACGGCCCTCTCGATGCGCGCATGGGTATCTCGAACAAGACCGCATCATGTCAGACGTGTGGTGGCGCCCTCCAGGTGTGCAATGGTCACTTCGGTCACGTCCGGCTCGTCCTTCCGTCCTTCCACGTCGGTTATTTCAAGCGGGTTATTACGATTTTGCAGGAGGTTTGCAAGGAATGTTCGCACATCTTACTCCCCGAAGCGGAGCGCCGTTCCTACCTCCGTGAAATGCGTCGTCCGGGATTGGATAATTTGAGACGGTTGCAGATTGCGAAGCGCATCAACGAGCGTTGTCGTAAGACGCGCAATTGCGAAAAGTGTGGTGCGGTCAATGGTGTCGTCAAGAAGGCGGGAACCAGTGCGCTCAAGATTACCCACGACAAGTTCCGTGCGTTCAATGCGTCTACCTCGGTCAAGAAGGTTCCGCCGCCCAGCAAGATTGTCTTCGATCGGTCATTCGATGAGGCCAGGACGTCCAACGCGGAGGTGGAAAAGCACTACAAGAAGGCACAGGATGATATGAATGCTCTGCGCGTGTTGAACCTGTTCAAGAAGATTTCCGATACCGATTGCGAACTGCTGGGTCTGAATCCGAAGGAGGCGAGACCGGAGATGTTCCTCTGGCAGTTTATCCCTGCGCCCCCGGTGTGTATTCGTCCGTCCGTCGGTCAGGATGCGGCGTCGACTGAGGACGACTTGACTGCGAAGCTGGGTGATATTGTTCAGAGTAACCTGAACTTGAAGAACGCATTGCTCAAGGGAGCCCCGGTACAGACGATCATGGAATGCTGGGATTACATGCAGCTGCAGATTGCCGTCTACATCAACAGCGATGTGCCCGGTCTCAACAAGGCCGATCTTGGAAAGCCCATTCGCGGTTTCGTGCAGCGGCTGAAGGGAAAGCAGGGTCGATTCCGTGGTAACTTGTCCGGAAAGCGTGTGGATTTCTCCGGTCGTACTGTCATTTCGCCCGATCCTAACCTGCGGGTCGATGAAGTCGCCGTTCCGGAGCTGGTGGCTAAGAACATGACTTACCCCGAGGTTGTTACCCGGTACAACAAGGAAAAGCTCCAGGGGAGAGTCCGCAACGGTACGAAGAAGTGGCCCGGTGCGAATTATATCATGAAGAAGGGCCAAACTTTCAAACTCTTCCTCAAGTATGGTAATCTGAATATGATTGCCGATCAACTGCAGGAGGGAGATGTCATTGAGCGTCACATTGAGGACGGTGATATCGTTCTGTTCAACCGACAGCCCTCCCTGCACAAGCTCAGTATTCTCTCCCATTTTGCCAAAGTCCGTCCTCATCGGACTTTCCGACTGAACGAGTGTGTTTGCAACCCGTACAACGCAGATTTTGACGGTGATGAAATGAACCTGCACGTGCCTCAGACTGAGGAGGCGAGAGCGGAGGCGATGGAACTGATGGGTGTGAAGAACAACTTGGCGACGCCCAAGAACGGAGAACCGATCATTTCCGCTATCCAGGATTTCATCAGTGCGGCCTACGTGCTGAGTAGCAAGGATAACTTCTTCGACCGCCGTTCATTTACGCAGATATGTCTGTACATGCTCGGGCCGCAGACACGGTTCGACCTTCCTGCGCCCGCCATCCTTAAGCCTCAGATGTTGTGGACGGGAAAGCAGGTCTTCAACATTCTCATGCGTCCGAACACGGATGACCCCGTGCTTGTCAACCTGGACGCTGCGTGCAGAGAATTCAAGGCGCCAAAGGATGGCGCACCACGAGACTTGGATCCTAAGGATGCCTGGCTCGTCATCCGAAACTCCGAAGTCATGTGTGGTGTGATGGACAAATCCACCATTGGTTCCGGAAAGAAGGACAATGTGTTCTACATTATGCTGAGAGATTTCGGGCCCGTGGCGGCGGCTGAGGGTATGAACCGCCTGTCCCGACTTTCGGCGCGTTGGTTCACAAACATGGGTTTCTCTATCGGTATCACGGACGTTTATCCCAGTGAAAAGCTGCTGGAGTCGAAGAACGACCTGGTCGAGACGGCGTACGCGAAGTGTGACGAGGTCATTGCCCAGTACAAGGCCGGAACCCTGGAAAAGTATCCAGGCTGTGACGAGCTGCAGACAATGGAGAATCAGCTGTCTGGTATTCTCAGTAAGGTCCGTCAGCAGGCCGGAGACGAATGTATCGCTCAATTGAGCAAGTACAACTCGCCCCTGATCATGGCTACGTCCGGATCCAAGGGTTCGAGTATCAATGTCTCGCAGATGGTTGCCCTGGTCGGACAGCAGATTATCGGTGGCCAGCGTGTGCAGGACGGCTTCCAGGACCGTACCTTGCCCCATTTCCCGAAGAACGCCCGCCAGCCGCCTTCGAAGGGTTTCGTCCGCAACAGCTTCTTCTCCGGGTTGACGCCTACGGAATTCATCTTCCACGCCATGTCCGGTCGTGAAGGTCTGGTCGATACGGCCGTCAAGACTGCCGAGACGGGTTACATGTCTCGTCGGTTGATGAAGTCCCTGGAAGATCTGTCTACGCGGTACGATGACACCGTGCGCAACTCATCCTCGGCCATCGTTCAGTTCCAATACGGTGATGATAAGCTTGATCCCTTGGACATGGAGGGTAAGGCCAAGCCCGTCCACTTCGACCGGACTTTCATTCACGCCGAGTCCACAACTTATAAGAACGAGGAGCCGAGTTTGCTCCCGGCCGAGATCATGGATATCTGCGAGCAGATGCTCGGGAAGGAACGCGCAAAGCTGGTGCGGAAGGATTTGATGGGTAATGAGCTTGGCTACATGGACCGCAGTGATCACGGTATCGACCAGTACGAAAGTGCGCGCGATTTCCTCGATTCCATCCAGCAATACGTTTCTACCAAGGCAGACAAGCTGATCTCGCGTGGTGGTGACATCGATCCCAACGACGAGCGCAGTCGACAGGGTCTGAACCACACCGGCAAGCTGACGGATCGCACGCTCCGGGCTTTCATCTCGTCGTGTTTGATGAAGTACAAGAAGGCTCAGGTCGAGTCCGGTCACGCTGTGGGTGCGGTTGGTGCGCAGTCTATCGGTGAGCCCGGTACCCAGATGACGCTGAAGACTTTCCATTTTGCTGGTGTCGCCGGTATGAGTATTACTCAGGGTGTGCCCCGTATCAAGGAAATCATCAACGCCTCCAAGGAGATCAGTACGCCTGTTGTTGCGTGCGAGCTGGTCACGAAGGACAGCACCATCGCAGCGCGGATTGTCAAGGGACGAATTGAGAAGACCTACCTGCGGGACATCATCCACTACGTCCGGGAGACGTGGACGGGCAAGGAGGCGTACATCACGGTCAAGATCAACTGGAAGACGATCCAGGACTTGGCGCTCGAGCTGAAGATCGAGAACATCCTCTCCGCGATTAAGAGCCACAAGCGGTTCAAGGCCGACGATCTGAAGTTCCGGTGCTCGCGGTCCCACATCCACATCTACATGGACGTCGACCCGAGCAGCAAGGCCACGCTCTCCAAGACGGAAATCGCGTCGACCAGCGCGGATCCGTTCCTCCGGCTGAAGCATCTGAAGCGCATGCTGCCCGACATCCAGGTGCTCGGTCACCCGCTGGCATACCGTGCCATTATCCGCACGGACGAAACGTCGACGACGAACACACTGCTGGTGGAAGGCTACGGACTGCGGGCGTGCATGACCACGCTCGGAGTCGACGGTCTGCGCACATCGACCAACAACATCATGGAGATGCGCGACGTCCTCGGTATTGAAGCCGCGCGGTCCACCATCGTGCAGGAAATTAGCGAGGTGATGAAGGACATGGACATCGACCCGCGCCACATGCAGCTCCTGGCAGACGTCATGACCTACAAGGGCGAGGTGCTCGGTATCACGCGATTCGGTCTGGCGAAGATGCGTGATTCCGTCCTGCAGCTGGCATCGTTTGAGAAGACGGCGGACCATCTGTTCGACGCCGGTGGTGCCGGTCGCACGGATCTCATCGAGGGTGTGTCGGAGTGTATTATCATGGGCAAGACGGTGTCGCTGGGCACGGGAGCGATGGAGGTCGTGCGCAAGATGAACTTCTTCCAGGGCCAGATCGGGGCGCGCAAGACCACGTTCGAGGATACCTGGACGGAGGTGTACGAGGCGCCGCTGGAGAAGGGCAAGCGACGGAAGACGCGGTCATGATCCAGACTCCGTATCGAATCTTCATGCCGAAGGGTTGGTCATGTCTAAAAGTAGCATACCCGGCGTTTTGAGATGTACTTTATGGTTTTAGCGATACCGCGAGGTAGACGACAGTCTTGTACATGCCATCAATATTAAAATATTCATCAATATTAAAATATTCAATTGTTGTATAACCTTTTAAATCAGTGTCACTTTTGAAGTATCATCTCGAGTTCCAGGAGGTCTTTGGTTGGTAGACATTATCTAGACCTGTACCTACCCAATCCGGCCTGCTTAATAACCGGCGATAACCCAACCCACCCCCACCAGGAACTTTTCCATCGATAACCACCACCATCATCCATCCACTTCAATCACCACCCTCAATTCCTCTCTCACCACCACCACCAACAAACCAAACCCACCGACCTCCTCACCCCAAACCACACCACCACCACCAGCAAACCCCCAAATGACCACCCCAGAAATAACAATATACACCCCACCCCCCTCCCCCCACCTTTCCACCACACAGCCACGACCCCCTCACCCACCATCCCAATGGAGCTAATCACCCAAGGCGCGGAAGCCCACCTATACAAAACCACCTACCTGACGCCCTCCACGCCCGCGGCGCTGAAAATCCGCCCCTCGAAACCTTACCGCCACCCCATCCTCGATCGCAGACTGACCCGCCAGCGCGTCCTCCAGGAAGCCCGCTGTTTGGTGCGTCTTGTCCGGGAGGGGGTGAATGTTCCGGCTGTTTTGGCGGTGGATTGGGAATTACGGGATAATTCTTCTTCGGGGGGTGAGGCGAATGGAAATGGGAATGGGTATGCGGCAGGCGCGGGCAACGGCGCGTGGATCCTCATGGAATGGATCGATGGGGTTATGCTGAAGGAGGTGTTTCGTGCGTGGGAGGGGTATGTGAAATCTCGGACGGGGCTTTCTGATGCGGAGAGGGAGGGAGAGGAGGGGAAGGTGAAGTGTTTACTGAGGCGGATTGGAGTCGCGGTTGGGTTGTTGCATAAGGCTGGGGTGGTGCATGGGGATTTGACCACGAGTAATCTGATTTTGAAGTCTCAGGCCGCGCAGACGAATGGTGTGGATGGGGATGGGGATGGCAAGGGAGAGGTGGGGACGGTCTCCCCCCACATGGAGGGCGAGATCGTGCTCATTGATTTCGGGCTCGCCAGCCAGAGTATCCAGGATGAGGACCGGGCGGTCGATCTGTATGTCCTGGAGAGGGCGTTTGGGAGTACGCATCCCCGCACGGAGAGGTTCTTTGGCGAGGTCTTGGAGGGGTATCGGGGCAGTTATCGCGGGGCGGGGTCGGTGATGAAGAGGTTGGAGGATGTGAGGATGAGGGGGAGGAAGAGGAGTATGATTGGTTGAGTTTATGATTTGATTGGATGATTTGGTGGTTTGATGGGTGGGTTCAGTTGGTCTGGATATATGATTATTGATCTGATCTGGTGATGGTGATGTTTGGTAGTATGAAGATACTTAGATCTGGTAGACAGTGGATGGACAGTGGATGTATCATGTATTCGTAATAGACATCAGATATAGAAATGAAACGAACTAACGCCGCGCCGTGCAACCACCATGCAGTATACTTATATTCCAAGACAGCCAGACAGCTGACAGGCTACGACCTCTCCTGCACACAACTCCCCACATCCGCAAGGGCAAAATACCCCTTATTCTCGACGACGCCCCGATCCTTCACCACAGCGGTATACTTAACCACCCACTGGGGCTCGACATGCCCCTGCACCCCATCCGTCGCATCGGGCGCGGACGCCAAAATGCCCGCTCCGCGCTCCCCGGGCCCCAACAACTCCCTCGTCGTCCCGACCGGCAGAATATCCATACAATCATTATGCGTCAACAGCTGGATCTTCTCCTGCCGGGCATACAGGATCAACGACTTCGGCACCACGCAGCAATCCTTCAGATTGATCTGATTCACTGACGGCTTGACGCTGGTATGCGGCAGGAAGCGTGCGAGTCGCTCGCTCCCGAACTCTGCGACGCCGAGTTGCGAGATCATGCCTTTCGCGTGTAGTTCTTCCAGCGTGCGCCATGTCTGGATCATGTTGTCGAAGTCGTCCGGCTCTTCGCTCCCGGTGTCCGAGAGTGTCTCTTCCTCGCTGTCGTCGTCTGCGTCGAAGAGGATCCCCGGGAACGAGACGATCAGGAGGTCGATTGAGTCGACGTGCAGTTCTTTGAGGACGAGATCGATGGCTTCCCGGGTGTGTGCGCATCGGCGCGACGCAGGGATCCCGGGCAGGTAGAAGAGTTTCACGGTGATGTCGTATTGGGGGCGTTCTTCGGACAGGCCGTGCGCGAAAGAGGCTGTCGGGATGTATAGGGTGTCGTTGTCTTGTTTTGTCCAGGTTGGGAGGGAGGAGGGGGTGGTGGTTGTGGTGGCGGTGGTGGAGGATTGTTGCGCGGCGAGGAAGTTGTCGCGCAGCGAGTTGATCAGCTCGACGTTGGACTTTTCGGTCAGATGTCGGATCACTGTCTCGCCGCTTATCATGATGTTGCTGGGGCGGTTAGCGGGGTGTTGAGGGGGTTATGAGGTGGGACATACGAGGTGGAGAGGATGAGCTTCATGGTGGCTGTCTCGGGGGGGGGGGGGTTAATGGGGAGACAGAGTGGTGGTGGAGGGGTTGAAGGAGGGAGGGAGGAATTGGGTGGAATTGAGGAAGAAGTTTGGCGGGGGAAAGAAAGATAACGGACTGAATTGCATTGCTAAGCAGCCCCGCGGGGTGCGGAAGCCCTTGGCCGCAAACATCCACTTTTCTGGTCTCGAATAGAATAGAATTGGCTGACAGTATCTACAACCATGCTCATATTTCCACCTCCCCTGTCTATATAGTAATCATTCGTTTACCTCTCAATCAAAGTCCAACGTCGGATCCCAGTCCGTCGGCGAATACTCGCCCGTCTGCAGCGCCTTCATATCATCCTCATCCAGCTCGAAATCAAACACCTCCGCATTCTCCTGGATGCGACTGGGGGTCACCGATTTCGGCAGCGGAACAAATCCCTATAAAGACGTCAATTACACTCTCTCATGCCCTAACACAGACAGCAAGCCAATGAGGCAAACCCACCTTCTGCAGCCCCCACCGAATCATGATCTGCGCCGGCGACTTCCCATACTTGGCCCCGAGATCCTTCAACACCCTCTCGCCCATGCGCGTCCCATGCGCCAAGGGCGAATACGCCTGCACCACGACATTGCGCTTCTGCAGCCACTCGACGATATCCGAGTGATCCAGCCACGGGTGCAGCTCATACTGCCCGACGTCGATCTTCCCGCCGCCTCCGCTCTGAATGTACGCCTCCAGTTCATCCAGGTGGTGGATCCCGTAGTTCGACACCCCGATCGACCGCGTTTTGCCGGCTTTCTGTGCCTCCACGAGCGCTTTCCATGACCCGAGACGGGCTTCTTTTCCGCCGTAGGGTGCGTGTAGTAGGATTCTAGAAATCCGCCGGTGTTAGTTGTCGGGTTGATAGCTGGCTTGGAGGGAAAGTGTTGGTGTTCTCACAGATCGAAATACTCCTGCTGCGCCTCGCGCAGACTCGACTCGATCGCCCGTTTCGTGCGATCGTATCCCATCGATTCAGGGGGGATCTTGGTCGTGAAGAAGATCTCCGATCGGGGAAGCCCGGAGTTGGTCAGGGCGCGCCCGCACGGCTTTTCATTGCGGTACATTATGGCGGAGTCGACCTGTTTCGGTCAACCGGTTGGAAGGTTGTTTCTTAAGGGCACATGGGGAGGAGCGTACATGGCGATAGCCGATTCGGAGGGCTTCGAGGGTGGCTTTTTCGGTTTGGGAGGCAGGACTGGGGGGGATCAGATTGGGCCTTGGGGGAACGGGGAGGGGGAGGGGGAGGGGGTTGGTGTACATGAGGTAGACCTGTTGATGGTTAGTTCATAGATGGGTGGGTGGGGGTTGTTTGGGAAGGAAACTCACCCCGTATCCGAGGATTGGGATGTGGTGGCCGGAGTTGAGCCGGTAGGTGGATTGGAGGTTCTTGAGGGCGGACATGGTGAGATTCTGCGTGCGAGGAGGTGATGAGAGGGTGGTTGAAGAGGGGAAGTTGTGGTGCTATTATGTACTTGAGAGGAGCAGCGATGAGATCATCGCAGTGGGTCGGGCTTATCATCCACTTGTCCACGATACACTTTATGCTTCTTTGCGCCAAGACAGGCCTTATTGTTCCATCACAGGGGCGGAAGTATATGGCTCAATTGATTCTCGATCGATTTCATGTTTGATTAATCATTATACACAGACTTGATGGCAATCCTTTGCAATATCCAGCACGAGGTATCAACCCTGGTAATCTAGGTAACGGCTAGTAAGATGAGGCAATAAAGGTCTGATTCTATGATACTGCTGCGCGAGCAATTCTCATGGTTGGAACTTCACTACAATGAGAAATCCATAGGGGTTTCTTGACTAGTAACTACATGCTGCTAATTGACACACTTGCGTTTGGTCCTTAGCTCATCCCTGCTTGTATACATTCTCTTCAAAAGACCCTTTCTACTTGAGGTCGATTTCGGAAGTAGCATTTGATGGTTCAAGTGACACCGGTGGAAATCAATAATCAATACTTGTTGTAGTTCATCATTCCATAGAATATTCTCTGGGCGAAGGTCGTCATGCACGACACCCAATGATAGAATACTTCTTTCCGACCGTAAGATATGCCGCTGCATGTTGGTATCGATTTCCTTATGACGGAGACTCTTGCCCCCCCAACTCATTAGTAGCATGTGGCGAATCTCACCTGCGCCGTGGAGAAAGTAAATATTAGCCAAATTTATGAGTCCCAGGAAAACCGGCACTGCAGAGCCTTGGATACTCTGTAAAATACGATAGATATCTGCTTCCTGCGATACCTCATGCCATAGCCGTGAAGTTGTGCCCTTCCCCACCACTGTGTAGCCGTATGCGGCACATGTGACTTTGAATGGTGCGCCATATGATCCACATTGACCAAGTGGAGTACAGTACTCATCCAGGTTCTTATCCAACTGTTGCTTGATCAAGGTGACCAATTCGGCGGCTCGGATTGGGTGACGGTCAGTCTTCAGGGCAACTCGATGAAGCTTCACATTCGGGCATTGTGGATCCAAGATATCATCGCGCTGCAAGCCCAACAGACATTTTTGCGTGCAGAACTCATGAGAGTGTGAGCGAGATTGACCGGCATAGCGTTGAGGGGGATTCTTTGGGGTGGTCGGCATGGAGCGCGGTGCGGGCGGCGAGGACGCGATCTCACTAAAGCCGCGCTTTCGTTGCGCAGCAGGTGTCGAATCATCATCAGGCTCTGAAGAATCCTCTCGACGGCTGACACCGGCAGGCGCACGGCAAGTAGAACGAGTGGACGGGCGGCGACCGAGGGAGGCAGGCGATTTGAAAGGAGATGATGGCTGATACTCAGATGATGTTATCTCCGAGCTAGTACACTCCGGGCTGGTGTAATCAGATTCTGGGGGCTTCTGCTGCAACTCGCCCGATGGAATCTGGGATCGTGCATAGCTGAAACTGGTTTCCCAGGTTGGAAGCTGTGATCGAGCAGCGTTCCGCCAGGATTGATCTCGATAGACCGACTGGAAGCTCATTAGACATAGACAAAGTACTCTCTCGATTGCTGTTCGAGGGCCCTCAATGCCACTCTCGACATCGAAATTCGGCTCGCATAAATAATAGTACAAAATCGAGCAGTCGTCGGGCACCCGTAGAAGCACAATCCCAAGCCCAGTAGTCAAGTATGAGTACTCCAGACCTTCCTGAATCATCACATGATATTCCTGAACGATTGCAGAGCCGGCAAGGCGAGCGGCGTTGTATCTTAGTTTCTCCGGCCCGTCGGTAGGAACTGTTTCTGATTCAACAATCTCATGATAAAAGTTCATCGGTCGGAGTCCCGCCCTAAGATTCTCGTTAGACAGTTTATGCGGCGGTTTGTACTCGACTGTAGTTAACAAGGCCCTGGTATCTCCATCAACGCGGTGAATACAGAATTGATCAGGGCGCGCAGGTTGCTCCTTCGAATTTGCTTCGTCTGGCGGATCTTCGTCAAGAGCATTGGCGTGGTTGTCGAACCACACCCCATCCTCTAGGCCGAATTCCTCTCGAGCACTCGGTATCTTGCACAGCGCTGAGATGATATCAAACACATGATTTTCCACAGCGAAACGCTCATAAATCTCCAGGTCCTTTTCGCTCGTGATAGGTCGGGCGGCAAAACGCTGCCCGTACTCTTCTAGTACAATGCAGGGGCTGAATAATCGCGGTGCTTCTCTGCCGAAAGGATGGAGATATTGATGAACTGAGTTGTAAACCCGCTGTTGCTCAAAGACACAATCTGTCCAGGGTTCCAGTCGTACAGGGCAGTACTTGCCGGTAGGGGACGGAATCTTGCCGGTGGTAGACTGAGCGGGATTTCCGGCTTTCAGAGGCTTCGAAAGAAGGTTATGACAGTGTTGAATGAATTCTTCGAAGGTAGTCGGACGATTTCGTGTTTCTGCCTGCTCTCTCAGTATCTTCTCCTGCCTTCTTTCCTCCTCAGCTTTCTTTCTTTCTTCGTCAGCTTTCTTTCTTTCTTCGTCAGCTTTTCTTAATTTCTCTTCGGCTTCCAACAGCAGAGCCTTGTAGTCGACTAAATTCGACATGATTAAAGTGGGCGTGTGTTTAAGACAGGTATCTGATTTTCTAATGAGTATTGCAAGGTCAAGAATTGGCGACAGTTACCAATCCACCCCTTCATCGACGGGACGACAAATCGGATGAACTGTTTATCCGACAGTAGCACCTGATTTCATATTGGTTGGAACAACCCGATTGGCCCTATCCCTCGGCCATTCCTGTATGACATCATGTATGCCTCATTGCTGCCTGATTCTGCGTCTATATATGTAGCCCACCTGCTTGCGCAGCAGTATTGTATAGTAATCAGACCTTTATTGCCTCACCTTCCCAGCTGCTACCTAGGCTACCAGGGTCAATATTCCACGAGTACTCTAACCGGGAAGACATCTATTTCTACGTGATGCTAGCATCTAGAAACCTTACAGAGAGTTGCGAGCAGAAGCTAATACCTGCCCGAAAGAAGCAAGAGAAGGAGCTGGATTGCAAGAAAGAGCGCTCAGATTGCTACAAGTCCGACCTCTACACCACTGGAGGATGACAATACACCCACACATGGTCTTAATAAAAACATCAGTTCTTAACAGCAATGAACTGCCAGTGTGGTCGTGGTCTTCAGCTACCGAAACCCGACTGCTAGATCTATCTGTTTCTGCCGACTTCTCCTAGATACTCCCTCAACCCTTGAAAATATGTAACTTTTTGTGGATTTCAGTCTTGTAGACTTAAATAGATCTGACCCAATAGGATCTCATTCTTGTAGCCTTTTTTAGAATCTGTGCCAAGCTCGGCCACGGGAAGATTGCAGTCGCGCGGCTGACAATATTCATTCTTTAGTCCTTTGTTAATATAGGTACTGTAAGTTAAATTTAACCGCGTGGTCGACCAGATCATGTGAGCGAAACGCCCAAGCAATTCTATTTTTATATATTGAGTTTGGCAATATACACAGTATCATATAGGAACTAAGTTCAGCCGTACCGTGGATTGTGTGCCCCATGTACTATTCATGCAATCAAGCGGTTAGTCAGTTTTATCATGATTTCTTTAAATAAGAATAGTGGCCTATCTCGTGGCTAGCTTGCCACACAGCAAGAATTACCTTATGAGTAATAGAAGCACACGGTCTGACTGTTAGCTATGCCGTTCAAGAAGCAAGGAGTACTATATGATAGGCCTGGTCGTACATGAATCCTATATTATGAAATATACTGTGACAAGACTGGCCTCAAAAGAATGCCAACCATAGATGCCTTATACCAATTGACAGACTTCTATTCAACCCCAATTTCTATTGGGTTCCTGGCAAGTACCTGCCTAGGGTACGTTATACCCATTTCGGCCCCAAACATCATTTTAACTCCATTGAGCAGGCAGCCATGCCACAGACCAAGTCATTGCCACCGACTATGTATTAGCTTATAGCAGGACTTACATAGGATCGACAAGTTCGTGATGTGACTATCCATGTTCACCCCTTTGGACACAGTCTTCATCTAAACATGTAGTTTTTTCGAGCATCTTTTTTTCCAGTGGGATAGCCACAGAACCCGGTCAATTCTAGTACTCCGTGCGTAACTGCGCTGTTCGGGGTATAGCAGCCCAGACTTGGCGAATTCTCTGTGCTTCGTAACGGAACATCATATACGCATGCTATACAGTAATCACAATCATACTCCGCGTTATGATCTTCTCTCTCGATAGCATAGCAGCCATGGAGAAGGGCCAATTCTCGGTCGTTTTCGCTGACGGGTGCATCGCAGAAAGTGCGTGCTGGCTGATTCCAAGCATTACAGTAACACTGAATCTGCAGATATCATTCTTATCTAGTTGTTGAAGTGTGTATACTGGGTCTAGTTTGATCTTTCAGACACACATCTCCTGTATGCTGTTAAACCAGTCACGCAAGTCCTGAGCCGGGGTCGTGACTTTCACACAGTGTGGCGTGTTATCGAATCTTTTCAATGTCGAGTTCACCGTCCGAATCAGCGACCAGCAGTATCCTTCTAGCAAATATTCCCGATCATCCAAAGTTTCAGCGTTATGAACTGCATGGCGGAACTATAGCCCACAATCCAATACTCTCAAAAACTTTCCACCATGCGCCGCTATTCTCTCACTAACCTTGTATAAAACACGAAGAGAACCCGACGCGGTTTTCATTCGCTTTCTCAATTGGCAGTAATGGCTCTCGGGAGTAAAGATCTTTCAACTTCACCCACTTCCAGGCAGGTTATACCACGGAGGAGACTCCGGTAATAATTAGAGTCCCCGAGCCACCGCCACAAGGGCTCCATTGTGCGAGGTTGCCATTTTGTGCTGGAGTTTCTCAAGAGGTGTCGGGAGGTACAGTTCGACGGAGTCCATTTTCTGAACAATGTTTGATAGGCCCGGCCCGGCCCCACCCGGTGACTGAGACTTTCGAAGAACCGGGAATACTTACAGTACGGTTTTGATCTTGGAGGACAGCTGCACCGCGGGAGGATAACAGTTCCCGGAGCGGGATAGTATGGATATAAGGGTTCGTGAGTTGTTTCTGTAAGATGCATCGTTCCAATGATGAAATGTGTATAGCGCCTTTGCTATTCGATGATCGGATCCGACAATAAGTTCTCTTGAAGCGTATTCCAGTTTATAGTTCCGTCTCTGTATAGACTATCTATCTATCCACCATGCCGGTGGAGGATTATACCTCGGAGTATATATTCACTGCGTATATTTCTTCGACAACCAGCATCCAAGGAAGATATATCATAATCGATACATAATAACAAAGAATAAATATCATCTCCGCAGACTTGACTCGGATTCAGGATGATGTAGGATGAAGAAAGAAGAGGGATCAGGAAGGGAGAAGGATCGGAATATATAGACAGCAAATATTCACATCTGCTGGCGATGATTGATTCATTCATTCCCTTGTTTTGCGAAACTGTGTGACTGACTGACTGCAGTTAGAGAGGGGAGGAAGTCGGTGGATGGTGGGGGGGTGGGTATGCTTCACTGTCCTGATTCTGCTTGCTAGAGATAGAGATTAACTATTGAATATGATATGATGACATATCACTGCCGCAAATGATAACCCCGCTAGAGTCTCCCCCAGGTGGCATACTTGGCTAACAAAACAAGATAGCTAGAAAAGTACTAGAAGTAGGGTCGGGATAAGTCCACACCCCTAGGTATGTTACCCCTACACCCCTCCCTACATTCCACTAACACCGGTCCCAAAGTGGGAAGGCGCACTCACGCGATGTGGAGCTACGCTACTAGTGCTAATCCAGCTGTGTCTGCCTGCCTGCCAGCATAAGTCCAATCCGCCTGCGCATAGTACTACTACTACTACTATGTACGGAGTACTTAGTTAACTAGTAGCTAATGCAGCCTGATACATGCGCATTAGTAGCTAGCTACAGTAGTGCCAGGTGCCTGCGTGGAGCAATATCGAGCCTGCGCAGCCTTTAGGTTCCAATAATCCCCGATCAAGGAAGGGGTGTCTGAAACATGGTTATTTGCCACGCAACTGTAGTTAGACTTTCCAGCGCTAAACTGTGCTTGGGAAATAGAACGTCGCGGTAGTCAAAGGCTATCTTCTCTCCCTGTTCCGTATAAAGGCCGGAAAAGTAGATGGAAGATTTGTTTGCATTTCTTGATGGGATGGCCCACGAACAAGAGGAACGGATTTACAGAGTAAGTAGGGGGCTTTTCGCTTACATGCGGGAGAAAAGTAACGACTCTGGCAGACTTCATTGTCTGGATGAATTCATATTTACAAAGTAACTCAATAATCTATACAAAAAACCATACTGGTAAGGTAGGTAGGTATGCTCTCAATTCAGCCACCTCAATGGCAGTGTCAAGATCTAGCAGACCTGATTCAGATCCAAGAAGCATAAATCATAGAACAACGAAGCAGGAAACGCCAGGGCTTCTGTCAGGCCAAATGGCCACTTCGGATCCCTTTACGCCAATTGTCGCCAGCCAAACGAGGAGTGTTGAAGGCCTAGAAATGGCTTTCGGAAATGAGAAATCAGAAGCATGCGATCATTTCACCTCGTTCGCATCGGAGAACGGGCTCTCGACTCGTGGTGGGAGGTGTCGGCTGCTTCGGTTAGACCGGGTGCCTTCGGGCGTCTCGAGAAGAGACGACGCGCGCTTGGTCTCGGGGGTAGGTTGGTCTTGGAAAGGACTTTGGTCGACGGCAGGCGAGTCTTCAATCACGGTAGCGGGTCGGGATTGCGCCTCATCCTTGGCCGTTGCTGTCTGGCTGGCCTGAGCGGGCTCGGCCTTGGGTGCAGCGTCTTCTTCATCGGACGAAGTGGCGTCAAATCCGGAAGCAGATGGGTCGGTTTCTTGTTTTTGGCTGCCGGATCGTGAAACGACGGCACTCGTAGTCTCTGGTTGCTCCTGGATAGTCTGGACGGCGGGAGAAGCGGTTGCGTTGGCGGTGTTCTTCTTTTTGGACGGTCCTCTCACCATCACGGGCTTCGCAGTCACGGTCCGAGCAACAATGGAACTGTTGCTGTTGGCGGTGGTAACGCCCGCCTTGTTGAGCTGCGCCTGTGTGATGGCGGGAACGGCGGGGGCATTCTCCGCCCCGTTGATGTTGACCATTGCCGCCTTCGTGCGCATCACCTGTTGAGCTGGCATCGGGCTGACGATGGCATTGTTTCGGTAGATGGTGGTCGCCACACTGCTGCGCAGGCTAGGCGCGACACTGCCACGGTCGTTGGACGCATCCGACCACGTTGAGTCGCGCAGGTCGCCGGGCATGAAGAAATGCTGGTCGGGGTGCGCACCGGGCAGCGGAGGCACGGGCGGCACGAGGTGGCCTGGTGTTTCCGGAGGCGAGCGGTTGGTAACGCCAGGGATATAGGCGATCTGGATCACATTCGAGGCGCGCGTCAGGACGGTGGAAGCGATAGAGTGGGTGGACTTTCTCGACTGCTGGCCACTGTTCACTGTGCTGGCTTTCTCCCCCTCACTGGCGCTGGCGCTGGCGCTGGCTGCCTGCTGCTGTTCCTGGCGCTTCTTGCGGATAAAGAACCACCACACCAGGAATGTCGCAATGGCAACGAACGCAACACCACCAACGACGCCTCCCGCAATCGCACCCGTGTTCGTGCCTCCGCCCGAGTTGCCATTCGAGCCCGAGTCTTCACCTGATGTGGGGGACTTGACACATTGCGTGGTCGCGCACGAGGTACACGATTGACTGGTCATGGTACATGTGTAGCCGGTGTCGCAAGTCGGGCAGGCGGGTGCCGAGGAGGAGCATGACACACAGCTTCTGAAGGACAGAAGATCGCGGGCGTACAGCACTAACAGATCATGTCAGCAAATGGCGCCGCGCAGCCAACAAATAGACACCTACCGCTAGGAGCGTCGGGGTCGGAGGGATAGAAAGACATGATGGAGGTGTAGGGAAGTGGTGGAGTAAAAGAAAAACGAAGGAGGTATAAAAGTCGGGTCGTAAAGCTGCTTCTTCAAAGGACGAAAAGAGTGGCCGGCCGATCAACGGCAAAAGAACGTGTAAAACGTGTACAACGTGTAGAACGTAGAGCGAAAAGGTAAAGAGTGTAGGATGCTCAGACGTCAAGTCGTGAGAGTGGTTGCTAGATCATAAAAGGAGGGCCGACGGTTTTAGGCAAGCGAACGGATGTCGGTGGTCAGGAAGTCGGTCGGAGGACGGTAGGCAACAACGGTCATAGTCTGCGATCTGGAGTGGATCTCCCAAGGTGAGGCGGTAGATGATTCTCCCAGTCGGAGGTTTTGTTGGGTCACTGCGATGGATGATTCAAACCCGCTGCATTGATCGTAGGCAGGTGATAGGTGGTTGCTCTGAGTCGATGTCGGAGAAGCACGCGTTGGTGGCTGCCAGGAACAGGACCACCGCAGTGACGGGCGACAGACTGTCAGGGGAGCGGAGCGACGAGCGCGACCGGGTGGAGAGACTGAAGAGAGGGCGAGAAGACGAAAATGGGGGGGGGTGTTGAAGGTGAATATGGAGGGGGAGGAAGAAGTAAAGGGTCGAAAAGAGGGGGAAATCAAGCGAGAGAGAGCAGAAGAAAGAAACGAGGGACGACGAGGGCGATAATAATAGGAATCAGCGCAGGCCAAAGGAACAAGCAGCAGGTCAGTCAGACGAACGGGGGGGAATGAAGCGGTGGTTAGTGTGTTGGTGTGGGTAGTGGTCGGGACCGTGGTTGGTGTGGGTGGCCGGCGGGAGAAGCGGAGGCCTAGCGCCGCTTAGTACTACTCAGGCCTACGCCCACCCGCCTCACCCCTACTGCCACGCCCCTCGCAGGGGGGCCAGAGACCGACTCTCCTCCTGCCCAATCTTGTGTCTCTCAAAGATGAGCACGGAGTAGGAGTAGTTCGTCGCAGAGCATCGACTGCTGAGGATGTCAAACAACCGTCTCGCCTCCAGCCAGATGATCGCATCGACAACAAAGAGCCACTGCGGTTGTGCGACGGACGAACCATCCAATCCGGCAGTACGTAGCCCGTCGTCATTAATCGCATTATGATTAGGCGGCACCATATGGATGGATGGGCGGAATAGTGCCGGAATATTGACCAGCTATGGCGAATGCTACTCCGTACACACCTTCCGATTAGATACTACTCCTCGCATGTCTAGACAGTGCTACACAGTGGCTCAGGAGGGTTACAAGCCTATCGATCAAACCTCATACAAACGGTTGCCTGTCTGCAAGCCTCTTGCTTTCTTCAACGGTTGCAATGGATGTATCAACCCCCCCTGGCATAGATGGGGGACGGGGCACAAATCACAGTACAATGGATGGATGGCTCCCACGCCCCATGATTCCTTACTCCTCGTGTCTCAGGTGCAACTAACCGACCAACCACCGGGCGGGTGTGTGCCAGGCACGGCCGGCCGTGCCTGGACGAGCTGGTCTCGACCCTCGCGCGCCCACGTTGGTTTTCTGAGCCCGGAAATTAACACGGCTCACTCGCGCCAATCAGGCCGCCGCTGAGCACCCACTCGCAGCCTCAGGCACGGCGGCCCAGAGGATCCATTTGATTAACTCATTAATCGAGATTGCCCGCAATTTCTTGTCGAGACTGCGCCCGGCATTGGAATTAGGCCGTCTGCCCTGCCTGGCAGACGGCAGACGGCAGACGGCAGAGAGGCGGCGGTTGGGGAGATACCGAGCGAGCAGTGTGTAGGACGGAGTCTGGTTACCAGGAGACTCACTGGATGGTTTTCTCAGACTCAGCAGAGCGAAAGGAATACATGTTCGACTAGCCTAATCAGAATGGCTGGCCGCTAATGGCTGGTTGTGGCTCAAGCCACGCGTCACCCGGCCTCGATCCCAACAGCCCTCACGGTGCAACTGTGCGATCCCATGGAGTTATGAACCCATCTCTGCAGCATTTACGATGTTTCTGTACACCACAAGATATAGGTACAGGAGCAACCGACCTGATCAAGACTGGACAAGCAGGACATTGCTGTTCTGCAGACTTTCTTGCCAAGTTGGCACAACCGTTCCCGAACGGTACAGTCAGACATCAACCCATGGGTCCCATAATCCCCATCAATAATGACAGACCGTCAATAGTGACGGGCGATTAATCAATATTAATATCGAGTCTTCACTAGATCTGTGCTTTCCCCATAAGGTTGTCGAACCGAACCATATGCATTATTGATTTGACAGGATGACACCTCAATAGTTGCGGATCTTCTTCCCTTTATTCTCTTGGCGGCAACCGTCCATGCGCGACATATCTGTATTCAATTGACGGCGGGGCGTGTCTCAGGGATGGAGTGCCTGATATTGTTCTCTGAGAATGTCGCTGCGTATCTGCTATCCCGACCACGACCACAACCTCGTGGGGCTGGATACTATCTATCCCCTGAGACTCTGTCCATCCACTCCCACTATGTACATACTACGTACGGGTCGGGAGAGTGGTATGACATGTCCAAAGATAATCCGGGCGGCGTTGCATCTACTTAATATTAATATTGCTATGAAGAAACCATTGATCATTAGACTCCAATCTCCTGAGTATCAACCCAGTCCATAGGTACATAAATAACCCCCATTCTTCAGCGATCCTGCAGCCGAGCGAGTCAGTCAGGGATTCAGGAGTCGCTTACCGGGCTATTTGCTTATGGGAGACTTCTGTCAGTCTGACATCGCCCTCGCTTCTAGGTCTCTGAAGGAAGGAATTTCCTTTCTCAATGGCCCCTTTTGAGGTTTATATTTAGCAATCAGTTCGTTGGTCAGAGTGTGCACTTCGGTAAACTATCTATCTGGTGCGTGCTGGGTTGGGTCGGGTGTGGCGGGTAGCACAGGATATACTGTGTAGAGCGGGTGGGTTACTCTGGATTCATTCAGGGGTGACGGGGAGGAAGTGGTTGTTTGGATGCCTAGATTCAAGATTTTTTCTATATATTGAAGGCTATTGGGAGTAGGAAATACTCTGTCATTTTAGGGGATTGTCATTTGGTTTGTTCTTGTTATCCTAGTCGTGGCACCGACCACCATGTCAAGTAGGTGTGGGTGTGGGTGGGGAATAGCTGGGCTGCGGGGAGATGCATTGAGGGGTTACTCTACTGTATACCACCCCCCTCCCATATTATTTGTGCTGAGGGGCCCTTTCGCTATCGTCTACCTCCAGAAAAGACCAAACAGAGTCCTACAGTACTATCTCTAGAAAACAGAACAAGAATAATCTGGTATCACCTCCTGATAAGGAATTCAAGGGGAAAGAAAGGGAGTTTCTGCAGTGTCTGGTTTGTAGATAATTTAGCTTTGGCTATTACGCAGAAGATACTTAGTTACTTTGGCAGGAGGAATGGTCATTCAGGGATTGAAACTTAGTTTTTGGAAGCTAGGTATGAGGTATGGTCTGTTCTCATGTGCCTGGTAGGTACTTACTACTATGTAGTGGGGGTAGGACCAACGGCTGTGCTACTGTATATATATGTATCATGTATGTGTGTCGAACGAGCGCATCAGCCCACACAACTGAATACATCTACACAGACACCACTCTCTTGAAATCGAGGTCCGTGCTTTCTTTATTTTCTTTTTTGGATAAGTTAATTATCATAGACATCTTAGAGTACCCGATTGGTGTAATGCACCCAGGGAAATCATAATAAAAGTAGTTTATTAATTTCCCACAGAGCTGGCATTCTATACAAAGTTACATACTCTGTAGTAGCTCATGTAATTCCCGAGAAAGCAACGAGATGGCATAATTTCACCACTAAGACATTTTGAGTTTCTGCATCAGCTCGTTGATAAGTGGTCAATGCGATACCCACCCAGATTCATGTCAAGTCCGATAAATTTGAAACTGTCAGCAATATAAGCTCGGTTTCAGCCCCAATGAGCCACTGGGGCGTTCGGCTGCCATTTACGACCTACTTTAGTGCCTCCTGTATACGGGAAGGACCTCACAAGTAGAATGTCCCGCTGCAAAGATGCATGGATCTCTGCAAGAAGTAGAAGCAGAAGCATGCATGATTGAAACCCTCCGAACCTGTAGTGGTAGGCTTGAGTACTGCGTCAGTACTTCCTCAGGGCTTTTCAATATCTGCATGAAAAGCCACAGCCACATCCGTGCTACCTAAGTATTGCACTTCCACCCGAGCCATAACTACCCGATACCATAACGGGTTAACAGCACACCGCTCCGTGTCTTACTTTCATTGAAGAAGACGAGATTTGGCAATTCGGCACTCCCGTATCTATCTAGCTGTGGATGATCTGTCTATCATTGCCGAGACAAGGAGCCAATCGTGGGCGATTTCGCAAGTTGACCGGTCGACTATCCAGCCGGGTCTTACTCTATTTATCGAGGTTGTGGTGGAGCATCACGAGCCGGCACTAGACCGGACGTGCATTTGCTTGGCTGAGCTGCGTATAGATTAAGCCAATTTAACGACCACTGGGCCCTGCGTAGAGTTTGTCTGTAGTCTGTAAGTGTTCTATGTACGGAGTACAGAGTAGACTGGGCAGCATAGACAACTCTGTAGATACATCGGGATCAACCCAATGTTCGGAGACTTTGGACTGCAGTCGAATGGCAGTAGTGCAGCAGCAACACGAGAGAGGCCAGCATCGCATACCAAAATTGGGTTGGTCTGCCGGGAGACTGGTACCGTTGGCCCGAGTGAGCGGTTGACCGACGGGACGGGCTCCATATTATTGAGATGCGATGATCAAAGTTTAACATCGCACAGCGGATTCATCCGACCTGCATCCACGGTGGCGAGTGAGTCGGACGCAGGGTCGTACGGAGATGCCGTCGCTTTCTTTACCGTCAAATGAGAAGCGCAGCGGTCAGGGTAGCTGCGTGGTGGATGAGACTTCGCGTCATCGTTCGCTCCGTTAGGGGGTGCCACTCGGTCTGACTCGCAATGTCACTGTGTTGTCTGTTGTCACCGCGGAGGAGCTAAAGATAGGACCCAGAGAAGCTCGAATCTAAGACCATCGTGGTTAGTCCCCTGAGTCTGGGCGGGCAGCTTAGCTCGCTGTGGCAGTGATGATCACCAGCCCTGGGCCAGAGAGGCTGACCACTGACCACTGACCACGGACCAGCGGTGGCAGCAAATGGCGTGGGAGAAACGCGGTGAGAATTACCTAAGACCGGTGCGACAGTCCATTGCCAGCCGCTTTGAAACCGCGGCTGACCTGTGAGCCTGACCCTTCGGCCTGCTCATTGGGCTTTGTCTGTCGCCCAGTGATCCGGTGTGACCTTGGCAAAATTAAGGATTCCAGGCTAGCGCCGCCGGGGGGAGTCTGCTTGACCAACGGCCGATAAACACGGTCTGGAGGGTGGGTGGTCGGATTCCCCACAAGCCTATATTTGGCTGGGGAGTTTAGACCCTTTCGGGTCTGCCCCCCCGCCCCCTGAAACAATCGTATGTATTGTTCCTCCAATACGTACCGCCACAGGGTCTCCGATCTCCGACAGGTCACTCACCAAGTGCGATATGAATGTGATCATGCAGGGTAGAGTTGGAACTTGGAATACTTGGGACACTTGGGGGGGAGGGGAGGGAGGGGAGGGGTGTTTCGAATCGACAACCAAGTACTGAATCATCTCGACCAGGATGAATAGGAGCGCGTTGTTGATTGCGTCCAGGATAAAGCAGACAGACAGACACACAGACAGCCAGTGTTGACTGTTGGTGGCTGCGGTTGTTGTTTGTGGCCCGTTGGTTATGCTGGCGAGGGATGTGGAATGCTCATGGGAGACAAGAAACGGGAAGTTATCTCCCTACCGGAGTGCCTGCCAATTGCTGGAGACTATTTTCACACGCTGCGGATCATTCAGTTAGTCGGACAGCCAGCGCGCGGTGGGCAAGAATGATGGATGATATCTATCGGATTCCTACAGTCAAGACAGTCGAGATAGTCCAGAGGGGGAGAAAGAGAGAGAGAGAGAGAGAAAGAGAGAGGGAGAGGGAGAGAGAGAAAAGCCACAGTGGGGCGGTGCGTGACAATACGTGACGCAAAAGGCGGGTGTTTCCAGGGTAAGGGCGTCAGCCAAGAGACTGCGGCCCAGGGTCCGTATCCACCGGCCCATAATCAGGGTTCAGACCCTTGATAATTTTAAATCCATACATAACATTGGAGTGCGGAGCAAAGCCAAGGAGGGGAAGGGGAGGGCAGGACATCTCCCTCGTCATGATCAGGGGCGACGTGACAGCACCAAAATTACTGTGGATGGCTTGTGGATGGGATGTTGACAGTGGACAGGTCTGCCTGGGCGTCTGGAAGGGAGGATGGAAGACTCGACAATGCAGGAGACGATCCGTAATAGCCTGGCCCTGTGGCCCAAGAAGAAAATATGAGGGGAGACCAAAGAGGCAATAGTCAAACAGCACGCTGCAACCCAGCAACATAACACTGGAGTTCTCGGTCATTCATTCACCTCGACGCCCTCGAGAATTTACATAGATAGGACAAACAGCATCCCCCAGTCCATCCCATCCCTCCCAACCATCCCGAAGTACTCACTGCGCATCATTATCCATCAGAATCGGGCCCGCGGTGATCACCAGCCATCGCAGTGACTGATGGACTAGTCTTGCTACTGGGAACCCTCGGAATCCAATACCATCCCCACCCAGCCCCAGCCAGTCTCCATCCGCTGCCAGACCCAAAGAGGACGCGCTGCTGCTCACCACTTGAAAGGAAGCCTGTCTCTCACTCCTCTCTCCTTGTCGCGCGCCTCGTCCCTCCCCTCTCCCCTCTCCCCTCTCCCCTTCTCTTTTTACCTTTCCTGGTCCCTTTCTCTGCCGAGACATCTTTTCTTGTCTCCTCTTCTCCCCTCCCCTCCCCTCTCGCGTTGTGTCTTTGTCTTGTCTTTCTACACCTCTGCTTCTCTCTCCCTCCATCCCTCCCACCTCCCACTTCACCCTCCCAGCTTCAGTTGGGACAGACAGCCTGCGGGTACAATCTCACCTCACGGCATTCAGACGGCACCCCCGGCCTTGTCACTCGCTCTCACCCTGTGCGACCGACTGCGAGCGACCGGCTCAGCCCTGGCGGCTTCTTCCACGTTCCTGCTGTTGCCCGCCCCTCCGCCAGCTTTCTTTCAGCTGCACTTTGTCCGTCGCTCTTTCGCCCGTTGCGCCCTTTCGGCCTGCTCAACTCGTGTTTGTTTGTTTTCTCCTGCTCGGAGCCAATACCCGCGTTAATTAGTCGCACCTACTCCTTGTTTCCCTGATACCCCTTCCTGTTGCGTCCCCCGTGTCGTGCGTTCTGTTCTGCTTCACGGGGTTTTCCTTGAGCCTCCGAGTCCAGTTCACGCATACTGCACCTTAATTTCCTATCATCAACAATGGCCTACCAGGGCTCTGGTAACCACTCGCCTCCGGGCTACGAAGACGGCGGTCATCGCCTCCAGGACCTGGCGCATGGCAGCAACGTAAGTGCTTGCTCTCTACGGTGCTCTCCTCTTGCGACTGTCGGCTAAGACTTGGGTTCCGTCTACTATAGTTTGAAGAAGAAGCATCTCATGGACTGCTCTCTAGCCAACAGGGTCCGTTTACGGGTCCCTTCGACGATCCTCAACAGCGGAACCTGTCACCCGCACGACCCACCTCGGGATACAGTCTGACGGAAACATACGCTCCAGATGCGGGCTACCATGATCCCTACAGTGGGGGTGCCTCTGTTTACTCCGCGCAGTCTGGAGAGAACCCGGCTGCTGCATTTGGCGTGCCTGGCCGTGTAGCGTCGCCGTATGCCCGCAGTGAAACCTCGTCAACGGAGGCATGGCGGCAGCGACAGGCGCCTGGGGGTGGAGCTGGTGGCGGCGGTGGTGGCGGCGGTGGGAACTTGCGCCGTTATGCTACGAGGAAGGTCAAGCTGGTCCAGGGCTCAGTGTTGAGTGTGGACTACCCCGTTCCTAGCGCCATTCAGAACGCCATCCAGGCCCGGTATAGAAATGATCTCGAGGGTGGAAGTGAAGAGTTCACACACATGCGATGTAAGTCACTCGAGTCGTAACAAAAGGCCTTGGACACTAACCAACATTCATCTATTTAGACACTGCTGCAACTTGCGATCCTAACGAATTCACTCTGCACAATGGCTATAACCTTCGGCCTGCCATGTACAACAGACACACGGAGTTGTTGATTGCGATCACATACTACAATGAAGATAAGACCCTCACTGCTCGTACTCTGCACGGTGTCATGCAGAACATCCGTGATATTGTGAACTTGAAGAAGTCCGAATTCTGGAACAAGGGAGGTCCTGCCTGGCAGAAGATTGTGGTTGCCTTGGTGTTTGATGGTATCGATCCTTGTGACAAGGAGGTTCTGGACGTCTTGGCCACGGTCGGTGTCTATCAGGATGGTGTCATGAAGCGTGATGTCGATGGAAAGGAAACGGTGGCCCACATTGTATGCGTTCCAGATGGGATTCTATGACCTTGGCTAACAATAGACAGTTCGAGTACACGACGCAATTATCCGTGACCCCGAACCAGCAACTCATTCGTCCGACAGACGACGGCCCGACTACGCTTCCTCCAGTGCAGATGATGTTTTGTTTGAAGCAAAAGAACAGCAAGAAGATCAACTCTCACAGATGGCTCTTCAATGCCTTTGGCCGGATTCTGAACCCTGAGATCTGTATTCTTCTTGATGCCGGTACTAAGCCTGGTCCGAAGTCTCTTCTGTCGCTGTGGGAGTCGTTCTACAACGATAAAGACTTGGGAGGCGCCTGTGGTGAAATCCACGCCATGTTGGGCAAGGGCTGGAGGAACCTTGTCAACCCCCTCGTCGCGGCGCAAAACTTCGAATACAAGATTAGTAACATCCTGGATAAACCGCTGGAGAGCTCCTTCGGATACGTCAGCGTGTTGCCTGGTGCTTTCTCGGCCTACCGATTCCGCGCGATTATGGGCCGGCCCTTGGAACAGTACTTCCATGGTGATCATACTCTATCCAAGCAGTTGGGTAAGAAGGGTATTGAGGGTATGAATATCTTCAAGAAGAACATGTTCTTGGCCGAAGATCGTATCTTGTGTTTTGAGTTGGTCGCCAAGGCCGGCTCCAAATGGCATCTCTCTTATGTGAAAGCCTCGAAGGCTGAAACCGACGTGCCAGAAGGAGCGGCTGAATTCATCTCCCAGCGTCGTCGTTGGTTGAACGGTTCATTTGCCGCCGGTATCTATTCCCTGATGCACTTCGGAAGGATGTACAAGAGTGGACATAACATTATCCGCATGTTTTTCCTTCATATTCAGATGCTGTACAACACCTTTTCGACTATCCTTACATGGTTTTCCCTAGGTAAGTTGGTCGTGACTCGTCACATTCAACAGCAACGGTTTGCTAACTTTCTCCAGCATCGTATTGGCTTACCACATCGGTCATCATGGATTTGGTGGGAACTCCCAGCTCCAGCAATGGTCACACGGGATTCCCCTTCGGCAAAGAGGCAACTCCGATTGTGAACACCATCGTTAAATATGCGTACCTGGGTTTCCTTCTTCTGCAGTTCATCCTCGCTCTGGGTAACCGTCCCAAGGGATCGCGGTTCTCGTATCTTGCGTCGTTCGTGGTTTTCGGTGTCATTCAGCTCTACGTCGTCGTGGATGCGCTGTACCTGGTGGTCCGCGCTTTCAGTGGGAGCGCACCGATGGACTTCGATACGTCGCATGGCGTGGGTGCCTTCCTGAGTTCCTTCTTTGGCTCGACCGGTGCCGGTATCATCATCATCGCGCTTGCTGCTACCTTCGGTCTGTACTTCGTGGCCTCCTTCATGTACATGGACCCGTGGCACATGTTCACGTCCTTCCCCGCCTACATGGCAGTGCAGTCGTCGTACATCAACATCCTGAACGTGTATGCTTTCAGCAACTGGCACGACGTGTCGTGGGGTACCAAGGGATCCGACAAGGCCGATGCCCTGCCCTCCGCGAAGACGACCAAGGAAGGCGGCAAGGAAGCGGTCATCGAGGAAATCGACAAGCCCCAAGCGGATATCGACAGCCAATTCGAAGCGACAGTGAAGCGCGCCCTGACGCCCTACGTGGCTCCTGTGGAGAAGGACGAGAAGAGTTTGGATGATTCGTACAAGAGCTTCCGAACGAGGTTGGTGACATTCTGGATCTTCAGTAATGCACTGCTTGCAGTCTGCATTACCAGTGACGGTGTGGACAAGTTTGGCTTCACGGTAGGTTTCATCTTCTTCCTATGGTCTCGACGAGGAACTAACAATCCGGTAGAACTCTGCCACGGATCGCACGTCGCGATTCTTCCAGGCGCTGCTGTGGTCTAACGCGGTGTGTGCCTTGTTCCGCTTCATCGGGGCCTGTTGGTTCCTGGGCAAGACGGGCGTGATGTGCTGCTTCGCGCGGCGGTAGAGCGACGGCATTGAAAGGTTCGCAACGCGAGGCGGTTTGTTGAGGGCGGCGGCAGAGGCCTCAGGGAGTCATTCTTGGCACATTTTTGTTGCAATTTTGTATTCTACATACGATGCTCATTCCTTGTTTCCCCGGCCGCGTGTTTTTGTTTTGATGGTTGGATTTGCACTTCAACAGGGACTGCAGGCACGATGATGGTTTGTAGACTCTTAGCGCTTAGAAATGGGAGCATCCTCAGGCGCGACAGGAGAGGTTCGGTTTAGTACATTGCAGTTAGTGTTCAATATGAATTCGATAGGACAGATAGTCGATTCCGAGTAGACAGTAAATCCTCCATTGCAGCCACCGATATCAACCGTAAGGCATCAAAGGCGGTGGGGATGAGACGGGCGATGGCGTCAGGTGCTCGCCGCTTTTGCGGGCAGGATGGCCGGGCACGACAATTCTGCCTGGCCGGCTCAGGCAGGCAGAGAGACAGTTAACACCTTCACCAACACGACCGAACTCTGTTGGCCTACACCTTCACGTCGTTGCCTGAAACCGGTGCCTGCCTTGGGAACGCCGGGCAAACCAACACCGAACAGCCTCAGCCTCAGCCTCCGAGCCCTGAAGTGGACCCGCCGCCGCGGCCAACCAAGGACCCCGCAGCTTTCTCCCCTCCTCATCCTCCTCTTCACGTTATCAGCCATACTCCCTCGTCTGAGGATCCCACCAGCTCGTCCAAGAGAGTCCTTACTCGCGTGCCGTGTCGTGTGCCGCTCGCTCCACCATCAAGATGTTGAAGATATGGTCGATGGTACGTTGTTAGCCCTCCGAGTCTCTCCCACCGCTATCATCCTACGCTATCATCACATCACATCACCCCCTCCCTCTGCCCTCTGCCCTCTGCCTCCGAAAGCTTCGCCCCCCATACACACCAACCTCCACTACCACCACCACCACCTACTAACCAAGACCTACTTGCTCTACACTACAGAAACAACAGCAGCAACAAGCTGAAAATGCCGAAGGCGCCGCCGGAAAGAAGAAGAAGAAGGTCACGGCCGCTCAGCTGCGCGTGCAACGAGGTCCGTCCATGCTTTATCCTTCTCCCCCAAATTCTCCCTCAAGATAAAACTCTCCCCGACCACCCCCCACTAACGAAGCTTACAATGTAGACCTCCAAGAACTCACCCTCGGCAGCACCATGAAAATGACCTTCCCGAACCCCGACGACATCCTCAACTTCACTCTGACTATCGAGCCCGACGAGGGCATGTACAAGGGCGGCGCATTCCATTTTTCGTTCGTCGTCAATCAGAACTTCCCTCATGATCCGCCAAAGGTCAAGTGTACGCAGAAGATCTATCATCCGAATATTGATCTCGAGGGGAATGTCTGCTTGAATATTTTGAGGGAGGATTGGAAGCCCGTGTTGAATTTGAATGCTGTGATTGTGGGGATGCAGGTATGTCTTTTTTTTTTTTTTTCTTCTTTTGGTTTTGTTTTTTGGAGAGGGGGGAGGGGATGGTTGGGCGGGTTGGGCGAGCAGTGAGTGGATGGGTGGGTGTGTGTGGGTGTGTGCTGTTGGGGAGGGGGATGGATGGATGATAAGGAGAGGATTGATATGAGTGATAGGATATGATTGTGCTAAGGTGTTTTTGTCGTGGACAGTTCCTCTTCCTCGAACCGAACGCTTCCGATCCCCTGAACAAGGAGGCCGCCGACGATCTCAGATTGAATCGCGATGCGTTCAAGCGCAATGTGCGGACGTCTATGGGTGGGGGGAGCGTCAGGGGGGTGCCTTATGAGCGGGTGATGCGGTAGATTGGGATTGGGATTGGCTGTGGGCTGTGGGCTGTGTATTGGGGGTTCGGGGGGAGACGGACAGACAGTTTTGGTTGAGAGGGAGGGGGTTGTATAAGATGGACGATACGATGATGGTGACATGGCGATGCTCGTGATGGCGATGAATCACGGGCAGGGGGGGGAGTGGGTGCAGTCGGGGAGCATTACCTACATTCCATTTGAATTAATTAGCGACTGGATAGATTCCCTGATTATGAAAGAAATGACAGACATTTTTATAGGTTATGAACTCGAGTCCCCTGCTCGGGCTGGGCCTTGTGTGGATGGGTAACTGATCGACAGACCAGACCTACTGGGCACTACTACCTACCTTCCCAACATCTACACCATCCCCGACGCTACGCTACACTACACGACACACTTACTTTCTGGAACGAGTAGTACCAAATCCGCATGTATGAGTACAAGCGTATATACAACAACCAATCAATTGAACCCGTGATTCCTTAGATTCTAACCCCCCTGCGCCTTCGGCACATCCAACCATCCGGCGGATCTATCTGCTGCGGACCGGACGCACCCAAGCTAACTACCTCTCGCTCCAGCTACCGGGATATGTTGTAGGTAGGTAGACATCGGATAGAAAGAGAGAGCTTAGACCAGGCCAGCGGCGCGCTCGGCCTCGAGACGGGTGTAGTAGTTGTCACGGGCGCGGACGCGGGGGAGGTGGAAACCTGGTAGAGTTTTGTTAGCGGTGTTAAGGGTGGGGGGATATGTACAGAGTACAAAGAGAGGATGGGGCAGAGAGGGGGAGGAGGGATGAGTGTACGTACCGTACCACCAGAGGTAACCGAAGGTGGTTCCGAAGCCTGGGGATGTGATGGGGATGTGTTAGTCTTGTGGTTTCTGAGAGCGATGGGTGGTGTGATGTGTGGATTGCTGGGTCTGGTGAGGGGTAGTGTATTTATGGCAGTGCTGTATTTCGAGGATTGAGGTGAGGTGAGGTGTTGGGTTTCAAGGTGAACGGGCAATTTTGATGCCGTTCGGATGCGGTCGGTCGGTCGGGCGCGACATCGGTATGACATCGTCCCGGTGTTCAAGTAAGTAAAGGTAGTGACTCACCGAAAGCGGTGCTCAGGTCAAGGACCAGGGTGCGGCGGAGCATCTATCTCAATTGTTAGCAGTCAATTCGCGCTGGCTGTGTAGACTGGCTGGCTCGCAGGCAGGAAGGGTGGGATGTTATGGCATGGCACAGCAGACAGGGAGACGTACGCCGGTGATGGGGGGAATGGCGGCCATTGTGAGGGATCAAAGTCGTCAGACGAGACTGGAAGAGAGTCGAGCAAGAGGTCCTGCTGGTTCGTGGTGGGGGGAGGAGGAGAGGAGAGGAGAGAGACGGCGGTGATGTCGAGGTGAAAGTGGAAGTCGAGGTGAAGCTTTCCGGGCCGGCGTGTAGTAAGCGACGGCTGTGAGTGGCCTGACTGTGGGCGGGTGCTGGGAGCGGCGACGACGGATACTGAGGGGTAGCTATTGAGGGAGAACAGGACAAAAGAGATAGATGCAGATGGTCAATTGAGAGTGTGAATTGTTTCTATTGCATTGAGCTATTCCATTCATCTGGTCCTCATTGCTGGCTGGGGTGTTACATCTCTGCCTCAGGTGTCCATGTCATGTGACCATCACCACCTGTGTTTGTCGTCCCATCGGACCTCCTCTGCTTCATCCATCCAAACACCGGCGCCATGGTCTCCTCGGAACCCGCGATCAAACGGTCCTCCTCATCGCTAGCTGCGGGCCCGGACGCCCCGGATGCGAAGCGCATCAAACGCCCCTACCACCACCACCATCGCCTACACACCCCGGTCAACCCGGCGCTGCCCGAGCCCGCCATCGTCGACGCCGCCTGCATCGACCATGTCCTCAGACACTCCATCGGGCAGTATCTGGTAGAATGCGGGTTCGAAATCGCCGAGCCTGCAGCGCTGGACGCCTTTCGCAGAGTCACGGAGGAATGTATGTTGGGATTTCCGCCGGTATCAGATGAATGGATGGATGGTACTGACGGACCTGGCTCCTACCTAGATCTTCTGAAGTTCGCCTCGTATGTACGCCAATCGATGCTGTCTAGCCGACGTGTCCAGCCCATCCCACAAGACTTCGAACTCGCCCTGAAGAGACAGTCCGTGCCGGTCGACGACCTGATTCTCCACCTGAAGCCTCATCCCAACATCGAACCTCTCCCCACCCTCCTCCCCAGTCCGCCGCCGGAAAAGGACTACTTCAAGAGCCTGCCGTCGCTCGGTCTCAGCGGTGAGGAAGACCGCGTCCGAACCGCACATATCCCTAAACACTTTCCTGAATTCCCCAGCAAACACACCTACCGCCATACCCCCGTGTTCACGGAACGAGAACAAGACCCCCGCAAGATCCGGGAGCGGGCGACAGAGGACGGCCGGCATGGCGAGGAGGCGCTGCGCAAGCTGGCCCGCGCTGCGTTCAAGGATAACCAGTCTGGGTCGTCGGGACGGGACAAGAAGCAGTGGGGCAAGCGGGCGGAGAGCATGGATAGCATGTTCGAGAAGACGGTGAAGGGGATGGCAAAGAGGGTGCAGAAGGCCTCCACTGCCGTACCGGGTGCCGCCATGGAGATCGACGCCGGGGCCGGCGCAGACACAGAAGTCAAACCGTCGCGGTCGAAGCTCTCGTTGAGCATCGAGCTGCCCCCGATCGTCAACTGCGAGAGGGACTATTGGCGCCGGCCTCCGATGTCTGGGAGTCGGCGCACAGAAGAGACCAAACCCCCCGCCGCGAAGGCAAAGCCCGAGATGTCGAGGGTCGATAGCTGGGTGGGAGCATAACCGCGGCGGTGCCGAGGCGTGGCGTGGCGTGGCGTCAGGCGTTCAGCTTTTTATCAATGTAGCATATCCGAGAAGATACCCATGGAGTAGGATGTTAAATAATGCAAATGCAAATCGATTGGTTAATGACACCCTGCCCGATGCGATACGAGATGTGTAGATGTAGACCCGTACGCGAACGCCAACGCCGCCCATGCACATGCAATTCACAGAGAATAAATATCTAGACCGTCGAACTGGCCTCCGCCGCCGCACCTCTCCTTTCCTCTTCCTTCTCCCTCGCAATCCGTATCGGTTCCCACGCCGTCGTCTCAACCGTCAACCCCCCGGCACACCTATCCCAAGGCCCCGTCAGCTTACTTGTGTCTTTCTTTCCTTCATATCTTTCCCTCGGGACAGAGAATAAACCCACCGTCTGAACAACCTCACAATCGGCGTACAATTCACCACCCCCGGCGCCGGGATACCCGCCTGCGGCGGATTGCACGAGTATTGCACCATCTCCATCAACTTGCACTTCTCGAGCTCGACCGGGCCGCCTTTGCGGTGCTTCGGCTGGAAGTTCTTGCTCACCACGTTTATGTGCTCCGGGAGGGATTCGGCGGCGAAGACGGGGACGAGGGGCGCCATGGCGGTTTCGTTTTCGGTTGGTGATGTGGGTGGGGGTGGGAGGTATGCGCAATGCTATGCGCGAGGTGGAGGTGGAGGTGGATGTGGTTAATGGGGTATTGGGGGGAAGTGCAGGAAAGATGGTGGATGGATGGATGGAGCGGAAGCCGGGATCCCGATGCGATGCGATGGGAGGCGATCGTTGTCGGCCGGGCTGGGCCGGCTGCGCGTGCTTGTACTTTCTCAACTCACCTCACTTCCTGTACTTCGTTCGGTTGTTGGTTAGCTTCCACGCCGTCCATGGTACCATGTTGCGCTGTTATGGTTGCTTCTCGGGTCTGGGCTGCTTTTAATGGCCTCTAACTTTGGAGAGAAATTGCTCGGGGAGGTCTGGGAGGAGGGACTGGATGAGGTATGTTCTGCTTGCTTTGCGGCTTCCCCTGTAATGAGCTGGAGGCTTTGTTTGTTTCGATTTTTTTTTGTTTCTGTTCTTCGTGATGGACGCTGATATTCGCAGCTTCTGCATGACTTGAGGGGTCTGCACCATGGAAGTGGTCCTGGTAGCGCCTTGAGGTCCCGGCTGGGGGTGCCGGTGCTCGATGACCTGCTAGATGTTTTTACGTCGCCTTCCACTGCTCAGTCTGTGGGGACACAGATTGTGTCGCACACTCCTGGTTTAGAGGACCGAGGACATGCTAGCGAGGTCCTTGAAGGCGATCTGCTCCCCTCGCAAAGGGGGGAGGGCGACGCGCATGCAACCGCGTACACCCCGTCGGTGATCGCCCGCGCAGAGCCAGTCGTGGAGATTTCGAGTACGTTGTCTGCCGCTGGAAAGTCGCATCTGCTGTATTATACTGCTGCAGTCGCTGTACTGCCCTCTATATACGACGGATATGAGTTGGGTGGCCGCGACTCGGCTGTGGTTTTCTTCGACACTGACGGGCGATTCGATGCTGAGCGGCTGCGCACTGTGCTCAGGGCAATTGTCATGACAAGGATGAATACACAGGTTGGGAACGTACCTGGAGATTCTCTCGCTGGCGAAAACCTCGAGGATATGATTCTAGCCTGTCTCCAACACGTCCACATCTTCCGTCCGCAGTCATCATCCTCTCTCCTGGCTACACTCCAGCACCTAGACACATATCTTCTGGACCTCACCCGCCACCACTCCTCCACCCGACCCCTGCATTCTATCTTTATTGACAGCGCCAATGCCTTCTTCTGGCAGGACAAACTGGAAGACGAGATCGCCCGCGTGGGAGACATCGGGCGTCCGGCCGCTGACGTCGAGCGTGAGCGCCTCCAGGGACAAAGCTTCTATATCTTGGATCTGTACGCCGAATGGGCCGAGGAATTGAAGCGGCTGCAGCGACTTTTTAGCTGTGCGGTGATTTATACGACTATTGTCCAGGGAAGGTCTACAACTGCTTACAGTTCCTCTGTATATCAGCCTTCCGGCCCATATGACCTGTACACCCCCGGTCCCTCTGTACCCAGGACGCCGTCCTTCCGCGCTGCGCTCCCTGCGCCATGGGGCACGTTCCCGACTCTAAGGATCATCGTCCAGCGGGATGCGGTGCGTCCGTTTCCTTCAACCATGACGCTACAAGATGCCCAGCGAGCTGCGCCGCAACGACAGGAGATCATCAGTCGCGGCCGGTTTACCGGGTGGGTGAATGGATGGGGACGAGAGGAGTGGCCGCGCCGAGTGCTGGAGGGCCTAGAGGAGATAAACGGGGGCAAATTCTTCTTTCGCATCGGAAGAGAAGGGGTTGACATCGGCTGATATCTTGATCTATATACACTGTACGAGCTCTATATAACTATAACAGCCCCGCAACCTCAGCTGAACAGCTTCCCGATCGCCTCGACAGTGGTATTTCCTCCACTGAACACAATGCCCACGTCCCACCCCTCCGGAGCCTCCTTCTCCACCAGTCGTCGAAACTCCTCATTGTACAGACAAACCGCCAAACCCACCACGGCACTCGGCTCCACCACCACCTTCATCCGCTCTAACACCAGCCGCATCGCCGCCTTGATCTGCTCCTCCGTGACAGCAAACACCCCCGCAACCTTCTCCCGGTCCGCGATGACCTCCCAATTCAACAGCCCGACGGGCGTGCGCAGCCCATCCGCAATGGTCAGCGTCGACACCGCATCAACACGTTCCCCGGTGTCCAACCCGCGACGACAATCATCGCCGCCCTCAAAGCTCGGCTCCGCACCAAACACCTTCGTCGTCTTATCTGAGAAAAACGTCGCAACACCGGCATTCAGCCCCCCTCCTCCGATAGGCGTAATCACCGCGTCGAGCGCCTTTCCCTCGGAGCGAATACTCAATTGCGGCTTTTCCTTCACAAGGTCCCGATACTGGCCCTCCAGCTCAAGCGCACACGTGCCCTGACCGCAGATGATATTGAAGTCGTCATACGGCGGCACCAGGATCGCCCCCGTCTTCGCCTGCACCTCCTCCACCACAGCCTCCCGCTCAACACTGGTAGACCCGCTGAAGATCACCTCCGCGCCGTGCGACTTTGTCCCTGCGATCTTGGATGGCGTGCTGATGGTCGGCATGATGATGTAGGCCGGGACCCCGAGGGTGGAGGCGGCCAGAGCGAGCGCTTGCGCATGGTTTCCTGTTCATATATCAGAATCACAATCCGTTCCTTCTTCCCTCCACGACCCTCTCCCTCCCCCCCTGTAATTAATGGTGGAGGGGAATGACATTACTGACCCGAACTATGCGTAATCACCCCTCTTCTCGCCACCTCCTCCTTCCCCTTCTCCGCGATCAGCCGCAGCAGCGCGTGGAAGGCCCCTCGCGCCTTGAACGCGCCGATCCGCTGGTAGTTCTCGCATTTGAAGAAGAACCGGAAGGTCGGGTTGGCGGGGGCTTGGCCCTCGTAGGGGGTAACACTCAAAGCTTCTGCGGATTGAGGGGTCGAGGCGATGGTGTTGAGCGTTTGGCAGGTCAGGAGGGGGGTCTGGTGCACGTGGGGTTGGATGAGGGTGTAGGCGGCGTGGATGGCTGCGGGGTGAGGGATTGTGCGAGGGTGGAGGGGGAGGTCATGGTGAGAGCTGGGGATTGGGGGTCTATGATATGAAGATGTGATGGTGAGGGTGAGGGTGAGGGTGAGGTCTGGGTCTATGAATGTAAGTGATGGTGTTCTGTCAGAAGAGAGACAGATGGCGGAATGTTCCGATGACTCGACGAGGGGATATATCTCCGCTACCGGGACCCCGCATCCCGACACCGGGGAGCGGATGCAAGGGCAGCCATGAGTGTAGTGTGATGCAGGCAAGGCAATTGAGTTGGTCTAGATAAGCACTCTACATCAACCCAGTTGTAGGTTATTGTTATTTGTCACTGTGTAGTCGTGTGCTTTATTGCAGGGGGAAACACCCCGATCGGGCCTAGCGCCTCTGCATGACAGCCACGTGACGGGTACCAAATCGGGCCTGGAAATGATGGCGGGGACAAAAGAAATGAAGCCGTCGACCCCTCGTTGTCCCGATTGACTCACGCTGCGTCGCTCTCTCCCTCTCCCTCTCCCCAGTCTCCAACCGCAAGTATGGCCGAGGAAAAGCCCACTGCCCCCACTGCCCAGGAGCAGGACATCAATCCCTGGTCTGTCGACGGTGGTCGTGACGCCAACGGCGAGATCGTCGCCATTGACTATGAGGCCATCTGTCGGTATGCCGCTCCCCTCGCCCCTCCCTCTTGCTGTCTGTCCACGTATGCAACGGTCGCTGACCCCCCCCGACTAGGAAATGGAACACCTCCGTCATTGACCAGGCGCTCCTCGAGCGCTTCGAGAAGGTCACCGGACACAAGCCGCACCGTTGGCTTCGGCGCGGACTGTTCTTCAGCCACCGCGACTTCGACCGCATCCTGACCCTCCACGAGCGCGGCGAGCCCTTCTTCCTCTACACCGGCCGTGGCCCCAGCTCCGGCAGCCTGCACCTGGGCCACACCATTCCCCTGCAGTTTACCAAGTGGCTGCAGGATGTGTTCGACGTGCCCTTGGTCTTCATGTTGACGGACGACGAGAAGGCCCTGTTCAAGGACAACGTGAGCTTCGAGGATGCGGTGCACTTCGCCATGGAGAACGCCAAGGACATCATCGCCCTCGGCTTCGACATCAAGAAGACCTTCATCTACAGCGACCTGAAATACGTCAGCGGGCCCATGCTCACCAACGCCTGGGAGTTCTCCAAGCTGGTCACCTTCAACCAAGTCCGTGGCGCGTTCGGCTTCAACGAGAGGTTCGCACACACTGTCAGAGTTGCTTGTCGCACAACTAACTTCTCGCCCGTAGCACCAACATCGGCCGCATCTTCTTTCCCGCCGTCCAGTGCGTTGCCGCTTTCGCGACCTCCTACCCCGAGATCTGGAAGGACGAGCCCCTCAAGGAACGCACCGCCGAGATCGCCAAGATCCAGTGTCTGATTCCCATGGGTATCGACCAGGACCCCTACTTCCGTCTGCTCCGCGACAACGCCCACCGCATGCGCTACCCCTCCCCCAAGCCCGCCCTGATCCACTCCAAGTTCCTCACGGCCCTGCAGGGCGCCGGTGGCAAGATGTCCTCGTCGGAGCCTAACTCCGCCATCTTCATGGACGACACCCAGAAGCAGATCAAGGTTCGTCGGTCACCTAGATATGGATGATAAGTACTAACGGCGCAGACCAAAATCAACAAGTACGCCTTCAGCGGTGGCCAGGTCAGCATCGAGGACCACCGCCGCCTGGGCGGCAACCCCGACGTCGACGTCTCGTACATCTACCTGACCTACTTCGAGGAGGACGACGCCAAGCTGGAGGAGATCTACAAGAGCTACAAGAGCGGCGAGCTCCTGACGGGCGAGCTCAAGAAGATCGCCATCGAGCTGCTGCAGGGCTACGTCGCGCAGTTCCAGGAGAAGCGCAAGGAGGTCACCGACGAGGTTCTGGCCGCCTACATGAAGCCCCGCAGGCTAGAGTGGAAGGGAAACCCCAACCCGGTCCCTGCGCCGGCACCGGAGCCTGGCATCCCCATCCGCACGAAGAACGCGTGACTAGGTGGAGAGGGAGCGGGGAGTAGATGCATATACCGTGATAAAATATCGAGCGTTGGCAATAGATCATTCTGTCACAAGGTCGTGTAGCTGGATTGGATAGACTCGTATGGCTGATGCGATGGCAGAAGCCAACGGTATAACTTCCAGGAGGTCATCCTGGCGGGGACTTAGTCCAGCCTCAGGCTGACCACCATGTATCCCCGCTACTGTCAGCTGTCAGCGTGATGGGTCTCCCCTCCCTATATCTGGACGATCGTCTCCATCCTTTCACCAACCAACAGTCATCAATCCACCAGACTTCTTCTACTCAACCACCACCATGACATCCCAACCCCATCTCCAAATATTCAACCACACCCTCGCCCACAATCAGTCATTCAATATTCCCTCAATCCCCCCTCCTCCCGGCGGAACTCCGTCTCCAGATCTGGAAGGGCCTCTCTTCAACGCCAACGCATCATCCGCATACACCTCAATCCCCAGAACCCATACACACCCACAGACCCCACATCACAATCACAATCACAACCACAATCAGAACCAGGAACACCAGGCCTCCTCCCAATCAACCCAGAGTACGACATCCTCCACCTCACCCCCTGCCCCCCCCCACCCAAGAAACCCTGCTCCCCTTCCTCCATGACCTAAAAATCACCCTCGACCCGCACCAAATCGGCCTCCTCAACCTCGCCCTGACCTTCAACGACCTCAACGCAAACGATCTCTCTTATCTCCTGTACCCCTCCACCGTCCCCCCTCTCCTCCGCACCTCTTCCACCCAAGAATGTTTTCGTGGGGACGGGCGATCCGAGGGGTATTTTTGATCTTTGGGCGCGGTTGTTGCAGAGGTGGGCTATCTCTCCACCACATATCTCGTACAAGTTCATGCTGGCTTTTGAGCCTTTTTTTTTTTTTCGGGGAGGAGAGGGTGAGGGATACGGCTGCTGCGGAGAGGTGGTTGAGGAGGAGGGCGGATGATGCTTGGAATGGGAGACCGGTGGAGACACAGCTGGGGGGTGGGTGGAAAGGGGTTTTTTGGCGATTTCCTCGGGAAGCTTGAGAAGAGTGGGATTGGGATGCGTAGGAGGCTGGTTGGCGCGGAGAGTGAGAAGTATCGGGATGAGGATCTGGATAGGGCTGTGAAGCCCGCTTTTGGGTTCTGGTTGTTTCCGGTGGAGGCTGTTGGGGGGGTCGTGGATGAAGGGGGGAGGTTGTTGCTGGCTGGGCAGGGAGGGCAGTATAAGTGTAAGCAGTTGTTGGATTTGTCGGGGTTTTGGGCCTGAGTTGGGGGTTATGGATCTGCCTTGATACTTACTCCCTGCCATATTACTGTATGTGTATTTATGGTCTTGGGTTGTCTTTCTGATTTGGTGGTTCTTTTTTTTATACCATGTGTATAGTGTCGAGAGCACTGGATGGATGGAGATCAGTATCGCGGACGAGGTGGATAGCGAATCCGTCGTTGGGACAACTAAAAGGATTAGTATTTTATCATCATCACTGGAACCAAATTAAGTGGCATAGGCATAATAGGCATATCATCTTCCATACATGCGTAGAGCTAGAGCTAGATAATTGACCATAAACGCAGACGGTACTGAATCCTCCACACCAACTTGCCTAGTACTAACCAATAACTACCCAGTAGACAGTAGACAGTAGACAGTAGACAGTGAACATACTTAGCCCAGGAACAAAACCCCAAGCATACAGTATATATACATCCCTCCAAGAGCTAGAGGGCTTAGTAGCTATCTAGTATCCGGACCAAAAAGCTTGTTTGGTTCATACATGATCCATGCTGCTTTCCGGTCCGACGCATATCCTATCTACTTACTGACGAGTCCTGGCAGGATCCAGTCTAAAGTTTGGTGGAGAATGGGATGGGTGGATGAATGGAGTAGGTGGGCCGAAGGGGGGGGGGGGGGGGAATGGATGCCTAGATAGATAGATAGACTTGACTTGTCTACTTCTTGAGTGTGTAGTGTAGTTATGTCAGTGTAGTGAGCTGGATGGCTGTGAGATGAGATGAGAGGAGAGGAGATGATTTGATCAACGGAAGTAGAGAGCCTTGCTGGCTCGAAGGACGCGAGGCACCCACCCGCCTTTCTACTAGTTCTAGATTGTTTAGGGGTCAAGATCCGTTTTCAGATATTGGGATAAATGTGGTTAGATTCGTGGATGGTGGGTGAGTAGATGAATATTTCATTTCAATCGCTTCCTTTCTCATTGGTAATGTAATGAATGATGAGTGTGATCAGTGACAATTTCTCTGGTTTGGCAGGATGGTTGTTGAACAGCAGTGTAGATAAGATAGTGATGGTGTTGGAAGATGAGATCTCTGGTGTGGTTGGTTGGTGGGTTGGACCGTGCGGAAAGGAAACCCCGGATCGATGACCCGTACACTCACTCTCCCGTCCTCTCAACAGCTATAGTTACAGTTACAGCTACAGTTACAGCTACAGTTACATTCCCACATCAAAAAAAAAAATGAACATTAAGAAATTTATTCCGGCCCGATATACAGCTCAAAAAAACAAAACCTAATCATAGTACATCGTAACTTTTCCCACCCGGGTTCTAATCACACATTATAATTTACTTCTGGTTCTCGGGGCGGAGGGAGCTAGAGAAGAAAATGAAATGTTAGCGGATGATTCAACTGGTAGATAGAGGGACAGGGGGAGAAAGCTTACCGAACGGCCTTTCCGGCGCGCCAGATTTCGAGATCACGGATGTCCTGCATCTCCTTCTCGTACTTCTCGCGGTAGTCCTTCTGGGAGTTGTAGTCGAGAGAACGCTGGGTCTCGGAACCGTCCTTGACGCTGTCGTACAGCTCGTTGAAGAGGGGCTTCAGGTTGTCCTTGAACTTGTTGGACCAGTCGAGGGCACCGCGGCGGGCGGTGGTCGAGCAGGCGGCGTACATCCAGTCCATGCCGTTGGAGCCGATCAGGGGGTACAGAGACTGGGTGGCCTCCTCGACGGTCTCGTTGAAGGCCTCGGACGGGCTGTGGCCGCGCTCACGGAGAACCTCGTACTGAGCGAGGAACATACCGTGGATACCGCCCATCAGGCAGCCACGCTCTCCGTACAGGTCGGAGTAGACCTCCTTCTCGAAGGTGGTCTCGTACAGGTATCCGGAACCGACGGCGACACCGAGGGCGATGGCGCGCTCCTTGGCCTGGCCGGTGACGTCCTGGAAGACGGCGACGGAGGAGTTGATACCGCGGCCCTCGCGGAAGAGGGTGCGGACGGTGCGGCCGGATCCCTTGGGGGCGACCAGGATGACGTCAACGTCGGTGGGGACATCGACCTTGGTCAGGTCCTTGAAGACGGGGGAGAAGCCGTGGGAGAAGTAGAGGGTCTTGCCCTTGGTGATGAGGGGCTTCAGGGTGGGCCAGGTCTCGGACTGGGCGGCGTCGGAGAGGAGGTTCATGACGATGGTACCACGCTGGACGGCCTCGGTCACGTCGAACAGGTTCTTGCCGGGGACCCAGCCGTCCTGGATGGCCTCCTTCCAGGAAGCTCCATCCTTGCGGACACCGACGATGACGTTCAGGCCCTGGTCACGGAGGTTGAGACCCTGGCCGTGACCCTGGGAGCCGTAGCCGATCAGGGCAAGGGTGTCATCCTTGAAGTACTCGTGGAGCTTCTCGCGGGGCCAGTCGGCACGCTCGTAGACGACCTCCTTGTCGTCAGCGAAGGTGATGGTCTTGACACCACGGGCGGGGGTGACGGGGACGGCGGTGACACGGGGGAGGGCGGCGGTGGCAGCCTTGGCCAGGGAGGGACGGGGGAGGGCGGCAGTCAGGACGGAGCGGGGAGCACCGACGCGGGCCATGCGAAGGGCACGGGGAAGTCCACGGGAGGCCATTGTGTATGTGTGTGGGGGTGGGTGGTGGAGGGAGGGGAAGGAGAGGAGAGAGGAGATGGAAGGATGGAATTGGGGAGAAGAATGGAGAGGAAAGTTGGAGGGCGAGCAGCAGCGGAGGGCTCTTATAAACTCGTTGCCCGGGACGAGATCGGCCTGTGGGGAGGCACGTGATCCGGAGTTGGGACGCTCCTCCCCGGCCGATGTCGGATTGACCGGGCCCTGATTGGCCAATTCCCGTCGCAACCGTGGATGCGCGATTAGGTAAGAGGCGGGCCTTGCCGCCTCAGGTTAGCGTACGGGGAAGGCTTTGACTCACGCCGGCTGCATCGCCGCAACCACCGCAATCTGGGGATCGGGGAAAGGGGCAGCAAAGTGAGTCACCGGATGTGACAAGAGAGAAGCAAGATAGCTCCCATTATTGTATTATGCAATTGATTCGAATAAATTAGATAGATCTGATGCTGGGCTGGCCTGGCCGGGTGGCGAATATTGAGATGGAGTGGAGAGGCCGCGACCTCAAATCGACCCATGGACTGCAGATCCCTCAGCTCGGAGCTCAAAATCTAGGCATTCGGTCAAGGTGTGTAACCCCGTTGCAGGCATTGATGCTGGAGGATTGCAGTCTCCTTGCAGTACTCACTATTCATGAAATTGTGACCTGTCAGACACTATGTACTGTACTCGACTCTCAAATGAAGAAAATAAACAGATTGTAAACCTCAATATATTCTACAAATTTATATTCCCGTCTCCACGGCACAATCCCATATCATTGGAAGTCCCAACTACATAGTATGATATAATCCAAGTAAATAAATATTAAGGACTTACCGCAACGCTATATCAGAAATAGTGCAGTCATTCTTCCAAAAAAAAAGAAATAAAATAAAATTAAAAAAAGCCCCAAAAAGACCTTTCCTCAGCGCACCGGACGAACACACGAAGCCTCCGATTCGATAAGCTACGAGGAAGCTACCAGGCTCCATAGATAACCTTAAACGCACTACATTCCAGCTGAGGGGATGGGTAAGCTTACTTCTCCTGGTATGGTGTAGGTGATGATCTAAGGACTAGCTCCAGAGATGCCTTCAGGCGGTTGATACTAGACCGGTACAATGATTGCGCTGGTCTGGCCAGAATCACCAGAGTCCGCACTGACGACAGTAGGAACCAGCAGCAAGGAAACGAGGCCGTAGGACTGTTGGATTGACGCTAAGAGGAAGAGTCAGGAAGAGGGAGGTGTTTGTGAGACCGCAGGGCCACGAGGGCTATCACTGGCAGGCGCTAACATCAGGCAGCACCTCCGCTGACACGCGAACATAAAGATAAGAGGCAGATCTGCGAAGAAAGCACAAGGGAAGGTCACTCTTGATCAATATTATTCTACCACTCCTTTATCAGACGATTGGCGTCCGTGTAGGATCTTTATCGAGGGCAAATGCTCCCGTGCGCCAGACAGCAAGGTCCCCAGGCGTGATGCTCGTCTAGCCCTATCTTCCAAAGAATTCCCATCCACCGGCTCAGAAAGTATAGCGAACGCCTCATTGGAGATAGGCAGTCTCCTCCCCCTTTGTTCCAGCAGAACAGCAAGCATATCCACTCCCGAAGTCTCCCGGGCAAGAATCCTGACAACCTCCTCTGTAACAGGTAGCTTATCGCCCCTTTGTTTCAGCAGCAGGCGCATTATTCCGAGCCCCGAGGAGTTTCCTGCAGCTGCCTCAACCACTCTATCTGTAATAGGTAGTTCATTGCCAAATTCCTGGATCAAAAGATGCATTATATCGAGCCCGCGGGGCCTCTCTGCAGCTGCCTTGACCACTTTGTCTGTCACAGGTAGCTTTTTGCCTCTTTCCTTCAGCAGAAGTTTCATCATATCGACCCCGAGCGAGTTTGCCGCAGCCGTCTTGACCACCTCTTCGGTAATGGGGAGATCGTTCCGTTCATCCATGAGCGCTTGCATCCTCTTCCAGTGCGTAGTTGCTGTTATCGCGGCGATGTCTTCCCAGATGGGCGAGGGATCGCGTGTTTTAGAATCATCTGCACCACACGGCTGCATCCCCCTGAACCTTTCAATCAACGCAACTTCTTCCTCTTCCTGAACATCTGTATCGCGCGTTGTCCAGTCCCAAACCAAGAGCAGATCCCTCGGATACATCCCTTTCACATCACGCACACTATCGAGAGCTTTGACTCTCAAGTGCGTAGAAACAAATCTTATCCTCGCACTGACCATGATAACCGTCGAGTGATTCCGATGAGGTCTGATGATGCATGGTTCGGAAGCCCCCTGCACCAAACAGAGGATATCCCCCTTGCAAATGGACTTTGCGGAAGCGGGCACCGTCCACTCCTCATTCTCACTTGTCCATCCTGTTTTATTAGGCAAAAACGCCAGAATCGACCCGGCAGCGGCGCTTCTGGCTGTCCCTACAATTCCCAGAATGTGGGCCTTAGCTTGGATAACCGCTGCTTCGGTCTGCGGCCATGTCGTCACGGATGTGTTCTCTGGGAGAGTGTATCGGATTACCTGCTCGAATACCTTCTCCCACGGGAGTTCGTAGTTGGGCTTTAGCGCTGCGGTGTTCGGATCGTCGGAGCACATGCCGAGTAAGGCATAGAGCTTGTCGTGGCTCCATGTCGCCTCGTGGGTATGATACATGTCGATGAGCTCGCTGATGGTGGATCCGCTTCTGGAGCTTGCCTGGTATTCAGGACGGAATATTGCACCCATTATTAGATCGAACAGAGACCTGACCAGACCCCATAGACCCGGGTGATCCTTGTACGGTATTTCCATCTTCCGCAACCCCAAGGCGAAGGTATACCCGGTCAGCTTTGCCGGACCACACATGATCAGGATAGATCGGGCAAGCCCGACCTCTTGAAGGACCTACGCAGCAGGTAGTTAGCTATAATTGCATTCCGCATATACTTTAAAACCCCTCACCCACATGCGCCGAAACCAAGATCTCCTCAGCAGAGCGACAGCAGCGTCCAAAATATGCTTCTCATTCCACATCGAAACCTCAAGGTCCATCCCGCGAAGCTTCCGTAGAGCCTGTTCGTGATGAACGTTCTTCCTCTCATCCTGGGAAGCTAATCGTATACATTCCATTGCCTCACTGCTGCGATCTTGCTCCTCGCCGAGCCAGACAAGCACGCAGCTTGCCTGGCCGTAGATCGTCCCCATTAGCGGCACCTGGTGCGATTTCTCTTTGTCGTCTTCTTGGTTGATGCAGATTGCGTCGATCCATAGTATCCGTGGCAGACCGTGGTCGCGTAGACGTGACATCACTGCGTGGAGGTTCTCGGTCACTGGTAAGTGGGTTCCGTTTATGAAGATCGATCGTGGCTTGATCCCGCTGGCCCAGACGTATGACAATGCTTCGTATGGGTGTCGTCCTGTTCCTGAGTCTGGGAGGACATAATTGTGGAGCTGGCATTCGATGGGGGCATCGTTGTGCTCACTGGGCAGTAAACGGAGGACGCGGATGGTGCTGGGATTGGTGGGAAGGGGTTGGTAGGTGTATCGGGCTGTGGTATGGATGTCCATTTTGAAATGTGCACGCCATGCATCACGCACCCCAGGAATGCATGTCTGAGGTGGGTGTCAGGTTAGAATTGCTGCTGAGGTGAGATGTCCTCCTAATCTGACCCCGCTAGTGTCAGCCACTAATGCAGGAGACATCACCTGAGATGAGCCTGGCCATAAGCACTAAACCGGTGGTTACAGCGCGTTTGCATCCATTTAATATAGCGGGCTCCGAAAGGAGGATTGCAGGGCGACAGTGGTAAAAACAGGAGGAGGATCCCAGAGTGACGGTAGTGAACAATCCGACCCAGCCAGGAGCATATGAAGTAGGCTAGGCGCTGCTAGTGAGGCCATATACGGTCCAAAGAGTGGTTGAGACTCAAACTCTATTCTTAATTACTACATGTATAGGTCATAATAAACCATCGTCATGACCGAAAGTCCAGGGCATTCATGATCGCTGTACTTCTTTAGGGTACCATGTCTTAATCTTTAAATAACAGTCATCGGCTTCTTTTTTTTTTTTTTTTTTCTTGCCCTCCTTCCCCTCCTTTCTTATTTCATCCTACACCTGTCCCTTGCTGCTTATAAATCTTTCTTCAAACTCTTCATTTGAAAGCTCCTCTTTCACCTAACGTTCCACTTTCAATCATGGCATCGTCTTCCATGCCAGTCTCCACCTCGCGTGGCTCAGATCGAGAGCTAGCCTACGCCTCACCTGTTATCAAGACAGATGATGGCGAAGAGAAGAGAATCCGCCGGTGTCGAGGGTCGAGTGACGATGAGGGACTCCCAACGTGGGACGGTTATATTAATGAGGACCTTCGAGTTGGGGGCCCACGCCTCTGCTCGCTTCCAGCCAGCTTTGTTGAGATAAGGAGGGATCATCTCCTGTCTTGTGGATTGAATGCTCATAACAGGCACGTGTACGATGAGATACATCGTATTCTTCAGTCTCTAAACATCAACGCCTGTGTCAATTTCAACGGCAGACAATCCGACTGGAATCCTGAACCCGAGCCAATTATTACCGCTTTGATCTTCGTTAAACGAAAACAGCGAAGGTCTGTCTGGCTGACAGCATGCCGGCAGATCAGAGAGTACCTTACTGCGAATGGTCTCGAAGAGGTTTCCGTTGAAATAGCCGACACTCATGCCGTTAAACGCTTGCGAGCCTTCTCCGTCTTGCCGACCGATCCCATCACGCACGTCTGGGATGATGTGCGAGACCGCATCGTTAGGTCCCTGGACCTGACGGATGTCCTCATGGTAGGATGCTACCGCCACGGGATAAGCAAAAACGTGCTTGAAAATGACCCGACGATCCTTATTCTGGTCAACACCAGGAGCACGCGAGATTGGAGAGGTCCCAGGGACAAGATCGTAGAGATCTTGGCAGAGTATGATCTCTCGATGGTGGCAGTGGAATTCTCCAAAGATGTAATACGCAGGGCCACCTTTGCCCCTAGAGATGTGGAAAGACGAACGTTGCATAATCCAGCAAGGCCAGACGACAACCTTGGTATGCAACTCGAACCTACCAGATCTGCAACTTTCGGAGGCTATGTCGAGTTGATGAGCTCTGACAATGTGCGGTTTAACTTCGGACTGACATGCTTTCACTGCGTCATGCCCACGGAGGAGAGCACCCCTCCAAGCCTTTCCCAGAGTAGGTTCCACCAAACCAATAGCAGACTTTTTATAACCATTTTACAGAGTGCAACAACTGGAAAGAGCACGGAATCCGACTTGATGACCAAGAAGCGGAGCGATACCTCAAAATCCACCGCCCAGGTCTTGCAGATATGGACAACAAGGCGGAAGAGCTCCATGATGATACCCGAAGGATGAAATCTGGTAGATTTCTAAACATGCCATTAGCGAAAATGTCTCGTGCAATGAAAGATAGTCGCAGCAGCATGGAGAGGGAAATCGACGAGAACGAGGCATTCCTAGACGAGATTCGCAAGTATAAAGCCAGCGGATCATATCAGATGGGCCATGTGGCTGCTGCATCCGGGCTTCGAACCAGCCAAGCCCCATCTACACACGACCCTCAGGGTCAAGTCCGAATGAACATGGACTGGGCTCTTATCCAAGTCGATGAACGACATCAAGGGACCAACGAAGTAAGCATCCCACTGTATAAGCGCATGGATACCGATTGACTTTTCCTAGACCGAGAGAGGCCTTTGGCTCACCAATCCCTGGCTCGACACCTTCGAGCGGATGGTTTCAGGAACCATATACGTTGGGAAATATAAAGGAACATACCACGCACTCCGGACCTCCTTCATAACCGACGTAGTTGTTGACGGCAGACCAGTCAAGGTGGAAACGATTGAACATACAACCTTGACTAACTATGACAGATCATTCACCAATCCGATGAACCCGGGGGGATTCGTCCGTACATTCGACAGCATAGCAATAGGCATGGTTTTTGCATGCTGCGAAGGCCGTGGTATTACCTTCTTCACGCCCTTTGACGATTTGGCGAAGGATATCATGTTCATGACGGGAGCGAAGGAGGTGAGAATGGCTGATGAATAGGAAACGGGATGCTTACTCTATCCACATCGATGGCAGATGCTCGCCCTGTTGGTTGGAAGCCTCGTCCCGAGTTGTGGTGGTTTGAACCACCTCGCAATCAGAATTGCAATGAGAATTACCGGAGTATCTGACCTTGAGACAATGAAGCCTGCCGTAGACCCTACTCTCACTATCCACAACTGGTTGAATCGCTCTAAAACAATAGTTTCTTGAGCTATCACTAGTACCAAGGTCTGCATGACATGAATGTGGTGGCTATTGATGAACCCAAAAAGTCTTCTTACTGTACTATGAAGGAAGTCCGGCTAAAATTCTTCAAGCCAAGATCCGGTTCCACAGACCCCCCAGAACGAGGTCTAGTTTCAAATTCCTCAATTCCTTTGTGCCCTCGTCAGCATCATGCGCCATCACGACCGTAGTACAATGTACGACCGACACAGCACGTCTCGTCTGCCAAATACGCATCTTGAAGAAAGAGAGGGAATTATATAACCTACAGAAGGGAATTAGTTTCCTGCTCAGGTGATAGGTGGTATAGTGCACATGGATATAATCATATAGTTATAGCTTCCCGCAACCCGCAGCCCGCAATCAGATCGGTTGGGTTGGGTTGAGTTGGGTTGGGTTGGTTAACCAACCGCTACTTCGATGTCCGTTCGTACCGTTATATCTTTCAGTTCGAGAGCGCTGTTCCGGTTCCACATTCGGCCTCTAACACGGTCATCTTTGTAGAGGAGTTTCTTTGTGTCGGAGGGGTCGGTATAGGTTCCGCCGGGGACAGTCGGGCCTGTGGACGAGTGTGGTGGGGTCGAGCCGGTGTGTTTCTTTTGCGATCCTAGCATGAAGCGCGGGAACATCCCGCGGATGATCGGGAGGCAGGAGACTACGAGGCCGACGGAGGGTTCGATGTGCGTCCATAGGGTGGCTTCGTAGATGGTGTCTGCGTTGGGGTTGGGCTGTGAGAGTGCGTCGGAATGTGTGGATCAGAAGCAGGCTTACATGTCTCATCGGCTTGGTCGATGTGAAAAAGCACCACGATGCGGTATATACTTGCGAAACAAACACTGCATGGGTGGCGTGTTAAAGAGGTGGGAAGGGGGGTTGGAGAGGAAAAAGGGATGGGATAACTCACAACCCCCCCAGTGCGAAAACCGCATTCAGGGCCAACTTATCCTGCCACGAGCGATGCAGACTCCAGATCATGGGGACCGGGGCTGCCAGGATTACGAAGTCCATAATTACGTTGAACGCCTGGTTGACGATGATGAAGGTCATTCCGTTGAAGCATTGGCCTTCGATGTTTGGGTCCCAGAATTTGCTCAGCGGTCGACATTGGAATGCGCATGCGAGGAAGATGCCCGTGGACCAGAGGGCGATGAGCGTGCTCAGGTAGAAGGTGAACCGGAGAAAGGGCTTAGTGGTGAAGAGTCGGCGGAAAAAGCAGATGATGGAGATTTTGATGGCCGGGGTGAGGGCGAAATAGGTGAATTGGTTGGAGAGGAAGATCTACAGTGGTTAGTTAGGATGAGGGTTGGATCGCGGGGAGAATGGAATACTTACTTGGTAGAAAAGCACGAGCGTCTGCGGGTCGAGGTCGGAAACGTGGTAGCCATTGCCGCCAATGCCGCACCCTGGTGGGGGTTAACGTTCACTTCCGCCGATGGATGGATGGGTCAGGCACGGGCTAAGCTCACAGAGGATCAGTTCAACCAACATCCCGATCATGAGCAGGATCGACACGAAGCAGAGGTAGTCGTCCACGCCGAAGCCGGTCTGGCGCTTGATCCTCGCGACGACCCGGAGGGCCGTGCTGAGGGTGGCCACACCGACCAGGACGGAGACGATGACAATGATGTCCTTGCCCTTAGGGCTGGGGCTCATCCTGACCGGACGGCGCAAAAGCCAGGGAGGAGCGATCGAGGAGAACAAAGGACAAAAGACAAAGAACGGGGCGGGGTTGGCCAGTCCATCAGGGCCTGATCGGGGTATTTATTCCTGCCTTGCGTGATCTCCCTCGTGTGACGCTGTGCGATGCCACTGGCACCCTCGGCTGGCGGGCTGTGAATGTCGAATGTCGAATGTGACTCGGTCCTTCCCGGCTTATCGCCGCTTGGCTGCAGCCTTGCGTCCGCCCTTGGAAGCTCTATTAAAGACGCAACGATCTCCATCCGGTCTCGATGATATCTCTCAGAGCTACATCTGAATCTGACATCATACGAATCTACCATGGGCGACTGCTGCGATACTACCACCCCCCCTGTCATTGTTCCCCTGATCATCGACGGGGAGGAGGAGAGTGGCGCGTCTACGTTCGACGTGAAGAGTCCCTACACCGGCAAGACCTGCTGGAAGGCAGCAGCAGCTTCGCGACAGGACGCAATCCGAGCCGTGGAGTCGGCAAACGATGCCTTTCCCGCGTGGTCTGAGACCAAGCCTACCGTCCGACGCGACATCCTGCTCAAGGCAGCCGATATCCTGGAGAGTCGCTTGGAGGAGTGCGCGGGTTACATGCGCACAGAGATGGGGGCCGACGTTGGTGCCTCACAATACTTTGTTGTGCCTCTTGCCATTCGCATGCTGAGGGACATCGCGGGCCGTATCACCTCGATCTGCGGCAGCGTGCCGGTGGTCGAGCAAGAGGGACAGAGTGCGATCGTGCTCAAGGAGCCAATGGGTGTGATCCTGGGTGTTGTGCCGTGGTAAGTAAGAACTGTGGCAGGTCTAGTCGCGGCTCTGATGTCTAACGCCCCCAGGAATGCCCCCTACGTCTTTGGAATTCGTGCGGCCGCGTGCGCCCTTGCAGGTGGGAATACAACTGTCATCAAGGCTTCGGAGATAACCCCGCGATGCTACTGGGCCATCGGGCGCGCGTTCCTCGATGCTGGCCTCCCCAAGGGATGCTTCAATGTGATTTCCACCCCTGCCGAGGATGCCCCGGAACTGGTCAATGCTATGATCGAGCACCCCGCGGTCCGAAAGATCAATTTCACTGGAAGCACGGCTACCGGCAGGAAGATTGCCACCTCGTGCGGAAGGAACCTTAAGCCATGCTTGATGGAGCTTGGAGGGAAGAACAGCGCGATCATTTGTGCGGATGCCGACCTGGATATCGCCGTCAAGGATGTCCTTGCGGGGGCTTTGCTGAATGTGGGGACCAGTCCTACATTTCTTTTGTGAGTGTATTGCTGACAGGACCGTAGTCGGGCCAGATCTGCATGTCGACCGATCGTGTACTGGTTCACAGTGCTATTGCGCCGATATTCATGCAGCAGGTAAGGCTAGCTCTCAGTCAGATGGACACTCAATGCACGCCTACACTCGTCCATGCAGCATCTGTGGCTCGCGTGGAAAGCCTGGTCTCTGGCGCAATCCACAGCGGGGCACGACTGGTCCATGACAAAAAGGAGGAGAAGAATGTATCTGACGAGGGGATTCGCATGCGCCCCGTTGTCTTGGAAGGTGTCACGGAGGACATGGGGGTGTGGAACGAGGAAGCGTTTGCCCCCTTGGCTGCATGCAGGATAGTCAGCAGCGACGAGGAAGCCGTGCGGCTTGCCAATAGCACCGGATACGGTCTCTCTGCTGCTATCTTCACGCAGGACCTCCGCAAGGGACTCGCAATGGCCAAAAAGCTGCAGAGCGGGTGAGTCACTCCGGCATGGAAAGGATCTTCCGAGAGCGACCATGTGCTGACAGACAGACACAGTGCGGTGCACATCAACAGCATGACTATCCACGATGAACCAGTGCTGCCACATGGGGGAGTCAAGAACAGCGGGTGGGGACGGTTCAATGCAGCGGAGGGCCTGAACGAGTTTCTCGTGACCAAGAATGTGACGTGGATGGACTGAGTTCCAATCGGGAGTTCAGGAATCATGCACGAGTCCTTTTTTGTGTTGGAAAGGCCTCATGGCAGGGATTGGCCATTCGAGGGTCTCGAACCCAAAAGAAGGGGTTTACGCACTTTTAGCCTAGCAATCATGCCCTAGTGTTGGCGCCAATGTTGTCACTACCGGACGATCGCACGCTACAGTCGGCTAATTGTAATCCTGGATTGTGGCTAGACTGTAATCACATAGCCTCCCCCTGTCCTGCAAGGTTGCTTACCAGTGTACTGATTGGACAACTATCTATCTCTCGAGGCAAACCCCATTCTACCCCTTGCATTCAACCCTCTCTCACCACCAACCCCTGAACAACACCAACAAGAGCTGTACCGTCTGGCCACTAAATGCTGACTGCATCACAAACATCAATTCCTTGCCCTAATAGGCTATCTAGCATCGAAATCACGCGTCCTTGCCGCGCTTCTCGTTCCAGAGCTGCTCCGCCGTCCACATTTCCTCGGAGCCCTCACTGCGCTTCTCACCAGCGCTCCAGACACTCTCAGCTGCTTCACCGCGTTTCTCGTTCCAGATTTGCTCCACATTCCAAGTAATCACGGAGTCCTCCGCGCGCTTCTCGTTCCAGATCTGCTCTGCCGTCCAGAGATTCTCGCTGTTTTCGGTCCGTTTACCTGGATCTTTAGTACCTCCGTGCTTTCATCAAGATGGGAGGATAATTGGCCTTACTATTTTGGGTGATGGGGGCCGCGGTTACTGCAACCGAAAGAGAGAGCAGGGAGGCGAGGAGGAGGAACTTCATTGTGATGGACTGATTGATTGACTAACCGGATGGTGTGACTTGAGCAATTGTATCAGACCGTCTTGATGGAATGACTGCTAGACTATCATTGCGCGATATTGGAAGACATATATTTATACCCATGATAGCTGACATTGTGCCGTCTCTCCCGGGTCGGAGGAGCCCGCTGTAAGGCACTCTGCCTCATGCAGTCGGGTGTATCAGTTGACCTGGTCTGGACGTCGGCGCGTGTTTGCTTGATGCCTCACTTAGACGTGGGATACTGCGGCTGAGGATGAATTCAATGTTTTCTTTTGGGGTGATCTCGCAGAATGGGTACTTGAATCTCGCCAATAAATGGATTTGATGCTAGCAGAAGGCAAAGTCAGACGCAGGTCCTACTATCTCCCCGTTTCCAACCGAGCCATTATACTGGAATTCGTCCGGAGAAGCAATGCCCCCGCCAGAGTATCACTTCTTAGGTGAAAGACATGATCCAGAACACCCGGATAATACTTCCCCATGCAAGCGATGGACTTTCCTTTGTTCCAATGTCTACTTGGCCATCATTCATACGATTCTACTCACACTCTCATTATCCTTTTTCCTAAGTATCCGACACAACACGACAGAGTCAACGACGAATACCCAGTGCGCCCAACCACTCTCACTGGAAGGTAAGCCGTTGCTCCCATCAATTCCCTCCAGCTCGAGAACTAAACAACGACACCAGGATTATCCGGACCAGACTCTCTAGATCGCTGCCTCGTCCAGCGCTTCTCAAACGACCCGCATTCCGTATTTCGGGGCCCGCCGAGCAATGAAACCGACGAGGCGTGGGATCGGATAGTCAAAGGTCAGTTCACTCATGTCATGCTTGTGCTTGCATCTCTTTCATCCTTAATGACACAGCTTTTCTACCTATTAGTCGGTCCATTCAACATCCCCATAGCCAACGCCGACCCTGGAATTCCATCAAACAGCCCAATAGAGCCTCACCTAGCCAACCTAGGCGTCTTCCACCAGTTACACTGCCTTGTACGCTCCCACTCTCACTCTCACTCCCCCCTCCTCCTCCATCCCCCTCGCGTCAAACCCCAACCAACAAACCAACCCCCTAATCATCGAACAGAAAGCCCTCTGGCAACACACTTACCTCGACTACTACGCGCCCCGCAACCCTATCTTCAGCAAATCCGACCTTGAAATCCACAACCACCTCGGTTCGACCCCAACCCTCACACCCTTGAATCCCTCCTAACCAGAAAATCCTATAGACCACTGCACCGACTACCTCCGCCAAGCCCTAACCTGCCACTCCGACACCAGCATCATAACCTTCCATTCCACCCCCGGCCACTCCCTCCCCACACCATCGTATGAACTGCCTCGCACGTGCAGAGACTTCGAGGCTCTCCGGGCGTGGGTCGTGGAACATGAAGCGGCTCTGTAAGTAGAATCGAATCGAGAGAGTTAGTCTTTGTTTCTTCTGTAGCGTCATGATCCTTGTAGATGGGTTAGGTCAGCATTACTTCCCTCGCCGAGCCATTCCCTCTCTGTGGAGCGAAGTATAACTAGTGCTTATGGCTGAGCCGTGGTGGGGGTTATGTTATGGACAGGGGTTAATTTATAATTACAAGGGTAAGTGAAGGCGCGCGTAACTAAGGGTTGCGCTTGTTCTTGGGGCGTGTTGGGTCTTTGTTCCAACTTCATGTGGCTGGGGAATGGGGCTTCGTGTGGGTTTTTATGGTGGCCTGTAGCCTTGTAGGCGTGCCTGGCTAGTGCTTATGGTGTTTTGATGGGAGGGAGGGTTTGGAGGGCTTGTTGGTGGTTAGTAGGGATCGACAGTACATGCTATACTCTGTACCTGTGGTGGCTGCTACCTCGCTAGGGGGGCTATGTTCGTGACACAAGATTGTGTGAGATTTCTCTTGTTCTTGCAATGTACAAAGGCACGGTGTGACGAGGCTCAACAACCGCTGGGGCGGGGATGGAGGATTAGAGGTGCTGTCTTTGGAGTGATGGCACTCGGCCACAGGAACATCTCTGTCGTCGACAACGGATATTCGTCATTTATGATAATAGAAGGATTAATCTAACACGACGAGCAAAATGCATGAATGACAGAAAGGCAGACGAACAGCCAACTGGCAAGACGTATCCGTGGCCGAACAAATTCGATGTCATAATGTCCACAGGTTACAGAGTAGAGCCAATCATGTACATAGTAGTCAGAATACCAGTCAAAGAAATCATGGCAATGCAAGTGCTAAACTTGGTCCAACTCAGGAATGAAGGTAAGCAAGGCAGCCCTCACTTCTTCTGATAGCGGCCAATCAGCAAACTTCGTATTTTCCAAGTCCTCATTACTAAAGAGTATTTCCAGATCAGCGCGCGAGTGCCATTTGCGCAGCTGAGGGTCTAAGAGAGACTTGAAAGGTCGATCTGATTTGAGGAGGGCCTCGTACATGCGAGACGCCAGGACGCCGTATGGGTCTGCGCCTGTGTAGGCGGGTACACGTTTAAATGCGTCCGTTATCTGGGTTTTGCCCCTAAGCATGGATAGGAATCCTTCTGGCTCTGCCATATCGAATCTGCGACAGCCTTCGATCAGGCTCCGGGGTTTATCTGTACGATCCACGATAATGGCTTCGTGGCGCTCGTATATCCAACTGAAACTGTCTTTATAGGAACGTATCTTGTCAATGAGAATGCCAATGGTCAAGTGTGGTCGTTTCGGAGGTTTATCCGGCTCTCCAGGGTCGATGATTTCTATGTCCGCTTCATCTGCTGGCACGGGGACATCTGCTGCTTCGCAAGCCTCCCGCCTTTTTGCCTGCTCTCGGTGCTTGTCTATGAAGGAGTCAATCATGTTCAGCTGTTCTTGCAGGGTGATCGCTGCCGGTCCATTAGGGAGTAATTGTTCCTGTGCGTATCTAGGAACGTGATAATAACAAAAATTGCCCGTGTCCCATGCGTCCCGCCGTTGCGCGAGGGCTAGAGTGACTGCGGCATTGATATCGTCAGTCGTATGTGCTGTGGTCAGATGTAGAAATCGGCCCTCCCATTTGATATGAGCTTCCTGCCACTGGAACATTTGTGCTTTGTATTTTCCAAGCAACTGCCGAAGGTCTAATGCCAGGTCGTGGAGGGCATCTGCCACGGCCCTATGTCGTGCTGCCCTGGAAGTCCATCCACGGTCGAAGATAACATCACCTGGCTTGATTATTCTCCCACTAGCGTCGACCAGATTATACTCCAGCCTGTTGGTTTCTGGTCGCAGATAAACTTACTCATAAGCACGAGACACTAGGTACGTAGTTCCATCGTACTTTCGTTTATGTGGCATGCCTTGCTCTGATATCGGATGGAGGATGCCGACTCGAGTCAGAACGGGCTTGCAATCGAAGTGAAGTGTTGGTACGGGTGGAGGTGTTTCGATATCAGGCCAGCTGGTAGATAGTGGAGGCCAGCGGATGCTTGTCAGGAAACGTAGGGGTGAGGAGACCCAGCTCGTGAGATCTGGACTCATGCCAACCGCATACTCCGTGTCATCTATCTTTAGCTTCTTGCGTATCTCATCCGCCGTGCAAGGCTCTTGTGGCATGTTGACCGGTGCTCGCTTGTGGTTGTTGTCCATTTCGTCGGTATTTCTGGAGGGGTTGTGGAGGGGGTAAATTGGGAGAGAGCAAACACTGACAAGAGACAGCTAAGCAAGAAGCGCAGGAAATAGGATTTTATGCGATACGTGGTGCAAACAGGGGGAAATGTGCAGCGAGACAGTAAATTGGCCGTGGGAGGAAGCAAACGGGCAGCCTCGGTCAGTGTCTATTTCACCTTCCTTGGTCATGCTCCTTCCAAAGCCATAGCTATCCAAAGGAGATCTCTAGGATGGTCGAGGCCGATGTCAACACCGTGACTCTCTGCGGCCAGTACGACTTGACGGCAGGAGCCTTTACAACTTTCGTCATCACCGCCAATTCTAGTATGGGCGACCTCGCGAACACCGCGAAGGAAGTACTTCGCACTATTGAGGGCAAGGACGGCTGTGGGAATCAAGAGATCCTTCTCGGACAGAGTGAGTTGGTGATCAGTTCGGTTTTAAGCTCACTGCCTCTTCGACTGGGAGGGGCCGTCCGGGCTCATCGAAGTCATCCCGATGCCCAGGCATGAATATGGTGCTGGTGACTTGAGGATGCAAGTGAAAGGCTGTTTTGCAGCTATGGCCATCCCCAAACGCAAAGGTGCTGGGGCGTCGCCACGACATACAATCCGACTGTCTCCAACAGTGGAAAGCAGGCGGACCAGTATTCACCAGTCCGGGGTGAGTCTCTGGCCAAGCTTGGTTGTGGAGACAGCTATCTCGGAAAGTGAAAGAAAGCTCCACGAGGATTTCAAGTGGTGGTTTCGGATTTCCAGCGGGGGTGTGAGGATAGTGATCTTTTTTATGACAAGGCAAAGAATCCTAAGGGCCCAAATGTGGCACTTAGCCCCCCCCCCCGGAACGCTCCGACGCATCTCATTCGTGGCTATATTGCAGGACAGTGGAAACAATCTCCAAACATGCCTCCACTGGTGAGACAGTCGGCCATGACGCAGAGGGGCTACATAGTCTACGAATCACCGTCATTCCAACCAGTGTCGTAGGGGTGTTGATGATTTTGCCGTTCCAGTACAATCGACTCGAACCTAGGGAAGCCGATGTCACCATCTCAACCCAGGACTTCGTGGATATTCTCGATACTGGTTTTTGATACTACCCTTATGGACTACTAGTAATACTACTAGTACTCCTGTCTTCTGAAGAGCCGACCTCCAGTTGAAGCACTTCGCAACGCGGAAGAACCCGTCAAAGAGTCTGAAAAAGGCGTCTTGTAACTATTGTACAGAATGCAAATTATCAGGCCGCCGTGCCGAATACCTGGATCTCCGCCAGCCCTACATTGCCTGTCGACGGACTGACCGAAGTGATCGTAACGGTCAGACCTTTGATCGTCTTCTCAACATCTACCTTGGTGGGCTTCCCATAGGTATCCAGTGCCCCAAAGTCCACACTCGAACCATCATCGAAATCAATCCTTCCCCCAGTGACCTGATCATCGACATTGAACCGGTCATACAGGAACACCTGCGACACGGTCTGCGGACTCGCCCAAGTCAACGTCAACCAACTCCCCTCCTTCCCACTCACGGTCGCCCACTCTGCTGTCGAATCCCCCGGATAGCCCGTCAGCACCCCATCGACAGCCTTGTCCGCCGTCTGGCCATTCGCCGTGCCCTCAGACGACGCCGTCACCGTCGCACTCCCGGCCACATTGCTCCCCGGGGCTGTAATAACCGACACTCTGGACGGCGAGCTGCTCAACTTCCCATTGCTAACCACCAGCTCAAACTCCAACGTCTGCGGCTCCTCCGGCGCCGTGAACGACACCTGCTCTGCACTTTCATCTGCCAACGCAACCACCTCCCCTCCCACCTGCGTCCACTCATACGACAACTCCCCCCCATTCGGATCATGACTCCCCGATCCATCCAACTGCACCCTCCCACCAGTCCCCACAACCCTCCCCTCTGCCCCCATCACCATGGCACTCGCAACCGGCTCGCCACTCAAAGCATACTGCCTCTTCATCCACCCCGCCTCATTTCCCCCCGCACACCCCGCCTGATCCCGACAAACCTTACTATCATGTTCCGCATACGTATAGAACACCATCTGCTTCTCCGCCAGTTCATCCCCACTTAAATCCTCCGGCTCCTGCGCAACCGGATACCCGGTATACCCGGTCAACGTATGTCCACCGGTATACCCCTTCGCCGCCAACTGGACATAATGCCCCGTCGTGACATGGTCACTATGATCCTGCCCATCTCCAAACTCCCTCTCATAATCACCCGTGTTTATCCGATCCGGCTGGAAATCCTCCATCACGCCCGTGAGCGTGCTAATCATCTCGTCATTCGTGTAATTCATCGACCCGTCAAGCGTCGGAATGGAGTGGATATCACCGTCCCAGAGTCTCTGTAGACTCACGCTCCCTGTCGTGGAGAATCCGTCCCCGCGAGGTTTCCGTCGGGGAGTTGCATGAATAGTAACGATATGTCGGGGTTTCCGGTGAGTGTGTAGAGGGTGATGCTCTTGGAGGAGATGGTGAGGGAGGATTGGGTCCAGGCGTTGGCGGTATCGGCCATTCGGGCGTACGCGGCTTGGGAGCCTGATTGGCGTTGCGTGTAGTAGCTGGATGTGTCGCCTGCATCGCCGGCTGTGAGGTAGAGCGTGCGTACGCGTCGCCCGGATTGGATGTCATGGGGGATGTCTGGGCTCAGGAAGAGAAGGTCGTCGTCTTGGTGGGCGACTATGTTAAGGGTTTGGGAGGTCGTTGTCGGGAGGTGCGTGAGGAGTGTTGTTAGGAGAGGTAGCAGGGTGAGGGGTTTCATTTTGCTGGTTGATGGCGCTGTAGTGCTGCCGGGGATGGGAGTGAGGTGAATGGTAGATTGGGATTGTGTTACTGAGGTGTTTATATTTCTGGATTTATCTTTCTTGGTTTGTTTTTCTGGTTCATGTCATCAGGTTTGTTTGGGAATGTGGTGCTTTGATGTGGTCTGGTGGTGTTTACTTGTTTACATTCCTTGAGACATTCCGGATGATGTAGATAGTATCAGCCGACGAGAGTTCTGCCTTACCAGATTTACACGACTGAGCCATTCATTCTATGCAGGATGTAATAATATCCCTGGCAGACAAATAAAGTACACCAGGTTGCTGTAGGTAAGTGTAGTCCGGCATTTCTGGGGTGGTTTCCGGGACATCAATTGTTCTATTCAGTCAGGCATGGGAAAACAGCACATGTATTGTAGTGGCTCCTTCCTATGGGGGAGAGTATGGAGTTCGACCTGTAGCTAGAATTAGCCTACCTGTCCGTTATTCATTTTCCCACTGCCATGAACCACGCCCTTTCCTGTTCCTTGTATAGCTTCATTAACCCCCTCAAAGTTTCAATACATTCCACGGGGCTTCCAGTTTCATTAGGGTCGAGAAAGCGTATTTTTTAAAAAACATCCTGTATTGGTTTATGATCAGACATTCGCTTGATGGCCACCTTTTCACTATAGAGAGAACATTCATGTACTCCCATTGCTTCATCTGTTCGAAGGATTGCTAAAGGCTGGCGCCGAGGGTTGCCTCCAATGTCGCCACTGAACTTTCATAGGACTTTCAGGTACAATATAAATATTAATTAATCCAGATAAACTGGTAGAACTGTCTTCCAGAAGAAAGCACGGTAGACTGATGATCCCTGCCCAACTCAAGCATCGAGTACTGACTCGATACAATACATTATTATAGATCAACAAACGATTGATTCTTTTGAATTGATTAGAGATAAACCGGAAGACAGGTACTTCCAGGAAAAGACTACCTCGACCCCCCCCCCCCCCCCGAGGCTCCAAAACCTTTAACCGTTACACGCACCGCGAAGACCTCGAGTTGACAACTCATTAGCGGGAATCTTTTCCAGCCCCGCACTAGACGACAACAACTGGTCCACTGAGGAGGATAAAGTCTCCAATCTCCACCATCCTGGGTTTCCCGTGTCCACAATCCTTCAGAACCAAATCCAGATTGACCATCATGGCCCCTCCCAGAATCTTCCTGTACGCGAGGAACGCGAGGAGTGCAACTACCCTTCCTGTGCAAACTGACACAAGGCACCTACCTGTCCATCTAGAACTGGGGCGGCAGGATACGTAGGCGGAGACTTCCTCTACCTCCTAACCCAGACTCATCCCGAATGAGAGGTCAATGCCATGATTCGGGACGAAGAAAAGGTCCAGTCTGGTGAAAGAGTATCCCAATGTGCGGGCCGTGAAGGGCGATCTTGACTCCTCTGAGATCATTAAGGAGACCAAGCTCGCTGATATTGTCTACTGCGGACCCCTAGAATCCCATGTATATACTCAAGTACACCCGGGAGGAGGTGGGACTCACCCTTGTAAGTATGCATATCCCGCGGATATCATCCCTTACAACTATAAAAAATTAAATTCTTAATTATTCATCAGAAATCCGATTTATATAATTTAGTATTATAATATCTTGCACTGGCTCTATGCCTCACTCCCATCCCTCAAGCTATACGAAGGAGTCGAAGGGAAAAACAAATGGACATCTGTTATGTCTGAGCGCTTCAACCTTCACCTAACAAACGGCCGCGTCAAACCCCACAGGCAGTACTCCACTCAATCAAATAAAGTTCGTTCAATCTAAACGGCTCCCGAACCGGTACAGTCGACTCGGAGCATATCCCGAAGTTGCGGTGATCGCCTCCCTACAGCTTAATGCCTCACCTATCTATCTTTTAACTAGGCTGTCCTGGAAAAGAGAGGGAAATAATCAATCATAGTAGTAACTCCATCCTGATCCGACACCAACTTGATATCCATCTTATCGACAAGCTACCTCTCAGCCATTTTTTTGCACTTCAGTGGCCGCAAACCCCGACATGACCCTCCGATCGGCATCGGCGCAAATGCTCGATAGGGCTAACTGGGCCTGAACTGCTCCCACCCATCGGATCTCCGTCCAGAACATCATCCGAGCTGATGCTGAGACCACTTGATCTGCAGTTGGATTGTGAGTTATCGTCGGATCTTCATGGTTTAATCTACTCAACAGATAGTCGGAATTCAGATAGGATATTCCGACCGCTCACCGACCTCCGAGTCCGAGTCCGAATCCATTCGGGCACCTTCACCGCGCCGCACCGCCTCTCTCTCTCTTCCTTCCTTCCTTCCTTCCCAATTCCGTTATTCCCCCCCCCTTAATAACAGCATTAGTCTTCGGCGCCGACCGAGTAACCTTATAACCAGGAACCACGAACTATACCAACCCTATTAAGTCAAGGATCTAGTACCACAACAAACACACGTTTATAATATACGTAGTCACCAGTGACGCTTTTAGCCTATATACAACTCACAATCTCCCCCTCTTCGTTTCTTCTTTTTTGTGACTGCTGGGGGTAGGGTTGTCACCAATTAACCTAATTTAACCTGTCCCGCCGGCGGCATCAAATAGATGAACCACCCGTAGTGTACTTTGTACACGGCACTGGTCCTCCGTATCCGTAGTTGGTAATTATTATTTATCTATCTAGCATCTATCTACCGAACCAAACCCCGAGTCGGGAAAATGGTTTTTTTTTTATCAAATGTGGATCCCGATAGTTTAATCTACTTACGTACGCGGCACCGTTGCGGGCGTGGGCGAAACGTGGGTCGGGGGTTTTTCGGTGATTGATAGGGGGGCTGGCCTCTGGATTTCGGATTTTGGATTATTTTGGATGGACGATTGTGGGGATGTGGAAATTGTTGTTATTGGTTTTGTATTGTTTTTTTTCTTGGTTCTGGTGGATTATGTACAGTAATAGGTATCTAGGGTGGTCCTGTTTATTGTTTGTGCGGTTGGTGGATGGGAGAAAGAAGGAAGGGTGAAGGCTTGGTATTAGGATTAGGGCGCAGCGCACAGAGGGCCGATTAAGGTAATGGATATGGATGGATCCATGGATGTAGGGCTAGGGGGCTAGGAGGGGGGGATGGCTCAAGAGCATTCGCTGATGTAGATGAAGTACCACTTGTGGGCAGACACGCTGTCCAGCCAGGTGCCGTCGTTGCCCTCGGTGGAGTCCACCCCCACGATGTCGTCGACGTCCGAGTCGGTCACGGTCACGTCGTTGGCGCTGGTGATCCAGTACTCGGGGCTGAAGTGGTGGTAGCCCAGGAGCTTGGGCGGGAGCTTGGGCACGATGTCGTCTGTGTGGGTGACCCGGTAGTTGCTGCCCATGTCCTGGTCCGTGATGTAGTCGGCCAGCGCAAGGTTACCGATACGGGGTTGGCCGTAGTCGTACTGTTGATGGTTAGAGGTTTCTCTGGGAGAGGGATTGGGATTGGGATTAGGGGGGAAGACATACCAGGTCAACGGTGTATCCGGCGTTACGGAACACGGTGGCGGCGATGGCAGCCAGAGCAGCGCCGTAGCTGTGTCCAGTGAAGACGATCGAGTAGTCGGGGTACTCGGCAATCGCGGCCTCGACCTTCGCGGTGATCGTGGCACCGACGGTGTTCCACGCATCGTAGAACCCGCTGTGCATTTCACAGCCCGAACAGATGTCGCTCACGGACGTGAGGCCGAAGTCCAGGTCGGCGATCCAGTTCGCGAGATCCGAGCTGCCACGGAAGGCCACCACGACCGCCTCGTTGGTTGGGTCGACGGCGACGAAACCCGTCGCATCACCGAAGTCTGTGCTCCTGTGGATGGTTAGATCGAGCTGTGGTGAGGATTGCACGGGTGACTTACTCGTCGAACTCATCAATGGTCGTGGCGCCGGTAGCCTCGACCAGCGGGCAATTTCCGACGGAGCAGGTCAGGGTTGTACCGGCGGAGTCGATGTTCGAGGAGCAGTAGGATGCAGCACTGTACTGGGCGAAAAGGTCGAGCTTGTCGAGGACAGCAGTCGTCACGGCTGGTAGGGAATCAGTATGAGGGGACCCAACGGTGAGTGCAATGTAGGGCAAGCATACAGCGAGGCTGCACCGGGGCCGGGGCGGGAGCGGCCTGAGCCAGCAGACCAAGGGCGGCGACGACGCCCAGTTCCTTGCGGTTGAACATGTTCACGGCCGAGTGTCAAGTGAGACAGCGCAGGATGAGATTTGAGACAGGATCCGCTGCGTTTCTGGGGAGGGATCAGGAAGCATGGTGGCGATCGTTAATTTATAGGTGAGACAGGCCTGGCAAACGGGGGCTGTCACGACTCGACGGCCCATGACCGGGAATCTCCCGACGAATTGACACGAACCGTCAACGCCTGGACGGCGCAGGGCCGTGATAGCGTGATAGCGTCGTCGACTAGGACGTCCTGGGAGAAGAATTGGAAGAAATCGGGCCAACGTTCCTGGCGCTGCTGCTAAGGGCCAGGATTTAGCCCCAGAAGCTAGTCTGGCCGCGAATCAGCGCCCGCCCCTGGCCCCCGGCCTGAAACCGGGCCACGGCATGTCAGCAGTAAGGGGCGGCCATCAACCATGGCTTGCTGCTCGTGGCTGGCTGTAGGAAATCCCTGTCATCCGGTGGTTCGGGCAATGTTGTTGTTATTTGCACTGTGCACGCTACACCTGGTCTCCTCGACGCATGATGCTATCACGCTGCACCTCCCCTCGTCCTCGTGTCTCGGACTCAAGTGGGCGTCTTTCCCCCGGAAGGATCCCACAATCAATTGCCGCATTCTAGAACCCCAACCAATGATCCCCACCATGTGCCTGATTAGACATGAGCACTCTATCTGCTCCATACACTTCCACCAATCAGGGCAGCGCTTGCCCAATAAACTCGGATCACTGGGACCGACGCTAAAAGATGAGCTCAAGTTCGAAAGCTTGGCGGTGTGCTCCATATCCATTTGGGGCGCGGCAGTGAGTGACACTGGCACTGACCGAGACGAATCGGCATTATCACCGTCCGTTATCGGCAGGGGTTAGCATCCTGCAGCTGCTAGGATCCCCCTTTGCGCGCCTGACCATGGCGGTAGCTACGTCGACGGTCTCCGGTGGACGTCCTTTCGACCCTGGTCGACAGAGAGAATATAGACTTATCTGGAGGACACTTATCCGGGTGATATGGAAGTGAAGAGGTTAGCTCAACTCCGTGGTTACATCGCTCGTGGAAAGGATGTAGGGCTCGCGGTAAATACGCGGTGATCCGGTTGCCAGCTTCTTCCGCCTCCTGAAGGATCACGGGTGCTGGGGTTCGAACCACGGGGATGCTCAGTTGGTCACACCACCTGAATCATAAATGACCGCACTATAACCCTGACGGCGATCGGGGTGATCCGCTTTAGCCAGCAACAATAGCTGACGTGATATCGATGCTTTTGTTGGGGTAAATAAGACTCTGTATTTGGTATGGTCACTTTTAGGCCCTCATTTATTTTTCTCGGTGTCCGTGCTTTTTATTACTTTGGTCGACTCACTGAAATATTGTGGCCATGGCTTCGAAGTGTCCACTCGCTCAGTTTACCTGATTAATGACAGTTAGAGCAATGTCCCAGCAGCTAGCGCCTCCAAGCCAACCCCTATTGCCGTCAGTCCAGAAAGGCGCCTTCAGATCTCGCAGAGAATATAATGTTGTTTTGCAGACAAACCTCACATGGAATACAAAGTTGCGGAAGAGATAAGTATTCATGAGCACTTTTATGGATATTCATGGCAGACAATGATCGACTCTGTGGCCCGATCTAACCCATGACCCGCACCGGCCCACCAGACCCGTAAACGGCCGCCAGTGAGGTTAGAATCAACCATGGCCGTCATGATATAGATGTTTTGTTCTTGTGAAAGCAGGAAGAATCGAGATGAGCGATCGAGAATATATTTCAAACAGTGTCCAGAACTATTGTCGTGAGGAATCCTATTCACTGACAGCACCCTGACTGAGTGGAGCTCCAGTGCTTAGCAGGCTCTTCTCCTTCCCGAAGTTGAAATTCACTGCTTGACGCTGGATAAACAGAGGAAGCATGCCAGCATCTGTGAAAAAAGGCTTCTTACATCTCCTGAGATGTTGAAACGCGACCGTTTCTACACCCTAGTTGGTCATTTGACCGCCATCGTTCGCGAGTCCTGCTTCCGCACCCAATTCGAAGCTTGGGATGAGCCTTGCGAACTGCAGATGGCCTTTGAATGCGGCATCTGCCATTTCGTCGATTCTGTATCAACCAACCCAATCGCTCGCCACCTTCTACTCCGGGACCTTACTACCGATGACACAGACCGTGAAGACCTCACATGCGCGACACGCCTTGCAACTTGAATATACCAGCTTGTCTGGTCTGTAAACTCAGAAAGGGCAAATGCGACGGTCAGAAACCAGATGTCGGGTAAGGGGGCTTGTTTATCAACCGATCCAGAACCGGAGACTCCGACGAGAAACTCCCCAGACATATTAGGGACTCTATCTTCTCGATTTCGAATATATATACTTGAATGCGCAATTTTCTCGATCTGGAGTTGACAAGTGTCCGTATCTGACCGACAAGATACATGCTGCACTTGGACAGTTCAGCTAACAAAACGTACATGGAAACCAAGCGGCGCAACTTATAAGCATAATTAGCAGAAGTGCGCTCACCCCATCTCTCGAACGGCATCCCTCATTCTCTACAGCCAAACATAGCCTTTCAGCATGATTTCCTCGCTTTTGTTGCCACTTGAAGATAAGTTTCCGGAGTCCAACCAGGATGAAAATGGATGGTGCCGAGAGCATGGCTAAATGGTTTTCACAAGTGAGCGACCGAACTCATAACATGCGGCTTGGGAGTGAACTAGCAATGGTTTCGATTTAGAGACGAGTAGAAGTATTCCGACGGTCTCTTAATACAGGAACTCTTGTTCTGAAACCGATGCAGGAGAGTCTCTGCTGATGGAATGGCAGTCGTGGATTGGTTGAGAGTCTATATCTCAACCTCTCTACAAACCTCCAAATTCGTGATTCCAAAATGGTAATGCCACTGTCGTCAACGACAGACCCCTCCTTGATACCAGAGCCCGAAACCTGGAAAGCGACCAACGCATCCCGTTCAACCCTGCCAACCCCCCCTCCCGCCCCTTCCGCCCTCCGGACTGCCTGCGCAATCCCTTCCACTGGCCCCCATCACGACCTACAATTCGCCCTTCTCCCCCGACTAACTACGGTGTGGGTTATCATTGATGTAACCTTACGTTGCTTTGTCCATAGTGATGTGCGTCCGCACCCCCCACATGCGAGTTGCCTGGCTCGGGGATCTGTGTGAGATGCTCCGTGCTTGCTTCGCGGGAATTAGTTCCGGGATCAATTTGAAGCCCTGTCCTGGGGTCCGGTCTGTCATACGTGCAGCTTTTTCTTTCTGGATTGAAGATGTCTAAGGTTTCGCTGGCAGTGGTAAATTTTATAGTGGTTTTTGGAATTGGTGATCGCGTAGACCATGCAGAATATCACAGTTAAGGGGGATACAGCGATCCGGAGAACGAAAGCTGCGGCAAGACACGGCCGGCCATGTTATATTATAGTTGGAAGAAAGTTTGGGAGTGTTGGGAGAATGGGGGATAATGGAAAAAGAGAGAATCGGGAGGGGGAAAGCGTCCTTTAGAGGTGAGTAGTGAATCGTGACTCGGACATGGCTGAGGACACTCTTCAGTACGCGCGGGATGCAGTCGAGGTTGATCACCGGACCGTTAGAAATTGGTGGTTTTCTTCGTGCCCATATAAGAGACCCGAATAGCACTGTTCATGTTGGAGGCCTGTTTTGAATCGTTTGTAGCTACATTTGCGGCCAATGTCAATCTAAGGGACCCGTTAAGATAAGCATGTAAATCTACCTGGAATTGCAGTATAACACATATATCTATACAACCTGGTATCAACAAAAAATAGAGGACACCGATATGGAGTCCATCCCAGAGTTAGGGTTGAAACCGCCAGCAACGAGGACCGTTCTCCGTGTAAAACCTCCAACCCCAAAACGAAATCCCTCAGCACAACCCCCAACAGGCTGGAAACATTTAAGAGTTCTTTACGAATAAAACACCCAGAATCCCCAATTAAACATCTACAAATTATACAGCCGACCCCGACCTGACCGGATCCCGTGTCGAGCCCGGTTTCGGCAACATGTTTCTTTCCCCCCCGAGTTAAGACCCCGTTTCTGGCCGAAGAATGCCACCGCAACCAGAGATCCCCGGCTGTCTGTCTTTTGACTCACGCTTTCGCAACCGACATCTTCCGCAAAGAGTGCGACGCAATGGAGGCAAAATTTCCGAGTTCACGTCTCAAAAGTGAACATCTACGATATGTGCGACCGACTACACCACCACACCACACAACTTCCCCCCATCCAAGTCACTACTACCGATTTAACTGACCATTATCCATCGCACCAAACATCAAGATGATTCGGGGACGGTCCAGGATCCCGAAAATCGTCGTCGCGGCGCTCGCCAGCTATGTTCTTCTCACATTACTGCTCAGTGAGAAAGGGGGCCATTATTGGAATAAGGATTGGGTGGATATTGCGCGCACCACGTTGGAGGATCGCGCGTTGGAGCATATTCAGAATCAGACGCTTGGGGTGGGTGAGCTTTTTTTTTTTTTCTCATTCGCCTGGGCTGGGGGATTGGTGCTGACTCTACTAGTTTGAACACATATACGCCATCGGGTTGAAAGAGCGAACAGACAAGCGAGACTTCCTCACACTGGCTGCCTCCATGGCCGGCTTCCAAGTAGACTGGCTGGATGGTGTGCGACCGGATGAATTTAGCGAGAAGGCCTTGCCGAATGTGAGTATTCTCCATCCGAACTGTCTGTATCTGCTAACATCCCCAGGAAAACGGACTCAAGTCGTCGGAAATCGGATGTTGGCGCGCGCACATGAATGCCCTATCTGAGTCAGTCTCCCGACCATGCCAACCGAAAGATGCCCGCTAACTGTAACAGCATCGTCGAAAACTCCTACTCTACAGCCCTCATCCTGGAGGACGACGCCGACTGGGACATCAACATCAAAAAGCAACTCCCCGAATTCGCACGCGGCGTCCGCGCCCTCACCGGAAACACTGACTCGTCGCGCAACGCCCCCTACGGCACGAACTGGGATATCCTCTGGGTCGGTGGCTGCGCCTCGGCGGCCTCTCCCAACGAGACCCAGTTCTACGCCATCCCGAACGACCCGACCGCTCCGAGTGTAGAGCACCGCGGCACCTGGGGCGGACCGCTCGATGCATGGAAGAGGAAGTTCCCGGAGAACTCGACGCGGTTCATCTACCGGGCTGAGATGGGGTGCTGCACGTACGGATACGCGGTGACAAAGCGCGGCGCGGAGAGGATTCTGGCTGCGTTGTCGGTCGATCGCCTCGTTGCTGCGGTGGATAACTCCATGTCGGATATGTGTGGCGGCAAGGACGGGCGCGAGCAGATCGAGTGCTACGCGCCGTTTCCCAATATGATCGGGACGTATAAGGCGGCGGGTCGCGCGTCCAAGGACTCGGATATCCATGGCGGTAGCGACGAGTGGCATGAGGCGCAGGCCTGGAATTTGATGTATAGCACCAGACTCAATATCCATCGCCTCGTCGCGGGCCAGAACAAGGTCTATGCCCAGTACGATGAGGGGTTCCCTTGGTCGCGCCGCGTCGTGAACAGGGAGGACTTCGAGTATCCGAGGGGGATCTTGGTTACTTGAGCGGAAGTTACACATTTTTGGTTTGATTTCATTTCGCGGGCGTTATCTAGGAATGCATTGCCCTTGTGGCCCCTTGGTTGGAAGTTGTATATTAGCGCTCGGTTACGATTTGTTGGCATATGCGGGTTTTGGACATGCGAGGGGATATTCACACTCACCTACAACTTAGTCACTTTCATCAGCTATCAGGTCATTTCCAACAGTAAGCTCACGACACATCATCACACAGCTGTCGACGGAAACAGGGACAGGAGTCCAGCCAGGGCCCCAGGGGCCGAGGACCTGGACCTGGGCACCCACATTCCGGACCCGCGATCATCCCTTTCTGGCGTCCGTTTCCGGAACCCTATCCCAGTCCCCCGCCCCTGGCCCACGATCTTAGAAGTAACTATAAAGTGTAACCTGGACGCTTTTGCCCGGATTTATCGATCCTGATGCAATCCGGTGGTAGATCACGTCAGGTTGTGGGGCACATGATGCGTTAGCATGTTTTCATCGCCAGTCTGATTCCCCGGCTCCCTCCTCTTAATGTACTAGTAGCATTGGACTGTCGGTCATGACCACCGGTGCCATACCCCCAGACTCGAGGTGACTGTCAGAGTGGATCGGATGTGCCAAAGCCTCCGCTTACAATAAGGATCTTGGGCGCTTGAAGGCTCAGCATAGGGGATGCATCTTTCGGAAGATAGCATCTAGACACCCAGAAACGACAAGAGCCATTCCAATTGCTCTCACAATGGTTGTTGCAGGACCAGACCCGAAGGAGGAGGTCCAGGAGCATACAGGGCTGCTCAACTCGTTGAATTGCGATTCAGCGACCCCTCCACCGGACGATGTCAAGCTCGAGCTCGGATACTATACCACCGATGACGAGAAGAGGCTCTCAGACGCGCCAGAGCCGCAGGGTGGAAACATTCGGCTTCTCATTTGGATGACAATCAACATTGTCGCAACTGTTGCCATTGTAAGTTGACTTTGCGGATAATGGAGCCAAGAGCTGACAATCCAGGTCTTCACCAACAAATCCGTTCTCTCGAACGCAAACTTCCGCAACTCGCAGGTCTCTTTCGCAGCCTACCACTTCACCATCACGGGTTTCACACTATGGCTCGCATCCCGACCCTTCTGCGGCTGGTTCGAACCGAAGCATGTGTCTCCATACCGCATCCTCCATCTCGTCGCGGCGATGTGCATCCAGGTCATCTTCCAAAACCTGGCTCTGGCGTACTCGTCGGTTATATTCCATCAGCTGGCCCGTCTGCTCCTTACCCCCGCGACGGCGCTACTGAATTATACTCTATACCAGTCTAGCATACCCAAATCTGCATTTCTGCCGCTGGTGTTGCTGTGCACCGGAGTCGGGATCGTCTCGTATTTCGATTCTCTCCCGTCGTCCCACGGGAACGATACCACTTCGCCTGAGGGGATATTCTTCGCTCTTTCGGGAGTCTGTGCCAGTGCGCTGTATACCGTGTTGGTCGGGAGATACCACAAGAAGCTGGAGATGAGCAGCATGCAGCTTCTGTTGAACCAGGCGCCCGTCAGTGCTGCTGTCCTGGTGTGTATTGTTCCGTGGATGGAGACGTTCCCCGTTGTCTCGACTGTGCCGGGATCGCTGTGGGCTTCTATCCTAGCGGTAAGACTCCTGTTTTCTTCTTCATGCAAGGTTTAAGCTGACCTGGCGTAGAGTGGAATATTTGCCTGTCTGGTCAACCTGTCGCAGTTTTATATCATCGACGCGGCGGGTCCAGTGACGAGCACCGTGATCGGACAGCTGAAGACTTGCATCATCGTGGGCTTGGGGTGGATGCTCAGCGACCATCGGATTATGCACCAGAGCATTGCAGGGATTTTCCTAGCTCTGACGGGGATGAGCTTGTAGGGCTCCCACTCTCCACTGAATATGACGCTCGCTAATCGGGTAACAGGTACATGAAGATTATGCTTAAGCATCAGAAATAAGGATGGGTGGACCGGAAGGTGTACAGTAGGCGTGGTAATGGAATGGCAGAGGAAATTGGTACATATTTTGGTTTTTTTAGCAGATCTTTATTACAAGCTAGTATGCGGAGCAGATTCACTGGATCTTTCCAGTGAATGGGGTCAAACTTTATCCTACGGTCAAATTGAAAATTATTCTGCTACTGGTCCCCATACTCTAAATTCTGGCTATGTGGCTATCCACGACAGTTACCATCTACAGAAAGACATCGCCATATGCCCTGTCAGAATAAGCTTTATCCCAGCCTCCCCTGACATCGTGGGCGCTGCTTTCTACCAAGACACCCCGGACAACCCAGTTTATGCGCATACTCGAGCACGTCAACTTCCGTTTTCGGAAATTGCCCACGACTGAATGCGACCTGGGGTTCCTGAGCCCGACAGCACAGCAAGTCGCCACAAACAAAACCCGAGTCCCCGGCAGCTCAGTTCAGCGGGGTTCTAAAAAAGAACGGCCGCATGATCTCGGCCTCCCCGACCTCCTCCTCGCAACACAACTGACAGCTACACCTCCGGGGTGCCCTACATCTACATCTACATCTACCCCCCGAGCACCCATCCTCACCTATCCCCCCCACCAACCGTCGCCCACACCCCCGTCCTCATGATTCCCCAATCTCCCCGAGCGTCAGGCCTACAATGGCTCACAGCGCAATTCAGCCGACGCCGCTTCCAGCTCTCCCTCGCCGTCGCAACCACCATCTCCCTCTTCTACTTCCTGCGTCTCAACTTCCTTCCCACCGACTATGACACGCCCTTTCACAACACCCCGTACGCGCGGTCACTATCAGCCAGGGACCTCCTCGCCCGCCCCCTCTCCGACGACATAACCACCATCCCCAAGATCATCCACCAAACGTGGTTTCCCGCCGGCAGCAACATGAGCGAGAACGCCCAAGCCTGGGTGCAGACCATGCGCGAGCAGAACCCAGACTGGGAATACGTCCTTTGGGACGACGAGACAAACCGCATGCTCGTCGAGCAGTATTTCCCCTGGTTTCTGACGGATTACCTTCGTCTCCCGAAGGAGATCCATCGCGCGGACGTGGTGCGGAATCTGTATATGTATCGGTTCGGGGGGTGAGTTCTCCATCCCTGCGTCCTCCTCTGAGTCGAGTTGAATGAAACCCTACTAACAGATCATAGAATGTACGCCGACGTTGACACCGAAGCCCTTCGTCCCGTCGAAGGCCTCTTCACCGGCCACGCAACCTCCCTCGACAAACACACGCGCACCCTCTCCGGCTACAGCAAAAACAAAGATACCACCCAGCGTGGCTTCGTCGGGCACATGGCACACAAGCCCGGTCTCGACGGCCCCGCCGCCGTCCCCAACGGCTGGATGGCCTCGCCCCCCGGCCATCCCTTCTGGCTCCTCCCTGTGATCCACGTGATCGAGAACCCTAACGGGAACGGCGACGGGTCGGTGGAGTCGCTTACCGGCCCTGGGGCGCTGGCGGATATGTTGCGCAAGTACTACACGGAGTTCAGCGATCGCTCTGTCAAGGGTTTCGCCTGCGATAAGATTCGTCGGTGGTCGCCCGGGTGGGATTTGTTCTGTGGGTCTGGGGCTGGGACTGGTGTGGAGGGCGATTTGTTGAATAAGATGGTCGTGCTGCCCCGCCAGCAGATCTATCCGTATAGTTGGACGGATGATAAGAACCCCGCGTGTTTGGCGGCGTATGGGAACCCGGAGTTTGATCCGGAGGAGTGTAAGAGAGTCATTGATGTCGAGGAGTGGCCGAGTTACTTCATTACGTACTGTACGCATTCGTGGTGACGATGGTGGCGAGACTGGATATATTTTGCATTTGTGGGGAACATATGATGTGGATGACTACTTTGCCTGTCGGGGTTGGAACTTGGGGGACTTACCTGGGTAATATCATACAGCGTTTTTCTTTGGCCATCATTTTGCTATGTGTTACAACTGTAGATGTAGCATGATGATGTCATGACCGTGCAGGATCATCAGTTCATGGTTCCTGCCCTAACTATGGGGTGCAAATCATGCCATGCCATCCATGCCACTGTTCCCGGCGGGTACCTGTCTCTTTCCCGGTCGTTGGTTGGCCAATTGCAGCCTGGAGGACGCATCCGTCAGCCCTACTTTGCCTTCCCCCTCACTAGACCTGCCGATCGGCCGCATTCCGAGACTATTGCCATTGATTGCGTTAGGCAGCTGGAATTCCAGCATTTAGCAACAATGTCTGCCTGGTTTCTGCGGCCGCTGGTAATGCATCATCCCTCCTGCACAACCTGAGGAAATTTTCCCACTGGCTACGTCAAAGGGAGCTAATTAAGCTGGCTGACTGACTGACTGACTGACTGACTAATGACTCCCTCAGCCTCCCCCTGTCTCACATTGAGACTTTTCCCCCTTGGGGCCTGAAAGGATCGTAGCGGAAGCTCCCGCCAGCACAAGCTAGCCAGAGTCAGACCCAGACCAGACCCAGGGCCCTGAAGATCCTGTTCTTTGTGGACTTGCTGGTGGCAGCTGGACTGGCAGCTGGACACATCCAATCCCCAACAAAGTCAATCGCTCACCGGTCCCTGACCCAGTCTGTGCCATCGCCTGATCGGGCGAACCCAGCCCGCAGACCCCGTATTTTGTGATGCCTCGCACAGCACTAAAACAGGGCCTGGCACGCGCGGTCCAATGGCACCGGAGTTTAAGTGGCCGCCTACGGACTAGCCGAAGCTTGACAGCCATCCATGTTGTCGTTACTTGTTAGCTAGACTACTACTAGGTACTGCTTGGGGCACGGGGTATGGTAGGGTAGGTTGCACCCGATCGCATTATCCACCCATCCGCAAGCAGCCAGCGTCACACCCAACCTCGTCTCGTCTCGTCTCTTTCTTTAGACTGCGAACCTCCCCCTCCCCCCCCAGGTCTGGGTTTGGGTTTGGTTTTGGAATTTCCAGGTCTAGGTCCGCGGGTTGGTTTTGCTGTGCGCGCTGCTTTGGATTGTCGGTGTATCATTGTTTCTCTATTCTTTGTCTCTTATATATCCCGCGACTGCCGAGTACCTAATCTTCTGGTGTCCTTGGTCTGCCCACCAATGGCAACCACTACTTCCGGATCTCCCTGCTGAACCCTTGTCTGTGGGACAGACACACCCACCCACACACCTACCTATCCATCCATCGATCTATTTATCTGCCCTCCAGATGACGATCTTGGATCTTCCTCCGAAGGAGGCGCCTGTATGGCCTATTATCCTGGGGATTCTGTACGTAGCCTCCCACTAACTACCTACCTACCTACCTACCTTCTATACACATACATTATATTGTGTGCATATCTAATACATCTCCAGATCATGGGTCTTCTGGTCCAATCTGACCATCCTGTTTAATAAATGGGTTATAGAGTCGACGGAATTCCGTATGTCTCTCTCTCGCCTCCCTATTACTGAATGCCCTCGCTAACATGTCGCAGGATACCGTGAGTCAAAACCATCACCACCACCACCACACCTCTCACTACAAAAATATGATACACGGCTAACCTCCACAGCAATCATCCTCACAACATGGCACCTCATCTTCGCCACGCTGGCGACCCAACTCCTCGCCCGCACAACCACCATGCTCGACGGCCGCAAGAAGATCAAAATGGACGGCCGCACCTACCTCCGCATGATCATCCCCATCGGCATCCTCTACAGTGGGAGTCTCGTCTGCAGTAACATTGTTTATCTCTATCTTAACGTCTCGTTTATTCAGATGCTGAAGGTAACCCCCTCCCCCCAAATCCCCCCTTCCCCCCCCAGAATACCTCAATAGCTGATAAGAATTACAACAAAAGGCCGGCGGCCCCATAATCACCCTCCTAACAACCTGGCTCTGGCGCCTCTCCCACCCCTCCCTGGAATCCTTCATCAACATCCTGATCATCGCCCTGGCCGTCTCCCTCGCCGTCGCCGGCGAAGTCCAATTCTCCTGGCTGGGCGTGCTCTTCCAGCTCTCCGCGCTCTTCTTCGACGCGAACCGTCTCGTCATGATCCAGATTCTGGTCTCCGACGAGGGCCAGAAGATGGACCCGCTGGTCACGCTGTATTACTCGGCGCCGGTTTGCGCGTTCACGAATTTTCTGATCGCGTGTGCGACTGAGATGCGCGAGTTTCGGTGGGCGGTTGTGCCGGAGACGGGGTGGGGTGTTCTGATGGCGAATGCCGCTGTGGGGTTTATGTTGAATGTCTCGATTTTTGTCTTGGTATGTGTGATTTCCCTCTGCTTTTTATCCCGTTTCTCCTTTTTTTTTTTTTTTTTTTTTTTTGTTTTTGCTTCGTTGGTTGGATGAGGTGGTGGGTGGGGTTAGAGATGGGTAGAGTCAGGCGCTGTAGGCTGGGAGTGGACTAACTTCAATGCAGATTGGAAAAACCTCCGGCCTAACAATGACGCTCGTCAGCGTGCCGAAGAATATCCTCCTGATCGTCTGCTCCGTGCTCATCTGGGGCACTGTCATCAGTGGGCTGCAGATCTTCGGGTATACGATTGCTTTGCTCGGGCTGTTGTATTATTCCGTCGGATGGCAGACGATCAAGTCTCGGTATGATGCTGGGTATACGAGGCTGGTGGGACATGATAAGTTGCAGGATGGGGAGAATGTTTGATTTTGGCTGGACGAATTCAGTAGGCGTTGGGTTGGGGGTGGGTTGGTGTTGTGTTGGATTTGCGTTGGGATATTGGTATGAAGTGCATTTTGGAGTTTGGGATTGGGATTCGGATTGGGATTAGGTTGGGGTTGGGTGTATGTAATTTCTAAAAGGGTCTTGGTTTCATTTACAGGGTGATGTGATAATATCATGATATGAAATATAACGAAGATCAGTCTTTTGCAGTCGGGAACTATTTGTATGATAAATTAGTTATCAGTGTTGAATCAGCAACCGGCTACCGCTGAAATGGAATCGTAATTGCCAATGGTCGCTGCTATGAGAGGGTATTAACGGTTGTAAATGATACGAGCGTGCTAGGTACAAAAATATTATTCCCCCAAACCTCCCATTGTCCAGGTAATCAATTCTTTACCATTCGTGTAGCACGATAAACTTACTATTGAGTATCCATGAATACAAAACCAGGAAAGAAGAGTGTAAGCACGTACAATACCACCCTGATCCCCCCCCAAGCTCCCCGACAGCGTCTCCATTGCCGACGGTGTCGCCGCGACCTCCTCGTCGATCTGGGCCTGCGCGACCGCGGCACTCTCCTGGATCATCTCAATGGTCTTCTCATCTGGCAGGCGGAACATCTCGAGAGTATGGCTCACGTTATCCACACGGGACTGCAGGCCCTCGATGATCTTTTTTTGTTGCTGGAGGACATCAGGACGGGACGCCTTTGAAGGTCTTGGGCGCATAGGTTGTACGTACCGCTGTGATAACCTTCGTTACGGTCGCTTCGGCGTAATCGCAGGACTCCTCCAGTTTGGCCTTCTTCTAGACGAACACGACGTCCTCGTCGGACGACGTTTTGATGCTGCGGAGGCTGAGTTTGTCGACCAGGACTAGCCCCGGTTGGATACACTGCTCATGCACGGTGAGGTACATGCTCGTGATGCCTCTGTAGAGTGAGAAGCTGGAGCAGATTTGCATGGCCATTTGAAAGATTATCTACTGCAAATGAGTGAGTGTCTGTCTAGCACCATAGAACCAGGATTCTAGAAGATGGGTTGTTCACGGGCCGGAGACGCCGATTCCTTGAAATTCGTCCTTGGCGACGGCAATGGTGCAAGTGGGTAAGTCGGGATATATCTCATGGCTGCTTTCTCCGAGTGGATTCTTAATGTGGTCATAGTCACCTGTTGTGGCGGTGTTTCTGTTTATATATTTTGTGGATATCATGGTGTTTAGGGCGATAAAATGTCTGTGTGACCATGTACTATTTATCCGATAAGTGATCAAAGGAAGTTTCCAAATATGAAATGTACCCGGCGAATAATAGTGCTAAAATATTTCTTCTATCCTCATTTTTCGTGTGTCTCTGATTGCTGCATTGTTTCTTCTCGAGGGAGTCCACCCGAAACTGGGCCACCCAAAGCAGCCTACGCGTATCGTAGCGGAAAACAACACAACATCCCATCCACCACGATATCGCAGACCATTTCAAAACGGCTCGCATCGAAGGAAGGAAAGAATGTGCAAACTGCTAACTCAAATGCCAGAAGACGGGCCGGCTGTCAAAGGGCTACTGCAGAATACTTGGGTGACTGGAGAGCCCAAAGCCGTGTTAACAGTATGCAAATGGCATTAATGCACCGAAGAGTTGTATTATGAGAGAAAATAAGCTTCGTTCTGAATCAGGTTGCCTCATGAACCAGATTCCAACTTTTCCAGCAACTGACCAGTAAATCCACCACCAAACATAATGAAGGTCGAATATAATAACCGCGAGAGAAGAATACTCAGTTCAGAGATAAACTCAGAAACCTTCAGACGCCGAATCGCCTGGATCTTGAAAAACCGGCTTCCGACATTTATCCATATCGAACATGACCCGCTTCATGATGCGAACTACTCTCAGCGCCGGTTCCTCACCATACTCCACTGGCCCTTCCCCCTTGAAATTCCGGCATTTTCTGCGACATCTGTCCGACTTTCCCATGTGAGTTGGGATTTCCCGAGGACAGATATAAACCTTATTCGTCGTTAATGAAACATTGTATTCAGTATCCGCCGCGGATGTCTCAATCTCTGCGTAACAAACATCCACGTTCTTTTCGGAGATGTCATAGCGGATTGTGACGGCCTTATAGTATATTTCTTCCTCTAACCACTTCCGTAGCACATCGATCCCAAAATACCTTGCCTCTTCCAAGATAGCAAGGTACATCGCGAGGTCATGGCCGGTCCGTTTATCATAGAAAAGAGGGAAGACGCCCCGACGGAGATACCGAAGGATGTGCTCGAACAAATCCGGATCGGCGTCGATGAAGTATGATCCGTCGGGAAGTGCGTTCTTCCAGTGACCTTGCAGGAGAGATTGGAAGAATGTACTCTCATCGAGGGTGTAGAGGGTCGTGGTGAATCTGCGCTCCCCTACCTGTAAGACGATCGGGGCGTCTGTAGCAGTGGTAGGGGTTGGTTGTGGATCGGTATCTTGGCTCATTGTGGAAGTATTTTTTCCGCTGGTTTTTGCTGTCGATCAGTTGCGTTGCTGTGTGCAACTTGTCAGTCGTGGAGGGCAGCAGATCGGCTGTTACTTATACTATATCGCCCGGAGGGGCTGGGCGGGGAAGATGATGGCATCCGTGGTCCTTTACGGGATTTACTTCCACCACCTGCCTTAGGTGGGATCGCACGTCCGATATTTAACGACACAACCATCATTTTCATCTGATTAGTTATTCCGAAAGTCCCACCATATCCCATCAACAGCCACCATATTCCGTAAACAGTGAACATTCACCATTGACGACCAAGACATCCCGCCCCCAACCCCACCAAATACCCAAGATACAAAACCCAACACCATCAGCACGACCTCAAACTATGCTATGGAGCCATCGAGCATTCAGCAAAGCACCAGCAGGCAGACGATCCTCCGGGTTGATTCTCAACATAGCCCAAAGCATGGACAGAAGGTCCGTATTCTCCTGGTTCAACTCCCGGCCTACCCAAACATCAAGCCTCGCGCGAGGGCCGTCAACCGCGCCCTGCAGGCGACCCTTTTCATCGAAAAAGCGCTTCACGAGCTGCTTGTCGGCGCGAGAGAGCAGCCGGTGAGGAAACGGACCAAGCACGGCGTCCATCTCGGCCAGGTGATATCGCATGTTATATTCCCCATTCACGGTCCGGCCGTTAAACATCTGATGACAGTCAAAGAACTCCGGGAGCATGACGCCGACGCTCCAGATGTCTACCTCCGTGCTCCACGGTGCCTTGAGGAGGGCCTCTGGGGCGCGGATTATCCGCGGTTGGATGTTCTCGGTGAGGTGCTGGTCCACCCAGCTCGCGAGACCCCAGTCGCAAATGACCACTTGCACCCCCCAGAGCCAGTATGGGCGGTCGAGGTTGAGGGTCCCGAGATCTGCATCGGGGTTGGTCTCCTTGGCCTTTAGCCAGCGTTCGATCACGGAGTAGTCTCGAACTTTTACCATAATATTATCAGATTTTATGTCTGTCGGGAAGAGTGCGTTAGTGTTTGGGTTTCTTGGGCGGACGCCCAGGACCATCACCTACCCGTATGGATAACCCCACAGGAGTGCGCATACTCCAATGCCTTCAGCAGCTGGCGGGTGATAGACTTCAGGATGGTATCGGGGATTCTGGCGTCTTTGAAGAAAAAGCTGAAGCGCCGTAGATCTTCCGCAAGAACCTCCATCACGAGACAGACGTGCCGCCCAAGCGGGCCTTGGTAGATGAAGTCGTCCAGCAGAAACAAGACATGTCGGTATCCCGGGTGCGTGGTATCAGCCGTCCGAAGATGCTTCAAGATCTCGAGTTCGAACAGGCCATTCTGCCCATCGTACCACTTGGGGTTAAGAATCTTGACGGCCTTGTATGTTAGCTGCCTGCAAAGATGAGTTAGTATCCTCTCGCGGGATATGTTGTGCCACAACCTACCGTTGATCCTTTACCAGCCAGACGGACGAGAAAGCCCCCCAGCCAAGCTTTATGATAACCTCATAGCGGTTGTGCAGGAGCTGATGAGGATATACAGGGTCGACATCGGGGTTATCGTTATCGGAACCGCGATCAGTCACAAAAGACGCCATATCGGCCCAGGATAGCTGCAATCGTCTGGAATACGCGATATTCGAAAGAGAAAGAAATCCTGGGATAAGGAAAGGAAGCCCAAGGTGGGGTGGAGAGAGTAAAAGAATCTCTGCGCATGGTTGCTTATAACCTGCACCTACTGACCGCTTTCTGCTACCCATCTGAGTGAAGTTAAAGAGGGAATAACAGTAAATAGCAGATAAAATTCACATATCAACTGTCTCATCCTTAGCACCATTCCAGACAATGGTTGTGAGGGAGGCTTGGAGAATCAGGAACGATTGAACCGTGCTCAATGGCATCCATGGATCACATCCAGACATTCATTAGGACATTGTTGCGGGGAGCAAATGGCAGGAGACCAATGCGGCAACAGGAGTACTCCTTATCACACCCTCCTAGGAAGTGGGAATACAGTCCTGGCAGCGAACAATAGTATTCCGTGATAGAAGTTATATTCCTTCGTCTGAAGAGTGAAGAGCCGAAATGCCGATGTGGTCGTGGCTGGCGCATTTCTGGGCAATCAGTGCGGCGCCGGAGCTTTTGGTCATGGAGGGGAATTGGTTTGGGGGTAACGATGGGGATGTGGAAGTGGTGTGAAGGTAGAGGTGGAAGGGGGGGGGGGGAGGTCGGGGTATGGAGCGTAGTAGATCGCAAGAAATTGGACGGAATCTAGCCCCAGTTATAGCCCTAATTTCCAATATTCATCCAATAGTCCCAAAGGGTGCTGTAATTAGGTATAAGGCAGTATGCAACCAATCAATCAATGGATATTCATCTCAAGACTACAGATAGCCACCCTCATTGGATCAAGAACCTCATCCATCAACTACCCCCATCAGAAACGGATGGCTGAGTAACTTCTCCACCGACAATCTCTTCTTAGGCTCTATCTGCAGCATGGACAACAGAAACGAAACAAGTAGCCAAAGATCCTCCCCGCCAAAGTCAGTTGGCAATCTATCTCGTAGGTACCTGGTAAAGTGCTCCCGCGTCCGTTTCTCATCGCCCAGTAGCTGGTTGATAAGGCGACTATGTTCCCTATCAATTTGGTCCTTTCCGAGACCAAAAGTTCCCAGGGGAAAAAGGGGCTCATTGGTTGCTAGTTCGAATATCTGTGCGGGGGGTTAGGCAATTGTTAAGGGTTTCGCGATGGAAGGAAAGCATACAAGACAGCCCAGCGCCCAGATGTCAATGGTTTTATCCCAAGGTTCTCCGTGAATCAGCTCAGGCGCGCGTAGAGCGGAGGGAGCTACTGGGACTGTGTCGCGATTTCGGCTCGAGATAGCTAAAATCAACCGTCAATCGGGCGCAGGATGCACTGTGATATTGCCCTCACCTCCCCCCAGATCCCCAATCCTAACTAGCAGCGTAGACGCATCTGCATCGTCAAGCTCACCCCGACGTATTTGCGAAGCCACCAGGTACTCTGGAGCGCTACTATCAGCTTCCACCCCCTCAAGCCATTTGACCGTGCTAAGCTCTGGGGGTTGCAGAAGAAGCTCATTTTGCGTGAGCCCGGCCACCGTGAAGAGTATGCTCGCTGGTTGGAGATCTGCATCAAGTCAGCGGATGTCCCAAGCCATCAATGGTACAAACCAACCGCAGTGCGCAATATCCGCTGCATGGAGAAGGTCCAGACCAAGCAAGATCTGTTTGGAGATATTTCGCACATATTCCGCCTCCCGAGGCTTTCCTCGGATCGTCATCGCCTCGCCGTTAGATATCATCGCCGGAAACACGAGACAGAGATGCGTTCCATTGGGACCGTCATGGTGGAAATGATCCAGTAGTTGAATGACATGATTCTGGCCTGGATGGTCAGCACCTGGTGCAGATAAGCGTAGAAGAGTAGAGAGTTCTCGGCTGGCCTCGGAAACATCGGCTTTGAGGATTTTCAATGCAACCTGGTGGTCGCTATTCCGTGTCAGCGAGTTCGGTTGATTCTAGTGACTGATTGGGGCTTACTCTTGATCCTTTGCCAGCCAGACCGTGCAGGATTGCCCGAATGCCAGCTTCCCAATGACCTCATATCTCCCATCCAGGGTATCGCCCAGGTGGACTGGATGGTATCCCCCAAGGCGGTATCCCTCTACCGGCTCCACGATGCCGTGAATTGTCTCAAAGCGAGGCATTTTTATTCATCTGATAATTAATTCACCGGCTCCATTTCACTTATGCGAGCTGGAACACTGGAGATGTGGTAATGGCCGAGGTTGGTTGCAGTTAAGGTTTGATAGCGGGGTGGAAGTGGCAGTTGGAACTGGGTCGTGCGCGGGTGCGGGGAGAGCGTGCTGGTGAATAAAGATCCCCCTTTCCATTACTCTCTGCTTTAGGCAGGCTCCACACAGAAGCTTTCATTTTCTTCTGCTATTCTAATCTCAGTGTACCGACCGCTTCTACATATATAAAGACCACCGCAGCAAAAGGAGACCTCCCCACCCGAGCCTGGAAAGAAGATGAGCATAGTAAATATAACCATAAAACCGGACAAGCTTTGGTGAGGCGTGCACTTCCAAAGGTTCAAATTATGAGTTTACTCATCCCGTCCGTGCTGTCACTACTGCTGTTGTCCCGTCCCCCGCCTTTCTTTCAAACTCTTGCCTGATATTGTCCCGGCCTGGACCAGCTGGGGCTGTGCTTGAAAGTTTCCTGTCATCCTTCCCCTAATGACACCTTGTGAATAGTTACTGCAGTCCCCTCAAACTTACCCCAAACTTCTCAACGGTTTCAGAGGAAAAGTGGTAGTGCTTTCCGCATATCCAGTCTCGGGTTCCTGTGTCGTTCCTGCTATCCGTATCACACCAGTGCATGATCTATTTGCTGCCGGTATGGAGTATAACTCTCTGGGGATGTTACATCCAGTTTCCAAAATGAAGCCAGAAGATAAATCTGCCGTTCTGTGGCAGCTGCCTTAAGGGACGTTCAGAATGATCACCAAAGAAAGACTGAAAAAGGCTGTGGACGTTAAACAGCCGCAAGTTTGATACAAGAGGTATCCCCATCACTTTCTACAGAAGGGAATATGCATACCATATCATTTGACCTCTGACGCCCATTCTAGATCATGGGACTGGGACTATCAGACCAGTCACCGCTCAGTCTTTGTTGTACCTGATCCCCAGTCTTTGGTTCGTGCTATTATACCTTCCTGTCGTTCCATGCCATTAACGCATTTTATCCAGAATTATCTCTGATTGCGACGAGTGACTCGCCACTATTGTTAGGCAGATATGGATAGAATTAACTGCTGTGAGAGGTTGATCAGTCTCTTTCCCTCCTCTTTTAATCCTCTTCCTCTCCCCCCCCTTCCCATCCTCTTCTTTCTCTCTCCCACCCTTTCCTCTGTTGAACCGTCGTGCTCGCATGGTCTTGCCACGTTCAGCCCGGTATAGCAGGATGTGGCCCTATCAGGAGTACAAGCAGCTGGGGCACTGCGTGATCTGCGGTGAGGAGTTCGGTCGGAAGTCCACATTTCGAGCTGGTAAGTCTGCCTGGTTATCTCCTTTCTCTGTATCTTGCTGATCAGACCAAGTCTTCATGCGAGACTATGTCAGCGGCACTGTTTCCATCAGCGATCCACTGGTTTTTAACGAGCACAACACCACGGACGTCTGGGACGGCGATGAGATCATTATGGAGGTCAGCGTCCAGACGATCTCCAACTTCACCGTCCCATGCGTCCACGATATGTGCTTCAAGCTGTCGGGAAAGCCGGACGTCGAGCAGCTCTACTACTTCGGCAACGCCATGACCCCGATTTTCGAAGACGCGATCAAGAACAACGCCTTTGGGGACCCGAGTGCTTTCACCCGGACCTTCCAGAACCTCATAGATCTTTGGAAGATAACCGACGCCCCTGCATCCAACGAGTCGGGCAGCAGAACCCTCACCAGAGTTTTCACCAGTGTGCCCACCGGCGAGGTCCCTACCGGTCACGACATCACTCTGCCCGCAATACTGACCGCGATTGCCCGTCATCTTCCCGTGGAGCTCGCATGCTATGTCTGGGAATCCCTCCCTCCTTGCTTCGCTCGGATCGTCATCGCCCATCATGCCTTCTCCAGTATCTCCGCCCAGACCACTCTGGCCTTCGTTACCGAGAAACGGGAATTCGTCGACCTGCTTGGCGCGGTGATCGTGTACGAGCGAAACTTCTGCGGACAGCCCTACATCTGCGGCATCCAGCAGGACGGCAACCTCTTGGGCTACAGAAGTTTCACCCGTCAGTCTGTCAACGTCCCTCAGTTCACTGCGAAGATTGCTGTCGGGTACGGGGTGTACGGGGTGCAGTGGATCAAGATCCGCTATGACAACCACACGGAGGTTACGCTCGGATCCACCGATGGCAAGACTCTGTACACCTGCATGAGGAAACTGCCTCGGGGCCCTGCCCTTCCTCTCACACTCCACATGGATGTAAGTATGCAGACCATATCACGTTTTCATGGAGCTGACCAGCTTGATGTAGGGTATGAAACTCACCAGGGTTCATGTCAACCTGCCCCTGGCCCACGGGGATAATTTTCTTTGGGATAGCCCGCTTCCCTGGAGTCACACGACCTGGCTGAGTGAGGAACGCCATTTCGAGTGCCCAACTCTCGTCCTCGACGTCGAACGCGCCCACTTTCGCCACATGTCGTGCATCCACTTCTTCAAAGACGGATACATGCTTCGAGGCATCACGGCTTACTGCTCCAGCGTTGGAGGAACTAATGCTATCGGCGTGCATTTCAACTCCCTGTCCGGTGGTGATCCAGTTTCCCATTGGGTGGGACAACAGGTCGGCACCCCCCTGCACTTCTCCCTTCAGAATGATGAGAAAATTGTCCGCATGTGGATCGTGCACCGCAAGACTCTCGTCGTGTGCCCTTATATCGCGGTAAGTTCCACGGGCCCATTTGAAACATCACCTTATTATCCTGCTGACCATGTCTAGGTTAAAACAAACATGGCAAGAGGGTACGTCTTTGCCCCCACCGTGGACAGCAGGAATATCAGGGTCCAGCTCCTGGCGGATAGCAGAGACGGCCAGATCCAGGGTCTGTACAGCGACGTCTCGACGCCCCCCAATCGCTACCTCCGTGATATCGGCGTGCTGCTCTCCCCTCCTCCTCGCACACACGGCGCCTCACGTAGACATTCATCGCAGACTTGTACGGTCTCTGCTGCGGCAATCACAAATCCCTTGCCCGGGGCCTCCTCGTGGGGACACTTCTGTACCCAGGCGACGCTGGAGTCAGCCACCAGCTTCACGGTCTTTTCCTGGCCGGGACGCTGCTTTGGAGTGATGATCAACTATGATGATGGCCGACAGGACTACATCGGTCGCTGGCACGCTAATACAGCCAGACAGGAAACTTTCAGTCTGAGCGCTGGATCGGCTATCCGTTTTGGTTTCCGGGGCAGATCCAGATTCGTAAGCTTTGTTGAGCCGGCGGATCACGACGAGGCCGATTACGATCTTGATAGAGTGGTGGAGGCCCGCTATGGTGTAAGTTGTCGTCTTCCTTGGCTTGGTCAGGTGTTTAAATGTCTCAGGAAATGATTGTTTGGTGGTTTTCGAAGTCGGATGATGAGGTTGAGGTGGGAGAGTAGGGCTATGGAGGGTGCATCTTGGCGATGGTGATGATTGTTTGTGGAGTAATGAGGGAAGAGGGATGTTGCTGGAAGACAAATAATGTTACTAGCGGGAAATTACTCCAGGATCATCACCACAGTAGTTCGCAATCCGATACCTGATTAATCTGGCCAACCCCATAGATGCTCACGTGACGTGGCGGGGCGGAAAAGGAACCCGCTGCCTGAGGCTGCGGCCGAGGATCGGCTCTCCAGCAGCTGGACTGAAATGCGCCGAACAACCAACCAAACACCAACCAACAAACGCTGCCATCAGCCTCACTTTCTGCCTCATCCCCTCGACCTCCCCCCCCATGCCTTCCTCTCCCTCCCAGATGCCCCTCCCCTTCGAATAACATCGAACAACCCTCTCCCGGATTCCCCCGAGTTCACTCTCATCCGGGTGCCCGTCCACACGCGTCGACCCCCGCCCCGTGCCAGATTACGATTACGATGTGCATACAATGAGTTTCTTCTCGCAATTCGGCAACCTGCTGCCCGCCATCCAGACCCGAAAGGCGCTGCTCCTTCTCGACATCCAGAACGACTTCGTCCGTCCGACCGGAGCGTTGCACGTCGCCAACACCGCCGACTTCCTGGAAATCCTCCCACAGCTCGCCAACACCTTCCGTCGCAATGGCGAGGTCGTCTGGGTGCGCTCGCACTACGATGCCCCCAAGCCCCTGATCAGCCCGTCGGACGCGCATGACCTGATCGTGCTGGGTCGCATGGATACAGAGACGGGGAGGACACGAGCAGCGAGCGATGGATCTGCCCCCGTTGGCCTGGATGCCAGCGGGACAGTGGACGAGGAAGCCTTCCTTTCCACCGACGCACCGAAATTCTGTGTCCCGCAGACCCCCGGCGTGCAGTTCCCCGCCCCCATCCTCGCGGCCATCAACACGGAATCGGACATCGTGATCGATAAATCGGATTATTCGGCCCTGCAGGATCCCAGCCTGATCCTCTCCTTCCGCACCAGTTTCGTCACCGAGATTTATCTATGCGGGTCGCTCTCCAACATCTCCGTTTACGCGACCGCTCTCGACGCCGTCCGGCACGGCTTTTCCGTCACACTCGTGGAGGATTGTCTTGGGTTTCGCGATTTCATCCGTCACGAGGAGGCGATGCGCCGGATGGCGGATATCTTTGGCGCGAATGGAATCACCACGCAGGAACTGTTCGAGGAGTTGGATTGGGAGGAGACTGATGCGATCGCGCGCAGGGGCGCCCGGCCGCTACAACACGCCGCACCCGCGGGGATCGAGGGCGTCATGGATGAGCTGGGAGTGAAACCTAGCGCGGCGCAGCCCCCGAAAGAAGAAAGTCCCGAGTCATCCTCGCGCGGTGCGCCGTATCATGGGATCGGGGATCTTTTGGCGGAGATGACCGATAACGAGGATGGAGACCTCCAGGAGCTCGCTGATCTGACTCGCGCACGCGCCCGTTTCGGAGGGGAGTCGCACCGGAGCGGGCCGCAGGGCGGGCATGGGGAGAAGAAGACACGCAATCGGGCACGTCGCTCCAAACGACCCGATTCAAAGGTCGAGTCCTCGCGGTCTGAAAAACGGCAGCGCGGAAAAGCCAAGAAGCAGGATGTCTGCCGTCCCGGTGATGTCATCGGCGAGGGCGATTCGCGCATCATCTACGATCTGGATCTGCCGTTGGAGACGTTCGAGAAGATCCGCGACGAGGTCGCGTGGCAGAAGATGTATCATCTGTCCGGACAGGTGCCTCGTCTGGTTGCCGTGCAGGGGCGACCGTTGCCTGACGGGTCGGTGCCGATATATCGCCATCCCGCAGACGAGTCCCCGCCGTTGCACCCGTTCACTGCCACCGTGGACCGGGTGCGCGCTATCATTGAGCGCATTCTGGGCCACCCGTTGAACCATGCTCTGATTCAGCTTTATCGCGATGGACAGGACCGCATCTCGGAGCATTCCGACAAGACCCTGGATATAGTGCGTGGATCGTCGATATGCAATGTCAGTCTTGGCGCGCAGCGGGTGATGGTCCTCCGCACCAAAGGACAGGGGGCTGAGGATGCTGACTCCGGTCGAAGCACGCAACGTATTCCCATGCCCCACGAATCGCTGTTCGTGCTGGGCCAGAAGACCAACATGCGCTGGCTGCACGGTATCCGGCCGGATAAGCGAGCAGCGACAGAGAAGTCCGTCGAGGAACGGGCGTACGGGGGCGCGCGCATCTCAATCACTTTCCGGCACGTTGGCACGTTCACGGACCCCGCAGGTGATACCATCTGGGGCCAAGGGGCTGTCTCCAAGTCCCAGGACAAGGCCAATCCGGTGATCCACGGCGACCCTGCGGATACGGAACGCATCATCCTGGCGTTTGGACAGGAGAACCATGCTACTGAGTTTGACTGGGATGGGGTATATGGGAAGGGTTTTGACGTGGTCAATTTCGTCACTGCATCTACTGCAAAGCTGGTCTTGGGATCCGATCCAGTCGCGAACCTTCGGGTCCGACTCTGCTTAGGCGAGAATGGCATCCGCTACGACACCGAGTCGAAGGGCGAAGGGCCCACTGAGAACGGAGAACATCCCATATACATAGCCGCAGACGGATCCAAGCTCGCTGGCGATCTGAACATCCTGACCCATTTCAGTGACCGCCCATCGGAGCTCGTCCGTCCTGGCATCGAAGCCCTCCGCGGGGGAGACCATCTTCCGTCGATCACCGGCCTGCTCTCCACCTGGCGAGACCAGGGCAACGACCCTCACTTTTTATCAACGTGGGAAAAGGCCTTAGACGGTCAAGCCTACCTTAACGGCTCCGCCTTCGGAATCGACGACTGCGCCCTGTGGCCTGTCCTGCGAGAGATCGCGCAGAAGACGCAGCTCCTACCCAGCAAGACCCACCCCAACCTCTCGCAATACTACACCCGCGTGGCAAACCGAGGCATCGTGAAGACCACGCTGGAGGAAGCAGAATAACGGATTATAGTCCGCACTTACGAGACATGACTTGTTTATATCGCATCGGGTATCTCCGAAGTTGTTCACATAGGTAGTTTATAATATCATCATACTAACATCCCCAGCCAACACCCCAATGCCTCACATATCCCCCCCCCCGCCCCTTCCAACCCCCACTCCCTACTTAATTAGATCCACCCCCATTGTCCTCCTCGTCTTCTCATCTCCCCATCAATCACTCACTCAACCCAAACAAACCCCCTCAAACCCCTCCTCACTCAAAACCCCCTCAAACCCCTCCTCACTCAAAACCCCCTCAAACCCCACCCCCCACAAACCACCCCCTCCAAAAACGCCTGCGCGACCACCTCCGCCCCCGCCACACTGGTATGCGTATGATCGATCGGAAAGAACCCATCGACCTCCTCCTCCCCCAGCGTGTCATAAATACTCGCCACGTACGCCCCATGATCCACATACTCCACCCCGGCCACCTGCGCCGCTATCTCCGCGTACCCCACAAACCGCGTGGGAGTGTACTCGAACGTCCCCGTTTCCCACGGGTTCTCGGGTGTTTGCGAGGCGATGAGCACGTTTGCGCCTTTGGAGAGGAATAGTTGGGAGGCGTTTTCGAGGTACGCCGGGAAGGTGAGGATCGTTTCGTTCACCCCGTCGTATTCGCTGTAGCAGATTTCTGTGGATGTGCCGGGACAGTCGGTGCGGCCGTTGTCCGTTGGGGTCAGGGACCCCCCGTCGTTGTGCCCGAATTCGATGATTACCCAGTCTGACGGGGTGAGGAGGGTTGCGATGGTCGCGAAGCGTCCTTCGCGCGTGAACGAGCGCGCGGAGCGCCCGGCGATCGCGTGGTTCGAGATCGTGTAGTTCGTTTTGAGGTACGGGGAGATGTAGTCGCCCCAGCCTGGGGGGGGAGGTTAGTTCGGTTGATTTGGGTGTGGTTGTGTATGATGAGTGGATGTAGATGTGAAGGTAGGTGGATGTGGATGTGGGGTCGGGGTGGAGGTGGAATGGGGTGTCGAGGGTATAGTAGTATGAGATACGGGCTATGGGATATGGGATTTGGGATATGGGATTTGGCATTCCAATTTGACAGGGAAGAGCAAGATGCAATCATTCATGCTACATCAACTAAGCAGAGAAATTGAGAGAGAGAACAAACCATCCGTCCCATTCCCCCCACCCCCCACAGCCATTGTCGAGTCACCCGCCAAATAAATGGTCGTGGCGAAGCTCGCCGGTATGAGGGATAGACATGTGAGCAGCAGTGTAGGTTTCATCGTGGTTTTCTTTATTATATGATGTCTGATAAGTAGGGTTGCGACGGTTTATCCACTGAATGTGGACACTACGGCTAGGCTTCGAGGGGTTATACTTATATGATATAATATGCTCACTCATCTCACGGCATCTCACCACCTCCCCTCCCATCCCATGCTATCCTACATACCCCACACCAGTGTCACAATCATGTAAAATAGATAGATAGATAGATAGATAATACGTGGAAAAACACCCCCCTCGGCACCTAATACCGCGAAGCATCGGAATTATCAATCCACCTGCCCTGCACGCACGACCCTCCGTGTCTCATCGGGTATCGTTCCGGATGATCGCTGCACCATGCAGGGTCTGTGTCGGGGTTCTGCTCCGTGTGATGAGTCGGATGGGTGTGATTTGCGTTTATGGAGGGGTTGGTTGCAGGGATTGTTGCGGATGGAGAATCTGATGATGGGGGTGGCGAGGGCAATGGCGGACGTTAGGGCTGGGATTGAGATTCCCCGCATCCGCATCGGCGGGGTGAGAGCTTCCGGCTTCAGGGCTATACGTACAGGTGGATTTTCCACCTCTCAGGTGGGGATGGGGCTGTTTGTTTGCTCTGTCTGGATTGGGACTTAGGTTGGGGGTTTGGGTTGCGTGGTGAGGCTGGTTTGGTGGGTTGGTGGGTTGGAGAGTAAACTCCTCAATCTAATTGTGATTTGATGGGTTGTGTCTAATGATGGGAAGGGGAAATGGGTTGCCTGTCTTGGATTGTATCTTAAGTTTTCAGTCTGGTTCTGACATGATAAGTTGTATCTAGCCATTCTGGAAGCAATATAAAAATTCATAATATTCACACACAATTACAACAACACGCTCGTATCAAATCTAACAAAGAACACCAAAACAAGGGTATATCACATCCATCCACCCATCCAGCCATCTAACCAACCACCCCCACCCCACTCAACGGATAAACCCACTCCATGGTCCCTCTAAACGGCTCATCCACCGAAATATAATCCAACACTAACATCTTCGACAACGCCTTCGCAACGACGGTATTGATCGCCAGACTCTCCAACCACCCCCACGACATCACATACCGCGCGATCACGCAGTAGATTGGATCGGCCCATGCATGCATCCGGGTCACGCTGGCGGACTGGAACGCGTCGGCGCGCAGCGGCCCCGCGCGCTCTTGCTGGTACGAGTCGAAGATCTGGCCTAGGGTTGCTGCGTTGAGGGGGTTTTCGGCATTGCTGTCGGTGTTGACGGCCTTGTTTAGTCTGTTGCAGAGCGCGATGACGTCTTGGATCCCGTTCTTGAGGCCCAGGCCCGCGTTGGGCGTGTATTTGTGGCAGACATCCCCTGAGAGGACGATTCGGCCGTAGCTCCAGTTTTTCAGGATCCTTCATCCAAGTTGGCCATTCCGGCGGTGAAGCGGGTACCGTACACGTCTTTGACCTTTTTGGTCTCGGTGACGGCGTACTCGGCGAATCGCGCGACCATGGCTTCGAGGTCTGAGGAGGTGTAGTTTGTGCGTTCTTCTGTCAGGGTGGGAAGTCTCTCGTGGAGGAAGATCCACCGCCGTTCTTGTCCGGAGAGGTACATGACTGAGTTGTCCTTGTTCTGCGTGTCGTTTCCGATGCCCGATTCGGTGACCCGGGGGAAGCTGCACCATAGACATCGGTATTCTGCGGTGAAGGGGACCTTTCCTACCCAATGAATCAATTCTTCGCGACATCATCCATTTGCTCCATGCACCACTTGGCATGTTCAAACACCCGCCAATAAACGTCCTCCGCGGCTCTCTTTCCAATAATTGGGTCTAAATGCCCGTATCCCTCCACGAGAAATCGGCGGTAGAGGTGCTCGCCGAACCGACGACGCAGCATCTCGTAGTCGCGCAGGGTCGACTCGGGCTTGAAAACCTCGCTCACAGTTCTAGAGACGAACAGCATGGGCAATCCTTTGAGGTTCATGAGGTTCTTTTCCGTGATCAGGGGATTCAGCTCGTTATCCAGACATCCCCCCTGTCTTCCCATGTAGGTGATATGCTCGAGAAGCTTGGTGTGTGTCCCCTCGAAGAACTCGCCGACGTTGTCATGTATGGCGGCGTCCAGGTTGTCGTGATTCCAGCACAGTCCGAATGCAAATGTTGTTCGACGACACGTGGTCGAAGTGCAGAGATCTCGACGATGAGCCACGGGGTAGAAGCGGATGAGGACGTCCAGTACCTTCTGGATCACACCATTTCTATTGGGATTACCGATTGGAAAGGATTTCCCCGCGAGAAACTCGTAGGCCCAGACTAAGACAGGACTCATTGCCTTGACCGAATTCCAGTAGGCAAAGACCTGGTGCATGAATACCGCGCTTGATGTGATGCCGAGGATTTTGGTGCCATCAATCGTGCCATCGAGTAGGCCCATCGAGAGCGCCACAGAGCCTTGACAGTGGGCTACCACATAGGGCTTGCGATTCTCGAGGCTGGAGATATGTTCCACTGCAGCAGCAATATCTAACCGGACATCGAACACGGTGGAATTTTCTGCTATTTTGGGTTCACAGCCCCAACGGGGCGACAGTACATAGCAACGGAATCCTCGTTTGGTGAAGTATTCGACAATGTTGCAGCGAAGAAAGGGCAGTGCAAATAGGCTGTGGTTGGCCCTCCCAGTGACACCAGGGATGCACAGAACAGGCTGAGGAGTTGTACCTTGCCTCATATAGTCTCCGTTAACCATACAAGAAGGCTCATACTCTTCTAAGAGCACCTCAATCCCGTCCTTCGTTCTCAAGTTGAACGAGGCCGAGGCTGGTCGTTTAGGTTTGATAGCATTGAGAGAGCGCCGAGGGGCTCGCGTCGGAACGAGCGGTCGGAAGAAAAATAGGCATAATTGAATAGCGAAGTACGCCAAGAATATGATAAGTGCAGGAAGGGCACGGAAATTGAAGGGCCTCGTGGGACGGAATGTCCGGATTTGCCGTTGGAATGACGGCCGTGAGATGCGCAAGACTCCAGCCGCGGCTTCCACCCCACCGTCTCTGGTGATACGGACGTTGACTTTGGTGGTCGATCCCCACATTTTCCTGATCGAAAATGCTGCTGTAGAGTCAACTGTCTTACATCCCGTAAGATCGTACTGGGTGCCTTCTAAGGAGAGTAGCCGCAGTGTGTATGTCATCGTGGTCAAGTCTGCCCTGTCCTGAGGCTGGACGAAAAACTGCACCTGGCCATCCAAGACCCTCAAGGTACTCCTTGATAGTGCACGACAAGACACAGTCCCAGTGCAGATCCCCGTGTATTGGAGTTCAGACGAGTCTAGGCATATGAGAATGAGGCAATAATATAGATCAATGAGACTTACCCGTCCTTTGACAAACTTCGATAGTGAGGAACATCCGCATCGCGGAAGATGAGCTCTTACCCACGAGCTCGGATATTTCAAAGTCCACGTTCGGCTGTGTGCCGATGTGCCCTTCAAGGACCTCAGAAAACTGCCAACCAACTGATGCTAAGGATTTCTCGAAGGCTGGACTAATGTTCTGCTTTTGTCTCAATACTCGTGGCACGGATGAGGAATCCAGATCGCCATTCGTCGTAGTCATGTCAATATTATATCCGTGTTTCTTTGCTAGTAGGTCTAGAGACCGCTCAGCAAGTGCGGATATTGTCGCCAAAGGGTTCACGCCTGGATAGCACATTAGAAAAGCACACCCAAGACGCGTTTCCAACTCACCTAATGCAGTTGGAACAATCGAAGCATCGCAGCAAACGAGTCCGTCATAGATTTCACTCCCATGGCCCGTGTAAATTTGCCCCAGATGATTGGTAACGCCTTCACGGCCCGTCCCGTCTCTACTCATATTCGCACCCCCAAGAGGATGCACGGTGATCTCTTCTTGATCGCGTCCTGGGGCAAAGTCAGCTTGTACAAATGACCAACGGTCACGTCTAGGCTTACCGTGGTAATAGGAAAAGCCCATTTTCGCTCCTGCCAGATTCACCACGTACCCAAGTACCTTTCGAAACTTCCCAAAATGCTCGGAGCGTCCTTCCCCAGGCCCCCGCAGAAATAGCATATCACTCTCCAAAGTCAGCGTCAGCTCGTTACTATCATGTGACATCACCAAATAGGTCGAGGTACGCTGCAATGCATTGCGCGCAGCAGAAGCCCCTGTAAGCCCGGATGCCAAATTCGTTATGGCCTTCAAATACCGCCAGGCGCGGGTGGGAACCGCTGGCGAAGCGGAGTCTCGAGCCCTTTGCATCATGACCACGAATGGTATTAAGGGAGCCAATGGCTTTGGAATACAGCCATCCTGGATGACATATCCGGCTAGGGCATCCCGTGAGGAGAGCTCTCGGCCATCAATAACCCCAGTAATTGTTGGACCCGGGCGGTTTGTTCCTGCGACGCCATTGATGTCCTCTTTCCCGTTGTACCCTGCGTTTCAATGTCAGCCAAGCCCATGGTTGGGATTTCTCGACTCACCAAGAATCAGCATATCTCCATTTCCGGAGACATTTCTGCCCACCAATGGAGACATCGAAAGACCGTATTGCTTCGAGCGAAGTAGAATTTCTGTAGTTCCCAACGCACCAGCCCCAAGGAAGCAAAGATCATTCTAGGCCAGAGTCAGTTTCCTGTACGGCGAGCAACGAGTAGCCGGACCCTACCGCTTTGACCCAGAACAACTGGGTTTTGAACTCCTCCGCAAAGACCGACCTTCCATTGCCGTGCCACAAAAAGTATACAATGTACCCTTTTCCATCCGCAACCTTTTCAATATACCGGACCTCACAACCACAGAAGATCTCCGCACCCCAGTTCCAGGCATCCGCGAGATATGTTGTGGCGACCGAGTTTTTGGATCCATCGTTAAGACCAGTGGACTCGTGTCCGGAGCCACAGTTTTCGTTCATCTCCACGCCGACACTATTGCGACTCCTATCAAAGAATGTTGTCAACGGTGCACGGTAGAAACTGTGGTTCTTGGAAAACTGCTCAGCCTGCTGTTGGAGAGCATCTAACTTCCTTAGACGAGGATGGTTGTCTGGGTATACGGAAGGCTGCAACATGTCTGCAGCACGGGAATAGTCTGATTTGGGTCAGCAAGAGTCCGATGCCACGATGGAGAAATTGTGCCATACATCTCTCAAGGGAGCAGGAGTCCTGTCTGATCTCCGATGGCCAAGGGCTCATTTGGAGCGTCTGTTTGTCTGCTTCTAGGAAGACGCCTGCATTGACTAGCGAGCATCCACCTAATGCTATGTGGTAAAAGTTGTAATGTTAATGACGATTTCCCTTCCTTCCTCTTTGAAAATACACCCAAGTGAAGTGAACCATACCATGAGCGCGAAAGGCATGCTGTCCATCACCCAATGTCAATTGAAAGAGTCGAGTAGGTTTCCCGGAAAGTAGTCCACCTGAAGGGCCCGAGACGTTGAAATCTCTAAGTGTCTGAGATAGCGATTCTGGAAAAGTGCCCGCTAATTCAGGTTTTGGTTAGACTTTCTCAACGGATGACAGAGTATAGAGGTCGTACGGCGTCTCTCCCAGCCCAGTTCGAGAACGGCCACACTCTTCCCCGCGCGAGCCATTCGACTGGCCGCAACCCCGGCGCCGTATCCGGACCCGACAACCACGACATCATACTGCGACTGCATCAAGCAGAATGGTCGACTGAGGTTTGGGTACTCATCAGGTCGGACCGTTCGGAAGTTGGCCATGGTGGGGAGCGTTGGTGGACTGCGGAGGTTTGGCAACACCTGCAGGAAACCGCAAAATATATGGCTCTAGATCTCTAGATGAACAAGCATAATGAGTAATATCAGCCGCGCCACCCAACTGGGCATCGGCAGATACGTTCCTTTTGGGACACAGGTGGTCTTGCAGCCCGATGTGAATCTAAGGCAGACGGAGTAATACGAAGAATCCGGATAGGCGACGTGCAAGGATTGGTTGCATCCCTGAATGCCGTTGCATGGGGCGGGTCGGTGTTTGACAGCGTCCAATAGCCTGGGGAGATGATGCAAGCGTAAAACTCTGAATGGTAGCAGCTCCATCGCCCTCCATCGCATAGGTGGATACGTGGAAGCCTCCGAGATGGCCTGGCCCGGGCCATGTTATCGCACGGGTTGGTTGAGATCCACACCAGGGATAGCGCATGTTGATCCTGACTCAGGGCAAACCTGCTGCATATGAATGCTACACTGCATGTACTCAAGGTCTCGAGGGGTAAAATATGGACTGGATGTGGTCCCTGGCAGGCCCTGACGCCGGGCTGGGAATAGTTTCAGTCTCATGCAAAGTCCCGGCGAGTGTTTCCGGGGATGCCATCTGAGTATCGCGAATTCCGATCCGTGGAAGAGAACCAAGGACCCCCACTGCTACAATGGCCCGGTCGGCAGAAAAGGTACATTCGAATCCGGACTAGAATGTGATTGTCCTGGCCGGGGGACAGTGGAGCCTTTAACCTCGGTCCCTATCATGTTTAACGGTCGCGTGAAGTTTCCTGGGCTGACAAGCCCCGCGATCGTCAGGGACATTTACAACTGGACCAAACTTGTGCTTGGCAGCTGGTCGCCATCTCCAGCGAAAGCATTGTCATAGGTCCATTTCAAGGCAAACCTCCGTGCTGGCTGTTCATGTTCCACCGATCGATTGAATATTCGTCTGGGTCTTGAATTTGGACCTGGTTCTCGTCCGCCCTGGTAGGGCCCTTGTTCGTAAGCAACGATATTTTCCGACTCAAAAGCAGCCCGAGCCCGGGGAGGGGGGCTGTAGAGCTACTGAGTGGCCTCAGTATCACTCCTCCCGGTATTACGTCCATCGTTTCTTTTGGTCTCGTGCGCGACATGCCGATTACGAGGTGTCGGAAAGCATGACCACTCGACAACCTCCAGTCGGGTAAGCGCTATTTCTGGTTGTTCAACACGAGACACGATTCTTTCCGTTGATTAGTGGGATTTTAGATGGGGAAGAGGTCGATAGTGATCGAGCATATATCGTTACTGAAGAAAACTAACGAGGAGGCTATTGCTCCTCTGTGATGATGATCAGTCCCTTCTCCAGGCTTGAGTATCCTGGGAAAACTCAGGCTTTTGGGAGTTACCGTCAGGCTCATTTGCATCTAGGACCATCAATAATCATGCCTCCTCGCAGGTGGACCATCCAGATTATTGCAAAAATAAAATACCCGCAGCTTAGAGGCAGATATCACGACCCGAGAAGTTCCCGCGACAAGAAAGCAGCATGGAAGATGATTCAATTGGGGAGGAGTGACAGGGAGGAGATTGAAGGAGAAGAAGCAGTGAAGGAGAAGTCAAGCGCAAAGCGAGGCAGTCACCACCACGCGCTAAACCAAACCGGGAGACCTCCCCCCCCATCACTGTTCTTCCTGTTGACTGAACGTTGCAGCGCGACTGTAATTATTCTTCTTGTTTCCTACGCCTCCAAAAGGAGCACCAGGCTTGGTTTCCCCACACATTGTCAGGGCTATCTCGGCCACTAGCCCGTACTGCCATCGACACACCGACCTTCCAGCCCGTCTTGGCCAATAGGAGCGGTTCCTGCCCCATCTAGAGCGGTGATAACACATTTGAGCGTCTTCGTTGCGAGAGACGCGACGTGGGGGTTTGTTGATGTGAGTGACTGTCTCGGATTAGGCGGATGTGATGTTTGAGCTGATGTGTTTAATAAATAGAGGACTGCACTATTGGAAACGTTTGTTGAGTGGTACGAGCACGTCTGCAGGCTGCGAGAAGAGTGCAGTGTCAAGCTACTATCACATCCTAACTTGCACTACCACGCTTCGCGGTAGGGAGAAGGTTTGAAAGGGGAAATAATGCGCCCATAATCTACGAGAAGAATACAGTGTCGATCTGCTATTTCATCCCAACTTTCATCTTCACGTCACAAGGCGTCGGAAACATCTGGAAAGAAAAGGGCGGATTGCGCAGCCACCGCGCCTGAGAACCCTTGTCCATCACCAATCTTACCCATCTCATTGTTGTGTTTTTCATTCTACCAAAACAAAGAAACGATGTCGTTCTATAATTTGCCCCCTGAGCTTGTTTTGATGATCGCTGTGTCTCTGGACAAAGAATGTGACATCAGCTCTCTATCTCGAATCGACCGTCGAACCCACCGGATCGTCAATCCATACTTGTACAGACGCAATGCGCGCGACTCGGGATTCTCGGCGTTGCTGGGAGCCGCGAAAGACGGCAAGATTTCCACGGTCCGAGCCTGCATCCGCGAGGTGGTGACTGACATCGAGATAAAAGATACAACTGGTTCGACTCCCCTCTCGTGGGCTGCTGGTGAAGGACACGACGATATCGTTAAGCTCTTGCTCGAGACAGGACGAGTCAACCCCGACTCAATCGACACTGACGATCATCGAACACCGCTATCCTGGGCTGCTATCGGTGGCCATGATGCTGTGGTGAATCTACTTCTTGAGACAGGGAAGGTTGATGTGAATACACGGGATAATTCACTTGCTACACCTCTCGCTCATGCCGCGGAACAAGGCCATGACGGCGTCGTCCATCTTCTTCTTCAAAACGGCCAGGCGGACCCCAACTCTCGCGATTTCCTCGGCGGCACTCCTCTCTCTCAGGCTGCGGAAAATGGCCACGAGGCCGTCGTGGAATTGCTCGTTGAAACGGGGCAAGTGGACGTCGACTCACGAGACGCCAACAACCAGACACCGTTCGGTTGGGCGGCGGGAAGCGGCCACGAGGCCATCGTCAGGTTCCTAATGCAAACCGGAAACGTCGACCTCGACGCAAGAGACTCGGTCGGCCGGTCACCCCTGGCATGGGCGGCAAAAAGAGGCCACGAGGACGTGGTCCGGCTCCTCCTCGGAACCGGGGCGGTGGATGTCGACTCGAAAGGCACCGATGGGCGAACACCACTGTCTCGGGCTGCGGGAAATGGCGAGGAGGCGGTGGTGAGGTTGTTCCTCGCAACCGGTCGAGTCGACGTCAACTCATTCGACAACGAAGACCGGACGCCGCTGTCCCGGGCGGTAGAGAACGGGTTCGAGGGAGTCGTCGAGCAATTGCTTGAGGTTGAAGGCCTCGACCCGGACGCCATGGACGACCAAGATCGGACGCCGCTGTCTTACGCCGCAGCGGGTGGATTCGAGGGCATAGCCCGGCGGCTGCTTGAGACTAGCACCGTCGAGGTCGACTGCAAAGACTCCCGTGGCTGCACGCCACTGTCCTGGGCCTCCCGAAACGGCCACGCGGAGATCGTTAGGATGTTGTTGGAAACCGGAGAGGTGGACGTCGACTCTAGAGATCGGATGGGGGGGACGCCTTTCTTTCACGCTCTGACGCGGGGACATGAGGAGATCAAAGATCTATTGTTGGCAGCTCGCCCGCAGGCGTGATTAGCCTAGCAGACCTGTAACTATCTCTCGAGAAACGCCAAAGACAATGCCAGAAGAGCTGAAGACGTCGAGTATTTGGAAATTTGAACGTTAGATGACAGGAATGATGATCTTCTAAGCCTGGTCGGGTTCCCTTTATAACAACTGTAGATAATATAGTACGGGGTACACCCTGCCTTTTAAATCAGAGCCAAATGGCCCTGAGGCGCTCACCCTTGCATGACTTCCTACAACTTCGCAAACGTTGCCTTCCTCTTCTGGATCCCAGATAACAGCGCATCCGAGACATCCTTCGTCTGCACCATCGCACTGTTCCAGACAGTCGTATACCGCAGACCTGCTAGCATTAGCGCCCAAACCCTGCACACAAGGTAGCCAACTGACCTTCTTCCACCGTGTGATCCCTCGAGTAATTCAACAATTCCTTCGTCCCCTGTACCGCGACGGGGCTCTTCGAAGCCATCAGCCCCGCCAGCTCCAACGCCCCCTTGACTGCCTCCCCCTTCGTTCCATACACCCGACTCACGAACCCGACTCTCTCCGCCTCCTGTGCCCCAAACGGCCGCGCCGTCAATGACACCTCCTTCACCCACCCGAAGTTTCCTACCACCTTCGGCAACCGAGTCAGCGTCCCAATATCGGCGGCCAGCCCAATATCCACCTCCTTCACGGCAAACCGCACATCCGACGAACAGACGCGTACATCTGCCGCAACACTGATGTCGATCGCCAACCCGAGGGCGATGCCGTGCAGCGCCACGATAACAGGTTTCTCGCATTTCTCGATCGTGCTGATGCAGCTCTGAAAGGAGATGATGTGACGGCGCATGATGACGGATTTGCGGGCCGGGTCTAGAGTTGTGTCGGAGTCGGAAAGGAGGCCTTCCGAGGCGGCTTTTACATCGAGACCGGCGGTGAAGGCGCGGTCGCCGGCGCCGGTGAGGACGATCGATCGGACGGAGGGGTCGGAGGAGAGCTGGTTGAAGATTGCGGCCAGTTCGAGCCACATACTGGCGAGGTTAGTTCGTCTTCTGGCTAGGGGCTAGCGGGGGATGTACGCTTCGAAGAAGGCATTTAGCTTGTCTGGGCGGTTGATCTCCACGTGCGCGACATATTGGTGATCCTGGGGAAAGGTCACGTTGAAGTATTGGTAGGTGTATGCGGACATGGTGATGATGTGCAGTTGGAAAGGTCCCGAGAGGAGAGAGAGTGGAGTGAGATGGGGATTGTCAGAGGGATAACTAAACCTGGGGAAGAGGAGATGCCGAGGTATCTTGTCGGTCGGCCGTCGCCCTGCTGGTTTCAGGCTCCACCACCCCACCATGTGAAGGATGGCCCAGCGGAGATCATTCTAACGCTCGAGAGTATCGAGATGGACATTCGACCCAGCTGTTTGAGGCAAAGAATCACTGCAACAATATCGAAAATTCTGGACTGTCCCACTAAAGTCTTGTCATCACTGCAGCAGGGAATGGTTAAACTGCCGTGTAACGAATCGCTACACTGCAGCTCGAGGACGACTTGGAGGACGCAGCGTCTCCGTCATTTACTTTTATAATCATTTCAGACTTTCCATCAACTCAAATCTTAACGTAGAAAGATGTTCATTAAGTGGAAGTGCTGGCAACAACAACAGCGACCGAGGAAGGTTTAACTACGTGATGATGTCATTTTAAAGCAAACCAGACAAACAGAACAAACGGGGCAGACCAGACAAACCAGACAAACAGCCAGGCGCACAACAAACAAACAAACCACAATATCCAAGGCCATTTCACGACAAGCACAACACATTCGCAAAACTCCTGCTAGCAGAGGAACAGACAGACCCTGAACCGGACTGGACAAACAATCAAACAAATGGATATCAAATCACTAACAAGTCAGCCAAATCAACACTGACCGCAGCTACCCCGCATACTCCAAATCCCCCCGACCATTCTCCGCCAGCCGCGCCTCGGGATCCAGCAGGATCCGGTACTCCTGGTCGCCCCGGTATGGCGGCTTCTCCTTGGCCGAGAACACCGCGTTGTGAGCAATTCCATACCGGAAATGCTGCTGTGCCCGCTGCTGGCGCGCCTCGACGCGTCCCTTATAAGCTTCGTACGTGGCCTGGTCCAGCGTGGCAAAGAGATAGCGCGCATGCACTCCCAGCGCCTGTGCGCCCTTCTGGCCAAACCCGAAGGAGGTCACGGAAAAGGCCTTCACCCCGCTGGTCTGGATACTACGACTCGGGTAGATGAGGTAGTCGTTCTCCAGTGCCGCGTCGATGTTGTCCGCATTCCGGTTGCCGGGAACCAGGCCTGTGTTGAGGACCTGGAGACCACCGTTGAGCATCCACGCCCCCGCGGCGCCCTTCGAGTGCCCAGTGAGGTATTTCTGGAAGATACCGAGGGCTGGGTTCCCCTTCGTCCGGCCAAGATGACGTAGTTGCCTGCTGATCATGTCTGTCTCATTCTTCTCGTTCAACACCGTCGACGTGCCGTGGAAGGAGACCACATCCAGATCATTTACGGTCAGATTCCATGTCGCGAGGGCACCACGCAGCGGGGAAATCTCCGGATCGTTCTTCCAGAAGTGGTTTCCAAACGTGTTCAGCGCGTCCTTCTCCTGGATACGGGCTTCCTGGCGCACATAGCGTAGTCGCTCGTTGATTTCCTCGATGCGCTCTTCTGCATAAGGACTTGGGCTGCGCTTGAGATCAGCCAGTTCTGCCTCCGCAACTTGCGCCTCCATGTCGACGCGCTCCTTGATGTGTTGGAGAGACATGTTCATTCTCCGCCGTCGGTAGGAGATGTCCAGCATCGGCGACGGGATTCGGTGTCGTGCTTCCCGTGCGTTTGTGAGGAGACCCTTGCCTGGGGCGGGAACGGATCGTCCGATCTTATCACTGGCTGTGCCTACCCATGCGACGATGCCTTGGATGGGAAGGCCGATGTCTAAGGCCAGCTGGGCAGATGTGATCACTTGGATACCACTGCCTTGGGATTCGACAAAGCCTGCACGGGTGGAAGCGGCTGGTCTAGACATCTCAGTGGGATCGCGACCCTTTTGGAACTCCGCCTCACTGCTGACGGTCGCCTTCATCTTGGCAAATTCGTAGGACACATCCTCGGAGAAATCGTCGAAGCCACCAACCAGGCACATCTTGGCCTTGCCAGACACAATGGTCTCGAAGCCAGACTCCAATGATTCAATGGAGGTCGCACAGGCTCCAACAGGGGTGCGGATGGGACCGGTTGAGGATAGCAAGAGCATGTTGATCCAAGCCGCCGTAGTATTGATAAAGGACTCCTGCAGGATGTCGTTCTGGACCTGCTTCTCGACGAACCGGTCTTTGTGCAGCTTTCGAAGCGCCTTAACACCACCCAGTCCGGAACCAATGCAGTTACCGATCTCCGAGATATGTAAGTACTGGTAGATTTCGAAGGGGTCGCTGATTCCTGCGCTCAGCAGTGCTTCAACCGTACCAATGAGCGCGTACAGAGTAGCTGGGTCGACCTGGTTGGCCAGGTCCTCGGTGAGGCCATAGGTGCGGGCGTCCCATCCGGTCGGGATCTGGCCAGCCACTGCTCTGTCGAATCGGAGGGCCTTAGGGATCATCAGGCATGCTCCTTTCAGCAAGCGGACGGTGTACTCGTCGCCTTCAGGGATGACTTCAACCTTATCGCCGTGCTCTAACTGCAGCTGTTCCGCGGTTTCCTTTGACGTCTTGAACGGAGGCATGTCTTCGTCGAGGACAACTTCCTGGAGAAACTTCTTCTTGTTCGGATCGTAGCCGTCGTTGATCTCTGGCTCGATCAGCCGGATTCCGGTGTGCTCCAGAATGTGCTGCTCAAATCGCTTCTTCACATCGATGTCCCGGATAGGCTCCTTGGTCTGCGTGACGATCCAGCCCAGGTAATGGGAGTTTCCGTTCAGCGGGCCGCTGTGATGCTTGATCAGACCCATGATCCAGGCCATCTCCACGCAGCCTTCCAGTGAGAACTCCCCGTGGGCCTCCATTTCCCAACGCGTACGAGAATTACCATGAGGTCCGACTTCGGAGAAACCAGTGACAACGACCACCCGATCCAGGTCAACCATTCCGCGCAATTGGCCGGCCAAGGGCAGGATCTCGGTATGGTAGTCGGGCAGACGAGGGAACTCGAGTGCGAGTTTCGCCTTTTGCTCTCGTTCCTGTGATTGCTGCTCCGATGGCTTTCCGAGGGCTGCGAGTTCGAAAGCCTCCTCCTTTGCCAGCGCTTCCCGGATCTCACTGGTCTCCTTTTGGTTACGGCGAATGGAATCAACTGTTTCTTTGAAGTTCAGGAAATGGCCCATCCCACCACTCAAGTCCGCCTGCACTGGAGTCACCTCGCACTCTGTCGCAATGGGCGATGACATCAGGACCAGAATGTAGTATGCCATTTCCACCTGCGAGAACGTTCTGACTCCCATCTTTTCAATGTCCTCTGCCACGGAGTTGTTGGCACTCATCAATCCGGTGCCGCGTGTCCATCCAATGATCGCACCGCAGATTGATAGGTATGCACCCCATGACTCAGAGCTCCAACGGTTGAACAATGTCTCGAGGGCAATTTTCGACTCCGGGTACAGACCGTCGCCTCCGAAGATACCGTGATTCGGGGACAAGGGTAGAATCACTTGGGCGGGGTGGCTGTCGAATCCACGGGCCTGCTTCTGCTTCTTGACTGCTCCCAACAATCTCAGCGTGTTGGTCAGCATGATGCGGTGCGCCAACTCTGACTTGGAATCGATATCCTCAATCTGGCGTCCGCCTTCGGGGATGGCAGCGAATGGGACAATGTGGCTCAAATCCCACCCGAGACCTTTCTCGGAATCGTAGATATGCGCAACTAAAGCGTCCAGGTCTTGCTGGCTTGCCTGGTTGAAGGGCATCAGGATGAGCTGTGACCCGCTGGCACCCTCTTCAGCGTAAATCTGCTGATACAGACGCGTCGTCGCCAGGGAGTAGCTACTCGTGGTGACCAGAACCCGCGCACCTCCTCGCAAAAGGCCACGCACAATCTCGGTTCCAATGGAATCCCGTCCCGCGCCGATGACGAGAACTTCTGCGTCGTGGAAAGAGAGACACTGTTGGTCTGTCCTTCGGAGAGAGGTCATGAAGATAGAATCCAAGTCCATGCGGCTTTCCCAGCCCTGGCTCCCCAGTGACTTCAGTGCAACGGGGGGAGCAGCTTCGATACCTGTGCGAGGAACTTCCGCATAGTGGATCTTTCCTAGGTTATCGATTGTAGTCTTTGGTGCGTCGATAACCAAACGATGAGCAGTGATGGGCATGTTCGTCGGTGAGTCCGGCTTACAAGCGGTGATCAGCTGATGAAGGACGTCTCGTGCGTCGACTGCTCGCGGGTTCCGCAGCTTAAGGCAATGTGTCTGCAGGTATTCCAACATCTGCACGAGCTTAGGGTTGGATCTCCGAGCTATGCGGCCCATAATGGTATCGATCTCGCGGCCAGTGAGCGCAATCGTGCCGGCGAGGATCCGGTGAAAGAGGTCGATTGCATCTTGCTGGGCCCAGTTCCATGACGAATCGTATCGGCGTGCCTTTGCAACAGCCAGGATTGGCTTGATGCCAGAGCCATAGACCTCCCCATGTTCGGAGATCCACAGCTGCAACTCGTCCTGAAGCTCTGCGATTGTCTCTGCCGCCTTGCTGGTGGCTTTGTGACCTGCCTGCAGGTCCACTCCCAACAGCTTCGCGTACAACTCCAGCATCGCCTGAGCACGGTCGTCCTGCGTCTTGGACAGCGCCTTGACTGCAGTCTGATCGACGACGACTGGGCCTGAAGATGCCCTAGGACCATCCGACGCACTGCCAGCGGCAGACAGATCAACTTTGGCGTCTCGAGCATACTGAGCTACAATGTCGTCAAGGAAGGCGTGCGCAGCACCAGTATCGGGAAGTCGAGCGGCTGGTTGCTGAACTGCGGCGCGCAGCAGTACAACGTCTTGGCGACCTGTCGGCAATCCCCACCTCCCAAGCAAGTGAGCGCGGACCTCCCCTGACCCTAGACCCGCCGGCATCTTGGCCGATACCATCCGGTTGACCAAGGTCAGTGTGGTCTTGCCCAGGCCTTTCTTCCATGAGCCTTGGGCTTCAATGGACTGGGAGAGCTCCGATAGAGGGGTGTCTTCGGGTGCTTCCGGGACGGAGCCAAACTCGGCCCCGAGGTCTCCAACAATCTCATTCTCCAAGGTGGATCGACCTGCACATGTCGAGTTAGAAGGACATCGGAAGATTTCATCAAAGAAGACTTACCTCCGACCAACTTCTTGATCGTTTGGCTCAAGTCGATGTCTTGTTGTGACCTCTTAAGCTTGTGTGCTATTAGCGCGACGATGATATCGAGGGCTGATATGGCCTTGTCCTCGATGCTGGAGGCTTGCCGTGAGGGTGCCGGTGCCGGTGTAGTGACTGGTGCAGCCTCCTTGGTCGATGTGGCTTGTGCGGGCTGGGGGGCAGGTGTGGCGGTGTCCTTGGCCGTTTGGGCTGGCGCAGTCTCCTCGTTCCCTTCATAGTATATTTCTCGGACATTCTTCTTGTGACTCCATATCTCGCGTTCGATGGCCAGTGCGGCGTCATGCACTTGGTACTTGGCTGCCAGAGTCTTCTTGATCATTCCGAGCAAGGTCTCCGCAGGACCAATCTCGACCAGCCGATCGACCTTCTGCTCCTGCAGCACCACATCCTGTGTTTCAATCCTATTATGTCTTAGCAATCGCACAATTGCACCACACACACGGCATAGCCTATCGCCAAGGATCTAGACAACATACCATCTCACCGGCGAAGCGAACTGGTACCTGCTCACCAGAAGTCAGCGCCGCTCCCAAACTTCAACAAGTTCAACCCAGGCAAACTCACGCCAGAAGCTCCGTCAATAACAGATATGCCAGCTCGCGCTGGACCTGAGGATGCATCTTGCCGGTGTCCGCCATCTTGGCTTGTCGAAATGGATACTGCCTGGCTGGGAGTTCAGAGGTATTTCGAGGAAAGTCACCGACAGGATATATGCTTCTCAGGAGACTCGGTAGCTCTCGTCTCACGCTAAGACCTTCCACGTGCCCCTGCAGGCACGTTATCTCTCAGCTGGCTATCGCGCCTGTATCCGATACTTTGGCCCCCAATGGTAGTTACGAGCGTCGGAGTTCCTCAGCCTGACCAGGGGGTCGGTCAGCTCGCCATGTAGTTGGATTTAAACTCATCCGGGCACTGTCAGTGGATCGTCATCGCTGAAACTAGAAGGTTGGAGTTAGGGTTTAGCTTATTTCCGCCGGGTGGATACCGTATTCTGGTTTTACGCAGCATACGGCGCTAGTATCAGTATGTCTGGTAAGTTACAGCCGTATGTATCGAGATACGGGCGGTCTCATACCGTACCGATCTATGCATGCATGCTGATCCTGATCCTGCGACGGGGATAGCCAGTCGTGGCTATGCGCGCGTTAATCCATTGCCACGTTCTCGGATGGGGTGGGGACCAGGTTACATCTGGCCACGAGGAAATCGGAGCTAGACATCGTATATGCGTGGATGAATCATGAATTGGTTTCGGAGTCATCTTCGCCCCCGAGCTGCGAGCTGCGCTGAGTCGATGTCGCAAACGATGCAGTCTTGGATAGCTGATGGCCATCGTATGATCTCCGAAATAGCCTTGTCTGCCCTTTGCTGAGCAAACGAAATTGCATATTATCTAGGGATTGACTTTGTCAAGCTTCTTCCATCTCCCAAGCATCGCTCAGACTTGACTGTCTTCCCTCATTTTCTTCAAGTCCATTCCTTGAACCGACCATAGCAGTATGGTTTTCGCCTCTGCGTTTGGAGCCTCCTGGCCGGCTGGTCTGCTTGCTGCATTCGGCGCTGTGGCTGCTTCGGTTTGTCTACTCTTTTTGTCTTCATGCCCATGCTTATGATTGCAGACATTCGTATATGTCATCTACCAGCTCTGGTTCCATCCTTTGTCGAAATTCCCGGGCCCGTTCTGGGCCAAGATGACATGTCTCTATTCCGGCTATCACGCCTGGAAGGGAGATTTGCACCTGGACATGCTTAGATGCCACGAGAAATACGGTACTTGCTCTGATCCCCCCTCCACAGCACGCTCTAACATCTTGCCTTAGGAAATTATGTCCGCTACGCACCGAACCAGGTCCTCTTCAACACTTCCATTGGCCTTCACGGTACATCCACCTCTTCCAGCCATGCAAATTAGACTAACCGTCCAAGACATCTACGGCTTCGGGCGCAACACCCAGAAATCGAAGCTCTACAGCGCTATGGTTCACCGCGCCCCTAACACCCTTACACTCATCGACAAGAAGGCCCACGGCCGCAAGAGACGTATCATCAGTCAGGGTCTATCCGACGCTGCGCTGCGCCGATACCAGCCAGCCATCCTCAAGCACATCACCGAGCTCTGCACCGTGCTCACAGGAACTACTCCTGGAGAGTGGTCTATTCCGCGAAATGTCGCCCACTACTGTATGTCTCTACCCTTGTATCCCTCCGTCCCACAATTCTAACAGGTCAGTCAACTTCCTCACCTTCGACATCATGTCCGACGTCCTCTTCGGTGAGCACTACAACATGGTCACGAGCGAAGAAAATCGCTACGTCGTCAAAGCCATCGAGGACTCCAACGTCCGGACCTCCGTCCTCGCGCAAGCCCCGATCCTCGCCTTCCGCCGCTGGGACCGCAAGCTCTTCGCACAGTCCATCCTCGCCCGGAACAAGTTCATCCAGTTCGTCAACGCCCTCCTGCAACGCCGCTTCAAGGCCGCCAAGTCCGCCCGCCAGGACGTCTTCACCTTCCTCCTCGACGCAAAGGACCCCGAAACCCAGCAGAGTCTCTCCCTCGCTGAGATCGGCGCCGAGACTACCACCCTCGTCGTCGCCGGTACACACCCTTTCCTCCCTCCCTCCCTCCCTCCCCTCCTCCACATCCCCAAAATCCACACCCATACTAACACCGCTTCCAGGCTCTGACACCTCCTCCACCGCCTTCTCCTCCTGCCTGTTCTACCTCTCCCACAACAAAGAATGGTACGACAGGGCCGCCACGGAAGTACGCAACGCATTCACCTCCACCGAAGAAATCACCCTCGGCCCGCGCCTCTCCAGCTGCATCTACCTACGGGCCTGCATCGACGAATCCCTCCGTCTGTCCCCGCCCGCCGGCTCGGCGCTCTGGCGCGAAGTCGGTCCCGGCGGCGCCACCTTCGACGGCCACTTCGTGCCCGCGGGCTACGACGTCGGCACGGGCATCTACGCCATCCACCACAACGAAGACAACTACCCTGCTGCATTCAGCTTCCGGCCCGAGCGGTGGATTCTCTCCGGTGCCGAGGGCGATGTCTCTGCTGTCGGTGTTGCCGATAGAGAGAGTCTGTCTAAGGTCACTGCCGCGTTTAATCCCTTTAGTATCGGTCCTCGTGGCTGTATTGGGAAGGGGCTCGCGATTGCGGAGTTGACTCTGGGGTTGGCGACCATGCTCTGGAAGTATGATTTTGTGTTGAGTGATAAGATGCTGGATCTGGGGGCGGGGAGGAAGGGCTTGGGCGAGGGCAGGGAGAGGGAGACGGAGTATCAGCTTTATGATCATATTACGGCGTCGAAGGAGGGGCCTATGGTTAGTTTTAGGGAGAGGGTTTTGTAGGTGCTTGCTGCTTGGTATGGGGTTGGATGGGAAATTGGTTGGTTGCTTGGTTGCTTGGGTGCTTGACTTTGAGGCTTGGGTTGCGCTTGGTTCTTTATGTATGGTGCATAATGGTTGAATATATCGCTTTTTCTATGCCTTGTTGGCCTTCCTTTAGTCTGTAAGCCGGGGTTTTTTTGGTCGTATGGGTTACGGTTCACAGGCGGTATTTACGGGGTGATTTACACGTTCGTGCCCAAGGCCGCTGGCGATTTCTTGTTCACCTTGACCGTGTCTGGCAAATCGTTTTTGCCCGATGGCGGCTACAGCTTGCCGTAGGCATGCCTGACTGGTGTGTCTTGGCAATCACGTAGGCAAATTTTTGAACAAATCAATTTCGGATATAAGTGGTTTTGTTTTCTAGCCAGGAAGCAAAATCAATCCTTTTCCGATTATTCAATCAGTCTTGTGTTGGTTGTAAACTGTCTTGAGGTTTACTGCGGACAATGACCGGAATATATCTTAGCAGTCGGTGATTCGCCGAGCTCAGGATCGACGACCGCGTTCACCCAATGTGACGGCTTCTCTGAGGGAATAGCCATTGCCTTGGCCTTCTGTTCGTGGAGGTCCTTCAAGGAGAACTTGACTGAAATACAGAAAGCCACTAAACCCACCGAGTTGGAGATATCTAGGACTCTAGGAACAGGAAGACCGAATGCATGCATATTCGGAAAACAACAAAAAGAACACGCATTTACTAAACATGACATGAGAACTGTAGAAATCAATTGGAAATTAGAAATGATTCAATGTAAAAGTCACCAAACTGTATATAGACCTAACGACCTCAAGACAAGACACCAGAACAGCTGCCCATCTACTCCTTCTTATCATGAACCCCATTCGCAACACCATTACCCACCCCATTCGAAACCCCATTAGCAACCACCTTGGAAAAACCATTCAAACCCCCCTTAGTAACTGCAGGAACATCACCCCCCACAGCCCGATACTTCTCATACACGGTCTCCGGCGCCTTAACCGCCTCGACCCAGTGCGCAAAGAAGTCGCCGAAATCCCCCCGCTGGATGCCCTTCAACCGGGTCAACAACTCCAGACACAGCGGCCCACTCTCAAATTCGAGCTTCTCGCCGGTCGACCGCCGGGTGATCGAGCGAATGGGCACTACCGCGGCGGCTGTGCCCGCCGCAAGCACCTCCGTAAACTCGCCGACGGACGTCCAGGGGATCTGTCATCACGCACTCACTATCAGCATTGACCCACACACACACAATCCCACACACACCAGCCAAGAAAAGATCAAAACGGAAGAGAAAGAAAGAAAGAAGGACATACACTCCTCTTCTCCACCACCCACCCCATCGCCCTCGCAATCCCCTGCACCGAATCACTCGTGACACTCTCAATGACCGACTGACTATCGGGCACAACCAGCCTAACGCGTCCCTCCTCCTTCATAATCCCGAGGAAACTCGACGTCGAGAACTCGTCGATCTCCGTCTGCGTCGCACTATCCAAATGCAACGTCAACGGGAACCCCTCACTGCGCGCCTGCTCCGTGTACTTCATCACAGGCGCATAGTTGCCCCCCACCTTCGCGTTGCCGGTGCCGCGTGGCGCCGCGCGATCGAACTCCTCGATCACGATCGCGTCCGCTGCTCCCGTGCCGTGGTATGTGCCGAATGGCTGCACGTAGACGCAGAACAGGTAGTCGCGGGGTGGGGTCAGGGCGAAGTGGCCGCCGGTGCCGAAGGCGAGGGGCCGGATGTACAGTGCTGAGTTGGTGGTGTGCGGGGGCACGAATTCGGCGTTTTCGGACACGGCGAGGCGGATCGCGTCTAGGAAGAGCGGGGAGGGGATCGGGGGGATGGAGACTACGCTGGCGGAGTGGGACATGCGTGCGGCGTGCTTGTCGGGGCGGAAGAGCAGGATTTCTTCGTTGTTGTTGCGCGTTGCTTTGAGGCCTTCGTAGATTTGTTGCCCTGGTGGGGTCGGTTAGTGGGATGGGTTATTTCGGGGCAAGGGGGCAAGGGGGCAAGGGTACCGTAGTTCAGGCCCGGTGCCAGTCCGTGGATGCGCAGGTATGGGTCCCGCACGAAGGTCGGTGCTTGCCATGTTTTGGTCTCTGGGTCGAATTTGCATTCGACGTGGCCGTTGACTAGATGGTGTTAAACGGGTTGTGGGGGTGATGGGGTGATGGTGGGAGGGTTACCGATGTCGGTGACCGCGAGGCCGAGTTTGGACCATTCTGTTTATGTTAGCGATGGATAGCAGAGGGGAGGAGAGGCATACCGATGTCCGCTGCGGGAGGTGCGTAAGTCATTGTGTGGAGTGGTGGTGAGGATAAAAGGGTGGTGGTGGTGGTGGTGGAAAATTGACGTTGAATAACGAGACAGACGCAGGCAGAAAGGGAAGATAAAGGCGAGCTTGGCTACAGAAAAGATTGAAGCTCACTGAGCCAGAACACGAAGCCAAGATAGGGTTGGCCCCTGCCGAGCTCTGATATCCATACTCTGCTGCAGCAACAGCAGCTCGTACAGACGTGCATGACCGTGGGGGCGGTAGGTCTACGCGCAGCATAGTACCCGAGTCAGGAACCATCGTGTGTTTCATCGTGCGGCCTCGTGTTCGGAGGTAAATGGACGCATTGTTTATGTTGTGCTCGGCGGGATCGAGTTGTGCCGCAGCGCTGCAGCTGCGGCTAGCCGGGAATGGTTTGGTCGGGGATCTGCGTTTAAAGTGGATCTCGTGTCCGGAGGATATTGACCTCCTCACGGCTCCAGAGTGGAGACAGGAAACAGGTAGATCCTGAGGGCATGCTGACGTGAGAGCTGCAGAGTGATGAAATGATGCTTAACGGGTTTGGGGATGTAGTCGCGATGGATTTAGCTGCGGTTAGGCACGTTGAGATCGGCGGGGGGCGCCTGACTAGTGTATTGGAGTATTGTTACTGACCCGGCGACGTAATGGTACTGGTACAGATACTCATACATATACCCTTACAGATACCTGTATCTATACCCATACCGAGACCTATATCAATACCGCCCGATACTCATACATCCCCTGCAGATCCATGCCCTAATCCGCCAGCCACCTCTCGAGTCAGACAGCAACGTCAAGTCTACCGTAGCATCAACCTCCGCGTATACAGGACAAATGAATCATCGGAAACAAGAAATAGATTGAACACATCGCATCACATCACATCCACTGAACCCAACGAGGCAAAGACAACCAACCCACTAGCAACACCAACCACCCACCTCCGAGCCCTCCACCACCCACCACCCACCAGTCCAACTCACAGCCTCCCCCCCCTCTCATCAAACCGAACCTTCTCCCCACTCACCAACGAGTCCTGCAACGCCTTCGCAATCCTGACCGCATCCACCGCCCCCTGAATCCCCATCGGTAAATCACTCCCATCCAAACACGCCGCCGCAAACTCATTCACCTCATGCACAAACGCCAGCTCAAACCGCTCATAGTAATGGGCGGGCAACTCCCTCCTCGCCCCACTGGCATCGAATATCCCCACCAGGTTTTTCTGCGCCGTCCCGTTCACCACTAACTTGCCCTTTGTCCCGATAATCTCCGTCGTATCCTCCTGCCCCGCCGCCATCATCCGCGAGCAGTACAGATACGCGACCCGGCCGTCGTAGAACTCGATTATTCCCACCGCGTTGTCCGCGTCGTTGTATTGTTTTAGCTCTGGGTGCAGCGCCACGGTTCCGCTGGAGACGACGGATTTGACTGCGCTGGTGCCCGTGCTGCCGAAGAACCAGAGGATTAGGTCGATGTCGTGCACGGAGCAGTCCACGAAGATTCCGCCGGAGGTGGCCGCGAAGTTGACAAAGTTGCCTGTCGGGTCGATTTTGTCGCACGTCTGGCTCCGGATGATAGATGGCGTCCCGATTAGGCCGGCTGCTGTCTTAGCGTAGGCGTCGCGGTAGGAGTCGTCGAAGCGCCGTGAGAATCCGCACATTACTTTAAGTGACGGGTGGGCGAGGCTGCTGTCCACGACGGATTGGCACTAGATGCGTATGCGTATGTTAGGTTGGAGCACTAGAAGAGAGGAGGAAAGGGGGTTGGTGGACGTACGATGGCCGCGTCGGTGGAAAGCGGCTTCTCGCAGAGGACGTGCTTGCCCGCCTCAATGGCCTTGATGGCCTGTTCGGCGTGCACCGTCGTGATGGTGGATATGAGCACGGCTTCCAGCCCCGAGTGCGCGAGCATGGCGTCGTAGTCGCTGTAGATGGCCACGCCGTACGGGACCAGATTGGTCTCGGCCCATTCGACCTCAGCTGGATCTGGGGTGAAGGCGGCAACCAGGGTGGAGCGAGGCGAGCGGTGCAGAAGGTTCTGCGCGTGGCGCTTGCCCATGCGGCCAAGTCCGGCACAGGCGATTTGGAGGGTGCGAGGGGCCATTGTGACTGATGCGAGGTGATCTGATGCGATGTGATCTGATTGCGGTGGTCTGATGAGTGCATGGGAGGGAGAGGTCTCGTCGTATTTATGTTGTCGGGTTAGGGCTGCCGAGGCACCCGCGCTGGGGCCTACGGACAGAGGATGATGCACCACCACCTCGGTTACAAACATGTGCCATTCACCCCCCCTATGTCTACACTCTAGGCAAGCGACGTTGATGTAATTGGCATGGTGATGTCTGCAAGGAAGGACCTTGATGCTTTCGGACATGCTTGTACAGCGGTGTGTCAGACGCGTCGATCTGCGGTGAGTACTTTTGCAGCCGTTGCAGCGTATTTGAGAAGAAAGTCAATTCAGAAGAAACCTCATTTGAGCTATAGAATAAAAAGAATATAAAAGTCTAATACAGCAAGACTAAAGAGCAATACGAGACGAGACTAGAGACGTTACTGATGTTGAATCAGGACAGCCCGACAAAAGAAAAGAATAATCAACAACACGAGAGCCCATCTACCCAGCCCTAAGGCAGCCTCTGCTCCAGCGACACTTCCGACTCCGGCTCCAACCCAATCACCATGCGAAAGAAATTAGTCAGAGCTGAGCGCTGCTTACCCAGTGCATTAACGACGGGCACGCCTGGCGGAGTGATAGGAGCCTTGAGCATGTAACTCAAGAGGCTCAGCACACTATGGAAACCCTGGAACTCAGACGGAGACCCGTCCAATTCACGCCACGAGATGCGGGTCAGCATCTCGGTCAGAATGACCAGGTCAAGAATCAGCGGCGAGGCCAGCAGCGAGTCCTCGCACACGTTGAAGATGCTGATGGTCTGGTGTCCACCGAGGAAGATATCGGCATAGTATTCATCCAACGCGCGCTTGTTATCTCCCACCGCGGGGAGATACTTGATGACAACCGTATGATCTGGATGCTCCCCGGGCTTGTAAAGCACCGTATTGGCAGCCACCATGTCGTCGACGACATTGGACTTGGAGATCTCCTTCGACCGGAACTGCGCCGGCGCGCTCAGGTTGTATCCGTCGTTATTACCGAGGTGGTTGTAACTGGCGATCGATTTCACCCGGATCCCGGCATTCACGAGGAACTCCACCAGCGCCGCTTTCATCTTCGTCTGGCCAGATTTGAAGTCATCTCCACCAATGTAAGCTTTGTGTTGGGTCGCGAGATCGACCACGCCAGGAACGAACGTATTCTGCGGAGACCCGTTGATGAACGGGGCCTTCTCGAGGATACTCGCCACAGCGAAGACGGTCGAGGGCGAGACCTCCTCGTGTCCGTCCTCAATCGCCCGCAGCAGTTGCTCGGCAGTTTGGTTCACCCCCGGGATAATATCGGCGTAGCGCTCCGTGTTCGCAGTCCAGAGCACAATGACTGAATCGAGGCTGTGGTTGGCCTTGAACGCGCGTATATCGTGACGAATGCGGTCCACATGTGCCATGCAAGCCTTGCTCCCCTCGAGCACATTGTCCGCGCGCGCGCCCTGATTCGCGGCAATGAAGTCGGGATAGTAGATGCTGGGCAGGGGGCGGATGGCAGCAAGCTCCTTGCGGATCTGGTCCTTCAGGGTGGGCTCAAGGACACCCGCACGGTCTGCAGCATCGGCTAAATTCACCGAGCTGATGTCCCACCCCCCCACGACGAGGTCGTTCGGGTGAACCATGGGCAGGATGTCATGGAAGGGGATGTTCACGTCGAGACCCGTCTCCGGATCCACTCCCAGCTTGATGGTTGACCCCATCAAGAGAGACCCATAATAGTTGGCTGTCTGGGTGCCTTCGCGTGTCGCCCAGCTGAGCTTCGCCCGATTGGCGATGATCCCTGCCGTCACTGTCGTGCCGTTGTTTCCGCCCAGACCGACCAGCATGACACCCACGCGGGGCACCTGGTGCGCGATCTGGAACTCGTACGACTTTTCGTACGGGGTCGCGGTCAGCCCGGTATCGCCTTGGGTTACTTTGGTTCCCCGGTGGGTTGCGTGCGTGCGGATGTAGTCCTGGGTGTAAGACACGTTGGGTGAGTGGACTTTCACTGGCAGGTTGGAACCGCCTGGGGTAGGACCCGTGGTCATGGTGGAGCTGAATGAGGGAGCCATTGTGATGGGACTTAAGGACGTCGAGAGGGTAGTAAAGCCGATGCTCCGCCAAGGCGAGAAGGGCTTTGGAAGGGGTGGTGGGACCTGGGCATGTCAGTTGCGTGCTATACAGGGGATTTCTGTGCGGTTTTCGTACGAGTTGAGAAGATTGGCAAACGTTTTGGCGGTAGAGGACTCTGTGAGTCCAAGTGAATAGATAGTGGTGAATTGAGTATACAGACGATGAATGGAACTGGAGTTGATGATGATGATGATGATGATGATGAGAAGTCATTTAGCTACTGATTTCTCATTGTATTTATATTGCCATTCATCATCGCCAGCTTGAGGCTCCTCTCGGCTATACATCTTCTCACCGCGGCATGGTATTCTCATGTGTGCTTCTAACCGACATCCAGATACTCGGTAACCTTCATCACATTCTCCTCGATATACAACCTCATCCCCCCCTACCTTCTGTTCCATAAACTCGAGCAGAATGCACACCCAGGACGCCTCTCTGCTCCCTTCTTCCCACCCGGACAATCAATTCTCCACGCGAACTGCCTGGCCAGAGGCTAATCAATGAACCACGCAATGTGTGTCTGGGTGTCTCGGAGTGAGATGGTCTTCATTTTCCCGATATTGTGGCTTCATGCCACATGGCTGGCCTTGTGGTCCTCATAGGATGGTCGGTAGTTCTGCGCCCGCCCTGATGCAACGTCCACGAGGCTTGGCTGCCACGCGAGACTGAGATAAGGCTGCGTGCAGGGAATTCGATCCTGACTCGCGTAAATGTGAGGTCTAGAAGACTGGAAACTGGTATAGTATGTGATGTTGGTATGATATGTGTGTACGATATATATATGTTAGGTATGTATGGTATGTATGGTAGGTATGGTATGTATGTTATCATCGTAAGAGGGTCACTTACAGCAGTACGGTGGTAATCAACCCAGTACCGGGTCTCCCCCGGTAACTTTGCGAATCGCTCGCCGATGAGGAACCCCCAACCAGCCACCAGCAACGAGGTCCATGCATCGCCCGTGCAGAAGGATCCGAGTCTCCATCGTGGCAAGCATTCCGTATCAGTACGCCAGAAGGACTAACTAGCTCATGTTGGGTCGGAGTCGGAGACGATCGGAGACCAACTCGCTGATCCTGTTTCGGAGTCGGAGATGCCGTCTGGCCGGTCACATGATCATTTACGCAGAGCGACTGGACTGCGCAGGAGCTACTACCCTAGATCCTGCGGATGCTGACCGGTCTTCGCAGGTCCTTGATCTCTGCTGTCCCTGCTGGTCTTCTCTTTTTTCCCGACTGGACGTGGATAAACACAGCTGAGCTGCTGTGATCGAACATATCCTCGAGTGACGCGTTACTCGGTTCAGAACCACCAGCCGAAACCATGAATATGGAGATGTCATCCCTGCTCGACTCGTTTACCTGGCAAAACGCCCTCCTGGTGGCAGGAGGCGCCTACGTGCTGCTCAATATGAAAGGCGTGCCTTTCGTCTGGCATGTACGTCCACCCATCCATCCATCCCATCTTCCCCTCCCAATCAACCCCGAACCAACCCCCTAAGACTAAACACCTCAAAACCAGATCCGCCTCCTCAACTGCCTAAAAGAGCACATCATCCTGCACCGCGCGCGCAAACTCTCCATCACCACCCACGGCGCCCAATCCCTCTTCTATCCCGTGATAACCACCTCCTCGTCCCCGCTTCTCGAAATCGACTACAACCTCCACAAGTCCAACGCCACCTACTTCACCGACCTGGACATCAACCGTGTGCACCTGATTGCCACTCTGTTCAAGAACCAGCTCGCGCTGGGCTTTATGGGCGGGGATCTGGGTATTGCCCTCGGCTCGACTGCTTGTGTCTTTAAGAGGGAGATTAAGCCTTATCAGCGGTATGAGATTCACACGAGGGTGTTGTGTTGGGATGAGAAGTGGTTGTATTTTGTCAGTCATTTCGTGAAGGTGGGAGGGAAGGGGAGTGTGGTTTTTGAGGCGGGGGGGAAGGGAAGGAAAGGGATGGGCATGGGGAGGGCCGGGGATGTGGATGAGAAGAGGGTTTTGGCGTCTGCGATTACGAGGTATGTGTTTAAGAAGGGGAGGATTTCGGTCGCGCCGGAGAAGGTGTTGATGCAGGCGGGGCTGTTGCCTGAGGTGGATGGGAAGGGGGACGGGGACGGGTTCTGGACGTATGAGATGGTTGAGGAGGAGCGGAAGAGGGGGCTCGAGGTGGCCAAGTCGTTTCTTGCCCTGGATGCGTTGCATGGGACGTTCCGGGGGAATAGGAATGCGATTGGGGTGTTTTGATGTTAGGGCTATGAGGTGGGCTATGAGTCCGGCCGTATAGAGTATAGACGGGGGTGATGTTGATGAGATGATTGATATGGAATAGAATATCTCTTTCGATACAACTCTCCCACTTTGGACTATATAACCCCCAATTTCTCCTTGATCATTAATCTTCAAGGAGATTACAGGAGACAATGCCCTTCAGATCACTCCAAGTACAGCCTCTCTTGGTTGGTGCTGCCGCCGACGACTTCAACTCAGACGAACACACATAACACAATTTCATATTTAGGGAATACGCCCTCTACCAATCACACCAACCGCAGTAATGAGTGAGATTCCTAACCATATTATTCCAGAAGCAAATTCAACAGTAGATCATGGAACCACCGGAAATAAGATGAAATGATCAACTCCAATCTGAAACCAAGCGATATACCAACCCATCAAACCCGCCAACTCCGACTCCTAATCCGAAACGAGGTATATAATTATACGCAGAATCAACCATCAAAACCAACACTCAAAACCCCCAATCAAACCCCCACAACCACCCCCATCCCCTTAACCCTCTCCACGCCCCGTTCAACATCCAAATAATCCCTCCACTAAAAACACATCAGCACCCAGCCCAAACCCAAATCAACCACCGTCTCAACCCAGCTAAAAAAAAAAAGGCACTCACCTCAGACAAAACCCTCCCAGTAACCGGACTCTTCGTCAACCGAAACACATTCCGAAAATACTCCTCGGTAACCTCAAACGGCCTCGCCGTCAGATTCGGGATATATTTCCCCACCAGTCGCTCCGCGTCCAGCGTCTCCCGGTCGATGTACTTGTACAGACAGGCGCGGAAGGCTGTGATGCCGGGGCTGAGGAACGAGGAGTGGAAGGGCACGTCGATGCCCCGGAGGGGGACGGTGGCGATCCCCCGGGTTAGTTGGATGGGTTGGGGCTTGGATTTGGAGGCGCTGGCGCATTGGTGTAGGGTAGGGAGGATGGTCGAGGTGTGGGTGGTGATGGGGTGGGTTCCGGCTAGGAGGGGTTGGAATTCGGTGGGTCGCCGTTTGAGTTCGTTGATGAGGCTGGATAGGGTGTCTAGGGCGCGGAGCTGGGGGATATTGTTAGGATTTATGCAATGGGATGGAGATGGAGAGTGAATGGGGGAGGGGAGGGCTTACATCTCCCGCGCAGACGTATTGCGAGTTGGCCACGTTGTAGTTGACGATCTCGAGGAGCCAGCCGGTTTCGCTGGCGACGAGGGCGACCAGGTATCGAAGGCGTTCCTCGTTGAATGCTGACGGGTGTTAGCTACGAGAATCGGTTTGAAGGAAGAGACATACTCTTCGACAGTCTGCTCGGATCAACAGCACACATGGAGAAGTTAGATCTCCCCTGCTCGTCGCGCTCAACAGCCATCTGCATAGTCAGACCACGGTAGAAAACCACCGACACCAGACTCTCGATCGGCATAATCTCCGCGATCGCCGTCAAGGCAGAGTATTCCCCCAGCGAGTGGCCAGCAAAGCTGCAGTTATCGGCCAGCAGGCCGTTCGCTTTCATGTCTTCGATGATGGCCTTCTCCATCAGGGTCAATGCGGGCTGGGTGAACTGCGTGGAAGACAGCAGGCCCCCGCTAGACCGGAAGGTGTGCGACTTCGACTCCTCGGTGATATCCTTGAAGATCTTCTCGGATGTCGTGCGTCCGTCCGCGTGGATCATCTCGCAGCGCAGAGCCATGTAGTTTTCCCGTATGGCACGGCCTCGACTGCCTCCGAAGTGGATCTTCAGTTCCTTCGGATCGTTGCGGACGATGTCCGTGATGCGGAAACCTAGGGATATTAGCAAGATTATTACAAGAAAGGCCATTATACTCACCAAAATTTTCCAAGAAATGCGCATCCGCCAGATCCCACACCTTCCTCGCCGCAGGACTGGATGCATACAGATCCATCCCCATGCCCTTCTCCTGACTTCCCTGGCCGGTAAACAGGAAGGCCGTGCTGGGCTGTTCGATCTCGGCCTCAGCCACGATCAACTTATCGCCGGTCCCCGCGCGACGGGCCTCCGCATGGACCAGTTTGCGGCCGTTGACCATGCCGAGGTGCTGCAGAACCAACTCGACGTCGTCTCCCGGGAGAACCATCCCGACGAAGTTACATTGGTAGCTGCAAAACCCGCGGGATGTATCCGGGCAGGTGAGCTGCTCGAGCAGACTACGCACCTTGGCGCTCATGTGCATGCCGTGAGTGATTGTGTCGGGGAGTTCTGCGTATGCGGCGAAGGTTGGAGATACGTGGATAGGGTTGTAGTCCCCTGAGACGAGGGCGTACTCTTCGTTGGAAGAAGGTGAGTGGAACTGGATCTCGCCGCCACCGAGGGTAATCGGGGACTGGAAAAGGACGGGTTGCTCGACGAGGGTTCCGTGACGCTTGAGGTAGTCCATGATAGGGTTGCTGGTCGAGACGCCGATTGTGTGGTTGACGTAGGCCAGCTCGATGGTCTCGCCTGTCGGTGACCGACCGAATACAGCGCCGAAACATCTCTGCTGGCTGTAGACGGACTTGCTCTGGAATTGAACGTGGGTCTCCAGCTCGAAGGTGAGTTTGAAGCCTCGGAGATCCAGATCCGGGTTGTTGGGGGTAAACCAGGGCTTGGAGCGCAGGACAGCCACGTCTCTGGTGCTCGCCAGGTGCAGCTCCACTTTGGGCTCTTTCAGCTGCTGGAAGGCCGTGTTGTAGTCGTCGTAGCTGCCCCGGTACATAAACCGACTGACAATCTCCAAGATGTCGGCACCATCCCGGCTAATGACGGAGATAACTTCAACGATCTTGCCGGAGTCTTCGTTCAGGATGGCCCGGATATGAGCTCGGGACGAGAGCACGTCCCCTTCCTGCATCGGGGGCGAGCTGGCCAGTTGTCGGAATCCGTTCGACAGATGCACCAGCTTCATGAGATTGCCGCTGATGGTCTTCGCAAACAGGGGCTTCATGACGGACTTCCACGCAACAACGATCGCGTAGTCCATGGGCGCAGTCAGCTTCTGACTCTTGGATCGGACACCCGATACAGACAGTCTGCCGACGCAGTGGCTGAAATCCTTGATCTCAGCAGCCGTCAGAGTGACCGCATCACCGTGAAACACATCGCCCTGCGACAAGTCCCCGGCAGAGGTGAGTGGCTCGCCAAACCAGAGCTGGTGGTAGAAGTCCTTGACCCTGTCAATCTTGTCGGAGATGACTTCCCGGATAGGGGCGAAGGGGAATTCCGGGTGATGGCTGAACAAAAGCTCAAGACCTGCGGGAGCGCCGGTGAAGGTTCGGCTCTCGAAGAGGGTCGCCTTGATCAGATCTCGCTCCGTGAGACGGACCTCGACAACAGGGGTTTGGGTTAGAGAGTCTGGTGATCGCTCGAAGAGCCGGACGATGCACTGCTCGGCAGAGGTGCTCTCCTCGACCTCGACGTAGATGCCCTCTCGAGGGGCAAAGACCCTCTGGATCGGGTTTTCGACAAGGCTGTATCCCTGCACGATCGTCTTCTGACAGAAGAGAGTCTGTCTCCAGCCTTTCTGCGTACCCGCCAGTCGTGCCATCCAATCCTCGGTAGAAGGCATCTCTTCGTCGAGCGCCAGGGGCTCGTAGGTTCTGGTGAGAGAGATCTCGCTGGGCAGTTCGGCCATTCCATCCTCAGTCAAGGGCGTCTGGGGCTGGTCCTCGTCGTATCCCCCCTCGATGAGAGCCTTAACCCACTGAGCATGAATGCTATCCAGGAGATTCTTGATCGGCTCGTCGGCCATCTTTGTGTGTTTGGCTGCCACGGGCCCATGAAGAATGCAGGTTCGGCCAACATCCTGGCTCGGGACTGCCTGAACATCCTCCGACTGCCAGAGGGAGTCCTTCTTGAACCACACTTCAAACTCTTCATCGAGGACCGGGATGAACGGAACAGGCTTCTGGCCGCGTCTCCGACACAGGTGAAGGAACATCTGGATGCTGGGCGTGTCCATCAGCTGCGAGACGGCCTTGGGATAGCTGGTTAGGAACTTCTCAATCGCCAGAAACGGTTCATGGATTTGTTCAACGGACAGCCAGAACCGTGGCGTGGAAACATCCGTCGAGTCGCTGACAACATCCTCCACCCATTGAAGAAAGTCGAAGCTCAATTGCTGCAGGCTGTGGTGCACCCACCGCGCTTGGTGTTTGACGTAGAGCAGCTCAGCCATTCTCTTGACCACGCCAGCGAGGGTCATCTCGCTCAACTCGCACGCATTTCCGTTTGCGTCCCGTCCGAACCAGACCTTCTGGAAGTCCTTGTTCAGTCCGTCGATAACTCGCTGCCTGTTCTCTTGCAAGAACGCAACACGGGCCGTCTTGTCGGCAATGCTGAACACGGTGCGATCCATCTCCGCCCAGAACAGGACTCCGCGCGTGGCAATCTTGTGGATGGGCTCGCCCATCTCGGACCGAACAGTGATGATTCCTCCCGTCGGCCGGGTGTACGTCTGGTCCCAAACTGCATCGTCCACACCGGGAATATCCACGATCAACTGCTTGGCCTCGATGCTGGTGTGGGCCTCCTTGACCGTCATGACCCGGCTACCAAGCAGGATACCGTCGAACGGCATCAGCGAAGCGGCATTGAAAGCCTTCGTCCATTCACCAGTCAAGTAGGGCAGCGTATCATCCGCACCCCCGAACCCGCTACCAGCGACGAGGATGATATTCTTGCATGACCGGATACGCGCATACATCTCCAGGATGGGCTCGTGGAAATCCTCATAGGAGTGATGACCTCCTCCCCGCCCACCAGTCCACTGGAGCATTATCGGGAACGACATATTCTCCCGGGCAATGTCGATGACCTGCTGGATCGCCTCGGCAGACCCCGGCTTGAACGCAATATGCCTCAGCCCGAGCGTCTCGATATACTCGTTCGCCACGTCAACGGAGGGCACACCCGCCCCGATGGCGATCCCATCGATTGGGACCCCCTTCGCGCGCAGCTCCTGCAGCATGGGGATCTGCCACCGGACCGAGTTCGGACTCGCGTAGATGATGTTGCACGTAACCCCCCGTCCAGGCACGCCATTGTGAACGATCTTGTTGATCGCTTCCTCCATCGCAACCTTGTTGTAGTACCCTCCTCCTGCCAGCTCGATGTGGTATCCGGCATTCATGGTCGCGGAGACAAAGTCCCACGGCACAGTCGTGGGCGTCATACCCGCCACCATGATGGGGGGCAGTCCAAGCAGCTCCGTGAACTTGGTCTGAACAATAGCGCCGTTCGACGCATCTCGAGTCAACCGGGGCTTATACGTCTCCGCCCAGTTCTCGGCATAGACGACAGGGTAGTCCGGGTCATGGTTGAACAGCTCGCCCTTGTTGCCGTACTCCTCGCTCTGCCTCATCGAGGCGCCCAGGATGAGTCGCACCCCCTGGCCCGCCTTGTTGTGCATTGTCGCGACTCCCACGCCGGCACTTCCCCCCGGTCCGAAGTCAATCATGTGGGTGGCTTCCGGGAAGGCGGTCGCTTTCTCCCAGTGCACTGGCTCGTGGGCAATCATGCGCACGATCTCCGGGATGAGGTTGCGGTCGGCATGGATGCGCATATCATGGCCATCGGTCGTGGCGTACAGCGGGATGCGGAGCTGGTCGCCGGTGATGTTCAGGTCGCCGAGATCATGGACGACCATTGCGGTGACTTCTTCCAGATACGTGCTGTGGAAGGGTGCCGTGATGGGGAGGAAGCGGTGGTCGATCTTGGGTCGTCGCTTGCTGGCGGCCATCTGGGCTTCCCTGCTTGTCTTGGACGGCTTCAGGCCGCGCAGGTGGCGACTCAGCCCGTACAGACTGAGTGGGGGACCTGCCACGACCAGGTTCGTAGGCCCGTTGAAGAGCGAGACGGCCACATGGGACTCAGTCGGAAGGTAGCTGTTGACCTTGTCGATGATCTTCTGTAGCTGGCCGTATCTGAGGTTGCGTACCCGCAGCATGGGACTCAGTGCACCTTCTCCGTTGTCTTCGGCATCCTGACGGATCGACTCCGGGATGAACTGGGGCGGGTACGTCTCATGGCTGCGGCAGGCAATGTAGAAGAGGATCCGGAGGGCATCGAGGGCATATCGATGGAAATCCTCCCAGGTGTCGGAGATGGAAGTCACCATGGCGAGGACGATACCTTGTGAATGACCCGTCACGCCGGATAGATGCGCGTGCATCTCGCGAGGTGAGAGGCCCATGGTCTGGCATGCCACGATAAAGTGGCAGATCTGCAGCAGACCGATCAGGGGCATGCTGACCGGGGCAGAGAGCAGGTAGGAGGATTCAGGCTCGGACCCGGGCTTCTCCAGCCAATCCATGAGTGAGAATCCACTCCTGAAATGTCTCTTGACATCTGGCTTGGCAGCAAGGTCTTGAAGTAGACGAGCTCCAGAGAACACCCAGCGTCGGAGGATATCTGTGTATGTATGGTAAGTCTCCTTCAAGTCGTCGAAGTATTTCTCATCGTTGCCTTGGCCGCCAAACAGGGCGTAGATGCGTGATGGGCCATCGGTGGCAGATTGCAGGAGGAGGGATCGCTGGTGTCTTGGTTTGCGACTGAGGGCGCCCATGGCCGCGAAGTATGTCTTGATGATGGGGCTCTTTTGCTGGATGTCGCGGTTGGATACGGCGGCGTGGACATCGTTTCCGCCGAGGCAGTCTTGCTCGAAGGCGTCTAGCAGGGTCTCGAGGAAGTGGAGTGTTGTGGCCGCGTCGTCGATGTCTGTGTCGTCGCTGGAGCGAGTGGTGCAGAAGTGAATGAACTCGGCGACGAGGCCTTCCTTGATGGAGATGTCATTCACTGGTGTGGAGGAGGGCAGCCCCTCTGAGAACTGCTTCCACAGCTGGCTGCCAACGGCAAACTGTGATGCAGCAAGAGTGATTCGCGTGTCGACGGACTCATAGCTGGCGACCAACGACCGTTTGTCGCCGGCGACTGAGGACGGTCGAGAGATCTCAGGAGTGAGGCCCGCGAACTCGGAGCCCAAGCTCGACAAAGGGGTCTTGATGCCCGTCATGATGGACTATGTGTAGAGAGAGACTAGAATTGAATCTAGGAGATGGGACTCGAGACAGATGTCTGCCCATGTGTTATATCACACCACTCCTCCTCCTCCCCCTCCTCCTCGTCGGGAGATAAGCCCGGAGCAATGGAGTCACCGCAACGCAACGGAGCGGGGGCAGGATCGGAGGCCTGAGTCGGGAGGTCGCATGGCTCAGCTGTGTCGAAGCCACCAGGAACACGAGAGCTCCCCTGCAGCGTAAATATGCAGGTTGCAGGATGCAACACGGCGGAGAAAGATGTACATACTTACTGTACGTGATGTTGATGAAGAACTGTATGTATGTCATGACGGACGTATGTTATGACGGACTGTATTGTCTGAAATAATGTATCGTGGTATTTCATACCAGAATACCACCTGTACCTGACAGCGTACCGTACAGTCTGTGGGGCGCGGTCAACCCCCATCCCCAGCACCAGCCTATCAAGGGCCCGGAACCCGCGGAAAAGCCGGACAGCCAGGAACTCCGATCCCGCCCGGGAGATCCGCCAATGACAGCGGCGACCATCGCCTCGCATCCTTCGATGATACTAACGCGCCCTGATGTCGGGCGTTACTCTGCACCCGCCCTGCCCATTGACCGTGCTGCTGTCACTGTCACCGTCAGATGGAGTCGAGTCGATGTATCGTCTCACCATACGGCGTGGCGCAAGGATGCATCCCCCTGTTGAACACCCCCCTCCTCCTGGAACATTCCGGCCCCAACGCCAAGCACCCCTGTCTTGGAGAACGTGGCACACACGTTTATGGAAGGGTCCGCGAGGCTTTCGAACGGTCGACTCCAGCCGCTAGGAGGGCTTTATTTCCGAGGCCTTTTACGCCTCCTTCTCCAAATAGCTTTTCCCTGAAGACTTCCTACACATCGCTATTGGTCGGGGCACAGGCTTAGCCCTCTGCCAATCGCTTCCCACGTGGCCGATTGGACTCCCTTCATCACGAACTGTACATGTCCACGCCTCGCCTCGACTCGCCTCGCTGATCTATTCCGTTTCCCCTGGATCTGCGGATGAAATTTCCACCGGGTCGTATTGCGGCACGGCAGCCCTGACCAGATACAGCCTCGCTCATTTCGGCGGTCGGCGCCGATCTCCGGGAGCTGATTATCAGCCATCTCATCTTTTGATATTATTGCCGGCTTAACAATTTGCCCCTGTGCTTTGGAATCAAACAGCACAACATAACTAACATAATCTCAAACTCCCCCCATCAAAACGATGACATCATCTCTCTCCTGTAACTACTACCCCTGCTAGCCCTATCCCATACCGATGATGCCATCCCCCCCAACCCCCAAACCAACCCAAACCAACAGATCTGACATCACCACCGCGAAAAGACCCCCTCACCTCCCCGACACCTGCACCCCCTCAATCCCCCTCACGACCCCCTCCGGACTCTCCAACGGAATCAAATGCCTAACACCCGTCAACACCTCAAACCTAACCTCAAACCCCCTGTTGCGAAGCATCTGCACCACCTCCCTCTCTACCCGCTCCTTCTGCTCCACTACATCCAACTCGCCCGCCAGGACACTCACGCGCATCCTTCGTCCTGTCAGCTGCAGTTGCGCACTGAGCGCGTCGATTTCCGGGGTGATATCATCTTGCATCCCGTGCAGAATCCACCCGTCGCGGGCTAGGGGGTGGGCGGAGGTGCTGGATGCGGTTATTGTTTTGATGTCGGTGTCGGAGAGGCTGGAGGCGCTGGAGAGGACGTTGGTGATTGTCCAGTGCACGGAGGAGGGGGTGCTGTAGGCGAGGCGTTGCTGGGAGGCCATTTCGGGGGGCAGGATGAGGGGGGTGGGTGGTGCGGGGGCGAGCAGGACGAGGCCGGTGGTGAGGGTGAGGAGGTTGGTTGGGAGGGTGGACAGGGTGGCTAGGGCGACTTTGGCGCCCATAGAGTGGCCGATTAGGATGAGGCCGTGTTTGAAGAGGGTGGTTGTTGGGGGGGAGGTGGTGAGGTGGGTGAGGAGGGCGACGATGTCGGAGGCCATGTGCAGGATGGAGTAGTCTCTGGCGGTGGCGCCTTCAGTAGGGCCCGTTGATTGTCCCCAGCCGCGGAGGTCGACGGAGAGCGTGTTGTAGGCTTTGCTGAGGGAGTGGGGGGAGGTCGGGGAGGTTTGTTTGTGCCAGGTCATGCTGGAACCGCCCCAGTAGTGGATGAAGACGAGGAGAGGGGATGGGCTGGATGATGCTCGGGTAATGTTGTAGTGGATTTTGGTCTCGGGGGAGACGTCGAAGAAGTGCGACTCCATCGTGGTTGGGGTTATATATAATCTCGGCGGGAAGGTCTTGGATAAGTAGGCGCGGATATGCAGTGTAACTTAAGAAAGACCTCATGGAACTAGAGCTATTTATTTCCTCCCCCCAAAGGTGACAATATATATATAAGAGGAAGAAAATTTATAAGCATCAAGAAGACAGGTGGCCGGAGTTGGTGATTAGTGAACATGGACAAGTATTTGGAATTCTGGTGGAATTAATTCCGGGAGTGAACACACTCATCCAAGTCAGTGGAAAGACACACCGATATCTATCACGATGGAAATAACTCGGAAAAGACAGACAACAACACCGTGACATCATGCAAACAAAAGACTGATAATGCATCGCCGTTTCGCAATATATGTTCAAGTAAGATGCAGTCTATCCACATTACATTAGAGCCACCACACCACACCCAACGCCATCAACTGTAAATTCATGTAACGACCGGAAAAATATCAAGTTCAAATCTTCAGCCACGATGTTTCAGGATCCTCTTTAGTGGGGTTGCTCCGTCCGTAAAGCTGGCTGAATAGGCCCTTCTTCTTCAACAACTCATCCGGGGGCCCGTACTCAACGATGCGACCGCTCTGGATAGCCACAATTTTGTCGAAGTCGAGCACAGTATGTAGGCGATGGGCGACGGCGATTATCGTGCAGCCTGCAAACGCGGTACGAATCAGGCGCTGCATGAGGGCGTCGGTCTCGGGGTCGACGCTATCCAACAAGGATTGTTAGCTTGGCTGTCTCGATGTGACCCGGGAGCCATGAAAGGGGAAGCAAGGGAGATGAAGAGAGAAAATGGAAGAAAGGGTATCGCACCTGCTGGTAGCTTCGTCCAGAACAACGACGTTGCTCCTCCTCAGCATAGCTGCAGCCAGACGCAGGAGTTGCTTCTGCCCCTGCGAGAAGCTCTCTTCCTGGACCTTCCCATCAAGACCACCAAGTTGTCCGGTGACAATGTCCCACAATTTGACTTCTCTTAACACATGCATCACATCCTCATCGGAGGCATTTCCCAAAGGGTCCACATTCTGTCGTACGGTGCCGGGGAGGATTGTGACTGATTGTGAGATACACGAAAGGGAGGAGCGTATATCCTGACAGGCAATCGAGCTAATGTCAAGACCATCGACAGTGATATGACCGTTGTCGGGTTCAAGAAGTCTGAAGAGGAGCTGGACTAACGAGCTCTTTCCACTGTAGAATGGGTCAGACTCCCCCGTCAGATATAATATAGGACGAAGGGGGAATTACCTCCCACTCGGGCCGCAAATAGCGACCTTCTCTCCGGCTGCAATTGATAAGGTGACGTCGTTCAGGACGGGCGGGCTATCGGGCCTATGCACCTCACATTAGCAAGGAAACTACATGTTGTTTCATCAATACATACCTGTAGGAAGCAGAGACATTGAAGAACCTGATATCTCCCCTCTCCGGCCAACGCGGCGGGGTTTCAATGTATCCGTCATGTCTGTCTTCAGGCTGGACATCTTCCTGGAATTGTCTCACACGAGACACAGCCCCAATCGAAGTCTCCAGGACTGTCCAATTGGAGATCAGCTGCTTCAAGCTCTCGCTCAGGCTAATGATGTTGAGCAAGCCCAGACCAGCCGACCCAGCCCCAATGGACCCCGGAACCCCGACAGCAATACCGACAATCAACGTCGCCATACCGGCCACAACCATATCCAACACAAGGGTGAGCCATCGTTGGATAACGAACAACAAATAATATGGCCGTTGCGACGCATCCGTCAGCCCACAGATATTATCGAAGAAGTTAGCCTGCCACCCAAAGGCGCGAATGGTCACCAGGCCGTTGACCGTTTCCATGAAATTGGAATAAAGCGGAGATTTGGCCTCGAGTTCCATGAACCGCAACTGGCGGGACGTCCGAAGGTAGAATTTCTGTAGGAAGTAGAAAACTACTAGGCAGACTGGTGTGATGGCGGCGAGATACTTTCCGGTCACGAAAACGATCAGAAGCTGCGCGATTGCGGATGTGAGGGCTTGTCCTTTGTTAGCGGATGTCGGCCGGCATGGGATAGTAGAGGTTTCGACGTACCAACACTAGTCTCCACAAGGGCAAGGGGCAATTCCATGTCCACCAACTGCATGTCCTGGCTGAATCTGTTGTAGGTGTAAGTAACGAACATTGCATCCCGACAAGCTCCTTACTTGTTCGTGGTCACACCGGAGTCGGTGGAGTGGAAGAAGGATATCGGTGCACTATTATATGTCAGGAAATGGCAGGTGTCGAGTCATAGATATCGCTCACTTTAGCACCGTGCGTAAGAGAATTTTATGTAGCTTTCTCGACGCCCGGGGTATCATGTTGCTCATCATATGCGTACTAACGTCAGTACTAGCCGTGCGAGAAGAATAGGAAGACTTATCAGCATCCCAAAAACAGCGACAACTCCGCCATGACCGCTAAGAAGGCATAAACACCCAGCCACCTGCCGAGGTCTTGGTACGGATGCTTCTCGTTCGCAGCAGCCCACCACTGGACCCACACACCTGGTGATTATCAGAGCTGGCCCACAGGATATATGGATTGGTTTACGTACTCGGGAAGGCAAGACTGAACGTGAAGACCGTCACGGCACCAAAGAAAACTACCGAGTTGAACGGACCAACCATGTTCAGGTAGTATTTGTAGATAGTCACATCTCCGGTTCGTCGACTGGCGTCGGAGGTCTCCAGCTGTGCTGCGAGTTCGTGCGGCACGTCAGGGTTGGATTGTCTGACGATCCAGCTCATTCTCGCCTCATTTAGTGTGGGCTCGAATAAGAGATCGTGCGTGCTGGGGCCCGGTAAGCTCGATACTATGGAACCCTCCTTCTCGGAGAAGTGGACTTTGCTATCGAGGGTGATGGTGTAGTCCGCAGAGGACGCGAGGCGAGCTATGGAAGTCAGTTGCCCGCACCATACTAGGCGATAAACGTGTGTAACGAAAGCTTTGGAGGCAAACCTGAATGAGTTGCAAGGATAGTAGTCAGATTATGCTTCCTGCAAAACCCTGCCTCACCAAACAACCGCGCTATGACCAGCTTTTCGGTGTCGGCATCAAACCCGCTAAATATATCGTCCAGCAACAGCAACGGTTGCCTGGAATAGAGTGCTCTCGCCAATGCCTACCCATATTAGCCAGTAACGATCATAGAGCACTTTCCACTCACCACACGATGCTTCTGCCCCCCACTTAGCGACAACCCCTTGCTCCCAACTACAGTCTGAGCGCCTAGCGGCATCAACCTAAGGTCCTGCCTCAAACCAGAGGCCTGTGTGACCTCGCGAAACCAGCGGGGCTCGTACGGCGACGGGCCAAGGATATTGCTCAAGATAGTACCGTTCTGCAACCACGGGTCCTGACTGCAAAAAGCAGCGAACGGATACCGGCACTTCATGTAGCCCTTCGTAACGGGAGTCTCGCCCCGAAGTCCAGCCAACAACGTCGACTTGCCACATCCCGTGGGTCCCGTGATGATCGTGAGTGAAGACGGCCGGATTTTGAACGTCATGCGCTTGATAACCGGATCCCGGGTCGGGGTCCATCCCACACTCCAGTTCTGGGCCACCACAGCTTCATGCATTTCGCCTTCCTTCATTTCCACGTCGCGAAGGTTGTCCATCTCGGGAAAAAGAGTTTGTTCGGAGGTGAAGGAGCTCAGGAAGCCGACTACCTTGGTATCCTCAGTCATTAAGAAGACTCGGATTCGTTCGAGCGAGCCAACGGCAGAGATAAGATTGGGAACGGCTTGAAGAAGCATGGACATCGGGTTTTGGAGGACCGTAAAGAGCGAGAGAGTAGTAAATGCCCTTGCTGTAGTCAACTCAGCCCCATTGTCCGATCGCGACAACGCAATAAATATGCCGAACCCGACCACAGGTGATATGACCGATGTTCCAAACGCTGCCCATGTCAGCAACAAAGAATAACTCGGAGAGGGGTATATACTGACACAAACTGACGGCGTAAATCAAGAATGATCGGAATCTATTCGCGTAGCCAATCTCCTCTAGCCGGAGCTTCTGCACGAAGTCCATGAACCACGGCGTCAGACCCTCCAGCTTGAGACTTTTCATCGAGTTGATCATGTATGTCGTGACGTCGATTCGCTTCTGTATGCCCTGCACCCATGTCGCCTGGCGACGGCCGACAGCTGGCGCCATTGTCGCTGCAGTCGCTCCACAGACTAGACAATGTCAGCCGGCTCCATGTATTGCAAACTCAACCACATACTTATTGCAATGAGAATCGGACTCAGCCCTCCATAGTTAAGCTCATGATACAGCAACCACAACGCCAACGCAATCTCAACCACATTCCCCCACGCCTCGTGCATGTATCGCATCCCGAATGCGATCTTCTCGATATCCGCGCTCATCAGAGTTACCGGGGCAAACTCCTCCGCGGTCTTCGGATCCAGGGAGAGCGTCTTCTCGTATATGAGTGGCACAAGACACCCGCGCATCAGTACTATCGTGCGATACGTGATATGCTGGTAGCACGCCTCGGCAATCTGAAGCCATTAGCGCCAGTGTACCAGCAAGGACTTAAGCAACCTACCCCCAAACCAATATAGTCCAGAATGTATGCACCTAGTAGACCATACCCATCATTCCGGTTCGCCTTGTGGGCGGAGGCCTTTTCAATGTACCGTATCACCGCGTCGATCATGTATGGTTGAGTGAAAGTGAAGGCCGTATAAAACAATCGCGGAAGGACGGCTGTCAGAAGAACCCATCGGTACTCCCATGCAAGGGCATACATGAGCCCGTTCTTCTTCTCCTTCAACTTGGGGTTTGCTGCGCACGGTCAGAGCCATCCCGATATGTGATATATGATAGGAACACATACCAGTCTGCCACTTTTGCGAAAAGCTTGTCGAGCTCGTTTGCGACTGAAGGCTTCGGTTCAGGCTGAATAGATCGTCCGCCTGAAGATCCTTCTTCGAACCCAAGAGGAGCAACGGGTTTACCCACCAGAACATGCGTCGGTTGATCCACCCGGCCTTCTCCTCGGGACTGTATAACCGTTCGGGTGCATCAAGGGTTCGTGGCCAGGCCTCCTGCACTAACAGCACTGCCTTCCACACGATGGATATAGTCAATAGCCTGAAGATGTTGCCGTGGAATCCCAACCCCCACAATGTCCGAAGTCTAACTGCGTCAAAGGCGACGGTAAAGAGGAGGTAAATTTCGATGAGGAGCGGGGGCTGGATAGTGCGCGTATGTTCAAGGTACGATGCGACACTGAGCGCAAGTGCGACGACCAAGCTAAGCACCGCAGCTGGTATCGTTGTGCGTGTGGTTGGCTCGTTGTCTGAAGACCATGATACTAGGACAGCAGTCTGGATAGCGGCAAACCACCCATAGCTGATCTGAAACACGGTTAGCTATACCAACCCCAGATATGTAAAAGACCTGTTATACAACGTACATGCTTCCGCAGCAGTGCGCCATCATTACTCCCATCTCGTACCGACTTTCGATAGAGAAAGAACACCCTCGGGCATAGAAACAGGAGGAGAAGCCCGATCGGGCCAATCGTCATCACCGACTCCTCAAACAACAGCGTAAAGTCGTACCCGCCATAACACTTCGGGGCCTGAGGCCCGAAGACATCCTCGGAGGCAAAGGAGCAGTTCATCGTGACTTCTCCTGCTTTGCTAAGGAGCTGGAGCGGACATGGGCCATCGGGTGTGATAACGCTCAGCTTTAGACCCTGTACCGCCCGCCTGGGCCGGGAATCGAACTATAGCCTGTGTCGAGAGAACCTCCGAGCTGGATGTCTGTCCAGGCCTGACGTCGCTGCGCAAATGCAAACCGCGTATACGGACCTCGCAAACTCAACGTGCCCCAACACCAGAGACTATCGTGATGCAGCATTGTCGGGTCAGAATGGGAGATCTTGCGCGCTTGGGTGGATGAGGGGTGCCGCCACAGACAATGCCCAAGTGTGTAGGCAGCACCTAGACGCGGGGGGTGGTGATTGGCCAGCGCGTAAACCCCAAGACGTTAGCGGTGCCTCTCGGATCCTGCAACGGATTAGTCTGATCGTTCTGGACCCCAACGGGATCGGCGTTCACTTGACGCGGATTCATGCAGCATCCTGGGCCGTCCATGTGGTGACCCACTATTACCGTAGGGCGCCCCACTGCCACGGCGAGTATCAATACTAGCCCTGTTACCATGTAAGTTACCCAATACGGCTCGGTCTCGAAATACCGTATGTCTGGTATCAGTAACAGTACGCAGACTAGCGCCCCATAACGCCATCATGCATGCAGAAGGAATGGACCATCGTCGCTCGCGTGGCAGATGGGTCCACCAGCCTCGAGAGCTTGAGACATATACGAAGCTGACAGGGGTGCGTAGTTTGAGATCAGGTCTGCAAGTAGATACGCTCTTACGCGCACTTACGCTGCCACGATGGGGCCGGAGATCATCGTACCTCCATCTGGCCAGCATGGAGCAGTCTTCCTTAGCCGATTGATGAGTCGCGATTTGCTTCGCATTCCTTTTAATCGGCGAGATCAGCATTGTCTGCCTCTTGGGATTCACAGATCTCTCCTCACACTCACCCGCAGCGCAAAATGGCTCCAATCGCTCTGCCGACTCCTCCCCTCCCAGTTGTCCCTTCTAAGTCCCTGAAGGGCGTCATTGATACACACACTACCCCGAGTCACCTGGCTCCAACCAAGGACCTACTACCAGCTGAGGAAAGCTCGGTGACTGCAGCAAGGGTGCCCGAGATACTTTGCACCGCTTTCGGCCTTGCGCTTCGTTGTTATAGATCAGAGGGCGTGGCCTTCGAATACCGCGATGAGTCGACCGCCGCGACAAGTATGTTCATTGGTGGTTGACTGTGCCCTCACTAATACTAATAAATAGAAATCTCCTTCGACCCTGATGAGTTCAAGACAATTGACGATTGTCTCGGTGCGGTGAGGACGAAATTGCAAGAGGCACAGTGTGTGCTGGACGCGCCGTCCGAAGAGGACTCCTATCAGTCCTTCCGCAGCACAGTGGTTTTTCATCGCGGGGCCATCAACGCCAACTCAACCCTACCCTCACCAAAGGTGAGTCAAAACCATCCAAATGCAAACCTGCCCAAGGAAAAAAACTTACCATCGCCAGTCTGACCTCGAACTCCATGCCGCACACTCCCACGAGGGAATTGAGCTTCAAATGCGTTACACGCCATCCACCGTGACCGAGGAATTTGCGGTGCACTTAGCCGACACACTGCGGCAGACATTCGGCTTGGTCAACAGCCACCCGCAGACTGAACTCGCAAATGCAAGCTACCTGGGGCCGATCAGTCGTGAGAAGGTGTTTGGGTGGAACGCGAATCCGCCTGCGGCCGTGGTGGAATGCGCGCATGAGCTGGTCCGACAGAGAGTCGCCCTGCAGCCGGATGCACCTGCCATTGACTCCTGGGATGTCCAGATGACGTACGCAGAGCTGGATACTCTGTCGGATCATGTGGCCACTATTTTGGTAGAGGCGGGAGTCAAGCCGGAGGCGATCGTGCCTTTGTGCTTCGAGAAGACGGCGTGGTATGTCGTTGCCATGCTTGGTGTTTTGAAGGCCGGAGGCGCGTTTGTGCCTTTGGATCCAGCTCATCCTTCAGCTCGTCTTCGCGAAATCATCGGCCAGGTCGATGCCCCGGTGGTTTTGACCACGGCGAGATACGAGAGTCTCTTTGCCGAATTCTCCGTCAAGTCACTCACCGTCAACGCCGATTCGATTGCCCAACAGGCCGCCCGTGAACAGACATCTACCCCACCCAGTAGTGCAACGCCCGAGAACCTCGCATACGTGATCTTCACATCCGGTAGTACTGGAAAGCCCAAAGGCACGATGATCCAGCACCAGTCCTTCTGCAGCGGTTCATTGCAACAGGGCGAGCTGGCGAACATGGGACCTCATTCCCGGATCTTCCAGTTCGCATCGTACAGCTTCGACGTGAGCATTCTCGAGATTCTGACAGGCCTGATTTTCGGTGCCTGCATTTGTATCCCGAATGAGCAGCTGGGACGTGCAGATTTCGTCCAGTCCATGAATGATTTCCGCGTTAACTGGGCGTTCTTGACACCTTCCGTCCTGAAGGTCCTCTCCCCTGATCAACTGCCACGGTTGAAAACGTTGGTCCTGGGAGGTGAAGCCATGTCCGAGTCGGATATGATGACTTGGGCGGGCAGAGTGCAGTTGATGAACGGGTACGGGCCCAGTGAGTGTTCAGTGGCTGCGACGGCCAACACGAAGCTTGACCCGCACTCGAGCCCGCGGAATATAGGCAGGGCGATTGGCGGTGTCTGCTGGGTCGTCGATCCGGAAAACCACAATGTGCTCTTGCCAGTTGGCGCGGCGGGCGAACTCATCATTCAGGGACCCATCGTGTCCCGTGGGTACTTGAAAGATCCCGTCAAGACTTCGGCAGCTTTCTTCGACAGTCCAACTTGGATGACTCCCGGTACTGCGCCAATTTGGAATCGCTTCTACAAGACGGGTGATCTGGTGCGCTACGATGCGGAAGGGATGATCCACTTCATTGGGCGGAAGGACCACCAAGTCAAGCTCCACGGGCAGCGGATGGAGTTGGGAGAGGTCGAGCACCATCTCTGGACGGACAGTCTGATTCGGAATGGCATGGCTCTTGTGCCGTACACTGGTCTCTGCAAGTCCCGTCTGGTTGGTGTGATTTCCCTACACAAGCAATTCTCACCCTCCCCGGTCGACAACGAGTCAAGCCTTCGACTGGTCGACCACGGAGAGACTTCGGCAGAGACGCGCACTTTTGCAGAGCGGCTGTCGAGTATGCTCCCTACTTACATGGTCCCCACGGTCTGGATCGTCCTGGAAAACCTTCCCCTGATGTCATCCGGCAAGATGGATCGCAAGAAGGTCTCGGACTTCGTGGCTAATATCAGCGAGGAGGCATTCAAGCACATCATGGGCAGTTCCGACAAGAGGGACGACGAAGAGCCTATAACCAAGTTGGAAGCCCTCGTGCGGAAGGTTTGGGCAAAGACCCTCGATATCCCCGAGGAGCAGGTTGGCAGACACAACAACTTCCTCTCCGTCGGCGGCGACTCCATCAAGGCAATGGCTACCATGTCGGAGCTCCGCAAGCTCGGCGTCACGGTCACGGTCGTGGACCTGTTGCGGTATAAGCTGAGTGAGATTGCTGCGAGGGTGGAGGAATCGGGGGTTTTGGACTCGTCTATCTTGGATAGCGAGGCCGGCAGCAAAAGCCTCCCAGTGTCCCATCTGCAACGGACACTCCTGGAAGCATCTCGACTGGGCAACGCTAGTATCCATCATAACATCCTCCTCGAGCTCAGGCAGAAGATCCGCATTCAAAAGCTTCACGAGTCCTTGGACACGATTGCGTCCTCGTACCCGGCACTCAACCTCAAATTCCAGGAGCAGGACGGCGCATGGTCGCAGGTTTTCAAGGCTCATGATGAGTTTGAAAGTCCCGCTTACCACTTGAACCTCAACCATGTCTCCAGCTTGGAGGAAGTACACGATATTGTCCAGTACCGCCAAGCTTCGCTGTCTGAACTCGGGAACCCGAACTTGATGCTTGATCTGTTCACTGTCCGTGGCGCCCAGTACATCTCCATCGTTGCGCATGCGGCTGCCCTTGATCGCCACTCCCTAGACACCATCATTGGACATCTAGACTATCTCTTGCAGTCCGAGAAAGACAAACAGGTCTGGGAGAGCCAGCTTCTATCTCCTGATGAATTTTCCGACGCCTGGCTTAGCCACCTGAAAAGTGAGGGCACCGCACGTTCAAGCATCAAGTCTGTTACAAACGGCACCTCTTTCCAGAAGCAGGATTATGCGACGGAGGTTCTCGACCTCGATGTCGAGACTAGCAACCAACTCACTGGACCATGTAACCTGACCTTTGACACAAACGCGGCGGAACTTCTTCTCGCGGCGCTGCTTGTGTCCTACAACCAGACGCTCAAGGCCCACAGCCGACCATCAATGGCCGTCATTGAGAGATCAACCCGTCAGTCTGCCTCCGGCAAGCTTGGCGATCATGTTGGACAGTTCTCGACTCTACAACCTGTGCAGGTTACTTTGCAAGATGAAAGCCAGATCACTCTCCAAACGATCCGCGAGACAAAGGACAGTGTCCGGCAGAACAGAGATATAGAAACGTCCCACTCTGCGGATATCGCATTCAGTTATGGGATGTCCAGGCAGCCCATCGAAGGCGCTGTATTGAGGCATACAAAGCCAATCTCACCATCCAGTTCAAGCGCAATCATCGCGACCACCATCCAGGTCTCTGCTAGCATTGAGCAGGGCCACCTGAAGCTCACCGTGGGCTCCGACAATATCAGCTCATTGTCGCTGTCGCTGCTCGTCGACCAGTACAAGCAGAACATCGCTCAGACGGTTCATCTACTGGCTAGTGGTACGACAAGAGAGTTCACCCTGACAGACTTCCCGCTTCTCGACCTGGATTACCCATCCCTGGACAGAGTCAATCGCCAGCAGATCCCACGACTTGGTCTCAAGACCCACCAGGTCGAGGAGATGTACCCCTGCTCCCCACTGCAGCAGGGTCTGCTTATGAGCCAGGCGCGCAAGCAGGGCAGTTACAACGTCTCCATTGCGTGGGAGGTCACTTCTACTCTTAGCGCGGACTCGGTCGACATCGGAAAGCTGATTTCTTCCTGGCAAAAAGTGGTTGATTTCCATCCGGCACTCAGAACAATCTTTACCGATGATTTTGGTGGCAAGGAGCCTTACGTTCAGATTGTGCTCAGAAGGCCTCGAGCGGAGATTTCGGTCACGCCGTCTGCGGACGCTGATGTCAAGTCTGTGCTGGAAGAGACCATCGATCTAGGCGTTAATCCTCTTGTCCCTCCGCATCGCTTCTCGATTAACGTTACAGCGGAAGGAAGAGTGTTCTGCCGAGTCGACGCCAGTCACACCATTGTTGACGGCGTGTCTAAGGCGTTGATCATGAGGGATCTAAAGCGAGCCTACACAGGAGCACTGGACATCCGCACTGGAGGCGTCAAGTATAGCGAGTTTGTCAAGTACGTCGCTGCCAATGACATGTCTGCCAGTGTCGAGTTCTGGAAGAACCACCTTGCAGAAGTCGAGCCATGCTACTTCCCCACGTTGGGGGACACCGACGCCACCCCGGAGCTCAAGTACGCGCAGGTAGCCGTGGAAACCACCGTCGATGCTCTGCGCGAGTTCTGCATTGCGCACAGTGTCACGCTTTCCAATCTTCTGCAGACCGTGTGGGCTCTCGTCTGCCGATGCTACGTTGGCAGAGACGATGTCTGCTTCGGGTACCTTGCCTCTGGCCGAGATGCCCCCATCGAAGGTGTGGTTGATATGGTTGGTCCCACGATCAGTGTGTTGATCTGTCGGGCATTCCTCGAAGACTCCACTATTGTCAAGGACGCTTTGAAGAAATGTCAGGCCGAGTTCCTGGATACCCTGTCGCATCAACACTGCTCACTTGCGGAGATCCAGCACGCGCTGGGTCTGGCAGGCATGCCGCTGTTCAACACTGGTATCTCTTTCCAAACCATGTCCGCCGTTGACACTGACAGTACCACCGCCGACATCGAATTTGACGGTCTGGCCGTGCGGGAGCCAACCGAGGTATGACCCCCTTCAAGATACGTGATTCATCCGCTGACATACATAGTACAACATCACGGTCCACGTCACCGATTCTCCAGACAAAGTGGACGTCAAGCTCGGTTACTGGACCGATTGCATTTCCGAGCCCCAAGCACAGTCCGTGGCAGGAACCTTCTCAGCCGTGCTTAAGTCTGTGTTGGCGAACCCCGATGCTCGCGTTGACCAGCTCAGCATCATCGGGCAGTACGATCTATCGCAGATCGTTTCCTGGAACCAGGACGTCCCAGAGACCTCCCAGTCTACCGTCCCAGATCTTGTGCTGCAGCAAATCGCGCTGACTCCGAATGCCATTGCTATCGACGCGATCACTGAAAAGGTCACCTACCAAGAGTTCGGGCACATGTGGTCTGTCTTATCTCAGCATCTGGTGCAACTTGGCGTTGCTCCCGGGGATTTCATCCCCTTGACCTTCGAGAAGTCGCCCTGGGCGATGGTTGCCATGCTTGCTGTTCTTGCTGCCGGTGCTGCATTCGTGCCTCTCGATCCCAAGACCCCTGTGGAGCGCCTTCGTGAAGCTGCTCACCAAACTGAGGCCAAGGTTGTCTTGGCGTCTCCCAAGTATGTTTCCAACTGGGAGGGGCTGGTCCCCACGATTGTCGGTGTTGACAGACAAATCCTTGAGGCTCTGGACAGCGAGAACGGACCCAGCCCAGCCGCAGTGCGGGCTCGTCCCGATCACAACGCCTACGTTATCTTCACGTCCGGCAGCACGGGCAAGCCTAAGGGATGTGTCGTGCAACACTCCGCGTTCTGCTCCGGGGCCTTAGCTCAAGGCAAGCTCGCCCGTCTCGGTCCCTCTTCCCGGGTTCTTCAATTCGCGTCCTACAGCTTCGACGTCAGTCTCCTTGAGATCATGACCTCTCTGATGTTCGGTGCTTGTATCTGCGTCCCGGATGAAGATCTCGGCAAGGACATCAAGCGCTGCATCAACGAGCTGGCCATCAACTGGACATTCCTGACCCCGTCAGTCCTCAAGCTTCTGCAGCCAGAAGACGTGCCCCTTTTGAAGACCCTCGTCCTTGGTGGAGAGGCCCTTTCACGAGGCGACATCCTCACCTGGGCCGACAGGGTCCAGCTGTACAATGGATACGGACCCAGTGAATGCTCTGTCGCCGCTGCCGCCAATCCGGGCCTACAGACTACCACTGACCCGGCCAATATCGGTCGCGCTGTCGGTGGTGTGCTCTGGGTCGTGGACGCGAAGCAGCCATCGAAGCTACTTCCCATTGGGGCCGTCGGAGAGCTTCTGATCTCGGGCCCTATTCTGGCAAGAGGATACCTGGGTGATACCGAGAAGACAGCCGCTGCGTTTGTTGAGCAGCCAAGCTTCATTCCAGGGTCTGAGGAGCAGGTCCGGTTCTACCGCACTGGTGATCTCGTGCGGTACAACGCCGATGGCACGATCCACTTCATCGGTCGTGCTGATGGACAGATCAAGATCCGTGGTCAGCGTGTCGAGCTGGGTGAGATCGAGTACAACATTGAGCGTGACGAGAACATCCACCACGCTCTCACTTTGCTTCCGTCCCAGGGCCCCTTCAAGAAGCAGCTCCTGGCTGTTGTGTCTTTCAAGGGCTTCAACCTCCCTGCCCTCGACGGAGAGCTCTCCCTCGTGCCAGACGACCGCAGATCCGATATCATGGCCGTCGTTACCAGCATCGCCAACACCATCTCTGCGGCCCTCCCCGTCTACATGGTTCCTGCACTGTGGGTTCCAGTGAACGGAATCCCTCTGCTGCCTTCAGGCAAACTTGACCGCAAGAAGGTGCGCCGCTGGGTTGAGTCCTTGGACGACGCCACGTACGAGCAGATCGCCAACCTCGGATCCCAAGCCAGCGGCCGGGGTCCTAGTACCCCAACAGAGCATACCCTCCGACGCATCTGGGCGTCCATCCTGAACCGCCCGGAGGAGCAAATCGATATGGAGCGGACGTTCCAGAGCCTGGGCGGCGACTCCATCTCCGCCATGCAGGTCATCGCCCAATGCCGCGACGCGAAGCTCTCCCTCTCTGTCAGAGACCTCATTCAATCCCCCACCATCGCCCAACTCGCCCCTAAGGTGCGACCCCTGGACGACGGGGCCGAGACAGTAGAAGATGACATCGGAGTCCCGTTCAACCTATCCGCCCAGCAGACCTGGGAGTTCGACTTGAAGCAGACCTGTGATCTCAACCGCTACAACACCACCTTCCTCCTATCCGTCCACAGCGACTCTGACCTGGCCCCGGTCGTCGACGCGACCGTCCAGCGCCACCCCATGCTCCGTGCTCGATTCCAACGCGAGCCCTCCGGTCGCTGGATGCAGTACATCCCCATCGACCGATCGAACAGCCACTGGTACGAGGAACTGGACGTCACCGACGTCGATGCCATCAAGCCCTACACTGCACCCAACCAATCCGGCTTCGACCTCGAACGCGGTCCCCTGCTGCGCGCCATGGTCTTCACCCTCCCCAACGGCGACCGCTATCTCGGGCTGACGGTCCACCACATGATCATCGACACCGTTTCGTGGCGCATCCTCCTGCAAGACCTGCAACAGGGCCTAGCGACGGGGGAAATCACCTCGCACCGCTCCGACTCGTTCGCGCGCTGGTGCCGCACCATCAAACAACACGCCGAAGAGAAATGGACCCCTGAATTCGTCCTCCCCTTCTCCATCCCCGCCCCCAGGTACGATTACTGGCAGATGGAAGAGTCCATGAACCTGTTCATCACGGAAACCATCCAGGAGTTCGTCCTCGACAAACAGACCACCGCCCGGTTGATGGGCAAATGCAACCACCAGTTCGAGACTAAGCCGCTGGACATCTTCCTGTCAGCTATATTCCATGCTTTCAGCGCTACCTTCACTGATCGCCCGGTCCCTGCGGTGTTCATCTACAGCCACGGCCGTGACGAGTTCGGTGGTGATCTCGACGTGTCCAACACGATCGGGTGGTTCACTTCCTCTACACCGGTGGTCATCAACCCCTCCGCTGATATCGTGGATGATCTTCAGGCTGTCCGCGATGTGCGCGCCAGCGTACCCGGAAATGGAGTGCCGTACTGGGCGAACCGCTGGCTGACAGATGAGGGAAACGCCGCGTTCGAGCACCACAGTCCGTTTGAGATGTCGATGAACTATCTCGGACAGTATCAGCAGTTGGAACGCGATGACTCCGTCCTCAGATATGTCGACGTGGAGAAGCCGAAGGCGACGGGCTCGGGGTCTCTTCTCAGAAGGACTGCGCTGGTCGAGACTCAGGCGATCGTTGTCGGGGATGAGTTGCAGATTAAGTTCGTTTATAATACCCGGATGGCGAGGCAGGCGCAGTTGCTTGAGTGGCAGGGCAAGGTGAAGGAGGCGTTGTTGGAGATTGCGGATCGGCTGGGGTGAGCGTGCGTGACGATATCTGTTTTGATGTAGTGGTTTCCTGTTTTTGGGTCCTGGTTGGAGTTTGAGTGGTTTCTGGGATTGCGGGTTCCATGCGTGGCGGTGTATCTAGTGGGAATATTAATTTCAGTTTCTTCATGTTTTATGCACTTGTTTTCCTGTTGTCAAATATTTAGCCAATGTGTTGTTGACTGCTTCTGCATATATGCATTTCCCTTTATCTCCTATAATCGACAGATTGATCCCAAGTATCCAGTCCATTGCTTCGAGAAGCGCCATGATGCCACCGTGGGCTAACGGCAGTGTCGCACAATATACTAAAAGATGGTCGCATGTATGTCCCGAATTCCTCCTTCAGCTTACTTCCATACGCGATTTGGGTTCTCCAAAGGACATGATAATATGAAGGATTGTATTTTCGATGCATCTCATGCTGCGCATACCATAATTGGGTGGCTAAGGCGTCTCTGGGTAGAAAGCCCGGGTTTTATGTCCTAATAGTCAAACAGTGTACACCAAATGCAGACCTCGGCTTGGTCTAACCACAAAAAAGAGGAAATGGTGCCGAGAATAGTTCATAATCGCTTAAACTAGAGCGAGTTAATATTTCCAGGGCCTGGGTCCAGGGGAAGAAAAACGCTAAGGATGCCGTTTTGAAGGGCTGCTTGCGTCCCTTCCTTTCGGATAGGTTTCTGAAGGACGAACATGCGGGAGAAATAGCCAGTTTCGCGCTCTGCGAGAAGCCATTTTGCCGTGTCCCCAGTTTCACACCCAGGGCCTTCACTGAAGGGTTCATATGGCTTTGAATAAATGTCATGGCTTTCTCCATCCCCTGAATTTTCCGCGCTTTCAGGGCTGTCCTCATCACTAGCTTCATCTTCTTGTTGGGACCGAGATTCTGTGCCTGACTGCTCGGATGCCCGTTTCTCCGGGTTCTTCTCATCGCCTCGACTAATACCCATGTAGCTCAGGATATCATTCGCCGAAAGTAGATAGGTATCATCGCCGTTGATGGACCAGTCAGGTCTGAAATCCTCAGGGGGGTTGTCATATTCGCGGTGAAAATCGCCATAGATCATGAGGGTCCGACGGTCGATGAACGTCAGTCGTAACTGTTGCGGGGTGACCCCGGGCACTTCACCGTGGATGTGATAGCCGTCCGGCTGCAAGCGTATATCGAATGCAGGCCGGAGTGGAAGAGGTGTTCCGATCGGCGCCCGTTCCATCCTGCCGGCGAAATCCTCCACATCATGGACTGGGATGCTCGTATCGTCGGACATCAACGTCAATATAGCGAAAATCGTGCGTAACGTTCTAATCCTTATAGCCGGGTGCGACCTCGGAGACTGATAGAAACAGCAGGGATTCATCAACGCCACCACCAATTTATGAGGACAGCGCAGGATGGGCTCGCCACGGGTCATCGCCTGCTATGATCACGTGGCGCCAGCTTGGAGGGATGATTAGGTTCGGTGACGCTGTGGAAGACAAAGGACTGGGTTTAGGACGGAGCCAACCAACATCCTAATTCCGGGGATCTGATCGCATTTCCAGGATCCAGAGCCTTCAGCAAACCAGTATTGTGTATCCCCATCTCATTCTTCTACTCTCAGACGGCTAGTATAGCCCCTCTGGCGCGAAATCCGATCGCACCCCGGACTACCCATCCACAGCTCAACCCGCTCGAAACAACCTCGAAAGCCGGACGTGACATTGCACTCCAGTCCCAATTCTCCCATTGCACGGCAATCCATATTACTCCGACTCCGACTCGTCCGGCTGCATAACCTTCTCGTCGAGCTCCTGTTCCTGCATCAGCGCCGTCCGCACAAAGGCACTTCGGACTTCCTACCCTCGTCAATTTTGCCTTGAGATTCGCCAGCTGGCTTTCCTTGATGACCAGGTGGCGGTCATCGTCCAGGTCCTCCACGATGTAGTCGTGTCTCTCTTCGTCGTACTTCAGGATGATGGCTTTCACGGAAGGATCGCATTCGATGAGGACTCCTGTTCCTTTGTTAGCTGGGATTGTGAGGGGGGTGGGAAATTTGCATACCTCTAACGGCGCGGGGCATGGTGGGTGAGTTGATGCAGAGAAGGAGAAAGAGCTTGGAGGTGTGAGAATTGTCCTTGGGGGAGAGTGTTGTTGTGGAAAGACAGACTGCGTCTGGCGAGTCGGTCGGAATCGCGTCAAGACTGTTCCGGCTCCAGGCAGGGTCCGGGCGTTAAGGCATCAATCACTCAGGCACCAAGGCGGTAAGCCGGTGGTAAGGCAAAAAGCCAAGGCACCAAGGGTCGAAGGCTCCAGGGCCATCAACATTGATCCTCCATTCCTTACTCTTGTGAACCCACAGCAACCACCTGCTCATCAGCCAATGGGGCTGTGGTTTAGTGGTATAATATTCCCTTAGCATGGGAGAGGTCCGGGGTTCGATTCCCCGCAGCTCCATTATTTTTGCTGATGGTGGTGGGGGTGGTGGTGCAATGGTAAAGTGCCCCACTCGTGACCCCAAATTTTTGGTAAATCAGGAGTTTGAACCTCGCCAACTAGAGACTTTCTACAACGGTCATTTACCATTAATATTCTAATTCAAAATCGGGTATAGCGGCCCGCCCCTAGTAACTATCAGCTATGGAGTTGTTTGAAAAATATTTACTTTACTACTGTCTCAGTGGGCAGAAAGTATCCTACTTGGAATTAGTATCAATTTGTATATGCCAGAACGAATATATATATATATATATACTAAGTTCTTGTTAGGGGCGGAGCCCATAAGCTTTGGAGAACCGAGCCTGTAGGTACAAGAAGGAATAACTGGTGTTTGGAAAGGGGTCCTCGGGGATCTGGTGGTTTTGTGTGTGTGTGTGACTCAGCGAATTGTTGGTCTAACGAGGCGGACTAGCCGAGCCAGGTCGCTCTGGGATGTATCCCATAACAGTTCTAAAGAGCCCTCTAAAACAGCCTGTTTTAATTACTTTACTACTTTATATTGCTTTATCAAGGCCCCTGTCTGATCTTTAACGCTTGTCTATCACACTTGTTTATCACGCTTGCCTAGTACCTGCCTACCTCGCAATAAAACACAAGATTGGCAAGGGCCAGGGTTGAACCGGCGCGCTCCGCGCGGCTGAATACACCCGTTTCAGCTCGCTTGCTACGCCGGTACTTGCTTTTTCTAATAAAAAGAATAACCGACTAAGTATTAAGGGTCTGCCAGGAGGCATACAGAAGCAAAATCTTACTTGTTTAGATTATTAAGCTTGTATAGATAGTCTGAATAGCCTCAATTCTTCTTAAAACAGTAATTCTCAATGCCAGCTGATTACTAACTACTTAGTAATCACCACGCTAGGCCTAATTCTTATAATGGTAAATGCTAGTCTTAAAAAAAGATCTGCCGTGACCTGCGTTCACGCTAGTCTTTCAGTTGTCCTTCGTTCATGCATCTCATAGATAAGTAATTAACCACGGAGGTTCATCCTGATTAGACCTTAGCGGGCCACTAAGAAATTGACGCTAATCTAATATGTTAATTGTAAATGTAAACGACCCTTGCAGAAGGTCTCTAATATAGTAGTATAACTCTACCCACCTAAGACTGTCTTACTACACTCAGATAACCCACCTGCCTACTTTCAGATCCTTGACATTCTTATCTCTCAAAAATCAAGACAACCAATATGCTCCTCATTGAAATTATTGAGGCGCCCAAGCATCAGAATGTCGCAGTACTCCGTACTGTATGTGCCCAACGCCTGACCAGTAGACTATACCTACCACCTGGTCTTGCTTGACATGGCACCGCTTCCTTGCCCAGTGATTTTACTGGCACGGGCTTTGGGCTTGCATTAGCATGCGCTGTGGTCAACTTACGTAGCAAAGAGTAGATAGTGTGACGCATCCGACATTTCCTGAAACCCTGCCTTGTTTAAAAGGAGGCCAACGTAACAGACATTTTGTCTTATGAGGCAGAGATGTTAGTTACTAGTTCAATTCCCTACATTCCAGTACACATATCTCTGTCCGGGGCATCAGCTTTACTGGGACAGCAAACTTACAGCTCACCACCCTACATCTACCAACGATGTCTGGCATCAATCCCGACGCCCGAAGGGAGGTCAACAACGCCCTCATCAGCGCTGGGGGTGCCGCCGTCGGACAGATGATTGACACGGCCAACTCCTCTCTTGAGAAGCGCCGCCGCAACGGGCGGGCGCGAGAGGAACGCGAAAATGAAGAGAAGGCCGCCAGGAAGGCAACAAACGCCGCTGTGTGTCCCCAACCCCCTAACCCCCCTAACCCCCCTAACCCCTTTCAAGGCGATGTCTAAACTTATCATTCCCAAAAGGGCGGCGTCCCCGGCTAGTAGACGCCATACCATACTGTCTTGATCGATAGATATATATAGATATATATATATTGCAGCAAGGGGGGGGCGATTGATGTTGACCGGGGTTTATGTCCGTCTAGCGTTTACTGAACTGAAGGTAGCTAGCTGAGGCTGTAGACGTTGAATCCAGTGCACCGCCTTGTTCTGCCTCGGGCACAAAACTCACATGCCCCTCCCTACCTCCTTGGAACTAGCACACATCGACCCCTTGAAGATTCCGTGGGGATTGCAGAAGGTCTCTTCTTCCTCCAACTGTACTCCGGACGACTTATCGTGTTCCATCTGCTTTATCCCATACAGCCCTTTCTTGACTCGCCCTCGGGCTACCCCGCACCTCGATTCCACCGACTTCTTCTTGGCCTTACCGGCTGGTCGCGACCATCCATCGGCCCCTCCTCCGATGATATGGACACCAATGCGTTGGTCGATCTCGTTCACGAGGCGCAAGGTCGGTTGTGGGTTGACAAGGTAAACGAGACCCACCAAACGGGCCGTCTCTGCCAGTGGGTGTCGACGTTCCATCCCGAACAGCTTACCTGTCAACTCGACGGTACCTTCCATCATGGCTCCTTCAATGCGGGCATGAAGATGGTTTTCAGTGACAGTACCGCCTGGATGGTCCGCTTCCCTCGTGGGGGAAAGGTCTGCGAGGACTACATGGACGAGAAGGTTTCCATGGAGGTGATGGCGTTGCGTCTTCTCCGCAACAAGACGACCATTCCCGTTCCGGGAGTCCAGGCGTGGGGCCCCGCCTTCAGCAACCCACTCGGTCTGGGCCCGTTCATCATCATGGATTTCATCGATGGAGTAAGTCTGAGTGACCTGCTCCGGGACCCCAACGCCGAGCGCCCTAGCAGGGTCATGCGGGGGGATATCCACAATGCCGATGTAGAGGTTATTTACCGCCAGTTGGCGAACTTTTTGCTTCAGCTCTTCAAACTTGATTTTGATCGGATCGGTAGCCTGCCGTCGCCGTCACCCCAGGGTGAAGCCCATGGTCCCAGTCCTGCATTCGCACGGCCATTGACATTCAAAGCACATAATATCCTACAAAATGGGGGTGTTGATACTTTCGGTACGCTGCCGTCCCTTATTCCCCCCTCGCTCGATGCTCCGAGTCAGTCCACTGAATATAGATCCAGGCGACCGATCTCAGGGGTTCGCCACGACAACCGAATATTTCCAGTACGTCATCTCCCAGGACTGGGCGCAGCTTTTACAACAGCCGAACTCTACTGTTGGTCCCTACGACGCTCAAAACAAATATGTGGCATTCAACGTCCTCCAAGCCCTGGCACCAGACTTGGTCAACCCAAACTACGACCATTGCAAATTCAAGCTGATATGTGATGACCTCGGCCTGGCGAATTTGATTGTCCGTAGCAGAGAAGACCTGACTGTCGTGGGGGTGGTGGATCTCGAGTGGTCATACATCGGACCCGCGCAGCTGGCTGGATCAGCGCCGTGGTGGCTTCTCCAGGATAGGCCCGTCAACAGCGTGTGGGACTGCAAGGGCGACGAGCCGCCGGAGATTGCCGCCCGGTACTTCAAATGTCTGGATCTTTTCATCCGGATCTTGGAGGAGGAAGAGGCTAAAATGCCAGGATGCGAGGACCGAGAACTCTCCGGCCTTGTCAAGTGGTCGCAGGCATCCGGGGCCATGTGGCTGCACATGCTCATCTCCTCTGGCTTCAACGACCATCGCAGCTTTCCTTTTACACAGCTGCGCCAGCACCTGGGGCCTGAGTGGGCAAAGCGCGAGACGGAATTTGACAACATAGCGGAGCTTGAGTCGTTTGCAGAGCGGAAAGTGCAGGAGTTAGGCATGTATGATGAAGCCTTGGAGCAAATGGAAGAGAGCAAAGCGCTCATGGAGAGTGGGGGTATGACACTGGAAGAGTTTGTTGCCAGCACTTCAATAGGGGAAGGTAGTATTCCCCGTTCATCGTCTGCCTTGGTGAGCAATCATACGGACAATGAGGCGAACAACGATCAAGGGCTGTTGCATAGGGTGGCCGCCTGGCTTCTCTCGCAAGCTGCAAAGTGGATCGGGTGAGGGAAAACTACCTAACACCCACCGGACGGAAGGCTTTCTTTTCAAACATATACGGAAACCAACAACCTTGAACGCTAGCTTCGAGCGGGCTAGCTCATCGCCCCAGGAGTGAATATCGCCTTGATTGCTGGAAAGGAGGTAGGAGACTTGAGTGGAAATAGCGATTGCCTGACCCCACGAGTCAGGGCTATCACCCCATATCCACTGCCATCGGTCATAAGTAGTAAGTAGTAGGCCGTCAGGTCCACGACAGTTCCTCCTCGCTACTATACAATCATATCTCACAATGCTTTGTCATCCACAATTCTCCGGAATCATTGCCTACACCTCCAAGCAGGTCTGATAAATCCACTGTACATGGTGTGACATGGTACAGGGCGTTTAAATGATTCCCAAGGTAGCTTTAACCTTCGACCGTTGAAATAGGCCTTAATCACGTCACACTGCGCTAGCAATACCCAAAACAAAATCAGCAACTGGAAAGAAACGCCACTAACGCCATCCCAATATTAATTAATCCTCTCCCAAAACCAAGACTCGAAGGCCACATTCCCCTGCGAGGCATCATCCATCACAGCCACACCACACAACACCAAACCAACCACGCATATCTACACCTCTACAAACTATAACCCTCCCTCTTCTACTCCTCCTCCCCAGCACCTCCCTCCAACCCCTCGTCCCTACTCCTCTTCCCCGCCTTATGCCTATCCCCCCTCCACCCCGTCCCCGCCTGTGCCACCGCCGCCAACAACGTCAACATGCAACTACCCAACAACAACATCTTAACGGCCCCCTCATAACTCCTCACAGCAACCGCCCTCTCCACGCCCTCCAGACTCTTCGCCAGCGCCGGACTCCCCAGTAACTTCCGAACCAGCTCCTCCTTCCCCGGGCCGGTGATATCATGCTCCGCGAACCCCGTCTCCAGCCCCTCTTTCAGGGTCCGCTGGAAGAACCCGCCCCCGATCGCGGCGCCGAAACTCCCTGCGAAGCCGCGGCTCATTCCGATGAGAGCGCTGACCACGTAGTGGATCTCCGGGGAAGTAAGGTGTAGGACGTGCGAGAGGGCGTAGTTCATTATGGCGCCGATGGAGAACCCGCTGAAGAAGGTGGCGGTTATGTAGAGGAGTGGGGAGGAGGTGGGGGTGGAGAGGATGGCGAGGAGGAGGTTGCTCAGGGCGAAGAGGAGGTAGGATGTTAGGGCCGATCTGGATATTTAGTTGGTCAGTCAGTATCAAGTATCTTCTCCATTTCATGTAACGTGTCATCTGTTGGACATGCAGACACGACACAGGTATACCCATGACGATGACACGGGTAGATCGCAATCAGTAGAAGGAAAGATGCAGGAGACAACTCACAGATAATACCCTCCTTCCCCCCGAATATGCACCCACCCAACAAGTAGCCCCCCCAACCCAAATCCCGCATTCGTCGGCACGAGGATCAGTCCCGCCGAAGCAGGGGACCAGTCCCGCACCACGAGCGCATATACAGGCGAGTAGAACAGCACTGACCACCGCGCCATCATGCACGCTACGCCGGAGAGACAGGTTAGTAGGACGCTTCGCATGCTGAGGACCTCGATTGGGATGATTGGTTCGGTGGTGGATCGCTCGATCAGGAGGAAGATTCCGAGGAAGATGAAGGAGAAGATGATTGGAGCGGTTTGGATTTCGGATGCGGAGAGGCTAGCGAGGAGGAGGAAGACGGAGAGGGTCTGTAAGTTGGAGGTTAGATTGGTTACTGATGAGGTGGATGGGTGGGGCTGGTATATATCTGGATATGCGTATGGGTAGGGGATCTTCTTACCAATGTCAAAGCCCCAGCATAATCCACCTTCACCAACTTTCCAAGCAAAGCGCGTGCATCCACATTCTCATCTTCTGCTCGCTTCGGGATGGCGGAGAACAGCACTGGGCCGACGAGCAGCGCGGCCGGGGCTTGCAGCCAGAACATCGATCGCTAGTTTAACATCGAGTGTTATGTTATTCCATGAGACGCCCGTAGAGAGAGATACTGAACAGGGGAGTACTCACCCACCCATACGCCGGCGTCAAGAGGCCCGCCAGCACCGCCCCCGACGACACACCGACGGTCATCCCGGCGCTGATCATGCCGATGAACAAACCTCTACGGTTTCTGCTCGTCAGGTCAAGCGCCAGGATAATCGCGATGACCATCTGCCCGCCGGCTCCGCAGCCGGTGAGTACTCTTCCGAGCAGGAAGATGGCGAGGGTTGGCGCCGTGGCTGTGACGAATAGACCCACGCTGAGCAGCGTGCACGAGAAGAGGATGTACACGCGTGGTGTGAAAATCTGGGCGAGCCGGCCGGAGAGGGGGGTTATGCTGGACATTGCTATCTACAGATGAAAGAATGCACCGATCGCGTCAGTGTATCTGGGGAAATAAGGGAGAAGCACGGGGAGAGAGGAGGGAGCTACCAAAAAAGCCGAGTTGAACCAGGTGGTCTCGCTGAAGGCGTCCAGGTCGGCGGCGATGTCGGATTGCGCGGTCGCCATCATCGACATGTTGGTTGCTGTCCGACATGTTAGCTAGCTGATTTGGTTCTCCTGGGATGAAATTCGACTGTTGTTGATCGTACTCAGGATGAACAACAGCACGCCCATCGCACCCACGATCGCGGTGCCTCTGAACCGGGTGACACGAACCCGGGGAGAATCCTCGCCATTGTCTGCCCCCTGAATAGACGCTTCCAGGAGAGGCGTCTCCTCTGTCACCGATTGCTGGGGTTCGGGGGCAGTCATGGCGCCTCGACGAAGCTCCAGTTAGGTAGGTTTGATGTGTGTCTGTATCGGTGGAAGGGGCAGTCTCCCTTCTCCCAACCCATGGGTAGGACAGCGAGGGGGCAGGATGAGGTGATAAGAGGAGAAATGAACGGCATTATTCGACAGGAGACAGACGGCATTGCTAGTCGGCCGGCCAATCGAGCGGATTCGATGCGGAGATAACTGCTATCGGGGCCAATCATGGCGTCAACAATCGATTGGATCCAGAGTGACGTATCCGATCCCCAACAGCTGTCAGGGTCTTGACTGGCCGTGGCTCTCCCTGGTGGAGTCGGGCGTTCGAGAACAATGCGAGGCGTCGGGGCCGTTGAAGGCCGACTGCCGATGGAGCCAGATCGGTCGGTGGGGGGGTTAGTTGGTTTAGTTTATCTCCATGCCATGCAAATGCCAGTAGACGCGCGAGGAATTCTCCGATCAGGTGCCAGACGATGATGATATGCAGCCAAGATGGTCATGGACCCGATGATGGTGGCAGATGACGGCACGGAGACGATATATAGTATCGTGTTTACGCGGTCGGGTTTGATGTTTCTTCCCATTATGTTCAATTTTCACGATGAAGAGCATTTGTGTATTGATGATGTGCTTAAGCCTCGTAGCAGGGGATTCTAACCCTCGCCACCCGACAGGTGAGATCGGATTTCAAGGATCTGGGTTCATGCTAATGCGCCCAGATGCGAGCCTTACGGGATCGAAGATTGCTGCGCATGAGGGGATCCAGCAGATACTAGGAGAAAGCGATAATTGTACATTCCACCCATACTCCCCGGGAAATTTATAGCCTGCTGATAAGCATAGCCTGCTATACCTGTTCGTCGCCCTGCTCCGAAGCCGTCTGCTGCGAGGGGGCGTTCCCGCAGTGTTGTTCGGATGAATTCTATTGCTATTGTTGTTCGAGGTGATGGACCCAACGCTATGTATCTATGCTGCTACCAGGATGTCCATATCCACTGTTCTCCAATTAGCTCGACTGGCACATCGAGATGATATCCTCGGGGATGAACGGTTGGAGAATGCTGATCAACGAGGAGAGTGGGATCCAGTCCAGGGTTCCGTGAATCGTCTCGATCGCATGTCCGCTGTACAGCACTCGGGCGTAGAGTTCGGAGGCGGACGTTTCCCTGTTCTCATTAGTAGCCGTTGTGATAACGCCCAAGAAGACGTACCAGATCTCAAATGCGATATTAGATCCCATCCCCGGCCACCGCAATGCTTTAATCCCCAGCGCCCCAAGGATCGGCCCCAGGTCTCCATCGTGGACAAAGTTGTGGCTGTACACCAGCTCCGACGCCCCCTGCTGCACCGCCTCCAGATGGCGGACAATTTCCCCGATGAACAGCCCCTCCACCAGCTGGATGTAGAGCGTGGCATTCGCATTGTTCCGCCACCAGTAGTTCCACTCCCAGTCGCCCGCACGGAAGACCTCATCGGCCTGCGCACGCGTGGCGCACTGCGACCCGTTCTGCACGCGACAAGGCAGCTCGTACCCATTGCACAGTCGAGCCTGGAAGTTGTCCGCAAAATGGTCGAACGTTGAGGTCCAGCTGGAGGTGTCTGCATCGAACATGGTGGCCAGCCGGCTGCGAAGGGACTTCGTCACGGTCAAGTGCTCATTCCACAGCGGCGTTGACTCGATGGTGGAGAGAACATCGCTTTGCGCGGAACAGGAGAACCCCTGGTCGACGGTGTCGATGCCGGAGGCCTGCTGGTGCAGCGGCAGGGGGCCATGGTGATCGGGCCAGATGCCACGCAGCACCCCCCCGGCGGAGCCTTGCGTGAGCGCTGAGTTGCTGGACCGCAGCCAGATCTTCTTGCCGCCGTCCTCGTCGGGCGAGGAGGGGATTAGGTCGCCGTACACGGCGCGCAGATCGCGCCCGTGCTGGTAGCCGTCCAGGAAGCCGCCGATGGTCAGCTGGGGGTACTGGCACGAGCCATTGACGTAGGTCGCCAGGAACGGGTTGGAGGGATCGGAGTAGGCCCGGCCGTAGACGGGGATGGGCGCGGGGCCCTGGGACGACGGTGCAACATAGACATGCGCGTGGAGGCTATCGCAGTGGTATGGTTGGTTCTGGAGTGAGTCGTGTCAGCTGTCCTTTTCGGGGGAATGCCATGCCTCGATCGAACGTACCTCGCCACCAGGAAAGATGTTGTAGGGCGTGCGCCGCTGATGGCGTTGCAAATATTCGAGGTAGACGAGACGCGCGGAGACGGAGTGGTTGGCGACCGGGGGAGGCCGGAGGTAGGCGTCGGGGTGGGGATGGGGCATCGAGCAGTAGTTGTAGGCGTCGTCGGGGGTCGGCGGGGCGGTGTAGAGACCCCCGAAGGTGCCCAGCGAGGTGTTGGAGATGAAGGTGGTGTGGTTCAGGCCCGGCGGGTAGAACGAGTCGCGCGCGCTGATGCTGAGGCCGTGGCTGCCTGCGGCCGACACCAGGGCGGTGAACACGAAGGCGGCCATGTCCAGCAGTCCCTCGTAGATGCTGCTCATCGCAACTACTCCTCTCTGGCTGCTCTCGCCTCTTTATCCGCTGCTTCCCTGGATGGATGACGGATGGAGTGAGGACAGGACAGCAGAGACCACGGAGAAGACTCCTCCACTCCGTCGCGACGATCTCCCCACGTGCCCCCGTCCCCCGTCCCTCCGCGTCGCCATCCCCACGTGGACCAGGTCGCATTCCTCAAGGCTGTCCAAAGGCTTTCCCGATATCAATGGAGTGGAAGACACGAGTCCGCGGAAGCTTGATTATCCTTGACTCGAACTTGACAGCCATGCATGGTTCATAGCCCATCTCGCAGAGGTTGCTCAGCAGCTGTCTTTGGAGGAATGGGACGCAGCATTGCCCGTATGGCAAGGATTCTTCGTCCACCAGCTCACTGACCCGAAAATGCACCATCTCTGGAACTAGGTGCACGGAAGCAGGTCCTGCGACTTTTGATCTAGTGGGTCCGATCCAACAAAACCCCTGATATAGGCACTCTATTGCTCCAAGCTGTTGGTTTCATTCATCTCCCTATCACTCGAATTATCCATATTGCACACCTTTCTGTAATATCCGGTCACCATAAGCATGCATCAGTCTCCATCCCACGCCCCCCACCAAATGTGCTGCGGTGCTATTGTCAAGGAGACTACTTGCCCGATGTCGATGGCCAGCACTTTGCCAGCGTCCCGTCTATCCTTAAGATACGAAAAAACGAGGTATCCCCGCGATTTCCAATAAGGTGTATGGCTCTTTTGCATACTGAGTATGACCGAATTCACTCCTCTTCCTCGTCTGTGCTCCTCATTCTCTCGCCGTCTTTGTCTGTTTCCCCGTCTGTCCCTTGCTGGCTCTCCCCCTAGCTCCTACGGTTTCTTCCTTGCCGCCTCCTTCTCTGTCAATGTGGATGTCTAACCATAACACACTCCCTCCAATAGTCCCGGCTGATCCCACATATCCCTGGTCATGAAGATGATTCTCGCCTATTCGGTGGCATCTGACATGGAATTCTCCTTTAGCCTCAGTGTACTACTATTCGTCAACGGTGTCCTATTATCTGCCTTGTATGGAATACCCCGTCTTATCCACGTCCTTCAGGGTGGAAGTTCCCAACAATCAAACTGGTATCCCCCCTTGGGAACTCAAAGTCTGGAGAATCCCGTACGGCGTACTCCTTCTGTTGCAATGTCTATCAAGATGGTCCTTTCATGGTGGTTTCTGGGGTGGACGTTATCGTCTGAAAATGGAATTGATGCTGAGAATCCGGTCTATTTAAACGACTCATTCCCCTCCTCATCAAGTTCGGAATGATCCATCAATGATCAATCTTCTGCTTCTGTTTCTTGGACCATTCGCTCAGCACTATTCGACTTATCACAACGCTCCTCTAACACGTTCGCAAACACAGCACCATTTTCAGAACATAATGCCTCCCCGCCCTCTAGACTACAATGTTTGGCAGTATGGAACAGGTATTGGAAACATGCCCTTAGAACTCTGCGAGCATCTCTCGGAGTGCAAAGGGGTGGCTGCTCGAGTTCACATGTTTGTGCAGCCTAATAATGGACAAAGCTTCCATCAAATACTATCTACTCAGGCCCGAGTACGCGGCATCCCGCGCATCCCAGTTGGCTGTTTATTCGAATACGATTACGACGATAGCAAGTCCATTATTTGCGGAAATCATCAGCAACTCGAGCGGGACCTCCAGAGTGGTATGAACCCAAATGTTACAACCGAGGCAGGGATCACGCTTCTCTCCCTTGCGGTCGGGCGGGGAGAGGCTGAATGTGCCCGAGTACTCTTGGAATACGGGGCTGATCCGAACCTAAGAGGGGACTGGCAGATTGCTCTCCCCCTGGACTATACTTCACCTATCCATCCTTTGCCCGCGAGAATGACGATCCAACAGCTTCTTCTCCACGGAGCTAGATTCCAATACCCAAGTGTGTTTGCTGCTATATGCAGCATAAACGACACTCGGTACGTGCGCCAAGCAGTGGACAATGGAACAAATCTAGCCGCGATGTGCTTCCCTGATGGCAACACAGCCTTGCATTTTGCAGCCCGAGCCTACAGTGACCGTCCTGATATTGCCGACACTGTGGCTGAACTGGTGCCCGCGCTGGCCAACAGTCGGAATGACCGAGACGAGACACCTCTACATCTAGCCGTTACCCCGGCTCTACAGGATGCTATGCTTAGAGCCGGCGCTAACCCGAATGTCCGTGATCGTGACGGTGATACACCAGTACACCTGGCAATTCGCAGTCAAACCATTGACCTGATTCGGCCATTGCTCAACAGCCGCAGGACGGATATTGAGGGTATGCAAAATGTTCGTCCGGAGGATTCCCTGACGACATGCGCTCTACGGACTCGCGATCCCAGAGTTATCAATCTAGTGCTCGGACACTCACGTATGCAGATAACTGACCCAGACAGGATGCATGCGAAGGGCCTGGTGGTCTCCTACCGGCTTAATCATCGTTACAATCGTCTACTCAATGACATGCGTGATTTGTGGTAGTTGCTGTCAGTCTGTATTCTGTCTTTGCATACTTCTCTTGGTACTTTACCTATGCCTTTGTCTTTGGTTATCTTTTTCATTACACTCTATCCTCATGATTCCAGCTTCAACGCTAATCAGGGATATGGACCGAGTCTTTTTTTTTCGGGGTTACCTTCCTATTTATTAGGGTTTGTTTTTTTCCCCTTGCTTTTACGCGTTCTAGATTACTCTCATCTATTCACGATCGCAGCTGCTAGATAAGTATCAACTTATCAGTCGCCGATCGGGATTGGAATCTTATGGTTTTATGAATTGGAATTATTTCGGGACTGCATACATGCATACTTCCACTTCCACCTCCACCTCCACTTCCACATCGTACTTGGAGAACTCTTCTTCTTCACCATTCAATCTTCACCAAGGGCTTCCTATCTAGATGGTGATTGTGGGTAAACTGTGTAGCCTGCTTGTGGATCTCGACGGAGTCCTCCGTACTCATATTAAATAGGGAAATCCAACTGCAGAGGGTCGCTAGATAGATAGTTTCAATGCTATTCTGTGGCTTCGCAGTCCACACTTAAATTGGGAAGGATGAAGGATGAAGGATTGGCCGGGTTATTATTCACAAACGGCTGCGTCCAATGAAATGGCTGCTGTGATGGTTACATGTGGGTGGGTTGACTGGGATGAACTACTATCTAGTATATCTATCTAGACTAGCTAGTCATGCTACGGAGAAGCTACGGAGTACGGCGTAGTTAGTTCGGTAGCAACAGATATTATTGTTGAGTTGAGTTGTTGAATCGTTGAAATATCTACTGTGCTGACACGCTGACACTCCCTCCCTCCCTATGACGGGGATGATGACCGAGTTGAGTTGGGTGAGAGGAATCTTCTTGCCCGCTCCCTACTTGTCTACCTACTAGTAAGTTAGAGTGTATTTACTGTTGACAACCACGAGGCCACCGGACCGCCAAATAGCGCCACGCCAAGCTTTGCTAACGGTCCAGGAACCACAGCTAACCTTAGCCTTTCCAATCAGAGCTAATCCAAGCTTGGTCTGGCGGGGAGCATTAATTATTCAATTCTTCCGGATGGTATGGCCAGATGTCTAAGCAATTATTAACTTGCAATTGTCATCATCTAGTAAGATGTTCGGGCTATTCGGTTGGAGAAGGCCTGTAGGTATCGTATCTAGGCAGGTGTCAGAAATATTATGCCATGTAATGTGTTCCGGCATATTATTTTTCACACTCAGTGGAAGGAAGAGGCACTAGTTCGTCACCATACGTCAGGCTCCTCTGATGGTCTAGTAAGTAGATACTATAGGTAGGGTGGTTTGATTAGCACGTTCCCGCCCCATTCCTTTCCATTTCGCATCCACCGACGATCGCTTTTAGGCGTCGGACTACCGCGCATGGCCTCACTCTCACCCACCAGAAAATTGGGGGCTGAGTCTCCTGAATCAGTGTTGCGCTGGGGCTGGCGCTGTCGGGCAATGTTCCGGAGTACTAATGGGTTAGGTTTCTTTTTTCGCCGACCCCTCCCCCCGTGGTCGTGGTTCGTTTCTTTCTGGGTGTCTGTCTGTACTCTGTCTGGCCTCGGCTTCTGACAAGAGGTGTCTTTGCTTTTTTGTGGTTGGAGTCTGAGGGGTCCCTTTGGTCTCGTCTCCTCTTCGCTTCGTGACGACCGTCGAGATGAGGGTGCCGGTGTTGCTTCAGATTGTCCTGCTGTACATCTCCCTCGCTGTCGCGCGGAAGTACTGTACCCGGACGTTCCACTCTTGTGAGTCTCGCACCGCATGCCCGAATCACTCGGTCGCGACGGTACTAACTGGTCTTGGTGCTTATCTAGCGATCGTCAACAACCAGACGTTGTTCATTGACGGCGGGGAGGTCCGCTATGTCGAAGCGAATGATAGCATCGCCGCGTATGCGAGTATGTCGCTCTTTCGCTCTTCACGCTGTCGACGGCGATGCATATGCTAATCCGAAACCCTTCCAGTCCGCGATCTGCAATCCATCGACGCCTCGAAGTCCTTCTCGAATACCGACTCCGATCTGTTCACTATCATCGAGAAACCGTATAATGCGTCCGATCCGGACGCCTATCCGACATTTCTCGATGAGGGGTCCTCGTTCAACGACGGCGAGAATCTGTATTTCTATGGTGGATATATAAGTGGTCGGGACGGACCGAAGGAGGTCCCGCCTGTCGAGACGTGGAAGTACAACATCCAGGGCAACAACTGGACGCGCGATGGATTTGGGGGCGTGCCGCTTGTTCGTCTGGCTGAAGGAGGGGCTGTAGTGTCGCAAAATCAGAATAAGGGGTACTATTTGGGCGGCATCGAAGACCCTGGCGGCAATCCGACTGTTTATGGTACGCCGGACGCCGATGTCCAGATCGTTAGTGGCTTGTTGGTACTTGATCAGTCCACGCTCACGTGGTCGAACCTGTCGACGGAGGAGATGAATGACTATGGGACGATTGGAGCGGGGTATGTGAATATCCTTGACGATGTTGGCGACGAAGGACTGCTGGTGGCGTTCGGCGGGTATAAGTATCCTGTTGGGAGTAAGCTTTCCTTGCTATGTGCCGAGCAGAAGAATGCTACACACCATGTGAGTTACTCCTGTTTGCGGGTTGATGTGGTGCTGATGAGATAGAACCCCATGGAGTATGTCACCCTATACGACATCGCGAACCAGACGTGGTACACGCAGCGGACGTCTGGGGATGTTCCCACCTGGCGAATGGCCGGCTGCAGTACCATGGTGGCAGCGGCTGACCGGTCATCGTTCTCCATGTAAGATTCCACGTTGGATGTACGGCGGCATTTGACTGACAGCTGCAGCTATATGTTTGGCGGGATGGGCGAAACGACGGCAAAGTCCGACGGCGATGTCTATGTCCTCTCTCTGCCGTCATTCATCTGGATCCGCGTCAACGAGGGCAGCAGTGTCCGGGAAAAGCACACATGCAACATCCTCGGAAAGCACACGATGGTCGTGGTCGGGGGCACCATTCCCACCGACAGCTCAGAGTACGAGCCGGAGCCGGCGAACTGTGATTCGGGCGCATTTGAGAACGGCATCGCGATCTTCGATCTGCGGGATCATACCTGGCTCACCGACTACAACGCTGAGGACCAAGGCGAGTACACGCTCAATTCGGTGATTACCGATGTCATCGGTGGAAGGTATGTTTTTTCTATGGCCTACCTATTTGAGCTGTTCTGATCCGGTTGTAGCTCCACTGGCGGAGCCAACGTCACCCAACCCAAGTATGGCTTCAACAACACGGCCCTGGCGACCATGTTTGAAAAGGCGATCATCACCTCTACCGCCAACACAACTGCAGCAAATGCCACGGCTGTTGCCACGTCGATATCGAACTCGACCTCAACAAGCAGCAGCAGCAGCAGCACATCCAGCTCCAAGGGCGGCGCACTGTCCGCGGGCGCCATCGCAGGTGTCACGGTTGGTGTAGTCGCCGGCGCAGCTGCCATTGCGGGGCTGGTCTTCTTTTTAATCAAGCGGAAGCGTTCCCAGGTGCAGGAAGACGCTGCAGTGGCTTACCCGTCGGCCCCGTCGCCTCAGGGCCGTTTTGCAGAGCTCACTGGCGGGCACGAGGGGTACGAGCTCGGATTGGAGGCGAAGGCCAGCGATGATGCTCGACAGGCTAGCAATAAATGGTGGCAGAACACGCCGAATATCGCGGAGATGGATGGCGCGGTGATGTACGAGAAGGAATGAGGGCGTTTCATTTCACTGGCATTGAGAATATCCACTATCAGCGTGCATGTGCTTTTTTGGAGTTTGTTGGGTGTTGTTCTATGCACTGAAGGCGTCTTGGGCTGTTATTCCGTTTCTGATCCATCGGGCCTTCTTGTCGGTAGAAAGTGCCAAGTAATATCCGGGATCGTGTCAGAGTTCCATCATTTTTCTCTCTCTTCCTGTTGTCTGATGGTGTGTGGGATTGTTTGTGGTCCCAGGGGTTGGCCTCTTCCCAAGTCACCCATTTATCCTGGATGAACATCGGTGTTAGTGCTACTATGCTCAGCAAGGGGCAGGAGAAGTGCCGTCTGTCCACGGACCCCGAATTCTTTGTCCGAAACTCCATCCTCTCCAACTCCCACGGACTGCCGCGGGTGCCGATCATGGCTCCAAGAACCGCGGCCAGGCTGGTCAAATTAGGTTGGTTTTTCACAAGATGAAACTGGAGAGGGAGGTAAGACCGGCGACAAACCGTGGGTAGTGAAATGCAGAATTATTCTGGAAGGGAAGATGGAGGGAGGAACGAAGACGCGCGGAGGCCAAGCCCGGGAAAGTATATTCCTGGGAGGCGACCGGACGATGGCTGCAGGTCCGTCCGGACTCGAGCTACTAAAGTATATATAGTCTACTTAGTAGTAGGTGGGACTTAGTATCACGTCCAATCTTACACATCGGTGATACGGGGTAGTGTCCAGGTAGGATTCAGGTAGGATGCAGGTAGGAATGGAAAAGGAAACCCTTCTCGCAGATTGTTCATTTTCCGCTTCCTGTGTACTAGTTAGTTATACTACTATGACCCCAACCGATCTTCATCTTGGCTCATCCCAGTTGAGACGGCGACGACTGCCTGAGGCAGGCCAACGGGTGGCCCGCCAGCCGCCGCAGCATCCGACAAGACACCACAAACGGACATACTGCCGAAGTCCCTGACGCGATTCGATAGATAAGTAGACCGCGCAGCGGATTATTATTGCCAGATACACAGTGGTTTAAAGGGGTTCGGCCGTGCCTGGCCGGGACCACTGATTTGACCCTGGATGGCGTCCCCACCGCGCAGATTGTATCACCAGGCCCCTGTATCAAGTCATCCACTAGCCTGCACTCGATTGCATCAGCACCAACCCGGCCGGTTTATTTTCTATTTCGGGCGCACACACGGGGTCGGTGCCGCGTCCTGCTGCTCTCCCCGGGTAGGACCAAGTCCCGGGGCCTCGCCGGGTTTGAGGGCTGGGTTCCTGAAACGGCATGCGGGCAGACAATCATGCTGGGCGGACGGCAGGCGATGATGACAGCGGAAGGCCCCCAGCCAGGCAGGCGGTTTTTTTTCTTCCCGGCTCCAGTTCGTGGTAATCTTGCAGGCCACCGCCAGGACGGCCGGTGATTGGCCGGCGGTGTCCGGCGGGCGTGGGATGGGGCGAAATTCACCAATCAGAGACGGGCGGTGGGCTGGGAAGCTGTTGATCCGCGTGGGTTTGCTGCGGCAATAATGATTGCATCGTAGCACTGCAAAGTACCACCGGGATGAAGTCTCTGCAGAGGACTTTGCAGGGTGGCCCCCAGAAGGTCGTCTCTTGATCCTCTCACTGAATATAAATCCTACCCAGAGAGAGAGAGAGAACTCCTGTTATCTGTAGGTAAACTAATCTCATTAATTTCCCGGTGGTGCCCAGCCCTATCAACACACGACAACGAGGCCCAACCGGGATTAGCGCGCCCCCCCCGCCGAGCCATCGGTGATAGGCAGGCCAGGGTCTCGAGCACCAGCGCCGTCACTCTTATTAAACTATTAAACTACTCCTCCTCCTCCTCCACCCTCCACCCTCCACCTTCTACCCCTGCAGTCTCATCTCACCTTTCCAGGGTCGGTATCTGCTCTTGCTCGATCCACCCCAGCCTGTCTTTATCTATCCCCACGATCATTCCTCATGAGTGACGACAACAACGCAACGGGCAGTTACTGGATCGTCTTCCGTGTGGGCTGAGTGCTGGCGTGGTGTTGCGTGCTATGCCTATGGACATCTACGATATCTCACCTATTTAACACCGATTTTCCTCACCATCTAAACCTCCGCTCAACAGACATTTCCCCTCCTCTCCTCGCGCGTATCTAAACCTCACGCCATGGGTCGAGAACCGAGCCATCGGCGCCGTCCCTACCCGGCCATCCTGTCGCGCCGAGTGACCAGCATCCTGGCCCTGATCCTCTTCCTGGTGGTGGGCGCCTCCGTCTTCAAGGACCAGCTGGGCTCCGGCCCGTTCGACCCCTCGTCCCTGTATCACCTCCACTCCAAGCACGGCCCCGACTTCTGGGACTGGGAGACCACCACCCGCTTCCCGCGCGTGCAGAGCACCCTCCTCGACGAAGACCAGCTCTGCGACGCGTTCCCCTCCTACCTCCTCTCGCGCATCCAGGTCGTCCTGAAGATCGGCGCCTCCGAACCCGCCGATCGCGTCGACGCGCAAATCGCCAGCGTCACTCGCTGCATCCCGAACCTCATCATCGTCTCCGATCGCGAGTCGCACATCAAGGGCCATCGCGTGCACGACATCCTGGCCTCCCTCCCCCTGTCCTTCCGCGCCAACACCTCCGATTTCGACGCATACGAGGCCCTCCAGCGGGGTGACGACCGCCTCGTCGGAGGCCCCCAGGGCTGGCGACTCGATCGCTTCAAGTTCCTGCCGATGGTGGAGCGCGCGCACGAGATCAACCCCACCGCGGACTGGTTCGTCTTTCTGGAATCGGACACCTACGTGGTGTGGGATAACATGTTCCGCTTTCTGGACCAGTTCGACCCCCAGGTCCCCCACTACATGGGCTCCCCGTCTCCCGGTCGGCAACTGAGCGAGAAGGAGATCTCGTATTTCGCGTACGGCGGGTCGGGCTTCGTCCTGTCCACGGCGGCGGTGCAAAAGCTCGTGTTCCGGGAGATCGGACCCCACGGGGAGTACATCCAGCCGCCCCTGAGCCAGCAGTATGAGGAGCTGATCAAGGCGGACTGCTGTGGGGATTCGATCCTGGGCTGGGCGCTGCACGAGAAGGGCGTGCCGGTGTCGGGATACTGGCCCATGTTCAACCCGCACCCACTGCATGGGATCCCGTTCGACGACGCCTACTGGTGCCAGCCCGTCATCAGCATGCACAAGACCATGTTTTCCGACATGATGGGGTTGATGCGATGGGAGAATCAACGCGATCGCACGGTAAGTGTCGCTGCTCTTGTGTCTGTCGCTTTTCGCTTGCTAACGTGCTCCGTAGCGCCCGTTGCTGTACGCCGACTTGCTGGAGTATCTGAAGCTGGGGACGGTCGACCACATGGCGGACTGGGACAACGGCGACTGGGGCGGCTGGCAGGAACCCCCGGAGTCGCCGGCGCACGGCTCCTTCGACGCGTGCCGGGCCGCCTGCCACGACAACGCCCTTTGTCTGAGCTTCACGTACGACTCGTCGGGGCACTGCGTGTTCGTTCGGACGATGCGCCTGGGGGCCAAGAAGAAGCTGGGGGATTCGACGGTGCGGCTGTCCTCGGGGTGGGATCTGGAGAAGATCCAAACGTGGCGAGCGTCGCACCAGTGCGAGAAAGCGATGTGGGTGAAGCCCAGCACGAAGCGAATCTTTTAGAGCGGAGGAGCGAGCGAGTTCTTGTGTGTGTTGCTTTTTGCTAATGGCGTCCGGACTGGCCGGTGGGCGGTTGGTTTCTCATGTTTTGACGAATGTAAATATGATAGAGATACCTCAGATCATGCCACCTTAATGATAGATAATTAATCGCGGACCTTGCTTTGGCTGGCTGAGTGAGGGAATGACATGGAGATATTTGCAATGCCGATCTTGTGGTGGTTTATCACCCCGACCGTCGCCCCGATCGCGGTCCACTGGGGATCTTATCTCGGGGTCGGGGGGGGGAAGTGGCGATACTGATAGGACCCTGCAAGGGGGTTATCATTGCCCTCCGGACTAGTTAGTGGTAGTAGTAGTTAGTAGTAGTACTCCGTACCGGGCCCAGACTACTGCCAAGTGCCACTGCAACTGCCACGGAGCCGTTCCGCCATCCGCCGCCCGCGCCTCCCCTTCCGGGCATTCCGACGTTCCGAGCGCATTGCCCGCCAGGCCCAAACGGGCAACACATACGCCCGGGGCCTCCAAATAAATGCGCCCAGATTCCCCCTCCCCGCAGACACTCTTTGTCTGTATCACTCTCCCAGCTTCCTTCTTGCTGCTGTTTCTCACACAATGGCACCTCACCCCCTCGCCATCCTCTCCGAGGCGGAGACCAACATCGCCCGTGATGTCATCCTCGCCGAGCACCCCAACACCGTCATCGATTTCCGCGAGATCTATCTATCAGAGCCCCCCAAGGCCCAGCTGCTGGAGTTCCTGGCCCTCGAGCACTCCGGCCGTCTGAGCCCGACCTCGCCTCGTCCAGCCCGTCTGGCCCTGTGCCAGTACGACGTGATCGGCGCCGACCGCATCCCTTCCTTCGAGGAGTCCGTCGTCGATGTTGGCGCACGCCGGCGTGTCCAACACCGCGTCGTTGGAAAGCAGCACCACGCCTCCCTGACTTTGTACGCCCTTCCACATGCCCAATTGCTGACGGGCGAGACTGACTGAGGGTCTTCTGTAGGAGCGAATTCGATACCCTCGTCGAGCGGTGCTTCGCCTCCCCCCTCTTCCAACAAGCCCTCGCCGACTTCAACCTGCCCGAGGGCTTCGAGGTCGTCATCGAGCCCTGGCCGTATGGTGGACTGGACCATGTCGATGAGAAGCGCCGGTACTTCCAGGGTCTGTGCTTTGCCACGAACAAGCGCAAGAACAACCCCGATGCCAACTTCTACTCCTACCCCCTGCCCGTCATCCCCGTCATGGACGCGCTCACCCAGGAGATCATCCGGGTCGACCGTCCCGCGACGGGCGGCAAGGGCGAGGGCCTGACGGAGCAGACCTTCAAGCGGGATATCATTGGACACTGCAAGGACTCGGACTACGTGCCGGAGCTGCTGCCCGGGGGCACCCGCAAGGATCTCAAGCCCTTGAACGTCTCCCAGCCGGAGGGCCCGTCCTTCCGCATCACCCAAGAGTCCCTGGTCGAGTGGCAGAAGTGGCGGTTCCGTGTGGCCTTCAACCCTCGCGAGGGTGCCACCATCCACGACGTGTGGTACGATGGCCGCAGCGTGCTGCATCGGCTGAGTATCAGTGAGATGGTGAGTTCGGTATGACACCGTGTGTGGATCCCCGGATCTGACGTTTATAGACCGTCCCCTATGCCGATCCCCGTCCCCCGTTCCACCGCAAGCAGGCCTTCGACTTTGGTGACGGTGGTGGTGGCAACATGGCCAACAACCTCTCCATTGGCTGCGACTGTCTGGGTGTGATCAAGTACTTCGACGCCGTGATCACCGGCGCCGACGGCAAGGCCCAGAAGCTCCCGAACGCCATCTGCCTGCATGAGCAGGACAACGGCATCGGCTGGAAGCACTCCAACTGGCGCACCGGCCGCGCGGTGGTGACCCGCCACCGCGAGCTGGTCGTGCAGTTCATCATCACCCTGGCCAACTACGAGTACATCTTCGCCTACAAGTTCGACCAGGCCGGTGGCATCATGGTCGAGTCCCGGGCCACGGGTATCCTGAACGTGGTCAACATCGACCCCGGCAAGACCAGCGACTACGGCAACGTTGTGAGCGGCGGTGTCCTGGCGCAGAACCACCAGCACATCTTCTGCGTGCGCATCGACCCGGCCATCGACGGCGCCAACAACTCGGTGCTGGTGGAGGAATCGCACCCGGTGGCCATGAACGAGGCCACCAACCCCCACGGCAACTACTACAAGGTCACCACGGAGACGCTGGAGCGCGCGGGCTGGCTGGACGCGGCCCCGGAGCTGAACCGCACCATCAAGATGGTCAACCCGCACAAGATCAACCCCATCAGCCAGAAGCCGGTCGGATACAAATTCATCCCGCTGGCCACGCAGCGCCTCCTGGCCGACCCCAACTCGATCCAGGCCCGACGCGCGCAGTTCGCGCAGCACCACGTCTGGGTGACCAAGTACCGCGACGGGGAGCTGTACGCGGGTGGCCGCTACACGCTGCAGAGCCAGGAGGAGATCGAGGGCGTGTCGGATGCCGTGAAGCGCGGCGATTCCGTGGCCGACACGGACGTGGTGGTCTGGAACACTTTCGGCATCACCCACAACCCTCGCGTGGAGGATTGGCCCGTTATGTAAGTTGTCTTGATCGTCGTTTTCTTCTCAGTTCTCGATGCAGTTCTGCTAACACGATCCAGGCCCGTCGAGATCTTCCAGCTGATGATCCGCCCTGCGGACTTTTTCACCGCCAACCCGGCGCTGGATGTGCCGTCGGACAAGAACGTTTCGTCGCGGATTGTGGGCTCCGAATGCTGCCGGGATGCGCACATCTGAGGGGGTTTCGAGAGGGTGTTAGATAGATATGAGTTACGATTTTGGTTGTATATATATAGATAGTTTGTTTGTTTTAGTCGGGAGACACCGGTTGTTTTGTTTCGGGAATATCAGGAAATGAGAATACATTATCTGCCGTGGCATCTCCCACCGTAAGGATCTCACCAATGACGTACTAGCCTTGCCTTGCATGGATCATGCTCGTTGGGGCCATGGAGTAGAGAAAAGCCTGTCATTATCGGTCGTAATCCACGCCTTTCCGTCCCGTCGAACTCGGGACTCCTCGGAATGACCACCTGAAAAACGGCTGCCTCCCGCCTTTCTTTCCGAAACTCTTCGCCTCTCCTCCGCGCCCTTCGATACGGTCGGAACCCCCCACGCACGGTTTTTTTTTTATCGCGGCGGAGAGTCTGAGGCGACCTCCTATCTCTCCTATCTTGGAGTGAGACTCTATCTGACCGAGATTAGATCTGCTGAAGGGCATGGAGATCGCGAGTCCGCGGCGAGGGAGCAGCACGCCGGAACCGCCTCGGACCAAGAAGCGCGCCAAATACACCCAAGTCGCCTGGTCAGTCTCATCCTCTTCTTCCATCTCCCTCTCTGCTCTTCCGTGCATCCCCTAATCGAACTGACCAACGCAGCAACGAATGCAAGCGACGCAAGCTGAAATGCAGCGGCGAGATCGTGTGCTCGCGCTGTGCGCGCGACAACGTCCCCTGCGTCTACGCCCCCAGCGCCCACGCGCCCACCACCACCACGGCCTCTCCCCCGTCCGCCGATGAGCCCGTCAAAGATGACCGGTACGCCAGCCCTGATCGTCCCGCTCGAGCCTCGCTGACCGACACCTCCAGGCTATCCGGTCATCTCGAGACCGTCGACCGGCAGATCGAATCCCTCCAGCGCGAGATGCGCGCCATGGCCGCTCGCATCCGCCAGCTGGAGGCCTCCTCCTCCGCCGCCGTCACCAACCCCCCCGCCAACCACCACACCACCACCAGCATCCCCACCTCCATGTCCATCATCTCCTCCACCTCCGTCAACGCCGGCCTGCAGCGCATCCTCAACCGCCCCAAGTCCCCCAGCTATGTCGGTCCCACCAGCGCCGAATTCGGCCTCACCCGCCGCCAGAAGCCCTCCGACGACAGCGACGGCGACGGCGACGACCTCGAGTCCACCGCGGCGCCGAGCCCGCCCCCTGCGGCCGACTCGGAGGCCCTCTCGGGCGATCCGCTGCGCTGTCTGGGTCTCACCGAGACCCTCCGACTGGTGACGGTCTACGAACACACCGTCGGCCTGATCTACCCGTGCGTGGACCTCGACAGCGTGCGCGCGTATGTGGTCGAGTACTTCCGCGACGACGGCGACGGGCAGAACGAGCCCACGTCCCCCAGCAACGAGGACCAGGACTGGTTCTTTGCCCGCGACGCAGAGGTGCTGAAGATCATCATCGCGACCGCCCTGTTGGCGGAATCGCACGGCCGGAGTGAACGCGCCGCCTGGCTGGCCGATAGCGTCGAGGATCGGTTCGCGTCACGCTACAAGATGCCCGAGGTCGATATGAAGGAATTGCTTATCTTGACGCTGGTGGTGGGTGTGACCGCATCGAGCTGTATAATCCTGGCTAATGCATGTCTCCCAGTCCATCTTCCATTCCTACCGCGACGACGAGGTCATCGCCTGGCGCACCATCGGGTCTGCTGTCCGCGGATCCGTCCAGCTGGGGCTCCACTGTCAGGAGACATGGCTTAAAACCGGCGGCGTGTTCCCCGGCGAGCTACACCGCATCTGGGCCAGTCGGCTGTTCTGGTGCATTTACGTGCTGGACCGGAAATGGTCGTTCGGGACAGGCCTGCCGTTCGCCATCCAAGACACCGACATCGACACGAACCTGCCCGAGCCCGGCACCGCGACCCCGTACCTGACGTGCATGATCTCGTACGCCCGGCTGAGCTCGAAGATCTGGGGCCTGGTCGTCGGCTGGCGCACTCGTCCGCGCGCCGCCACAGCCGATTACTGCGCCTACCTGGACTTCCAAGTACAGCAATGGATCCAGTCCATCCCGCCGGAACTGCGCTTCGACCCGTCGCAGCGGCCGTCCGGGGCGGGGGCCTCCAACCCCCAAGCTGACAGCATGATGATGCTGCAGGTCCTGCTGGCTCTGCAGGCCAACCAGCTCCGCATCCTCGTCTACCGCCAGTACCTGCTCAGCACGGAGAGCATCGATGAGAGCGTTTCCAGCGCGTCCATCGCCGTCGAAACCGCCAAGAGCACCGTCCACATGCTCGACTTCTTCAGTCGGGTGTCGGAAATCTACTTCCAGCGGCCGGAACCCTTCAACTACTTCCTCATCTCCGCGCTGGCTGCTTTGTTCCTCGCTGTCCTGCACTCCCCGTCGCGATTCAGTCAGGTCTGTCGTCCGGAATTCTATAAAGCTGTCGATATGGTCCGCCGCTCGTCCACCCGCGCGCGCACCTCCCGCCGTCTACAGAAGATCATCCAGAACCTCAAGCTCATCCGTCTGAACCTGGGTAATAAATCACCTCGCCAGGCCCAGCCTCAACTCCACCATCAACAACAACAACACCACCACCACCCTCATCCCCATCTACACTCCCATCCTCATCACCAACAACAACATCCACACCACCTCCAATCACCCCTCAACCCCCCCACAGCCAGCAACCCCAACCCTCTACCCTTCCCGCCCGACCCCTCCTACGCTGGCCCCCACACACGAATCTCCCCAAACCCAGGCCCAAACTCAAACCCCCAAGCATCCACCGCCTTCTGGCCCCTAACAACCACCACCGGGGCCCCCATCCCCGCAAACCGAAACAGTTGTGAGGATCTCACCAGTTTCTTTGAAATGGCCGGCGGGTTCTATTTTGATCCGCAGGGTCACGCGCAGGTCGCGGATGGGGTTGTTGTGGAGGGTGGGACGGCGACGGCGACGGCGACGGCGACAGGGGTGGGGGTGGGGGTGGGAGGGGATGGGTCGGGGATTGGGATTGAGGCGTTGAATGCGGAGGATGAGGCGTTGACGAAGGTTATGGCGGGGTTGTTGTGAGTTCCTGCTGGGTCTGACAGTCTGGTCGGGAGGTGTGTTTACTGGGGATGGATGTAGGTATGGCTTGGATTTTGATTGCAGGATTGGGCCAGTGGATGTGTTGTATTTATATTATACCTAGCTAGGCAGGTAGGCAGGTAGACATTTCTAGACCGGTGTCGATATGGGTGGGTGTTGTGTTGTCTGTAAAAAACATTTCACTTCGTTTCATCTTGGTTTGTTAATGGTCGAACATGCACCTTATTATTTGACTCTGGTTATGCGATGTGTACTTGACTATATGCGAACACCAGTTGACCTAGCCAGCACCTCTCGTGCAGATAGATCCGGATTGGTGCATTTATATTCTTGGACAAGTGGAGAAGTAGCATTATGGGATATTCGGCATTCAACCCAAAAGTATGACAGATCAGCCGTGTACCATCATGTTCTTCATTACAAGATAATGGCATTTGAATGTGGGATAAATCACGAACATCCTCACACAGACAGACAGACAGACAGACAACCGCAGTAGAAGGGAGTAAGTAGTACTAATGGCAATGGGCAGATGTCTTGTCCCGGTGGGATGACCACTCACGGACCGGACGGCAGAGAGCCTGTCGATCCCTTCCATCCGGAGATTGATGCGAGGGCCATCTACCCCGTCCGCCGTCCGGTCCGGGACGAGACGAGACGAGACGAGACGAGACGAGCAGATCACGGGGGCTGGTCACCCTGCCCTGGCCTGGTGGCGGAGACGCCCTCCGGACCGGCCCATGGTGATTGCTGCGAGTGCCGAGGAGAATGGGGATCTGTTCATCATCCGTAGGTGGGTGGGTGGGTGGTCAGTCCCCAGAGTTTGAAATTTCGATTTGAGGGCTTGTCTGGGATAGATATCACAAAACCCTCAACCTAAACAGATGATACCGGTAGATAGTTAGTATCTGCCATACGGTATTCTTATCCCACAGAATCAAACCACCCAGGATTACTTGTTAATGTGCGTGGAAGTACCAACACACATGTACGTATATACATACATGGCATGAACAGATGAAGGATGGATGGATACTATATCAACTCCGAGGTACTAGTCCCTCCTGCGGAGTCGAGTCGAGTCGAGTCGAGTCGAGTCGTCTGTGCAGAATCAGAAGGTCAGACTGGATACCCAGTCCAGCCACCCGGAGTACAAGGACGGCCTGGAAATTAATATTTCCCGTGGGGGGGGGGGGATGGTGCATTTCCGAATGCGTTTGCCAGACTAGACTACTAGATACATAGACAGGGATTGAGATTGAGTTGGGGTTGAGTGGGAGGTAGATACGGAGTTATCTCCCACGGCACTAGAATGTTTAGTTCCTTGCTAGAATAGTCAGTCAGAAACTAAGCTCTGCCGTGTCAATTTATTTAAATTAGGGAAGGATGCATGTGCCGTTAGTCTGTGGCTACCGTGCAGGGCGGAGGTGGAGTTGAAGGAGTCAGGATGGGAGAGGGAATAGCCGTTGTGGATTGATTTGGTAGATGTCTGCTCGCCGGAATCATTAATTTTTTTTTTCTTTTTTTCATGTGGATAGTTAATCTGTAATGCTGTGTGTATATATGCTAGCTCTCAGAGAGAGATTGTTGGGGTTTGACCGCCAGAGACAGGGGCGCCATTCCCTCGAAGCTTAGCCCCGGTGGTGGGTGGAAGGGGTCCGTGTCAAGGCGTCCTAGTCGGGTGTGCTGGATGGTGGACACCCATCCGTTGTAGGACCGGTGCAAGGATGGGGTCATGACGGGATGGAATGTTTTCGAGGTAAATATGAGTATGTTCTGTTCAATTATCAAGATATGTTTGTTATCCACATATTGAGAAACTAGGCTGCTGAGAGAATGTACATGGCATGTTGAATCAGCTCATCACCACCACCACCACCACTCCCAACTGCACAGTGAATGTGGCCCATCCACGATGTGGGGAGCGGAGATTTTGCCCAGTATGGCGTAGTTAATGCCTACCTTACTTGTCTGCTCTGCTTCTGGTACACAGTCATCCTGTACTGCCGCAGACTGCCGGCAGTAAATCACGCCTGCTGCGTGGCTGCATGGCACATGGCTGCATCCTAGGGCTCGGATGCCTCGTGTTCGGACGCCACGCTCTCTACCTGAAGGCAGCACCTTGCAGAGTCAGCCTGCCGGGTATCTCAACTGCCCCTTTCATGACATCGCTCAACCCATCACATCCATCCACATCCGTGCCGAGTCAGGCCCTGCATCCTGCATCTCCTCTGCATCCCTCCACCCGGCCTGATCCTGCATGCAGCCTGCAACCGCGCCGGATTCCGGTGGTGCCTCCGGGATATTTCTTTTTCAACAACATGGCATGGCTGATGAAACGACCGAACTGCCACGGAGAGCCCTCCGGCGGCGGAAACTATATCCATTTTGTCCCAAAAATGACTGACGGGGGGGGTTCTCTCCGCGGTGGGCGAGCGTATAAATACTATGCCAGGCCAGCTCGAAGCTCATGACAGGCGTGCCAGCAGGATCACTGTGCAAGTCAGCTGCAGCCATGATGTATCGTCTCCTGTCTGCCCTCTCGGCCCCTCTGCTCGCCACCCTCGTCCAGGGCTACGCGGATCCTGGGGCCTGCTCTGGGGTCTGCACCACCCATGACCCGGGCCTGATTCGCAGAGAGTCCGACGGAACCTACTTCCTCTTCTCGACCGGAGACGACATCTCCTACGTCTCGGCCTCCTCCCTCGAGGGCCCATGGACTTCTGTCGGCTCGATGCTGCCGGATGGCTCGTCCATTGACCTGGCCGGCAACAATGACCTATGGGTAGGTGATCATCACTCACCCTCTGCACCTCTCGCAACGCAGCCTGACTGACCCCCCAGGCCCCGGATGTCTCCTACATCGACGGTCTCTACTACGTCTACTACGCCGTGTCGACCTTTGGCTCGCAGGACTCGGCCATCGGCCTGGCCACGTCCGAGACCATGGAGTACGGCAGCTGGACCGACCACGGCTCCGTGGGCATCGAGTCGTCCTCCTCCAAGATCTACAACGCCATCGACCCCAACCTGCTGAACGACGACGGCACCTATTACGTCCAGTTCGGCTCTTTTTGGGATGATATCTACCAGGTGCCCATGGAGTCGCCCCCCACCAAGACCTCCACCGCCTCCTACAACATCGCCTACCAGCCAGACGGGACCCACGCCGAGGAGGGTTCCTTCCTCTACAAGTACGGCGACTACTACTACCTCTTCTACTCGGCCGGCATCTGCTGCGGATACACCACCTCCCTCCCTGCGGCAGGAACGGAGTATCATATCGAGGTCTGCCGGTCGACCTCTCCCACAGGCGACTTCGTAAGAACCCCCCCCTTCTTCCCCATGATAACCCATGAAAGAAAAGAAAAGACACTGACGAATCGAATGCAGGTCGATGCCGACGGTGTCGCATGCACCGACGGCGGTGGCACTCTGGTTCTGGCCAGCCACGGCACGGTCTACGGACCGGGTGGACAGTAAGTAGCCCCATGTTTTGTTTCAGTTGGTACAGGATAACTGATGTTTGCTTTCTCAGGGGTGTCTTCGACGACCCGACCTACGGCTCCGTGCTCTACTACCACTACATGGACACGGACATCGGTCTGGCCGATGATGAGGCCCAGTTCGGATGGAACGTCATTGACTGGTCCACCGGATGGCCGGTGGTGTAATCTAGTGTGCGGTAGAGGGGGGTATGCGTATTGTTGAGCCTGGTACATACATACATACATACATACGTACATACGTTCTTGATCTGGGCGGCCCCGAGGGTGGCCTGGCTCTGTATATAGTTGGTGATACTAGTTATAGCACTGCCGTGAATGGGTACGGTGTGCCTGAGGCTGTTCCTTCCCTTCTCGCCTTCGCTCTCGGCCTTCTTCCTCTTCTCCCCTTATTCTTCCCTTATTCTTCCCTTATTCTTCCCTTATTCTTCCTCCCTAAGCCCTCCCACTACTCCCCATCACGTCCATCCACCCCTCCATCGCCGTCGTGAGCACGTCAATCCCCTCTGTCATCAGCTGCGTCAGGGGCTTATCTACGTTACCGCGAAGATGCGCATGCCACGGATCCAAGACCAGCTTGTTGACATTGAACTTGGTGACCCCCGCCGCGATGCACGCGCGGCAAAGTTCCGGCGAGAAGTCGTTGGTCCCGTGTAACACGAGGGTCGCGCGTCCCTCCAGCGCGTGGTATACTCGATGAAGCCTGGCGAGTTGTTAGAAAACGGAGCCCTTCCCCTCGACGAACAGGTGCCTGGATATCCTTCTAGTGGAGGCGGTCCCGGTTGCAAAAGTCTCACCTCTCCATCTCGAGTTGCGGTCCGTTGGACCCATAATCCCCGTGGAGATTTCCCACGCTTGGAGCCAGGAAATCCACTCCCGCGCGGAGAAATTCCTCTACATCTTCCGCGTTCGTGAGTATCCCTGGCACCACGATTAGATCTTGCTTGCTAGCGGTCGCGTGTCCGGCATACCTTACCTTCCAGATCATCCGTCCCTTTGATCCCATCCTCTCCTCCCTCGATGCGCCCGGTCTCCGCCTCCACCGCGATCCCCCTCGCGTGGCAGTATTCTCGCAGCCTGCTGGTTTTCGACCGGTTTTCTTCTTTCGCATAATGGCTCATGTCCACCATGATCGAGTCAAATGGCAGGTGATCGGCGACATGTTTGATCTGGTCGACGTCCTGCGCGTGGTCGAGATGGACTGAGATGGGAACCGATGCGTGTTTCGCGGCCGCCGACGCGGCGTAGACAAGGGACGGGGTTTGGTCGAGCGACGACGGGAACAGCTGGATGATCAGGGGCGACCGGCGACTTTCAGCCGCCCGAACAAACGCCGTGATGTGCTCGACGTTGTAGCTGTCGTGGTCAGTCAGCTATCCAGACCTGGTGCTGGCGTCACCCACACGATCGCCGCCAACACCCCATACCGGCCCTGCTCCGCGGCGTGCAGAATCTGGAGGGTCTTGTTTTGGGCACGCCAAGCCATCTTAATTGGCCTTTCTCAACCGATCTTATATCTTATCTGCAGGATCTGCGGGGTCCGGAGAGCGTTTCATTCGCTTCTTCAGTCGTTGCGGACGGCCAGGGCTACTTCTAGGTCGGATAGTGCTGTACTACTACTGTTTGCATCACCATGCATCATATCAGCCCATGGTCCCCCCGCACGATACTCGCCCGGAGCCCTCGTCTCGAGGGCCGTGCCGTGGCGCTCATTGCCGAATCAAACCAGCACTTCGGTAGTGGGTTACTTTCGGCTTTTCTCGCTTGCTCCACTCCCAGGCGAGCACCCAGTTCTGAGTCTGACCTCGACGCGACCGGTCGAACTCCCGACGTCCGATCTCCTCCTGCCTTCATCCCCCATAGTGCAGAACGCATAGGCGGCACAGGTCTCGGGTGATGAGGCACCATGGCCGATGTTACGCAGGGGACCTCGCGTGGCGTTCGGAAACCTCGCAAATCCCGCGGCCGCGGCCTGCGGGCCACCACCGGCTGGTCAGTGTTGCCCCGAAGTTTCTCCCGTGATTATGGCGGTTGTTTGACCGACATGCTGACGGCCACAGCCTCATTTGCAAGCGGCGTCACGTCAAATGCGACGAGGTGCGTTAGATAAATGCATCCGTGCGAAACTCCCCTGCTAACCAGGGTTCAGGCTCGCCCCCAGTGCGGTCCTTGCGCCAAAGGACAACGCGACTGTGTCTACGGGGGGACCGAGAGCCATCCGGCCACCCCGAGCGCAGGGGTCGCCGCGACCCCCGTCCCTGCACCACACCACTCACCCCTTTTACAGCCACTAACCACCCCAGCACTGCATGAGCCGTTACGCGTGCTGGTTGATGCCTGCCAGCATGAACAACCAGTGCCAGATCCGGCGCCGTCCACCCACAGGGCATCTATCCCGGCATCTCCAGCCCTGCAGAATAGCCAAACATTGACGCCAGACTTTGGTGGGCCCCGAAACAACCGCATATCCCCTCCTACCTCAACACATGAATACGGCCATTCCCCTGGCACCGATTCCACAGTCTCGACGCGACTGGCTCCATTGAGCTGGTTCGAGCTGCTGGCGAACGATGCCGTGAACGCGGATCGAGGCTTTCTGCTATCACCGCCCCAGCGAGTTGCCAACTCAGCAGGCGAAGTGCCAACCAGCCACCTGTCGGACTCAAATCTCCAACCGCAAAGCCTTCGGCAGTACGAGAGTTTCCGAGCAGCATCTTTTGAGCAGGACCCCGAGTTTCAGAATAGACTGACAGCCGCAGCCGATAACCAACCCAGACTTCTCTCCGACGATCCCTCGTCATGGACAGCCCCTGGCCCGGTCCAGCTATCCACCCAGGAATACCACATATTCAAGCACTTCGTGCGGAACATGAGCTCATGGTTCGACTTCTTCGATCCGAGCGCACAGATATCGACCAAGGTCCCACAACTGGCCATGAGGAACACGGGTGTAATGAAGGCGCTCCTGGCCGTCTCGTCCCGCCATCTCTCCATATGGCATAAGGATGAAGGCCGAGGCGCCGGAGTAGTCAGACACAAAGATGACGGGACCAAGTCAGAAGAGTTCCCGGTCGCGGACCGCGACATGGCGGCCCAGTACTACCACGAGACGCTGGAATACTTGAACAAGGCGATGCGGTATCCCAGTTTCGCCTTCAGCCATGAAATCATTTCCACCGCGTTCTTGATCAGCACGTACGAGATGATCGACGGCTCGAATCGGGACTGGGAGCGGCATCTGAAGGGGGTGTTTTGGATCCAGAGATACCAGAACAACGACGGCGAGTGTGGGGGTCTGCGCCAGGGCGTCTGGTGGGCGTGGCTGCGGCAAGATGTCTGGGTGGCGATGCGCGAACGCCGCCGAGTCTTCACCTACTGGAAGCCCAAGCGACATGTATCCACGCTGACGGCTCCGGAGCTAGCCTGTTTCGCGTCATACCTGCTGGCGCAGTGCGTCAACTATGCCTCGCGCGAAGAAGCCAATAAAGACATAGCAGCTCGTCTGGAGAGGGGCACCGAGCTCCTGTACATGCTCCAGGAATGGCAGGACTGCCTGACTCCGGAGTACACTCCACTCCCAACCGCACAGCACGCAGACGTCTTCCCCCCGATCTGGGTCCACCCTGCGCCCTACGCGGCAGCCCTGCAGCTCCACAGTTTAGCTAGAATCCTGGTTATCTCCCATCGGCCGTCCATTGGCGGCTTCCAAGACTACCGGGCTGCGCAGAAGCTGCTGACCGCATCGGTAAACACCATTTGTGGAATTGCTCGGAACGTAAGCGAGGACGACCTGGCCGCTAGCCTGATGTCTCTTTATTGTACCTTTGGGGGTAAGCCATTCCACGCGCGACCCGGACCTAGGCTGACTTGACGCAGCGGGGATGAGCGTCCATACGCCTCATGAGCGGGCTGTCTTGCTCGACCTCATCGACATCTTCGAGCGCAGGGTCTGTTGGCCCCGATACTCGCTGCGGGATGTTCTGGAGACGGAATACCAGAAGGACGGATTTGCGGGGTTCACGGGCTGATCTTCAACCGGATCGCCAAAGCAGTCGCTGAACCAGCTTCCTACTCGGCTCATTTAGGTTGAGTGCCTTCATCCAGCGTCCGGACATGGTTTACTTGGAAGCTGGAACGAAACGTGGTCTTTCAAACCCCACAACATCCACCCCGTGGGGCGAAGCCGTCGCAGATAAACATTGCGGACGACGGCGACGAGTGACGATACCTGATTACATTATAATAGTCCTGCCCATCTACCTTGTGAATGTATAATAACGAATGAATGAAAGTGAGACTTTGGGATTGCCGCCCCTTTGGACATCTACACTTGGAACTGCGGCCGTGAGAGACATTATGCCCGAGATTCAGCCGACGCCAACTCAATTACTGGGAGACTTCCGGGATATTAATTGTTGTGGGCCAGCGATCTCCGCATGGCTGCAATCGTACTAGTCGGATTGTGTGTTGTTCGCTAACCAGCTGCCTCGTGCCGAGGCAGCGACTCGGATAGATCTCCGATCGCGGGGATCGTGCAATGGAGTGATGGAACAGGTTCGCGGAGGGAAAGTGGGCATCCTGCTTGACGTCAAGCTTTCATAAATGCAGACCCGATGATCTCGAGCCGAACATCCAGCCCCGGGTTTCAGCCGAGGTTTAAAGAGGGACATCCCGATCCGAGCGTTTACGATCGCGGTGAAATTGGCGGCCACTTTGAGACCTCCAGTTGGGATTCCAATCGTCCACTTCACCCTTCTCGTGAATAACCACAGACCCACCATGCCTCCGACTCCAGACACCCCGACCCCGGACGCCAACCCGGGTCCATCGCCCTTCCTTAGCACCATGCCCCCCTCGACCTTCACCTGGCAGATCACCCTATCAGATAAAGTCATCGCCATCACCGGCGCCAACCGCGGCATCGGCCTCGGTATCGCGGAGGTGTGCTTCGCCAACTCCGCCCAGTTCGTCTACTCCCTGGATCGGATGCAGCCGGGCGAGGAGACCATCGCGCTGCAGACCCGGTTCCCGAATTTCCGGTTCATCCAGACGGATGTCACTTCGGAGGAGAGTATCGAGAAGGCGATCAATCAGATTGTCCACGAGACGGGGCGCATTGATGGCCTGGTGGCTAATGCGGGCATGACGAAGCACCAGCCCGCGATGGAGTTCGATAGACCGGAGTTGGAGCAGATGTTTAATCTTAATGTGAGTTGGCGGATGGATATGGATGGTTATGGATGGGTCTGGATGGGTCTGGGGGCAATGTGCTGATGGCGATGAGATGTGATGTGCAGGTGTTCGGATCGTATTTCTGTGCGCAGATCGTGGCGCGCAAGTTTATTGAGCTGGGCATCAAGGGGTCTATTGTGATGACTGCGAGTATGACGTCCTACCGTCCGAATCGCGTAAGTATCCTGGATCGTTCGAGCCGGGCATCATCACCCATCCCAACCCAAGCATCCCCCACAAGACCACTAACAAATCAAATCTACTCCTCCAGGCCGCCCCCTCCGCCCCTACGGCGCCACCAAAGCCGCAAGTAAGCACCTACCCTACTACACCTATTCCTCCCTCCCTCCACCCCCCCACTCACTCACCCACCCCTCCAGTCCGAAACATGTGCCACACCCTCGCCATGGAATGGAGCAAGCACGGCATCCGCGTCAACAGCATCTCGCCGGGCTTCGTCCGCACCGCAATGACATACTACGTCGAGACGTCGCCCGACTGGGCCACCAAGATGGAAAATTACGGCGGTATGCCCCGTCTTGCGGATCCGAGGGAGCTGGGCGGCGCGTATGTGTATTTGTTGAGTGATGCGAGCTCGTATACCACTGGGATTGATATTCCTGTTGCTGGGGTTGTGGGGGCTTGGTGATTTGTCGGGCGGGTGTCGAACGGACAGAAACAGGTCCTTGTCTGGGGGGGTGGATTTCCTCCGTTTGATGGTACCGGGGATGGTTGCTGGTTTCTGGTTGCTGGTTGCTGGCTGGATTGTTTATTCCCTCGTGCATATGATTTGCATGTGTGTGTACATATGTGCGCAACCGACGATATTATGCACTGCAGAATGACACGGCTGAATGAAGACAGCAGCAGACACCAGAATAGGCTGCATCAGCTTGCTCGCTCGCGCACAAACCTCGTATACCTGGCCTATCCGCGTACTGGCCAAATCAAGAGAGGCAGACCTGCACGGTGACCCTCAAGGTACACGCCGGGTCGGGTCCGGTGTCGCTAGGTGTCACCATTCAGGAACACTTTGGGCGATCGACTGCTCGAGGATCCAAGGGGCAGGCATGCCAGCAACGATCGGCTTGATTGTCTGGAGCATGTATAACTCGCTGTTTACCCGCCCGATGACGATCCGGTCCTCGCATCAGCTGGAGGATTACCGCGTCGTCAGCTTTGTGGAGGGGAAGGTCCTTTTGGGGGGGTGCTGGGCCGGCGTCAATCGGTCATGTATGCTGGTTCTTTCATTCTGGCCCTGTCGATATGCATTATCATCATCATATGGAGGGGAAGAAGTATCCTAGTATCCTGAGGCGCAGGGATCTGTTGCAGTTGTGTCGGTTGAATACACGCTATGTGGTGAAGAGGGATACGGGGGTTGGTGTTGGCGTCGTTTGAGCGGATGTGATTGATTTTTTATTACAGAGTACATAGTATTGTGTGTTCGTTATTGGGGGGAGGAGATAAGTACATCGTAGCATGAAAGATCATATCATATCATATCATATCATATCACAACCTGTCCATCCCTCCGACTGGTATAATGTATAATTCATCTTGGACATGACATTAAATGATTAAGAGGAATTACTTAATTGATTAGTTCGAGATCTTCGAGGGCACTTTCTTGCTAAAATCCCAATCCTAATTAGCACTCACTCATCACACTTATGATCGTATGTATCACACATCACACTACCCCGACCGTGCAGAGGAAGAAGAAAATGGAAGGTGGAAGGTGGAAGGTGAAATGTGGAATGTGGAATGTGGAATGACATACCCCGTGATACTCTCAAACTTCTCGCGCGCGGTGTCGGTGATCTTCTCGTTGGTGGAGCGCATCTTGGCCGAGTGCGGATCGACCTTACCCCCGCCGAACTTGCTTTCGAGCGAGTCGAGGCCTGTGATGTCATCGATTAGATTGGTTTTGGTGGTGGTGGTGATGGACTGGACTGGTTCTGGCACATCCTGGCAGGGTAGGGTAGACTAGCCGTAGCTAGGCAGCTAAATTGGCAAGATAGTACCAGGATAATATGCAGGGTAGACCAGTAATAAAAACGAGAACAAGAACGAGAACCAGAATAAAAATCAGGCAACGCACCCTTATCAACGTAGTCCTCCTGCTGGGCCCCGCCCGCATTGTTGGAGCTGCTGCTGCTGCTGCCGCCGCCGCTTCCACCCAGCTTCGAGGCGAGTCCGGAGAGCTTATCCATGATGTATGTATGTATGTCTGTAGAGTGGGGTTGTTTCTTGTTTTTTGGTGGTTTCGATGGGTGTTAGGTTAACGTGGAACGTGGACAGTAAGTAGATGTGGGTTATTCTCCGATATGCAGTATGCAGTATGCACAATAGAGGAAAAAGGAGAGTTCCTCCCTGCAAGGGCCGACTACATATTTATACCGCGATGCGATGGGTGTTACAACCATCCACCCTGCCAAGAGACTCGTGTTCGTGATGTCATGGACTGAACTCAAGATGGATCGACGGGAGCAGTGGGATATTCATATTCACTCGAACCGGGGAACCTGCGAAGAGGGACGGATGATCGAGGGAGAGGAAAGGAAGGGAAAGGGAAAGGCCAGTCTTGGCGGATGCGGCAGTGGTGCCTGAGGCAGACAGGAGAAGTTCCAGCACTTGAGAATGACGACGTGATGATGTCAGAGAAGGGATTTTAACTAGTTAGTTAGTTAACTAACTAGTTATTTCCGCTGACGAGCAAAATGACTCAGCGGAGTATAACTAACTAAAAGCATAACAGCTGACTCAGCGGGTATCAGGGAAATGCATAACCCACGTGACCCCCCCCCCAGCCTTGTCCTCGTTTTCCTCGCGTCTTCCCCAGCAGGAATACCCGAGCACACGAACAGGAGCTGCCGCACCAGCAACGCCCCGCTGTCCATCAATCTATTCTGTCCCACTGCATCCACAATTCTAATCCTCCGCAGCCTTGTGCTGCTTGCTGCTTGCTGCACCATATTATCGGTATCGGCATCGGCCCAGCCCGATGCTCCTTCTGGCCCTTAGTTATGTCACCGAACCCACGAGGATGAGTTTTCACCCGCCCAACAACCATGGCTCCGGCCCCCCTGCCCTCTTCAGCTACCCAAATTTGAAATCCCAGCTGGCCCCGGACTCCGTGGCGCAGGGCAATTTCCTGCTGCCTAGCCGATCCTGCGTGATGACGGTCCAGCATCCCTAGTCCCTTCAGGGACAACAAAGTACAAAGCGCTGCCCCTGGAGAGGGCGCAGGGGGGGGCTGCTTCCCTTTCCTGGGCCTATCATCAGCCTGGCATGGCAGGGCACACATGCAACATTCCAACCGAAGTCCGGGTCAGCTCCTGGAGCCGCAGAATCTGACCAGCTGTGGAGGTGCCAAGATGCCCAAGCCTTCCGGGTGCTCCGCGGCTGTGGCTGCTGCTGCCCTGACTTGAGTGCCCAGTGGACCACTGCCCACTGCCTACTGCCTACTGCCCACTGCCCTCCCCCCCGTCCTCCCGATCCTCCGATCCCCCCGATCTTATAACTTCCCATCCCATCCCCTGCCGCTGGTTTTTTTTCCCCCTTGAATTCTCCTCCTGTGACCAGCCCCAGACACCCGCTCCGATCGTCGTACCTGCCGATCATGAAGTTCCCTGTTCTCACTGCAGCTGCCGCGGGACTGGCCAGCGCGGCCTCGCTGCCCTCGTCGTTCCAGGAGCTGGAAGCGGACGTTGCGTCGGTGGCCGCCCGGGCGGTGGCCAACTACATCCAGCGCGACCTGCCCAACGCCCCCGATGGCTACACGCCCACCAACGTCACTTGTCCCTCCCCGCGCCCGACCATCCGCGAGGCCAACGCCCTCTCCACCAACGAGACCGACTGGCTCGAGATCCGCCGCAATGTCACCCTCGCCCCCATGAAGGATCTGCTCACCCGCCTGAACCTGACCGGCTTCGACACCACCTCCTACATCGACGCCCACTCCAGCAACATCTCCAACATCCCCAACATCGCCATCGCCGCCTCGGGCGGTGGCTACCGGGCCCTGACCAACGGCGCCGGTGGGCTCAAGGCCTTCGACAGCCGCGTCACCAATACCACCAACGCCGGACAGCTGGGCGGCCTGCTGCAGTCGGCCACCTACGTGGCCGGTCTCAGTGGTGGCAGCTGGCTGGTCGGGTCGATGTTCGTGAACAACTTCAGCTCCATCGCCGAGCTGCAGGCCAGCAACAAGGTCTGGAACTTCGACAAGAGCCTCCTCGAGGGCCCCGACTACGACGACATCCAGATCGTCAGCACGGTCGAGTACTGGAAGGACATCACCGAGCAGGTCGCCGGCAAGGCCGACGCCGGCTTCAACACCTCCTTCACCGACTACTGGGGCCGCGCGCTGTCCTACCAGCTGGTCAACTCCTCCGACGAGGACGGTGGCCCCAGCTACACCTGGTCCTCCATCGCCCTGATGGACGACTTCAAGGCCGGCGCGTACCCCATGCCGCTGGTCGTCGCCGACGGGCGCAACCCCAACGAGTACATCATCACGGACAATGCCACCGTGTACGAGGTCAACCCCTGGGAGTTTGGCTCGTTCGACCCCACCGTCTATGCCTTCGCCCCGCTGCAGTACCTGGGCTCGCGGTTTGTGAACGGCACGGTGGCCGACAACGCCAGCTGCGTCCGCGGCTTTGACAACGCCGGGTTCATCATGGGCTCGTCGTCGACGCTGTTCAACGAGTTCCTGCTGGATATCAACACCACCAGCATCCCGACCATCCTCAAGGAGGCCCTGACCGACATCCTCGACGACCTGGGCGAGCGCAACGACGACATCGCCATCTACTCGCCCAACCCCTTCTACGACTACCGCGACAGCAGCGAGACCTACGCGACGACCAAGGACCTGAACGTGGTCGACGGCGGCGAGGACGGCGAGAACATCCCCCTGCAGCCGCTGATCCAGCCGGAGCGCGCGGTGGACGTGATCTTCGCGATCGACTCGTCGGCCGACACGGACTACTACTGGCCCAACGGCACGTCGCTGGTGGCCACCTACGAGCGCAGCCTCGACCGCACGGGCATCGCCAACGGCACGGCTTTCCCGGCCATCCCGGACCAGAACACCTTCGTCAACCTGGGCCTCAACAGCCGTCCGAGCTTCTTCGGCTGCGACCCCAAGAACATCTCCGGCAAGGCGCCCCTGGTCATCTACCTCCCCAACTCGCCCTACACCTACGACTCCAACTTCTCGACCTTCACGCTCACCTACACCGACGAGGAGCGTGACTCCGTCATCACCAACGGCTGGAACGTCGTCACGCGCGGCAACGGCACCGTCGACGAGAACTTCCCTCAGTGCGTCGCCTGCGCCATCCTGCAGCGCTCCACCTACCGCACCAACACCTCCCTGCCCACCATCTGCACCACCTGCTTCACCGATTACTGCTGGAACGGCACCCTCAACAGCACCGATCCGAGGGAATACAACCCCAGCATCCTGATCGCCTCCAGCGGCGCGCTGAAGACCGTGGCGGATTACTCGGTGGTCGTGCTGGCGTCCGTGCTGGCGCTGTTCTGGGCGCTGTAGACGTGATGCGATGCGATGTGATGTGATGTAGATGTAGATGGTCATGTTTTGGTTTTGGTTTGGGAAATGTTTTCTTCGGGTACATATGAGGTGTATATTTTTTTTTCTTTTGTCGCATGTGATGATCGCATAATAGCATAAACGCGTGAATGAGATGCATGATGTTAATAATTGGTCTTCAATCTGTGTAGATTATTTTTTTTTGAGTAAGACTGGAAAGGGGAGTAAAATCGTGCCCTATCCCGATAGAATGCCAATTAAAGGTGCCACCGGTCGGCCCGATGGCGCAATCACAGGCATTTCCACCGCCTACGGCTGTTTATCTCTCCATCTCTCTAGTTATCCGCCTGAACATCTTTCCACTAACTACATGACCTACTATACCATTCATATATCACATCCTCCCGCCATGTCCTCCCCCACAGCATCAACATTCACCAGCATCCCCATCCTCGACTACGCCCTCACCACCCACCCCACCACCAAACCCCTCTTCCTGTCCGACCTGCGCCATGCCCTCCTCCACGTCGGCTTCTTCTACCTCGTCAACGCCCCCATCGCCCCCGCCGTCCGCGACCAGCTGATCCGCCACACCACCGCCCTGTTCGCCCTCCCGCTGGAGAAGAAGCTCGAGATCGAGATGGTCAACAGTAAACATTTCCTGGGCTATTCGCGACTCGGCGCGGAGACGACCGCCCGCGTGGTGGATTATCGGGAGCAGTTTGATGTGCGTCTCTTCTTACTCCCTCGGCATTGCTTACGGGTTGATTGATGCCGATTGATGATTCATATGGGTGGATCATGATGTAACTATGGGTGCTGATATATAGATACCCACCAGTTCGCGACCGAGTTGCCTCCCCCGCCCCCGGACGCGCCTTTGTATCGCAATATCCGGGGTCCGAACCAGGTAAACCCATCGTCCCATATCTCTCTCCCTCCCAATCCACAACCCACTAAAGAATAAATCAACCAGTGGCCCGACGAATCCTCCCTCCCGGGATTCCGCCACACCATCGAATCCTACCTCGACGAACTCAGCCCCATCGCCGCATCCTTCCAAACCCTCGTCGCCGAAGCCCTCGGCCTCCCCTCCACCGCTCTATGCCGATTCTTCGAGATCCCCACCCAGCAGAAACTGAAATTAATCAAGTATCCCCCTCCCCCTCCTCCTTCTTCTTCTTCTTCTTCTTCCTCTTCTTCCTCATCTTCATCGCAGGGCGTGGGCGCTCACAAAGACTCTGAATTCCTCACCTTCCTCCTCCAGCCCACCCCGCATGCTGGACTAGAAGTGCAGAATAAATCCGGGGAATGGATCCCCGCCCCCCCTCTCCCGGGGAGAGATTCACTCGTCGTGAATATCGGGAGGGCGTTCGAGGCGATCACGCAGGGTGTCTGTCCCGCGACGACGCATCGGGTTAATCTTGCTCCTGAGAATTTTGTTTCCAGTACTGGTGAAGGGCTGGGAGCGAGGTTCTCGATCCCGGTTTTTCAGGGCATGAGTTTGGATCTGCGCGCGGATGAGATGAGGTTGGAGATTCCGGGGGAGGTCAGGGGGGAGGTGCAACTGGGGGAGAGGGTCAGGTCCGATGCCGAGGGCACGTTTGATAAGGTTTTCAGGGGCAGGGTGGGCGAGGGCACCCTGGTGCATCGCGTTATGAGCCATCAGGATGTTGGGCGGAGGTGGTATCCCGATTTGTTGCAGTGGGCGTTGGGGGAGTATGAGAAGTAGCGATGTACCTTGGAGTCCGATGGGGATCATGATGGGGATGGAGTGAGGATGGGAAGGGTGCGTTGGGCAGGATGCGTTGGATAGGGCAGTTGCGCATGAGGGTTTGAGACATGGTTTGAGCCGACGATTCGATGGACAGTGCCATGGGGTATCGGAATATGGTCACTCGACTAGAGTGTCTTGATAACCTCCTACGATGGGAGGGGGTAGTTCCGGTCATTGGACAGGTTTGCTTTGGTGATTTGGTGAGCGGTCATGGAGATGATCTCATCCCAGAAGCATATACAGCAAAGGACTCAGCAAAGGGACCGAATTGGACGAGTACTCTCAACAGCCACGACTGCCAAGTCTAATTAGGTCTGGACTGCCTGGAACCATGTTCCGGGTGATGTGGTGGTGCTGTCAGCCCCGAGACCGCTTCACCTCGCCGTCCAAGTTCAAGCCATCAAGCCATCCAACCCTATTATCTCGACGGGCCAGAGTCTGGCCATCATCACTCCCCTATTCAATCACCACTGTCTCATACCTTAGCCAATCAGACCTGCCTCTCCCAGCGACGCTCAGATCGACACTCGCCGTAGGGTTCACAGGAAGAACACGCAAAAAGATACAAGAAGAAGAAACATATCCACCAAGGACTGCTCATCCCAGCCCAGACACCATGGCCCCATCCCCAGCACCACGATCTCGCAACTCCACCGACTCCTTCTCCTACGCCAACTACTGGTCGCTGACCGGCTCGAGATGTAGCCAGAACGAGGCCTTCGCGTCAGAGTCGTCGCGCGTCGACCTCGCCTTCCACTCGCTGTACCTGGTCGTCTTCATCGCGCTGTTCTACCTCACCATCGCCCGCGGGCTCGGCAAGAAGACCATCCCAGTCCGACTCTGGCTGCTCTTCGCCATCTCCATCGTCTTCATGATCCTGTACGAACCCCATATATGGCTCAGCAACAGCTACAATCTAACCCCACCAGCGCAATGATCATCTCCATCATCATCACCGCCCTCACCCAATGCGCCATCCTCACCCAAGCCGACGGCTACCGCGGGCTGATCTCCCTCGACTGGCTCGTCAGTTTGGCCCAGTACGACCTCTTCGCCATCATCCTCCTCCCCATCTGTCGCCGTCTGCACCAGCAGGCCAAAGCCACCAGCGCGTTTATCCGCATCGCCCATTCCGTCGTCCTCGCCCTCCTCGCCATCCTCCTCCTCTGCACCGTCGCCATCCAGACCAAGATCGTTGACGCTCTGTACGGCCCCTCCTGGGACTTTGATATCTACGACCTGCAGGACCATGAGCACGCGCTCCGCACGGCGTTTTACGTCCTCCAGGTCCTGGCTATGATCATGGCGTCGGGGAGTCTGGGTTTGGCCCTAATGCGCGCTCCGCATTTGCGGCAGGGGGTATGTCTTCCCCCCCCTTCTCTCTCTCTCTCTCTCTCTGTCTCTTTGCTCTCCACCTCACCTCTTAATCCCACATACCATCCCACCCACTAACCTCAACACCACCATCAAACCCCCAGACCCTCGGCCTCGCCATCGCAACCCTCATCCCCTCCTCCCTCGGCCTCCCCCTCACCAATCTGGGCGCGTACGTCGACGTCGTCTACCGCGACATGTTCTCCGTCGATGACTTTGAATACACGGACCACTCACGCTTGGCCGGTCTCTTTATGACATCTTTCTTCTACGCGTGTGCGTTTCTGGCTGCCCTGGTGGTGGTCGGGTCGGATCGGGTCGAGGGCGACTCGTATCGCGTGTCTACGCCGCCGCAGCAGCAGCAGGCTGAGGATGAAGATGGAAATGGAGAGGGTGATGGAAATGGAGAGGGTCTGCCGGGGTATCCGTTGAGGGAGGTGTATCAGACTAAGGTTTAAGAGGGGGGTTGAGTTTGATTTATCTCATAATCAGATTGTATCCTGGTTGGAATTGGTGTTCGTGTTCGGTTCGTGTTCGTGTATTTGCGCAGATGGATGGATGGATGGATGGATGGATGGTCTGAGATGGACCCTGATATCTCCATCTCGCTCTCGGTGTCGGATCTAATATCTAATCGACACTATCACCGTCGCTGTCTTCTCCCTCTCCCTCTCCCTCACCCTCATACTCATCGTCATCGGCATCCCCCTCTAAATCCACCGTAAAACAAACCACAAAATACACCTCCCCCGTCCCCCGATTCTTCAACACATACCGCAACACATTGTTCTTCTCGCTGACATATTTCCGGATGTGGAAGCTGATTCCGGGGAGGCGGATTGCAAATTCTGTCAGAAACGACATGATTAGCATGTCCATTGCAGTCGGAGGAGAGAGAAGCAGCATCGAATCTCATCTCACCATTGAAATCCAAATACGGATTCCCAAAATCCGCCGCATACGTCCTCCCCCCCTCGAAGACGAACTCCTTCCGCGCGTCTTCCCGGAGGAAGTGGCTCCTGCGCGCCCCCGCCTCCTCGGGGATGTGATATTTCTGTCGCTCCTCGATCCCGGATCCGGTGCTGCCTTCTGAGACGATGAGATTGCCTTCTTCTTCCTCCTCCTCCTCTTCTTCTTCTTTCTTCTCTCCAATCGAAAAGAAATTCCACGCCGCCACCCCCGGACTCAGCAGATACGGCTTATCCGCATACGCATCCCCCTCCAGACTCGGATCGAGCACCGACTTCACGATCCGCAGCCCCGTCCCGAATCCCGGAGGCAGATACTCCCGGATCGGATGGTCGAAGTCGTTCCCGAACAGGAGGTCGTTCCCCGTTACGTGGGTGGAGGCAGGGAAGCGCAGGGTGAAGGTTAGGCTGTAGAGGTTCTTGGTCGTGGGGGGGTGGGCGAAGTATGCGTTTGTGCTGGAGGTGGATGGGGGGGAGGGGTTGTGGTTTTGGATGCGCACCCAGAGGGAGCTGGTGATGAGGGGGGAGGTGAGGCGGAGGGGGGAGTCGCTGTTGATGTTCACCGGCTGGTGCGTGCTGGGGGAGTAGCTGGTTCCGGCGGTGACTTTTAGCCGGGGGGTGGTGGGGGTGGGATTACTGCTGGTAAACATGGTGGTGTTTGGAATTGGGAATGGGGGATGGGATTGAGAGAGAGGAGATGATGATGATGATGATGATCGGCGATAAGGCAGGGTGACCGTGGATGACGTAGTGGATCGTGGCTCGGCTCGATCTCGGCCCTTTGGGGCTGCTGCATGCATGCATTTGTGTGCATGCGTTTGTGAGTCCGCAGCCCGAAAGGGATGCTGACTTTTATAATCTTAATAGTTAGTTCTTCTGTGCAATGTAAGTAACGTTTACTGGAGATTCCCGTGAGATACACTTTCCATGATCTACACCGGTGATCCCCGGCTCTTCCAGTATATACCTGGCATGCTGCCCCAATTACAGGTGAAAACATGCAGAAAAGACGGCATATCAGATCAGCTACTGTCGGTCGTACATAGATTGGAATTTGGAATGCATTTAATATCTGGTGATACGCAGTCCCTGGCGCGAAAAGCAACAATAGCTGTACCACCCCCCTGGTTCGGGAGTTCCCGGGTCTTGCATGGATCAGGTGGGTTGGTCTATACAAAAGCAAAAGAAAAACTGCCATCTGGTCAGACAGGTCGGTCCCCGCGTAGGCATTCAACATCCTAGCAAGGATAGGCTCATTGTGGATGCTGGGGTATAATAGCTGACTCGTGGCGGACTTTGTCTTTCGTTTTGCTCCTTGACTATTTGGGAGACAGGATGTCTGGAATCGAAGAATCCAAACAGTCCCACTCGACTCCAGGCATTTCTAGACTCCTTGATAGGTGTCATCCGGGATGATAATGAGTTTGACGTATACATCACACCAAATGACAGGTCGACAATCATGAGACAGGGAAGTACCTCTCCGTCAACAATGTCAACATTTGCAATGACAGTGATGACAATGACCTAGACTCTCAAGGGCAAGCTGGAAAGATAGGAGGGACAGTCACCAGACAGCACTGCCGATCAAGGTAATCTTGAGTATGTATCGGCGACCATTTCCCACCCTGGCATTGATTGCCCACCCCCTGGAACCCGACCCCGACTGATTCGGGCCGGGTGCATGAACTACGACGAGCGGGCATGTAGGAGACATCCTGAAGCCTCTTTTTCCTTTTTTTTTTTTTTTCTTTTTTTTCAGGCCCCAGAAGAGACATCCTAGATCCGCTATTGACATTCCGCATGATTTTAGCTGGTATGTGCGATACCCCAAGCCGGGGTGAAGGTGTATATATATGTATATATAACAGATGACCGCGCAATGTACCTAGCCAGGCTGTGGAGGAGAGCCGTCCACCTACCTCCATAGAGCATGAAAAAGAAGGTATTATTTACTTCCTTCGATCAATTTCAAATGATGTAGTTGCTCGTCCAGGGTGCGTGGTGGCGACATATAAATAATACATGATCCGATCTTAGGGATTGTGGCAAAGCCGGATTCCATCTCAGCACCACGCCAAAAGGGGAAGTGGTCTTGCAAATGATGTGATTTGAAGGCGTCAGCCCCGGTATGAATGTATTATCATCACATCACACACGAGGGCACGGTGCACATGTGTGCTGCATAATCCTTGCTAACATGCATGTTCCCCGATGGGGGCTTTGGGATATTATTGCCGGACCAATAGGGAAGCTTAATGATGGTTCGCAGATGATGGGATGGCGTTCATAAGAATGTGCTTGAGGCGATATCCCTTTCAGCTGGGTGGGGCGTTTCCTCTTCGAGTAGCCTGCGTCTAGAACAATGGATGATGGCATGGGGGATATATAGTATATAAGGCTGTGAACGTGTCTGCCTGTCTGTCTGATAGTTGGGTGCTCTTGGTGCCATATCAATTCGTAATCAAAGTACCCACAATGCTGTTCAGATCTTTGACTCGGTGGACGAAGAGTTGTTTCCGGTCTGGAAGCGACAAAGATGAAGTCTCACGCGAAATCCCTGAGAAGAAGGAGGAGGAGGATGTTCGCGGACAGACCGCTGATGTTGACGACACCTGTGTCGGCCTTCGCAGACCCCTCAAGCAACCCGAGTTCCACCAGGACAAACATACCCTCGGTACCTTCCTGGCATACAGGATGGAGGAGATCGGTGTGAAGGATTACTTCGTGGTTCCAGGTAGGTCATTCGACCACCGCATTGCCCTGCTGCCGCTGACATCTACAGGCGACTTCAATCTCACACTGCTCGACCAGCTGCTGAAGAATGACTCGCTCAGACTGGTCGGATGTTGCAACGAGCTCAACGCAGGATATGCGGCAGATGGATACGCCCGCGCGTCCCCAGCCAGGGTCGCAGTCGTGGTCGTGACGTTCATGGTTGGCAGCCTGTCGGTCCTCAACGCCATTGCCGGCGCCTTGACTGATGGCTTGAGTGTCATTGTCATCTGTGGCTGTCCGGCCACCAAGCTATTGAAGGATGACCGCCTGATCCACCACGGCCTGAGCACAACCGATTACGACCAAGCGCTGCGCATGTTTCGGGAGGTGACTGCCTCTGCGGTGCGACTCGACAATGCCGCCAATGCGCGTGAGGTCCTCGATCGCACGATAGCAGAGTCGCTGACGAAGTCGATGCCGGTGTATATCGAGGTCCCAGCAGATGTGGGCACCGTTCCTGTCGGACGTCCAAGTCCACTGGTTATCAACGAGCCTGCACCTTCGAAAGCAGACGCCATCGCGGCAGTGAGTAACGCCTTTTCCCGTTCCTGGAACCATGCCGCACAGCCGGTGATGATCATCGGCCCACTGGCACGCGGCTGCCCGCAGCCCCTCCTGCTGGATTTCATCGAAAGGCTGGGGTGTCCGGTGTTCTGTCAGCCGGACGGCAAATCCCTCATACCTGAAGACCACGACCAGTTCTTCGGCACGTTCTGGGGGTTTGCTTCTGATCCCGGAATCGAGAAGCTTGCGCTGGAATCGGACTTGTGGGTAGTCGTTGGTGGCCGGTGGTCCGATCTTCATCACTGGGGGAAGGCGGTTTATGGTCCTGAATCTATCCGGACGGTCGATGTTCAGGACGGATACGTTGGAATGCCCTCCGGCGAACGCATCGAGGGAGTATCCCTCAGGGCCACCCTGTCCGGCATCATCGGCGCAAGCCTAACCTCCAACTGCGAGACATGTCGCCCCGTCAAGCCGCTCAGTGCCAACGTCACAGACACCACCACACCTGACCCCAACATCCCCCTCCCAATGACAACAATCAGCCAAGGCATCGGACATCTCCTCAAGGGAAACGACACCCTAATAGCCGACTCGGGCGACTCCTGGTTCAACGCGCAACGGGTCAGACTCCCCCGCGGGGCCGACTACCAGGTGCAGATGATATACTCCTCCATTGGGTGGAGCCTGCCCGCAACACTGGGAATTCAACTCGCCCGTCCAGACGGAAGAGCAATTCTCATGATCGGCGATGGCGCCTTCCAAATGACTGCGCAGGAGCTCAGCACGATGATCCGCGCGAAGGCGAATCCGATCATCCTGGTCATGAACAATCTTGGTTACGTGATAGAGGTATGTCCCCTGCACAAGCAAGGAAGACGCACGCTGCTGACTGGGGGGATGGTTGGTTAGACTGCGATTCACGATGGGCCGTATAATTATATCAGTAATTGGGATTACGCAGGCCTTGGAAACTGCTTTTCGAAGGCGTGGCATGCGGTGGATGGAGGGAGTAGGTTTGCCTCTGCGGAGGAGAGTGCGAGTCGGCTGGCTCCGGGCATCATTTCCTTGCGGGTGAAGACGGCGGGCGAGTGGCACAAGGCGTTGGAGCGCATTGAGCGTGAGCCGGAGAAGCTCGCCATTCTGGAGTGCTGCGTCCATCCGACCGATTACAGTGAGGGGCTGCGGCAGCTGGGGCCCGTGTTTCGATGAGTTTGTAAGATGTTGGGATTTGTAGAGTACAGACGGGAGTTTTTACTTGGATTTGTTCGGGTGGCATGCAACTTGTGTATCCAGAGTTTCTAAGCCTCGGTTTGGTAAAGTCACCGTCATGAAGAGAGGGGCAGTGGTGTATGATGGGCAGTCTGTATATTGGTCTGTATATTGCCGTCGAAATGGGAAAGAGGAGACCTAGACAGAGCCTCAAAAGGTGCTGTAATCGGGTGTAAGGGCAAAAGGAAGAGAATACCAGAGGGCAAACGTCGTAGTGGGACGGATATGCGGTCTGGGAAACCCATTCACTGCCCCAAGTCTCCAATATTGACTACGTGGCAGACATCCCCCCCCCAAAACTCACTCCACAGCCTTCACCTTCGCATACACCGTCACCAGTCCCCGAGTCGTAACCGGAAAGATCGTCTCCCCCACAATCTTCATATCCTCCGCCGTGGTATCATGCATCTCGAAATCGAACCGACGCACCATGTACGCGATGGTGAAGTACAGCTCGTTCCAGGCCAGACTGCAGAACCCGTTAGCCACATCCGACTCGTCGAAGGAAAGCTCGGTACATGTGAATATGCGACTCACTTCTTGCCAACACACGATCTGCTGCCTCTGGAAAAGCTAACGTGGTATCGTTTGAGGTCCTCGCTCTTTTCGCCCTGCAGCCATCGCTCCGGATCGAATTTGTCGCAGTCGGGGTAGAGGATGGGGTCGCGGTGGATGAAATACGCGCTCGAGCTCATGATGGTCTGGGGGGTTAGTGGGTCGATTCGATCTGGGATAGGGATAGGGTGGGGGGGGGAAGGGACTTACCCCTGGAGGGAGAGCATAGTCTCTGTACTGCAGGGTCTCGGTGGGCGCGATGCGGCCGGTCCGGAAGATGAGTCCGTAGGCCAGGCGGAGGGTTTCGTATATAAATGCCGTCTAGCATGGTCAGCACGATGGACACCATATCAGATATATAGGACGGGAGGGATGATCTAGAATCTGACCAGGTAGGGCAGCTTCTCCAGCTCCACCCAGGTGGCTCTGCTAGTCGGTGTAGGGAGAACCTCCTTGATCTCTGCGCGCAGTCGGTGCACGATTTCCGGATGGGTGCCCAGAATATACGACGCAAAGGTGAGAGTGCTGGCCGTGGTCTCCGTGCCTCCACCTAGAAAGACGCCCCCCTCGTGCTGGAGCCGAGTGACGGTTCGCTCCTCCGGTGGGATTTGTGGATCGCGCAGTCGGGCCAGAATGGTCTTGTACAGTGGGCGTTTCTTCACCCCCTCGTCGTCCGCCTCGGCATCAATGGCTGGAGGTGCCTGCGCGGCCATCCGAGACAGTTTCTCGATATATTCGAACAGATGCCCCGACCCGGGCTTTATGAGGGCCAACCACCGGGGAGGCATCATGCTCAACACCATGGACAGGAGCGGGAAGAAGCGATTGATATGGCAGGTCGCCGCGGTCTCGTTCACGAGCAGCCGGATGTCGCTGCGAAAGTCCTCGCTATCCAGGAATCCTAGACTGTGGCCGTAGTACAGGTAGGTGATGATGTCCGATGCCATGGCCGCAAAGGCATCATCGAGACGGACGACCTGATCCTCGTCACAGAATCGTTGCAGTCGACTCATCAGCTTCAGGGTGGACCCCTCGGTGACTCTGGACAGCTCCTGGATGGCACGCCGCGAGAAGAACGGGCTGACGAACGCCCGGCGCATGCGATGGTGGTCGTGGTCGAGAGTGGTGATGGTCGAGCTGGGCAGGCCGCCGATGGGGATGTAATACCAGGGCTTGTCGCGTCGCCGCCGGCCGGGGGCGTAGATCTCGTCGTAGAACGTCGGGTCGTTGATGTGCACCTCGTCGGGGGTGATGCGGACAATCGGGCCTGGATCGTCAGTGTGGTATTCGGTGGAATGACTGGAGCTGGAACGTGCCATATTCCTTGTGCAGGTCTCCAATGTGGTGGATGAATCTTCCTTTTTGGATGACGTTATAGTAGAAGTCATACAGATGCGTGAGGCCCGCCAGTTTGGGCCCGGGGATGTGTCGCAGAGGGTGGAAGTAAAGCCGGTAGATGCCCTGGATGATCTGGTACAGGACCAGGCCAAAGCAGGCCACCCCGATCGTGAGCCAGCCCATGGTGGATGTAGACTGCGTTGGATGACCCCGAGCGGGGGTTATTGGCGACTCTTATGCAAAGGGGCGGGGGTCTTCCTCCATCGAAAAGGCGTCCCCGAGCTGGCACCCTGGCCAGGTGGAATTGTCGAGTGAAGAGCATGCAGGATGCATTAGCTTTGCAGATCCGACCAGGTTCCCCTCCTGCTGATGCTCAACACCATCCTTCGAACAGGTCTAGCTTCTTTGCTCACCACTCAAAACCTTGGAACCTGTCGCGACCGATGGCCCTTTTCGAAGGCTAAAAAAGCCCAGAACTTTAGACCGTTTGCGGCCTGCCGCGATATTGAACCTTGGACGATTTGCATTAGCCTGGCGTCGTCTCCACTCCACATGGCCAATGCCGTCCGTTTGATATGACTTCACGCGGTCAGCACTCTTGGCAGCTGCTTAATGGATTGTCCCGCTAGCATCATTGGATCAACCTGAGTCTTATAAGGTTCAACTCCGCTCCTTATTTGCTTTTTTCGACCTTCCAGGCCCTAACATCCTTGTTCTGGTTGGAGCAGGCTGTTCGAACATTGGTGTCATCCTCACCTATTGGATCGAGGACCTTGCCATCAAAAGGCACGGCACCGAGCGCATGTCTCGGACAGAATTCAAATGAACCCGAACATGGATGGAGGCGGAGAGGCTGCATATTAGACAGCGCGGTGGGGTTATACCGGGGATGTTTAAAGCTAGGATCACATCCTGTTAGGAGCACAGTTAACCTGTGCGGCCTCAATCTCACTTGAGACAAGACTATATCCATGGTAATAGGCTGACATAGAACCATTCTCTTAAGAATACTTCCCCTCGGATGAGTTCTTACCCTGCAGATATGCCGGTAGACTCGAATCCCCGGTTCTGATCTTGTCTGGTCTTGCCGCTGGTTTTCGTGGCGATCTACTCTCTATTATAATAATTTGCTGGTCAACGGTTGATATCAGCCGATAATCTCTTGATAGCACATGGCTTCGTTTGATGATCTTACAGGTCTTACATCAGCACAGCGCTACCTGGAGAGCGCAGATTGACAAGACCCCCGTTTCTCAATTAGATAGCCTCAGCCTCAGCTGGTCGCATCATTCCCCTCAGATCGATGCCTTTCATGAACAATGGATAGGTTCGGAGAGGGAACAAGGTATTTTCGTATGCCCACAGCTGGATCTTCTACTGGACAGTTGATGTGGGAGGTTGGACTTTTTCTGTCTATCTTACCCAACTCAAGCATTTTCACGCCCAAGATCAGAAGCACTTCGAGGTGCTTGGCAAATCCACCGTGTCGATATGACATCCGGTGGTTTGCGGATCGGTCCAGGAAGGTGCCAGGCCAATTCGCTACTGGCCTGCCTTGGAGGTATGTTCGCTCACATTGGAGACATCAGCTACCACGGCCAGCTATTTACGGGTCTCCCACGGATCCCCGCGGTCGACTCGTTGCTGGCGCGGCAAGTCTCTCAAGACTTGCAGACTTCTACCGCCCTATTGGAAGAGTGTTTTGGATTCTGATTGTGTTACTGTGGGTGGTGTACGTTTTTGACTATATATCAGATTTTAGCACGACAAGGGCTCTATGCAACCAAGAGGATGATGATATTGCAGATAACGAGAGAAACCCCACCGTATGAAGCTGGGCTACGGCGCAATCCGATACCCACACCTGAAGGATCGGGGTTTCATCCTCTGCCGGACTAAGTCCTAATCTGCCCCGCTAACAACCCGAAATCAATTTATCAATGACGAATCTATATGCACCGTGCCGGCCGTCCGTTATCTGAAATTCCATCTGATAATCAAACGGCGATCACCCCCCCCTGAACCCACTTTCGGTTCGGATTGGTTGGTTATCCAGAAATAAATTCACCCATTGTGCAAGGGTGCAAGGAGATAAAAGTAGGGTCCAACGCACTGTCTCCTCCGCGGGTCATGCAAAGGCCCAGCTAACCTACCAGGATTCGGACATCTTCCTGATGGCTTCCTGAAGGAAGAGGTCCCATTCATTATCCCCCGACCCTTCAAGGGTTAGTCTCCATCGTGAGGGTCTGATGTGCATAGCGAGGGGCTTGGCGGTGGTACCATTTACGGGACGGGGGATCCATCTGCTGGATTTAGGCATGGTCGAGTCGTGGAACTAACCGTTGACGGACGGGACTGAATCCTTCACCAGCGAAGGAGGGGTTGGATCGGTAGCGTGGACCACGTATAGGGCAATACGCACTGGTATATAGGCCGCGTGGTGTCAGGCCATCTCGTTGACTTTCTCAACTCCCCATCCTCACAGGCCCCAGAACATCCATCGCTATAGTACATACCATAATGTCAACACTCCCAGTCTCATATCCGGCGGATGGCACTCCGGCTCTCTACCCCAACGAGAGAGTGGCCAAGCGAGTCGGCGATTATGCCGAGAGCCACAGCCTGCGGATGCCCCAACACATCATCGACTACCATGCCCATATCCAGACCACTCGGCCCGAGACAGCCAACTACATGATCTCGATCGCGCAAGCACAGGCCTTGACCTTCTTGGTCAAGACCATCGGCGCAAAGAGGAGTACGCATACCCTCGGCTCGTTTCCGTCAATCTGTGACTGACCCATCCAGTCCTCGAAATCGGCAGCTATGTCGGTCTCTCCCTCATGACGTGGAGTAGCGCGGTAGGCCCGGATGGCAAAGTCACCGGTCTGGAATTCGACCCGTCCTTTGCAGCGGCGGCGAAAGACGCCCTCGCTGCCAATGATGTCCACAACGCGGAGTTGATTGTCGGAGATGCGCTCGAGACGTGTGTTTCCACCACCCTGTCCAGACTGCCTAGATCTGACGATTGATGGCAGCCTTCCCACGCTCACCCCCTCCGAACCATACGATATCATCTTCATCGATGCTCAGAAATCCGGATACTCGAGATACCTGTCTACCATTCTGGCGCTCTCTCAACCAGGGACGCCGAACCGGCTCCTCCGCCCCGGCGGCCTGATCATCGGGGACAACACCCTGCGGTGTGGACTTGTGGCGGACGACAGCTCGGATAACCCCTGGCGCCACTACGATTTCGGACCGCAGCGACCGGAGTACTGGAAGTCGGCGGATGTGATGACGTTGAAGGCGTATAATCAGGCCGTGGTGGCTAACGATCGGTTGGAGAATTGGTTGTGTCCGCTGTGGGATGGGATTAATCTGGCCCGGATGGTGGATTGATTGTCTGGTTGGGTTGATACTTGGTGGATAGATACATACACACACAGGAAGTTATGATGAGATGCCGCTCAGGTGGAAGCGTCTAGAGTGTCAAGTAGGGGGTTGGTGAATATTTATCTATCGATTCGTTCAGGATGGTCTCGCACTGAGTTGAGGAAGAAATAGTTAGTACCCCCGAGGGAAAGGGGGACCAAGATACTCTGTAGGTGTGGTGGTGCTGGATCTGACAGATTGAATCAGACGATCGGTGTATTTATGTTGGCCTGCGATGCGAAAAATCAAAGACAGGGCATAGGATTTCCATCTGGCCTTGATTCAATCCTCTAAAGAATCAACAATAGCCGGATGGGTGCGACGCGCCATGGCTTGGAGTATGATACAGTAAATGGACCAGTTGTTCACCCAACCAGCATGTTAGCTCAGGGGAAGAGCGCCGGGCTCATAACCCGGAGGTCCCTGGATCGAAACCAGGACATGCTATTCGCGTCATTCTTTCTTTTTTTCTTTTTCTTTTTCTATCCCAGTGCTCTGTGTAACCCCTTCAAATCTGTTGGTCATTTTAGTCATTTTCATGTTTGTTTGTTTGTTTGTTTGTTTGTTTTTTTTTTTTTTCAAGAAAGGAATTTGGCCAGAGTGGCCTACATTTCTTGATTCTTCGCTATCCAGATTGCCTTGTAATGACTCGGTTTCTCCGAACAGTCGTCATCCAAATATCAGGTATAGACTTACTCATGATCGCTGCGAAACTTCTTACCGACACTGAATGACCTACTTCCCCAACTGCTCTTATATATAGGAAGGAAGCTAATTTACCCGCGACCTCCCCCACACCCGCAGCACCCGGTCCCACGTATGGTTCCCTTCTTGACACTCAACTGCAAGATCATAGACCGAAACACCCAGTTCTTCCGTATTCTCCTCAACTCCCGAAACAGGCTGTTCATCCGCGTTGGGACATATAAAAAGGCTGCCTTGTCTCGTTAATGCACGGTATGATCAAGTTCTAGCGGGAGATGTAAGGAGAAGAAAAAAAGCTTACGCCCAGTATATCATGACCAGCATGGCGGCCTGGTCATCCTCGTGAACGCCCAGCTCCTTGTACGTCTCCAGCCAGGCTCTTTATATCCACGCTTCATCCTCCCGGGCTTCCACTGATCGGCGCCAGTAGGCTTTGAAAGCAGCGGTGTACTGTTGCAGGAGCCTTCGAATCCGAATGGGGCGAAGAAGCTTCCAAAACTCATCTGTGAAGGTTCTCAACCCCGTTGTCATGTTGGAATCCGATCCTGAAAAGCTGCCCTGGGTGGCATTTATCATCAAATCTGGCCACAGATCATAGAGCGAGATGGGCTTCGTGCGAGTCGCATGGATCATCGGGTATAAAGTCGTCAGTCGGTCCCAGCCCAGCAGCTCGTTCAGGGCTGCCCGGTATCGATCCACCAGGATGTCGAACGTCGGCCCGGGAAGCAATTGCCGCCTGAAGAAGTCCTCCGTCAGGGAGATTATATCCTTGCCCCTGGGATTTAGTGCGGTGGGCGGGTTTGGCCTCCGCAGGGTGGGCAGACGATCAAAGTCGCAGCCGAAGCTCACTAGAACCTGGTCGAAAAATCCCTCTAGGGTCAGGCCCGTCAATGCTCACCAATGACCCGCTCATCTATCTGAAGTGTGAAAGGCGAAGGATTTTGGGTTGTTTGGAAGGGCACGAGCCCGAATGCTTCGATTTACGCCATGCATGTCATTTGATGGACAGCGAAAGATAATCGCCATCCTTTAGGATCAGGAACAAGTGCTACTGTGAATCAGAGTCGTGACAGCTCCAAGCCCTTCCCAAGTTCCATTAATGCGGTTGAGAACCATTGCACTATTTGGAATATAGGCGAACACTTGGGGGAAGGTCGAATCAGAGGGTCGATAGCCCTCGGGGACTCAAGGCTCCCCAGGCGTACACGGTGCAACCCTACCTCGGCCAACGTGACCATAAGCATATCTTTGGCCCGATCGGCGAGACGAGGCTGGCGGGTTGCAGTGACGATCAGCAAATTGGCAAATGAGCGGCATCCAGGTTTCCAGCATCTCTAGTCACCTATCTATCTGCTGGTTCTGTTTGACTTTCCCCGCGGGTCCGCGTCCGTTCTATTTTAGCTGCAGCGACGATCTCGCCCGTGGACAGATCGGCACTACCACAGTGTTCTGGGTATTAGATAGCATTGTAACAGCCTTACAACAGCCATATACTGCTATGGATATGATTCTGGGGTGCGACCTCTTTTTCATCGTGGCTGATTTCCAGGCCTCCCCGCCACCGGCAAAAAAAGCAGGGACAAGTGCCCCAAATAGATGGATGGCTTAGGTCTGACCCGTCTGTCACACAAGCAAGTGGCCTGCCCCAACTGCTCCTCTCATGGACGGCTGGAACCGTCCAATGAAGATCCGGGCTCCTGGACTTTGTTTTTTTTTTTTTTTTTTTTTTTTTTTTTTTGGCTGCAGCATGGCGTTGCAATGCCGCACGGTCAACCCCCCCCCCCCCCCCACGCATGTAACTCGGCTGTGTCTGCTGTCTGCGGCAGCTGGCTGGCCTGGCTATGTGCCCTAACTCCCCTCCCAGGACACAGGAATTGTGCGGTTAATGCCCCTCATGACTGCCTGCGGCCCCCAAATGCTTCGGGGAATAGGTCGGCGCCAGCAAGGCTAACTCAGCCCCAGAGCTGTGTGCATAACGATTCTGGCTACGGAGTATCGGCAGTCAGAGAAAACCAGACAACTCAAATGATCCCTGCCCGGACGGCCTGTAATGATGAGGATGCGTGTTCTGACATCAGCCTGCCACCACAGTCCTGCACCCACCGAAAAACCCCCCGCTTCAGCTCAAAATTATGCCCTGAATCATGCATTTCACGTTTGTCACCGCTGTCCGTCGTCGAACGACTCGAGTAGGATCTGTGAGATAACCACCGAGGCAAACAGAGAACTCCCCATGCAGGCGCTCTTAGGGATGCCTGACAACATTCAACACGGCCAAAAAGAAGCCAGGTTTTCATTCCTGTCAGTTGCAAGCCTATTATATTCACTATCCCCCACACATCCCCGGTCTTCTGGAGGAAGATAATCAGTCATGACAAACATATTGACGGACACGACCGCCAAGGTGAAAGGGCCGACATTCATCGTATGTCAGAGCCCTCCCTCCAGTAACCCCTCTATCCACTAACCTACAGCTTCTTTTGCCGAATGATAGGGTGTCATATGGGGCGCCACAATATTATCCTTCCTCTTCATATCCGCCCGCACCGCGGCCCGTCTCTGCACCTTTCGACGCCTCTGGCTCGACGATGCCTTCGCCATTATCGCCTGGTTGATGCTCCTCGCGTCGGCCATCATCTGGCAAAGCCAACTATACCACCTTTATCTCATCTTCCAGCTCAGCGACGGCACGATGTCCATGACGCCCGACATAATTGCCCAGATTGCACAGCTCGGGCGCGCCGAGATCTTCTTCCTTGTCTTCTTCTATAGCTCCCTCTGGACCATCAAAGCCTCGTTCTTGGTCTTCTTTCGTCGTCTTGGAGGGACGGATCGTCGTTGGATTACGTGGTTTTGGTGCGTAGTAGGGTTTGCCCTCGCTGCCTATTGTGTTGTTGTGGGAGATATTCAGTGGACTTGCTTGGTGAATATTAGGGCTGCTTCAATGGGTATGTTCATGGAGTGTGCTCAACGGTCATGTCTGCTTCAGCTAATACATGGTCACGAGATAGCCCGATGCTCCACCGAGAAGGCGATTCTCTATCAATACGATACCCTGATCATCAACCTAGCTCTGGATGTCTTGACCGATCTCGCCAGTATAACCCCCCTCCTGTTTGGAGGAAACCAATCAAGACCTAACCCTTGCCCCTAGTTATCAGCCTCCCAATCATCCTGCTGTGGAATATCCAAATCCCGCTACGCCAGAAGTTAATTTTAATGGCCATTCTGTCCCTCGCAGTAGTCATCATCATCGTCGCGATCGTGCGGGTCGCCGTCGTCGCTCGCAAGGACAGCAATTCGGACGAATCCTGGCTGTGGATGTGGAGCTTCATCGAAGCGACTGTGGGTATGTGTGCCGATCCTCAAGTGAACCCCAAATCCCTGGTGACTCACGACGATTAGCAAACATCGTCGCATGCGTGGCCTCGTTCCGCCAGCTGTTCATGAAACACGACCAGAAACGCTCCCAGCCGTATCCGAGTTATCCCCCCAGTACTCCCCGGGATGCCCGTCGTTCTAAGCAGGGGGGAGTCGAGCGCACTTGGACGCCATCGCAGGATAGCTCGGATCTGGAGATGTGTCGCTATGGGAGTCATCGGGGGTTGACTGCTTCGGATCATGTGGCGGTGGAGTAATTGGTGATCGTCATGACCAGGGTTTGTTTATTGGATCGGAAAGGATCCTCTATTATGATGTGTCTGTCCGCTGCTGCGTCCGTTGGACTATGAATAATGCTATGGAATGGTATTTTGTCCGTCTTGCCGGTTCCTTGACAGAACCTGGCGCTGCCAGACCACGGTCTGAGATATAGTATGAGCACTCGACTGGAGCGGTGGCTACAGTATGAACAACCTCCAGCTCGGCAATGCCACTCCTTCTGTCTTGCTGATGGCCGAAGGATCCGAAAATCAGAGAAATTAAAATGCTATAGGGCATGGAATCAAGTCTGTCCTTCTCCCTCACTCTATAAAAAAGGCACATTATATGCAACCAACCCACTATGATCACCCCCATCTATACACCCCCATCCCATCCTGATAACGACAGCTGCTCACTATTCCTCCCCCCCACCCACCTTGAGCTTCCTCCACCCCAACCCCCAACGATAAATCGCCCACATGGCCGGACTCAGCACCACCCACATGAGCGCAATAAACGTCGCCGTCCAGCCAATCCCCCAAGAATCAATCATCGGGGCTGCCACAGCCGTGGCCCCCGCCCCCAGCAGACATCGGAACAGATTATTCGCCGCCACCGCCGTGGCCGGACTCTGCCGATTCACGTCCACAATCAACGTGCTCAGCGCCGTGAAGGCCCCCGTGATCAAATGCGATCCGACGAAGAGTGTTATTACCGGCCCGGCGAGCGAGGTCTTGTAGTTCATGACCCAGCCATAGGCGATGAAGACTATGGAGGCGAGGTACATGAGGGGGATAGTGACTGTGAGTCTGGCACGTTCGATGTTGAACGAGGTGATGTCTTGTTGTTGGTTTTTGATGATCGGGAGATTCTGCAGACGCGCTTCCCGCCGGAAGTTAACGTCGAGCAGGGTTCCCACTGTCCACCGGGAGGTCAGGCTGCCTAGGCCCATGGGGAGGTAGCAGAGCCCGACTTGGATCGAGTTGAAGTCGTATTTCGTTACTAGCTCGGGTGAGAGCGTGCTTAGCACCATGACCAGTCCCGCGTAGAGGAAGGCACTGTAGACCAGGATGAGCAGGTTCTCTTTGTCGTTGGCCAGGAGGGCGGAGCGGAACGGGTTGGGGCGTTTTGGGAGGGTGGTGGTGGTGGTGTCTTGGGGTGTATCCTGTCTGTTGACTGGAGGGAGCAGGACGCTGAGGAGAGGACGGTTCCATCTCGATGCTGGGATGGAGCCATTCCCTACCACTGCGCGACAGGTCTCGGGGAAGATCGCGATGATGAGGAGGAAGAACACTCCGCCGAGGATGGTCAGGAACCAGAAGATCCAGCGCCATCCGAGGAAATGGTCCAACAGGCCGCCGATGACGGGGCCCAGGGCCGGGCCCAGCGTCACTCCCATGCTGGCGTAGCCAATGTATTTCCCTCGTTCCGCTCGCGTGGACACGTCGGCCACGACGGCGCTGCCCAGGGCGATGGTCCCGCTGCTCCCGCAAGCTTGGACACAGCGCAGGACCATCAGCGCGGCGTAGTTGCTCTGTAAGGCTAGACCGATGTTCGCGCCAAGGTAGATCGTGAAGCAGATCAGGTAGGCCGGGCGGCGGCCGTGGGTGTCGGAGAAGGAGCCGATGAACGAGGGGGCAAGGCCTTGGAAGATCTGCTCGGGTTAGTGCGTGACGTCTGTCCAGTGGGAGGGACATTGCATACCAGGTAGGCCATGATGGTGAGGTTGATTCGCCCGATCGAGACATCCATGGCATCGGCGAGGGTGGTCAGGGCTGGGAAGTAGATGGTGCTGGAGAGGGGCGAGATGACACCCGCAAAGGACGCGGTGATCATGATGAAGATCTTCTGCCTCTCGGGCAGAATGCAGTAGGGGGGATCCCTGGAGACATCATCTTCTGTCTTTTCCCCCGCAATGATGATGGTGGTACCACTACTGCACGTGTCGGCCTGGGGTGTTTTGGACAAGGTCGGTTGGACGGTGTCACCATCGTGGGACGGGCGTGGCAGCGCTTGTGAGACCATGGCTAGCTATATCTTCCCAATCCAGCTGCGAGAGTTGCCGTGGTTCGGGAGATACCGATCCCTTCTCAAACAGTTTCGAACATTCAACTTATATAAGTACCTCCTGAGCCTCCGGGGAAGAAAACGGGTGCCCGGTTCCGGGCCGTTCCCGGGGTTGACTGTGGAGACCGGCCTTGCCCCCGCCAACGGCAGCTCGAGCAGCAGGCCGGTCCGGGATGGGAGTTAAGCACCGGCCAGGCTATCTCCGGCCTCAGGGCGAACTTATAGCCGCCTTGTGCCGCTCTCTCGCCAGTCTTCTTCGGTCTTCCGTTTCTCTCCCGTTCCTATCCTCCATCCCACTCCGGTTCCCATCCATTCCCATCCATTCCCACCAATTCCCATCAACACAGCCATCATCATGACTTGCGAAGCCTGCCGTACCATCCCCCCCGTCATCGCCGTGGGATACACCCCCAAGGGCACCTACTCGGAGATTGCCGGTCTGAAGACCTGTACGTCGCCCCTCTTTCATTCCCGACCGGTGGGTGAGTGCGCGAGCTGACGGACCGCATCCCAGACGTCACCGGCTCGCCCGACGCCCGCGTCGGCCTGGTCGACATCTACGACATCTTCGGCCTCTCCAGCCAGACCCTGCAGGGCGCCGACTTGCTGGCAGCCCGCCTGAACGCCGTCGTGCTCATCCCGGACTTTTTCAAGGGCGCCGCCGCCCACCACGACTGGCTGCCCCCCAACACCGACGAGAAAATGGCCGCCCTGACGGCGTTCATGACCAACAGTGCCTCTATCCCGGACGCCGTGGTCGTGCTGGGCAAGGCGATCGAGGAGTACCGTGCCCGCTTCCCGTCGGCGAAGAAATGGGGTGCTTTTGGTCTGTGCTGGGGTGGAAAGGTCTGTTGATTTTCGGTTGGTGGTCGGCGAGATGCTTACTTTTGGTTGATAGGTCACCGTTCTGCTGTCCGGTCCGGATTCCCCCTTCATTGCGTCGGGCCAGGTTCACCCCGGGTATGTGCTCTGTGCTTCCATTGGACGGAGGGACTGAACTGACATATCGTAGACGCATGGACGCCGAAGACGCCAAGAAGGTGACCATCCCCCACATCGTCCTCGCCTCCAAGGACGAACCCGCCGACGTGGTCAAGGCATACTCGGAAATCATTGCCGGCAACGGCGTCGGAGGCCACGTGGAGACGTACGAGAAGATGTGGCACGGCTGGATGGGGGCGCGCGCGAACCTCGAGGGCGAGGAGAGCCTGGCGGAGTACAAGCGCGGGTACAACCAGCTGGCCGACTTCTTCGAGAAGCACCTGGAGAAGGCGGATGCAAAGATCTAAGCAGCGACGGCGCGGTTACGGTAGCGGATGATGGTCCTCTGAGGTGTAAATATATAGTGCGGGCATGGAAATGCTGCCACGGACCACTGCCGGTCCAACTGGAGAGTTAGTACATATTGGGATAGATAGAGCTGGGATGAATGATACAGTACATCCAGTACCACACCAGACTTTCCACACTACTAGTAGATCATATAATGGCTGGCAGCGACGGCCGCCGACCTCGGCGCGGGGATCCGCGGGCGATTGATTCCCGGCCGCAACTCCGACATTTCCCCTCCCTCCATCCCCCTGTCTGTCTTGTCCTGTCCTCCTTCGCTCATGGCTTCCTCTCCCTCTCCCTCTCCCTCTCCCTCTTCGTCCCCCTCCGTCCTCCTCTTCGGAGTGGGCAGCGTCGGCGCCATCTACCTGCACCAACTGCAGCGCGCCGGCTGCACCGTCACCGCCGTCTGCCGCTCCAACCACGACGCCGTCGCCCAGCACGGCTTCAGCCTGCGCAGCCCCCGCTTCGGCACCGTCTCCTATCGCCCCGACCACGTCGTGCGCTCCCCCGCCGACTGCCCCCCCAACACCACCTACGACTATGTCCTCGTCACGACGAAGGCCTTCCCCGGGCGGACGCCCTCGCTCGCCGACCAGCTGAGCCCCGTGCTGACGAACCGCCCACACACCGCCGTCGTCCTGGCGCAGAACGGCATCGACATCGAGACCGACCTCGCCGCCGCGTTCCCCGCCAACCCCATCCTCAGCGGGGTCGTCTACCTGCCCACCATCCAGACGGCCCCCGGAGTCATCGAGCACGGCGAGATGCTCAACCACCTCGAGCTGGGCACCTACCCGGCCACTGCCCCGGGGAGCCACAAACGCGCCGCGGAGAGATTTGTCGGGCTGATGGTGCAGGGCGGCGGGGATGCCACGCTGTTCGAGAATATCCAGGAGGCGCGATGGTCTAAGCTGCTGCTCAACGCGGCCTTCAACCCTGTCTGTGCGTTGTCGCTGTGCACCGATGGCGGGTTTCTGGCTACCTCGGACCCCTTCGCGCGCGACCTGGTCTGGGGCATCATGATGGAGATTGTGGCGCTGGCGCGTGTGATGGGCATCCCGGGGGTCGACGAGGAGGCGGCGCAGCAGCGGATCGCGCTGGCTGAGCGGCGGACGAGGGAGGGGACGGGTCGCGAGGTGAGTATGTTGCAGGACGTGCGCATGGGGCGGCCGTTCGAGGTCGAGGCGATCGTGGGGAACGCAGTGCGGCTGGGGAGGCAGCGAGGGGTGGCGATGCCCCGGCTGGAGACGGTGTATGCGCTGGCCAAGGGGCGGTTAGACGCGTTGATGCAGGGGATGTAGTGTGGAGATGGGGAAACCGGGTCCAGATGGCAGACCCGGCAGATGTACATACATACCTATTTGGGTCATGAGTGATGTAGGACAGGAGCCTTGGCGGAAAGGCTGCAAGGCTGCCGCCATGCAGAGTGACTGCGGCAATCACTGTCAGGCAGCGCCGGAGACGGTGGCAGCCTGGCGTGAATGTTGACTGTGAAGGGAATCGAAAGAGATCATTGCCTATAAAGCAACACTGCTCAGCTCTCTCTCTTCTCCTCTCTCCTAACCACCTCATCTCATCTCATTAACAGATGTTTGTCCATCCCTGAAGACAACAAACAGTCTGCAAGCATCTATCTCATCCGAATTTCATACTTCAGTTCCAATCAGATCTGCAAGCCTCTCATCCAGATCGACAATCTGTTTTAGATCTACAACCCTCCGATCAACATCACCGATCTACAACCCTCCCAATCACCACTCCGTTCCTCTCATCATGTCCTACAACATCTACACCACCGAGGAAATCGGCGAACGCAACCACGTGGCCATCTTCATCGAGACGCGCCCAGACGCGCCCGTCGACGCCATCCGCGGCCAGCGCTACCACGTCATCGGCACCATCCTGCGCGGGATGGCCCACGACCCCAAAGAGAGCGTCGACCCGGAGGAGATCCCCGGCCACGTCCCCGGCACGAAGAAGCTGGTCGCCACGATTGCGCCGGCGGACATGGCCCGCTTCGAGGCGATCTGCGAGGAGGTGCCTCCGCCGCCGCCGCAGCTGACGCTCAGCGGGAAGCCGATGAACCTGGCCAAGCCGCTGTATCGGTGCGGGGACTGGGTGCGCGAGGTGCTCTCGATCGCGGTGGAGGAGGGGATTATTCGGGCGGTGGTGGGGGGTGGGTATGAGGGGGGTTCGAGAATGCTTTAGGACATACAGAGGGAGATGGAAAGACAGAGGAAGGATGGAATGGTAATAGAGGGAGGATGGATAAAGGATGGATAAAGGATGGAAGTAGGAGGGAATGGAATGGAGGAGGAAGGGATAGAGGAGGGATAATCTGAGATAGTAACCCGCGTGTCATGTAAAGGCTGCGTCTGAGACGAATGTGACACTTTCCTAATAAATCTGACATACGCAACGGCCGCAGCGATCCATGGGTTGGGGGTGCGGCTAGTCCTGATTGGGGCGTGACGGCCTCAGGAAGGGGAAGAAGGAGGGGAAGAACGTTGATGCGCGGCAACAGCAAACCAGGTCAACGGTGCAAACCGGGCAAACTCTCTCTCTCTCTCTCTCTCTCTCTCTCTCTCTTGTGTCGGGTGCCGGCATAACTCGCCTTCCCCGACTTCTCCAGTTCCCCTCTTCATGTTTCCTTCTTCTCCTCTTCTTTCCCCTCACCGTCCCTCGCGATCCTTAACACCACCGCTATCACACTAACCCCAGCACTAACCACCCCCCCCATACCAACCTAATTTTTCTACTCTTGACCCCCTTCCCCCTAGTGCCATCCGGGGCATCGCGATCTCCTCCGCAGTCCTGCCCACTGATCCCATTCCGTCCAGCGCCAAGCGGCCGAAGCTTTGCGGTGGGGGCGCCCCCGCCGTTGTTTCAGCGTGCCAGAGAAAACAGAGTCAGGGGGGTCTGGCCTCTCGACCACGACCGAGCACTATTTGAAAACCTATTTTCCCCGTGGAAGAGCCCACCCCTCGCCTTTTGTTGCCTGCCAGTGCCGCGTCCAAGTCGTCCTCGACGTCCCCCCCCCCCCCCGATCACCAGATCGTGCTCCGGATCAGCGTCAATAACATCATCGCCACGGTGTCTCGCCAGTGGGTCGACCCCCTTACCCACCACCTTGACCTTACCCACGACCATCGCTCGTTCCGAAAAAAAAAAAAAAAAAAAAACCTCTCCGCCGGACAAAAACCTTACCGGCCGTTTTTCTGCCTGCGTCCTGCGTGTTCTTTTCCTTCCTCATCGGCCACAGCATGTAAGTCCCGTACCATGGTTCCCTCTTCGCCGTTACCCGGATCCTTCAGGAACCGAACTAACGCCGCTGCAGGACCTTCGCCCTCTGATTATTATTATGCCGACGCCCCAGCATGTCCAGCCCAACCGATGACAACCACCTCCTCCGTCCCGGCTCTGGTCCGGGAACCGACCACGAATCCACCCACGCTGACGACCATCTCGTCAATCGCTCCACCAACAATACCAACAATGACGAGAGACCGCTGACCCGCGACCAGCCCCCTCCGTCGGGTCCCAACCAATGGGGCGTGCTCTTCAAGGCCATCCGCGAGGGCACCTCCCAGCTGGCGGAAAAACTCGGTCGCGACCCCGACGGCGGCGATGGCCTTGATTCCGCCTGGCACCCCGAGGACTACGGCTACCAGGAGGACATCGAGATGCGGGACATGATGGCCCAGGACGAAATCGCCGACAAGGAGTACGCCGCGAAACTGCAATCGGTGCTGGGCTCCGATGCCAAGGACCTCGTCACGAAGCTGGGCTTGGGCGAGACCCCGTCGCGCACCAACACCCAAGAGGAGAACCTGATGGGCGGCGTGCTGTGGCATCTCCTCGGCCACCAGATGGGCCACAACCGCGAGGCCAGCCTGGAGGACGGCGCCGTGCCCATCTCCGCCGAGGACGGCCTGGCGCCGCTACCCAGCGAGTTGCGCAAGCGCCGCAAGAAGAAGTGGTACGACGAGGACCCCTCCAACGACAAGGCCGGCAAGCGCAAGGTCAGGGAGGCCTTGCTGACCCAGAAGATCGGATCGCTGCTCACCCGCCAACGCTACATGCTCCAGCTGTGCCGCGCCCTGATGAAGTTCGGCGCCCCGACCCACCGCCTCGAGGAGTACCTGCAGATGTCTGCCAACGTGCTGCGTGTGCAGGGCCAGTTCATGTACATCCCCAGCTGCATGATCATGTCGTTCGACGACCCGCTCACCCGCACCGCCGAGGTCAAGCTGATCCGCACCGTGCAGGGGCTGGACCTGGGCCGCCTGGGTGACATCCACAACTGCTACAAGAACGTGTTGCACGGCAAGCTGTCGGCGGAGGAGGCCCTGCCGGTCATCGACGACATCCTGACCCGCAAGAACAAGTTCAGCAACCCCTGGGTGCTGGTGGGCCTGTCCGGGCTGGCCAGCGTGGCGGTCGGCCCGTGGGCGTTCGAGGCGCGCCCGGTCGACATGCCCATCATCTTCCTGCTCGGCTGCATGCTCGGGTTCATGCAGTACGTGCTGGCGCCGCGGTCGGCGCTGTACTCCAACGTGTTCGAGGTCACGGTGGCCATGGCGACTTCGTTCCTGGCGCGGGCGTTCGGCAGCATCTACCGCAACGGCGAGCCGGTGTTCTGCTTCTCGGCGCTGGCGGAGTCGGCGATCGCGCTGATCCTACCGGGGTACTCGGTGCTGTGCAGCAGTCTGGAGCTGCAGTCGCACCAGATCGTGGCGGGGTCGATCCGGCTGGTGTACACGATCATCTACTCGCTGTTCCTGGGCTACGGGGTGACGGTGGGGATCACGATCTACGGGCTGATCGACGACAACGCGACGAACGCGTCGACGTGCTCGGCGCGATCGCACAACATCTACGGCAGCGTGTACGTGCAGGAGTTCGTGTTTGTGGCCGTCTACTGCGCGTTCGCAGCGATCCTGAACCAGGCCAAGTGGAAGCAGCTGCCGATCATGTCGTTCATGGGGGTGGCGGGCTACGTGACCAACTACCTGGCGACGTCGCACCTGAGCAGCTGGCTCGGCAGCACGATCGGGGCATTCACGATCGGGCTGTGTGCGAACCTGTACAGCCGCGTGTGGCACGGGCACGCCGCGGCGGCGATCGTGCCGGGCATGTGGACGCTAGTGTCGTCCGGGCTGGCCAGCAGCGGGTCGATCATCTCGGGGCTATCATACGCGAACGCGGTCAAGAACAACACGGTGACAACGGAGACGTCGACGGCGACGGAGGCGTCGCTGGGCAGTTTGGGACTGACGATGGTGCAGACAGCGCTGGGGATCACGGTGGGACTGTTCCTGTCGGCGCTGGTGGTGTACCCGGGGGGCAAGCGCAAGGGGGGGATTTTCAACCTGTGATCGATTCTTTTGCACGTTTGAACATAACATTATATCAGCCTGATTACGCACATACAGCATGTTTACCTGTATTTCGCATGTCTATACCCTATACAGATGTACATCCAGATGAGAGGCCTCTCTATCCATCATTTCTCCACAGATGTCTATCCAGCAGCATGTCTACTCCTCCGTCTGTGCCTTCTGATCCCGCACCAGCTTCTGGTCGTCCAGACTGACGCCGAACTGGCGGATGACCAGCCAGGCGGGCAGCAGCGAGATGCCCCAGAGCCCGAAGTTGATGTACGTGCCGCCCACCGAGGCCATGATGCCGACGCTACTCAGCCCGTACTACACAATTAGCCCACGTCTATTTGCTCCAGATAAAAAAAAAAAAAAGAAATCACTCACCGAAACGGCCTGCACGGCCGACTCGACGCCTCTGAGCAGGCCACTCACGCGAACCACCTCCTCATCGTCCGTCGCGAGGTTTCCAACCACGAAATACCTATGCAGTCAGCATCCCTCAGCACTCCTTGTCCCTCGTTCGAGGGCAACTCACAAAAACAGATAATTCAACTGAAACCCAACCACCCACACCAAATACAACACAAACCCCTTCGCAAACCCGGGATCCGTCCAATCGATCGCCTCCGTCCACTCCCTGCGATACCCCGTCGTCACCACCGTCGCCCACACCCACCACCCGCCCTGCAGCAGCAACACCGTCCCAAACGCCCCCCGACTGCGCGTCTTCAGCCCAAACCGGCCACTATCCAGGAACGCGCCCAGCACGTTCCCGAAGATCAGCGCCAGACACCCCGACAGGAAACTCGCCAGCGCGCGCACCCGCACCGAGAACCACAGATCCAGGTACGTGAACATCACGGCCTCCGTGTATGTCGCCTGCGCGATCAGCGGCACGATGAGCAGGAAGTTCCGCGTGAAGAAGAGCTTCACCATCGCTTTCATCTCGTAGATCGGGTCGTGCGCGATCCGCAGCTGCACCTTCTGGCCGTCCGTGCGTTGCACGCTCTCCGGATTGTTGAGGAGCAGGCCGGCCGCGGGTCCCAGGGCCTGTAGGGCGATGAACGCCCCGAACACCGCGTACGACACACTCCCCGCCGTGGACCGGTTCACGTTCAGACCCAGATTGATCGCTCCGCCGAGGATCTGCCCCCCGACTCGGAAACTCAGCCACAGGCCGAGGAACTTCCCCTGGTTCCCCGGCTCTGGGTACGAGAGGGCGATCGCGCTCTCCGCCATCCAGAATATCCCCGCCGAGAGGCCGCACAGCGCGGCCCCGAACAGCACCAGCCAGTCCGTCCCGAACCGGTTATGTGTGTATAACCCCGCCGCGTAAGGCGCGTACCCTACTGTCCCGATGATGAGCGTCCATTTGATCCCCACCCACCGGACAACGATGCTCCCGAAGAAGCAGGAGATCACCATCAGGCCGAAGGTTAGCGCGTTGGCCGCGTCCACCAGGTAGGGACTTTCGGATCCCCCGCCGCCGATCGAGTTCATGGCTGTCCAGATTCCTGGGGCTAGGAAGTTGCATAGCCCGAGGACAAGGGCGTTGTAGGTTGTGCTGTGGTTCCATTTTACTGGGGGGGGATTAGTGAGGGTGAAAATGGGAGGGGGATGAGGGATGGGAGGGGAGAGGGATACCTTTGTGTTTCTGGGGTTCGATGGGGGTCGGGGGCCCACTGGTATCGGCGAGTTCCTCGTCCGTGGAGACGGGTTGTTTCTCGAAGGACATGTTGTCAGGGCTAATCGAGAAGGGCGGGGAGGAGAGGAGGGGGTTGAGATGAAATGAGATGGACCTGGGGCTGGAGTGGAGAAGAGGGGGCCACGCAAGGGCTGGCTGCCCCGGATATACTTATAGCAAAGTATCCCTTGCTACTACTCGCTATATTTCCCTCCCTCCTTGCGTCACATCACATCTTATCTTTCTATCGGCCGGTACCGGTCGACACGGCTAACCACCAACCTTATTGCATAGGTAATGATCATGTTGGGGTCTGGTCTGGCCGATGTTGCGGGTTGAGGGGAGAATTACGTGCTCGCACGGCATTTTAGCTGCATGGGTGCGGGTGGAGTATTTCCGGACAGACGACACACGGACATGGATGCAAGCAAGCATGGCAGTTCAGGCGATATGATGTGATTTGATGTGATTGGATTGGATTGGATTGGAAAATACGAGATTGGTGGATTGTGGTGAGGGTTTCTCTTTAGCGCACTGTCAGAATATTTGGTACGTGTGGTGTCATTCTCTCTGTCTTCTCTCTGTTGTCCTGCCAGTCCCGTAGCCCTAACTCTACCTGCCTACCAGCCCATCGACCCTTCCTGGGGACCAGAACAGGGTCTTCTTTTTCCTCCGTAGTCTTCCTTCCCCAAATCCATCGACCCCCCCTCTCTTAAACAACGAAAGCCTACCTACTCAGTATCATCCTCATGAAACACCAACGTCCGCACCTCAATACTCTCCCTCCCAGGCTCACCCTCCGTCCCAGGCACCACAAACGCCGAATGCGGCACGCGTCTCGCGCGCCCGTCCGTCTTCGAATCAAAACACTTGATCAGCGTCACCAGATCCGGGCTCTGCTTGTGACGATAATACCACTTCACGTCGGGGTTCGCCTTGACCGAGCATGTCTCCCCTTCCCGGTCCGGGTAGATCAGCTTCGTGGGCAGGAGGTCGCTGTCCGGGACGGAGTGCGCGTCGGCGACGGCTAAGGGGTCCTTGTGGATGGTTTTGATGGGTCGCCAGACGTTGATGATCTGGTATCGGCCCTTCAGGAGGCGGGGGGCGTCGGAGGGGAGGTGGTGGGTGACTCGGGCTTTGCTGGCGGCGTAGGATTGGTCGATGTGCACGCGTTGGACTGGGCCGCGGATTTGGGATTCGGGAGTCGAGGTTGTGGCGGGGCGACGGATGGTGTGGTCGAAGATGTGGACGCGAGTGGCGTTGGTTCTGGGGGGGGATTTAGTAAATGGAGAGGAGAGGTTGGGTTGCGGAGATGTATAGAGAGGAGGAGGGAAGGGAGTGGGGGTGTGGGATTGAATGGACAGGTAAGTTAGATGGGGAGATGGGGTTAAATTGAGAGATTGATATACACAAAGTTATGGAGAGCAACGCTCGAACAAAGGATGGATCGGAAGTGGGGAGGTGGATATTAACAAGAAAAAGGCAACTCACGCATCCTTCAACAACTGCTCAATCTCCGGATAATACTCGCGCTTGATCTTCTCGTCGTCCTCAAAGTCCTTCTCCTGGCTGGTATGATAGTAGAACTGGAAGCCATTCCCGTCCAGCGTGTAGTCCAGCTCGTGGCCGCTGACATCGTTGATGGTGACCGGCAGGGCGGTTAGGGGGCGGTCGTAGGATGAGGGCACGCCCACGTAGGCTGGCGCCAGATGCGAGCCATCGGGCAGTTCTTTGATGAAGTTGAGTGTCGTCTGGACGTGGTGAGGCTTGGAAGAAGAGGCCGGGGGTTGCTGGGTGGGGAGGACGGAGGGTGTGTCTCCGGTCGGGGTGGGGAGCTGGACTGCAGCGGAGGCCATAGTGTTGGATGTGTATTGTTTTGGTCTGTGACTTTGTTCTGGTATATATGATGCGATGGTTTGGCTGTAGATCAAGGGTGCCGCGACCCTGATTATATATCTAGACGGACGGACCGGGAGTGCCGGACATTTGTCAGACGCACAGCACGTCATCCATCTACGATGCAACGCCTGCAACGCTGATCAATCGGACCGCTGCTGATTGGACTGGCAGAGACACATCTGGCAGGGTTACGAAGGGCATGTGATGCTTATTGCATTATTATTAATGGGATTGTCATGGTTGGAAATGCGTGGATTTCTAATCCGCAGCTGTCTAACTACTAGTATAGTCCCTTCGCCGACTACAGTCCATACGAACGAACCAGCCGAGTAATCTTGGTCCCGTCCTCCAGCACCTCATCCTTCTCCTCGAGCGTGTATCCTCCTCGTCGTGGAAGCAGCACCGTCCATGCATACCAGTAGAGAACGCCCAGGATAATCCTGTATAACGGTCAGCTGTGCACACCACTCAATCATCCGGACTCGGGGAAACCTACACGCCCACCCCTACAATCGCGTACGTCGCGTAGAAGAAGTGCACGTCGCTCTTGCCGTCGGCCGGGGGGAAGAATGGCGCAGTCAACAGGGCCAGACAGACGACAACCCGCAGCCACACGGCCGGCAACCAGGCCTTGAAGGGCCGTGGGAGATCCGGCTCGCGGCATCGCAGGATCAGCAGCCCCAGCGTCACCGCCAGGCCGAATACCTGCGACGGGTACGCCTCCACGTCGAGGATGAAGTTATAGACGTCGCCCTGCGGTGGCAGAGCAATCACCAGCAGGGACGGGATGTAGTGCACGATCAGTCCCCCCATCGGGGCGCCAAAGGGCTTGGAGGAGGACAGCACGCGCGACCAGGGGAGGAAGCCCTGACGGGCGATTTCCTGGTTGATTCGGGCCTGGATCGTCAGATGGTTGCACGGGGCACAACGGGTCGGTCTGTCTTACCAGCGCAAAGGTCACCACCATGACATTGCCCACCGCGGAGATGGCAATGGCCAGCGGGAACAGAACCCGTCCGACGCTGCCGAAGAGCCGTTCGAACAGCAGGCCCGCGACCAGTTCGCCGCTGTTCTTGATGTCCTCGAGCGGCACCACCAGGAAGTAGGAGGTGTTGGCGAGGAAGTACAGGGCGCCCGCGGTGAGCAGCGCGGCCGGGGGAACGGTGATGATGGTGCGGATGGGGTTGTGCACCTCGTTGAGCACGTTGTTGACGTTGCCCAGGCCCGCGTACGAGTAGATGACTTTGAACAGGGCAGTCGAGATCAGGCTCCAGGTCCAGTTGGAGTCCTGCCACAGCGAGTCCCACGCGTCCCACGCGAACACGGGGCGGGCTGGGCCCGGGGAGAGGGCATCAGGATCCCCATACGGCCGCAGCAGAATGACCCAGATGCCCGTCACCGAGATCGCCCCGATCAGGAAGATCTTGACCCACCCGAACGCGTTCTGGATCCAGATGCCCGTGCGCAGGAAGCAGCCGTGGATGACCGTCACCACCGTCAGCAGCCCCACGGCCAGGATCTTGTGCTGGAAGTCGGTCGGCTCGACGTTGAAGGCGAAGAAGGTATACTTGGCGAAGATGATGCAGTTGCTCGCCGTGAAGCCCAGCACCACCGCCTGCACGGCGATCAGCGTCGAGGCGAGGAATCGCGGCCGCGGATACGCATGCTCCAGATACACCTAGAGATAGAGATACTCTTAGTCGGGCTTGGGGCTTCACAGCGCTGGGGCTCTAGCTGTACCTTCTCGCCCCCCGACCGAGGCAGCATCGCCCCGTATTCCATCGAGATGGCCATCCCACACGCCGCCAGAATCGTCCCCGCCACCCAGATGAGCAGCGAGAGCCCGACACTCCCCGCCGATTTCACGATGGAGCCAGGGGTCGCGAAGATGCCGCTCCCGACCACCCGCGACACGACGAGGATGTAGGCGCTGACCCAGGTGAGGGTCTTCTTGTGGCCGCTGCCGGGGGAGAGGTCCGCCGGCACGTCGTCGGGCGCGTCGGCCGTCGAGGCCAGCAGAGGCTGTCGTTCACCGTGTGTCATTGTACGTTATTTTGCATGTAGTGGTGGCTTCAAGAGGGTTGTTTCTGTCATCCGAAAGAAGTATTCCTGACGAGATCCCCTCTTGGGGGAGGGGGGGGGGGTTTCCCAGCTGGCAGTACATGAGCAGTTGACTTGCTTGGAAATCATCACCGGACACCGCCAGGCACGTCATCCCGAGCGGTGGTTGTGTTTTTATCTACAGGCTGATAGTTGGACGCAAGGGAGGATGCCACGCAGGTCGAGTCAGATCGAATCAGCGACCGGGGGTTATCATTGGGGTGGTGATGCTGGCCGGTCATACAGGGCGCATGGATTAGGGCTGGATGCGCCATCATCTCCTGTCAGCCATCCATCCATCCATCCGGACGGGCCATTTTTTATACCTCTGTTCCGTCCAGGCCGAACAGTGAATGGCGACCGTTTTCACTTTGGGGTTCTGGGTTCATCGGTGAAGTGTCCGACCGTGTTTCACTCGACACGAGTCCAGTGCGATGCGAGTCCATCACACCATCGCTGGTGGAAGTGATGCCAGCGCGGATGTGATTCGAGGGATGAAACCACCCAATGGCTGCATGCTGAGTGAGCACTGTGCATCCGTATACTGACTGGTATCAGCTGCTATCATTCTCTGCCCTACTTACCTTACAGTCGTGTAAGTGTCCTTCCTCATTCGCGGCACCCTTTTCCGCCCTCACCGGACGGCCATGGCGCAGGTACAATTGGGACCAGAAGTCCTGGACAGGCCCACCCCGTCGCAATTTTTCGACCTCAGCCTTCCATCCCCGTGGGCGGATGGATCGCCCAGGGCCCCCCGACCCGGACGAGGGACGGGATGATGCCATCCCCCGTGCAGATAACTTTATCACGCCATCCAGACCCCGCCCTGCGCAATGCCTGGCCTGTGTACACTGCACACTGCACATCCCCCCGATCGCGAATATCGCCTGCAAATCACGAGGCCCTGCTGGTTATCTCGCCGTCTGGCCGTCTGGCTCTGATTATCTGATCGCCCGCATCGTCTCTCGGCCGGGTCCCCTGCCTTCATCGCTATATCTGTCCGTCATGTACATGCCTTGCTGCTGCTGCTGCGTCTGTCCCTCCAGACATCGCCCACCATGACGACAGTCTCAACCACCACCACCACCACCACCTATACTCTCCCTGCGCAGGTGGACGAGAAGTATCCCGCCGTCTTCCACCACGAGTTCCGCCTCGAGCAGCGGACAGACCCTTCTTATACCACCACTACTTCTGCTACATCTACTCCTGCCACCCCCCACCAGTCCAGTCAGACCCCCGAGATCAGACCACTTTCTCCAAAGACCACTCAGAGTGCCCTGTTGCTCCATGGCGTGGGTGAGCAGTACACCCTGGTGACCGATCATGCCATCCCCGCCATCTCCAAGCCGGAGGAGATCCTCGTCAAGGTAGGACCTCCCTGCACCCTTTACCCTATCAACCCCATCAATCATTTCCAACCCGTCCCATCCAGCCCTAGTACTTTATACAGTCATTGTGCTCACCAATCCAGATCCAAGCCATCGGCCTAAACCCCGTCGACTGGAAGGGCCCGTACGTACCCATACTCCCTCCCAACCAGACAATACATACTAACACCCACCCAGCGCCTACAACTTCGGTCTCCCCACCCTCCCCTGGATCAACGGCCGCGACCTCGCCGGCATCGTCGTGCAGACCAACACCCACGACAAGAACAGCCGCATCCGCGTCGGCGACCGCGTCCTCGTCCCCTCCACCGACTACCGCGACATCCGCAAGGCCGCGTTCCAGCAATACGCCGTCGCCACGCACTTCAACGCCGCCCGTATCCCCGAGTCGGTCTGTCTGCAGGAATCGGCCTCGCTGGGCGTGGCCTTCGTCGCGTCTGTCCTGGCGCTGGGCGTCTCCCTGGGTCTGGATTTCTCGGGGGCGCAGCGCTGTCCGGGGCCGAATTTGGTGGAGACGGTGCTGGGGTTGGATGTTGAGGGGATTCCCGTGGATATTCGCGAGCAGTGTTTGGCTGCCGTGCCGAGGGAGGAGAGGTTACGGGGGGGCGAGTGGATTGCTATCTGGGGTGGTGAGTTTTCTCCCTTTCTCTCTTTCTCTCTGCCTTTTTCTCTCCCTCTTTTGGCTTGCTGCTTCCTGCCTTGCTACAGCTCTCCTACCCACCCACCACCCCCCTCGTTGTATATACAAAGCACCCCCCACTAACTACAACCCTCCCAGCCTCAACAACAACCGGCTACATAACTCTCCAACTCGCCAAACTGGCCGGGCTAACAGTAATCTGCGTGGCCGACATCGCCCGCCACGGATCCCGACTACATCATCTCGGCGCCGACGTCCTCGTCGACCGACAGGACCCCGAGCGCGCCGTCGATATCATCCGCGGCGTGACGGGAGGTAAGCTGCGGTATGCGGTAGATATCGTGGGCAGCGAGACGGCGACCCTATTGGAGCGGACGCTCGATGACTCGGTGCGGGACGATGGCTCGCGTGCCCATTTACTGGGGCTGACGGGGTTGCCCAAGGTCAGGAAGAGTGGGATTGTGTATCACACTGTGCCGATTAAGTTGTTTCATTTGTCCGATGTGGTCGGGGAGAGCATGGTGGGTTGGTTGGAGGCGCTGTTGGAGACCGGGGCGTTGCAGTTGCCGGAGATTGTCAGGAGGGAGGGCGGCTTGGGCAATGTTAATGAGTCGTTGGAGATTTTGAGACTGGGGAGTGTCTCTGGGAAGAGGATCGTCGTGGATTTGGAGGAATAGATGATAGATAGAGAGATGGGCGGTCGGTGTTTGGGTCGATATTTTGGTTACTATGTTGGGTTGGTTTGGGGGTGGCTTTGTACATAGGGAGGGTTGCTATGAGGGTTTAGATTAAAATGGATGGTTTATGACCATGAAATTGCTTTATGATGGGGTATTTAGTCCTCTGTGAGCTGGCTATGTGAGTTGGTTGGCTGTTTTTTCAACACTACTGCTTTTCGTGGCTGTTGCAAGTCCCGCAGTTAGGGCACAGCACCGCCAACAACATCGCTCGAAATGAAGAGTCCAACATCGGACGGGGAGAAATCAAGCACACCATCCCAACAATACAATCGCGATAGCTTCTCTGGACCATAATATTACTCACAGTGCCACGCCCGATAAGCTGGCCATCCTCCCGACTGCGACGCAGGCTGAGACTGTCACCATCGCCGCCGCGTCTGGCGCCATCGCCCATCAATCGCACGTCTTCCCGACCCCTGGCGACGCCATCTGCACTGCACGGAGGAGGGGTAGAGGGCACGACAAGTCCAGCCAAGGTGTCTCTCGGGCGAGTGCAGTGAGGGGCAAGGGATCGATTGCTCCGTTATCGTGGGGATGGGAAGTGTAGCTCGATGCGATAATAGTTAATAATGAGCGACGCCATCGGATTCGACTCCCGTTTGGCAATTCCACTGCTAATGCCACCCGCGGCTTCAGCCGGTCCTTCCCTGCTATAAATCCAGTCGCATCGCCCTCGCACTAGTCGCAGTCGTTGACAGCTCATTATTACGATCCGAAGATCCGACGATCACCACCGCCACCATGGCTGCCTCTCCCAAAAAACAGCTCATCCTCAATGCCTTCGCCATGCAGTCACCCTCCCACCTCAACCCCGGCCTGCACCGCTACCCCCCCGACCAGGGCCACCAGTACACCTCGCTGCAGCACTGGATCCGCGTCGCCCAGAAGCTCGAGGCCGCCAAGTTCCACGCCATCTTCTTCGCCGATGTGTTGGGCGGCTACGACGTCTACAAGGGCCCCGCCAACCTGGAGCCGACCATCCCCGCCGGCGCCCAGTTCCCCATCAACGACCCTCTCTACAGCATCCCCGCTCTGGCCGCCGCTACCGAGACCATTGCCTTCGGTGTCACTGCCTCCACCACCTACGACGCCCCATATGCCATGGCGCGTCGCTTCTCGACCGTCGACCATCTGAGCAACGGGCGCGTCGGCTGGAACATCGTCACGTCATACCTAGACTCGGCGGCGCGCAACTTCGGCCTCAACACCCAGATCGAGCATGACGAGCGGTATCGTATGGCGGATGAGTATCTGGATGTCACGTATAAGCTGTGGGAGGGTTCATGGAGGGACGGGGCCGTCAATGAAAGGGATGGAGTCGCGGGGTATGCCGACCCGAAGGCCGTCCGGCAGATCAACCACAAGGGCAAGTACTTCAACGTCCCCGGTCCCCATATCTGCGAACCGAGTCGGCAGCGCACGCCGTTTCTGCTGCAGGCCGGCACCTCGTCGGCCGGGAAGGCTTTCGCGGCCAAGCACGCGGAGGCCATCTTCCTGAACGGACAAAGTCCCGAGCTTGTGAAGCCGTCGGTCGCAAGCGTGCGGGAGCAGGCCAAGGCACTGGGGCGGGATCCCGCGTCGATTAAGATTGTCGCGGGCGTGTTGGTCATCGTCGCGGAGACGGACGAGGCGGCGCAGGCCAAATATGACGAACTAGTCAAATACGGAGATCGCGAAGGCGCGCTGGCGCTGTTCGGGGGGTGGTCCGGATACGATTTATCGGGCTACACAGACGACCAGGACTTCCGCTTCGTGGAGCAACCGGCGGTGCGCAGCATGGTCAACCACTGGGCCAGCACAGTGCCGGGCGGCGAGGGGAAGAAGTGGACCAGGGCCACGATCGCGGAGCACCTGATCATGGGCGGCAACGGGTCCAAGATCATCGGAGGCCCGCAGGCGGTGGCGGACGAGCTGGAGCGCTGGGTGGAAGTGGCCGATGTCGACGGCTTCAATCTCAGCTACGCCAGCATCCCGGAGACCTTTGACGACATCGTCACGTATCTGGTGCCGGAGCTACAGCGACGCGGCCTCTTCCACACCGAGTACGCGGTCAAGGGGGGAACGATGCGTGAGAACATGTCGGGGCAGCCGGGGCAGACGAGGCTCTCGGACTCCCATCCGGGAGCTCAGTATTTCTGGAAGAAAGGGGAGGAGGTCCCTCGATATGCAGCGGAGGAGGCCAGAGCGAACTAAATGATTGCAGTGATCGGAACACAACTTGTACATAGTTATGGTAACTTCAGCCCATATGATTTGCATGGCGAGCAGCCACAATTGAACCCAACATGACACTTGCCAGACCTTGAACAAGTAACACCTCCATTTGCTATCCATATGTGCTGTTGAGAATCGTGCCGGGCAGGGAGAGTGGCTGCGGCAGGGAGCCGAACCCCGCAAGGACCAGCCTAGTGGCTGCTGGTTAAATGAGACTCCACTCTGAAACATCTGGAACTGGAAGATCCTTCGACTGTTGTCGGGAACTGTGAAACAAAACCAGTCGACTGAAGAGATGTCCAGACCCCAAGATAGATGGGTGTGGTAGTGCTGCGTCTGGCAGAGACCAGTGCGGTTCTGTCAAGTGGCTCCGGTTTGAAGACGAACTCGAGTCAGGAGGCAAGTGACGCGATGATCTTGCCCATCGAGCAATGCAGGGGGTGAGGATGATGCCGAGTCCTCCAGCCTCACCGATGGGGCGAGGAGGCAAGCACAGACACAGAAGGCTGGGCGCAAGGCGACCCGATGGCGGAACAGAGTCTTCCAGCTTTTGAGAACTGCCTCGTTTTCCTTCTCTCCGATGAATTATACCACTGATCTGGGAGGACCGATATGGGGACCATCGGGACCGCCCTGGTCGCTGTCGCACTGTTCATCGCCCAAGGGGCTGCAACCACTGCCACGGCCACTGCGACCGGCAACGCAACCACAACCTACCTCTCTATCTTCGACAGCGATGCCTCGCCGTCCGGGGGATCCTGGCTGGAGTACCTCGGAGGCAGCGTCGTGAGCGTGGACTGGGAGCACAACGCCACGACGCTGGCTCTGAACTGCCTGACGAGCGCGCTGGCCAACTGCTCGCTGGCCTCGCCGGCGACCATCACCAACGGACCGTCGACATTCGCCAGCACCCTGACCTACACCAGCACCATCACCCCGGACCGCAGCGACGCCTCCGTCGACGGCTACATCCTGGCCACCGAGTATGTCTACTGCAACATCACCTCGTCGACCGAGAGCGCCCTGTGCTACATCACGGAGACCGCGTGGGCGTCGATCGACTCGACCACCACCACCATCACCACCAGTGTCACCAGCCACCTGGACTCCTCCTACATCACGTATGTCCCAGTCCCCGTCACCGGGGGGGTCGAGAAGCTGATCGCGACCCCGAATGCAACGGCGACCTCGTCCTCACCTGGGATAACTGCCACCAACACTCCCTCCATATGGATCTCCCATTCGTCCAAGGGATGGATCGGTATTGTCGTCGGGTGCGTGGTGGGCGTTGCTTTGATTGCCGGGGGGCTATATTGGCTTGCCCGACGCAGGAATCGCAGGGCCACGGGCACCGCCTCCGACGACGGGGACAACGCTGCGGGCGCGTTGAGCACCAAAGCAGAGCTGCCCAACACCGGTATGTCCAAGACAGAACTCGCAGCAGGCAGCACGAAGGCGGAGCTGCCGGACAGTGTCGCGAAGACGGAGCTGGCGGCGGACGCGACCCGGGCGGAGTTGGCTTCTCACGAGGCCGCGGCCGAGTTGCCGGGGGGGAATCGGCTCGGGGGAGGGAGGAAGTGTACGAGCTGCCGTGAGACATGGCGATCATGGCGATCAAATGATGCGATGGCATGTGCGATGAATGAATGATGGATGAGACCCAGTGGGATGGCTGGCGGAAGAGTAAGACGGATGCGCGTGTAGATTCTCGTCCCTAGACGACGGACTAGGCCATGTTATGTGATTAATGGCGACGACATGATGAAAGGAAATCTTCGATGCATTGAACAGATAGATCTAGCGAGAGCAATGGAGCAGTGATGTTGTGCGGGGGAGTGAAGCAGAGAGAGACTTGAAGCGGAAGAGACGGAGAGTCGGAGGAGAGTCGATGATGCAACCGCCTGACCGCCTGACCGCCCGGCTGCTTTCTGCCGGGCTGCCTGTGTGCCTTACTGCCTTGGCCTTGCTGCCTGGGGGATCAGGGTCTCAGGGTCCCAGGCGCTAGTCTCTTTTGACTCTCTTTACTGTCTTCACTCTCTTCAACTCTCTTCACTCTCTTGACTCTCTTTCTACTTTGTGCACTTCACCATCTCTCTCCTCTTCCCCGTTCCATCCCAGGATCAACCAGTCACCCATCCCAATGCATGACGCATGCACCCCGACTCCCTAACCCCGGTTCCCCTGCAGGAACCCCCCCAACTCAATTCCCATTCACAGCCCGTCTGCGGGACGATTGACTTCGCCGTTCCCACCGGGTCTCAGTTGGATCCTCGGTTCTGACATCACGAGTGCTCCCGTCGCGGTAGAGATGCGCGCCGACCAACCAAGCGGGCGTTTATGTCATCCCGGGCCTCGTGCAACGAGTGGTCTGGGCTGGGGAAGAGTAGTAAGTACTAACTAAGGGCCAGGGCCCGGCCCTCGAGGCTCCCCCTAAGCGGGCGGGGTAGCAGGAAGTATTAGTTCAGTCAGTCAGGGCCTTTGTCCCAACTCCAACTCCCTGCTCTGCACCATGAAAGGCCTGGCGACCTGGCTCGCCGTCGCCCTCGCGGCTGGCCTCCCTGGCCTCGTGTCTGGCGAACGGCTGGCTAAGAGGGACAGCTCGTCCACCGTCACCCTCACCGTCAACCCCTCGGGCGGGAACGCGTCCAGCCCGCTGCTGTATGGCATCATGTTCGAGGTACGTTCGCTCCGGCGCGCCCAATGCCCCTCGCTCACGTGTGCATTTCCCCCAGGATATGGATCATTCAGGTACTATACAAGCACTACTCGCGTCTTTCGCTGGTAACCATACTGATCAACCCAGGCGACGGAGGCATCCACGGGCAGTTGCTGCAGAACAATGGCTTTCAGGGAGACAACCCCGGACTCACGGCCTACGAGTCCATCGGCGATGTGACCATCGCGCAGGACATGGACCACCCGGTCAGCGATGCCATCCACTCCTCCCTCCAGGTTGCCGTCAACGCCAACGCGACGGGGTTCGTGGGGTTCGCCAACACCGGCTACGACGGGGTGCCTGTCATGAAAACCACCTACTTGTGCGAGTTCTGGATGCTGGGCAACTACTCAGGCAACATCACCCTGCAGCTGGTCGGATCGTCCAGCGGGAAGGTCTATGCCTCGCACAACATGACTGTCGTCTCGTCCGAGGAATTCACCAACCACCAGACGACCTTCAACTCGAGCGCCTCCTCGGATGGCAACAATGAGTGGCGGCTGTTGTTCGACTCGGCCCTGGTACCCAATGGCACCTTGAACTTTGGCCTCGTGCAGCTGTTCCCCCCGACGTTCAATACCAGGTATGGCCTTTGGCGACGGGGTGTCATCCGCCATGCTGACAAGCCTAGGTCTAATGGTCTGCGCGAAGATGTGGCGACCTTTGTTGACGATATCAAACCATCTTTTCTTCGATTTCCAGGCGGAAACAATCTGTATGACCCCCAATCTTGCTTTTTTTTACTCCACTGACCTGTACAGGGAGGGACTTCAGATCGACACTCGGTGGCAGTGGAACCTGACCATTGGGCCAGTCGTGGACCGTCCCGGAAGGGAGAGTGAGTTAACCTGTCTTCCTTCCTACATTCCCCGACTCTTACATTCGATAGGTGACTGGTTTTACCCAAACACGGACGCACTCGGTAGGTTTCTCCCCCTCGAAGCCTGAATGCAGGCTAATTGTCAGGCCTCGATGAATACCTCTGGTGGTGCGAAGACATGAACATGGAGCCCGTGCTGGCCGTCTGGGACGGCAAGTCGTACGGGGGCATACTGTCAGGGACGGACCTCCAGCCATACGTCGACGACATCTTGAACGAGCTCGAGGTATGTATCATTTCGCCAGTCCGTTCCAAAGCTAATCGAGTAGTATCTCCTGGGACCGTCCAACTCCACGTACGGAAGTCTCCGCGCGCAGAACGGACGGAAAGACCCATGGCCAGTGAACTACATCGAGATCGGCAACGAGGATGACTTGACGGGCGGCTGCGACACGTATCCAGACCGATTCACGCAAATCTACGACGCGATCAACGGCAGCTACCCCAACATCACCCTCATCGCCTCCACCATCACCGAGTCATGTCTTCCCTCGGACCCCCCAGCGGGTGTGGTCTACGACTACCACTACTACCGCGAGCCCGACGCCCTCGTTGCCATGTTCAACCTGTGGGATAACCAGCCGCGGTCGCAGCCCGTGATGGTCGGGGAATACGGCTGCCGGAATACCAGCGCCACCGACGGTGTCTTCTGGTCGTCGATCCTCTGCAGCTGCAGTGAGGCGGTGCACATGATTGGCCTGGAGCGGAACTCGGACGTCGTGCGGATGGCCGCGTACGCGCCGTTGCTGCAGCACTTCGGCTACACCTCGTGGTCGCCGACCCTGTTCGGCTTCGACTCCAGCCCGGACTCGCTGACCCCGGGGACATCCTACTACGTGCAGCAGATGTTCTCCGCCAACCGCGGCACCACGATCCTCCCTGTCGACACGGATGCCGACTTTGGGCCCGTGTACTGGGTGGCGTCGAAGAACAACACCGCATACATTGTCAAGCTGGCCAACTACGGCGCCGAGAAGAAGACGGTGCATGTCAACGTCCCGAACACCACGACCGGGGTCCTGGAGAGGCTCTCCGGGTCGGAATACGCCACCAACCAGCCCCATGAGATCAAGGTGCGGCCCAACAGCAAGACGGTGACCAGCTCGCAGGGGAATTACACCATCCACATGGACCCGTGGGGGGTGGCGGTGCTGTCCGTGACGTCTGGTGCGACCGCATTGCACTTTTCTCTCGGAGCGATTATTGCATGGCAGATTTGCATATTCCTCCCCCAGCTGTTGTGAGCGTGCATCGTGTACAGTTGTTGATTTGACTGACTAGCATGAGAAGATGCATGTGGACAGACTTGGAACATACACGAGTACAGTAGTCTAATGATATTTGCCTCTTACATTTCAGACCCATACCCTCTAGCTCGCCGTGATCAACCGTTTGAGAGTGTATGCATGCCTTTGTCTTGAATTGACAAATTCCTCTCCAGATTTGGACAGGGGCAGGATCCGGACATTGTGTTAAGGTCAGAACTCATGACCGTTCAATTCAACTAGAAAGGTGTCTCGACACCCCCATCGCCAGGTAGGCAGTTTTTCTGACCATTCAAGGGTTATCCCTCCCTCATACCATATCGTAATCCTCCCCACGATCAACAACATGCGCCTCGCCCAACCCCCCCTTCAACACCAAAACCAGCTCATCCACCGCCGCCAAAAACTTCAAATACGAGCTCAGCGCCACGCAGTACCGGCGATAATTCTCATCGCGCACCAGATCCTTGCTCAGCTCCGCCACGCGATGCTCCCGCTGCCACGCCTCGACGCATCGCTTCACCAGCGGCGTGGGCAGACGTTCCGGGAGCGCGACCCCGGCTTTCAGGGCCTGTTCGATCACGCCTAGCACGGCCATGATCTCGCCGACGATGAAGTCGTCGTTCAGGCCGACGGTGTGTTGGAACCGGGACTGCAGGTCGAGGGGCAGGGTGGTGGAGAGGAGCAGCAGGCGGCCCAGGGCTTGGTTCATGTTTCCGCAGAGGGACTGTGTTTGCTGCAGGGTCCTGCGGTGGAAGGGGCCGATGCTCATTTCGAGGCGCAGGAGGGCGATGGGGCCCGTCAGGGAGAGGAGGGTCTCAGCCAGCTCGAGGGTGATCCGGTCGGCGACGGTGGCGAGCGGGTGGGATGGGTCTGCGCGGGCCCAGTGCGACAGCACGAGGGCGTAGTGGTCGGAGAGAGTGCGCACTGTCCCGGACAGCGTGTGGCAGATGTGTCGCGTCGCCGACGGGGGTCGAGGGAACAGCTGCACCACGAAGGCTGCCAGGAAGCCCAGCAGCACCGTGACGAGTCGCTTGTAGAAGGCCGTGTATCCGCGCCCCGGCAGCCCGTACTGCTGCGTGTGCCCGTCGTCGTAGCTGAATCCCACCACCAGCACAAACGTCACGCCGCTCATGATGGTCGACGGGGTGAAGGCTGGTGGCAGGAAGATGCGCCACCACATCAGCACGGCCGTCATTGCCGCCGTGATGGCCCCCAGTCCGTATGCGTTGCCCGGCCCAAGCCCTGAGCCGATGTACCAGGCCACCATCCCCAGCACCCCCCCGATCACTGTCCCCGCCGCGCGAGACCCCAGGGAGAAGGTGAAGTCGGCCATGTACACCACCAGGGTCGTCTGCGCCGTGATGACCCCCCAGATGCCTTTCTCGCGGTAGTAGAAGCCCGCCGTGTGCGGCAGCGCCGAGGGGATCGCCGTGGCGATGGTCACCACCACCAGGCGCAGGGCATACATGCCGGCCGGGTTGAAGAGCCAGTGGAACCCCGCGATGATGCCGCGCGTCAGACGGCTTCGCTGGGGGGTTCCATACCCGCGACTGATGCGGAGGAGCCGTTCAGCTTCCGCCGTCTGCTGCTGCTGCTGCTGCTCCAGCTCCTCCGGGTCGACGGCCGTGGTACCGGCAGACTCGGCCATCGGGGTGGCGACGCTGCCACTCGACAGCCACGACAGGGCATACTGCAGGTGGGAGGGAATCCACAGGCGCGTCTTGGTCCGGTTGCGCAGCAGCCACTGGATCTGATCCAGCAGACCCTCCGTCGCCTGGGCCACCGCCAGGATGCGCTCCTCGATGACCATCCCGATCACGATCCCTCGCAAGGCATGGGCGCCCCCCAGCCCGGTGTTGACAAACCAACCCTCTGCGTCGAACATCTCCGAGTGACTCTCGATCAGTGCCTCGGTGGTCGCCGCCAGACTGGATGCCCGGGTCGTCCGCAGGGCGTCTAGGGTGTGTTCGGCGCGTGCAGCCTGCTGGTCAATCTCTGCCTGCGAGGCTGCCCCGATCCATCGCCGCGAATTGACCACGCGGACCGACTCGGCGACAACGTCAAGCGCCCCCGAGCTGGCCTGGAGAAGTGGGATGGTCGAGTGTCTCAGCGCCTGCCGGGTCCGCTCCCGGATGGCTTCCTCCTCCGGGCTCCTGAATGCGTGCATCATCTCGGCGCTGGCCTGCAGCTGATGGTGGCCGACGGCGCGATCTCGCTTTTCTGGCGCGCTGCTGTTCGGCGGGGACGCATCGGTGGCTTCCAACCGCTCCGCATTTTGGTCGCTGTGGATCCGCGCCAGATGGTATTCCAGCAGCGACAGGGTTGCCAGCAGGGCTTTGCGGACCGGCTGCTGCAGAGATCGCACGTCGTCGGCATTCCACCGGCCTCGGGAGAAGTCCAGAGGCAGAAACGCCAGCAGCGGATCGATGGCCTTGAGGGTGCCGATGATCTTGGCTTTGGTCTCTATCAGATGCGACAGGCTGAGGGCATCCCCGTCGAGACGCGACACCGTACATTCTAAAGGAGCCCGACCCAAGCGGAGCAGCTGTTCCATCTTGGTCAGCACCGCGTACGAGGTCGACTGGGGGAAGAACAGCAGGCAGCAGGCGGCCCCCAGTCCCACCCCGATGGCCCCCGGCTCGACCAGCACCTCCGCCAGAGAGGCCGTGAACGAGGGCAAGGTCGGGCCGAACAGCAGGAAGAGGTCCGCGATGATGGTGCTGAAGATCTGCGCCAGGATGAATTTGTTGTTGGCGACTCGGAGGCGCGCCATCGCATAGACAAAGACGCAGATCATGACATAGAACACGACCGTGACGCGGGCGTCCAGCATGAAGCCATCGTGGACGAGCTCCTGCGCCACTGTCGCGACGCTCCGCCCGGACTGTTGGGCCTGCGCGGCCGCTTGGTGCACCAGGGCTAGGAGACGAGCCTGGGTCTGTGAGGCCGGACGGGCAGCCAGGGCAGCCTTCATGGTGAGCAGCCCCCAGGCCCATCCCAGGCACATACCCGCCAGCAGCGACAGCGACGCGAGCAGGTAGACGAAGAGGATGCCAGCCGGGGGAACGATGTACAGGACTAGGGCGCCGAAGAAGGTAGCGATGCCGATGCGGTGCAGCACGGGGGTGATGAAGATCAGCAGCGTCGCGACCCAAGCTGCTGTCCAGCAACGAAAGAGCACCTTCAGGTCGGTCCTGTTGAAATGGTCCAGCCATGCAGGCAGGACAACCCGAGGCCGGCGGGCGGATGGGGTCCCAGACTCATCGTTGGCGGATCCTGTACTCGATGCCATCTTGGGGGCATCATGATGCCAGCTAGCTGCTTCGATGGGTCAGTCAGATCTGTCCGATAGGAAATTGCACCGGATGGTTCGGATGATGGATGTCTGGTTGCATTCGGCCCGAGGACGACGACGTCATGCATCGCGTGCCATCCGTGGATCCATCGCGGGGGTGGCTTTGTTCAATAGTTCTGGGTCGATAGCGGGACGAAGTCGAGATGGTATATATATTGAGAGGAGATTTTTTGGGGTTGATGTTTCGAGACTTATTGTCTACTACCAAATCTTTCGGACTGAGGTCATGACCGAGAGGGCCAGGCTTGAAGCCAGATCCATACCCGAGAATGGGAAATCCGATGGCTGTGCTGTTGGCTGAATCCTTTGCGACAGTTGCCCGTGTCTCTGCTGATCTGTCAGATGAAGCACTATCACACCTATCTAGGTGTCTGAACACCTTTCTAGTCGGGTGGTCTGGTTTCACACGATCCCATCTTGATCGTTGCGAAACGGTTGAGGCTGACCCCCCAATAATCCCAAGTTCCAACTCCAACGAGGCACAGTGAGTGGGTCGTGGTGGAGACCGTCCCGTTGAAATCCCCACTCGTGTATGGGAGTGAATGTGGGCTAGATATTCCGTAGATCGGCAACACTTTCGGTCACGTTCGGTCGGAAAGTGTGATGATCACAGGGCAAGCTGACAGGCCTGTTTCCTACTGCCCTTTTGTGATTTTCTGTCCCGTCGGAGCGGGGTTGATATAGGGCATGCCTCCGAAGCTATCCACGGGGAGCAGCCAGCGTTGAGAGCCCTCCGCCACTCGGAATGCCCGATCGCGTATGATGAGGAGCAAGGCTGTTGTTTCCTGTGATGATGGCGGTGCTCCAAGCCTCGGGCTAGTGTGCTAGTGCGCAGTGCCCTCTATTATTGTATCCACCCAGCAGGATCACCGACAGGCGAACGGATAAGAGAAGCGATTTCCTCTAGCAAGCCCTTGGTCTTTCTCACATCAATTGCCTGGTTCACTTATCACACTCAATCCATCCACAGGTAACACTATCTATCCTTGTACACGCCAGCGAATAATTCCTTCACTCCTTCACTCCTTCACTGACCATCCGATCCACATGCAGTGGGGTCAGCTCATCGCCCTGGTGGTCCTCGACCTGTGCGCCCTCCTTTTCCGCTACCACGACGGAAAATGGTCAACCCCCGCAATATCGTGTGTGGCATTGTCGCATGCCTGCTTGTTGATCCATGCCTCGCTGGAAACCGTGACGAACCGGCTGCTGTGAGCCCTAACTCGGTGTTTGCGCCCGCGGCCAATGTCACCGACACCATCGCCGCCATGGAGGCCGCCCATGCCTCCGCATACACCGTCGACAACGCCCTCGAGGTGTTCCGCACGGGCCTGGTCGCCCTCAATCCCTACGGCTATATGACGGGCCAAGTCTTCCTCGATCTGTACGGGTACGTGGCTGGCCTGATCTCGCCCAAGAAGCCGAGGCGATGCACCATGATATTCGATACCCTGGGCGACCAGGAATACCACGATGGCTTTCGATTTCAGGCGACTATCATGTATGCCGACTGCGACAAGAGGGAAAGCCATGACGCCCTCCTGGAGCAGGTGGCCAAGTGTGCCCGCGCCGTGAAGGACGCAGAGGCGAACACGGGCTGCTGCAGGTCCAGTGTCCGAAATCGATGGGAGCTCAAGGTGCAACTGCAGCCCGCGCGATTGGGAAATAACATCAAGTGGGGGGATTGTTGAGTCGACATCTCTGCAGTGGATGGTATCTAAGAATGCTACCTTGTCCCCAGTCATCTTCCTCCTCCCACCTACGTATCGAAGTTCAATTCTCTATAGCTTAGCCCGCCTGTATTCCTGAACCACTGTAGGCCATCGCAAAGCCTGGATGCGTGCCAAGACCGTTGGTGTCCAGACAGACCTTAGATTGGAAAGCGGAGTATCTCGGATTGTTCTCTTGTCCTGTCCTTTGTTTGATATCGGCTGCGTTCGCCCATCATAACCCGTCCGGTGCTGTCTGACAGGCAGGCTAATGGGCTAATGGGCTAATGGGCTAATGCGCCGTCCCGCACTTTGTCCCCCTCTTCCCCCCCCCCTCAGTGACGACGGGATCCTCCTCTCGTCTCTCCATAAAGCTGTGCTTTGTCTTGTCTGTCTGACACGGCCCTTCATCCTCCATCTTTCACCCCCATAATGGCCGACTCCGACCCCGTCCACTTCTTTGACATCTTCTCCGACCTCCCCGGTCCCTCCAAATCATGGTCCGCCAACGCACTGCGAGTCCGCGCCGTGCTCAACTTCAAGGGCATCCCCTACACCCAAAGCTGGATCTCCTACCCGGACATCAAGCCCTTGCTCGCCGGGCTGGCCCTGCCCCCCAACGCACACGGCACCCCCTACACGCTGCCCGCCATCACCCATCAGCAGTCAATCCCCTCCAACCCCTACGGCGCCATGATGGACTCGCTTCCCATCGCCATGCATCTCGATCGGGTGTTTCCCTCCCCGCCGCTGTTTCCCTCTGGCGACGCCAGCTACGCCCTGTTTCTGGCGGTGAATAGGATCGCCAGGCTGCTCGAACCCGCATACCGGCCACTCATCGTCCCGCGCGTGGCGGACCATCTGGATCCGCGGGGCCAGAAGTACTTCGTTGAGACGCGGTCCGCGGCCTTGGGGAAGCCGTTGGCGGAGGTGCGGCCGACGGACCCGGAGAGTCTGGACAAGCTGTGGCAGGTGGCCGAGACTGAGTCCGCGGTGTTGATCAAGATGCTGCAGGGCAGAGCCGGGAAGAAGGGACCGTTCTTCGAAGGGGAAACGCCGGGTCTCGCGGATCTGGTCTTGGTTTGCCATCTGGCGTTTATCGCGCGCTTTGACCAGGAGCTCTTTCGGAAGTTCATGGGTCTGGGCACAGGGGAACTCCTGGCTCTGTACACGGCCTGCTTGCCCTGGTTGGAGGGCCAGGGCGAGGAAAGAGAATGGTCGATTCCCCAGTCCTCCTAGGTCTTCATCTAACCGATCTGACATCGGCTCTATCTTGCTAACTTGCCTTCCATATCGTGGCTTGTCGGGAGAGTCTCCGATGGCTCTCCATCAGCAACAATGTTAGTTCAATCCCACCAGATCAGGATTCATTCGGTGCCATGTATATCCTTCCACTCACGTCCTTCTCCTTCTGAGGCCGGATACCGTAGTTCTTGGCTGCTTTCGTTTCACTTCGACACTAGAGCTCACATATTCACGACACCGGTGGAATCTATTTGACATATTTCTTGACTGAGTACATTGCGTCTGATCTGACAGCGAAGCCGAGCTTCTCTGTGCTTGGCTATACTACCAGCATAGCTTCTCATCAGGAGAGTCCCTGGAGGAATTTCCCCGATGCCGTACAATCCGCCAGTCACCGGCAAAGTTCGATATACCATCATTTGACAACGCGCATAAGTACCATACTGAACCCCCTGTGGATACCATTCCAGAAACCGACATCGGTCTACGCACGAGACTCTGACCCTGCACGAGTCTCGGCATCCATCCAGCGACTGTCCCTTGTGACCTGAGCACACTCTCCCCATGAGGTCTCTTTACTCCTGCCCTTGGCAGGCCAACCAAGAGAATTGGGCGATAGACGTCGACCCCATCGTCGAAGGAGATATCGCCCGGGGCCTGGACGATGCTGAGATCCCGTACTGCTTCTTTGGAAACCCCGTGCTGCGCATGTACGGCCACCGTCCGGAGCGGACCTTCCGGTTCGGCGAGAGTCGATGCAACGAGGGCTTTCAACTGTGGCCCGAGCAGTTCTCGGGCTGGGTGGTGGCCGACCTCCACCTGGAACAGGTCGTGCCGGTGCTGCAGGGGCTAGCGTTCGGGGTCTGCTCGCAGCACACGGATTGCACTCCCATGGAATACTCGCTGGGCGGGCAGCCCCTGCCAGATCTCCATTTCCACCCGGAGGGCGTCGGCTACCCCGGTCCCTCCGATCTGGTCCCCATCGTCACCATCTCCTTCTACGCCAGTGACAATGTGTTTTGGGACCTCCTCGACCCCCCCTTCACCGATCCCTTGCCGAATGACCCCAACTACATGCTGTCCAACGATGAATTCCTCCCGGAATGCTCCCCCGCCGCCCCGTACCTCGAGGTGGGCCGCCGGTCCCCCAGCCAGTATCCTCTGAAGATTCCCACCCCGGCCAGGTATACGGAAATCGCGATTTTGAACCTGTGCCGCGCGGTCCACGGGAATGCCGCCTGGAAGCTGTTCTGGGAGGGTCAGTTGCGTCGGATCGTGGAGGTCATGGACAACGACCCGGACGAAAATCCGGTGTTCGAGCTGGACGACCTCCCCTCGCCGTTCCGCGAGTACCTGTCCTGCCAGTGGACGGGCACCGTGGAAGGACTGGTGGAGGCCTCGGTCATCCTGCAGAAGTTGTATGAGGAGCTGGTGAGTGAGGACTCTTTGCCTGACGCGACGGGAACCTGGGCCAAACAGGAGATGCACCCGGACCCGCCCGGCTTCCACGACACCCTGGCTGACTCGTAAATTCCGGGATGGGTCGTCTTTTTCTTGTTTGCTTGTTTCTTTGTTTCAATTATTTGTTTTTTTTTTTTTTTTTTTTTTTTTAACAAAATGGAGTCTGGTTCTTCTTTGCTGTGCCTGGTAGCTTTTTTTTTTTTTTTCATTCGATCTGTAGGAGCGGAATGCGGCGCCTTGTAAGTGTCATCGTGACCGTGGTAGAAGTAAGTAGGACAAGAAGGAAACATAGAAGACGAGGGGGCAGTTGCTGGTTGTTGTTCAGGTGGTTCCAGTTTGTAGACTTTGTTCTATTTGCGCTATTTGCATTGTTTGTGCTGTTTATGCTGTTTGTGCTGTTTGCAGCAGATTCCCCCAGCACCACCAAAAAAAAGACCGCGGAAAGTTGGTCAACTCCCCACCGCCTGCCTGCCTGGATTCTGCCCCCTTCCTTTCCTCTCTACAACTCTCCCTCTCTTTCTCTTTCTTTCTCCCTCGTCACTCACCATGCGATCCTGGCCACCACCCCCCCAGGGAACATCCGCACCACCACCTTCCGCAGCTCGTCCATCACCAGCACCCCCATCGCCAGTCCCAGCGGGATGAACCAGAACTCCAGCGGGATCGACGCCGTGTTGAACAGCCGCTGCAGCCCCGGCTCCTCCGTCACGAAGATCGCGATCGCCAGCGACACCCCCATCGCCAGCGGCAGCCACGGGTTGCGCCGATGCCCTCGCACCGGGTCCGCCTGCACGATCGACAGCCGCTTGTTGCGCACCGCCAGGATGTTCCCCCACTGCATGAGGACCAGCGTCACGAAGTACACGCTCTGCCCGACATCGTTGAAGTGCGTCAGCTCCGCCTCCGTGTACCCATAGAACCCCGCCGAGTACTTCTCGAACGCGAACACCAGCGCGTGGAACGGGATCCCCGCGTGCCGGTACATATACAGGAAGAACATGCAGTGCGCCGACACCGCCTCCATCACCCCGACGAACAGGTACGACTGCCCGTAGATCTTCAGGTTGATCAGGTGGTCCCGCCTGTGGTGGCGCGGCGGCAGGCTGAGCAGGTCGAACTCCTCCTTCTCCATGATCAGCGACAGCGACAGGAACAGGTCCGTGAACACGCAGATCATGATCATCAGGAACGAGCTGAGCGGCAGCGGCACCCCGAAGAACACGTTCATGATCACCGGCCAGATCTCCGACCAGCTGCCCGCCGGCAGCAGGTACGCGATCACCTTCTGCAGGTTCTGGAACACCAGCCGCCCCAGCCGGATCGCCTCCACGATCGAGTCGAACTTGTCCAGCAGCACCAGGTCCGCCGCGTCGATCGCCACGTCGCTGCCGGACACCACCGCGATGCCAATGTCGGCCGCGCGGAGAGCCGGCGCGTCGTTCACCCCATCGCCCGTCACCGCCACGACGCTGTCCCGCGCCTTCAACTCCTCCACAATCCGCAGCTTCTGCTCCGGCGTCGTCCGCGCAAACACGATCTCCTCGTACTGGCAGATCACGTTCCAGTCCTCCTCGCGCAGGTTTGAGATCTGCCCGCCTTCCACCAGCAAACTGCGTCGGGAGAGCGCCGGCTGTTTCTCCCCGCCCGACGTGACGGGAGGCGACACGAGGTCTGTCACCGTGTCGGCCTCCGCCGTGCCGGTGAAGATTCCAATGTCCCGCGCGATGGCGGCCGCCGTCAGGCCGAAGTCGCCCGTCACCATGAAGAATCGGATGCCCGCCCGGCGACAGGCCGCCACAGTGCCACGGATCTCCGGGCGCGGGGGGTCGATGATGCCGAAGATCCCCACGATGGTCAGCCCCTGCACGCCGTGAGCCAGGATCTCGTCGCTAAAGTCATTCGTCCCCACCGCCGCCGAGGGGGCATAGTCGCGCTGGCACAGCACAATCACCCGCTCCGCCCGTCGGGACAGCCGCTGTTGGAAGGCAGAGAACATCTCCTTGGCTGTCGCATCCAGCGGCTTGGTCACGCCGTCGCGGGACCAGTACGAGATGCACTTGGGCAGCAGCACGTCCGGGGCGCCCTTGACATAGATCAGACACGGGCTGGAGGACCCCGGGTTCTCGTGCACCGTGAGCATCCATTTGTTCTTCGAGTTGAAGGGGATCTGGTGGATGCGCTCATCGTCGCGCTCCCCCGGTTGCAGCATTTCGGCCAGCCGAAGTACCGCCGCGTCCGTGGCATTGCCGTTGACGTTCCGCTCGGGGATGGGCAAGTGCATCGTCTCCTGGTCGAAGAACGCGTCGTTGCACAACCGCGACCCTCGCAACAGCGGCTCGAGGGGCACCGGCAGCGGAACGGCTTTCTGCTGCGCATTCACCAGATCCTCCACCCCGAACTCCTGGTCGACTAGTCCGACCGACTGCACGGACATCTTGTTCTGGGTCAGTGTGCCCGTCTTGTCCGAGCAGATGACATTGACGCAGCCAAGAGTCTCGACCGTGGCCAGTCCTTTGGGCAGGATGTTGTGGGCCTTCATCCGCTTGGCCACGATCATCAGCGTCAGGGCCACGGCCACGGGCATGCCCTCGGGGATGAAGGCCACCACGCAGCCCATCACGTCGTTCAGCATATCCACCACGTTCATGAACTGCGGGTGGTCGACCCGCAGCCAGCCCACCCAGGTGAGCAGGATGAGCGCCGCGAGCAGCACGGTCAACACCACGACGATCACCACGAAGCGATTGATCTCCTTCTGGATCAACGTGGGCTTTTCCTTCACGCCCGCCGTGATCGACGCCAGCCGGCCCATGACCGACCGACTGCCCGTCAGGACGACCACGCCGACAGCATTGCCGTTCGTGACGTTGGTGCCCATGAAAGCGATATTCCGCGTCTCGAGGAAGTTCTGATCCGTGGCGTCGGTGGCACCCTCGACCTCGTCGGACTCGCCCGTCAGGATGGACCGATCAAAGCGCACATCGCCGGAGCTCTTGATAATCCGCATGTCTGCCGGCACCTTGTTGCCGATAGAGATGTGCACGATATCTCCCGACACCAGGTCCGTTGCCGGTAGTTTGATCAACGCGCCGTCGCGCAGCACCATGGCGTCCGCAGGCAGTAGGCCCAGGATGGACTTCATCACGCGCGACGTGGACCAGTCCTGGAAGGCTGAGAAGGAGGCCTGCAGGATGATGACGATGATCACCAGGATGGCCATGGCCAGATTGGTGACGGAGGGCGGGTTGCTCAGGGGTCGCCAGCAGAGGAAGAAGACGATGACGCCGATCCACAGCACCGAGCAAAACCCGCCGAAGACATAGCCCAGGATTTTCTTCAGGTAGTTCTCGCTGTGCTGTGCGATGATGTTTTTCCCGTCACGCTGCAGACGCGTCGCCGCGGCCTCCCCGCTCAGTCCTCGATTGGCGTCGACGTTGAACTGCTGGCACAGCCGGTCGGCGTCGAGCACGTGGAAGTCCAGGCTCTCGAAGTAATCCTGGTCCGGCTTCTTCTCCTTCTCGCGGGCCTTGAGGACTTCCTCCGGGGCGGCCTGCGACTCGGAGATCTGAAAGGAGATGGTACGGAACTCGATGGGGATACCTGTTGCGGCGGGGGACTGGGGGATGCTGCGCAGGCTCCGGCCACTGCGGGCGCTGTGGATGGTATCGCGACTGCGAGAACGCAGGTCGCCTGGGGCGTAGATGGAGCGCGTGCCCTCCGGCTGGTGCGGGCCCTCGAAGGTGATGCGCTGGGATCGCGCCGTACTCCGGACAGCCTCCTCGTCCGCCTCCAGGTCGGGGTTGGCACGGGAGTCTTTGGGCTCGTCCGCCCCATCAGGGGTGCTGGGGGTCGACATGGTGGCCAGCTATGGAGGAGGAGAACAGGGAAAGGAATGAGGGTGGCTATCGATGTAGGAGGCACCGCTGACGCGAGAGCGCCGAATCTCCCGCTGGGAGCTGACAAAGGCGAGGGATGGGAGAAAGGTTGCTGTTCGAGAGTTGGGCTGCCTGCTCGAGGACCGCTCCGGGAAGTATTTATCTTCTGGGGGGCCGACATGCTGGATATGGACCAGGCCGAAACGGTCATGGTCTCTCAGGAAGGTGCTGCTGCGGAGAAGAAAAAAATATCCTTGGTGTGTGGGATGGAGCAAAGGCCTATGCTATCCGGGTGCTGGTAAGGGCAGAGGGCATCTGCGGACCACCAGGCCATCGAACCCAGCAGCCTGCTCTAGCTGCTATCCATGCAGACAGGGTAGGGAAATCCCTCACTCACCCTGTGGATCCTGATGGCCTTTCCATGGGTGGGCCCGTCTGGGACCGGGACCATGACACATCGGACAAAGTCTCTCTGGGCTTTCATCTGACTAGGTGCCATTACTGTCGAGCGTCAAGACTGCGGGGTGTCCATCGCCGCTCCGACCCTCTTCAGGATCGGATCTGGTCTATACGAGGGACTGGACCGGGTGTTTCACGGCGGCCAGTCCGCCACCCAGCACTCGCGTAGGAGCCTTCTGATGCGGGACCGCTACTTGGTCATGCTGTAGAAGCGCACATCTTTCTTGTTTCTGTAGCACCTCGCACGTGGGGCATGAGTGTCCGGCTGATAGGCCCGCTGGCGACGTGGTCCTAGCTCCAGTCGACAGGGATGCCGTGCCAGACTGGAGAGACCATGTAGATATATATACATAGTACTTACCCTCGATAGACTCTCCCCGTCCGTGTGCCGATTGGGCCCCGTGCAAACAAGCATCTCCCACGTGGGGCCGGCAAGCAGCGACGACCGGGGATCGCAGACGCTGTCAGGGTCAGTCTATGGCACCTCGGGCATGTAGCTGTCTGTTGGCTAGGAGCCGACCACCACCCCTATACTCCTGCAGGGGAGGAAGCATCCAACACATCCACCGCATCCATAGACCTATACTAGCACCGGCATCGCAGCACGTCACCGAGCTGAAGGGAGCTCCAATTTCCCCGTCACATTAAGCGAGTATCGCATCTCTGCGGGATTTTTCTGAGCCAGGAGAATGAAATCTCCGCTGGAGGCATCGGGGGAGGGTGGCGCAGTCTCGCGAACCCTCAACTCGCTGGATTAATCCCGCATACAAAAACGCGGGAACCACCCACCCACATCCACCACGGTCTGGTTTTTTTTTTTTTTTTTTTTTTTTTTTTTCCAATCTGAAAAGCGATTCTTGACCTACCTGCCTGGTGAGGTGGCTCTGCTAATCTCGGGAAGGGTCGTGGTTATTGCACTTTCGGGTCTAGGCTGGAGGGAATTGGCTGGGATGTTTGTTTGTGGAAGGGGGTTAGGGGTTAGGGCTGGCTGCAGGGGAACATGTCCGTCCAGCTGCGGTGTATGTAGATGGGTACGCTCACAGAGAGCTTGCTTCTCGGTGGCTAACTCGGGTATTTTGGAGAGACCTGCATGTAAAAACCCCCCATTCCAGCCTCTTTCAGGGCAATGAGGCGAGATATCCGATCCATGACACAGTGTAGCAGGACTCGGGAACGTGTCCCCCCTGCAATCACGCAGAAATACTATCAACACCGAAAATAAGACCTCCCTGACTAGAACATTGTCGTGGTACCTTTTCAGTCTAGGGGTATGCGTCCATGTGCTGACAGATACGGATTCTTTCCTCGTTCCAGTTTCATCCAGAGTATACATCATCATCATCATCATCATATCCTTTTATTTGACTGGTCTTGTTTCACATTCTGCCATCACTCCACAGAACATCCACCCACAAGCAGGGTACTCCAAAGACAGTCAATCATTCGGTCCATCACTGCCTCGCGTACACCACCCCCCTCGCCAGCCAGCACCCCATTTCCACCCCGACCACCCTCCCCCCCTTGTCTCTTTGAAAGACCAGGGTCCAGTCCCCCGGCGCCGGGGCATCCAAGCCGCGCGGACAGGACAACGCCCAGATGTCCTGGCCCACATACCGCATCAGATGCGCCGGACCCTCGCCCAGATAGCCGTCGAAGGAGCCGTACAGCATCCCGCCCGCCCCGGTGCAGTGGAAGGTCGAGTCGACGTCCGCGCAGTGATACCGGCCCGTGTAGCCGTGGCCGTGGCCGTCGCCATCCCGGGGGGGAGCCTGGCCGGCGGGGATGCGTTGGGCCCGGATGTGTCGGTTGTCCTCGAGACGGTGCAGCACCAGGGTTTCGCCGCCGTGGGTGAGTGATGCCTGCAGGGTGCTGGATTCGCCGTGGCTGGCGCGCAGCAGGCCGACCACCTCGTCGGCGCCCGCGTACGAGACGATGGCGCGACCCGGACCGCCTGGACGAGTCTGCGCGATGAGCCGCGCCTCCGGGTCGAAGAACGTGCCTGTCCAGCCGGCTGCAGGCTGGACGGTCGAGCCCCGCGGCGTCGGCAGCCGCAGGGCTTCGCTCAGGATATGGCCGGCCACCTCCTCGGCGTCCCGCTCGTGGTTGAGCATCACCACCACGGCCATCCGTTCCGAATGCGCCTGGAACCGGTGCAGACGGAAGCCTCGCAGCGCTCCGCCGTGTCCGATCACCGGCACCGACCCGACGCGCCGGTGCTCCAGGCCGTAGCCATATCGCGCCGGGGTGCCGTCTTTGAAGGACGGCGCGTCGGCAATGGCGCGGTACAGGCTGCCGGGGTCGTCCCACGAGCGGTCCAGGTACTGCTCGTAGGCGACCATGTCCTCCAGGGAGGCGACGACCCCGGCATCGCCCGACCACTGCATGCGGTTGACGGCCGGCACGAAGCCGCCGGCCTCGTCGCCCTCGTAGCCCACGCACGGCGGGGGGAGGGCGGCGTTGTCCGGGCACAGGGCGGCGGTGGCCATCCGCGCCGGGGCAAAGAGTCGGTCGGCGAGCAGGTCGCCCAGGGACTGGCCACTGACCGTCTCGGCGACGCGCGCCAGGATGTGGAAGTTCAGGTTGCAGTAGGCGTACTGGGTGCCGGGCTCGAAGTGGAGGGAGCGGGTCCGGTCGAGGGCCTGGCGGGCATCGTCGGCGACGGTGAAGCGCGCGTCCGGCCGCGACCCCCAGAGGGCGGACATGGCCCAGTAGTCCCGGAGGCCGGACTGGTTGTGGCACAGATGCTCCAGCTGCAGGCCGCCGGGGTCGCGGGGGAGGGCGCGGGGGAGGATCTGGTCCAGGGCGTCGGCCAGCTGCTGCGACCCGGGACTGCCCCGCTGGACCATGGCGGGCGTGGGGTTCCGGGCGAGGTCGGTCAGGATCAGACACACCATCTGCTTGGTGATGGAGCAGACGGGCATCAGGGTGGCGGGCGTCATGAGCGTCCGAGCCTGCAGGTCGGCGTACCCCCAGGCGTGCTGTGCCACGAGGCGACCCTCCTGCAGCACGGCCACGGCACCCCCGGGGCCGCGGTAGCGGGCGGGGACAGCCTCGAGGATGTCTTGGATGTGTTTGGAAGACATGTCTGACTGTGTTGATCTGAAAGAAGGGGGGTTGATCTCAAAGAAGGGGGTTGGTCTGAAAGGAGGGGAGGGACGCAAGTCAGGGCTGGTCGACTAACGCGAAGGGGCATGTCGATGCGGGTAAGTTGAGAGAGAGAGAGAGAGAGATAACTAACTAATTAACTAACTAACTAACTGACTAACTAACTAGTTAAACTAACTCTGCCTCGGCCATGACATATCACGTCACATGACTCTCTCCGTCAGACCCCCGCCACACTGCCGGGCTCCATGGCGCAACGGTCGGGGGGAGATTCCATATTGATGCCACTGGATCTCCTTCAGCACCGCACCGTCGATCTTTTGACCCGGTCGGAGGTTCCCAAAAGGGGTGCCCCAGAGGGACGCGGTGTGGTGGTGATGGTAACGGTGACATCTCCATGCAGGGCGATGCGGGGAAAAGAGGGTAAGCCCGAGCCAGCCCTGATCAGCGCCACTCACTCTTTCTCTTCCTCTTTCTCATCCTCTTCCTCTTCCTCACCCCTTCTCTACCACCCATCTGGGTGTTCAATCCATCGATCTACTTCTCCCACTCTCACCACCATGCCTCTCCCCTCCATCGCCGTGGCCGGCCTGGCCTGCGAGACCTCCATGTTCAGCCCCGCCCGCACGCTGGCCCCGGCCTTTCACCCGCGCCGCGACCGCGAGATCCTGCGCGAGTATGCCTTCCTGCAGCCCGGGTCCCCCCTGGGCGATGCCGCCGACTGGCACGGTGCCCTGATCGGCCACGCCCTGCCCGGGGGAGTCGTCGTGCGCGAGGCCTTCGAGCAGCTGGCCGACGAGATCCTCACGCGCCTGACCGCCATCATGGCCGCGACCGCCGCCCCCCTGGACGGCCTCTGGTTCGACATCCACGGGGCGATGTGCGTGGAGGGGCTGGACGACGCCGAGGCCGAGCTGCTGCGACGGATCCGGACGGTGATCGGGGGCGACGTGCTGGTGTCGGCGTCGATGGATCTGCACGGCAACGTCTCGCGCGAACTGGCCCATCAGTGCGACCTGCTGACGGCCTTCCGCACGGCGCCCCACGAGGACGAGGACGAGACCAAGCAGCGCGCCTGTCGCAACCTGCTGGCCCTGCTGCAGGCTGGTGACGGTGGGGGCCGTCGTGACCCTCGCATCCGCCCCTGCAAGGCCTGGATCCCCCTCCCCATCCTCCTGCCGGGCGAGCAGACCTCCACGCGCGTCGAGCCCGCCCGCAGCCTGTACGCCCTGGTGCCGGCCGTGGCCGCGACCGAGGGCGTCATCGACGCGGCCGTGTGGGTGGGATACGCCTGGGCCGACGAGCCCCGGAATCGCGCCGCCGTCGTGGTGACCGGCTGGCGCCAGGAGGCCGTCGCGGCGGGCGCCCAGCGACTGGCGCAGCGGTTCTGGGCGGCCCACGCCCAGTTCCGCTTCGTCGGGCCCACGGGCTCCCTGGGCGAGTGTCTGGATGTCGCCTGGGCCGCGCACGCCGCCCGGCCGTTCTTCATCTCCGACTCCGGCGACAATCCCACCGCCGGGGGTGCCGGCGATGTGCCCTGGGGGCTGGCCCAGCTGCTCGCCCGCCCGGAGGGCCAGCGCCCCCAGGGCCCCCCCGTGCTGTACGCCAGCCTCCCCGGCCCCGAGGCGGTGCGGACGATGCTGGCCGCCGGCGTGGGGGCCACCGTCACCGTCACCGCGGGCGCCGCCGTCGACCACCGCCACGGCGGGCCGCTCACCATGACGGGCCGCGTGCATGCCCTGCGCCAGGGCGACCCCGATGCCGTCGTCGAGGCGGTGCTGCAGGTCGGCTCCGTGTTCGCCATCCTGACGCAGCGGCGCAAGCCCTACCACCACGAGCACGACTTCACCGACCTCCAGCTGCAGCCCCGGACAGCCGCCGTCGTCGTCGTCAAGATCGGCTACCTCGAGCCGGAGCTCTTCGCCCTGGCGGCCGACTGGCGACTGGCCCTGACCCCCGGCGGCGTGGACCAGGACCTGCCGCGGCTGGGGCACCGTCGCATCCGCCGTCCCATGTGGCCGTTCGACCAGTCGTTCCCGGAGGCCCCCAACCTGCAGGCGCGGATGATCCCACTTTCCTGCGACCCACTGACCGGCCCGGATGAATAGGAGGGAGCCTAACTGAGAGGAGGGTTTCCAATTACACGGGGGGGGGAGGGGAAATGGGAGAGGCCGGGAGACGAGAGAACAACATAATGAATCGCATGAACTAACAAACCAGTCTATACCCTAAATACTACACAGCGAGCCGTCTGGAACCATCACAGCGGGAAATGATCAATCAACGTTCAAAAAAAAAAAAGTATGCTCTACCGAAATTAAAACCTGGGACAGAGAGGGAGAGAGACAGAGAGAGAGAGAGAGAGAGAAAAGCACCCTCTCTCCCGATCATCACCACAACACTGTCACAACCCATCGAGATGTATACCCCCAAAAGCACCCAACCCCCTCCGGTGGGTGACTCCCGTACATCCCCCGCTTACAGGAAGATCATACCGGTGCCGGACAGCAGACCGACGGCGACGTAGACGGCCAGCTGGCCCAGACCGAGGGTGGAGGTGTAGGTCATGTAGCCGGGCACGCCGGCGGAGCTGCTCTCGGAGCTGCTGGAGCTGGTGCTGTCGCTGGAGCTGGCATCACCGGTGCTGGTGCCCGCGGCGGCCGTCAGGGAGATGGTGCCGGTGCCGGCGGTGCCGATCTCCTTGAGCATGGACGAGCAGGTGCCGGTGGGCGAGGTGGTCGAGGTGATGGTGGCCGAGCCGCCAAAGTCGCAGGCGGAGGTGCCGCCGGCGGCCTTGTTCTCCTCGTAGTAGGCGTTCAGGGCCCAGTTGAGCATCTGCTTGGTCTCGCACATGCTGTACGCGCCGTACTCCCCCGACGTGGCGTTGGTCTCGATGCCGCCGCACACCCCGTAGCCGCACACGGTGCCGTACAGGTCGGCGTACTTCTCGGTGGACACGGAGGTCTTGACCACGCAGGCCAGGGTCTCCTCCATGCAGGCGCACAGCTCGGCGTTGGGCGCCGGGGGCAGCACGCTGGAGGCGTCCCAGGAGGCGCCGACGGTGGGGCAGGCCCGGGCCTCGGTGTTGGTCGGGGTGTAGCTGGCGCTGTTGGTGCCCGTGGGCGTGGCCGTGGCGATCTCCTCCGAGTAGGACGAGAAGCCGGTCAGGGTGCTGACGGCGCCGTCGGAGATGGTGACCAGACCTGGTTGCTGTCAGTGGGTGGGGGGACTCTCTTAGGGTTTACCTTTTTTGGGGGGGAGGCAGCGTACCGTAGTCGTTGGCATCCTGGAAGTACTCATAGACGACACCACCGCTGAGCCAGTAGTCCATCTTGGGACCGTACATGACGGGCACGTTGCTGAAGGACCGGGGCTGCACGGTGATGCAGCCGTACTCGGAGAAGAAGTAGGGCACCGAGTAGTTGGCGAACTCGTCGGTGATGGTGTCGTAGCCGGACTCGGTGTAGCTGGAGTCACCGCACCACTCGTACACGTTGTCCCCGAAGAAGTCGACGGCATCGTCCGAGTCACCGCAGTTGAAGTAGTTGGCCAGATCGGTGCGGATCTCCGACACATCGGCTGCCGAGTAACCGACACCGATGCTGCGGTAGTCCTTGCTCTTGATGTAGGCCTTCATGTCACGCACGGCGGCCTTGACGTAGGCGCTGGCGCCGGTGGTGTTGGCGCTGTCCGAGTTCTCGTTACCGGCGAAGAAGCCCATGGTGTTGGTGTAGTTGGCCAGCGAGTCGACCACGCTGGCGTAGTAGTTGTACAGCTCCAGGTTCCACTGGGGGTCGGTGCTGTCGATCGAGTAGTCGGCCGACGACAGATCCGCCAGCACGTAGATGCCCGCGTCGGCGAGCAGGTTCATGCAGGTCGAGTGGTCCGCATCCGGGTCGACGTCGTACACACGCACGACGTTGGCGTTCAGCTCCTGCAGGTATGGGATATCACGCTTGCAGATCGTCTCGTTGGCCAGGGGGTCGACGTAGTCGACGGTGCCCGCCGAGGTCGTCGTGCCATCATCGTCGTAGGGGGCTGTAGTAGGGGGTAAGTTTATTTCCGCGAGGTCTTCCCACCTGGGGGGGCTGGGGGCCTGGGGGAATGGGGTGGCAGCTTACGCTGGTAGGCAACACCACGGATGTAACTGGCAGACGGTCAGCGTGAATGCACAGGAGCAGCAACCGGAGGAAGGAACACTCACAACTGGGTGCCGTTGTTCTCGTAGAAGAACTTGGAGCCCTTGATGACGATGGCCGGGGCCGTAGCGACGGCCAGGTCCAGCAGGGCCGCCGCGGCAATCGTGGCGGCGAGCTTCATATTCAGGGGGGGGAAAAAGTTGGTTTGTAACGAATGTAGTGGGTGGGATGCTAATGCACAACAAATTACAGATAGAGCGAGTGTGGTGGTTTGGAAGAGGAACGAAAGAAGAAGAAGAAGAAGAGGAAGAAGAGGAAGAGAAATGGGAAAAGGGCTAAAGATGACGAGATCACGGGAGATAACTAAAGAAAGGACTGGGGCCGACAAAGGGGAAGGGCTTGAAATGGGAAATGGGAAATGGGAAATGGGAAATGGAGAATGGAGAACTGGGACTCGCGCAGAGGCCGCAGCAGGAGGCGAGCACGGCGACTGGGCCTTTGATTAGCTGGATGCGTGGGCTCACTACTCTTACTAGCAGGTAAAGTATTATTAGGATGGCTATTTTTTTCCCTGCTGCCTAAGCGGCGCGTTCCCCCCCCCCCCCCCTTCTCTCCCTAGTGAACTTGTTAGTTCCCTGGCCCCCCCTGAAGCCCGCCAGTGTCCAGTGGATGCTACGTTGGTGAAGCCCTAAGATGACGCCCCCCTCCCCCCCCCCCCCCCCCCCTCTTCCCTCGACCCTGAGAACCCTCGCCCGCCCACCCTGCGATGCCCGCTGCACGACGGAGGACGGACGACGGGACCATCGCGAGGCAACGGTTATCTATCTAGAGGAGATATATCTCTTGGCTCCCCTCTTGGCTTTTCCTGGGCGAACATGGGCGTTTCCACGGCGGGGCTCGGATCCATCCGGGAGGAGCGTCGATGGATTGTCACCACCGCCGATCGGGGCGATTGCTCGGAGATGGATAAGTTCTGTTCCCGTCGCGACTCAGAACTGCATAAGAAGGCCTGCGAGGCAGCAGAGCCCGGCGCGAGTGAAACACACAGCCCAGTAGCCCATCCTGGCCCGGTGCTGGCAAATCCCCCTTAATTTTGCGTATGATGGACGATTATGAAGGGTGCCTGGGGGCGAATGTGCGGGCGGGCGTGCGTTGGTGCTGGAGCCACCCACGGCCAGTCTGGGCCCTCTGACTGGCCACTCCCTCGACTCGGACTTTAGCGACTGGGCGCTGTCAGAGTCTCGGAGGTCTCAGAGTTCTCAGAGTTCTCAGAGTTCTCAGAGTCTCTGCGTCTGACTCTCGACGAGGAGTGAATCGGTCCATGGATGGCCCCCCCGTAAAGTTGGTGAGCGTGAATGAAAAAAAAAAAAAAAAAAAATCCCCCCCCGAGACAGACAGACAGACAGGCAAGCAAGGCAGGCGGTCGTACAAGAATCCGAACTGAGATGGACAGAGTTTTTCCGGCCATTGATATGGATTGTTCCTGGGCAGAGGCAGAGTGGCATACGCAGCTGTACGGGTAGGGTTACGTGGCCTGCCAGTGGCGGGCGCCCGTAGCCAGCCAGACCAGGGTACCCGAGTAAGCACGCCCGCCCAGCCCAGTGCAGAAAAACAAGCACTGGCTGTGCGTGTCAGCGAGGGCAAGAGGTAACGATCGGCGGGCAGAGAAGGGGGGCGACAGGCTTGACTCCTGGGCCGACGACTTGACGAAAGCCGACCAGGACAAAAGTCTGACCCGGAGATCCGTCGGACCCCCGCTCGTCCCCCCCCCCGATCCAGCCTAGCGCGAGACCTGTCGGGCCTCTTCCCACTGGCTGGCCGTCGCTGACCAGCCCGCTCTCCTGATTGGTGCTGTTTCGCCTGGTTGGCTGATTGACTGAGGCCGACAGGCCGACAGGCAGACAGGCAAGCAGGCATGCAGGCACACAGGCACACACTTACACTGCCCTAGTATCCGGGTATCGGAATAGTGACATCTCGCCAGCCCAGCTTCAGAGGTTCGGATCTCGATTATCAACACCTCCCCAGATCGCCAAGACCCCAGGGTCCCAACTGCCAGGCATCCCCCCCCCCCCTCCCCCCTTCCCCCTTATACGACTGCCTAATCCCCGCTCCCAGCCGGCAACGGTGGAAAGTGGAAACGAAAGACCCTGTTGCCCCCCCCCCCAATAGCGGATCTTGTGGTCTTGTGGCGGGTGGTCTCACGGTCTCACGGACTCGTCAGACCCTTATCGCCCAGGACTTCAGGAGCCCAGCATTGGGTGGGCCAGGGTCTGCCTCCTGTTCTGCAAGCGATGCCAACCGTCGGCCTCCCTCTGCAGTCCTCTTATCAAGGCCAATGGGACTCGCCGCACGCCTTTCTACATTCTCGGCATCGCGTGCAAAATTGCACCCCAATGTCTCGTTGGATCCACCTGGTCTTATCGCCCTGCCGCGAAAAAATGCTTAGCCTGCGTGCTTGATTGCTTGATGCCCTCCCTCATCGAGAGACATCCGGCCTGAGCGTGCCCGCGCAGCCACTGAGATGTCCCGGCTCTTATCACCAGCAGACCATGCTCCTGCTCCTGCTGCTGCTGCTGCTGCTGCTGCTGGTGGCGACCATGTGGTGCGGCCTTTCATGCGGGTGACCGTGTGCAGATTGCAGAGAACCACTACTCGTCTGGCTGGCTATAAGACAGCCCCAACCCCCGCGTGGTTGGGCCCTGGAGAGGAGGCGTTCGTCTGCATCGCATCCCCCGTCGCCTCACTGTGTCCCTATCATGGAGTCCAAGACAGCCGATGTCTCGCCGGAGCTGGCCCCGGCCAGTTTCGAGGAAAAGAACGGCCACGGGGGCAGCGCCACGGAGCCCCAGATCATCGAGAAGGGGGAGACTGTGCGGGTCGACGAGGAAGATGAGGATTTCTCCAGTGACATGGTGGTCAGCACGGCCCAGGATCTGGTGACGCACATCATCCGCGTCGAGGATGATACCTCCCTCAACCCGTGGAGTGTCCGGATGGTCTTCCTGGGTCCGTATCCCCCCCCTCCTCCGAGCCCTCAGGATCCCTTGTTGGAGGGAATAGCCAGACCAGACTAGACTAACCCCCTGGTAGGCGCCGGATTGTCCATCTTCGGCGGCGTCCTGCAGGAGATCTTCTACTTCAAGCCCCAAACCATCTACGTCTCGCAGGTCTTCCTGACCGTCATCGCCTACGTGCTGGGTGAGGCCATGGCCTATGCCATCCCCCGTCGGGGTCGCATCGGCCGCCTGCTGAATCCGGGCCCCTTCAACGCCAAAGAACATGCCGCCATCTCACTGATGTCCTCCGCGGCCACCCAGTCGGCCCTGGCCACCGAGGCCCTGTCGGCCCAGCAGCTGTTCTACGGGGGCTATCCCAACCACGCGGCCGCCGTCTTCATCGTCCTCTCCTCCCAGCTCATCGGCTTCGGCATTGCCGGCCTGCTGCGCGACGTCCTGGTGCGGCCCACCAAGATGATCTGGCCCATGACCCTCCCCATCTCCAGTCTGCTGGAGTCGCTGCACAAGGACCGCACCGAGGCCAAGCGCCGCCTCAAGATCTTCTACATCTTCTTCTTCGCCCTCTTCTTCTGGACCATCGTGCCCGAGTACATCTTCCCCGTCCTGGAGGGCGTGTCCATCTTCTGCCTGGCCGACCAGCACAGCCTCGTCTTCACCAACCTGTTCGGCGGTGCGTCCGGAAACGAGGGCCTGGGCTTCCTGTCCCTGTGCTTCGATTGGAACTACATCGCCTCCCTGGGCTCGCCCCTGTGGTACCCGCTGTACGCCATGACCAACAACTTCATCGGCTACCTCGGCTGCATCGTGCTGTTCATGGCCGTCTACTACGGCAACATCTGGCGCTCGCAGGACTTCCCCTTCCTGTCGCAGCTGCTCTACTACGGCGACTCCAACTCCACCTGGTACCACGAGTACAACCAGACCCTGATCCTCAACTCGGACTTCGTCGTCGACCCCGTCGCCCTGCAGGAGCAGGGGCTCCCCTGGCTGACCGGCACCTACGTCGTCTACCTCATCACCTCCAACATGGGCTTGACCGCCACCCTGACCCACATGCTGCTGTGGAACTGGGAGGACATCAAGATCGGCTGGGCCTGGGCCGCCCCCAGCGAGCTGAAGAAGTGGCTGAAGCCCGAGACGTACAAGTTCTGGGCCAACCAGGAGACCCCCGAGGCCCGTCTGCAGCGCCGCATCAACGACGACACCCTCGACCCGCACTACCGGCTGATGCTGCGCAATCTCTACGTCGACACGCCGCTGTGGTGGTGGGGGGCCGTGCTGCTCGGCAGCTTCGCTGTCGGCCTGGGCTGTCTGTACGCCATGAACTCCACCCTGCCCTGGTGGGGGTTCATCATCGGCAACCTCATCACCCTGCTCTTCATGCTCTTCTTCGGCGCCCAGTACGGCCTGACGGGCTTCCAGTTCAACGTGCAGCCGATCTGTCAGATGTTGGCGGGCTACATGTTCCCCCGCCGGCCCTTGGCTAGTAGGTGTCCCCCCCTCCGAATGGACCCTCATGATGATATGCCCCTGGCTAACCCCATGGCAGACCTCTACTTCACCTGTTTCACCTACAACTCCCTCAATCAGGGCCAGGTGCTCGCCAAGGATCTGCGACTGGCCCAGCAGGTGCATCTGTCCCCGCGATGCACCTTCTTCGTGCAGGTCCTTGGCTGCATCATCGGCGCGCTGTTCAACTATGTCATGATGTTGATGTCGGTGACCCCTCCCACATCGTGAAATCAATCGTGCTGACCACTCCCTCCCAGCATCGTCCAGAACCAGGCCGAAGTGCTCACCTCCATCGACGGTACCAACATCTGGAGTGGTGCCAACGTGCAGATAAGTCTCCCCGGCCCCGATGTCTCGTCTCCAGTCCCCGCTGACCCCCTCCGTACCAGTTCAATAGTTTGGCCATCGCCTGGAGTATCGCCAAGGACATGTTCTCTATCGGGGGTCGCTACCAGTGGGTGACCATCTCCTACCTGGTCGGCTTCATCGTCCCCGTTCCCTTCTGGCTCGCCCACCGCTACTACCCCTCGCCCATCTTCTCCTACCTCAACACCTCCATCATCCTGTGGTACTTTGGCTGGCTGTTCGTCGGCATCAACGCCTCCATCATGTCGTACTTCATCCTGGGCTTTATCGCCCAGTTCTGGCTGCGGCGCTACTACCCCCACCTGTTCAACAAGTACAACTACATCATCTCGGCCGCGCTGGACGGCGGCACCCAGATCTGTGTATTTATTCTGACCTTTGCCGTGTTCGGTGGCAGTGGGACGGAGCATCCCTTCCCGTGCGTCTTTCCTCTATCCCCTTTCTGTTACTGGTCGTGGCTAATCGAGACAGAACCTGGACGGGCAACCCCAACACCGACATCCACAACCTGGATTATTGCAAGGTGAACCCCGCCACCTTGTAAGTTTGCGAATGAGCCATACGACCGGCTTTTGCGGCGTGCGTCTATGGAGAGGGGAGAATGGAGCTGGAAAGAAGGAATCTATATATTGTTGTTCTGATTTATACCACACGACTCGTCTTCTGGGGATGTACTTTCATGATCTGTGTATGTTCCAGGATGTTGTAACATATTGGGGTGTCCGAATGATCCCTGTCTTACGATTCCACCCTCCATGGCCAATGTGCAAGACCGGCATTCACCTCGTGGCTGAACTTGTAACCAGTGGATTAATTAAGCATGTAACTGATGAGCGCCACTGCGGCAAAAGGAGTACTACTCCCCGCGCATGGCGCTCAGGAAGAGGGAGGGACCTGTGGTCTTGACAGTAACCCTGGCAATGTCTAATCTTCTCCCCTTACATACGTCTGTCCAATACCTATTCGGCTGCTGAAACCAAACATGGCTTTTGTCCCTGACTATGCTGCCTATCCGGATATATAGTACAAGACGGTTAACCCTTTTAAATATGATGTCCCTAGTGTAGTTTCCAGCTACCAAAGAAACCGTACAAGACCGATAAGCCTACCATCAACCCCCTAAATCACCTTTTTACGATCAGGAAGACCGTCGAGGAGAAAGAACCCGACTTCTCCCCTCAGGGCTCATCGACAAAACCAACCATGAACGTAACATCTTTCTCATTCTATTTTAAGCATCTCACGAGACTTCATCTGGGTATTTAGTATTCAGCACTCCATCTACTCCTTCTTCGCCCCCGTAAAGGGACAGCCCGACGCGGCCTCGCCCTCGCCCACCTTGACCTGCTCGTGGTCCTTGGCGATCTGCCGGAACATCTCCAGAGGGTCGAACCACACGTCGATCTGCTCCAGCTGCAGCGCCTTGTTGACCTTGGCGATGATGACGCCCTGGATGTCGATGGGGCCGCCGTGAGCGGCGATCTTGACCTTTTCGCCCTTGCTAAACAATATTATTAGTATCGTTTTTTTTTTTTTTATTTCCGTTGCTTCTTTTTTTTTTCTTTATGACTGAAGTGCAGGCAGAGAGGAAACATACTCATTCACACCCACGTAGTCCCGAACCATCACACCCCAATGGCGCCACTTGAACACCACCGTCGGCGGCCCGCTGTACACCTCCGTCACCTCCCAGGCAAACGTCGGCATCATGCGCTTGAACGACTTGTGGCTGGCCGAGAAGTCGTTGTGCGCGGGGTCGTAGTAGGAGTTGGGGGTGATGAGGGCATTGTACGTGCCCACCTCCAGCATGTGCTCGCCCGTCAGCTTGGGGCCACCGTTCAGCGTGACGAAGTACTTGGAGCGGTCGATCGTGCGCCAGTCCGCCAGCGACGTCTTGTAAGAGGCCTCGATCTCCCAGTTCTTCACCAGGTTCTCGACCAGGAAGGGCAGGCTGCCGGGCTCGTGGTGCATCGACCGGGCTGGATGGAAGAAGCGGTTAGCAGGGCTGGATACTGTCGGAAAGAGGGTTTGGAATCGGGATCAGGATCACATACTCTCCTCGTAGAAGGCGCGGGTCTTGGAGTAGTCCGGGGGGGACCCGTGACGCCAGGCGGCCTGCGTGTCCTTCAGGACCGCATTGGAGTCCAGGACGTAGTCGGGAAGTGCTTCAGCGTCGCCCATTGTGATTTCTGTGGGGAGGAATGGGGTGGGAGTCGGGTATACTGATTACTGGTACGTATACTGGTCTGGGGAGTCAGAGCGGGGGAGGGGGGGGACGAGTATATATAAAGGCATCTGGTCGGAAATCCCGACTCTCCTGTCCCACCCCCCGTTTGGCGGACCTCAGGAGACGTGGCCTATCGCCATGGAGCCGGTGAGTTTTATCGAGTCAGCGGAATTTGGCATGAGGGGATTGATTGCGCTAAGTGTCGAGGAGAGAGTGGTGGGGGGAAGCCGGCAACCAAGTCGCGTTTTAGTGTTGCAGATAGCGCACATGGCCAGGGCCAGATGTATGGACGCAACGTCCGGGTCACAGCGGCGTGTCCCTGGTATCAGTTTCATTGGTGGACGAAGGTGTTGGTGACAGTGGATCAGGAGTGTCTGGAGGGCCAGCGATAGGAGTCCGCTGGGGGTTCCCGGAAGTGGCTCACTACCATGATTGCCCTTCCGGATGAAGTACGGAACAGAGGACCAGAACAGCTAGTTGGGCTTGAACTAGCCACGAAGGGACATAAGCATTGTTCGGCCCCCCGCGCCGGCAGGACTTGGACTGTCTCGGGTTCGAGCACACCATGCACCAGGCTTCCTCAGTGACCCGACAATTCTTTGTTGCATCGTAAGAATGTTCCATCCCGCTTCCATTCGCAGGCTCGATCCCTGACCCCGAGTCTTCAGCTGCAGCAGGGGTCGGGATGGCGCCGCAAACAATGGCGTTGAACAATGGCGTTGGATCAGGCCATCGTGGTGTGGTATTGGGCTGCGGCCCATTGGCTGCAACGCCAGGGCTGCAGGGGTTGGATGGATGTTAGTCTGGCGCGTGCTCCAATGGAGCGAGACCGGTTACACATCGTCTGACGGCCGAGTCCACTAGATAGATACTAGAGCCAGGGGGACGAACGCGGAGGGAGCACGCCATGGGAGAGAGAGAGAGAGAGAGACGCGCTGTGCTATCTGCCTGCTATATCGAGTAGCGTCGACTAGTCGGGGCCGGAAATGCCCGGAAAAGCCACCGTCCGCCCCGTGCGGTGCCATTGGCCCCTGATCATGTCAAGGAGAGCGTTCCGTTCGGAGTGGGCCGAGCCATGTCGCCCGTGGCCCGTCTGCTGTCGTGATTGGCACGCCATATCAAAATAGATTAACCGCCCCCATGGATATTATTCTAGGCTGCTCCGGCCTCGATAACGACCGGCACGGCGTGAGACAAGTAAAGCCCGCGGGTGAGGCAAGGGCAAGTTCCCTGACCGTTGATGTTTCGAGTCGCAGAGCATAAAATGTGACAAGTCATTTCCCCCCCGGGGCATCCCCTTAACAAATGCGCTTCATATCAGGGGGACAGTCAGGTCGACCGTCGACGACCCTCCCCCAGTGACAGGAGGTGGATGGGGGGGGATTGGGGGGGGGATTGGGGGCCCGCGGAGATTCTCCCGAACCGCCGTCTCCCATTCATTCCCATCCATGGATGGATGCCACGACCCACTGCGATGGATTTCGGACGATGCGTCCTCTCCCGTCGTCGAATGCCTGCGCCATTATTCCTGTTGGTAAGCGCTAGAGAGACTAGACATGCTCCGTTCCGAATTGACTGCCAGTCTCAATCTCAAACACAGCCTCTGCTCGAGCAATCTAGACACCTTATCTATCTCTCCCGCAGGCCAACATGAATCAGAGAACACTCGGAGCGGGCGAATGGGACGCAGGTGTTGGTCAGAGTGGTACTGGCCAGTACAGCGTGTGAGCGTAACATCGAGCTTGGACATTTTCCCAGGATGCGAACCCTCGGGACTCCCAGGATTGAAGACTCTGACAGCCATCACAGTCTACTAGAAGTCATGAATCAAAGCAAGTAAGTTAACAATGCCACACAGACGAGTGCCAAGGTGTAATTTCCGACAGTGCATACTACACAGGGCCTGATCGAGCTCGATAGACGCCGACAGTTGATCGGACCCGATCCTCGGCTCGGGATCATCCCATCCCACTGCAGATCAACCCCAATCACATCTGTCCAACAGGCTCCTGTTCGTGGCAGGGCGCGATGCGACAGGATCTCCTGTTTCTACAGCCCTGGGCTTCACCCTCTAGTCATCATGTGGGAGTGCGCCTGCAAGAGCTGCATACATACCGTTGATCTTATGGCCACGTCGAATAGCGGCGAGAGTACATTTGAACACATAGGTTCTAGATTTGCATGCAGGTGAGCCTATGCGTCCGCACAGAAGGCAAAAGACATGCGAAGTGCATGCGAGCCTGACTGGACTGCTGCTTCTCTACTACCCGGGATGAGCTGTACTTGAATAAAAACCGGCAGACCATGTCCTCAAGGCAGCCGTTCCCGGGGGTTTGGATCATATGGGCCAGGGTCCGATAGATGTTCAATCTCGATCATAGTAGTATGCATGAGAGTGGTGGGCTAATATAGTGAACGAACTAATGCAGGCAAGGTGCAGGGGTCAACGGCGAGGACAGGCATAAATTAAAGTGGATTAAAAGTCGAGCTACCACGTAGCCATACAACCTGCTTCAAGCACGGAGCCGTGTGATGACCGAATATTGCCTGGATCCGATCTTCCACGTGCAGTGAGCTACCGCTGTCATCAAGCGGAGTCTTGAAAAACCCAGACTGGACGCAAGGCCGGACTGGATCACCCAGGATGGAAGGCAATCAAATGGCTTGGAACCTGCGTTTCCGAGGAGAATGCAGCAGGTCTGGTCAATTTACGCGTCTTGCGCTTTGATTGAGCGATTCCTCTTGTTCTCCACTCTTTAATAACCATTGGGCTCGCCACGAGGGGGGATGGTAGCCTCTGGGTTAGCGCTATAAACTAATTTTTGGACATGGCCAGCGAGCAACGATAGACGGCGGTATTTCCTCCATTAGCATAAGATATACGGTATGGGTTCCAGGACTCAATGCAGGCGTTCTCATCGGCTCTCCCATGGATTGTGGGTGATGCAATTGCTTTGAGCCTTTCACTGCACAGATCCCCGGTATTCTACACAGGGCGGGCCACTTCGCAACACAGCTATGCTCTGCTATGCTCTGGTGAGACAGGACAGTCGAGTGAACCTTCCAGTTCCGAGCATAAGATGGGTGGTAGCTCCCTGTGGGCCGGTATCCACCTCACGGCGTTGACAGTCCCAAATCCCAAATGTAGGGCAAGTTTCACGTTACCGTCCGACACCTGATATCAACCTCGCGAAAAAGGAAGCTGGGCACATTCTCCTCCTCCATCAGAGTGCTCACTGAGTGTTGCAGTGCGAAAGTTAGCTAAGACAGATCTAGAGGGGGGAGTCCACAAAGTGCAACTGGTTCAAAGGGTGCCATTCGTCCATCCAATGACAAGAGGCACTGAGGTCTGGTTAACATATCGAACCTTTGATGTGAGTACGACGCGGATACAAGACACGGTCCAGGCAATGCCACATACGCAGCGGAGATCTCACCATCTGGTATGCGCGGAGAGACACATGGCTGTGCACTGGCGATCCATTGAAACCGGCAGACTGGTCTGGACAACGTGTCGGTAGACTCACCCTGGACATACTACGGGTTTGTTGGTGTCCGAGAAAGGGCCACTCGACGAGAACAGTGCCTTGACAACCTCCCGGTCGGGTGGATCCCCTTGGCCGACAGTGACTCCATGAAACGCGGTCGGTTTGTCTGGCATCGTCCCCTGGTAAACCCCCTTGTATCCTCTGCTTTGGGTGACAGATGTCATCGGTCAGCGGGTATCATAGCCACACATCCCTGACCAATATAACTCGCGAAACCCCCAGCAATGCCCATGTCTAGCACTTAGATACCGAATTGTGGTCCTGCTCATTGTTCGACGAATTGACGGACATTCTTCTCCGGAACCGGTCACTGTGGTATATAGTTAAGGGATACGTGTTCTGAACTTGGTGGCTCAAGATCCCAGTCTTTCACCAAAGCTTAGCGGTCATGGCAGCGGGCATAGTTTCAAGACGCACCTAAAGCCAGGATCATGATGGGTCTCTTCAGACTTGTTGGGTTGCGCCTGGTGGCAGGCTGGGAAGCAACAAAAGCCACAAGTCTCAGGCCTACCCTCCGTCCCCCTGTCCAGGGTGCCAGGGTGTCCAGCGTGGTGTCCATCTGATGGGTATAGTGCTTGCTTCAAGAACGAAGAGCCCGTTCGCAAGGGCAGCACTCTGGTGGAAACCAGCCTGTTATCCGAGCTGAAGTTGAAGGGTTCGAAGACGGTCGGACGGGTGTCGCCGATCGACCAGGGAGGTCCTTGTCGTGGCGATGAGCGATGTCGAGGTCGTCTTCCATTCTCGGACCGGCTGCGATGGGGGGATCGAAGGTCTGGAGGTTGCGTTCGGTGCAGAATCGATGCCGCCCGTCGGACAGGATGCTCTGCGACATCTGGCTCCTGGTTATCTCGATGAAGTGTAATGCACTGTGCCGTCGACCCCGAAGAAACTCGAGCCAGGTGCATCTGAGCAGGAGTCGGAGAGAAGGGGAGGGGAAGCACATGGCCACTTCAGGGCATTCGCCGGGTTTGCCCTCATCCACTTCCTTCCTCCCCCCAGGAAGCTGTGTCGCTCCGTCAAACCCTTCCCAAGTTCTTCATCGCACGATCATGACACTTTGCCGGGAATACCGATGGCATCTGCACCGTGATGCCTACCCAGCTCACGCGCCGTCCACAGATCAGGGGCGAGCAGAGGGAAGAGACACTTTGTCCGGACAGCAGACGGGCAGACCCCCCTTGCCCGGGCGATGAAGGATTGGGAGCCCAGGATCCCGACCAGCTTTCCCCACAACTGGACACCAAGTACCTTGCGGACGAAGCAATTCCCTCATCGCCGTCGCGGTGGATCGCCTCATCCCGTGCCCCGAATCCGCGCAATGGCTGAGCTGCTTGACCGCTTCAACAGTCCACTCAGTCAGTCGCAATCTTCAGGATCGTGACGGACGCCTCTGTTCAGACTCCCGAGTGTCAACAACAATCATGACGGAGGACGAGGGGCAGCTCTCCACAATGATGGCACCGCAATATCGCCGAGGGCCTCCCTTCCCCCCACCCGGCCGATCGCGTGGATGAATCTGGCCACATGAATCGGCAGCTGCGCTCCACTCTGTGCCGCGGTGAGCTTAAACTGGGTGCCTCCCACGGTCCGAGGGAGCTTGGTGGCTCGGCTTCTTCTTGTCCAACAATCCTGTCCATGACGCGTCTCACTCGTGCATGAGGATTATGCTTTGGGATTTGGCTTTGGGGATCCGGTCACGGAGGTGGTCGCAGGCGGGGGGTATCTATGCTGCGTATGGTGTTCGCTCCTCTCCGGGGGGCAAAGTCAAATCATTATCCCAACAGCACACGGGACGGTCCAGGCATGTCTCTGAACCCCAGGACTTCTGGGGGGAGAAGAGGGCGTCATCCTAGACCCTGTTTCAGCCCCTCAGGGCCGGGACCCGTCTATGGTTGACCGATTATTGTTGCCGCGATGGCCTGGAGACTCGATGGACAGCGGACATCCAGCCAAGTGGCTCTTGCCAAGCCATCGTCGAGTTGTTCTACTTTACGCAGAAGGCAGGAGACGCGGGCGAGAATCCTCCGATGGCAGTGGGGATCGGATGGATGCAGTCGTCTCGACCGAATAAAGGTCTTGGCTGCTGTGTACTCCGTAGAGTGTAACTAGAGAGAGTGCACTATCCTCGACACGCCCCTCGTCTTCGATGGGCTTCTGTGTCGATACACTGCTTCGACAGTGACGTCGTCACATCCAGATGGTGACTCATATGGAGGCACTTGAGGCTACTGAGGCTACTGAGGCTACTCTGGCTACTCTGTGGATACACTGGACTGGACAGGGAGGGGATGGCGTGGTGTGGCGAGGGCCATCAGCCACACCTTGGTCGCCATGGCAGCACCCGATGCGATGCCTGTAGTCATCATAGTCATCATAATAATCATAATAATCATAATAATAGTCATCATAATAATAGCAACAAACTCACTCACACCGCTCCGAGGAGTGCCCTTTGCCCATCCGTGGATCATCTCCCTCTCCCGTTAATGCAGGAATCCAGAATCCAGGATTCGGGGAGAGGAGGACCCAATAATTGGTGCGAGAGGCCCATCGGGGCCACTGCAGCCTTCCGAAACGGCCCTCGTTCGGGCATTTCGATTTGTCCATCTGGCAGCTGCAGATCTCAACGCCCTATCCTGTCCCCAGTCCTCCCCCCTCCACCACCGCCGATCCTCGCCGCTTTCCAACAAGATTGCATCAGACGCCGCGACTGGGGACGGTGACAGCGACTCCTCATCTATCTATTCGACGCGACGGGCGGGGGAGGGGAAGGGAAGGGATTGCACTACCTACCACCAACACCACCACCACCCCCAACGCCCAACGCGTGGCCTGAAACCGCACGGCAGGCTGATACGCGATTGCATCATGGGGCGCGATCGGGGGCGAGAATGCCACCATGGCGATGTGTTCTTTGGCCATGTACTCTGTACTCCGTTCGAATTGGATAGATCATCATGGATACGGTGGGACGGGCGACGATGATAGATAGGCGGGCGGAGGAGTGAGAACCGAACGATTTGTTGCGGTGAGTGCACCCGATGCGACTCGTGTTTGCGGATCTGGCTACGGAAAGGGGAAGGGAAGGATGGCCGATGGAGCCACCGGCGAGTGATGACTGAGCCCATGGAAGGCGAAAGACTCCCAGCGATGTGGCTGTGGTGGCAGTGGTCACACCCGAGGTCGAATGAGGGAAGGCCACGCAGCGGGAATCGTCCAGTTGAAACGCAACTAGCCCGACTCGGGCAGGCGGGTGAGACGGGCTAAAAATGGCACCTTTTGGGGGGTGTAGATAGATACTTTGTGTGTAGCCACAACCCTCATCCGGCCAATTCCGAGGCCCAGATGCCCCGACAGTGGCTGATGGGGTGGGGTGGGGCAGCGAGGCCATTCAGCTCCAGCCTCAAAGCCTCAACCAGTCCATCTCAGTAACAAGAAGAAGGATCAGCTCGCCGATGAGGGCGCCAAGCCGACCAGAGGCGATAGTGTGAATGGCCAGTGGAGGGCCAGTGGAGGGCATCCAGAATCCAGCCCCGATAATCCCTCAACAGCGTCGAATCATGGGCTGCTGCGCCATCCACTTTGGCGGCCAGCCGAGACTCTCCACCGGCCAATCAGGCCCCTCCAAATCCCCCACTGGAGCTTGTCTCGTCTTAGCTGCGCGCCCTGGGGGCCAATCAGCCCGCGCCCTCCCCCTCGAGCCCTCAATACCACAGTAATGTCCCTGACAACCTGTGCCCCTCCTGGCCTCGGAGGGGAAGCTCACCCTACGGCGGAGTAAGTACCATGGGCCATGATATCACTTACCCCTCCATCAGGGGAGGGCGCTTACTACCACTGTCCTCGAAGCCTCGCAAAGAGGGGGATCACAACCTATAACTACCCCTCCCCCTCCCCCCCCCCTGGCTCCTCTTCTCTTTCCTTCCTCATCCACAAACATCTTCTTCTCTCCCACACATCTCTCTCTTCAACTACACACACACTAGCAATCATGGGTTGGTTCAGTGAGTGCTCCCTCCGACCCCTGTCCTGTCGTCTTCCCCCTCCCCCCACTAACCCATCTCGTTTCTCCCAGGCGGAAACAGTGAGCAGGCTCAGTTCTCCGAGCAGTTCTCCAACTTCGATGGCTCCGAGCAGCACAAGGCCAAGCTCAGCCACGAGGTCATCGGTGGCGCTGCTGCCTACGAGGCCATGAAGGCCTACGAGGAGCACCAGGCCAAGAACGGTACGCACATCTCCCCCCCCCCCCCCGGCATCCGTGCCTCTCCCGCATCCCGACTCTAACATGTCTTCCTCCCACAGGCAAGCCCGCCAGCCACGCCGAGGCCAAGGAGATCCTCGCCGGTCTCGCCGGTGCCTTCATCGACCGCGAGTTCGAGACCAAGGGTCTGGACTTCATCGACAAGGAGCGCGCCAAGCACCACGCCAAGCAGCAGCTCGAGGAGGCCTCCGCCGCCGACTTCTAAGCGTTTGATTGATTAAGCGATGGATTCGAGGGCACCTATCACTGTTATGATGTATGGTAGCGTGTTTGACATGATCTAGAATATACCACATGAACAAACAAAGAACCAAACACCACGTCTTCCTGCGGTAGTTGTAGAGACACTCTATCATTGTATCCTGGCGTCCGTGTTCGACTTCGTACGGCATTGTACTAGAGTAGAAGGCCAACCACTCGGTGTCTGGCATCCGTGTCCCTTGCAGCAAAATAAGCAATGGAGAAATAAGCAACCAGCCTTGTATCATGCGTGGGATCCATGCGTTATGCCGAGGCAGTGCATGCATCTCGGAAATGCACCCGGTGCAGCATGCGTGGCGGCGGTTTTCGGTCTGCATATGCGGGTTGGATTCCTCGCACTTGGCATAGCCGGTTGCAGCGTTGTCCACCATGACAGAATGGTTGCCTTTTGCTTGACTGGTGTCCATTCGGCTGCCGTGGTGGTTGTTGATGTGGAAACTCCAGCCGGATATATATTTCCGGACCCCTACCACCACCAACCCACTCGGTCCGGACAAACATCTTTGAGCCTCGGGGAGTGCGATTGGAGCAGAAAAGGAAAACCACTACCAGTTTAAAATGGGAATAGGAAAAAAAAAAAGGGAAAAGAAAAAGGGCAGAAGACTTCCAACACGTTTATTCGAGGGGACGGAAATCGACACTGCGATCCTGCAAGATATCGTGTCGTCATTTAACAGAATTTATTGAGACAGGCTGCATGGCAGGATGACATCCATCCTGCCTCTTTGAAAATAGTTCACAAAGAAGGATCTGTATTCCTGTGGAATTGAAGGGCACCCATCTCGGGTATGACTTCGTCTCCCACTGACCTAGGGGCAGGAATGATCGGATTTACAAAGCTTACTGGCAGGTAACCGGAAGTGATATCACCTCGGTCTCTCATGCGGATGGGTTGCAGACCCACATGGTATCACAGTAGCTCCCGGCGCTGGATTAAATTGTGTATGAGGCTCGAGCACCATGACCAAGTCCGGGGTATCCATGGTTTTCCGCTCGCTGCCAGCTGATCCGGTCCCTTCTCCAGCATTCATCAGGCGGTCCTACCAACGATGTCAGTCACAGCCTCTGCCTCGACGCGCAACCGTATCAATCTACCAGCAGCCACCCCGGTGCCCACTGGGAAAACCGGACAGCGCCACTGTTCGGCCCGTCGGCATTCAACGTCGCCAACTGCGCAGCGGAGCATCCGTTCGAAAGCTGCTCCCCAGATTGCCGGCACGAGATCGCCTCCGCGATGGCCACATACCGCAACCCGGGCGTTCGAGTTAATTATGGCTTGTTTACCTAGAAGGGGGCGGTGACAGTGCCGATCCCATGCCATTTGCCGAGCAGCCGGTTCCCAGGACCGGCCAGAAGAGGGGGACGTTGACGAGAGTCGAGGAGGAAGACCGGCAATTGATCGACGGGCATGATGCTGTGGAGTGAGAGGGCGGAAGTCTGACCGAAAGTCTATCTGGATCAGGTGCAGAGACACGAGGCTGCGCTATAGTTCATTAGTTCTCCATGGATGGCAGGCAGACTGTCAGCGCACTGGCCCGACCAACCCTGGCCAGTTTGACAAAGAATCTGCAGGCTGCAGGTGCCCGAGGCCCAAGCAGACCCCCTTTAGACGCCATTCCCACCCCCTTGCAGGATGCAGGAAGAGAGAATGACCGACTGACCGCGACAGAACTTACAAAAGGAGACTCCTCCCACCGCATTCCAGATAGCACAGCTCATCCCTGCCACGACGATGCATTCGAATTCCAATGCCACCGGGTCGAGCGACCTCAGCGGGGCCTGCGTAAGTCCAGCCTCATCCCGGAGCTCTCCAAGAACAATAAGACTAACCGTGATCCCTTGACGCAGTGTCTAACGCTTCTGTCCCTGCTCGGGTCCAGCCAGGTCACTTTCCCTGGCTCGCAGGCGTACGAATTCTCGCGCTCCTCCTTCTTTTCGCAGCAGGAGGCTCAGCTCCAGCCGCGGTGCGTGGTGGCACCCACCGGCGTGGAGGACGTGTCCACGATCCTGCAGTCGCTCACCTCCATCGGAACATCGCTGCCCGAGGGGGAGAGGTCGGTCTGCGACTTTGCCATCCGCTCGGGAGGGCATACGCCCTTCGCTGGGGCCGCCAGCATCGATGGGGGCATCACCATCGACCTGCAGGGCCTCAAGGCCATCGAGGTCAGCTCCGATCGGGCCACGGTCTCCGTCGGGCCTGGAGCCACCTGGGGCGAGGTGTATAGCTTCCTGGATCCTCTCCAACTGACCGTGGCCGGGGGTCGGGTGGCCCAGGTGGGTGTCGGGGGATTGACGACGGGGGGAGGCATCTCCTTCGTCTCCCCGCGCTACGGATGGACGTGCGATACGGTTCAGAACTTCGAGGTGGTCCTGGCCAACGGGTCGATCATCCACGCGAACGCTGACGAGCATCCGGATCTCCTCGGGGCCCTCCGGGGCGGCTCGAATAACTTCGGGATTGTGACGCGGGCGGATCTCACGGCCATCGAGCAGGGCCCCGTCTGGGGCGGGAATGTCTACTACGCGCTCGACACCATCGACCAGCAGCTGCAGGCCACCGCGCAGTTCAGCGACCCGGAGACCTACGACGACTACGCCTCGCTGATCGTCAGCTTGAGCTTTTCCGGTGCCCAGGGGGCGGCCATCGTCAACAGCATCGTGTACACCCGCGCGGAGGAGAACCCCCCAGCCTTCCAGCCGTTCACCGAGATCGCCTCGCTGTCCAGCACGCTTCGCCTGGCCAACATGTCGTCCATCACGACCGAGCTAGGGTCGTATTCGCCCAACGGACACCGGCAGTTGTTCCTGGAGACGACCTTTGCGTCGACGCAGTCCATGCTGAACGCGACGTACCGTCACTGGAACACCAGCCTGGCCGCAATCCGCGAGGTCGCGGGGATCGTCTGGTCCGTCTCCCTCGAGCCGTTACCCCCGTCGATCTACGCCCGGGCGAGCCCGGAGAATGCTCTGGGCCTGTCCGGCACATCCGGCACCCTGGTGGTGGCGCTGTTGAGTGCGACATGGAATGATGCCACAGACGACGCGGCCGTGGCACAGGTCGCTCGCGAGATGTTCGCCGCCGTCGAGGACGATGCCCACCGGCTAGAGGCGTACCACCCATTTGTGTATCTCAACTACGCCGCTCCCTGGCAGGATCCCATTGCCAGTTACGGACCCGAGAGTGTGGAGCGATTGCGGCGAGTCGCGTGGGACGTCGACCCTCGGGGGGTGTTTACGGCGAATGTTCCAGGGGGCTTTAAGATCCCGGGCGAACAATCCTCAGAGCCGATCTCCTGAGGATCAGCAACGCTTGATGTCGTCGTAAGATCAATATATAGACCCCGTACGCCGTACTTAATGCGAGACCCGGCCCCGGACAGAAGGCAGGTACAAAGCAGGTACCGTCGCCGTTGATCTCTCGGCCGCAGCGGGCGTGGATCCACCCGCCTCGTTAGTGACTCAGCTCCGCTCGCGATAGGCCCCTGGGGGATGAGAATGGGGACGACGGCCGGAGAAGGGAATAGCAGACGCCCATGGATTGGTCCGCTGCGGCGGCCGGCCCACCGGTCAAACAATCTAAGAAATAGTCACAAGCTTAGTCCCAGCCGCATCGCTGTGGTTGGGCGGAGGATGATGCCCGAGTGCCACCCGAAGGAGAGATAGACCGGATAGATAGATTATTTTCAGCGTCGGCACCTCACCAGGACCGGATGGACTGGATCGTCGGGCTGCTAAAAACAGGTGACTCCCAGCTCTAGAGACGAGCCCGCATCTCAAAACCCACTGCCACTGCTTCGCCGGTCGACGACGAGCAGAACCCGATTCCATGCGCATTCGCTCCCCCATCGCCCACCATGCGGTCCTGGCGCTGGCCATCGTTCCGAGACCTTCAGTACCGTCTCGTCCGCCATGGCGTCCGGAAGATCCAACCGGCAGCCGGTGCCGGCGACGGCGACGGCGAGCTGGAGCTCACCCTCACCGCCACCGCATCGCGAATCAGTACTGACGAGGGCGACCGCGCCTGGTCTGCCGGCGACAAAGACTCCGCCCATGCGCTATCCTCAATGTCGACATGGAAGCTATCCGGGGTGCAAGACCGCCGAAAGAAATGGGTCAAGGGGGTGTTGGTCTGTGCATACGCGACCTCCGCCGTCTTCGTGGTAAACGTCATCCTCACCATCGTGGCCACGGCCATCGCCGTGGCCGGGGAAGGCCAGCGGACCCTCACGGCTGTTACCATATTCCAGGGTAGCTGCGGCCGGACGAAGGGGTGGACGACGGGGCTGCACCTGGTGATCAACGTGCTCAGCACCGTCGTCCTGGCCGCCAGCAGCTACTGCATGCAGTGCCTGAGTTCGCCGTCGCGGACCGAGATCGACCGTGCGCACGCCGAGCGGGTCTGGCTGGATGTGGGCGTGTCGAGCCTGCGGAATCTCACCTTCGCCGGATGGACGCGACGGGCCCTGTGGCTGGCGTTGATGATGACCTCCGTCCCGATCCATCTCATGTATGCCCCCCCTCCCCCAGGACGCCCGCCATGCCAGTGATTGGTGTGCCCTAATAGACCGGCAGATACAACTCCGCGGTGTTCTTCTCGCTGGGCACCACGGAATACAACGTCGTGCTGGCACCGGCCGACTTCGACTTCGACCACCCCCCGACGCATCCCAATGCCTCGTACGCGGACTGCTTTCCGGCCAACACAGCCCTGAATCTGACGAGCTTCTACACCGAGCTGCCAACATTCCAGAACCTCACGACGCAGGACTGCATCAAGCGGTACGCGACGAATTTCCCCGCCAACCTGGGCACCCTGATCCTGGTGACCCGCAACGGCACCGTCGCCTCCGACTCCCTGGAGTGGGTGGTGGCGGGCAACCCGACGGTGAACTACGGCAACGATGAACTGACGTCCGGCTATGGGTGGATGTGCCAGGCCAACGACCGCACGGCAGAGACCGCTCAGTCATGCGACGAGTCGCAGCTGCTGCAAAAGGCCAACGAGTGGTCCATTGCGCTGCGGGTGCCCTGGTCGGGGCCCGTCGTCAACGCCACGATGGATCTTCCCAGCGGCCCGACGACCGTGAATGGGCGGGACTACTCGCCGCTGATAGAGTATCGGCCCCAGTGGCCCACGAGCCTCAATCTGGACGTGTCCACCCTGGAGCAGACGCTCGCGGGCTTTCCCACCGCGACTCAGCTGGAGCAGGCCCTCCGCAACGAGACCTACTGGCAGAACCAGACCTGGGCCCAGGCGGTGCGCGTGCAGGCCACGGAGGCCAGGGAGTGTGCGCTGGACTACCAGGTCTCGACGCGGTATGCCCCGTCCCACACCGTGGACTACTGTTTGAGCCAAGCCGCCACGGAGCACTGCGAGCTCCAATTCAGCCCGATGATCGCGCTGCTGGTGCTGGCGTGCAATATCGTCAAGATCGTGTGCATGTTCCTGACCGCCCGGACGGACCGACGCGACATCTTCCTGACCGTCGGCGATGCGGTCGCCTCGTTCCTCACGCGCCCCGACCCGACGACGGCGGGGATGGGCCTGCTGTCGCGGGCGAATCTGACACAGGGCCCGCAGCCCTGGCGGTCCCGTCGCGCGGCGTACTGGCGGCTGGCAACGAAGCAGACCGCGTCGCCGCGCGCGCAGCCCTGGGCCATGCTGGTGCCGCGACAGCGCTGGATGGCGGCGGTCCGCCTGAGCCAGTGGGTCGGGACCATCCTGGTGTATGTGTGCGGACGCGTGACGCCCGTGTATCCCGTCCCCTTTCCCCAACCGCGATCACTGACGGGTCCAGGTGCCTGGGCGTGATGTCCCTGGGGGGTTATTTCCTCTCGACGGCGCTCCAGTCCCTCCGGGACGAACTGTATAGGACCACGATGACGGGGCTGTGGGATCTGGGGTTCGGCACGGCCACGCCGTACACGATCATCCCGTTCCGGCATTCGACGGTGATCGCGATGGCGCTGCTGGCGAACTGCCCCCAGCTGGTGGTCTCGACCGCGTATTTCCTGTACAACAACCTGCTGACGCACATGCTGCTGGTGGCGGAGTACGACGACTACGCGAGCCAGCGGAAGCCCCTCCGGGTGTCGTGGCCGGAGGGGGTGCAGCGGTCGAGCTACTACCTGAGCCTGCCGTACCGGTACAGCCTGCCGCTGGCGGTGGCGTCGATGGTGCTGCACTGGCTGGTGTCGGCCAGCCTGTTCTACGTGGAGGTGATCCCCTTCGACACGTGGGGGAACGCGGTCTACAACGACCAGATCATTGCCTGTGGGTATGCGCCCATCGGGATCATCTGTGCCATCCTCCTGGGCTTTGTCATGACGAGCTCCATCTTGATTCTCGGCCTGCGGCGGTTGCAATCGCACATGCCCCTGGCGGGGAGCTGCAGCGCGGCCATCAGCGCGGCCTGCCACCCGCAGAGTCCGGAGGAGCACGCCCTGAAGCCGATCATGTGGGGGGAGATCCTGGTGTCTCCGGAGGCCAGGGCGGATGGGGAACAGTCCGCGGCGTCCGATGGGGACCGCGGAGACCTCGATGGCGGAGGCAAGGACGGCCGGAGACGCCGGGGGTATTCACGGCTGGCGGAGGGATCGGGCGACGGGGAGGGCGGCCACGGCCATTGCAGCTTCACGTGCGAGGAGGTGACGGCGCCGAGTCTCTCGCGAATGTATATCTAGCACCCGGGAATGGTAACTGGCGATTGTTCATGCCGCTGCAGCGATGCGTCGTATTGCGTGGTGGGAGACGAAGGCGACCGAGGGAAGGGGATTCGACACGGGATGGGATCAGCGGCTGCGACGAGGCACGGTGGTCAGCTCCAGACTCGAGAGTGTCGTCCCTCTGGGGGTGGAGAAGGGATGGCCACTTACCCTCTCGAGGACGGAGGCTGTATTTGCCAAGTGTAGATGTAGTTCGTGGTGGTGATGGTGGTGTTCTTGTGTTGGTGGTGGTGATGGTGAAGGTGGTGTTCAGTCGGTCGGCAGCCACGGCGAGAACGAAGAAGAGCCCTCTCACCGCCTCTGTTCTGCCCCCCCCCTCTCTCTCCCCCCTCGGGAGGGCCCGGTCCGAGAAGCCCCGCTCCCCGCCCCCGGCATGCCTGCCCCTTGCGGACAGCCGCAGGGGGGCAGCTGGGCCGAGTGTTTCTTCTTTTGCAGGCAATGTAGTAGTAGTAGTAGTAGTAGTAGTGGTCGATTTTTGGGATGGGAGCATTTCTGACTATTTACTTGCTATCTCTTCATTCTATTGCGTGGCAAAGTCATGTCACCATTTAACATATATGTATGACTGATTTGCCCGTTCGTTTCGATGCCATCACCATCACCATCCGATACATCAAGCAAGCTTGTCCAGATTCTGCTGCATTCCCCTCGTCGAACTGCGTGGCCGGCTCGTGCAGATACTTTTCAATCTTGCCCTCCGACTCTGCATAGATCGCAGGGTGAATTGGCCCACCCCCCTGCGATGGCATCACCCTGGGGCTCGGGCTCGGGCTCGGGGTTGCGGATCCACCGAGACGACGGAGGCCGACGAGGGCCGCTGCCCTGATCCTGGATCCTGAATCCTCGAGCCCGAACAGCTCGTCCTGGAAATCATTGAACTCCAGCGCCAGGGCGGAGGATTCCGCCAGGTGAGCGGGAAACGGCTGTGGCGCCACCGAGGGCAGCAGATGCTGTCGACCCGCCGACCGGGCTTGCAGGGCCCCCTCCTGCAACACCACGGCCAGGAGGAGCACATTCTTCATGTTGCCGCACGACACCACCGGCCGGGGCCGCTTACGCCGCGGGGGTCCCTCCGTCGGGGGACTCATGCTCGCGGGGCTGACTGGCCCGGATGAAACCTCCCGGATGGAATGGGATCGAACGGGGAGAGCAGCGAAGAGAGTGTGAGGCAGTCTGGCAGGCTGACAGTCTGGCCAAAGCTGCCTCCACTATCCGACGGGCCACTCGCACGCACCCTTGGCCCAGGGGCAGGATGACAGCCCTCAATCAACTACTCACGCCTATCTACGTCCGTCTGTCGGGGCACACGTGGGAATCCAGAGGATTTTATTTCTTTCTTGGCCGGGCTATCGGGATGGGGTCATTAGGGTTATTCAGGAATCCGCGATGTCGCGCACGTTGCCCGCGGTGTACCCGCTGCTGGACACGCCCGACGGGATCCAGAACAGCTGCCACACCCCCGTGACGTTCGTCTCCTGCACGTAGAACGTCTCCTCGAGCGTCCCAGACGCCGCCTCGTACATCAGCCACGCTCCGTACCAGATCCAGCCATCCGTCACCGCGTCCGACGGCGTCGCGTCCCCCGTGAAGCCCACCGCCGTCACCGCGTCCGCGTTGGGCCGGATGTACAGCAGCGTCTCGTCCGGCAGCGTGACGCCCTCGGTCAGCGCCGCCGTCGAGATCGTGCCGTCGCTGAAGGTGACTGCTCCTCACGTCAGAAGGTCCCGGTCGAATGGCTCATGGGGGTGGGGGAGAAGGGAAAGGGGGTACGGACAGGTCACGTCGGTTACGACAGAGCCATAGGTCCAGTCCGACGGGGTGCCAAAGTAGGCCAGTCCTGCAGCAGGCGGGAGGAGAGCGTTAGCAGGGACATTCCCATTCTCGTCCGTCATGATGGATGCGCACCGTCCGCGTAGAACAGCTTGACTGCTCGGGCCGCAACGCCGTAGTCGTACAGGCTGAAGTTGCCGTCGGGGCTGCGCTTGACCAGATCCCCCATGGGACGCAGGGGGCTGGCGGCCACGTGGGTCACGGCCGCCCAGGCGGACAGCGCGGAGGCGAGCAGGGAGGTTCTCATCGTGGGGGTTTGGTGAGAGTGACGGGGATGGTCTGTTGGGAGCAAGGGGGGACGAAACGGCAAGGGATGTCGCGGTCTTATATATACTCACGGACCGCGATGTCCCAGAGGGCGGCTGGGATCAGTTGTCCCTCCCACAGCACCCGGGTGAGGCTATCGCCCTCGCCGATGGTGGCATGGGTTGACGCGTCATCGGACGCCGTGGTGGATCGGACAGCAGGCCAAAGGAGGGCCAAGTGGGCGGGCCAAGACCCCGTAGCCTCCCATCCGCCGAAGCCTCCCCCGCCAGCAGCCCAATCGACGGCCAGGACCGACCCCAGCCACGGTCAAGCCATGCCCAGACGGGGGAACCAGGTCCTCTGGGCCTGTTGGCCCCATCGGTCGATACCTCCAAGGTGCCTCATGCAGCAGTCCAGACCCTGATCCTCCCCCCTCGGCGGATGCGCTGGTTGGATGGCTGCCTCTGAACAGGCCGGTGGTGGATTGGTCATCATCTTCTCATGCTGGACCTCCTCGTATCGAGGGGGCTAGCCCCCCGAGCGGTTCTTCCAACTAGTTGAGGCATCCGTTCGACGTGTCTTAGTATCCGGGTCAATCATTATGCGCTGCATTTTTCTCTGACGTTCTGGCTTTACTATCCTCTGCTTGGAGACCACCTGTCGGAGGCAGGGCACTGGCGGTCCAAGGAGATGTCTAGGCCACATCGGTCTACTGGGAGGCCTCGTTGAGACAAGTGTGCCGCGCCCTCTGCCATCCGGTAGAACATCAGCTGACACCCCCGATAATTACACTCATTGCCAGATACATAACTCATATTTCAGGTTGGTGACGTACAAAACAAAAAGGCCCGAATATCAGTTCCCCCGAAGCCGGTCCCTCGCTCCCTCGCCCCCTCGCCCCCTCGCCGACCTCCTGTGCCTCCGATCCGACAGCCATCCGGTGCGCTAATCCGTATACGTCTGGTCGTACTCCATCCCATGCTCCTTCTCGCGGCCGGCCAGGCGCTCGATCTGGAGGCGCTTGGAGGCGGAGCGCAAGGCGCCGGAGCGGGCGTCGACGACGGGGCGCACCCACTCCCGCCCGGGGGCCGTGTCGTCGCCGCCGGCGGGGCGGGCGGGGAACCAGGCGTCGGCGAGGCCGGTGGGCTTGCTGTGGATGTAGATGTTCTCCCAGTGGCCGCGGGGGACGAGGTAGGTCTCGTGGTAGATGGCGAGGTGCGGGTAGTCGCGGCCGACGCGGGTCCACCAGTGGACGCCGGCCATGTGGACGGCGTCGTGGGCGAAGCGGTGCAGGCCCTCGTAGTCGCGGAAGTAGAAGAGGGTGACGGTGTCGTTGGCGGCGGGGTCCTCCACCTTGAGCCAGCGGGAGACGCCCAGCATGCCGTAGGCGCCGGGGTCGGCGTGGAGGGTGTCCAGCATGCGGTCCAGGTAGCCGCCGATGGCGCGCTGGCCGGGGGCCAAGAGGCCCAGCGGGTGGTGGCAGCGCGCCCCGAGCCGGAACACCACCAGCGACTCCCCCGCCGGCTCCGCCCGAACCCCCCCCGTCCGCCCGCGGCATCTGCGCCCCGAACTTGGTCGGCAGCACCCCCGCCAGGTACCGGTTGCGCGTGAAGCCTGCTGCCATCAGCAGGTGGTCGGCGGTGCGGTACAGTGCCACCGCGGCCGGCGGCAGCAGGGCCAGGGGGCCCAGCAGCGCGCAGGCCAGCCCCTGCAGCAGGGCGCCCACCAGCAGCCAGCTGCTCAGGCGCAGGTTGTCCCGCACGAAGGGCGACTTGGCCGCGGGGCGTTGCGGCAGCACGGGCGGGCCCGGGTGGGACACCCGGTGTGGGGGGAGCAGGGGTTGGAAGGTGGTGGCCATGATGAATCAAGTATATATATATATATATATATATAGGAATGGATTGAGATTTGGTCGCGGATAATCAGGGCCTGGGAGAAGCGAGGAGACGGCAGGAGAGGGAGGGCATCCCGCGTCCTTTTATGTCCCTGGCCCGGCGAAGCATGAGGCTGAACAGGGCGGCCGCAATAATAGCCTCTGGACTCCTGGAGGAGCTCCATGACGGGGCGGTGGGGTGGGGGGGAGAATACGCGACGACACGAATCAGAACCACGGTCGGCAGGCGGGCGATCCGATCGGTGCTCGGCCTGCCGGTCGCACCGAGCTATGGGGGGACGCTGCTTCCCTGTCGCCGCCGGCATTGGGCCATGGGCACCACCGCTGAGAAGGACGAAGGATGAGGGACGATGACGATGATGACGATGATTAGGGTTTTTGGCTGGCGGATGCCGGATCAGCGATTTGTAATTAGGGTCACCCCTCAGGCTCTCAATCGGGCCTCAGGCCCCAACGGCAGGTGACCGGCGCGTCCCGAACGGGAAGGCACGGGAGCCCATCTGGCGCTAGTCCGGATGGGGCATTGTGTGTCTCTTCGTCCTCTCTTTTTGTCTTCCTCTTCCTCTTCCTCTTCTTCCCCTCCTCCTGCTTCAGGTCCTGTTGTCCGTTGACATGGCACCACCACTAACCACTGACTATCACTCCTCACCCGACCCGGGGCCGAAGAAGAGATCATCTTGAGTCCTGACCCTCTGACAGACCAACCAGGCGGCCCCATTAGCCGCCGGGCCGTGACGGGCCCTTGTTGTCGCCCTCCCCTCACGATCCTCATCTTCCCCCCTTCCCTCCTCCACCCTCCCTCTCCAATTCGAAAAAAAAAAAAAAAAATATCTAAAAAATCGCCTTTCTATCCAAACTCCCTCCCCTACCACCCACCATGGTCGCCGGGGAGATCCTCACCTGCGTGGCCAAATATGCCTCGCTCGCCGCCGCCGTCGCCGTCGGCCTGTACGCGACCCTGCTGGGCCTCCTCACCACCGAGACCGTCCAGTCCCACGCCGTCTACCTGCACGCCGTCCAGATGACCTGGTTCAAGGACCTCAACGTCCCCGAGGCCTTTGGCTTCCTGCGCAACCAGGTCACCCCCTTCACCATCCCCTCCGCCGACGGCCTCCCGCTGTACGCCTGGCACATCCTGCCCGTGGAGCTGTATCGCCAGCACGAGTCCGCCCTCGTCGCGGAGCCCCCCGGTCTGGTCTCCGACATCACCGCGCGCCTCGCCTTCCGGCTCCTGCGGGACGACCCGGACGCCCGCCTGGTCCTGCACCTGCACGGCGCCGGGGGGACCGTGGGGTCGGGCTACCGCGTCCCCAACTACCGCGCCCTGTCCGCCGGCCAGCCCGACAAGATCCACGTCGTGACCTTCGACTACCGCGGGTTTGGCCGCAGCCCCGGCCAGCCATCCGAGGCGGGCCTCGTCGACGACGCCCGGGCCGTGGTCGACTGGGCCCGGACGGTCGCCGGCATCCCCCCGTCCCGCATCCTCCTCTTCGGCCAGTCCATGGGCACCGCCGTCAGCCTCGCTGTGTCGCGCCACCTGGCCCTCCAGTCCCCCCCCGTGGTCTTTGCCGGCACCGTGCTGGTCGCCCCCTTCGTGGATGTCGCCACCTTGGTCTCGACCTATCGTGTCGCCGGGGTCGTTCCCATTCTCTCCCCCCTGGCGCGCTTTCCGTGGCTGTTTGCCTCGCTGCAGCGCTTTATCCGCGACAAATGGCCGAGCAAGGACCGTGTGGCCGAGTACGTGCGCACCAACGAGGTCAACGGGGAGCGCTACCATCTCACCATCATCCATGCGGAGGACGACTACGACATTCCCTGGCATCACGCCCAGGCCCTCTTCTGGCACGCCGTCCGCGGGGCCGTCCCCGGGGGCATCAGCTACGATGATCTCGAGCTCCAGAAGCTGGACCTCCGGCGGGACCACGGGGCGGCGGGCACCGTCGTGGAATGGACGACCGAGCATGGCGTGATCCGGGAGCAAATCCTGAAGACGGGCTTGCACGATGTCATCATGGGATATCCCGTCATCACCATGGCGGTGATGCGCGCGTTTGAGGCAGCCAGTCAGTGACTCCCCGATGGAGGCGAATAGACATAGACCGAAGGATCATGAGATAGAGGTTCCTGTTATCCAGCATACTTCCCATGCCTCACAGCCGGTCTGTGGCTTGCAGTGTACATGCTATTTCTCTCAAATATAATTTGGCAGTGTTATCCTAACTGATTAGCGAATTCCATCATGGCTCCCCGCCCGCAGGGAAGCTTTCTGCCCTCCTTCTAAACGCGAGTTGGGTCCCTGATCATATCGCAACCCAGGAACTCCCTCGTTGTCTTCTGACCCAGCTCCCACGGAGGGATATCCCTGGTCTGTGGCCAGCGGCCCTTCCTCCTACTCCAAAAACCCCCCGGGACTACAGCGGATGTACCCCCCTGTTCGACAGACTGTGGGTCTCATAGATGGCTGGGCTTTCCGCCCTCAAGGCGGCAAAGGCCTCGCCCATCATCAGGATGCGACTGATCATATAGAGGACCGGGGAGGCGAGACTGATCAGGGTCAACGGACCCCCCCAGCGGAAGATGACCTTTTCGAAATGCATAAACACCAGCATCGAGAGCATGGACATTAATGCGGACGCGCGCCAGAGCCAGTCCTCCACCGCCGTCGGGAACACCGTCTTCCAGCAGGCCAGGTGCAAGGCGCCGAAGGAAATGCCGAACAAACAGGCCAGGGGCCAGATCTTCGACCGGTACAACTGCGGGTCCCAGTGCGACACCACGACCTCCTTTCGCCCGACCAGCCACGGATCCTCCACCGGGAGGAGGTGCTCTTCACTATTAGCCTGCCCCCTCCACCCCGCGTGATCCGTCTCCCTGGCTGCGCCTCCGAGGGCCATCTTGCGGGCGGCTTGGGCCTGCCGGTCCTCTTCCTCCTTTTCGAACACGCGTGGGGTCAGATACCAGGTATTCCAGTACGTCATCTGTGCCTTGGACCCCTCGTTGTCGAATTTGTCGCTGACGGCGAGCTGCTCGAAGGTGTGCCTCTGGCCCGCCGTCATGTCGGGGAGCTCCACAATTGACGGGGACCGAATGTCCTTCGGCTTGTCCCACCAGAAGAAGTAGGTGACGATGAAGAGGGGGATATATCCGAGGGTCATCGCCTCCAGCTGCGACAACGGGAGCCCGTACACGCCACGGGCGGCGCACTGGGCCACAAACCACGACACCTGGACCAGCGCCGCCAGCTTGGCCAAACTGTCGGTCTTGCTTTTGTCGCGGATATCCTCCTCGGCCAGCCCCCAGCTGGCGTGTTCCTCCCAGTCGATGAGCCGTTGTTCGAGCAGCCACGCGTACTGGTTCGGCCAGATCACCCGGTCCCCCTTCGGTGTCCGGTACCGCAGGGCCAGCATGCTGATATAGAAGCCGTGGATGGGCTTGAGCTCCCCCTTGGTCATGCGGGCGCAGTCGGCTTCCATACGCCGGCATTGCGCCCATTCCTGCAACCCCTCTACCGCAATAAACTCCGGGGCAATAATCGCCTTCAGGAACAGGGCGAGCTTGTGCAACGTCGCGTAGACTTCATTCTGGTAGATCCGCGGGTGGATCACCACCCAGGTGCAGAGGAATATGGTCGTCAGGCAGCTGGAGATCAACCCAAAGGTGCCGCGACCGGAAGGGTCTGCCGTCCATCCCACCAACGCGGAAGGTGTGCTGCGAGTGGAAGTAGTATTCAAGGCCGTGCTGTTCATCGCCGCTGGTTGCTGCTGCACGGGCGATGATTGCTAAGAATAAACCGTCAGGAGGAACCACCTGGCGAACGGTCCTGCCGTAATGCGAGGAGCGAAATAGCCTTCACGGAGGCGCCGTCTATCGAGGGGAGGCCCGACATATAGGTCTCCTAGCTACGCGCCATCACGTAGATCCCAGCAGCCACGTCGGAGGGGCGTATCGCTCAGGGCCACAGGCGATCCGACGCTGAACAGTGCCGGGATGGGAGAACCGCCAATCCCAATTGCCTCCGTAGCCGCTGCCAACGGGGGCGTGCGGTTCGTGGCCCATGAAGGCGAAGACACCCCGGGCCATTGGTCCCCAGTTCAGCTCCCCCAAGGCTAGGCTAGCCAGGGCATGGATCCTTCCCGGCCAACCACCCTTCCTGGCGGGTTCACGCTACCTGTGCGTGTCACCAATTGTCTAGGGCATACCATGCTGGGATTAGTGTCCTCATCTGCAGCCAAATGGGGCCCACCTGTACTGACATTTTGCGCATGTAGTGTCTCTTGTCGCGTCAGTCCACCTTGCATCGGATGACATGCGTCCATGTCCCGGCAGATGCTCCAACTGCATCTCCTTCAGGCCGATCAGATGGCTCCTATGAGAGACGCGTTGGGCCAGCGGGTAACTCCACCCCTGGCCTGCAGACCAGCTGGATGTCGATCATCGATGCAGCAGGAGCAGCAGCGGCGAGACATGCCCTCATGGATCTCTCGTCCGCGATTGCCTGTCCCACAGAACGGTCTGGTCGAGCAATTATGGGGGGTGATCAGGAGGCCAGCCCCCGCTCCCCTCTGTGACAGTCAGTTCGTGTCCACCGTGGCGTTCGACATGGCACACCCATCTCTCCATCCGTCTGAAGACTCGAGGCCCACCGCGACTGACTCCCCGGACCAACCAGCGCGCGCGACAGCCCTCGCAGGTCGGCTCTTTTGCTAGTCTGCAGCAGTGTGGGCCGGTATATTGGCTGCATCATGCCGGATTCGTGGGGAGATCGACCTAATCTGACACGTCGCGCCACGGCGGCGATCTGTTGCACGCCGGCTGCAAGGGGAACCTCGACTGCTCGACCGGGCAACGCGACATGGCCCCGACAGATCGGGCCTCGATGATCTCCCAGCGGGGTGGTTCTGCAGCGAATGTGGCTGCCCTAGCAGGGCATCCTGCGATGATTGACTTTCGGCAGCGATTCTTCAGGCCAAATACATGACCTCAGGGCTTTCTGCAGAATCGAGATGGGACGACCGACCCGAATGCGGGCACAGACCGTGCCCTCTTAAAGATGCCAGGGCCCCCGGGCTTAGGGTCGGGACCCCTCTGCCTCCAGCCCCCGCGAGCCTTCCCGATTTCTGCTCCAGATCACCATCATGGGGGACGGAATTACGACCGGCAAGGCCGGGGAACACGGATACAGCCACGACAACCTCCGACATGTCGTGATCACGGCCACCTCCTTTGCCCTGATCCTGTCCACCGTCTCCGTCGTCCTGCGCCTGCTGTGCCGGAAGATCACCAAGACCAAGGTGTTCTTCGATGACTACTTAATCCTGGGGGCCCTGGTGCGCACCTCTCGCTCCCCGTCCCCTCATCCAGGCCGGCACTAACCCCGATCGCGGACGCAGTTTTTCGAATATGCGGTGTCCCTGGCGGGCGTTGTCTGTAGGTGGACCCCCCCCTGCGGCGATGCCATCCCGGATGAACCGTGCCTGCTTACACTCCGCATCCAGTGCTCTACAACGGACTGGGAACGCATATCGTGTATGTGCCGCAAAAGGACTTGACCGTCTACCTGAAGGTACGCCCCCCCGGCCCGTCCGGTGGGATGCTAGCACTGATCACCGTCAGACCCTGGCCAGTGGCAGCTTCCTCTACCCCCTGTGCATCACCTTCACCAAGCTGTCCATCCTCGCGCTGTACAAGCGGATCTTCTCCATCCGACCGATGATTCTGGCGGCCAACGGGGTCGCCGCCCTGGTGATCCTGTGGTGCTTCGGGGTGTGCCTGATCGGGGCGGTGACCTGCATGCCCTTCCACAAGCTGTGGGATCCGACCGTCCCCGGGGGATGCATCAACCTGCCCCAGTTCTACTACGGGCTCCAAATCCCCAACATCGTTAGTGACGCCATCATCCTCGTCCTCCCGATGCGGCCGGTGTGGAACCTGCAGGTGCCCCGGACCCAGAAGGTCATGCTCACGGGCATCTTCCTCCTGGGCGCGTTGTACGTCCTCTGTCCCCTGCCACGATGACGGGCTCGCCTCCCTCACTGATTCTGACCCTCCGCCAGAACCCTCGCCTTTGATATTGTTCGACTGGTGACGATGATTGAACTGTCCCGAGCGGGCGACGACATCACCTGTAAGAAGCGACCTGTGTTGTGCTCCGCAGCAGTCTTCCCCCCCCGACTAACGGTGTCCGACAGATAACGAGGTGCCGGCCAGCGTGTGGACGTGCATCGAGCCGGCGGTCGGCATCACGGCGGCGTGCCTGTCCAACATGCGGCCGCTCTTCCTGATGATCAGCCAGGTGCGCGTGCGCCTGCCGTGGAAGATGTCGGCGGTGGCGTCGCGGGCGTCCAGCACGGGGGCCAGCGTGGCGGAGCGGTTCAAGATCCACTCGACGACGGTGGTGCGAGTGGACAGCTGCCGCGCGGAGAGCGACGCGCCCAGTCCGGCGCGGGCCTCCGTCGTCCACGGATTCCCGTCTGTGCCGAGAACCTCGCCGTTGTCCACGAGTCTGGAGTAGGGGAGGCGGGCTGGAAATTGGATGGGGGGTGGGGGTGGGGATGGGGCTCTCCCCTTCGGCTTCCAGGTGTTGTGTATAATAATGATACATATATATGGATGTGTTCCAATAAGGTGACTGGTGGCTTGGTGTTTCAACCGCTGTAGGATGGGGACGGGGCGATAGGACTGGATTGGCGGATGATAACCGCCCGATCTCGCAGTGGCTGGACGCATGACTGCTTATCGGATCCTCTGGGCCGTTTGGATCGTGTTTATCTGCCGGGCCTCCGTCATATCAGCGCTGGTCCGCCTCTTCGTCCGTCCGTCCGTCGGTCCTGTTCCCTCACCCCCTTCCCCCTCCAGCCATGACCGAAGTCTCCCGCCGCTCCGCCCGCGCGTAAGTTGCCCGCCCCCCCCCATGCCCTAACTCACCATTCCAGCCCTCTAACCATCCACTCCATCCCATCAGCTGCGACGAATGCCGCCGCCTCAAGGAGAAATGCGAAGGGGGGATCCCCTGCCGCCGTTGCGCCCACTTCCGCCGCCCCTGCGAGTCTAAGGCCCTCGCCTCGCGCGCCCGCGATTTCCGCGTCTATGTGCCCCGGTAGGATGCCTATCTCTCTCTCTCTCGCTCTCTCCCTCTCGTTTGGTCTCTCGCGGTGGTCATCCTCTCTCGAACTGTCGTCTCTGACCGCGTGCAGCACCCGTCCCGCCCGACCGGACGTCCAGGAGCTGATGGACCGGTGCAAGTACATGGAGCAGATCCTCAAGCACACCATCGAAGGCATTGCCCTCGACACGAAGAGTCTCGCCAAGATGGCTGAGTCGCTGTCCACAAGCCAAAGCTCAGACCCCCCCAAGGCGTCCAGTCCGGCCGATCTGGCCATCGAGGACGAAGGGTGTACCATTGACCCCGTCGGCGATACGACGACACGTGCGTGCTCCCCCCCCTCTCACCATCCACACAGGGGACATGGCTGACCAAGACCAGACTTCTCGGGCGAGTTCTCATACTGGAACTTCTCGATGCGCATCAAGCAGCGCCTGCAGAGTCGCACGCGCACGCAGAGCCCGGACCGGGTGTCGGGCTACTGGCGGGCCCAGCAGCTCAAGACGAACGAGCATCTGTCGGCGGCGCTGGCCTGCTTCCCCCCGCGGCCCATCACGGGCTTCCTGGTGCGCACGTTTCTGAAATACGCGGCCACGCACTGGTTCCTGGTGGACGAGAACTGGCTGCTGCACCGCGTGCACCTGCTGTACACCGATCCGGCCTGCCTGGGCGACAAGGCGGCCGCCGTCACCAGCATCCTGCTCTCCGTCCTGGCCATCGGCACGCAGTACGCCCATCTCGAGTCCCCCCGCGGCCGACCGCCCCATGCGCCGCCCGTCACCTTCGCCGAGGAGGACGTGGGCGTGCGCTTCTACGAGCAGTCCATCCGCCTGCTGCCGGAGATCATCGAGCTGGCGTGCCTCGAGAGCGTGCAGGCGTGCCTGCTGCTGGGCTTCTACGCCCTGCCCGTGGACGCCTCGGGGCTGGGCTACATCTACGTGAACCTGGCGGTGCGCCTGGCGATGCAGAATGGCATGCATCGAAAGTGCCACCGCGACGCCTTCCCGCCGGTGATGACGGAGACCCGCAACCGGGTGTGGTGGACGGTCTATTCGTTGGAAAGGTGGGCATCCCAGATATGCCATCATCCCCTTTCCCTTGCCCCCAGAGCAGCCCTCGGAGGAGCACGCCCCACCGCTAACCCGAGCCAGATTGATCGCCATCTTCCATGGTCGCCCCCTGTCCGTCCGGCGAGGCGATGTCGACGCCGACCTGCCCCGAGATCGCGAGGACATGGCCCAGACGCAGTCCGCGTGGAGCACGCAGTGTGCGGTCATCTCCTTCGAGATGCTCGACCTGCTGGAGGACTTCTTCCATGACATGTATGTAGGCTCTCCCCGACCGGTGGGCCCCAGACCTCCGATCCCTCGACTAATCCGGACGATCAGATCCCGCCTGCGACATGCCTCCCCGGAGGACCTGGCCGTGGTGCTGTCCCGGCTGGTGGCGCGCAAGCAGACCTGGACGCGGTGGTGGGGGGGCATCCCCGAGGACATCCGCAACCCCACGCAGCCCTGGCAGCAGGATCGAGGGGCCCTGCACCTGCGGCTGGAGGCCTGCCTGGTGCGCATGTTCATCGGGCGACCCTTTCTCCTGCGACAGGAGACGCCCCCGACCTCATCCGCGTCGTCCCCCCCCCTCTCAGGGCCGGCTCCCCCGGCCCCGGCCACGGACCTGCACCCGTCCGACCGGGACAGCCTCATCGCCGACTGCATCCATGCCGCGCAGGAGGCGCTGGAGATCTGCCGGCGCCTGCGGGACCACGGGCCGGGACTGGCACGCGCCTCGTACCTGGAGTACAGCGCGTGCCGGGCGGCGCTGCTGGTGCTGATCGCCTACTCGGTGCAGAGCCTGTCGGACGCCCTGCGGCAGCCGATGCAGGACGGGCTGGCGCTGCTGCGCGAGATGTCGGCGGCGGGCGACTCGGCGCGCTCGGAGGTGTCGCTGCTGGAGGCGCTGGAGCGCTCCCTGGCCCGCCTGCAGACGGTGACCCGCCGGGCGGACCAGGCGGCCCCGGCCAGCCCCCTGGTGTCCGACTACGACACCTTCCGGCACTGGGGGTCGCTGTGCGCCGGCTCGTCGCCCGCGGCGGGGCGTCCGACGCCGCATCCGGGGGCGTCGGCGGGCGAGGCGGGCGAGTGGACGGGGACGGGGACGGGGACGGGGACGGGGACGGGGATGGGGACAGGGCCGGGGCTGGAGGAGCCCGTGGGGATCGATCCGTCGGCGCTGGAACTCTCCATCTTCGGGACGACGGGCTGGTCGCCGTCGGCCAGTTGGCCCACGCGCACGGAGACGCAGGTGCTGGAGGAGTTTCTGGCCGGGTCGGGGCTGGATCCCCTGTGGAACCCGGTTGCTCTGCCGTGAGATTGGTCTCTGCCGATATACATGTATACCCTAATTCTATTTTTTACATGTCCTACATTTTCTACATCTCCTACATCTCCCACATCTCCTACATCTCCTACGTCTCCTACGTCTCCTACGTCTCCTACGTCTCCTACGTCTCCGACATCTCCTACATCTCCTACATCTACAGGGGCTACTCGATCCACACTACATACAGCGTGGTCGACCCGAGGAAAGAAGAATGTATCAGACACCAAATTCATTGCTTAGACGCGGCGATGACCCGCTCGGCCATGTCGGGCAACGTGTCGGCCGTCACCTCGAGGGCGGCGTCGTAGACCTGGAATGCGGGCGCCTTCTCGTAGATGGAGCAGTACGCGCCCCGGAAGCCCGCCTTGGTGGCGGCCGCGACGTCCCACAGGTGCGCCGCCGCGAACCACTTCTGGCCCTCGTCGCCCAGCCGGGCCAGCGCCGGGCGGTAGGCGGCCAGGGCGGGTTTGGCCACGCCCGCATCGTCGCAGCTGAGGAAGTTCTCCAGCGGCATGTCCACCCCCGCCCGCTCGAAGTATCCGCGCACCCGCTGGGTGTCCCCCGTGGTCAGGCACCAGACCGTGAAGCCGGCCTCGCGGAACCGGGCGAAGCACTCGCGCGTGCCGTCCCGCAGCTCCAGCAGCGAGTAGCCCTCGACGCAGGTGTCCCGCTCAGCGAGGGTGGCGAAGCGGTGGGGGTCGGCGACGCCGATCATGGAGAGGGTCTGGTAGAAGAGCTCGGTGAGGACGATCTTGTAGGGCTTGTAGCTGTCGGAGATGGAGAGGAAGGTGAACTGCAGCTCGGCGTTGGTCATCCAGGTGAAGCCGAGGCACTGGGCGGACAGGTGGTGCTCGCGCAGCTTGGGGCCCAGGGTGCGGTCGATGATCTCGTACCAGGCGTCGAAGGAGACGCAGGTCCCGACGACATCGAAGACGACGTGGTTCGGCATGGTGGTGATTTTCTCTGGTTTGATGGGGGAGGAGGAGGAGTGATTTGATGGTGGATGATGTGTGGTGTGTGGTGTGATAATTGACGGTTGATGTGGTGTGAGGTGTGAGGTGTAGAGCAGCAGAGGAGGGCAAGGGAGAGCAGATGAGGGGAGATCGCGGGGAGATGCCCTAATAACCCAACCCTACCGGGGCGGTACCCCTCCAGGCACCCCTCGGCGCTGGCCGATACCGGGACGTGCCCAGCTGCAGCCGGTCTTTGCCGGAATGGGCAGGACGGACCGGTCGCGTGTAGGGCGTGCATCGTGACTCCATCGGGGGAAGATAGGCAGAGAGGCTAGTCTCCTCGCAGCCTAGCCAGGGGTGGCGATGATGCAGCCGATACGAGGGAGATAAGTGGCAGATAAAGGGATCATCTGTCAGAATCTCTGGTTATCCGCTGGTTATCCGCTGGTTATCGGCTATCTATCTGACCCACCGGACTGACACATGGGCTCCCCGGCCGATATCAACGGCCGGGTGACTTCAGGAAGAAGAGGAAGAAGAGGAAGAGGAAGAAACTGAAGGGATGGGAATAGGGATATTCCCCCAAATTTACCTGTCATCGTGCTACAGAGGTTGAATGGAGTGTAGATATTGGTAGAGATGCATTGAACTTCATTATATATATATATCAACCAACAACGGAGGGGGAAAAAACAACAAAAAAAAAAAAAAAAAAACAGACCGTACACACAGAGCTAATGACACAGACAGAAAAAAAAAAAAAAAAACAACAAACAGATCATCATCCCCCATCATCCATTACGACCACAGGATGTTCAACCGGGCCCACCCCTTCTTGGGCTCGGGCTCGGGCTCGGGGTTCTGCCGGTACTGCTCGATGAAGGGCCGGATGGGGACCTCGTCCAGCGGGATGATCGTGGACTTGCTCCACAGCTTGTAGCCGAAGTACAGCCCGAAGATGATGGGCACGTTCAGGTACGACGAGATGAAGGTCTCGGTGTCCCAGTCCCCGTGCAGGAAGGTCGTGTAGCCGCCCGTCAGGAACAGGATCCCCAGCAGCCCCAGCGTCAGCCAGGTGCCCCAGGGCTGGAAGGGCGCCGCCCACGGCAGCTCCTTGTGCCGGTCGATCCCCTGGGTGCGGCAGGCGTAGAGGAACCGCAGGTAGACGATGCAGATGGTGCCCCAGTTGACCAGGGTCGAGATGGAGACGATGTCCTGCAGCCAGGTGAAGACGGTGCTGGCCGAGCTGGAGAGCGTCATGTAGCCCAGCGCCATGAACAGGCCCAGCAGGCTGACGCCGACGTACGGGATGCCGAAGCGGTTCATGCGCGTGAAGCAGGCCGGGGCGTGGCCCTCGACCGCCATGGCGTACAGCACGCGCGAGCCGCCCAGCATGTTGGAGTTGCCCGACGACCAGGCCGACGTCAGCACCACGGCGTTGATGATGGACGGCACCACCTGGATGCCCGCGCGCCGCGCCGCGATGACGAAGGGCGACTCGGACGCCGTGCCCGAGGAGCCCAGCAGGTCCGGGTCGTTGGACGGCACCACCAGCCCGATCATGAACATGGTCAGCACGTAGAAGAGCAGGATGCGCACGAAGATGCGCCGCGCCGCCATGGGGATGGCGTGGCGGGGGTTGCGCGTCTCCGAGGCGGCGATGGTGATGTTCTCGATGCCCGAGTACGAGTACAGGGCGCTGTTGAGGGCGGTCCAGAAGCCCAGGAAGCGGCCCAGGGAGCCCCCGATGCCCAGGTACTGCACGAACGGGCCGGGGTCGCGCCAGTAGCGGAAGCCGATGCTGGTGTGGTCGGGGCCGCCGCCGCAGGTGATGACCAGGGCCATCAGGTTGATGCCGACGATCAGGACGATCTTGAGCAGGGAGAAGCCGAACTCGAGCTCGCCGTACACGCGCACGAACAGCAGCGCGGTGACCAGCATGAGCAGGCCGAACACGGTGATCCAGATGGCATTGTTGATGGTGGTCCAGAACTCGATGACCACGGCGGCGGCGACGATCTCGGAGGGGATGGAGACGAGGTAGGAGTAGATCTGGTTCCAGCCGTTGGCGAAGGACAGGGCCGGGTCCACGAAGATCTCCGCGTAGCGGATCACTCCACCGGCCAGCGGCACCAGCGCGCCCATCTCACCCACGCCGAACACGACGCTGGACACGGCCAGCCCCATGAGGGAGTAGGCCAGGAAGGCGCCCAGGGGGCCCGCGTGGGCGATGGCGCGCCCGGAGCTCAGGAACAGCCCCGTGCCGATGGTGCCGGCCAGGGCAATCATCTGGATATGGCGCTGGTGGAGGCCCTGCTGGAAGACGCGGGCCTCCTCGAGGTGGCCCGGGGCGGCCTCCAGGTCCTCGCTGCCATGGCTGGTGGTGTAGTGGTGTGGCGCCTTCTTCTCGGAGACAGAGGCCGGCTGGGTGGATGGCTGGGAGGAGACCTGGGTGGACAGCCGCGTGGAGGGGTCCATACTGACTACTGGCCTGGTGGAGGGATGAGGAGGGACGGGGATGGGATGGCGTGAGGAAAACCGGCGCCTGGATGGGGAGAGCCATGGGGTGACTTTGTATATTTTCCAAGACCGGGCCCCCCCACCTTGGAAATCGGGGGGACGCCGTTGGTCCACGAGGCGCACCCGACCGGGGTGGCGACGATCCAGACCGGATTGAGGGCTATCAGTGTCCGGCTGTCAGGGCTTGGGGGAGGGGTGTGTGTTGTCTGTTGTCTCTTGTCTCCGTCCGGCCCCAGTTGCCCAGTTGGGCGCTCGCCGATCCCGGCTGATAACAGCACGGGCTAGGCCGCGATAGGCAGGCCCGGCCCGGTGAGGGGATCTGATAAGCCCAATCGGGGCGATGATTAGGGTTCGCGTTTAAAAGGGGCGAGAGTCGCGATGCCCTCCCCCCATTCCCCATCTCCCCCATCACCTCTCCCACTCCCACTCCCTCTTTTTCCTTTCCACTCACGCCTCTCCTTCCTCTCCTCACACCCACCCACCATGGCTCCCTCGACCTGCTTCCCCGTCCCCAACCCCGGTGACTGCTTCTGGCAGACCGAACCCCACGAGTTGCACGACTTCCGGTCGACGGAGCAGCTCCCCGCACACGCCGAGGTGGTCATCATCGGCGCGGGGTACGCCGGAGCCAGCACCGCCCACCACCTGCTGCGCGACCACGGCGATGCCATCAAGTCCATCACCATCCTCGAGGCCCGCGGTGCCTGCTCCGGGGCCACCGGGCGCAACGGCGGGCATCTGCGCCCGGACTTCTACGGGCACATCCCCACGTACGTCGACCGCGCGGGCGTGCGGGCGGGCGCGGAGATCGCCGAGTTCGAGATCTCGCACCTGCACGCGATGAAGAAGCTCATCGAGGAGGAGCAGATCGATTGCGACTTCACCCTGGCGCGCTCCATCGACGTGTGGTGCAACCCGGAGGCCGCGCAGAAGGCGCAGGCCGTGTACGAGCGCATGAAGGGGCTGGGGCTGGAGTACATGAACGACGTGGCCTTCTACACGGGCAAGAACGTGGAGGGCATCTGCGGCGTCAAGGGGGCGGTGGCGTGCGCCTCGTTCACGGCGGGCACGATGTGGCCGTACAAGTTCATCCTGCACATCCTCCGGGCGGCGCTGGCCACGGGCAAGCTCAACCTGCAGACTTTCACGCCCGCCACCGCCGTCACGCCCCGGCCCCAGGGCGGCTTCACCGTCGAGACCCCCCGCGGCGCGATGCACGCCGACACGGTGATCCACGCCAACAACGCCTACGTGTCGGCCCTCCTCCCCGAGTACGCCCACAACATCGTCCCCTGCAAGGGCATCTGCTGCCGCATCACCGTGCCCGAGGGCCGGCCCGCCCCCCTGCTCAACAACTCGTACATCAACCGCACCGAGGACCACACCCTGTCCTACCTCATCCCGCGCCCCGACGGCAGCATCATCGTCGGCGGCGCCTCCTCCCAGTTCCGCCCCTTCCGGGACCAGTGGTACAACAACGTGGACGACAGCGTGCTGATCGACTCGGCCAAGGACTACTACAACGGCTACATGCAGCGGACGTACCGCGGGTGGGAGGACAGCGGCGCCACGGTGGACCAGATCTGGACGGGGGTGATGGGCTACTCGTTCGACTCCAACCCCCACATCGGGGCGGTGCCCGGCAAGGCCGACCAGTTCATCCTGGCCGGCTTCAACGGGCACGGCATGCCCGTCATCTGGCGCGCGGCGCAGGAGCTGGCCCGCATGGTGGTCGAGAAGATCCCCTTCGAGCAGACGGCCATGCCGCGCCTGTTCCAGACCTCGCAGTTCCGCATCGACCGCGCCCAGCACGGGTCCGAGAGCGACGGCGACATCCTGGGGACGGGCAACTTCCCGGCCACGAAGCCCTGAGCCGGGCCCCTCCGGTGTTGGGGCCGGACGCTTTCTTTCCACCCCTCCACGTGTATTATAGAAATGAGAACCATGCCTTTCCTTCTTCTGTATCAGGTGTTCCTCCCCAGCAACTTAAGTCGTGAAGTCAGCCCCTGCTGAGTAGATGCGACTGTAATCTAGCAAAAGCCTGTCAGTAGAAGTGTTAGGGTTTAGGGTTTAGGGTTTATTAGGGTTTAGGGTTTAGGGTTAGGGTTTAGGGTTTAGGGTTTAGGGTTTAGGGTTTAGGGTTTAGGGTTTAG